GTGCCAGTCCATTGGATGGACATGGACTGGCACCGCGATACTCATCCACCAATGGAGCCCTTCTGCCGCTGATGACTTGCTGACACGACTGACATCGACCGGCCAGCCGTTCAGAGCGCTGAAGATGTTGAAGTACGCACCTTTGAAGCAAGCTCTTCCTTGAGAGCCTCCATGTCCGAGACCAAACCTTTGATCAGAAAGCGCTGACCTTCGAGACGATGCTCCTGCTCGTTGATGGTCTCCTGTTGGGCGCCAACCTGATCGCGCTGTTCCTCGATGATTGCGTCTTGACGGGCATTGACTGCATTCTTGTGAGCAATGATCTTGTCTTTGTCTTTGATGGTCTTGTTAAGGCGCTGGATGGCAGCATGATGTTTCTTATTGGCGATCTTGTCGTTCTGAACGGCTGCCTGTGGCTGCGGCATCTTGCAAAAGATGCGGGGATGGGAGGGGGGCTGTTTGGATCGAAGCGAGGCTGAGATGAGGGGTGGATGTGTGGATGGATGGGTGGGTGGATTCATGGATGGGTGGGTGGATGGATGGGTGGAAGTCGTAGGCTGATGTATGCTTGGTGCGTGAGTCAAAAGTGTGCTGAGTCGATCGCTGGTCCATGATTCGCTGGCGCTCAAGACGACTGCTGCTGGCAGAGGCATGCAGGATATGCAAGCTTGGGAACCGTTGAGTGCGGCGTGCAGGTTGCGTGCAAGCCTCGCGCACGGGCACACGGTCTCGAGTGGCCTTCTACCTCTGCTCGTCGATGGCATCTGATGCGTTGTGATCGAGTGAGCGTGCATGCTGCTGCCACCACGATCGATCGAAAAGTCTACGAGTCACAAGCCGAGTGAGAGGAGAGTCTTGCGCTGCTTGCCTAGAGAGCGGTCTGGAGACGTCGGTATGAGGCGCGCATCGCAGGGATCGAGGAGGCGAGACGATCGCGACGCGACTCTGGACTCATCGGCTGCTGACTCACGCTCACTCACCTGCGTGCTGGTGCGCACGCGCAGGCACGCTATGCTAGACGGCCTTCAGAAATCGAGCAGACAAGAGACAAGTGCTTTTACTCAAATGGCTCAAAATTAATTGAAGATATCGGGTGGAGCAGCTGCAGCTCCACCCACCGCTGAAAATGTTTTGCTCATCAACGTGAATTTGAATTATAGTCATTCGTGATTCATTTGCAAAAAGAGCACTCAATCAATATTTCAACCAGTATAACGTGAACATTGGTGACTGCTCAAGCTCGATCACACCGCCATTCATGAGTTCGGTGGACGTCGCTGGCCGCTGGCGTTCAATGGAGAGCTACATCGTGTATTGTATTGGGATTCACATTCAAATTCTGGGAAGGTGCAGCATTCCGGTCGATGGAGTTAAAGCGAGGGTCGAGAAGTCAAATATTTGTGAATGCTGACCCGGCGATCCAAGATCGTGAGTCTTGAGTCAATTCAAATCTTGAATAAGTAAATCCCACGGCAAGACGAGTGAGTCGCCCGGCGGTACGCGGCCGTCGCGGCAGGCTGTGCGCTTGACATGTTGCGAGCACCGCGAGCTTCACGTGATCAATCAAGAGTCAAGATCCGTATGGCTCTCGAATGCTGCTTGACTTGACTCCCTGCCATGTCCTCGTTGCCCTAGCGACTTCGAGCGAGACAGATTCACAATTGAACGCGTATTCAAAGATTCAAATTCCAAAATCAATAAATTTGAAGAAATGACGCCTTGCTGATTGTTCTACGTGGCTATCAGTCAAGGGCAAAATCCTGTCGAGTCTTGAAGTCCGACGAGTCAAGTTTGAGTCTTTCGACGACTTTGTGAGGCGATCACGACGCCTCGGCGCTTTTGACGCACAAAATCCGTCTCATCGAGAAATTGAATCAATTTAAATGAGTTGTGAGTCTGTGAATCAAGGTCTTGAGTCAAGAGTCAAAAGGTTTGATGGAACTCGATGGTTTGATTTTGATTTACGTGATTGGTAAAGTCGTGAATTTTGTCGCTGCTGCTGCTTTCTAGTCAAGAGTCAATAGACTAGTGGCAACTAATTGTAATAGCTTAGCAATCTTGGGTTGAGACCATTTATTAATGGGAGAGGCATCCTTGAGTCTTGAATTTGAGTCCAAATCTTGAATCAAGAGTTTTGAATTTGGACTTCAGTCACGGGTCGCGGTCGCTTGAAGCAGGCGGCACCTCACCGACGTGCGCGTCGACTGTCTGTATAGATGCAAGAGTGTTAGTCGTGATCCCTCCTTTCGATCCTCCAGTCTAGTCTCCTCCTTCACGCAGCGCTCGAAAGGTTCGCGATTCGTGACTCGTCGACTCCACGATCGAGCGTCATTCTGTCGGCATACAGTTTGTGTCAATGCGTCATGCGTCAAGCTTGATGGGGCGGAGCAGAGGTAGCAGGCCACTCACACTGTACGGGCTACAGTGGTGCCGCACGCACCATGTAGGCTCAGCTCAACGGCTTCCTTGCATATCTGCCAGCAGACTGGAGTCGGTGAGCTTACAATCAGCTCAGCAAACTCATCGGGTACGATTGTCATCAAGCCATCTAGCCCCCTCCTGCATGAACCCATCGGTCACCCCATCGCTCACCTCATCGCTCAATCCATTCATCAATCCATTCATTCATCCTCACCGGTCCACACTCATACATCGCACCCATCATGGCCAACATCGAGCGCGAGGTCCTCCCGTCCGACTTTGAAGCAATCCGAGAAGGCGTCAAACCCAGCCCGCGACGCGATCCCGTGACCGCGAGCATAGGGAACGACGCTTTGAATTTCATCGAGAAAAAGTACAAGGAGGCCGTCGCCGACGCAGATCATCTCGACGCTCTCAACGACCTTCTTCAGGCTGAGATTGTTCAGCTTCGAGCGACCAAGGTGCGTACGAGCGAGATCTCAGCAGCGATAGGTGCTTTATACCCTTTCATCGTGCGGTGTACCTCTATGGACCTGTACTAGGCTGGCTTCATGCTCTTTGTTGAAGTCAGCTGGATCTGGCATGTAGTCAAAGGCAGAGGGCTTCGGGGTGGAGAGTAGCGGTGCCAGTTCATGCCCATATTTGATTGGACTGGGTTCTCCCGACCGACGATTCTCTCCTGCGCGAAGCCCCTGGGCTGGTCAGTAGCAAGAGACACCGAAACATAACTCTTGGAACGCCGAGCGTGGAGGGGCCCGAAGAGATAAATCTGTAGTCTCACGTATCCCTCCAGAGGTTCAAACCCCTGTCCTGGCCCATGTTCACTTGCCATCGGATAAATACTGACGCTGCTTTATGTGCGCACTCAGATATCCGACGCGGCCTTCAAGAGCGAGCTCGCTGACTCCACGAAGGTGCTCACTTCGAGATCTGAAGTGGCTTTTGGCTCTGCCGGCCTCGCCGAGTTTGGTGTTTGCGCAATCGTGTCAGAACGTCTCTGACGGCAGAGGGGCTCCATTGGGGGATGATGAGTAGCGATGCCAGTTCAGAGACCTTGCTGGACTGGGTTTTCCCCATCGACGATCTCGCCTGCAGTGAGCCCCTTTAGACGCTTTCGGGCCTTTAGATGCTTTCGGGCCACAATGTCACTCCAACCTACGTGTGGGAGTGTGCATTCAGTGCTGTCTTCATTCGTATACTCTGCCTCAAATGCGTGGGTATACGTTCAGACTGGCCTAAAGTGACCAAGGAACAAAGAGAAGAGGAGGCAAGCATGCCAAATCCGCTCCGAGCGTCTCGCCATTTGAACCGCTGCAGACGTCATCGGAGAGGGTACCTCACTCGATGTTCAGAGCTCCTGTCGTTGAGTCATTGCCCAAAAGTGCTTAGGATCAATGCTTACAGGCTTTCGTCTGTGCGCACAGGTCGCTGCCACCGTCGGCGCCGAACGAGCTAGCTTCTCTAGCATCATCGATCCTATCAGGGGTCTCAAGGTGGACACAGAGGTCCAACATCGAAACGCAATGACCAGAAGTAGACAGTCGTCTTCAGAATCAATCTGCTAGCGCGACTCAACCCACACGTTGCCATCATCACATCCACTATATCATACGGCTCAGACCCAATGGTCGCAAAGTGTAGCCAGACCCTTCATACTCCCAAAGCCCTCTCAGCCACTTTGTCCCCTCTTCCCCCACTATCTGGCGAACACGCAGCCTTCTCATCTTGTGACCAATGTCAACTGTGTATACACTGCTGCAATGCAGGCTGAGATGACAGCGCATATGCGACGCAAGTCAAGAGTGTGAATGTTGATTAGGATTGGTAATTTGCATTGGTGGGGGCGCGTGATGCCATGCAAGCCGGCAGGCATGTTACATATCTGCTCGCTCAGATCGCTTTCCCTTCTGACTCTCGATTACCACACCTCCATCCACCACCTCTTCCTCTCCTTCATGTCAGCTGAGCGCCGGATGATCGACTCGCGCTTCAATCTGGACCACTCTCACTTCGAGCTTCACCTCAGGGTGCTGACAACTACCCTCCGCTTGCACCCGCTTTGACGCTTCCACCTTTTGGCTGCACGAGTGAGTCGCCGGAGTCGCCAGAGGTTACCCGCAGGCTTGCGTCTCGGGAGCGGCCCCCTGACCCGCCAGCTTTCTCTCTTTCTTCTCGCAGTCGGGCGCAGTAGCTTCATTCTGGTACCTGCTGGAGACACTCTCGCACATGATGCGAATGAGCGTGGAGCGGATGGAGAACACGCCGTACCTCATACTTGGCTGGGAAGACACTCAGGAAAGCGAGAAAGCCAGCTCTAGGTCGGAACATTTGGCTACTGCGGACAGGCATGCGCTCTTAGTGCAAGCAACACTATCTTGTTTGAGGCAGAGAGGCTTCCGAGGAGTCGTGCCGGAGCTTGGCTGCAAGGGATTCGGAGTAGCGAGATGCATTGGGAAGTAGCGGACATTATGTGAGTCTTAGCTTAGGATGTAGGGAAAGGGCTCTATCAGCTGACGCGTGTCTCGCATGAACTGCACGCCTGCTGCATTCTGGATTGGAAGGCGAACAAAGGCCGTCAAGGCCGAAAAGACGGACGGGACTACACGTGGCGGGAGAGCATCTTGGTCGAGCGGCAAGGACTCAAAAGCCCGAAGAGTGGCTGTGTGCGGGGCGCGGCATTGCCCTTCGTTGGAGGGCAAGAGGTGGAAGTAGCTCCCGGGATGAGACTTGCTCTGGCAACTCTATGCCTGCTTGATGCACCGTCCTCTGCGCTTTGCCAGTCGTCTCTCAGGATGCAAGACTCGAGCGCCTGCCTCTGCTCTTCTCTAAGACGCTCATCGATTGCATACACTCCGGCCTCGACTCCATTCACTCAGCCTAGCGCCATCGATATAGGGCGGCAAAGAGCGGGATGCCTTGCAACGGCGTGCCGCCTTTCAGCAGTGTTCCCGAAGTCGGTCCTCACGGCAGCCGTGGGCGCTCACCTTGATGGAAGCAATCTCGGATCAGGAATGCTCGCCGAGGTCACCATTCCTCGGCACAGCTTCTCCGGAGCTCGCAGAGAGCACGAGTCCAGCCGGTTCCGTCCTCCTCAAGCCAAGCTGCGTTTGATCACCATCTTCACAAGCTGTGGCAGCGCTTGCCGACATCGTGTGAGTGGCATCAAATTTTGGTGAGGGGACTGCCTTTTCTCGGTGCTGCGTTCTGCTGGAAGTACGCAGAATCTTGTCTGCCGCGATACGGAGCTGACTCAATTCCGCATCACATGCCACGCCTTCGCAGCGTCGACCCTGCTCCACTCCCACATTCGAGCGTAGGTCCGATACACCATCACCAATCGGGCCAGCGCACTAGACGCATCACATGGGTCAAGCCAGCTCATCGAGCTCGAAAGCTTACCGCGCGAGGCGTACTCTCATCCACCTCACACACACTCGGTGCAGAACGCGCGGATGCAGAATGATCATTGGATTACATGGTCGTGTACACGGCGCCAGCTGAGAGGCCCGGACGCATAGCCGGTAGTGACCACTTGATGGTAGAGAAAGCATGGCCTCCAAGTCCCTTTAGCAAATACAGCCCACTCCAACTGCACGAGTGAGCAGCTTCTACATGAACATGTTGTCGTAGTCGCTCTGGGAGGATCAAGGAGGGACATCAGCATCGAAAACCAATCGACACGCGCGACCGCTTGCCGAGATCTCGAGACTTCCCAGGGAGCCACGTGCCAAAGTATCCTGCAGTACGACTCACGTTTCTCGGAGGCCTCACATCATCCCAGTCTGGATCGCCTGTGGGTTGCCTGTTGCCTTGGCCTGGTCTTCCTGGTCCGCCCAAGGGACCCCCAACGCCAGGCCTGGGAAAGCCACCTATTCCACCAGGTCCCACTGGATCGAATCTAGCACCAGGCGGCACCGGTCCAGCGAACGGGTTGCCTCCTGGTTGGGGGGCGCCGAATGGTGGCACGTCACCTCTCGTAGGATCGAACCTGTCTCGGAACATTGGATGATTCGGACCAACAAACATTCCGCCGCCATCATCCCCACCAGGGAATAAGGGAGGTGGACCGAACCCTCCCACGCCACCGAGACCACCGAGCGGATCACGATCTCTATCTCCTACTGCGAGAGGGTTCCTCGGACCTGGAAAGAGGGGCCCACCAGTTGCGCCGGGATAACGAGGATCGTCAGCGATGGGACCAGATGGATGAGGCTCTGGTGGCGGTTGCCGGCGTGATGAGGAGGGCTGAGACGACGAAGCTGACGATGGTGAAGGATCTGGTAACTCCTCGTAGCCTGCCTTGTGCAGACCTGGCAACAGGCGCTGTACGATGTGGAGCTGCACCTCCGAGACGAAATCCATGATGCGGCTCGAGGAGACGTAGCCGTTCACCAATGGCTCCGGCGCTGATGAAGTGGTAGCTTGAGAGGCTGAGCGCGGCCAAGGCCAGAAATTTTTGCTAGTGAACCTGTCGACCTCCAGCTCCAAGCTGGCGCTGCGGTCTTGCCCTTCGAGAGCTGTGGCGTTGATGATGATCCTAGGCCCTAGTGTGCTTGCTCTGACCAGGAACCTGAGCGATGACTGAGGGTGGGCGTATGACAATGCGAAAGAGCCAGAGCTGCTCGAACCGGCCCATGTTGGCGGCAGCACATTGGAGGATGGAGGCGGAGACTGCGGAGTGTGAAGTCCGAGGAATCGAAAGTCCAAGCGCGTGAAGATGGAGTGAAGAAGGGCTACGAGGGCCTCAATAGGGTTGTGTAGCTGAGAAAGGGACGCTTGTTCGCGAGACGGAGCTGCGCTACTCCCGCCGGCCTCATCATGGGGCGAAGATGATGGGTCACTGGGCAGCAGGGTAGGAAGTAGCTCCAATAGAGCAGCGGGGTCCAGGAGGGAAGATGACGTGCCCGACATGACGTTTTGGAGTTCTCGATCGGACGGGAGAGATTCGTATGCAAGCCGGACGGCGGAGCTGAAGGAGACCAAAGATGAGGATGATGGAGCTCGTAGCCGGAAGCGATGGATGGAGGGAGAAGTATAGGTGGAGAAGACGCGCGCTGGTTGCTTGAATGCTGTGATGCTGTGCGCAGGTACGCATCGCATGGTCCGTGCTGCCGCCAACGTACGCTTTTTGGTGTGGGGCGCAGATTATAGATTTGGCGGCGCAGCACGTGCGCCAGAATTTCCACCGCGCGCGCGCTGCTGAAGCTGCATTCGGTGGGTAGCCGATGGATGGCGTGAGAGTAGTCAAAGTCAAATCACGATTTGACGAATGCAGCGACATGCCAAGAAGCTCTTTACACCGACACTTTGACCTCGCCCCTTGTCCGCTCAGCTCTAGCTACACCTTCGAGCGCCACAGCGACCTCTCCGCGTCCCATCGACCCTCTACAATCTGCTTCGCCCCTCCCTCGCTCACGACAGGGAATCTCAAACGAGGCTCGCTTTCACCACCTCACCATTCATTTGCGGACCTCCTACGAACCTCGGCATCTTGCACCCTCTCAGACGGACGATGCCTCCATCATGGTTCCGCCTTCCGACGCGCGTGCCACCAGAGCTTGAGGAGGCGGACTGGTCGGGTCATCTGAAGGATCCTCACCCCACACCATTCTCGGACGCGCTCATCTCTCAACTTTCATTGACAGGTGATGTGTCCGCCTTCGCTTACGACCCCGTCCAAGGCTACCTCGCTCTCGGCACGACCAATGGATGCTTGCACTTGCTCGGAGGCACCATAAGAGTCAGCTGGGCACTTAGACCTGCCGTCGGCATTCGACACTTGGCTTTCAGAAGCGGCACCGGGCTGCTCATAGTCGCCGACCAGAAGGACAACCTGAGCATCTTTGATATCTCCCGAGCCGACCCAAGCTTGGCTCCCAATGCTGGCGGACCCAGCAGCGCTGCAGATAGCCCCAGTACCACGAGAATTGCAGCTGGTATAGGGCCGACGACACCCGGCGATGCGTTGCATCCCGATACTCCTATGCGTATCCATGCGCACAGCGCTCGCAATTCGGTCACCTGCATCGAAACACAGCCAGGTCACGCTCACCTGTGGATCGGTCTTAGGGATGGTACTGTGGATGCGTACGAGTGAGCCGGAAGGATTGCGCTGCCTCGATACGTGGGATGTGGACGCATAGTAGTAAAATGCTGATCGACTTTGCTTCTCTGCCCTCCCTCCGCTCTGATACAGCCTCGACCGCTTGCACTTGAGCCCCTACAGGATACCGAACTTGTGGTGGGAGGAAGAGGAGATGTGAGTGTTCACCTGACGTGCTTCCTATCTTCCTCTTTGCATGGGAGCTGAGGCTTACGCATTGCATGCACTGCAGTCTGCGAAAGTCTGGTGTACCGGATGCCCCAAGCCGAAGACATGTGCCAATGGTCATCGGTGAGTAGGGACGCGTGGTGCTGGTCGAGGTCAAGACCTGCGGTGGCAGTGGATCAGAGCTAGCGACTGATGCGCAAGCCCTCGCTGTTACTCAGACATCAAGACGCATCCCCTCGATCTCGGTCGGGTCTTGCTTGCATATGAGGGCGGAGCCTGTCTGCTCGACGTCAAGACCCGCGCAGTCATTCGGTCATTCCAACTGCGTCTGCTGCCAGGAGCTCCGGGAGCAGGCGGAGCACCAGACGAGATACTCTGGACAGAAAGAGCTTCGCCAGCAACATGTGTTGCCTGGCGACCTGATGGCATCATCTTTGCCATGGGCCATGCGGATGGCGTCGTCTCTTTTTGGAACGTGGATGATGGTGACAAGCCCTTGCTTGTCAGAACGCTGGATCAGATCGACGTGGACAAACCTCAGGCTCCTTCAGGCGACGCTCACTCTCACGACTCGCCATCTCGCTTCATGCGCGAACCCATCTTTAAGCTGGCATGGAGCGGTTTCAGCTCTGCAAGCTGGCGGGACTTTGCAGCGCAAGGCACGGCGCTCACGGTTTTAGGTGGCGGTGTTTTAGACGCATCTTCGGGTGTGGTGTCGTGGCACTTTCCAGCATACTCGGCACCTGTTCAGCTGTGGGCCTCAAAGACCCCGGAAGCTCTGGCCAAGCTGCGCAATTCCCTTCGATCGAGCATCATCACAGAACGTGAGGCGCGTATACAAACCAAGGCGACTTGTGAGGACTTCTTACTTCTACCCGCTGCCTCGCCACATTATGGCGGTGCTTTCGATGCTACAGCCCTCTTGGCTCTCATCGGATCTGATCCCAGCCTTCCACCTCTGCAAGGTGCGACTCGAGGTCTACAAGCTTTCGCATTTCCGGCCGGCGCACCCACCGAACAAGGTCTGCACATTGCCGGCTCGAAGACATCCGCAGCTGAGGAGCTTGAACTGCCATTCTCCCTCGCCATGACTGGCAGCAGCGCTGCAAAGGGCGTTCGGCTGGCTCAAGTCGGCCTCCACGCTTATCGCAAGCTTGTCAGCGTCTCCTCCAAGTCTGACCCGCTCGGTTCCTGGGACGCAGGAGTAGCCGAGGAGCTTGCACGTCAATCAGCCGCCGACCGGCACTCTCAGGGTCTTCCTCTGCGAGGCGGTGAAGCTCACCCTACTGCTCTGAATGGAGCCACACTAGAGTCTTTGCTGAGAGAGAGCGACAGACTCACCGCGTACAAGATCATCGTCAGCTGGCACCACGATGGAACCATCCGATTCGCTGATGCTAGTCCGCATTTGCTGCTGAAAGGTCGGATCGACTTGCCGCCGGAGGGCTCAGACCCCGTCACTCACCCTCTCCCTCAGCCGGTTCTGGAGGAAGCTTTTCCGAAGCCTTTGCACCACCTGACAATTTCATTGCAAGATCTGGTGCATGGATCGCACGCAAGTAGACAACATGCGGCGGTCTTTGCCAGACTCCGAGCGAGTCCTTCGCGCATGCAGATATTGGACGTGCACTTCGCGCCGGACGCTTTGGAGATTGGCGTCGTGCTCGCTGGAGGTGCTCTTTTACATTACCGCTTCGATTTCGCAAACGCGAGCGAAACCGAAGCAATCAGGGCTCAGGTTGCTCAGGAAGCTGCGATTGATGAAGAGGCAGCGAGAGAATTCGCGGAGCACACGTCGGAGCCACCGAGCGCGAAGAGCGTGGAGCTGAGTAAGCTTGACGACGCCATGAGAGATGTCGACCTCCGGGACACCCCAGGCCCAACATCACCCAGCCAGCGGGCCGAAGTTCAGGCGCCAAATTCCGCGGCCAGCCTCAACAACGCAGCAATGAGCCGGAGTGGATCACACGCAAGTGCAATGGCTCCCCCACCTCGACCAAGAAGAGATCCCAAACGGTTGAGCGTCATGCCGACTTCTCCACCTAGTGCGCGAAACCTTGCCGGTGCCTCCCGTGTACGCCAAGAAGACAATATTTCAGCTCCTGTCCATAGCACGTCTGCACCGAGCACACCTCTTCCGGTAGTTCGGCAGATTGAGCCTGTCGGTAACTTCGCAGACTGGTCCCAAGACGGTTTCAAGGGTGAGTCTTCTTCGGCATCCCAGATGAGACGTCAAGCAGACGCTGACGACCAGAGTGCCTGCCACTCGCAGCGAATTTATTGATTGATTTGTCGCGTGGTGGTGTCACTGCAGCAGCAGTCTCAGACGTCGGTTTCATTGCAATCGCGTACGGTGCTGCCTTGGCCATCATTGACCTCCGAGTCGCGGACATAATCTACAGAGAAGGCTTTGGAGATGGCTCAGACACGCCTGCGCTGTCAGCAGGCGCATCGAGCAAGGAGGGTAAGGAGTACCGTAAACTAGTAGAGGAGGAAGGCACCGACGCCATAAGCTTGTTGCGTTTGAGTATGGCGCGTACCATCGAACACAATCTGCTGGCCCCCCAATTACTCGTGTTACGCCCCAATCGCGTAGGCATCAGAACCTTTCTCAAAGCGCCCAATGAGTGGATCGTGACCCGAACAGGTGTCGTTACATTCGACGACCTCCACACACCGGTAGATGCATACGTCCTCGACTCAAAAGGCAGAGAGTGTGGTGCTACCCCGCTCGAGCTTCGACAGGGCCTTCGAGAGCAGGATACTCCAGACGATGATGATCCAGAAAGGCACGAAATCCACTCGCTCGTTTTAGCAGGCGAGCAAAGTGAGTCGAGCTTCATAGTGTCCTTCTGTCATGTCTCATTTGTTGACCGACCTCCGCCTTGCCAGACATTTATGTGCGAGCTGGAGTGACCGGCGCCAAGCTTGCGAAAGTAAATGTTGGGGAGCGAATCTTGCGCATGCAAATCGTTGAACGATTTGGTCAGCACGTCTGCATGGCGTCGACACTCAGCTCGACACAGGTGTACTCTCTACCTCATTTGCAGCACGTCGTCCGGCTGCCCAGTAAGCATCGGCGCGACGCTAAAGCTACCGCTGCTGTGGATGGCCAGCTCTTGGCACCCATCCCTGTCAGCTTCTCGATATCTCGGAGCGGAGACGTGATCGAGCTCGGCCCCACACTACAAGACCTCCGACTCTCAACACTTCTTGGCAATGTGGCCAGACCAGGTGTTCCTGCGCTCGATCTGTACTCCCCCACCAAGGCTTCCGCTTGCCCACATCACCCTGGCGCCGTCACAGCTGCGGTCAAAGGTGTCACGTCCTGGCTTTCGGGCAAGTCCAGCGCCATCGATGCAGGTTCGCAGCTCGACGAATTACTTGCGGGGGCGACATCCGGAAAAAGACCTGAAGCTCCGAAGCTCCCTGAGCCAAAGCACGTCCAGATGGCAGCTGCTCGAGAATTGGAAATCGCAGAAAGGTTGGCGGCGAGAGAAGAGGCTGAGGCTCGCAAGAATGGTGTCAAGTCAGGTGGTCAGTCAGTTCGGCAACCTCCGCCGCCCAGAACGCTTGGTGAACGGCATTCTGAAACGGTGGCGAGGGAGACGAGGGATGCTCGCAACGCTGCTGCCAATGCGAGAACTGCGGCTGAGGAGAGGGGCCAGCTCATGGGCGGGTGAGTAGAGTACCCAATGTGAGAGGCTCGATTTGTCCGGATAACCATGTTCACGCTCTGCTTTGTGTCCTGGCAGCTTGGAAGAGTCTCTTGGCTCGCTCGAGCGTGGAGCCTCCCAATGGCTGCAGAATTCGCGAAACATGGCCATGAAGGCCAGCGCGAAGAACACATTCACCAAAACTTTTGGTTTCTGAGTCTCAAGCGTCGTAGCGGGCAGCATCAACAGGACATTGTTCGTCGAGCTCCCATCCAGTCTTTCACTTCGACGCGCATCGAGCTCCCGATTCAACCCGATGGTCCTAGGCTTGTTCATGACGAGACAGGGATCAAGATTTGTGACCCTCGCGTTGGCTTCGGCGGCCCAAAGCCAACCGTGTTAGCGTGCGAATCTTGGCGTGTCTCAGCTTGAGGCCTTCAGCAGACAGACCCTGCATTCGCGTTGGTCAACTCAAGGAGATCTCGGCGCTGTCAAGCCTTAGCTGTGCAACAACTTTTGATCGGGGTCAACAGTGCAGCGAAATTGTCCCGCGTCGGTTCCTGAGGCGCGCGACGCGCGCCACCGGGCCGAAACCAGTCCGCGGGTCCGAGCAGTCCGCTTAGCAACTTCGCTCTGCTTCGCTTGGGCGACATTCCTTCCGTGCAGCTTTTGCGCTTCGATCAATTTGTGCGACTGAATGCTCCCATAGAATATGTGAACTCGAACTGTTATCGACTGGGCTTCGATCGCAAGATTTGATGCACCTTCGATCGACCTCTTTCTGCCTTTGTCGAGAGGAGGCTGAAATCCGGCTCTGAGCTCGTGCTGCGCCAGCTTGGCTGTAGTGGGGATGTGTCCTGTCTGATGTTGGCGGCAACGAGCTGGCTGATGGACCTCCGATGACCCACACACGCCGACACCTTTTCGGGCCCTATTCGCACGTGATTCCCAAATCGTCTGGGTCCGCGCTGTGTGCCGAGTCGTGACTCAAGACTGAAGTCGGAAAGCAGCCGTCATGAAACCGGAGTGGCAAAGCAACGCGCAACGCGCGCGCGAGGTGTAGACGATCAAGTTCCCTTGAGGCGCTGCGCATTCTCTCAGCACAACCTTGTCCACTCAGACTCCTGACTGCATCACACTCTGCACGCCTGCGAGATCCCGGGTTCAGTACGGCTGCATACATGCCATGCTGCTTAATCGCTGTGTGCGCGCTTCGAGGTTCGAATTGGAGGAGCATATGAATGCATGAGGAATCATTTGCACGCTAAGCAGAGCTCCTCGCAGCCAAGCGAGATTTTCAAAACGTGGCTTGACTGCGCATGGGAGCGACTTCGAACTCTGATGCTGCATGCATGCACGGTTCACGGCACGAAAGCCGATTGCCGCCTGCGCGTAGAGTCAGGAAGAGTCGTGAGTACGTTTTCAGCGCAGCAGTTGCATCCCCCCCAAGCGCAGGCCGAATGTGAATGATTTGTGGAGCAGCTAGCTCATCATCGTGGCCGCTCAGAGTTTTGAGTGCACATTACACTGCATCGAGACGTTGCTGCTGAGCGACGTCGATCGATCTGAAGAGAAGCAGCGAAATGATCACCTTCCCATTCTGGTGCCCCACGGAGCAGACATTGCAGAGGCCTAGACCGCCAGCAGAGAACTTCACACGAGAGTGTGGGGTTGATGGGAGCACGAGCCTCTTCTGTTTGACCAGCAATCCTCGTCGACGCTGCATCTATCCATTGCCAGGCGATCGGCGCGCACAGGCCTTCAGCATTCACGATTGTCGAGCGCGCCGTAATACAATTCTGCTGCTTACTATACGCACTAGTAGCAGTCTTGAGTCCGAGTACGCAGGAGTCACAATAAGCATCGCATGCCCATCCAGCATATGCACATGCCAATTTTGAATGAAAGCCTTCACCGGCGGGCGCGCGTAGTAATAGCTAATTAGTCTAGTGCTGATGGTAGTCGTAGCACGCGCGTACGCGGTGAGGCCAGCTGATTGACCCGCGGAGGCATTCACGGTCCTCGTGAAACGCACTTTGTTGCCTGTTTCACACATATTGATCACGGTGAAAAGCTGGATGCGCCAGTGAAGCCCCTTGCACGCCTTTGAAAGCTCGTCATTCACGCTTTTCACTCTTTGACTCTCTCCTTTCAACACGCTCGATCATCAAGAGGGCCGAGGTCTGGCCCGAAGGGCGAGGTCTGTCAAAACGAAATCGAAAAATTCCAAACTTTGGTCTTTTGATGCGGCGGTGCTGATGCTTGCATAGCCCAACCAATCAATATACCGCGTAGCGCGCGTGCTTTGCTCCTGCAGCGCCGAAACTTTTGCGCGCGGTCTTCTGAACCGTGCGTGCTGCGCGTTGCTGCTGGCTGCTGGCTGCTGGCTGCTGGCTGCTGAGGAGTGAGGTTGCATGCCTCAGTTTCAGCAGTCGAGCTGATGGGACACCAAGGGCGCCAACGCGCCAACCCGGCCATATCGAGATCGGGCACTATGGCAGTATGCAGCTCAGATCACCCCTTCCTTTCACACGGTGGTGCAAGCTAAGCTGCCTTGACGTGCCTGCACCGCACCACCGCGCGCGCATGCATGCGTGCATGCATGCGCGTATTCATGGAGCGCGTATCTCTGGGCGCGAACCCGGCTCTTTGAAACTCAGATAGCGCTCCCTCGTCTCTGTTGTTGTGTGAGGCGTGCTTGGCCTGAGCTCCTTGCTTCCTCTAGCTGCTCCACCGAAGCGAGAGCGACTGGCTGGCCTTTCATCTCACGCACAGAATTCGGCAGCTCGTATATATATATATATAGCTGGCAAGCCGTGTGGCAGTTATCTGACACTTCGCTCCTCAAACCACATCGATTGGCAAATCCATCATACCAGCGTCGACGTCGCACGTAACCATAAGCCCAACACCCGGTCAAATTACTAGGTGAGTGTTTACAGCTATTTGCATTGTCTGTATTTCCCGTCAGCGCCCCGGTTGGATGTCAGGCGCGGTGGCTTTTCTGCGGTGGCGATTAGCCTTGGCGCGGTTGCTTCGTCATCAGGTCCAGCGGGAATGGTCCTGATGGGTGTCAAGATGCCTCTGGTTGTTGGAAGGCGGTGATGTAGCATTCTGTGGGCGAGCTTTCGGGAGTTCACCCTTTCTACGCAGCCCGGCTTCGGTGGAGTGTCTCAAGCATCACGCTCGCCATGCGCGCCCCGCAGAGTCGACACTGCAGCGCATCAAGAGTGCCATTAGCAGTATCGCAATTCTTAGACACGCGCTCACGTCACGCTCTGCTCTTTCTGACTCCTCACGCCTTATATTTCAGCCAGACACGATGGCCGCCACCGCAACTCCAGTCGCAAACGGAACGCCCAGCTACGGCGAGGCTGTCAAGCGTGTCACTTCCATCCCTCTCGTCTCCGAGTCTCTGACGTTCGCTCAGTCCACCATCGACGCACACCCTCTTCTCCTGGCCCGTCCCTACCATCTTGGACAGTCCGTGGTCACCAAGGGTCTGGACGTTGCTCAGCCCGTCACCGCTCGCATTTCCCCTCAGCTTCAGATTGCTGACCAGTGGGCCGTCAAATCTTTGAATTTTGCTGAATCCAAGGGTGAGTTTAGAGGAGTCGATGAGAGTTGGATGTTCGCGCGCGCGCGCGCGCACCAGCCATCGTGTGAAGCCTTGCCTGCTATCATTCGTGACATTTGCTAATCGCGCATACATTCGTACTCGCACAGTGCCATACCCATTCCACGCCACCTACACTGATCTCTACTCGGCCGCGCGCTACCCTGCCGACCAGACTCTCCAGCTGATCCACGCTTATGCCGCTGCTATCAACAAGGCCTACGATGAGCGCGTCTTGTCGCCCGCTAAGAGCGTCTACAGCAGTCGCGTGGCTCCTTACATTCAAGCTGCCGAGAAGAACTTCCAGGACCTCCAGGCTCAGAACGCGTACGTCGCTCGTGCAGTCGAGCTCACCCAGGGTCTAGTCAACAACCTTCAGCAGCAGGTGAACACCATTCAGAGCGGAAGCCGCGCCCAGGCAGACGCTGCCAGCAAGAAGGCCCAGGCTACTTCTCAGGCCATCTTCGCCGAGCTGGACCGCGTTCGCTCATTCGCCCAAGCTCTCCCTGCCGAGTCTCGCAAGCGCTTCGACCCAGCTCTCCAAACCTTCACCGACGCCTACGAGACTCTTCGTCGCGAGGCTCTCGACAGCAAGGTGCCCCCTCAGGAGCGTCTAAACCGTATTGTCGCCTACGTCCGTGAGCAGACCATCCCTGCTCTGCAAAAGAGCTTGTCCAACGGCAGTGCTCCTCAGGCAAACGGTGTCGCCAAGTAAAGCAACAAACGAAGTCAATACTGGTGCAGCTCTGACTGTTTGTGACCCTTCACACATGTGAAGCAGTTTCTTCATAGATTTGCGACGCGCACCCTCTTGCTGGATTATGAGCCTGTCGAAGGCTCAGTCGCGCGGAGTGTCGCACCTCGCTTTGTAACATTTTCCGAGCTCGGCTCCTTCTTTTAAGTCAAATCCCACTTCCCCCCTCAAATCGTCATTGTCCCCGTTTCAATGTTCAGGTTCCCACATTTCGAAGTTTTCACGACACCGCAAACAAATTAAATGTAGTAGCCAAAAAATGTCCGTCAGCTGGCGGGGTATGTGTAGCTCACGCCAAACTCTTCCCGATCAGATGGCTTTCCTAAAGCCGGCGTCGCGTTCGAGCGATGTTTGCCGAAAGGACTAACGGTTGGTCCACATACTGTGTAGACTTAACTCCTCGGATGGTGTGGTAACGGTGAATGCCGCACCAGCAGTCATGAGTCTGAGTCATGAGTGAGAAGAGCTCATTGCTGGAGCGTGGCTGAACAGAAGCACGTGACTTGAGTCTGCTCCGATTCCCGAGGCCGGCGCCCAACACCTCATATCTGCATACATGCTGTGTATCATGTGCACATCATCACATGTGCTGCAGTCAGTCAGTCACGGGTGCAGCGCGCGACTTGCGCTGATGCGCAGACCACTCACTCATCAGACTGCGCCTCGCTCTCTCGTACAGCCTTACCGCTTGCATCATATGCTGCTGCCTGCTGTCCTGCTCGATCACTTGCACCCACATTCGGCCTCGTGCTCTCTTCAGCTTCAAGCCGTTTGCGCTTTACCCTCGTTCCGCAGAGCAGATTTCAGCAATCACTCACCTTACACCATCTTTAGGTGGAGTCAGTATGAACGCATTGCAAGTAAGTCGAGCTCGTGCGGCTTGCGATGCCTCTAATGCCCTGGCGCCTCTCTCTCTCTCTACCTGTGCTGTGTGGCTGGGCCTTCCGGACCCGCTGCGCAGTTGCTGACCCTGTCCTTCGCCCTGACTGCTTCTCCAGACACACTTTTGGGCGGTGAGGGACTACCTTTCTCCCGTCTTGAGAGAATCAAAGTTCAAAGAGCATGGAAGAATCACTCCGGGTGAGATGCTGGGCTGAGAGTTCCAATGCTGGTCGGGCGATCCCTTCAGGACTGCTTGGGCAGTAGAAGCTTGGTCAGAGACTGAGCTTACCCTCCGCATACATGCCAATCTCGCCAGACGAATTCGTTGCTGCAGGCGACTTTCTCGCTTACAAATTCCCGACATGGTCATGGTCACCAGCATCGTCATCTGCTCTCATCGGTGCTGGCTCGGGCACTTCTGGCTCTAGTAGTGCAGACGATGCTTCAAAGTACACGAGAGACTTTTTGCCCAAGGATAAGCAGTACCTCATAAGCAGAGGCGTACCTTGCTTGAGGAGAGTCAGCGCCATGGAGAAGGCTGCAGCAGGCAGCGGAAAGGGAGCATCAGCACCTGGCTCGAAGGAAGATGAGGAAGTCGTGGATGCAACAAGTGATGACAAGGAAGGATGGCTAGCCACTCACCTCGATGGTGAGTAGTGGAGCGTGCTGAACAAGTATCGAAGCAGCTCGTAGCCCGCTCGCGCAGCCATTGTTGGAAGCGCGCTTTCGGCTTACCTTTGGGCTCCTTTATCATCCCTCTTCTTGCTGCCAGGGGATGGAATTTCCTCGTCAACAAATCCCGGAGACATAGCCGACATCCCAGATGTAGACGGTGAAGTGGGAGGACTGACCGCTGGCGAAGAGGACGATCTTGCCAAAAGGGTTGCGGGCACCTCACTAGGCGCCGACGAAGCAAAGAGAGCTGGACTAGATGCCGCCGACGACATCGCAGAGATTCCAGACATGGACGATGAAGATGAGCTTGGAGAGCTCGCTGGTGGGGTGGTGGAAGATGACCCAGCCACAGCCGCCTCGTACGCCACTGCTAGCAAAGGTGCCACTGCTGGTACCTCGAATTTGATCAGCGTCCGTAAGTACGATTGCCTTATCACCTACGACAAATACTACCAGACTCCCCGCATGTGGTTGGTGGGCTACGACGAGTCGGGAAGGTTGTTGAAGCCGCAAGAAGTTTTCGAAGACGTCTCTTCCGATTATGCCCAAAAGACGGTCACTGTGGAACCTTTTCCGCACGCTCCGATGAGCGCAGCGAGCGTCCATCCGTGCAAGCACGCCAGCGTCATGAAGAAGGTCATCGAGAGGATGGATGGAGCTGTTGGAGCTGCTAGGAAACAACAGCTGGCAGAGAGGGAAAAGGAGGGCAAGGCTGCGAAGAAGTCGAACAAGCCTGGTTGGCTTGGAGGTAGCAGCAAGAAGAGCAGCAGTCAGAACGAGAAGGAGCCATCCCAACCAGACGAAGAAGAGGAGATTCCCGAGGGTCTACGTGTAGATCAGTACATGCTCATTTTCCTGAAGGTGAGCGAGTCTTTTGTTTCCCACACGCTTCAGAGTGTGGTCGCTGAGTCATTACACAACGTCCCCATCACTTCAGTTCATGGCTTCCATCGTCCCTGCAATCGAGATCGATGCGACGCAGGCAATGTAGAAAACGACAAACGGGCATTTGACCTCCCTCCGTCAGCATTGCATACATTTCACACTTGTTCCAGACAGCGTGGGGTTGGCATCTCGTCTCGCAAGTGCTAGTCGTAGCGAGTCAGCGTTGAGACCGTCGCTCCTGCAGCTCGACATTTCGTAGGTCGGTCGGCTACATGCTTGGTTCATGCTGCCTCTAAACGCCTGGGATATCCCTTCAGGGGCATCTCGCTCAGGCGCTTCCCCAGACCTCCTCTGCCACCTCCTTGCAGAGCCTCAACTTGGCGTACTGCTCGTCGCTTGTGATGGAGTTGCCATGCACCGTAGAGCTGTGCATGAAGGTATTTGCCATCAGCACGTTGCGAGGTCGATTGTGGAAGAGGTAGCATCAGCTTACCTGAAACCACACTGGGGGCTGATTGCAAGCTGTTCCAACCCAGCTGGAGCGAACTTGGCAGCATCATGCAGCTTCCTCTTGAGCTCTTCCTTGTCTTCCAATTTGCCCACCTTGCTGCTGACCAAGCCCAACACCACGGTCCTGCTAGCATCGAGGTACGGCACGGCATTCTCCCCTGCTGGTCGAGCGCCAAGCACGGAGAAGTCCACGCCAGACCTTTGATCCTCCCACTCGAGGAAATAAGCATCCACTTGAAGCTTGCCGAAGAGCGCTTCGGCGATCGGCGCATAGCCTTCTGAGGAGCCTGCTGCGAAGAACTAGTCAGAGAAGGCAGCCACACGGCGGCCAGGGAACCGAATGTCAGCGAATCGAAGAGGCCGATCGATGCACACAGCAGAGCAGCCAGCCACTCACTTGGCTTTTGAAGTTGCCTTTGCAGAGATGGATACCCACTAGCATGTCCTTCGGTCGCGATTGGATGGCCTTGTTGATGAGCTCTGCGTAGCGGAGTGGCAAGGAGGCAAGATCTTCGCCTCTAGCCGCTGCGTCTGCCCTCATTTTTGGGTCTGTGAGGTAGGCCAAGCTGTGTGGGAGCGGGGGCACAGGTAGGATTGCCACTGAGGATGAGCTGCGAGGTTCGAGAACTGTATGCGTATCACGAACTCACTTGGTGTCGTCACTACATTTCCAAGCGACAAAAAGAGCGCGAAAGCTCGATCAACGATAGTCACCTCTTGACCTTTCAAGCTTGCGCTACTTACAGTTGCAGGTAGCGGCACCCAGCCTTGTACAGCGCGTCTATTTCAGCTCTGTATGCCGCTGCCAGATCCTGAAAGAAGTCGTCGAGGTCTGGGTAGACCTGCTCATCGATGGCCTTCCTCCCTCCGCGGAAGTGCAGCATCGTCGGACTTGGTATGGTGACCTTGATGCCGTCCCATTGCGCCCTGGGCACGATGCTCTTGAGAAATTCAAAGTTCTCGACTTCAATGTCGCGCTCGTGCTTGATCTTGCCCACTACGGCCAACGTTGGAGGAATGTGACCCTCTTGTTGCTCGAGGCTATTCTTCTGCACCGAGACACCGGATAGGTGCTTGAGGAAATCAATGTGAAAGTATTGTCTGCGGAACTCTCCATCCGTCAAGTCCTTGATACCGAGCGAGAGACACGTAGAGATGTGCTCCCGGATCGCCGCATCTTCCGCAGCGCGAAGACCAGCTGCGTCCAGCTTTTGGGCGGCGAATGCTGCTCGAGCATCGTGCACCGCTCTGGGGCGCAGGAAGGAGCCAACTGAGAGGATGAGAGGGAATGAACGAGAATGTGAATAGCGATATTGCACAGCGCACAGGTCATCCATGGCACTCGCCATGTTCGGCACGAAATGTTCGTCGGCCGGAAGTGGACATCGTGATGCGCGGAGCTGATGCCCTGATCGGAGGATGAGCTTCGCGTCCCTTGCTTGATGGAGAGGTGTGGCCAAGTGATCGCTTGTGCTGAGCAGCAATGCGATGTTCGAGTAGTTGCGATTTCGCTGGATGGCTGTCCCAATGGTAAAGGGATGACGGAGTGGAGACCGTTCAGCATTCCTTTAAGTAGTCACATCACCCGGTCCTGCGGCGTCGTATCCCTGGGGCACAGCATCGCGACTACCAGCACCGGAATGAAAAGGCCCGAATCCAAGAGGGCCTCCGCGCTGGCACATATTCTTCTCAGCTGGTCAGGCATTTGCTGAATAAAGTCGGCACTAGAGGAGGCGCGATGAGTGTGTCGCACGACCCGGAAATGAAGGCAGAGTCACAGTGGGTCAATGAGCGTGAACTCGCAACTGTACCGTGTGACTTGACTGTCACTTTAGGTACTCACACTGTGACTGTCACAGTGACTCGCAACTCTGGCTGATCGAGTCAAGCACGCGCGTCACTTCACGTCACCAGGCGCACTTGTGGAGATCACGCCCCCTCTCGTACGAATAGGGTGGGCCACGTCTTTCTGCCGGCCGATAAGGTGCTCACGTGATACAATGTCGTGCGCCAAAGAGTTCCAATCAGGAATTAAAGTCGAGAGTTTGAGTTGATGAGTCAAATAGTTTTGGGGTTTTAGTGTCAAGTCTTGGGTACCACCCTCATCCCGGCTTGCTTTGCCGGACGAGGTCGCGTCTAGCTGACATGTGCGACACGCTGCTCTCAAAGCATGCTCACGACGACGGAAATGCTGAGATTGGGAAGCGCGAGGAATGAGAGCGAGTGACAGCTGCGCATTCGCAGTCGACATTGCCTGGAATACGGTGACATATCGGACCAGCATTTCCATTACTCGGCGACAATCAGCGTGCTCTTGCCATATCCCGTTCCGCAGCACAGAGTAGCTACTCCGACGGATTGACCTGTCCTCCTCAGCTCTGTCAGCAAGCTGGTAATCAGTCTTCCTCCTGAGGCACCAAGCGGGTGTCCTAGCGCTATGGCGCCTCCTTTGACCTGCGACAGGAAGTAGAAGCGCGTCATTCGATGGCTGTACGTAGCTGCAGAGGGAGCGATCTGAACTCACATTGACCTTGGACTGATCTAAGCCGAGCGTATCAATGGTCATCAAAGCTTGCGATGCAAAGGCTGCCAGCAAAGCGATAGAGGAGAAGGCGGTTCAGTTCAGCGCCATTGTGAGATCCAAGCCCCCAAACGTTGCTCACCTTCATTCAGCTCCCAGAGATCCACATCTTTGGCGCTCAGGCCGAGTCTCTCGAGCAATTTAGGAGTCGAGATAGCTGGTCCGATACCTACAGAGAGCAGATCGGGAGCTCAGCTAAATCTAGAAAAAAGCTCGCGCAGTCCAGAACACTCACCCATCTCGTCCGGCCTAACGCCCTTGGTGGCTGTGCCAATCCAGCGACCCAAGATCTGCATGCCTGCTTGCTCTGCAACGTCTCGCCTCGCCAAAGTGAGGGCCACTGCTCCATCAGACACTTGACTCGAATTTCCAGCTGTAGATCCACCATTCTCCTTGAAAACTGGCTTCAGCTTGGCCAAGCTCTCATAGGTCGTGCCCTTTCTCACACCCTCGTCCCGACTGACGAGCTTGGTGGTCTCTGTTCCATCCTCATCGACCCACCTCACATCGATGGGAACAATCTCTTCTGCCAACCTGCCATCCTCTTGGGCTTTGGCCGCCCTGAGCTGCGATTGCAAAGCGAATTCGTCCTGCCTCTTGCGGTCGATGTTGTACCTGCTGGCTACATTTTCGGATGTGAGACCCATGCTCATCATGCAGTCCCGCGCGTGCTGGGATGGCGACTTGGCCATTGCTGGAGACAGCTTGACGGGTATAGCCTTGGTCTCCCAGTCGCGCGTCATCGACTCCATGCCCGTCGCCACGCCGCACTTGATCTCTCCTGTTCGGATGGAGTTGGCAATGTTGGTGATGGATTGTAGTGACGAAGCGCACTGCCTGTTGGTGGTGCTAAGAGCGCCAGTGCGTGGCAAGCATAAATTATTAGCCCCTTGGACAGGTTTTAGCGGAGTGTTAAGCGCATACATACTCACTAGTAAGCAGTCTCGATGGGCATGCCAGCGTGCAACGCAGCCAGCCGTCCGCTCTTGGCTCCGCCCAGCTCGGCAAGCACAGTGCCCGTGCAGATGTCCTCGATGACCTGCAGAGAAGGGCAAGCGGAGGTTGAGCAGCAGCCGGCCAGCCAGACGAGCTTGAAGATTGAGATGCTGCCTCACCTTGATGTCAACACCTTGAGCCTCGAGCCTCTCCCGCGTCTTTTGCAGCACGAACGCGAGCAACTCCTCGGGATACTACAAGGAGGAGGCGAGCATCAGCACCCGCGCTGCTCGGAACAGCGTACAAGTCGCGATGCACTCGATTTAGACTCACGGCATGTTTGAAACCCTTGCCCATTCTGGCTACCGGTGTGCGCAGAGCGGTGGTGAAGACCACATCGTCCGGTCTCTTCTTGAGGATGGAAGAAAGGCCGGTGCTGCGCACAAGCGAGGTAGGTCTGAAGGCCATCGCGGTCGATGGTACAAGTAGGCGTGTAGCAGAAGATGTAGCTGAGAGAAGAGATGCGTATGGGCTTCAGCGCGCGTTCTTATGTGGATGAAAGGGAGGTGCAGAATGGAGGACTCATGCGTCGCGAGTTCAATCCTCACTTCTACCTATGTACTCTTCTGACTGTGCTTGGCAGATAGATTACCCGCACACACGTCGATTGGATCTTGCTGCACGCGCGTGGCCTGCTGCTTCCTGCCCGTGTGCGCCGCGAATTCCGTCCGTCCATGCAGCAGTCACATCACTCATCACTTGTGGGGAAATACAGTGTGAGTGCAGCAGCACTCCGATCGGAGGTCCGATTAAGCTCTCACGTGATGGAACCCTTCACCGCCAACATATATGTAGCGGCCTGGCTCGCGACTCTGACTCTTCTGACTGCATGAGAGAGCAGCCGCGATCATCAGAGGAATCACGAATCGTGAATCAAGGCCGAAAGCGCTCGCTCGCACCGTGACTGCGTGATTGTGAATTCTATCCCCACGCGCAATCAACTGATCAGATAGCACGCTTGCCTCCTCGCTACAGTGGCTGTCGCCTTGAAGCGACGCATAGAACCCATCTACTCGTCAAGCTTTCGGCACTCTTAGCATGACTCTTCCCCACCAGACACCCACGGTCTCTACTTTCAATTCCGACCGTCCCAAGCTAGCAGACATCCAAGCCGCCCACGCTCGCATATCTGAGCGCATCCATCGCACGCCTCTCCTCACAAGTCGAGCTATCGACGCCCTCGCTACAGATGCAATCTTTGGTCCTTCGGCTGCAGCTGGCGAACAGTCCCCTCGCGTGAGGATCGCCTTCAAAGCGGAGCATCTGCAGAGGGTGGGGGCGTTCAAATTCAGAGGAGCTACGAACGCTGTATTGAGGCACCTCGAGGCCAGCGCAGCAACAGGTGGAAATGCGAATTCTGCTCAAGGCGAAAGATTCAAGCTCGCGCTCGTGACGCACTCGAGCGGCAACCATGCAGCCGCGTTGGCCTGCGCCGCTACACAGAATGGCGCGGCAGCTCACGTCGTCATGCCCAAGAGTAAGTCATGTAGGGCCAAAGTGATGACGTCTGATGACGCACACGTCTACCCTGCCAGCTCTTACCTGTTTGTCATCGCGTTGCAGATGCTCCGCTCGTCAAACAGTCGGCAGTGCGAGGCTACGGCGCAGTGGTGCATCTATGCGAGCCAACGCTTGCGGCGAGGGAGAGCACAGCAGAGCAGGTGCTCGAAGACCTGCGAGTGCAAGGCTACCAAGCAACCTTTGTCCATCCGTACGACGAGCCGTGGGTCATTGAGGGTCAAGTGAGTACGCAGCTGTAAGAGACTATGGTGCAGATTGTACATCTTGTAAGATGGTCCAGGCGTGCTCGCGACGCTGACACTGCCCCACGTCCGGTGGACAGGGCACCCTAGCTTTGGAGATGTACGAGCAGGTGCAGATGCTTGAACATCGTCCGGGCTGTAGCCATGCTCCTTTGACAGGCACACAGCGAGAAAATGTCTGGCTGCGACGTTCAGATTCTCTTCCGCGGTGGGATTTCGTGATTGGACCTGTGGGGGGAGGCGGGATGATGAGCGGATCGAGCACAGCTCTCAAGGGGTTGGATGCGAGGATCGATGTGAGGGCTGCCGAGCCTCTTGGTGAGTCACGCTTGCCAGGTGTGCTAGCACCAGCTTAGATCCATCTGATGCACTTTGTCATGTCTTCTCGCCGTCGTTTCGCACTCAGGCGCCGATGATGCATCTCGGTCCTTTGAATCTGGCAACGTCGAGCCCGCCATCGTGCCAGCCCAGACTATCTGCGACGGCCTGCTCACAGCACTCTCATCCCGTACCCTGTCAATCTTGCAAAGCAGTGTCACCTGCGTGCATCTGGTCGACGACGCCTCCACACTCCGCGCCAATCGACTGCTGCTCGAGAGGCTCAAGCAGGTCGTAGAACCTAGCGCGGCTACGTCTTTAGCGGTCGTCCTCTTCAACAAGGACTTCCAAGAGGCAGTGCGGCAAAAGACCGAAGCCATCGGGCGTCTATCGTCGCATGAGAGCTCGCAGTCGGCGGCGACAAGTCATCAAGGCATAGAAATTAGGATAGGCTGCATCTTGACGGGCGGCAACGTGGAGCTGGGCAAGCTCATCCAAGCCATAGACGGGGCGGAGGGCTGAGTCGCTTACTGACGATGCAAGTGCGCTACAGTCTTTCAGCAGGCACATAGCAGAGGGCAATGTATCTGGCCTCCTCCTTAGAGAGGGAAGGACAAAGATTACAGGAATGTATGCATGCAGCCAAGGCGAGGTAGAGGTAGAGGTGCAAATGAGGCATACAAGGGCGCGGCTCGTTAGTGGAGCAGAGCCATTACTGCTGAACAACAATCAAGGCAAGGAGATAGGCCTCGAGGTGGATGCGTCACCGCCTACAAATTGTCCAGTCCGAACTCTTCTCTTTCCCAGGCGTCGATATCCCGCGGGTCGATGGGCGGAAAGGCATCTTCTTGATGGAGGGGCGGGGCCTCGTGAAGGATGCCGTCTAGGGCGCCAGGTGCAAAAGGAAACAGTTTCTGGTAGCAGTCCTTTCCAGGGGTGTTGAAATGTCGATAAGGCTCGAGCGGGTTCAGCCTCTCGGAGCATCTGAAGCAGAAGTGCGTCCTGCAATTGCCGCAAGTCATGTGGTTGCAACCGAACGACAGCTCGATGCGAACGTGACAAGTTGGGCACTTTTTGGCGTTGGAGTCCAACCAGGCTTCGTTAGCGCGTCGCTCTGTCTCTTCTTTGACCAGCCGTTGCAGGTTGGAACGACCGTACCGAAGCTCCATCTTGGTTGCGCCTTCGGAGCCAGCTTCGTACGACATGTACTCCTCAATCAGAGCGACGCTGGTGCTCAGTTGACAAGGAGCTCTTCCATGCCTACGTGGGGAAGTGCGTCGGACTCAGTGCGCCGTCCAAGTATCTACCAACTTCACCGCACGGAATCCTCGGTCACAACATGGAGCTCGACTCACCAGGTCCTGTTGCACCAAGCACACCAGCAGAATCCGCACGCATGACACTCTCTCATTGTCTCATAAGCAGTCCCCTCGTCCGCTTTGTTCTTGACGACGATGGCCTGGCAACCTTGTCTGGGGCAGTGGGCTGCAGTCGGATCCGCTTCAGCTGTAGCCTTCTGCCTCAACCAGCTCAGCCTTCCTAGCTGCTTCTCGCCGACCAACAGTAGCAGCTCTGCATCCGTAATGCTACCTACCGATGACTGCTCCTGCTTCTGCGCGCCTTCTGCCTGAGTTCTCTTCTCTAATTGCACTCTAGCCTGGGTGCACTCCGGGTCTGGACAGCTGCCGGCTTGCCTGTGATAGCCTTCCTCGATCATGCTTCCGAGATAGTCCCGCAAACACTCCTTGCAGAAGACGTGCTCGCAATGCCTTAGTCTGAAGCATTTAACTCCTGGTCTCTCCTCCAAACATATGCCACAAGCGTAGCGTTCGCCTTCAAAGGCGGTCTCGGCCGCTCTTGTGTTATGGGAGACTAGGACGGATGCGAGCCGAAGATGCTGGTCGGGCTCCAGGTGCTCCGTAAACAATAGGTCGGCTTGATCGTCCTTGAACGGGCCGAGGTCTTCCGAGCTCCATAGACCTTCTCTAAGCCACTCCGACCACGCATACAAGACCTCCGCGCGGCTCTCCTCCCACATGGCTGCCAGCTCACTACTTAGCCATCTGCAAATCGGATCGCTCTCTATGCTCGAGCCACTTGATGGCTGCGCGAGCCAAACGGCTGTGATTTGTTCCACCACAGGTGCTTGATGGAAGGGATAGCTAGCTGGTAGCCGTACATGAAGCTGCACTGGTGGCAGGTGGGTTGCTTGAATGCACTCTTCGGACAGCAGCCTGGACCCTGATGTGTTGCTGGCAGCTGTGGAATCTGGAGGCGCTGAGGTTAGCACTGGAGCTGCTGCTCCGAGGTCTGCTGATGGTGCTGTGTCGGTGATAATCGACGGGCGAGCTTTAGCTGAAGCCTTGTGAAGCGAAGCACCCGCTGCGCCAGTCTTGAAAGGTGGAGATGTCGGATCGAGCTTTCGCGCGCGAGCTTCAAGGGTCCTACCCGAAGCCTTCTCGGAGCCATTCAGCTGCATGCTCTGCAGCGACAGTGCTACACCACTGTCGCCGCTCGTGGCAGCTTCTACGTCTTCCACCCCTTCGCGATGTGAGTCGCCCCAACTGATGAGATCTGCTACCCTCGTCTCATCGCGCGTCCCTTTCCTCCTTCGACCCCCCCTCGTCCACCGGCGACGCGAAGGCAGGGCCGCACCTGGCCCACAACCATGCGCACCTCTAGAGAGCTCCTTTGCAGAGCCTGTAGCTGAGCAGTCGACAACGTCAGTCTGCTGCTGCTTTGCGGAGCGCGAGTCCAGCTGCAGACTCAGTGTTGTGGGCCGCGAGGTGTTGGAGGAAGCGATGCCACCAGACTGCGAGCTTGCCTCATCTCTTGGAATATGCTGCGTTGACTCGCCACCAGAGAGCACACTTCTGACTCTGATTCTAGTGCTTGGCGGCAGCGATGGGTGCAAGCGCAATGTGATGCGGCTCGAGCTTGCGACGGGCACGATGAGTGCACCAGCAGGCAGGATGGCTTGCAGCGCAAGAACTTCGTCGGCCTGAGCTTCCTGGCAAGCTCCAAGCTCTGTCGGACTCAATGCGTCTTCCATGCAGCTCTGAGACATTTGATTGTTCCTCTTTAAGTCATGCAGAGCTATCGAGTCCTTGTTGAATGACAGAAAGGGCACTCAGACTTGAAGAAACGTTGATGGCGAATCGGTCACGCGCAATGCTGAGCGACACCGCGGCGAGTGAGATTGTAGTGAAGCAGTGAATGGTGTTGCACACAAGGGGGAGTATGGTGCAGCAGGGTGTGAAAGCGATGTTTTCCAGAGCGAGGAGAACGAGAGAAGGAGTCACATCACAAAGCGAGGCTGGTGATGGCGTGAGACATCATCATATGCGTGCCGGGTGAGAGCGCGAGCACGGACTTTCGGGGACGCAGAAAGCTATAACTCGCCGCATGAGCAGCGGTCGGCAAGCATGAGCGGAGTTCCGCGGAGCTAAGTATCGCATGCTGCGCGTCTTGATTGGTCACGATGCCAAGGACGTCCACATTCCACCTTGAGCGCGCGTCGAAGTCTGGAGAGGTGCTGGCAGCAGTGAAGCAGCTCGTGACTAGCCTCGTAGCTACCAGTAGGTCGACAAGGCATGCGATGCTTGAAGCTTTGAGCCGTGTGAGCGACCCTGCTCGCTTGAGGACGCGGACTGGAGACCCAGTCAACGAAGACGGATATCATCGGCGAGCCTGAGCATCACCTCGACATCTTATCTCACCCACCCCTGCTCCCTCGCCGCCTTTGTCAAGCACTCAGGCCGATCATACTCCCTTTCCACATCGTGCTGTCCATGATACATATGTCATTGCAGCCTTTCGTACTGGCCACGTCCAGAGGACATCTCCACAGGCGCAGACGATTGCAAAGACCCTCCCGAAATGCGGTACCGGCTCCACACGTGGATGAGAAGCATCGAGACAAAGATGCCTAGTACGGCAATAGTGTAGAGCTGGTAGGCATGCCTGATGCCGTAAGCGAGAGTGTAGATGGCTAGAGCTTTCATGAGTGTCGCCGTGGCCGCCTTCTCCCACCTGCAAGCGTGAGGGCGTTGGCGATGACGACGGCAGGTTAGCGAGCACCAGTAGTGTACGCGCGAGAAAGGCGCAGCACTCACCAAGCCCAGCCTCTCTCGATCGATCTTCCGCTCGTGATGATTTGAGCGAGGATCAATACAGGCGCAACTCGTAGAACGTTGTGATCTGGCCCTCCGAGCGGAGCGACCCACCCAGCGCCAAGGTTGCGGGCCCATACGAGGAGGACAGGAGCTTTGAGGGGCAGGAGCCAAAGCAGTATATTGAGCAGCAAGAAGTGCTGTCTAGCTCGCTCTTGACTGTGACTGTGAATTGAGGATTCGGCGGTGCCATCACCCCGTGTTGATCCCTCGATGGCGCTGCCAGATGCCAATGCTGATGCGGATTGAGGTGCAGATTTGTCCCGCTGAAGCTGCACTTGCGTCGCGTGACTGCGGCAAGCAGCAAAGCCTACAAGAAGCGTACTTGCCAAGAACGCAAACTGGTAGGGAAGCAACAAGATCACGGAGACCCCTAGCACAGCCACGCCAATCCAACTCCTCTTCTTGATGGTCACCTTGCTCGATGGAGCAGGTCCCCAATCCAGCCTTCTGTGTACTCTGGAAGCACGTGCTAGACGAGCTGAAATTGCGATGCAGCACCACGAAAGCACAGCAACGACGAGACAAGCGCTGTGCGACAGCAAGAGCAGGGCAGGGCCAAGGACCAGGGAATACGCGATCGGAAAATGACCAAGACCAAGCGAAAGGTCGAGGATTGCAGCGTGCCCCGTGCGATGAGGGAAGATGCGAAAGAGAATTTGTTGCGCAGAGCTTAGGAAGGCCGTAGTGACCATGAGCGGAAATAGTCCACTATGGCGCACTGATGCGAGCCGGGACAGCAGCGAGGGAAGGTCGCCTTGGAAACGTCGAGCGAAGCAGAGCGTCAGTGACCGTGTGGCTCGTCGGCAACCCAGCTGAAGAAAGGTGACTTACTTTCTCGATCACTCCACATGCCAGCAGCTGTCCACAGCAAGATTGCAAGCGGCCACGTCACAGCAGCCAGTCGATATCGCATCAGAAGCAGACCAGCGCTCGCTTTCCAGTCCGTGTATGTTTTCACTTCTTCGAAAGGGCCCAACGCGCCGGCTGTTTGTTTGGAATCGCACCCATTCTGGTCGTAGAAGACTTCCAATTGAAGTCCACGCTGCGGGGAATTGATGAAAGGCGACGAACCGTGCAGCGCGAACTTCCTTTCCAGGGTGAGCTGACTCGAGCTCCACAGAGAGGCGAACCACGCAGCGTCGCCCGTGACCGGATTTAAGACGCGGGCAAACGGAGCGAACGACATGCTTCCTTGCGAACACCTGGAGGATAGTGTGAAGGTGAGTTTAAAAGCCAGCAGTGAGTTGTCGAAGAGGGCAGGGAACGCAGCCCTCAAGACTGGACTTTGAATACTGGCGCCTGACTGAGCGCCTGACTGAAGAGTGTTGGTCAACGATGCGAGCGGTAAGGTGCCATCTGAGTGAGCTTGACTCTTGAAGGCCCAGCCCGCTCGCCACCAGCCCTTTTCCTGCTCGCTCTGAGCTCGACGAATGCGTACAGCATCGATCTTCTCGGATTTGAGGAGTGATCCGCTAAGACTCAAATGCGTCGTTCCAACGCCAGGAATCTCATAGTGCGTCTCGGCCGCAGGAAAGGGGGGAGGGCACTGGTCGGACTCTTCATGACTCGCGATGGGCGAAGGAGGCAACAATCCGTATGCAGAAGAAGGCAGACGCTGGCAATTGAGACCGGCTCCTCCTGGCTGCGCGAGGTCTTTCTTGCAAAGCTCCACTTCGAGGTCCGCGTCTTGCTGCATTGGTCTGAAGCTCGATGGATCTGCTCCCACAGAGAGCGTCGTGAGGAGATCAAAGTCTGGATATTGTTCTGAATTGAGCGCGACAGGCACAGTGTACAAAAGTGTGTCTCTGTCTTCAGAACCCGTCATTGACGACCTGAGGATAGCAGGCGGGAGGTGCGCAAGAAGCTCCACGTCGGAGAAGGTGTCAGGAGCGAGACCAATTACGCGTCGCCAGAGCTCACGGCGTCGAGAAAGTCCTTGTTCCGAAGATCGACTAGACGACGCATCCGTATCGAGTAGTGCTCCGCGTGCCACCTTGCGTCTCAGTTGATCGCACCACATCATGGCCAGATGGTCCACGCTGGACCACAGTGCAGGCATATTTGAGGTGAAGGAGTCCAGTCTGGCCCGAGCTGGCCAGAAGTCGGACAGAGAGAGGGATGAGGGCTCGGCAGGCAGCTGCGTATCAAGCAAGCCACCAGAGATTGAAATGAGCAAAGGCGGCGTAGCATTCGCGTGCGCTGCGAGACTCTGATGCCGCAGAGGAGCGTAGAGCGATTCGATAGAGTCGTCCAAAGGCACGGGTGGATAGACATGGGGACTGCTCAGCGTGACGATGGTATCGACGATGGGCGCTCCAGCTGAGTCCGCAACGGGGTGGTTGGGCTGCAAGAGCGACAGACGGGCGACGACGCCGCCCATGCTGTGTCCCAGCAGCAGAATGGGCTGCTTGGGAAAGTAGCTGGAGAGGTAGGACAGCACCTCGTTCACGTAGACCGCTTGCTCCATCAGCGTGGGACCATGAAAAGCCGAAAAGTCTTCGTTGAAGTCGACTGAGCAGCGGTCGCATCCATTTCAGCAGCCTCGTCCACGCTGAGAGGCATGTTACATCGGCAGCACTCACTTGTCCACCAATCCACCTCCTTTCCCTTGCTCACATCGCCGCGCCATTCTCCATCCCTCCATTCCTGATAACCCCAGCTACCCACGCTGCGCACTTGCCCGTGACTTCCAGAGTTGCCTGGAATGAAGAGAGCAGGTCTCCCTTTAGGCTCGCTGGCTTGCTCGGTCCAAGGCAGTCCATCTGGACCTCGTTCCCTGTACAAGTACAAGCTGTACTTTGCACTCAGCCCTGAAGGGGAAGGCACCTTGTACTGAATGTAGGAGGGCCACATGCGAGACATGCGGCATCGCTGAGAAATGCACAGCGCCGAGGGTAGGGTGAGGAATGATCGGACAAAGGCGACGTCGACGAGCGCTGCGATGAACAGCACAAGCACCAGCCATATCCGGTGATCCAGACTTGAGCGTCTGCCAGCAGCCGGGGCAGCCATGATTGAGACTGGCAAGAGCGAGCTGGGCATGAATCGGTGATCCCGATGACCTGCGCTTCCTCTGGGCTCGACCGCGAGCTGGGCCCTTCTGGCGCGCAGCAACGCGGGAATGCTCGCCGAGGACCTTGATCCGACAGCAGCAGGCTACCTCGCCATGAGTGGTACTATCAGAAATGTTTGAAAGGTGGCTGGGGACGAGTCTTGCGAGTGTCTACCCATCGCGTTGATTGGCATGGCAGTCAAGAAGAAGCACCATATATGCAGGCCGAGCGGGGACGAGAGAGAGGCTGTGCAAGCCTCACCAGCACGGTGCGTGAGAGCAGGAAGCCTTATTCGTGATGGCGTTTCGGCTGCTGCTGCTGCTGCTGCATGGGTGAACGCGCCTGTGGCGTCTCTGCGTGAAGTCGTCGCGTCACATGGCTCCGCACGACCACAGCCAGCAGTAGCAGCAGCAGAGGAGGCAGGCAGGCAGGCAGCTTTGGCCAACAAGAGCTATGCACCCACTCACTCAGAAACTCGCCCGACGCATGCACACATACACACATCACACGCACGTCCACCACACACACTCACCCTGCTCTCTCTGCTGCTTCCAGGTTCGCTGCCCGCTCTGCTGCAATTCATGATTTGACCGAAGTGGTCGCTCGATCAAGTTTGACGAGGGTCTGCAGTCACAATTGGCAGAGCTGCGCACACTAGCCGCCTCCTCACGCCTACACCGCCTCTTCGTGCCCTTCCATCACCACCAATCTCGCTCGTCCTCGACGTGACCAACAATCTGGCTTTCTCACTCAGCCTCGTCGCCGTACCACGCTCATCTCGTCACAGGCCTGGTCTGTTCGTCTCGCTTGCTGACGACGGTGGTCAGAGCACCGTCTTGCACGCCCAATCTCTAGACGCCGAAGAATCGCTGTGCACCGATTACGCGAGATCACTCCAAAGCAGCAGCGCTCCAGCACCCGTCTTCGGTCAGCCCAGCTCCAATCCCGCCTCAGGCATATCCAGCACCATGCCGCCTCCCGACGTACCTCGTCAGAGGACTCACAGCAACAATTCGGCCCATTCTGCCCACTCTGCCCATTCTCGAGCATCGTCACATCATCGAAGGGCTTCAGGTAGCATGGGCTACGATGGTGGCGAAGCGGGACGCCGAATGGCAGAGGAGGACGAGCTGATCAGACGCGAGCTTGCAGACACGGACGCCTTTTGCAACGCGTTTTGGGGCACATCGTCAGCTGGCTACGACACGGTGCAGGCTAGGATGAAGCATGCCAGCAAGACTATGGATGCTGTGCGCGCGCTGTACAAGGAGAGGGCGGACATCGAAGCGGACTATGCCAAGCGACTCGGAAAGCTAAGCAAGGCTCATGCGGACCTTGGACTTCACGAGACTGGTCAGACAAAGATTGCTCTTGAAACGGTGCGATTCGAGGTGGAACGCATGTCGAGCACGCACGCTGACTTGGGCAACATGATCAAAAAGGATCTCGATGGAGCGATGGCGGACTTTATCGGCAACTGGGCGGGAGCCAGGCGGAATGTGAGTGTTGGTCTATGTATCGGCTCAATAGTCATCGTGGCTGAACTCAAAAGCTCAAGCTTCAGAGTGGACCCCACGCGCGATGCGGCGCTTTCCACTGACGCACACGCCGCTATGCCTGCCTGACTTCTAGTCGAGCGCTGCAATCGAAAAGCTCTGGAAGCAAAAGCAGACCCAAGAGTCCTACGTCAACAAGTCGCGAGAGAAGTACGAGCAGGACTGCATCAAGATCAACGGCTACACTGCGCAGAGCAGCCTCGTGCAGGGCAGGGATCTCGACAAGGTCACTGCCAAGCTGGACAAAGCGCAAGCGACGGTATCCGGAAATGAAAAGGACTACCAAAACTTCGTCAGAGCGCTCAAAGACACCACACACAAGTGGAATGCAGAATGGAAGAGCTACCTGGATCAATGCCAAGATCTCGAAGAGGAGCGCTTAGACTTCATCAAGGCAAACCTGTGGAATTATGCTAATGCGGTCTCTGCGGTTTGCGTTGCCGACGACGAGTCGTGTGAGAATGTGAGAGTGTCGCTTGAGAACTGTGAAGCTTCCCGGGACATTCAAGCTTTCATACAGGCCCAAGGTACCGGCTCCGCCATTCCCGACCCACCCGAGTACATAAATTATGCCCGCGGTCAACCTCCACCTGCGAGACCTTCCTACAAGCATGCCAACTTCCAGCGCAACTCAACCAGACCGCCACCACAACTGCCTCCTCCCGGACCTCCACCTTCTCAGGGACCGCCTCCACCTGCAGTCTCCGTGCCACCGATCACCCCACAGGCACACGGACACGCGCCGAGCGATGCTCGCACTCGGAAGAGCAGCTCTGGTGGATCGCAGTCAGGCTCGCAAGCACCTCGGCCTCCTGCATCTCGTACCGGACCCGGCTTGGGTGACATGAGCGACATAGCTGCTGCGCTGGAACAGGCACCGCAAGAACCTGCGAACGGACAGGAGCGCGGGAGCTCCAAACCACCATCAGGAGCAGTCGCCCTGCCAGGGTTACACTCGACCCAGACCAACAGTCCAGCCTCTTACGCTGCACCACTTGCTCCATCGCCAGCCGCGGAGAATGCGCCTCATGTCCAGAGTGTGGCTCCGGAACGAACAGCAATACCTGAGCGACGCATGTCTGCGCGCAACTTTATTGCTCGCACGCCTTCTCTCAGCAAGCGCACCGCCAACGCGCCGGAAGGTGCTGTGAACCAAGGCAGTGCGACACCGCAAGGAGTCCCCTCTCGTCCTCCACCGGGCAAAGCTGATCCAGAAGAAGATCCCCTTGCCAAAGCTTTGCAAAACCTTCGCAATCGACCCGGAGGAAGAAGCCCCGCACCTCCCAGTCCTGGCCCTGCGCCGCCCACCAAAAGCCCTGCCCCGGGAGAAGTGTTCCCAGCTCATCAGCAGCCGCCGCTCAGAGCTGCTCAGCGTGCGCCCTCACCTGGACCGGGCGGTCCACCTCGAGCGCGTTCGCCCTCTGCAGCGTTCATGAATGCGCCCGAGAGAGCACCTTCGCCGGCCGTAGTGGAAGAATACGGGCAGTCCTTCCCGGGCGAGAGGAGGGCGCTGTCGCGTCAGAATTCGAATGTGTCGCAGCATGTGCCAGCAAAGCCACAACAGCATGCTCAGCAGCAACAGCGGCCTCAGGCCGGTGGCTATCCCGGAGGCATCGAGCGAGCACGCAGTCCCGGGCCTGGCGGAGGACAAGGCTTTGCTGGCGTGGGTGCTCGTGGACGTAGCCCCAGCCCAGCGCCTCAGGCACAGAGTGGAGTTGCGTCGAGACCATCCGGTCAGCAATCGCAGGGGTTCAAGGCGCCGCAGCATCCACCTGTCCGCTCCACCACTCCTCTAGGTATATCTCTCGATGCGAGCGGTTCTGTCACTCACGATCAGATGGCCGACGAATACAACAGGCGAGCAGGTAGCGTGGGACCTGGGGCGCAGCGGCCTGGCGTTCACCAGAGCACGGCTCCGGCAAGCCATTATCAGCAGCCTTCGCAGAGTCAGCAGTTCCCGCCGGGCCAGAGCTACAGCCCCGGCCCCCAGGCCACACAGCATCTACCTCCACAACAACAACAGAGGCCGTCTGCGCAGCAGCAGCAACATCCTTCGCATCTGTATCAGCAATCAGCGCACCACCAGTCGCAGCCTTCTATGGCCAGCCACTACTCTGGTGCTCAGCAGCAAGGACCAGGTGGCACGCCCGGCGCCTACGCTCCGCAAGCTGGCCATCATCAGCAGCAGATGAGCTACGCAAGTACTGCGCCGGCCTTGGCCGCACAGCCTCACGGTCAGCCAGGTTATCACGCCCAACAACCCTCAGCTCATACGCCCCAGCCTCAAGATCAGTATGGTTCTTATGGCAGAGCGCACGGGCAGGCAAACGGCTATGGTGGGCCTGCCCAAAGTCACAGCGTACACGGCATTCAACAAGCCCACTCTCCCGGGCCACACGTGCAGCAGCAGCAGCAAGCGGCTTATGGGGCTCCACATCAGCAGCATCATCAGCAGCACCCCTCTTCCTTCGCCCAGACGCCTGGAGGGGGCTACCAAGCTCCCGTGCAGCAGGCAGAGACGCCTGCCTCGGCCTACATGCATCAGTACCGACAGTCCAACATGGGCCCGCCAGGACCTCAGCAGGGATTGTCATCGCAGGCTCCTGGAGGTCAACATTGGGGCGCACCCAATGGAGGCGGACACGCTGACCCTCGCGCCCATAGTCCTGCGCCTCATCACATCCAGCAGCAGCAGCAGCAGCAAGCTCCGATCAACCAACGTCTTCCACCTCCAGGCGAAGCGCCGCAGAACCATGCTCCGACGGGTCAATACAGCGATTCCGGCAAGCCCATCCTTTTCTATGTTTCTGCGCTCTACAATTACGAGGCTACCAGCGAGGAAGAGTTTAGCTTCACAGCGGGAGATATCATTGCGATTTGGGAAACCAGTCCGGACGGATGGTGGAGAGGTGACCTTCTGGACGAGAATAGACGAACAGGTGCTACGCTTTGTCCTTCGAACTTTTTGCAATTGTGAGTAGCGCGTGGGAGTGCCGTCGTGTGCTTGAAACAAGCTGTTTGCACAGGTCTGACTCTTGTGTGCCTTGATTACAGGTTGGCTTGAGCTCCTTGTGCGGTCATCGGTCATGTGATGACAGCTCGCTTTGTAACACAATGATGCATTGCCTGCAACGTTGCGAAACCAGCATGCTGTGCTAGTGTTGGGTATAAGCATGAACAAGAGGAAATCGTGATGAACGGCAAAGGTTTGCGGGGTGTGGAGCACAGCTACTGGCCGGACCTTGATGATTAGCCGCTCCAGGCTGCACTAACAATAGCGAGCAAGCCAGCTCCGACCGCGAAGCCAACTGTACCAGCCAGGGCGAGGTCCCTTTGACGCTCCTTGTGCGCTTGTTTGTCCCTGATCTCCTTTTGGAGGGGCGTAAGGGCAGGATGAGCCGGTACCTCTGCATCTGTGGGTACAGGCGCTTGCCCATTTTCCAAAGTCTCGTGAGCGCCTCTGCCCAACCCGGCCACGACCGCCAGATCTTGCAGAGTGGCTTGCGTGCCCCGGGTCGAAGTTTCCATGCTGGTCAGTCTTTCGCTCACGCCTGCCAAGAGCGACTCTATGCGCGCCGAGTTGGCGGCTTCGCCTTGGAGTAGACGAGCCTCGAACGTCTGTGCCAGCTTTCGCCTTTTGTACGGCTCTACTATGAGAATGGCTGTGATGAAAAGCACGACTGCGCATAGGAAGGGAATGTCAGCTCCCTGGCGCTGCATGGCGCGAGTGGATCCGCCAAGCATCGTCTCACCATTAAGGCCGACAACTCCAGCGCTGACCCAGTTTCCAAGGGTTCTCCCCCTCTCGCTCCACCTCCACTCTTCGTGGAATCGCTCCAAAGTCTTCCTGACCACATCATCCCAAGCTCTCTCCCTCTGCCTTTCCGCGACCTCGTACTTGTCCCCTGCCTCCTTTTCCATTGCTGATTCAGAGTGCTCAGATTGGAGTAGAGCAGTATATGAAGCCAAGTCGGAGTTGGACCACGAGGACTTGCGCGAGAGAAGATCGTTGAGCGTGCGCTGTGTCTCTGAACGCTGGGCTACTGCTTTCCTGTGTGCCTGCAGCGCTTCATTTTGCTGTGCCTTGAGGCTCACCAGCCTTTGCTCTGTGGGTGAGTCAGAGTTGGGAGGACCATGTGAGAGACCACGAGCGACCACGTAGCTGCGCTCTGCTCTGAGCAATGAGGCCCCATCCTGATCCTGTGCTTCCATTGATGCTGCTTGGCAATATTGAACTCACCCGCCAGCTCCACATCCTTCTTGAGAGCCTCGACAGCTTCGTACCCAGACACTTCGTTCCACCTTCCAGACAACACCCGCATCCTCTCCAATATCCGCGGTCCCAGCTCGTCCAGCCTGGCTTGAAGGCGAGGCGGAATTTTAAGCTTCTGTGCAGCGCTGCCGGTAGCTTGTCTCTTCGAGGAATCGATTTGGGAGGAGCTCGGGCCGGGCGCAGAGTGAGAGTACGATCGGAGCTGCGCAGAGTCGTTGCATGACACGCTCTTGCTGCTGCTGCTGCTGCTGCTGCTGGGCGCGCAGCTTCTTGCGCCCAGAGACCGTGCCAGCGCCACTGGCCTTATCAGCATCGCGCGCGGAGAGCGTCCGAGCTTTTACGAGCTGCGTGCGAGGTCTTCCCCTGCTCGGCTATTCAAAGCACGAGAGTCACGACAGCGTAGCGCTGCGTTGGACTGATGTGTTGGTCGTCCAGAGGCCTCGGATGCTCGTTGATTGTGGGGCGAACAGCACCTTAGAAGCTTGATCGTGTAGCGATGGAGGATGGGAATGTGTTCGGCAAGGCGTGGTGGAGAATGTGCGCCTCTATATGCGTTGAAGCGCGTGCTGAAGTGATGGAAGATGGCGAAGATCAGATTTCATATTCACCATCACGATCTCGTGATCCTCCACGATTGTGATTTTTGACCTTCTCGACCATCCAGCACGCAGACTAACAGATCCGCCCGGCTGCTTTCGGCCGTCGAAAAGCGATTGCATTTGGCCTAGCGCGCGCGCGGCATGCGTGCGCGCGGTGATCCTCCACGCGCCACCTACAGCAGCTGGCAGCAGCGCAGACATCTTCTCAACTCCCCGCGCTCTTCGCTCATCGAGACATTACATTTGTCAGCAGTCAAACGTCCACATGCGCTGTCACTCTGCCGCAAGCACATCGCGCAAGTAGATCGGCCCAGTCTACAGTGCCGTACCCTCCAAAGACATCCTAGTATCACCATCGTTGCTACGCCAGCATGTCACACTTCTTCAGGACCTTGGCCAAGGCTTTGCCCTTGCCTGGAGGTTTGGGAAGGTGGCGGTACCTCGTGGGCAAAGATCTGGCAGACAATTCCTACTACGAATTTCCTTCTCCAGATGGCAACAAGGGTGAGTGGCTCGGAAAGGATGTGGGTTTTGCCGAACGCTAATAGCCATGTCGCGGCGTAGCTGACAAGGACAAGCCCACGCATCGTAGACCCTCGCTTCACTCGCAGGGTGGTCAAGTACAAGGAGCACATGGACATCGACTTGTACGATCGATCCGAACTGCCTCTGCAATGGATGATGTGGCTCAGACACACCAGGCGCAGCGCGCCTTCCATTCAGGTGCGTCCTCATACGCCGTGCGGCGCCTCTTGAGCCATCAGCTGCTCAAGTCTGCGGCATCTGCCAATCCCCCATGCCGCGTTGGCGCGCCCTTGCAGGAACTTCAGGAGGACGTGCAGAGGATAGCTACGGTCCAGGCAAACGCCGCTCGTCTAGCGATCGAAGAGGAAGAGCGTCAGGACGCTCAGAGACGTCAACGTCTGCTTCAACATGCGGAGCTCATGGAGCAACGTAGCGGAGCTGCTCAGACCGGGGCGTCAGGTACGACGAGCGCCACCTCTTCAGCTCATGCCTCAGGCAGCGCCGTCCAACACGGCATTCATGCGACTCGTTCGGCTCCTCAAGATCAAGCTCTCAGAGATAGCAGGGCTGCTGCTGTCCCTACATCCGAGCTGGGACAAGACAGCTACGAATGGCGTCAACCCACCCCGGATGATCGCGTCTGGGAAGCGAGCAGGGCAAGGTTACGAGAGGCTGGAGTTTCGGATGCTCGAGTACCCGTCAAGAATACTGCTACGGGACATCAGCCCAGACGTGTTGGGACCGACACAGATGGGAAAGCGGGAGAGTCTGGACCGAGCCGACAAGTGACCGAAGGGGATGCGCAGTCGGAATTTTCTGGTGCGATACAGAGGAGAGCGGATAGGAGGGCGCAGATGGCTCAGGCTGCTAGCGCCGCGACCGCCAAGGAGCTGGAGAGGGAACGAGCGCGGAGATTGATGGCAGCGAGTCCGTTGAGCGCTTTCGATGTAACCGTGGAAGGAGCAGCTGAGGAAGGAGCGGCAGGATACTCGAAAGAGATGCAGCAGGTGTACGCACGAGCTCAGGCGGAAGCGAGGGAGAAGGCGGAAAGGGAAGCAAGAAGGAACGCTGCGTCACAGAGGCGGGAAGAAAGTGCTCAGCTCAAACCTCGATTCGGCAGAGCTGTTGGTCCAGATGAGGAATGGTCTCCCGAGGCCGCGTCTATCGCGCCCAGGAGGAGGTAACTGATGCATTGAAGGTGGCACGGTTACGCTTCATGTGTAATTGTCTACAGCGGATGCCTGTCTAAATCGGCGTCTATAAACCTTTTCCGAGGCTTGTCTACTGCCCGAGAGTGATCTCGAGGTGAAGTTCGAGGCTTTTCTACTGCCCGAGAGTGATCTCGAGGTGAAGGAATGTGTGTACGTGGTGATGCTAAACCCCGCCGATCCCCACCTGCTTTGCCATGCGCAGGGCCTTCTGCCCAGGCTGAGAACAGGGGGACCATGATCAGTCCAACACCCTGGCCAAAAGTCTCAAGCCGTCTAGTCTAGCCCTCTCATTTGATCGAAACACCAACCCTCGCTTACAGCTTCGGTAAGGGTCTGATCAGTCCAACCTGGGTAGCGTACACTGTCAAATTCCCATTCTGATCCCAGGAGTGAGCTTGAGATGTGGTCCTCTCATTCCGCTGTGCTATCGAAGTGATCTCCTTGTAGTGCCACTCATCGGCCTTGGGTTCCGGGTCAATGAATCGGACAGCCACTTCGAGAGACGTGGCATGCGAAGTGTCTGCCAGATGGAGACCGGACGTGATCAGCGGTACGTATGGCAAGCCCGAGTCGAGGTAGAAGGCAAAGTAGGCACAGCTCGCCGCGACGGGCGAGATGGCAACGAGGTTCCCATCCTTGGAGTTCTGCGTGCTCTTGCAGAGCTCAACAATGCTCCCTCTTGCCCGATTCCAATCCGCTATGCACCTCTTTGTGATGTGTCGATCCTTCTGAGGATTGTCCACATCTGTTTTGCACCCGTGCATCGTGGCGTGATGCGCGGTACCCGGCACCTCTTTTGTCTCTCCCGTCCTCCTCGAGAGCAGGAAGAGAACCTCGTAGATGGCGTCCCACACCTCGCGAAGCAGCGTACCCTCCTTGACGCGATCCTCTGCAATCTCCTCCAACGTCTGTGCATCCTCCAAACGCGGAGTAGGCTGCACGAGCGGCACAGCAGACACTCGCTGGAAACCCTCCTCTTGCCGTGGTTGCTCGGGCGGCGTGGCCATAAAATCGATAGTCGCTGCGAAAGTGATTCTTTCCTTGTCCCTCTGTGTTTGATAGGTGCGAATATGGACAGTAAAGAAAGATTTGGTGCTGCGTAGGACCTCTGCGCTGAGCCTGAGGTGCACGCCGGCGAGAGTGGGTCCGAGGTAGACGCCTTGCAAAGAGTACAACCTTAGAGGACTCGCTTCCGCCTTGCCGCTCTTTGCTGACGAAGTGCTACGCCTGCTGAGCATGTCGAAAGCTGCGATGATGTTCGAAGCCTGCACGCATCCTCCGTACGCTACGTCGTCGGAGACGTGCCCGTACGGCTCAGGTGGATGAACGGTGGTGTACTCTCCCTCCCGTCCGGCGACCCGTCGCAAGCTGACCAGCTCCACAAAGGTCGGTGGTGTCATGACGAGCGCTGAGAGATGTAGTGGAGCACTGATGTTATATCTTCTGATGCCAACGTCGATGCGAGGTGGTGTGCGTGGGTGGATTGAGGTGCAAGATACATGCGCCTTTGTGAGGTGGGAGGGAGGGGTGACTTGAGATGGTCGTCAAGGGAATCGTACCTCTGCAAGCCCGCCAGCTAACGCCCGCTCTGTAGCGAGTGCGCTGCCGGCATCGAGGTGGTCGAAAGCTGTGAAATCTGAATGCCTGCTGGTCCGGCCCGGAAGCGCCAAAGATGTCGTATCCGCCGATACGAGGTGGTGCTGCAAAGCGCATGACACGTCTTCGCAATCTGTGTGAATCTCGGGTGCGAGCTCTCACGCGCGCCTTCGGGGTGGGACCGTGACCGAGCGTTCGGGTTCCTCGTCCCACCAGCGATCACGACTGCTGCGCCGCCACTTTCACGATGGCGTTCAGATTCTTCATTCAACTGAGCCCACTCGAAGACTTCGATGCACATAGACGCCCGCTCTATGCCCATACATTGTAGCTTTTGGCGCTTCTGCCAGTCTCTATACGGAATTCTTGTCGGACACAGTACTGTTTCCTTCCGCACGACTCCCATCATGCTCGATACCTGATTGATGAAGAACACACAAAGCTTCATTGAATCTATCTGGTGAATAATGGAGCATAGTAACAGAATCGCGTGGCAAGGCAAATGTGAACAGAGTGCAGCTCGGTGAGATACCAAGGATGGACACTACTGGTGCAGAGCAGCTTCCAACAAGCTTCCAAAAGTCTGAGGCAGCTGACGAAGATCGATGACCGAGTAGGCCACTGCATGCGGTGTGCGCGGATCACAGCGCAGGGTGCGCTATGCGGTCAGCGCTCAGAGCTTGAAAAGCTTTCCGATCATGTCATTACTCACATCCGGGCAGCTGTGCTGCTGTCTGCTTGCCTTCCGATGATCGGCCGTCTAAAAAGATGACGCTCCCCTTGACCTTGAAGCATCACGGTGACACATTTCGATGTGCTGTCAGCTAGAACGCGCAGGCAAGATCGTCTCATCGAAGCAGCCTCACCTTTTCGTTGCTTCTGAGTGCTTTGGCGAGCATATCCGTGGTGATGCCGTACCTGCCCAAATTGGCGTCTTTCGAAGCGAAGGGAGTTGGCAGTGTTCAGTCACTCGGCACGGTCTGAGATTGCCCAAGATGTCGTGCAGCTCACCGGAAAGTGCAATGACAAAGTAGTCGTCCGCTTCTTCTTTGGTTAACTCTCGGCAGCCCCAGCGGATGCTTTCAAGGGTAGAATCGCCGCTCATGGTGTACTATAGATGAGATCGGGCAGTCTCAGCTACACAGCGCCAAGCTTGTAGAAGCTCGAATCGTGCGATTTCAGTACTCACCTGAGTAATACTAGTCATGTCGCGAAGCACGCGCCAGCGATCTCCAGCGGAGGCAGGAGGCTTGTCGGCCATGACGAGGGGGATGTGGTCCGATTCACCCGAGTGGCCCCAGATGTCATAGACATACTTGCCCGGTTCGGTCCTAGCAAAAGCTTCCATGACCATGAGCACAGTCTTGAGCTCGCGATCCAGTCTGCCGTCGTACTGCATGGAGTACATGCTTGCGCTAACGTCGACTAGGATGCGGATACGCTTTGGCTTGGTCTGCGGCGCAAAGGGGTCGGGGGGTTGTTCGGCTCTTCGCTTCATCACTCCTTTGTCGCCCGTCAAAGCATCAGTCAAACGGGACTCGTCGAGCTGACCTTCCTCTTGGCGCTTCAGCCACTGTCTCTCTTTAGCAGCTGTCTGTACTTGATTTAGCGTGAGCACGAGGTTGTTGATGTGCTGGGCGAGTTCTAGCTTGTACGCTTGCACTGTGCGTGACCACTTCAGTCAGTGCGAGAAGCGTGGTGAAGCTCACACCAGCTCGACTCACGCGTTGCACCTTCATGAGCGGTCATCCCCTCCTCTGCAAGCTTCTTTGCCAGGGCCTCCTTTGCCATTTGTCTGGCTTGCTCCTTTATGTGCTCGGGCACGTCCCGCTTGAGTGAATCGGGAATCTGCTTGATCTCATGGCCAGAGTAAAGGCGTTCGTAGCCGCCTCGTCCACCCAAGCCAGCAGTGTCGCGACCACCCGTACCTCCTCGCCAAGTGTTTCCGCCGGAGTGCTCCTTGTTGTCAGGATCAGTCTTTCCCTCCTTTGGCTTGTCGAGGTTCGTGTCACTGGAGTGGTACAAGACCGCGCAATGGGTGAGTGTGTGCTCGCAGCAACACCAGCCTAGGATGCTGCACTTCTACTCACCGGCCAGCAGATTCAGGGTCAAATTCCACGCGGCCCGCGTCCACTTTCTGCTTTTCCTCTTCTTTCTGGCGAATAGCGGCCAGACTGAGGCCCTTGACATTGAGCCCACGCTTAGCAAGTGTTCGAGCGACTAGCTCCATGACTTCAGGTCTTTGAAGGTCGAATGAGAGCGTGTTGAGCAGCACGTCGACCAGTTGCTCGCCCGGGTATCGCTCAAGGTGGCGGACGATGTGGATGAGTTCTCGCATCGACAGAGGGTAATGCAAGCTACCTTGATCAAAGTGATCACGCAGATCGCACCAGGCCAGGTCTAGCTGTTTGATCAGTTTAGGGTCCACGTGAGGTCCAACTTGCTGCAGAAGAGCAACCTCGGATTCGTGCGATGGGTTGGAAATTTGGAACATCGCAAAGCCTTCCCCGATGACGCTGAGGAAGTCAGAGCCTTGGAAGCCATGCCCAGGTCGGTTGGCAAGCAGCACAAGACGGAAGTCTGGGTGTGCAACGACATCTTCGTCGCTGCCAAGCGAGCCTTGAGGTCGTACGCGCCTTCCGTCTGGTAGAGTAAGCTCACGACGCTCGGCCTGAGACCAGTAGAGAGGAGTGAGATACGTCTCCCAAAGCTGTGACCTGACATCGCAAACTCACCAGAGATCTGAAAATCGCAGTGACCGAAGCTGGGCATTTGTCTGCTTCATCGATCACGCAAAGTCGTCCCGTGCGAATGGCTCTGACTAGCGGACTCTCCAAGAAAGTCAACTGACCATCCACAAGCTGCACCTGTTGCAAAATGCTCGAAACCGAGCTATCTCGGTGCAGCTGTACATACTCTCTTGGTCGGCCGATGAGCATGGCGAGCCTGTCGATCAGCTTGTTCTTTCCTGTTCCTTGATTGCCCATCAGCAGCACGTCGTTCCCGAGCAAGTCAATGCCAATGTCGCGCAATAGAGCGGACTGAGCTGGGTTGTCGTAGAAGTGCTCCATGGTAGGCACAAGTGAAAGCCCTGCTGGATCTTTGCTCGCTGCATCATACAGTGGGATATTTACCACGCCAGCTTGCGGGTTGTCTTGAGCTCCAGGAGCATTGATATTGCGGAAAGACAGCACCCCCTTTTTAATCTCTGGCGCGGACAAGTGCTCTGGAGCAACATATTGGAAAGCACCTTCAGATCCACGGGGTCTCAACTCCGTCTGAGACAGAGCGCTTTGGACCAGAGCTGCGGTGGTGCGTGGCAGGAATTCGATGAGTAGCGTGCGTGCCAAAGTGGCATACAGGTCCGTCCAGGGGTACTGGGCGATGCGAGTGGCGATGCGGATCAGAGCTCTGGTTCCAAGTCGGCGAGAGGCCTGCAAGCCCAGCCCAGGATCGGCTGCCAGAGCACGGTACCGAGCCGTGAAGGCTAGCAGAGGCTCAAGTTGCGCCGGCATGGCTCCAGAGCGAGAGACGATGACGCTCAGCTCCTCTTCTGCAGACATCGGGGCAGGCGCGACGAAAGAGAAGAGAGCGGAGGCTTCTTCGTTGAGCCATTCCGGCTTGGAGGATGATGCTGTGCCAATAACGCGGAAAGAGGGGTTGATCGTGGTGAGGCGCTTCTCTGCGATGTCGGTGCCTTCGACGGACGTCAGAGCGCCTGGTAACGCTGCACGACCGCCATTCCAGAGCTCGGCTTCTCGGTCTTGGGTGAGACGAGCCAAGGCGCCAAGGGTGGGGCCCAGGACGTCGATGCCGGACAGATGGACTAGCGTTCCAGAGAGCGCACCGCGGAGCAGAGGCGCGGCTTCCCAGGTAGTGCTGCCGTCCTTGGTGGTCGCTCGACGAGCGATGAGCTCTCCTCCTCCCAGATCCTTATACAGATGAACGCCTTCATGCGGATAGCCGAGCAATGATGCAAAGAGACCGATAGAAGTGGACGTGCTCGATGATGACGAAGGAGACACCTCTCCCTTGATTTTGTCCGCAGCCAGCGCAGAAGGCAGAAGGATGACGTCTCGACCGACGGCGTGCAGCTGAAGCATGCTCGTGATGACGCCCGCTAGACGTGGGGTGAAAAGTAGTCCATTGGGAGCGGCTTTATCATTGCTCACTGAGGGTAGCGGTGCAAGTTGCAGAGGACCAGCGGGGACGCGTACAGTCACCTTGCGGCCTTGCTCCTGCTCGAACGTGACATCCGCTGCGTCGTCTGCTGCCCGCACGATGCCAGTCACGCGGTACCCCAGCAAACCCTTGCCTTCCTCCACTTCTGCGCCTCCAACACCGACACCAGCGTGCAATGATACAGCGGCGAGCAGATCAGCGGCGAGCTCTCGCCTCGTTGGGTCGAGTGTGTGGAGCATGGGGTAGCCTGCGCCTAGCAGCGCCCTCGTGCTGGGGGCTATGGAGCCGTCTCCTTTCTTGTTCTTGGCTTGATCTTCAGCATACTGCTTCAGCTGCTCGTTCTCGCGAGCTTCGACCCGCGCTCTGGTTGACTCGTGCACCTGGAGAGCGCCATTGCGAGGAGGAGCCGTGGGCAAATTTGGTGCTGAGGGCCGAGTGCCGTCGTCCGTCTCATCGAAAGAGGGCAGCGGTGGGAGGGGTACTGCTGGCGGGAAGCGCGCTGCGAGATCCGACAAGAGGCTCAGAGCGGTAGCTGGGACGTTAGGCAGGCGCTCTGCTGGTGGCAGCACCTCGTCAGCAGTGGCGGCAGTGCCGTGCAGTCGCACAAGGGAAGCCCACTCGAAGAAGCGCTGGGTGAGCGCATCGCTCAACTCCTTGGCTTGCTTGTCGGGCGAAAGGACATTGGACAGTGTGGAAGGGACGACCCCCTCGACCCATCGACCTTGGAAGCGCGATCGGAAAGGTGGATCCAATGGCAAACCCTTGTAAGGCGGGACCCTGCGACAAGGTGATGGAGGAATGGTAGCGGCGTGAGGTGGGCGCGCAGGTACTCGCACTACATGACAGACTCACGGCAGACCGATGGCGATGACGAAGAACGCGTCGCTAACTGGGATGAATGTCTGATTTTCACCAGCCGCTTTGGCCTTTTCCAGGGTGCTCCTCGGCACCAAGTGAGTGCCGTCAGCCAGTCCCATCTCGCGGTTCTGCAGGATGAGCGATGATGAAAGGATGAGCAGCAAGCGAGACAGGAGCGGGTGGCCGGACTGCTGAGCGCATCGACTGTCCTCACCTCGATGAGATTGTTGAGCAGCGGCATGCTGGCACGCTCAGCGCGCTCCACTCCTTCCAGTATGAGGATGCTGCCTCTCTTCATGGCCCTCACCACAGGTCCATCTTGGTACGTCAGTGTGGTCCCTCCAGCCAAGTTGCGAGTCTGGATCAGTTCCGACTCGCCCACGTCCCGGTGCAGCGACACGTGCTCCACTGGTAGTTGGAGCAGCGCGGCGAAGGTGAGTGCCAGTCGCCGTGCAAAGGGACCAGGCGGAGAGATGAGGCTGACAGGAGCAAGTCCAAGGTCAGCGCACGCTGCCTTGGAGGAGCATCCAGCGCAGCTTTCATGCTACTTACAAGGCGTCTTGCTTGAGGCTGTACTTTCTTCCCAGCCACTCGAGATGATCCCTGACGACGGGGTCGTGTAAGTCCAACAGCAGACGTGGGTCTGGCAGTCTGGTCTCATCGTGAGGTGCGAACACTGGCAGCTCGACACTGGAGCCTAGCCTGAGCGTACCTCGTCGCTCTACTGGACTGGCCGCCGACTTGTCGCCGTCGCTACTTTTGGACGAGCTAGAGGTGGACAGCGCAGAGCTGGGTAGCAGCTGTCGACCGATCGCTGCCAGTCTGCCAACAGTGGAACTAGGCTTGCTCGAGTCATCACTGCCACTCATGCTTGGCAATGGTCTTGTGTTATGCGCGGTGAAAAGATGGGGAAGATTAGAGTGCGCTCTCAGCCTTGCGTTGTACGACGGCTGCAATGCTAGTGGTGCTTTTTTGAATCTCGCAAAGTTGAGTGCGCGCAGGTGACGCCCAGCGGTGAGCAGGGGCATGAACGGTGTATGCGACGTCGATCGGCTCAGGACAGCTCCCCCGATTCTGGTAGTGGACAACGTGGAAACAAGTCGAGCGCAACTTTCATGCCGAAGAGAGTGTCAAAGCACGTCGATGCGAGGACGATGGTGAACGATGGTCTTTGCCTCCTCCTCTTCGTCGACTTGCCTTTTGCCGGCGCCCGCGTCGATCGCCGCTTGTGTGATTGCCGCGGGGTCTCCATCGGCATCATCCTTGCCCCGGAGCCGGCCACAGCAGATGGCGTGCGGGCGCGGTGAAAGCTTCGTCGAGCGCGTCCCACAGCATAGGTGGTCGGTCACGTGTCGAGAGCGCTAGCTGCACGGTTGTTGCCCTCGAGCAGCTTTATGGAGACAAGAGGTACGCATGACTCAGACTAGCTAGAACCTCGATGGCTTCAAGGCTGTCCCGCTTCCTGCTAAGCTCTCCTCGTTGCCAAGGTCAGCGACGCCATACCTCATCGGCAATTCGTGACTTCTAATGCGATTTCTCGTCGACCGACCGGGCCACCGACCACTCAGAATCGTCTCGTCGCGCACAAGGATCAACCAGCATGTCCCCTCAAACGCTCGAATTCGCATCTCCCAGCGCTCACGGCACGCCAGTCTACTTGACAGTGTGGGACTTGTTGCCGCCTTCTAGATGGGCAAGCTTTGCCTACAATTGTGGCTTCGGAGTGCTGCACACGGATGTTTGGCTGCCTGATGCTGCCACCGAGTGGGGTTACGGAGGGCACGATGTTGCGTGAGTGTGCAGGTCAATGCGTCGTCCAACCCGAGACTACATCACGCAATCGGACACTGCGACTGGATAGCCTCTCTTTGGCCGCGCTCGCAAGCTCATTATCTCGCGCACTCCCTCGCCGTCCAGCTCTGTGACTGGCATCTTTGCTCTGCCTCGTGACGGCGAGACAGGTAGACCAGAAGATGGGTTGTCCAGGCTTGGCCCGCGCAAGATCCCAGCACCCGGTCCTAGCCCGTTGCCGGACGCTCGATACGTAGGTAGTTGGTTCATAGGCTATGCTGGGGCCCCAGAAGTATCGCATACGCAAGCAGAGCAGGCATCGCAAAGCTCAGATACTGGCGCTACTCCGTGCATTCCAGCTGGTTCTCGGCTTGATCGCCCGAACAAGGAGACGGGCAGGTGGGCAGCGCCTCAGAGCGGCTGGAGCGCGTACTTGGAACCTCGAGTGGGCGAAGCGGACGCATCGACGGGCTCGGGCGGACGCCAACGGAGTGCAAGGCACAGAGGCGCTCGTGCACGGAGCTTAGCTTGGTCTCTCAAAGTGATCATGGAGGTGAGTCATGGTGGCAGTCCTCTAAGCACCTTAGTATCCAGCCCTCGTTCGACACGCAGCCGTTCTGAGCACATCGCACTCCTCTCGTGCAGATGAAGGAAGACCCGCAGTATTACGGCACCAACTACGATCTACTGGCTCGCAACTGGTGAGCACTGAGCGATGCTTCGATGGCTTGATGTGCAGACAAGCTTGGCTCAGGTCTCGCCCTCGGCTCCCACCCACAGCAATCACTTTTCAGATGCCCTGCTGCAGAGGCTCACTGGTGCGCGACTACCCGGGTGGATAAATCGCGCAGCGTGGGTGAGTCAGCGTGCTCCAGACGCGGCTCTTTCCAGCCAGCTTGCTCGGAGCTGAATCGTTTTCGACGCGTGCAACTGTCAGGTGGGTGCTGCCGTCACCTCGTTCATCCCTCAAGGCTTGCTCGAATTGCAGACAGGTGTGGAGCCGGAGGAAGGCGAGGTCTCCGATGCGGAGGATGTGGACGAGTCGTCAAGGCTATCGCTGATGAAGGAGGCAGTAAGCGAAGAGTCCAAAATCGATATGAGCGCTTCTGCGGCCTCGTCAGCCGAGCCTCACAAGCATACACCTGGCATCTCCGAAGTCATGAGTACCGTCGCCCATGCAGAAGGAGCCGACAAGGCTGCTCAGGCCGCTCACGCCCCGGGCGCTGCCAATAAGAGTATCAAGGGCAGCGCAGGCAAGCTTTGAGCGCAGCAGTCTCCTCACAATATACCCAAGGTCGCAACAGAGGCATTTGCAACGCTGTCTCCGACAAGCAAATCAACTTAGAGAAATTGCAGTTCGTAGTATGGCAATGACAGACGTACATAGCGACGAATGCGAGGCTAGAGTAGCTTAGTCGAACACAATGACGTTCTTTGAGAAGGCAATGGACACAATAGTCAGTCAGGCAACTTCGCAATGCGCTAGCCGATGTCGAGGCAACTCACTCTGAACTTGGGCTTGCCGTTGAGCACGCCATCAAGCGCGTCATTCGCCTTGTCGAGAGGGAATTTATGCACCATTGCCTTGACATCTTCGGCCACGGAAAACTTGATGGTCTTTTCGTTCTCTGCGCTGGCGCCACAAGAGTAGCCTCGAAGTGCAGCTCTCTTCGAGACCAGCGCCATGGCGGATACTTCGAGGTTGCCATCGCCCGGCACACCGACGACAATGACTTCTCCATATCGGCTCAGCTAGATTCAGCAGTGGGTGTGAAGGGTGAGCAACCATCAAAGAGCAATCAGCCGGACTGCCGGCAGCACGTACCAAAGGAACGAGGGAGCTGATAGCTTTGGCGCTTGGAGCGGTTGCGATCGCAGCCTTAGCACCACCAAGCTTGCCAACCTCTGCAGCGACATCGTCTTCGGCAGAGAAGTAGTAGTGAGCGCCGAGCTTTTTAGCCAAGTCGGCCTTGTCCTTGCTGCCAGACACGGCTACGACGATGAAGCCCATCTTTCTTGCGTATTGCAAAGCCAGATGGCCCAGACCTCCAAGACCGCTGACTACGACCACATCTCCTGCGCGGGCTGGGCTCGCGTGAAGGGCCTCCCACACAGTGTTACCAGCACAGAGCAAGGGCGCGAGTTCGGCATTGGAGATGCCGGAGTTTTCGGGCATCTTTACGAGCGCGGTCCAGTGGGCGATCACGTACTCCTGATGACCTCCGTCCTTGTTCACACCTGTCACCTTGGAGTTCTGACACGCAGTGCTGCGTGAGCGTCGTCGAGTGCACAGCGCAGAACGTCAGTGGTCGCGCGAAGATATGGCGCCGCAATGCATCAAATCAGCATCTGTGTGCAAACTCACAAATCACCTAGACGGCACGGTTGGCACCTGGTGCAGTAACCGCCGTTCCATCCCACGCCCACAAGAGCGCCTTGCTTCCAGTCATTGCCAACATTTGCGCCTGCCGAGGCGATCGTGCCGACAATCTCGTGACCAGGGCTCATGCTGTGATACATGCAAAATGTCGGAGGGGACTGAGTCGCAATGGCTTGCCGCCGCAACAGCTGTACCATCGGGTGCGCAGTGTTCTACTCACGGGTAAGGAGTGCCCATCGCATTCTGAATGGCGAAGTGCTGATGGCAGATGCAAGAGTGCAGAGCTGGTGCTCAGTCTCGAGATGATCGCGGTGATAATGAGTCGTCGCACCGGGCTTTTACTCACGTCTGAAAAGCAGACGCCACTAGCGGAGACCTTGATCAGAACCTCCTCAGGTCCTGGCTGAGGGGTGTTGACGGTGACTACTTCGAGCTTGCCGCCTTGCTGTTTGACCTGAGCGGCGCGGTGTTGGGTTGGGACGGACATGATGGATACTCTTGACTTGTGCTGAAGAGGATGTACGTTCTGTTGAGTACTATCTGGTGGATATCACAGCGCGGACAGATATGTGTCGAACGTGCAACACAACTGATCTCATGCTTATATACGTTCGAGCGGCACACGACATCCTCATTCACGGTCACGGTACTTGCGAAAAGCAAACAGGAGCGCCTCTTGCAGCTTAGCAGCAGCATCTCTTTGCGCGCTTCGGCTTGCATCGCGGCCGCTGCACGCGGCTGCTTGTCAGCGAATCGGCATATATTCAGCACAGAAAGGGACCGACCCATGCTGTGCGTTTTCTCCGAAAGTCAACATGTGGCAGGTGGAGGGGCGTCAGCTTGCATGATCATATATACTCAAACTGACCGCGATCGTGATGCAACCACACGGGTGGATGTGGAGGCAACAAGTCAATCAAATCACAAGTCATGATTGAGTGAAGGTCTGACCGCGTGGGCCGTCACGGTCAAACCTCGCGCATCACGTGTTCATTCACTCAAAGAACTTCTCGAATCATCCGCGCGCGGTGTGCACGCGCGTGTGTCGTCGTTGCGGCCGCAAGGCGCGCGCGTCAAGCTCAGTCGCATACGGCGCGGCGCGACTTATTGCGATTTTGCGTGATCGGCCCACAATGCAGCTGGGCTGCGCGGATGCCGATACGCACGTCCCCTCTGCTGGACCAGAGATTCAGTCGTGAGTTGCCTCTCGCTGCGACTCACCATTTCGTCATGCGTGACTTGTTGAGTCGAGTGTGAATGGGCTGTGCGGATTTATCCAACGTCCGAGCCACCACTAATCTACACTCTCGAAGGAAGAAAAGTATATAAAAGGAGGAAGCCATCGCTGCTTGTGACCTCTCCATGCTCTTCAACTCTTCAATCAGGACTACAGCTACAGTCGCTCGCAGCTTTGCTTCCGCACGCCAAGCACACATCGCTCTTGCCAGAACTTTTGCTACCACACGCGCAAACATGGGTGTCAAGGTCATCAGCAGCAAGTCCGAGTTCGATGAGCTCGTGAGTAGACCACGCGGCATTGTGGCACGCTCATTCATTTCCGTGCTAATCGCTCCGCATCCATACTCGCATAACAGATCAAGTCGGACAAGCCCACCATCATCGACTTTTGGGCCACTTGGTGCGGGCCTTGCAAGATGATTTCCCCAATCTTTGAGAAGATCGCAGAGGCAACTGGCGAATCTGCCACTTTCGCCAAGGTGGATGTGGATGAGCAGGGAGAGATTGCTCAGGAGGTTGGCATTCGTGCAATGCCTACCTTCTTGGTCTTCAAGAACGGTCAGCAGGTTGACAAGCTCCTCGGCGCGGACCCCTCGAAGCTGCAAGTGAGTGTCAAGCGATCAGACAGTGTGTGAGGTTGTGGAGGCCACCTTTCCAAGCGGAGGCTTGCCTACAGACCGCCAGAATCGCCACACATTCGCCCCCACGTCTTTCGTGCTGACATTTACCTTGCCCCGCTCCACAGAGCATCATCACCAACGCTGTCAGCGCTTAAGAACATATCAGAAAGTAGACTCAATTGTCCTCGATCGAGCCAGGGAGGAAATATATGATACAGTGCATCGACCTTTCCACCCTCGTGTTGCGTGCGTTGTAGCCTCGCAGACAATCAGAGGTCGCTCCTTCACAGACAAGCAGAGGATTCATATATGTGGAGCGCATGTATGCGGGTCAAGGCTCAGACATCGAGCGTCGGCTTCATGCTTGGTCTAGAACAGGTAGCGTGCGATGCAGCACTCGATACGCAAACGCTCATCCTGTGCTTGACTCGCAAGGCCTTCTCAGTCAATCACTCTGAGCAACTGCATGCGCACGAGCTGCCGCGCGGCCGGACACGTGAGGTTCCACACCACTGTGCTCATGATCAGCTCCATCAGGTATAGACCTTCGCGTACGTGTGCTGGCTTATACTGATGTACACCGGTGACACTGTGATGACGAGTGGCTTCTCTGGCGCACCAATCCCTCGCGATCAGATGATGAGCTTCCGGCGCGCGGCAGTCGAATAATGATTGAGGATTCTGGACTGATGGTGACTTGGGCACTCGCTTCCGCACTTCGAGTCAAAAGTGGCCGCCGACTAGACACCGAGCTCTGTCGAATGCGACAATAAGCGTTGCAATCAGCATCAAAATGTGAGGGTGTCTTATTGCCATCCCTCTCACAAAACATACACGGCGACGTGTTGGAGGCTCACCTGATCACTTGCTTCGCCACTCTGACTCAGGCTGTCTCCAGCGCATATGCATGAATAGCAACCTGCGATTTGACTCCCGACGGTGGGCGGCGGCAGCAAGGCGCTCGCTTGCAGCATCGACACATTGGTCGTGTTTGGCAATCTGAATCAATGAATGGCCTATGCCACTTGTGAGTGAAAGTTCGCAGTAGCTCGGCCTATAGAAGGCCATACTCTTCTGACTATTATTGTGGCCGGTGCGCCAATCAAATCTTGAATGACATCCGGCCAGCAATCCTGCTTATAGACACAGCCCGCCGTCGGAGCTGCGGCCCTTCTCAATCCGTTGCTGCTGTCATGGACGTGCGCCGAGCAAAGACCACGCGCGCGCATCCGCGGAGTCGCGAGTATGTTCGAGTCACGCGAGTCTGGTTGTCGTGAGACTTGACTCAAGATTGCGACCCTACACGCAGACCTGAACCTGCTCACGTCTGCATGGTGACTGTTGGGCAACACGCCGGGCCACTGGCGCGAAAGGACCCCGAGGGTCGGAGTCATGAGTCACGATCGGTGCGTGGGATCCCACCGATATGCTGGCTCGTGAAGTCCATGCACCGGTCGAGGGACGCAAAGCCAAGCTATTGGGATGTGGATGAGGCTGTGTATACACCATGTGAGCAAATGGAGGAAAGGAACGCTTTCATGCCGCGCCATCTGTCACCTCACGCCTGGCTCGACACGATATACTCGTCGCTCAAGACTGATGAGAAACGGATGCAGCACTCCCCGGGCGGGCCGATAGGGGTCAGGAACATGGATCGAGCCAGGTCCCGAGATGAGCGAATCTCTGTAAATTGGTGGTGCAGAGACGACAACACAAATGCCCCACTCGTGAGTCGTGACTCATCGATCATCACTGTTTCCCATCGCAGGTAGGAATTACGTAGGACTTCGGGAAGGTCCGTGCTGCGCAGGCGCCATGCGATCATCGATGACTGGAATGCTGCGAAGGTGAGCTGTTTGATGAGAGCACGCGGCGAACCCTTCATCACCTTGGCGAGAGCAGCCTCCATATTATAAGTGATGCGACTTCGCCCAGCTCTGAAGCTCGAGGAATGAATGTCAAGTATAGATCTTCGACTTGCTTTTGGGGTGCGCGAGAAGCAAGGATGATATTGCATTGAGAATGCACGAGCTTACTGCACGAGTCACGAGTCCGATATTCGTGATTGATGTGAATCGAGAGTTGTGAGTGGATTCGTGAGTAGTCGTCGTGATTCGTCACCAGTCAAGAGTGTGAGTAATCAGTCACGAGTCATGATTGGCCGTCCGGTGAGGGCTGCACGCTCGCAAGATCGGATCCTTGCTATGCAAAAGGTGACATCGTCCGCTCGGAGCTCTTGCTGCAGGAGTCACAATCACTAAATCTTGAATTGTGGATCAAATAGTCGTGAGTCTGAGGTCACCTACTCATCAGCTGCGAGCCTGAGTGAGATGGTGATAGGCTCATGCATATATAAACACCGATCTGGGTGCACGCTTGATGTTGATCGCCGCCGCCGCTCCTTCCTTTGCAAGCAGCGCACGCAGCAGCATGATACCATCGGATTCACAGTCTTGACTTTATGAGTCACGATTGCGGCCAGCCACCGGCCGCCGTCTTTTTATTCATTCGTGATTTTAACTGCCTGGAAGCGGCGTGCTTACGCATAAACACGCGCAAGCTGGGCTAATTCGCGCTTTGCTGTCGATCTGCCTGGGTGCATGAACGCTGTGTGCGCGCGCACACGCACACGCGCACGCGTCCAATTGATGAACCCAATTAACTCGCGTCGGGTGCCTCGCGCCGCCCGGTGCTGCGTGCTGCATGGACCCGAGTAGGTTGATCCAACGCCATCAAGCAGCAGCAGCTGGCACAACGCCTATCCGAGACGCCATGCATACGCTCCATGGCGCCCGCATGCGCCCAAACGCAAAGGCTGCGCCGCGGCGCAGAGAAGCGAGCGCGCGCAGACTCTCCTTTTGCCCTGGGCGCATCTCCTCGCTCTCTCTCTCTCTCTCTCTTCTGTCTGCTCGTCACGGGCCTTTCTGACGCTGCTGCTATACTACTGCTGGTGCCCCCTCCGAGTGCCATTGTCCCCGGCATCGCGCTTGTCTGTGCTCTCATCACACTGGTGACTCTGCTGATCGCCATTGCTGCTGCTGCGCTGGCATTCGTGATCATTGGCGACAAGGACGCAGATCGCTTCCTACTCGAAGTTCGAAACTGCCTCTACCTCTTGCCCACATCACTCACCGACTCGTTCGCCTCCGAAAGAGTTTAGCACGCACGTCCCACAGCACAGGCGAGGACGCATGCACCGCCAAAAGGCGCAATCGCAACCGATTCCCTTGGCCAAATCCGCCCCCGCTGCGCCAACTCACATATCCTCCTGCTTCCGGACCACGAGCACATCTCTACGCCCAAGCTCTAGCCCCGACGTAACCATACGGTCTTTCCGTTTGCACGCGGTCATTGCGCCCGCATTCCCATCTGCCAAACCCAATCTCTCATCTGCATCGCCTGGCCTTTCGACGCGCGATCGCTGCGCATTGGCACTAGCAGCATCTGCTGGAGGTCCATAGAGTCGACTGTTTCTCAGCTAGCACGGCGCAGCACGCAAAGTGATCGCACGCACAGCGCATTCCGCTGTGGAGCTCGCTCCTGGCTCCAGTAGCGGGCCTATAGAAGATAGAAGGGAGGTTCGACCCGCCTAAGATCGTCATTGAGATAGCGGAGTGAGTCCAGACCGGCCCAGAGTAGTCGTGTCGGTGACGGGTAGCAACAGCAGAGCTTCGCAAGCATTGTTGAACAGCGGGCAACACGAGCAGACGAGTGTCGCTGGAGGCAATGCTCCCATTGGCCTCGCCTGAGCACGTGTGTGTTGATTGTCATCTCGCTGCTGGTGCTGCACTTCGGCACACCTCTCATCCTAGTGGCTGTGATTGGGAGGGATCATGCTATACTAACGCGCAACGATCTCTACCTTCGTTCGCCGACGCGCAGGCCACGCTCTCAAAAGCGACATACAGCACGCGCAGCGCGTAGCTCACACCGCCTCTCCACCAAGCCGACCAACATTCAGGGCCACTAGTCACTCCAACAGGTTTCGCTGCTGCATCAGCCGCAACTTTCGCCTATCGGCAGTCTTGGCGTGGTCTGCGGAGCTCCTGCATCCGAACCGGGCTTCGACTCCGAGACGCTCCCATCAAGACTCGGTGCTGTCTGTACGCTGACCGGCTGCGGGAGCCACGCTCGCTGTTAGAGACGTCGTGAGAGGACCTGGAGCGCACAGACAGCTTTCACGGTCAGTGCTATAGCCCTCTAGCCTCAGAGGAGAGAAGGCGCTTGGTGAGCTGACGAAGCTGACGTCTCTGCGCGACGCATCATACCGCAGCCCACACCGACATGACTTCGATAGTCAGACCTCGCTCTGCTCAGCCTACATCAGCTCGGTTGCCAGAGTTTGGGGCTGGTCCCAGCAGCGGTGCTGGGCCTTCAACGGGCCCTGCTACCGCCACGAACTTCGGCGATGGGCTGCCGACCCGCGCTTTCGAAGGCTACGGCAATTACGAGGGTGAGGAGTTGTCCTTTCTGAACGATCCCGCCCTCGACTCGGTGGGAATCTTGCCTGGATTCGATGCAGACTTCGACCTCGGGCTTGGCTCACCGAAGGACGGGCAAAGTCCGCTCTTTCGCTTTCCCGAGCTGCCCTCCAGCTTGCTCGATCAAGCTCCAGAGTACGAATATGTGAGTTCTGATAGCCTATTGCGGGAGATCTTGTGATGCCCCGCGGCTGACGAGCCACATCTTTTGGCAGTCTGCCCACACACAAACAAACGTCTTCGAGGCCACGCATGACTATGTTTCAGATTTAAATGCTTCGAAATGGTTTGGATTGGACGACTTCGATCCTTTGCTCAATCCCGATCTCAACGCAGGGGGGATAATGGCCGCAGCACCACGCGCGACCGACGGTGGTGCGAGCGCCTGGGGCTATGCGCAGGACGCAGGTCCTGGTCTGTCCAGTGGGGTTGGGTCCATGGGTGCCACCCCGGCTGTGGGCTACACCGACTCTCCGTACGGACCAGAGTCTGAACCGCCTTCGCGAGCCTCTGAAGCGGGTTTCTTGAGTGCTCAGAATGGTGGTGGGGCACTCGCCGACGTCAATCAAATGGGCGGTGGTGGTGCTGGACAGGCAGGCAAGCGTCGACGAGACTCATTCGAGTCGCCACAAGCGAGGGCTGGCAGTGCCGTTGCCGGTCAGCAAGCTTGGCCTTCTCGAGCCGCACCAAACCCGTTCCAGCCTCCCTCTCAAGCGCAGATTCAGCCGCCGCCTCTTGAAGCGCAGGCTTACGACCAGTATGGTCGGCCCATTCCAGTCCGACGTACGCAGCCACAACAAGGCCCTCCGCACGTGGTCCCTTCGCAGTCCATCCCGGCACCGGGCCCTCGGGTGCGCATGCAAAGCTGGAACGAAGGAAATCAGCGTGCTAGCTCTTACAGTGATGAATGGGGCCACCCCGGAATGTATGATTCTCCCGGACACGCCAGCTCATCGTCAGGCCACATGCCCCGCGGAGCGATGCACGGCCAGATGATGCATCCCTACAATCAACAACCTCGCGGGTCGTACGCGCCCATGCCGGGTGCTGGTGCTTCCTACTTGGACGGACATCCAGGACTAGGGCCACATGGGGCTCGCCTGAGTGTTGCTTCCGACATCAGCGCATCCTCGAGCAGCCGATTGCTAGAGGTGTCTGCCCATCAGACCGAAATGTCCCTCAACGCGGCTGTTGGAGCCGCTATGGAGGCTACAGGCGATCCCGATGGCGTAGCCAAATGCCCGTATCCACGCTGCGACAAGACTTTCGCAAAGAATCGCAGCTACAATCTCAAGGCTCATCTGAGAAGCCACTCTCAGCTGAAGCCCTTTGCGTGCTCACACTGTCCGCGGGCTTTTAGTCGCAAACACGATTTGGAGAGGCATGCCCGTGTCCACTCGGGCGACAAGCCGTACCTGTGCGAAGCTTGCGGAAAAGGCTTTCCGCGTAGTGATGCCCTGCGGCGCCACTGGCGTATGGAGAAGGAATGTGGAGAGAAGGCAGCCGAGATCGAGGCTGGTCAGCCACTCCCTTCTCTGCCTCCAGGCGCGAGCGCCATTATGGCCAATATACCCGGTGCACACTTCGCCCCTGGGCAGATGCTCGGAGCTGTGCCCCCTCCCCACGTCACACACGCCCCGTACATGGGCATGCAGCCACATCCACAAGGTGGCTGGGATGACGCACAAGGCTACGACGCCTACGAGCCTGATAGACGAGGCGACAAGCGCATGCGCCCCGCTCCATACTAGACTTTCCACTGCCGTGGTCATCGGCCGCCGTGCGCCCCTTTGCATACCCCTCTTACCCAGCCTGCTCTCAGGACGAAAGCGCACTATAACAACACCACCACTAATGCTCTGACTACTATACAGCTTTGGCATCGGCGATTCTGCTCTGCATTGCTCCGCTTCCAACAGTCGATGCTTGGCATGCACTGCATGGCGGATGCTCGTCAAGCGCGAGATATCCTGCTTCTTTCTCACCCCTGGCTCTAGTCACCTACGTTACGTATCAATCTCTTGTATGTCAATCTTTCCTTCGTGCACAGCTCTATCTTCAGCGCCCACTATCGGCCCTTGATGCCAAGCACCCCTCTGCAGCTGTCACTCGAATTGATGTTCTTTCTGAGCGGAAAGGCTTCATGTTGGCTGCGCTGCCCTTTCGCGGTCCCGATTTTGTAGTCGGCGCAAAGCAGTGAGCGCCTAGAGATGCATCGGTGGGTCAAGGCAAAGAAAGCAGCGCGAGGGCAAGACTTGCTGTTGAATTTCGGAAAATCGGATACTGGACTGTATCAGCTGCTCGGTACAGAGCGCCTGCGGTGTCCAGCCCGAAGGAGGAATGTGCAAGAGCTTGAAGGCTAGGCAAACCAGCCGGCGAGGCGAGAATCCCGACTTCCGAAGTCGGTCTGACATGGCTGGGCAAACGTGCAAGTCCGAGCCATGCCAGCCAGCTCCTGCGCGAAGCGGTTCGGTGGGCCAAAAGGGCCTTTGTTCGCCGCTTACTGTGCATGTCATGACCAAGCGAACGCATTCAAGCCTCGTACTGCAAGCCTTTCGTGTTCGTGTAGAGCGCCGTACAGAGGGACTGCCGAGTGCTGCTGCGGTGGTGCCGTTTGTGAAGGCATCTTGAGGCGTGCTGGTGGTACCTACATTACACTCACGGGTCAGAGCGCCTTGGCTGCGGGTTCTCGCTACGCGCCTCAAGGCCGCAAGCAAGACTCCGCCTGGCACGATTGACGACTCGCGCCTTGATATGGAAGCGAAACCTTCCCCAACTTGATATGGAAGCAATTCCTTCTGAAAACGCTCTCTCTCTCTCTCTCTCCCAGTCTCTCCAATCGTGAATGCTGATTTTCCGGAGCTCCACAGTCAAAGCAGCTTGCTGTTGCCCACTACTGCACCCTTGATGCGCTGATGCATCTGCTGCAACGGTACCGGAACTGTATAGCAACAGGACGAAACTGTGCGCGGACGATTGCGCAACGCAAACGGTCCAACCCTGCTCTTCCTGTAACCCCGCGGAGCAGCGCGAAAGCTTCGTAGCTCTTTCATACGGCAGCTACTCTTGACTGCTGTATACATCCCACTTGCTCCTTCGGACCTGGAGAAGGAGATTGCTCCGCGTATCTACAATCATGCTTGTGATAAGCGGTGATATGGAATTCGGTACATGGGTAATTGCAACGGCGGTCGATTCACGGTAGTAGAGGCTAATCATACTTTTGCATCGGCCGCCCGGGTGCATGGCGAACGGCGATAGTGCAGCGGCATACTCATCATGATTGTGGACATGTATAGTGAGGCATTCTTGGGTTTCGATCCTTAGCGGACCTCATCATTCAAGAATACGTAGTAGGGCCCCTGAAGAGCAGGGTTATGGTAGTCGCCGAGCTGAGGCACAGACAGCTAGGTGCGTGCGTGCATGGTCAACTAGCTGAGACAGATGAGCTAGTTGCTATATGCGGTAGCTGCTGTGGTGATGGTGAGACCACGCAGCAGCAGCATGCAGCAAGGCTTCGGTTCCTGCACACTCGGAGGTGTTACTGTAATTGCGGCCGGGGGTCTGCGCGATCATAATTATTCTTCTGAATCCTGAATGTGAATCACCGTGAATGCCATCATGGCTGCTGCTGCTGCTGCTGCTGCTGCTGCTGCTGGATGCTGGTCATGATGCTGCAGCGTATGCAGGCATGCAGCAGCTGCAGTAGGTCAAGTGTCGCTCGACCCTGATCGTGAAACGGCGGGATCATATCATGCTGCATGGAGAAATGCGAACGTTTCTTGCTTGAATTGCTGCTCGGGCGGGGGAAGTCAGTCGATGGCTGATAAACGCCGCACAGACCTCATACGCTACATACAGTAAGTAGCACGCGGGCCCTCATTCTGATTGGGGTGTATGAATCAAGCAAAGTCACGCACGACGAGAGTCGAGTCGCATAGAGTCGGCAGAGGTTTCCAACAATCGTGAGTCGTGATCGAGAATCTTGAATGATCGAGTTTTGAGTCTCAAAAGCTCGAATCGTGAATGCCAACACGGCCGAGCATTCAGATCAGCGTCCGCTGCTGCCTGCCTGTTTAAATCCACCTTTCCTTGCTGGTGCGATCTGGCAGCCATAAGCAACCACCACCCTTCCAGTACAAGCGAACAGGGCACGAAAGGCCAACCCATTCTGACCCTCGCAGCGGCAACATGGCCGCCTACAGCTCATTCCTTGCAAAGGCGCACCTCTTCGTGAGTGAGGTCTCTGCACCAAAATTGTCGGGACTGTATGCTCATCCTCGTGTCTCTGCGGCGGACTGCGTACGTATGTCCAGCCTTTGGTCGGAGGTGCGTTATACGTCACCTTCATCCTCTCGCTGATGTACTTGAAGGACTTTCAAGCGCAGAATCTCTTTCTGCACAAGATCGTCTTTCCCTTCAATCCTCAATTCGACGAACCGGAGAGATATGGTCTCGCTCCGCACAAGACTCGCAACCTCAGGCTGAAGAGCGACGACGGGATCCAAATCGGTGCCTGGCACGTCGTTCCGGATATCCACCTCCGGCAGATTGTGCAAAAGTTCGACGACCCTGCTCCATCAGATTCCGCATACGATGCCGCACTCAAGGCCTACCCCACTGTCATCTACCTGCACGGTAACGCTGCCAACAGAGCCGCTCCCTTCCGCATCGCCTCCTACAACCAATTCACAAACAGACTTGCCGCCAATGTTGTCGCCATCGACTATAGAGGTTTCGGTGACAGCGAAGGAGACCCTACGGAAGAAGGGCTAATTCTGGATGCCAAGGCTGCTTTCGACTGGGTCGTCGCTCGCAAGATGGCTCAAGGGATGTCGGAGGAGGAAGGTCGCAATGACATTCTGATTGTTGGGCAGAGTCTCGGAACTGGCGTAGCAGCTGGTGTGACGCAGCGACTGGTAGAGAGGGGTGAGCGTCTCTCCCACCGCAAAGAGGCAGCTGCTGTATGCGCATCGCTCTACTCACCTCAGCCTCTTGTGCCGCTCCACAGGTACGCCACCGAACGCCGTCTATCTCATGGCGCCGTACATCTCCATCGCGCATCTTTTGACATCTTACCAGCTGGCAGGATTCGTGCCAATTTTTGCACCCGTCCGTCTGATTCCTTATCATCAAGGTGCGTAGTCAGAGTCCAGCGGCCGGTGACCTGGAGCAAGGACTGACGCGGCGCGCTGCTTTACACCAGACTTGATCCCTTACTACCTCAAGTGAGCGCATTTTTCGTCGTTCCCTCTTCATCAGCAGGCTTGCTCATTTGGCCGCGAACTTGACCTCACAGTGCTCGATTCGAGAACTTCAACGCTTTGCCGCGCCTCATTCGAGCGTCAGGTTTGGATCCAGAGGGGCAGGTCTCTGCAGATCACACAGCAAAGTCAGAGGTTCGGCCAGGACACCCGCACATCATCATCAGCAGCGCGACCGACGATGACGTGATCCCATTCAGGCACGGAGAGACCCTGTTCGAATCTCTACTGAGGGTTCATTTGGGTCTCGCCACTCTACCCGGCTCTAGAGGCACCAAGGCCCAAAATGAGAGGGAGTGGGAAAGGGAGTATGAAAATCACGTGCATGTCCGGAAGGCGGTTTCGCGAGCTGGAACTTGGGCAAAGACGTACACTTTTTGGACAGACGCCAAGCTGGAGCCCAAGCAAGAAGGGCCAAGCGTCTCTCTGATCCGCACGCCTTTTGGTGGACACAATGGCGTAGCAGACGGTACGTTTGACCGTACAGACGCCGCGGCATGAAGATTCATTGACTTACACGCTTGCCCCGTGTCCACGTTTATAGGCATCATCGACGTTGTCGGAGAGCTTTGTGAGCTAGACGTGCTCTCTGCAGCAATGATACGCGCGTCAGATGACTGATCACGCCCGAAACACTCGTCTCCTACAGCCGGAATCAACTTCAATAAAGCTAGAACGCAATCCTGAATGAGGGCCCCGAACTCCTTCACTGAGTGTAAATTGCACGGGTCCCATGCGCTCGCTGCCAGAAATATAGAGATACACCAATCGAAGGTCTAGAATCGGCCAACCCGATGCTGGATGCTGCTTCGGTAGCGCACTTATCTGTGCAACTGGGCCAAAAGCTAAAAGTACAAGATTCCGTCCTCGCGCGCTCATCGACCTTCCTCGGGCCTCTCGCCGCAAAGTGCCGAGCGACGTCCGGATTGTGTTGCTGACGATTGCAAGCATGAAATGTGCAGCTGATTCGCTGGTCATAGGTATAGATTTTGCACGCTCTTCGGCGAAAGATTACGCTCTCGTCATCACTCGTCACTTTCGGGATCTGGCTTGATTGCGGCCGATTCCTTCTTGACGCTTTTGGAAGGTCTTCCTCGCTTCTTCTTGACATGTTTGTCTTCGGTCTGCCCCGCATTGAGGTGGTTATTGCCGTCAGCATCGGGCTCGGGCTTCGCTAGAGGCGCATCAGAAGCTTCCTTTGAGGGTCTGCCGCGCTTCTTCTTCACGGGCTTTGAATCCACCTGATTCTCTTCGTCGACGGGCTCTGGCTTGGCCTTCGCCGCGCTTCCTCTCGAGGCGCGCGAGCTCTTGCTTGCCTTCTTCGGTACCAGCTCAGGCTCATCAAACTCTTCCTCGTCCTCCTCTTCATCCTCGGCATAACTCTTCTTGGCTGACGCCGCTGTGAAAAGGGTTTGGCAGCGTCACGTAAGACGTCAATCACTTCTCGCACCCCTACTGCCATCACGCGTGTGTAATACTTACCAGCCCGACCTGAGGAGCGAGTCGCTTGAGCAGAGGCTCTTCCCTTTTTGCTAGAGCTAGCGATGCGACCCTTCTTTGCTTTCGTGTTCGGCCGATAGCCGTCCGGATCCGAATCGTCCGTCTCGTCGCCCTGAAACTCCTCTTCCCCATCGTCGTCCTCTTCATCATCCTCCGGCTCTGCCTCTTCTTCTTCATCGTCCTCCGCCTCCTCCTCGCTCTCATCTTTCTTCTTCCTTCGCCCTTTGGCGCCCTTGCCCTCAGCCTTGCTCTTGCGCTTGGACGCAGCAGCTTTGACTCTGGATCTGTTCTCCACTAGGTCGTCCTGCTTTGTGCTCGACCCTCGAGCGTTGCCGGCTTTCGCCTTGGACTTCTTTGGCGTATCTCCGTTGGCAGACGGCTGAGTCCCTCCTCCGGCATCCGCCTCCTCGTCCTCGTCTCCATCTTCATCTTTGGGCTGCTTTGCAGACTCTGGGATGTCTTCCTCTGCCACATGGCCCTCTGCCCAAGCCTTTCTGATCCTCTCTTGGTCCCACTCCTCAAGCTCTTCTATGCCGTCCTGCTCAGCCAATTTTTGAAACAAATGCGTGAGTCTGTAAGCGCAGACATGGTAGCGCAACGCCCCTGCAGCATCACTCACCAGATCCTCTGGCTCGGGCAGGGACTTCTTGGCATTGGTGATGATTCTTCCCGTCACACATCCCCAATGTCGCCATTGAAAGCCAGTATGACCTTGAATCTCTACGGACGGAAGTGCGATCCTCGAAAGTCAGCAGCTGCTCAGCCTGTGACCCCATCGAGGCTGTATTGAATCCTCACCTACGACGGTACCCCAGCGCTGGATGTGAGCGAGACGCATAGCGAACGCTTGTCAGCTCATGGAGGCTTGACTATGTCGATACACAAGCCCTCTGCAGCCCATGACTCACCATCTCCCCTTTGCCAATCTTGGTACCTGCGCAAGGCTTCGGACCTTTACATGCCGCTCTAGCGCTCTTGGCGTATTCGATGCGATAAGCTTGAGCACGCACAGGATGGAGCAAAGGATGTCGAGGGCTTCAGCACACGACACTGCGTGGCGCTGCGAGGCTCGATACCAGGGCTAGTCTGTCTGACCGCTGCTCACCCATGTCGACGACTCGGCAAAATTGACAGCGTAGATGATATGAGATGAGTTTTCCACAGCTGCTGTTGATGCTGATGATGCTGTTGCTGGGCCGGATGCTCTCCGGTCTGGAAGGACAGGCTCCACGGTAATGTGGAGGTGCGTGGGGGCCTCCTCTACCACTTGTGTGCGCGCAAAGCCAATGTGAGATCCGCCAAGGAGAATACGAGTATTCCCAACGCTGGGCTTTGATCGAGGCAGACGGATGGTGAGCTTCCTTGCTTCGAACCGTGATCACGAGGTTTTGCTTGGCGATTCGACGTGGTGGTGGATGGGCGAGGTGCGCTGGTGAGCTGTAGCCCATGGCAGCAGGGCTCGAAACAGGACCGGGCGCACTCCGCACCGCAACGCGCGTGATCGCAACTTGCATGCTGCTTGCTATCGCTGCAATGATGATGATCCGCTTCCGCATGGGGCTTCGAGGAAGCCACTTGGACTAGTCACGTGATGCGACTGCTGACGTTGTTTCAGATGCGTTCTCAACCGAATCAAGGGACTGCATCGCAACACCACGGACATTTCGCAGTCGAAGATGTCATTCGTACAATATATACAAGCAAGCAAGCGCCATCTATGGAGTGCAAACGCTTTTCGTGACATGACTTCAAGGAGAAGTCAGAAAGAGACGAGGAGGTGGTGCGGGGTCGCTCTATTACGCATGCCTTGCATCAGAGCTCAATTCAAGCGGGGCCTGACGGAGGTTGAAGACGCTCTGGCTGCTCTACGCCCGCTGCAGATTCTCATCTGCGACCGGGACAGGCTTGCCAGAGGCATCGTGGCCCAAAGCTCCCTCGACTCCCTGAGCAGCCAGCTGGGCGCGCTCTTCGGGCTCCGCGTACACAGGAGGCTCGTACAATTTCGTCACGCCATCTCTGGAGCCGGATTGATGGATTTACTGTCAGCGTACGTGCTGTAGACGTCCTGCCAGCCAGCCAAGCTGCCGCTACTCACGCGGCAAAGCCAATTCTTCGCACAACGAACCATACGGGGACCACACTGAGCGCGAACAGGGCGAAATTTATGCCTGCTACGGCGTCCAATCGCAGTGATGTGCTGTTGATGCCGTAGCTGACGGCTTGACCTGCTGACTCTGTCGCCCGCAAGATGGAGGCTAGTCTCACCACTTGCTCGTGACCGTTGCCAAATCCACCAATGATGAAGTACATGAACTCGTCTACGTCCCATAACCAAAGGTATGAGCTACTGCTTCAAATGATTATTTCACGTCGCGCTCACACTGCAGATTGAAGCCAAGCTGGAGGAGCAGGTACAAGGCAAATCCGGAGCTCCAAGGTCCATCAACCCAGTCGTAGGTCGGTTTGATTCTGTTGTAACGGTTCATGATGACGACCTGTAGAGCGCCAAGGTGACCAGCCGAGGGTCAAAGGGGTCTCGCGTGATCGGGAGGCTAGCATGTGTACCCACTGCGAAAATCCACCATCCGGCCTGCATGGTAGCGATAGTCAAGAAGCCGGCCTTGGATCGCGTGTTCAGTGACCACTTGCGCCAGTCGAGGAATAGGCCCAGGACGATCTGAGGTGAGATGACGGCGTCCCCAAGTGAGCTGCGGGGTTGCGGCCGAAAGACACGAACGCGGTCATCGAAATTTGAGGACAGCACTCACGACTCCCAGAGCGCCCACCACTGCGGACAACAGCGAGCCGAGGGCTCGTGATCTGACCGTGAAGTTATCGGCGGCATATGTGCCAATCAGAGACTCCGAAAAGGTGCCCTGCCACATGAAAGGCAGCACGAGCAGCACTCGTGGTGTCGTCAATGTCTTCCAAGTGTTCTTGATTTCTGCGCGAAGGCTGGAATGCATGCTGTACAACAAGAAGGAAAGGGTCAATTTCCAGCCGTGGAAATGTTCTGCGCGACGAGAGCTATCCACTCACCGCAGCAGCACCGGGCTGCCATCGGACCTCTGCACCTTCTCTGGAGGGCTGATGAGAGCGGCCACAAAGGGTGCCAGCGCTTGCAGGATGACGAGGACCAAGTAAGTGGACTTGGATACGCTGCCCGCCGTGTTCGCCTGCGCATTCAGTCCAAGAAGAATAGCTCCGCCGACGAATTGACCCATCACGCGGAAGCTGAGCCAGTATGACAAGTAGCGACCACGATTTTTGGGCTCCGGGTACGTCAAAGCAATCTGAAGGGGTGTGGCAAGTGAAGAAAGGTTTGCATTAGGCGCAAGACACGAGTTGACCGGGCAGCGGCCAGGTCTGAACTTACAGCCCCTTCAGCGGCCCAGAAGATGCCAGCGCTTATACCGCAGAGAGAAGCACCGAAAGGAATAGACCAATTTGCCTTGTCGCCGTACTGTGTGGACAAAGATGACAGGTCAGAGAAGGTGAGGTTCGGGAGAGGCTGGCTTCACCGAGCGTCACGCACGTAGCTCTTGCTGTACAGTGTCGCTGCGTAAGGAGCGTAGCCAGTCGTACCGATGATCAGAGCCTGTCGAGAGGCGCGACAGGAATACCCTGCAATGGTCAGCTGCCACCTCGAGTCACGCGCCAGTCCTGTATCGATTACCCGCCGGAGCAGCTCACCGTTTTGATGCTCGTCAGTCGCACAAGAGCAGGCGTGAGCAGACCAGTGACCACCATGAGCGAGAAGGTGGCACTGTTGCTAGCATTCACCAGCTGAGGAGATTGCGTGCCGCCCGCTCCCAGTGCTGCGGTCGCCCCCCATAGACCTGGGCTGAGAAAACATGCAACGCCTAGGATGGTGATGTTGAAGAATGTAGAGCGAAACGGGTTGCGCTTCACCACGGGCAATGGGCTTTGGAGCGCTTCACCTACCCCGACATCGCTGCTCGCCTTTTCGCTCGAGTCCGACATGGCCGATCGATGAGTCTGTGTGTGTTGTCGACGACTGAAGCTTGCGACGCAGCAGAGACGAGATGGGTGATGGTCCGAACGAAGATCGTGGAGCGTGATAAGCTACGTCTCTCCGTCTGACTGTGCGAAAGACTGTCAATAACGCATTAAGGCACGCAGCATCAATTTAGCGTTCTTAGGGCACCATCCACCCACCCTTGACCGTGGTCGTTGTGGAACAGCTACAGTAGCGTAGCCTGTCAGGGAGGCGGCTTCAGGTACGTTCGCTGGGGTGCCGCAATACAAGCACAGGTAAAAGAGAGAGGGAGAGAGGCCCACCACACTTGATCGCTGCTGCTCGATTGTTGGCAATCCGGCAACTTTTCGGCGTCGTGGCCGAGAGGAGATGTGTGAACATGACTGACTGGCTGCGAGCGGCCTAGCTGCTACTCAGATTCTGTCTGCAACTCACGACTGCTGGATATACAGTATGTTGCCATCGCATCGCATATTCTCGCCATGCTGATGACGCTTCCGGCGAGAGGAGTGAGAAGGTGCTCGTGGAAGCGCTACATGGCCACCCGAACGCCATCAGCATTTGTGGGCCCACATGCATGCATGCAAGGCTCTCATCACGCAAGCGCGGCCCTGACTCGCGTGCCTGCTGGATGCGCGCGGGTGTAACAAACATGCATCTGCACGAGCCACCCATCTCACGTGTCTCACGCGCGTTGCTGCTCACTTCGCGGCGCGCCCGCGAGCATATGATATGCATCGATCGGGTTCACGAGTCGATTCAGCGCCAAAGGGACGTCGGACAGCAGTTACAAGTATAGTCAATGGTCGGCAGATACGCGCAAGGAAGATCGTCATCAAATTTCATGTCATTTTTGAACGGCCCGTCGGTGTTCGTGCTAGATCCAGGAGCGCGCAGCTGCAATGCGCCAGCTCGACTGGTGGGATACAGTTTGGAGAAGACTACAGAAGGAGACGAAGCATTTTGAATGATGATGGGCGTAGGTAGGGTATCATGTTCCCTTTTGGACCGGATTGTCATCGAAAAGTCCTCCGCTTACTGAGAGGTGAAGCCGACTTGACGGGTGCTTCTGTTGAAGGTGGCACGAACGTTTTGGAGCCAGCTGTCGCCAGTAACCCAGGCGTTGACACCGACATCGCCTCCAATGACGGAAAGCACGCAACGGCCGTCGTTGGTCTGACCGAAAGATGTCGTCGCGGAAGAGAGAGCCTTGGTGAAGCTGCCAAAGGTGAAGGAGACCTTGGGGGGCCTGGAGCAAGTGTAAGCGCAGTAGGTGGAGCCGTCCTGGGTGAAGGTGGAGCCGCCGACGTTGTTGCAGAGGTTGGCAGCGTCGCTGTTGGGCGCAACAATGACGGTTGTTCCCGTGTCCTGAATGGACTCGAAGCTGATGCCGTTGACGCGGCCGGGGATCTGCCAGAAACCGTTGGAGGTGTCAACGTTGCTGTAAGAGGGGCTGCCGCCGGAGACGCCACCAAGGAAGAGGGTGGAGCCGCTGCCGGCCTTCAAGGTGAAGGTGAAGACGCTCTGGTCGACCTTCTTCTGGTTGATGAGAGAGTCGAAGAAGGGTGGGTATTGAGAGCCAAATTGGCTCAATGCAGGGAAAGACATGCCTGCAATACCCTGGTTGTTGGCGTCATTCAAGAAGTCAGTGGTAGCACGGCCGATAGCAACCTTGCTAGCCGAGATGCCTGCAATGCTGAAGCTATCAGTGTAGACGGTGCCGCGGGCAGTGGTACCATCTCCGTAAGCCGCAGTCCAAGCCCTGCCGGTGTTGGTGGAGGAAGAACCAGGTGTGTAGGCATCGCGGTTGACGACGAGATCAGCGGAGCCGGTGTCGAAGTCAATGGGGATGGTCTGACCGCCAAAGACGACGTTGCCGTGCCAGAGTTGCTCGGACTCGTCCGTCAACGCGACGGTGCCGGTAGCGCGCTTCTTCAGCTCCTCGGGCAGCTCGCGACGGAGGGGGTGCTCTGCGCCAGTGTTGACCTTGAAGTTGTTGAGCGTGCCCTGGTACTTGTTGCGCAGACTACAAGAGACAACGAGAACGCATCAGCAATGGATCAGCGCGCGGAAGGTGCCTCGCATCATTGCAAGCTAACCTGGTGACGTGAGCCGCAACCTTCTGGAAGTCGATGACGTTACTGTCTGCGTGCAGCAAGCTGCTGCGCTTCTCGAGAGGGATCTCGATGGCCTCGGAGACACCGGGGGCAGGTGCAGCAAAGACCAGAGCAGAGGTGGCGATGAGACCTGCGACGAAGGAGAGGCCGAGTTGCATCTTGGATGATGTGGGGGTTTGTGTTGCGGATGAAGTGTGGTTGTCAAAAGGGCTGCAAGTGCAGGGTTATAGAAGAAGTAAAAGATTTGATGGTGATGAGGGTGTGAGGGAAGTCGATGTGAGGCAACGATGAAAGAGGGTCTCCTTTTGTAGGCCATTCCGCTCGCTGCTGAGCAGTCCATCTTGATGGGCCTTCTCCTAACGTTGCTAGCCAGAGCAGAGAGGGCGCGCTTCCGTACGGACAAATGGCCGGATCTGCTGTGATTTTGGTACACGAGGCAGCGCAGCACGAATCATCACGTCCTCTGGCAGCTGGTTGCTCAGAAAAGCAAGTCTCCTGGGATGAGCCTTGAAGCGATAAGAGGGCGTCATGGTCCCTGTTGAGAAGAAAGGGCCGATGCAGCGACTAAAGTCTTAGCGTGGTCCTATCGCGGGTTCCACATTTAGCGCTCTCAATGGGAGCCTCTAGCACGGACCTACGCCCTCCACTGCGCAGAAGCACAGCAGAACCTGTTGCCGCCGGCTATTCGAACTCGCGTCTGCCGGCCAACGGTCCTCGACTCACGTAGTCCTTGTGTCAACCTTCGTTGGGCTCATCCGGGGCGCTGTCCACCAGCAAGCTGCTTCGCGCTAGTGCGGTCATAGAGATCACCCTGCAGGAGAACGCAACCACGACCATCAAATTCAAAATGACGACTGCGATCTTACCAGCCAGCTACCGCTCGGTGGTCAAGGCACTTCGCGAAGGAGCTTAGCCCAGCCCGGACGAGACGAAGCGAGACCTTCTGTCATCGCTGGACATGACGTAGCAGCACAGCGTAATTGCCGACCTCTTCACTCGAATATGGATGTGCCGTCGCAGTGCCGCCTGTGTATGGCTCGCCACCATCCATCGACTGAGGTGGAAGCGGTGTTGAGCTAGCGCAGTCTCGGCTTGGGGGAGGGCGGGCGATTTTGCGAGCATCGCGTTGCCCTGTCGCACTTTGAAGCCCGGGTGAGACGGACGGATGGCCGTGGGTGGAGTGTGTAGGGTGGGACACGATTCAGCGATAAGGCTCTGCTGCCTTGTGTCGGAGTCCCATAGCTAGCGCGAGCCGCTAGCCCGATGCACACTCACGAATGTGGGTGACCACTTTAGACTTGCAAATTACGCACGGAAGATTGTGTGCTTTTTGTTGCAAACAAAGTTTGTGCGCGAACAATGTAGTGGGAAGAAGAGGAGAGAGACGGCGTGTGTCGGATCTGCAATACTGTAGAGGGAGGTGGTGGGGCCGCTACTGCGACTGCTGTACTGGTGCCTGTGCTGCTGTCCCTCACCCTGTAGCTGGAAGTTAGCCGGCGGATAAGATCGAATAGCGGGGAACGCGCATGCAGCATGCCGCTCTCTCCTGCGCCGGCCTAACAGCCGTGCGTCGTGCTCCAAAGCTGGCTGAGCCTTCTTTGATTGCCCTCTTGCGTGCTACTCCGCGCTCTGACGCTGCACAGCACCGCACCGCACCCATCAAAAAAGTACGTCCGGTCCGTACGTGCAAGGTCATCGTGGGCATGACACAGTCGCATAGTCTGTACTGTGACTGTGGTCAAAGAAAGACCCACAAGCTTTCATTGCAGCGAAGCGTCGGATGATCCGTCTGTGCTGCTCTTCCCGCGAAGATCTCCGGCGACCGTGTGAAGGGAGCAGCGGGGCTATCTCTGCGACTCGCGTCCACTCACGACTTGACCTGCGATACGACCAAGGCCACCTGGCTTGCTCGACACACGCTCACGCACGCGAAATTTGAGCCGCGCTCTGCTTCACAAATGTGGAGATAAGGATGGTTGTGAGAGTGTTCATTGGCTACAGGAGCCACCGCGCACGCTCGATCGCGACAAGGCGTACGAGCCGGCGGTTCGCATGGGCATCACATGGCAGCTGCGCCCGCACCCATCCATCTCAGCCTGCGGGCGCAATTTCTAGGGCGTCGCTTGCGGCCAAGCTACTGCCGTGGAAGCGTCCCAGAAGGCGCCAGGCGCCGTCGTGGGCGCGAAGCCCATGTGGTCGGTCGGTCGAGCGCACGAAGCCGGCCCTGTCACTTTGGATCCATGATGACTGTATCCGCAGAAAGAGCGCAGATCATAAATAACCACAAATCACGAATGTTATAGTAGTGAAGCCTTGGAAGCAAGCTGCACGTTGCGGTCGCGCGCACGGTGTCGATCGAATGGAAGTGCAGAACGCGCTCGCAGACTGACTGATGAGTCTGTGCGGACACAACTGCAACAGTACGCACACGCACGCAGCATCCATCACAGATAGCAAAGATCCTTCCTGCAAAGTGCCGGCAGAAGCGCCGGCAAGCACCTTTCGCTGCGTCTGCAATCTTGTTCCCGCATGATGCTGCTAGATACGCCGCTTTTCACCCGCGTTGTAAGCTTTCCGGCCAAAGTCACGAGTGTGCACAAAGTCCTGTTTGCATCGTCACTTGCTTCCTGCGAGCCTAGCTGCTGTGGAGTCTGGTGTGAGTCGACAGGTTTGGGAGTCATGAGTCTTGAGTAGTAGTAGCAGCGACGCGCGGGCTTCCTTCCTCATTCACATTGTGCACGTGCATGCAGCTTTCCCGCCGGCCCGCGTCCGAAGCTGAAAGCGGAGCACAAAGCGGAGCTCGAGCATGATCCTTGCCTTCATTTGAAGAGCTACGCTCGACTCTTCTGGACTCGTGACTGCCAGCATGACGCACCGCCCACCTCCACCGACTGCGGGTCCTGCGCGCTACAACATCTGCTGTGCTGGATAAGGTTAGACCGACGCGGCAGGAGCGGGCCCCTCTTGCTAGCAAAGCTTTCAGCTCGCCTTTGTTCTTCTGGCAGCGTTGAACAATAGCTGGCGATGAGGTATCCATGAACAGGATCACAAGCTCACTGCGCCGCCCCTCCACTCACGCAAGCTCGATACGGATATCCATCCGTATCTTCCGCTCCAATTTAACCCCTGCTTCTAAAGTGCGAGGCGGGCCTATGTTATTCCAAATTCGGTTGCCCGCTCAACTCGGGTCCTCGCTTTGCGTTGAGTTGCATAACCCAGTTCTTCTAGCGCGCGACGCTCAGCGTGGGGCCGCTCCGGAGTGCGTGCGCACAAAGATACGGATTTGTGATCGTCATCTTGAGGCCCGCTGCCCTGCGTGCGGTGCATCGTGCAACGAGGGACGCGCAAGGCTCTGCTTCCACCTTCCTCTCCAGCAAAGTGATACTGGCATACAAAGGAGAAGTGCGGTGGCCAGCACATGCCGGACGAGCGAGAAGGGTCGCATGCTTTGCAAAATACTGCCTACAAGTCGTTTGCTCTGAATCTCACAGTTTCTTGCCCAAGAAAATCTTCTCGACTGAGCCATCAAAGCAGCCCGGCACTCGATACAGGACGTCGTAGCCGCACTTCTTGTAGAAGCCCTCAGCTTGGAAGCTGAATGTGTTCACCGTCGCAAACGTTGCCCCGCGCTTGCGGCCGAGCGCGTCTACCGCTGTCATGATCTCACGTCCGAGCCCGCTGCCTCGATGCTTATCATCAACCCAAAGAAGCTTGACTTTGAGAACCCCACCGGCAGCTTGGAAAATCATCCTGGTGCAGTCAGCGAGGATGTCATCATCTGGGCAAGCCTTGGCCAGCGCTGCAACTCACAGTGTCCAGTACATCCGGCAGAATATTTCGTTGATATCGGTACTCCTTGGTCATCTTGTTCGTGAAGTCCCACAAAGAAGGGGACAACGTCGTAGATGAAGCCGCTGACAAGGTGGTGTGGCGGTAGCGGTCCGCGCAGCGCCCGCCGCTTCAGAAACGGTCGACTCCGCGATGTACAAGCCCGCGCATGGACCTGACACTTACTGCTGCTTGCTGCAATCATCCAAGGCAGCTCTCACCGCCTCACCTGCCCCCTCGGGTACCTTGTCAAGGATGAGCAGCTCGTGCCTCATGCTTGCCATCCTGACTGTACACGCCGAGAGCTTGAGAGCTCTTGTCTGTTGTCTCGAAGGCAAGACCGAGTTTCTGGAGCGCACCAGACGGGCGACACCGGACAAGTCAAGAGGTCAGAAGAAGCGAAAGTGAAATCGGTGCCCGAGACAGGCGTAAGCCTGGCTCACAAACCCAAGGACGAAGATTGTTGCAGCTGCGCGCCACGCCGAGGACGTTTGTAAATTCAGTAGGGAGAAGGCATTGAAGATGCGTGGATCTAGCGTTGGGCTTTCACAGTCAAACAGTATATACTCTTGAATGAGAATGACGAGTGCCAGGTCGGTCGTAGACGAGGCTAGAGTCGTGGTCTGGTCCGTGAGCGTATGCCATGGCGCTGTGGAGAGCCGCGCAGGCAAAGGTTAAAAGTCAAGAAAGCACGTGAGTCGCGGTACATGAATGCGTCTTTTGTGGTGGCACGTGATGCGCCCTCGTTGCGCTGCACGCAGATCGGCGCGTGACGAGCTTCATGACGTCAGCCAGGGTGCACTCACGACTGCACGAGGGCACGCACCCCGCACGAGCCTACACGCTTGTGTCTCCGCCGTTTTGGGCATTCGTATGCAGCTATGCTAAGCCACAACAACAGCCGTGAAGTCACGAGTATACACAGCTACACAGCAGGGACGACAGAGATCGAGCTGCTGTGATCGCAGCCCGCCCAGCCTCGAGCTTTCCCCGCGGTTTGGGAAGGCGGCCGCCCTCTTCAGGCAAAGGCCGGATGGCGGAGCGAAGGAAGGGCGGTTGACCGCTGACGCCCGCTGACGCCAGCGTACGCCCGCTTGGCAAGGCGTCCCCGGCAGACGGCTTGCGTGCTATACAAAGCGGCTGCCCATGAGAAGGAGGAGGAGGTAGCAGCAGCAGCATCACGGTGCACCAGACCCTAAGCAAGCCAACTTCGCCTCATCGACCCTGCTCCTTTCTTGATTGTTCCACACCACACACATCTTCATATCCCTTAGACTTGTGATCCCCACTCACAAAGTCTTCAACCCTTCGCCCAAGATGGTCTCCGCTGCTGAGCTCAAGACTGACAACACCTCCCGCGTTGGCCTCGTGAGTAGATGTCTGTCGCTTGGCTTCACAGAGCGCCTGGACACTGCCGAGCGTACGATACAAACGCTTGAATGAAGTGTTCGCTGACATGAGCAATCCACTTGCAGGGCCTCGCTCGCTCGCTCATCACCCCTGATGCTCGCACCTTCACGCTGCTGGCTTGGGGCGCCGCATTCGGTACAGCCGTCTGGCAAAACTTCATCAGCGCTCCCATCGCTTACAGCACCTTGCCACGCAAGTCTTTCGGGGAGTTGCAGGTGAGTGTATGCGCACACCATTGGCTCTGGCGAGAATCGCCATGCTCATGCTTGAGTTCTCGTTCTTGCAGGCTGCTTCGCTGCCCGCCTTCTTCACCCTCCAAGCTGGTGCCGGCGGTGTCCTGCTCTACTCTCACCTGCGCGACTATCCCTTCATCAAGCACACCGGTTTCGATATTCTTGACCGCGCTACTTACGTCGCATTGACTCTTGGAACCACGATCGGTCTGAACCTTGCCAACCTTTTCATCGTCTACCCCGCCACCACCAAGCTCATGAGGGATCGCCACCGCCAAGAGCGCGCCGAGGGCAAGGAGGCTGATGACCCCACTGTACGTCCAGCAGTCTTGGATTTGCGCGCGCGTAAGGCGGACAAGGAAGACTGACACACATCCCTACTCTCCTCGCGACAGGCCTCTGACAAGCTCAAGACTCTGTCCAAGGAGTTCATCGCTTCTCACAGCCTGAGCGCTGGCCTCAGCCTGGCTGCCTTCGGCGGCCTCGTCTTCCACGGCTTGGTAAGTACAACAGTCAGTCGCCAGCTTTCATCGGAATCTCGCTGATGCCCCACGATCCTTTTCTTCTTTCCTTTTCCTCTTTAGTGGCTCGCCCGCTACGGCTTCTCCGAGGCCGCACTCAAGAGATTGGGTTGAGCAAATTCTTCTCCTCGTGACTAGGCCGTTAGAAAAACGACGGACACGAACAGTAGACTAAACGAAACGCTGGGAAGAAATTCGCTTCGCAATGATGAAACACATTCAAATTGCCTTCCGAGCCGTGATACTCCCGAATGTGACCCTTGAGCCCGAAAAAGCGAGCTGCGATCCTGCTCGGAACGGTAGTTGGCACACACACTGCTAGCAAGGCGACCGATGGGTATTACAGGGAGCTGAGAGACAGCTCCGGAGACGTGCGCAGTGCGACCTAACAAAGTTTTGGCGGGATTCAAGATGGTAGAGAAGAGAGAGGAGAGTGGCTCGAGCAGCGTAGCACGGTAGCCGTCCTGTACGAACATCGTGACCGCAGAATGCGCTACCGAGCTCAGAGCCATCAAGGCATGCTGCACACGATAGCGCATAGCGATCGTCGGCCCACCTCAAAATCAGAGACGCGGCGGGAAAGTAAAAGAAACTAATTGAAAGAGAGTGGGGAGGACTTGAAAGAAAAGATTGAAGATCTCGGCGGCGCTGTATATCGCCTTCCACGGAGGCAAGTCCAGGTGCGAAGTCTTTACAGTCTGTGACCAGGCACAAGCGTGAAAATGACGGTAAGAGCAGCGACAATCAGAATTACGAGGAGTAGGACGCCTGCAGCCCTCTTTCTGAGCAGCCGCTTGACGTAGGGCTCCTTGACCTTGATGAGGTGGAATGGCGTCGTTTCGCTCCTCATCGCGATGACCAAAAAGGGATCGAGCTCGTACTGATGCGACATGATCAAGATGATGGCGACGCTGAATGGTAGGATGACCCAGAGTCGCTTGACGTGGCCGACGTCCAGGAAGATGAAGCTGAAACCCGTTGCCAGACCTGCCCAGAGCGCCAGCAGACCCAAGCTCAGGCGCACCAGCGCAGAGATGGGTGTCAAATTGCCAAAGGCTTTGTGTCGCAGGAAGCGGGGGAATACGTCTGCTTCCATGGTGCGGAAGACGTACCTACGGACGACGAAGCAAATGCGATCAGACTAAAGCAGACGCAAGGGAGTGACTGTGACTTACTCTTTCTGCGAGTGAAACATGTCCGGCACGCGTGCAAGAGCTCGTTGCTGCTCCTCGTCGTGTGGGTGAGGCAGTTGAGTGCTCGAGATGGGAAAGTGTGGAATGCGCAGTTGAGGTGGGAGGTAGATCTCCTTCTCGCTTCCGGGTAACAGGTACCTCGCATATATGCGCTCTGCCGACGCGATCAAGTCCACTCTGCTGATTGCCGTATTCCTAGCGAGAACGGTAGGTGCAACGCTTGCCCTCTTCGCGAGGTTGCTCCTGCGTTGCGATCTCGTTTCGTCCTGATTCTCACCGCTCTGAGGCCTCTCAGATCCAATGTCGCCCTGCCCGTCAGCTCCAGGCGCACGCTCGCCGAAACCCTGAGGGCCAGACCTGTGGAGCTCGCCACCGTCCGCTTCCCATCCCGGCTGGTCCCACGGTTCTTCCTTATCATCCATGCTGCCCCTCTGCTCTATGCCGTTGACTCGATTATAGATGCTTCCCCTTTGACGCGCCTCCCTGTAGTATCCAGGCCAATCATCGCGCACATCCACCCCGGTACGTTTCAGATCTTTGAAGTAAGCGCGGCAAAGATTTTCATGCTGCTGCACGTCAAGCCAGAAGTCGAGGCTGTCCTCGCTACCTTCCCGTTGCAGGAACAGATAGTAGCAGTACAGGTCGACAGGAGGCAAAGTTCGTCGAGCCAAGACCTCTGCTAGGGTCGGCAGTCGCTTGCGTGAGGCTGAAGATGACAGGGATAGGGTGCGTTGGCCAGAGGGGGACGGCGTCTCCCTAGGTCCCTCGCGCGGCGGTTGCTTTTCGGTTGCCATGGTGTGTTTTGCGGACGCTGGGGTTCACGTGTTGTGAGAAGCCACGCGCGAGGTCTGTCGCGATTAGCAGGAAGGTGGTCAAGATAGACGCAAGCACGGGGTGGGATGATAGTGACAAGCAATCGAAGCTGCACTGGAACCAGCAAAGGATGGCGGGCTGATTGATGGATGCGTTGGAATGGTGAGGTTGAGAGAAGATGGTGTAGATATGGACGAGGACCTGTAAAAGAGCGTGGATCTGCGATCGTTGCACTGCAAGCAACGGAGAGAAGATGAAGCTTGGTGCGGCGCGGCGCTCAACTAGTCGGTGTGGGATAGAGCACGCAAAGGGTCTAGCAAAGCGCTGTTCAGAGTGCTGGTGCTAGTATTACTAGACAATGGTGAAGCAAGGACATCCTGGGGAGGGTAATGATGGTAATAGTCGAGGATGTCGGCTACGGGTTGATCACACGCTTGTTGTGGTTGTTGACGCCTTTCACCCGCAGGCCCCCGCGTTCCTCTCGCCAGCTATCAGCCCGTCTTGAAATTGTCTCAACCGACGCGTCCCAGCGCCTCGCTCAGGAGACGACAGGCATCAAATCAAGATTAACCTTGAATGGCCGGTGTATTGGTAGAGCGGCGATTTTGGATTGCTGCTTATAAAATCTCTCAACGCCTCGGACGCGCATGCACTTGAAGACATGTAGCGCAGCTTTTAGTTACGTCAAAAGTGAATTGTACTTTTGACTTGCTCCTAATTTGGGCGCGTAGAATTCTGGATGCTGTGGCAGGGGCTCCGCTGCGGGCGAGGCAAACACGCTGCGCGCACGTAGCGTTCGCCTGTTGCGTGTTGCTGCTGCTTGCATGCAAAAGAAAGCTTCAAATTCTTCTTTCAGCAGCCCGCCGTGGCGCGGGCGATCGTGCCGTTGGCTGCGCTAAATCAACGTCTGCCTAACGCTCTGCATGGCTGTTCGCTCCATGCAGCAGGTCGATTCAATGATTGGATGGCGTAAAAAGCCAGCAGCCAGGACATTCACACAACCAAAGCTCGGGCTGCCCTGAGGTCAAAGACGTCTGCCCTTGCTGTCCATCAGACTCTACGCAGGGGATGAAGAATGACGCCGCGCGAACCGACGACGGCTCCGTCACTTGTGAGCGGTGGACACACATCGGAGAGAGAGGCGAGCCATTTCCGCGCCTCGTCTCTGTCAACCCGCAAGCGTGATTTGATTATGAGACAGTTACAAAAAGGTCGCAAGTCGACTGCAAAGCATGTGCCGTATGCCATCGACACTGAGACGCGGCCCTCAATACCGAAAGTCTGGTCCGTTATTAATCGCCTTGCGGTACTCAATCTTCTCCACCTTGACCTCTCCATCTATAAGCTGATAGACGTACGTGACTACTACAGCGCCTTGTATATCCAAAACTGAAAGTGAAGGAGATGTCTTTGTGTCAGATCACACGTCTGAGGCGTTAGCGAAGCCGGTCGACTCACGAGCGAAGCTTGGCGTAGGATCTGGCGCCGCAGTTGGCTCTACGGGAGGCTCCTTCTCCTCTTCATCGTCATCATCGTCATCCCCCGACTTTGCCTCTGCACCTGTCTCTGACCCGTCCTCTTTCACATCCTCTGATGTGGTTTTCCTGTCCGCCGCGTCCTTCTGCGTCTCTTGCGTGACTTCAGTCTTCGTCTGCTGTGCCGCATCGCCCTCAGGGGACTTCTTAGTTGCCTCCTCCTCCTCCTTAGCATCTGCTTTCTTCTCTTGCTCTGCCTCGGAAGCTTCGCGGGCCTTCTCAGGCTCCTCCTTCATCAGTGGCCAGACGGCGCTCCATGCACCAGTGGCGCTGCCAGGGTTGATGAAGAATCTGCCTTCTGTCTCAAAAGCCTCGAAACGATGCGTGTGGCCTGATAAAAGAATGTCGGCATCCATCGCCCGAGCTACGCCCGCAAGGGCATCCGCATCTCCAGCAGGTACGACTTGGTGTCCGTGCAGCACGCCGATGCGGAGCGGTGGATGGTGCAACAGAAGCGAGGTGGGAAAGTGCGGATTCTGCGAGTAGGAGCGACCACGGAAGCTCGTGGTGAGCTACCTCTTATGTAACGACCTTCCATGTTGGCTTCGAAGTGACGTCGCTCTCGGTCACCATTTGCAGCGCACTAATTGGACGACTCACCTCGTCCCAGTCACCCTTGACAACGTGCACGTCCGCTGCCAGCGTCCTCAAGTAATCGTACGTATCCTTATCGCACACATTCCCAGTGCAGATGATCTGCTGTATCTTTCCCGGCACCAAGAGCTTTCTGAACTTGCTCGGCAAATCGTGCGCTCTGTGCGGGAGGTGCAAGTCGCCTGCGAGGAAATATGGCATTAAAGAGGTTGAGCTTATGCGCGAGCAGTGTATCCTGAGCCGATGGAGCTCACCAATGACCAAGACGAGCATCTTCGCACGAGGAGTCGAGGCAGAACGGCCGTGGGACGCGTACTTTGGTTCGATGAGGGCTTGATCTGGCTTCGGTCAAGTCGGGACGGCCCTTGAGCGGTCCTTGGTCGACGAGGCTTCAGATGCTGCAAGGGGCTGAGACTGCGGTGTCGCTAGATCTCGACTGCACCAATAATGTATGCGATCAATGCTGCCACATCACTCAAACCTCGCTAGGTGTTGGGGCTATGGTCGGGGCCGCTCGATGCGCGTGCAAGCGAAGCAGAGGCTCGCCGATCACAAGCATGGTGGAGGCAAGAAGGCGGAGGTGGGCATGAATATGAGCACGACTCCTGACCACGTAGCAGATTCTTAATTCATAGCATGCATGGAGACTCAAGACTCACGCACGACTCTCTTGGACCGATCGCGTCGAGTGTCACGTTTCCATGTTCGGGAAAGATGTCCGTGCGCGCCTCAAGATCTGGATGCGGGGCAGCATCAGTAGCTGCTGCTGCGTGACTGCTGCTGCTTCTGCTTGCAGAGCGCGCTTCGTGGCGCAGTGCTTCACCCGCTCGAGCACATAGAGCATACAGAGAGGTACGTGGGGCAGTGAGACGGTCCAGCGGCTCAGACGAGATCTCGATCGACTGGAGCACCACCATATACACTTGTCCGCTTGTGCCACGGCTCCTCTGCATTCTCAGGAGAAGCTCGCCAGCTTGAGTCAAGTCCAATACAAGCGCACGTCAAGGCGCACCGACTGCCAGCTGCTGCTCCAGTGCCCACCGCTTCATCTCCCTCGGCTTCTCCCAGAGGGTGACCAGTATGGCCCTCTCGCTAGCATCAACCCTCCCTCGAAGGCTTGCAAGCTCGCAATTCAAGCTTCTAGGCTCACCGCTCCGCGCCGAGCTCGCTGCCCGGAATGCTCCTCAACTTCAAGCTAGAGGCTACAACGTAACCCCCGTTAGCCGAAAGCAGGATGCCGAGCCTAGGCAAGGCCTCTTCAAGGTGAATGAAATACAAGCTTGCCTTGCATCGAGGAGCGGCCATTCTGACGTTGCCATCATCTCGCTGCCCAATCACCCCCACTTCTTCCAGTCTTTGCTGCACGGCTCCGACACAGCTCGCGGCGAGGGCATGACTGCGCAGTCTCACAGCACAGCGGTGGGCAGGAACAAGTACGTGCACGAGATCTCTCGCGTGGCTGTCCAGCCAGCACACGTCGAGGAATACAAGAAGGTACTTGCAGAGCATCTGCCAAAGATTGCCTCCGATCCATCCCTTGGGGCGCGCTTGGTTGGAGCTTGGGAAGTTGTTGTGGGCGATCTCGAGACTTTCTGTGAGTAGCTTCAGTCTGCCGCAAACTTCCCACCCATCACAGTCTTGCATGCGCTCTCTGCCTTTCAAATGAGCGCTTTCTCCCGTCGCTCTTACCTATGGCATCGCTCGTCTCACGTCAACTCATGACTGCGCTCGTTATGCAGATATGGTTTGGGAATTTGATGGCTATGCGGGATATGATGCATCTACCAAGGCCCTCGCCCAGTCCGAGGTGAGTCACTCAAACTTTTCCTCAGAACGCCTCTTACGCTTACTATTGCTGATACTCACACCTCACTGCTTCGCAAAGGTCTGGAACTCGCTGCAGCGTTCAGTCAGGCCTCTCATTGCCAGTCGCAGCAATTGGATGGCGCAAGAATTCGGCTTTTGGCAGACCAGTCCACCCAATGACAAGATGGGTGGCATCGTAGAGTGGAGGACATATCATCTCAAGGTAAGTTCTAGGCGATGCATGAGTCCGGCACATACAGTACGAGGCTGCCCTTACACTTAACATTTACCTGCGGCCCGTCTTTGCTCACTTCTCCGCTCAGCCTGGTATGCTGTTGGAGTGGGAGACCAACTGGCGCCGTGGCCTCGAGGCGCGAAGGAAGTTTGTAGAGCCGGTCGCCGCTTTCTTCACGCAAGTGAGTCGAAAGTGGAGGCGCGATGTACATCTGTGCCCTGCGCTGAAGCGCAACCATCTCCCGTGCCGGGCCTAAGATCGGTGGTCTGCACACCGTTCATCACCTCTGGCATTATCCAGACTTGGATACCCGAAAGGTGACGCGCGAGGCCGCTTGGCAAGTCGAAGTGAGCTGCACAGTCTTCGTCAAGACTTGTGCAACCATTGCTCAGCTGATCGAAGTGTCCCACCGCTCTCTCTGCGCTCAGACCTGGAATGACACGGTCTCGCAGACAGTCAAGCTGATCGACAAGATGCACGCGCAAATCATGAAGCCGCTACCTTTCAGTCCGCTACGATGAGGTAGCAGATCAGGTAACATCGAGCCGTCAGGACGGTGATCAATCCTTGGGTAATGTAGATCAATCCACATCGCCAAGCGGCGCGCTCTTGTCCTGCAGTGAACGGTTGATCTTGCTGCGCCGGTATCGCCGAAGTGATTCGCCCATAGGGTTGAGCCACTTGACGTTGAGGTTTGCGCCATTCTGTTACCATCCGGACATGTACCATGCCAATCGGCAAAAACTTTACTAAAATCAAGGTGTACAATACCGCGACCCTCAATTGGCTCGGTGCAAGGCGTTCGGTGCTCGTTCCGATCGCAAAAGATCCGCACTGCACTCGTACACCTACTGCTGCTGCGCATGCTGCTGTGGCCTGAGCCTATCTCAGGACAAGAAGATCCAGATACATAGCGGGTGCCAGTGAATTGACGATCAGCAGCAGTCACAGACTGATGTGTCAAAATTTGAATTCACAGCGTGTCTGTTTATATCTGCTTGCACGTGTTTTGGCGGCGGTCGGCGCAGGTGAGGTCGCGTCTCACACCCAGCACACTTGCTGCTTCTGCACAGCCCCAAAGTCAAAGTTGGAAGGAGGGCAGCACGCGGGAGCCGCCGTTGTGGTTCGCGCGAACATGACCATCGCTGCCACGACTTCTCCCTTCGGCAGTCGCAAGATGAACAGCGCTCATCGCTCCATACGTCCACGCTCACTTCGCTGACCTGTCACACCGTCATCCCAAAGCGTGCCCCTTGCTGAGCGTGGCTTAGATGTGCTAGTCGCTGCTGCTGCAGCTGCCTTCACCATCTCAAACGTGCCTTGCATGCTGAGCTCCAGACGAGCGAGACAGCACTCGCGACACCGACTGAAGCGTCTCAGGTCGGCTTTCACGAGAACAAGACTCTGACAGCAACATATTTCCCGCCGCCCTCGCGTTACACTCCAGCGTTCGAGCACGCGTGACTGTGGCATTCCGGATGGCATTGTCTCTCTTGCCGCAGCTTCATGCCATCCCAGTTGCAGCAGAAATAGCATCTAGGAAGCGAAGAGGGTTGAAAGTAGAAACACCTGAGCTGTCGCACCTCTCCAGCAGCGGGAACGACCATGATAGCCTCTCCTATTGCAGGCGCGCCCAGGTCTGCTCTCACCCCTTCAGCTAATGACACCGCCGCTGCTGCTGTCTCCACCTCTGCCCGCTCTGCGCTGACTTCAGAGGGCGGCGGGCCATCCGGAGCAAAGTCACCTCCGCCTCTATCCCTGCTAGTGGTCGGCGTAGCATCCAGGAATGGTTTCAAAGGCAAAGGCGCGAGCGAAGATCTCAATTTGGCTTTGGCACCTTCTCGAGATCGACCGATCAACACGAATGGGAGCGCAGGGTCCGGGGCCAATTCGCAGGAGCCGGGGGATTTGCAAAGCCTGGACGAGAAACTGTCTTTGGTCGAAGGCATCCTGCCCGCTGTGCTCCAGCTGCAGCAGAAGCTGGCACAAGGAGCCAAAGCTGGCCCCTACGCATTGTGGGAGAAGCCAGCAGAGGTGCAGGGCGGATCGCTTGATGGGGAGGAGGCCGCGAGGAATCCAGGGGGGTTGGGCTCTGGGTGGGCACTTGGAGCTACGGACGACGATGCTATGGCATACGCGACAGACGAAGCACTCTTATCGAATCTCAGAGCTAGAGTGCCAACGCAGCTCAACAAGGACATTGTCGCGGACAGACGGGTCTTGGAAGGGATGTATGCGAGGGCACGAGCTGCGGTTAGAGCTCTACCTCCACAGCCGTTGAGGTCGTTCGCGGAGGCGGAGCACTTCGAAGACAACAACACCTTGGGCGACCGAAGCGAGGAGACGACCGCACAAGAAGCTCGAGAGCTGACGGAAGCGCTGGAAGCATACGAGGAAGCGCTCAGAAGGGCGGCGCAACACCTTGCCCAGGTCGAATGGAAGGACGACAGGCAGGAGACACGAACCATAAAAGCGGTAACAGTGCTCCCATAGGACACGAAGGCTGCGACGTGCTCCATCTCGAGACGCATCGCGCCAAACACGCGCTTTCTCTAAGGCAGACGTAATCGGCGATAACGTTGTTGAAGCATAAGATGACAACACGAGAGATTCGATGGAGCGCGTAGTGCATAGATCAGATAGATGCTGAGCAGCAAGGGATGGTGAAGACGCCCACAGCATCTTGAGGGAAAGGTGTCGAGAAGAATAAGGCTGTTGCGCTTGGAGACTATTGTTACATTCGTGATGCAGCGTGGCTCCTTGCATCACCAACCGCCGCAGTTCCTGCAAATACCATTGCTGTCCCTTTTCCAGTTGCCACCGCGTCCCCCTGCACGTGCTTCAACATCGACATCTTCTCTTCGGAAGTTGCCGCCGTTGTGGCCGCCCCCATATTCCGCGCTTTCATCTTCCCGGCGCCATTGAGGTGTTCTGGGTGGCCCGGCAGCCGCGTTGACTGGGTCCCTTTCGACAATAAGTCCCTCCGAGTCTGTGACCAGATGAGGTGCAACGACATCTTCGTCAGCAAGGTGGCTTGACGGTGTGATAATTGGCCCGAAAGCAACCGAGACTCACCAGCAGAAAGGACGGGAGCGGCGTTCACGAAAGCGAGCAAAGCCACAAGAGCAAAGGCGTAGACGACGCGCATTGTTGTAGGAGATGGACGAGTGCACGGCGATGAGCTGTCTTGTGGAATACTGCATGGAACAACAGGACGAGCAACACGCCAGAAGTCAGCGACACGGCAATGGCAATGCTGGTCTTGGTAGCAAGGGTTGGCGTGGAGTCCAGCCCACGACGCGATCGTGATGGACGCTCTGCGCCGTCACGCTTGGCCGCGTTTGCAAATTGTAACTCACAAGTGCTTTCCTGGAAATGTGACTGTGAATCAGAATAAGCCGGGGAAGTCGATCTGGGTGGTAGACGTGATGGTGATCTGGAAAGCCTTTGTAGACTTCGTTTTTATGGTGTGTTGAAGCGAGCGTGGAAGGCTGACAGACAAGCTTCTCAAGGGCAGGCGCGACGAGACGAGGACCCGAGTCAAGCAGCTGGCTTCATACGAGTAGGCCGTGAGATTGTGCAGTTGCAAGGGTGGATGCAGCGCCAAGACGAGAACGGCGAGCGACGAGGACCTGAAAGAGGTGCCAGGACTTGCCGCGGTACGGCAGCGTGGGTAGGTGTGCACAATCAGAGTGTACTGTATGTGCAGAGGGACCTCAATGCTGGCCCTTCGAATTCACGACGTCGTCATCAGACGATGTTGCGCCGACGTATTTTGCATTTCGGAAGGGAGCCATGGAGACGGGCCAAGTCCCACAAGAAAAGAAGGAGTAGTTTAGAGCGTGTGGGAAAGCAGGCCGGCTTACTGAGGCTGCACCAAAGCTGCCTTCCTAGCACTGTGAGCACTATGATCGTTTCGACGGGCCGCTCATCCTGCCTCAGAAGAGTCGCGGGATGGGACTGCAGCCACACGGACAGTCCGGCCGCCAGCTAGTGAGTGTATGCACTGAAGAGAGAGGGCAACTGCGCTGCTGCTACGAGCGCAGCATCGAGGATGGGCGCTTGCCTGTCTCTGCGCTGTTTTGCAGGGCTACATCAAAGCCTAGGGAGACAGACACAGGGATCGAGAACCCGAACAATTGGGCCCGGCACCATGTGCGCTGCAGCAGGACCCGAGTGTCAAAATGGTGTGACCCCGAAGAGTTGAATGAAGGCGAGACGGTCAAATTTGCGCATGAATAGCGTGCTCTATGCATAAATCACTTTTCCATGTGCGCGATCGATGAAGAAAGTAGGTCGGGCACTCGGCACACCCACACGCACACGCAGCACCGCCGTCTCGGCGCTCAACTCCGGCATCTCGCTGGTGAAGCTCCTTTGGACTCCGCCGTCAGCGAGGAACGCCCAAGGGAGGTGGTGCATGCAGCTTCGGTTGAGCAAAGAGCTACTTGTGCATGAACAAGACTGTCGAGACGTGTGGTACCGTGCACACGGCGCGGTGGCGAAAAGCTTTACTGCTAGCTGCAGCACACTCAAGACTCAAGACTCAAGACTCCACCTGAAAAATCTGAAATGCTGTGACGCTTACCCGGCTCTCGGATGTAAAACTTGGTGTTGTCATGCAGGCACGAGCGGACTCCACGCTCTCGCGACCGTGCGCAGGGAGGTCATCGTCATGCACGACAGGCCGACACTGCCGCCGTCTTTCTCAATTTCGGCCACCGTTGTTCAGGCGCTTTCGCTAAGCGCCATCCCGGTGGCATTGGGGGGAGAGACGTCCCGCGCAGAGTCTAAGCGCGTACACACACGCGATGCGAAGGCATGTCCAGGGTGAGACCGCGGCACGTCGGCTTTACGACCCTTCGCGTTGCGTACCAAGTCAAGAGTGTGCAAGTCCCAGGCTATAGTAGTAGTAGATCACTTCGTACATACGACTTGGCGGGCACCAAAGGCTACGCTTGATCAAGCAGACAGCTATAGGAGCACGAGCACGAGCACGGGCACGAGCACGAGGACGAGCACGAGCACGAGCACCCGACACGCATTCTAAGTCAGTCCTCTGTGACCACAGTCAAGAGCTGTACTCGTGATTTGCGAATGCCGTAAATCGCCATCCGGCCAGCAACTTACACATAGACGTGCAACAGCCGTGCGCTCAGCCCGCGGTCCCCTCACATTGATTACATTGACAAGCAGCCATCCCTATGCCGTCGGGTCGGCAAACGCGCCGCTTTGGCCGCAAGACCCGCAAGATGGTCTCGAGCGGTTTGAGATTGCATTTCAACGACAGTTTTCGTCGGGTGAAGTTTCGCAAGAATGAATCGCTTCACGCCCCCGACAATGACCCGTAGGTCTGGGCTCGGACCTGTGATTTATTCATCACTAGCAATGATACTAGCTACTACTTGTTCCCTAAAGATGGAAATGGTGAGGAGCGTTAACTCTTGCCTCACGCACGTTGTGAGGACGCAGCAGCTACCGCTTGGGCCCTGAAGTCATTGCGCGTCATGGTCCCGCTAGTCCTCGAAGATAATTTAGCAGTCAACAAATGCTGGGGAAAGCATGCACGGCTGCGAATTTGACCAAGTAGAAAGAGTCCAGCCGCGCGCCAAGGCACCATCAATGCTGTGAGGACAAAGCTTGGCCGTCGATCGTCGCATCCGCGTGCTGTCCTGCATCGGGTGCACGGGTGCTGAGGCCGGTGCCGATACGAGCGATGGGACCCTCAGAGTCCGCGCCTCCTGCCTCCTGCCGGTGGTGGGCTTCTCCGCACCTGTCTAGTGACGCTTGCGTGTCAGGAGTCAGCAGGAGTGTAGTCGACGGGCCTCGTCTGGGCTGCTCCAAGCTGCGGATGAGGTTCAATGCTTTGCGGCATCGCCTACTCGTCTTGCTGAAAGCGCACCACCGCTGGGCGTAACGGTACCCTAGCCAGAGTCAGCGGTCGAGGGCGCAGCCCTCAGGTCGCATTCGAGAGACACATTTGCGAAGACCCTCATCCTGATGCTGGGAAATGTACTCTCCATGTCCCGTGAGATCGCCCGTCGGTACCAGCTAGGGTCAGTGCCTATCGCTAGAACATTTGGTCCTGCTTGCGGCGAGAGCACCCAGTCTTGGCTCGATTGTGGGTGCCAGGGGTCAACCGTATTAAGGCGCGAGTAGTGCATTTTTCTCGAAGATGCCTCGAGGCAGTACGGAGGCCTCTCTAGTTCGTGGCCGGCACGCAAAATGCGCCATCCGTGATGACGGATGTGCGATCTCTGCACTTGGGAGCTTCTTTGGAGCACCAGCAACACGCCGCAGAGTGGAACCGCAAGATCGTCTTGAATTGGCGCCTTGTTGGTCTGCGACAAGAGCGCATTCTCGATGCTCTGACGCCCCCAAATTTTTGTAAGCACGCAGCGAAGTGCGACGCTACGCATCGCTCCTTGCGTTGCCCCTTCAAATTTTCGCATGCTCCTTCCCGCTCGATCTGTCCGTTTCCTGTGTCCAGCCCGTGGGGCTTTCGAAGATGTCTGTCCTCAATACTTCCATCTGCTCCGAATCGGTACTCTTGTCAGCAATCGACCCTAGCATCGAGGTGAACAGAAACTGATCGGCCCCTTTTTGCCTTGATCCAGGGCGACCTTCGGGGCTAGCGACGGCCTGATTCGGCGAGTGCTTTGGATGCATGCCGCCTGATCTTTCCGTGCCGATCCTACCGATGATAGCTAGTCGTATGGTTGACCACGATGTAGCAAGGATTGAAAAGATCATGCTGAGATACACGTTGAGAGCTCTGCAATACGCTGCAGCGAAGCTGATGCTCGTGTTGGAGGAGGTAGATGCGGTGAGGCCGATCGAAATGATCTGGACAATGAGTGGTGGCAAGAATGACATCAAGATGGCTTCCACGAGGAATACGATGCTTCGTTTGAGGGCTGGGCTGCGCTCTGCATGCTTAAGAAAGGTGACGGCTTTGTAGAGGAGTATGCCCGAGGCATAAGCGCAGAACACTATCTGCAAAATGGTCTCTGCCAGTGCTGCCTTGGTTGCGTTGCGCGTGGCACGCAGCTCGGCGATCCACAGGGGGTTGTCATCGGATGTCTCGACCCCCACCTTCTCATCCAGTGTGACGTAGCCGAGGTACCATTGCTGAACGCTGTAGATCATCGTCGCGAGGCGAGCCAAGGCAACAACAATGAGCGGCGCAATCGGCAGAAGTCTCCTCCACGCAACGTAGTAGATTCGCTTTGGATAGAAGGCAGCCACCTTGATGATCAGGGTCAAGTCGATCAGAAAAGGCAGTAGGTGCGACATGATCTCGATGGTCGGCTCTGCCTCGGGCCATGGCGTCGGCTGAGATCTGTTCTGGCCTAGTTGCTCGATGAAATTTGCCGTGTAGAGGTAAGTGTAAGCAAGGTCGATGCCGTTGTAGATGAGCGTGAGGATCAACAAAATGCACTGAATGCTGAAAAGCGGTCTGCGCCTTTGCGCGGGTGTCGAGAGCAAGACGAATGCTGTGGCGAACAGCCCCATGAATCCAGTCCAGAAGGCCATGAAGATGGCTTGCCTTGCGTTGAATTGCGTCAATTTGACGGCCGTGTCCAAATAGCCCTCTGGCGTCGAAGTGATTGGCATCTTGGAGCTTTACTCGGTGGGAGATCGAGCCTTCAAAGAGGTGGCTTGCCGGTACGAGTGGGATGCAGACGTTAGTCAAGCTTTGCAGGCTCTCAATCACGAATGTAGCGAAGGGCCGTGGATGAGGATGCGAGGGACCATCCCCCTGCTGACCCAACTCTGCGTATCCGGATCGCTGGCTGCCTGTCGAGGAGCGCTCGCATGTGCGTTCGATAGCTCAAGCTGGAGCCTAGCTACTAAGCGTGGTGTCGTTGTCTGTGACTGACAGACACGCTCTCCCACCATCGTCCTATCATCAATTCGTGAATCACATTGCAAGTGCCACTTCAAACTTTTCATGTATGAGGGCGTAGCCGGGCCCGTGTGATTGTGGAGAGGAAAGTTAGCCTGGCGCTACTATGCGAACATGCACCGACGACGCAAGCAGGCGAGGCGGACGACGGACGAGACGAGCGCAAGAGCAGTGGTGACTGGTGAGTCTGAATGAGTCCGTCGTTGTGCTTCATGATCAGGTGAGAACCGCAAAGCGTGCGCAAGTCCGTGAGGAGCGACTCACGAGTGTGTGTGGCTCGTCGTGTGCACCGACGTCAGCTGTATGGTGTGCTGCTTTCTCATGCAAGGAGAATGGCCGACCACGCGGTCACGTCGACACAGCGAGCGGCAGAGCAGAAGAGAGTTCTCGATCAAAGACGTCTTCGAGACTGATTCTGATTCAAAATTGTCCGGGAGTCAGCTCGCTCACGTGGGACTCTCGCACTCGTAGGCGCAGGTCTTTGCTTGAGCATTCAAGATTTGTGATTTGAGTCTTGACTGATGAGGCTCTAATTGCGAGATGTCTAGAAGCCACGATGCCCCATCGAGGTCCATCGAGGGCGGACTGGGCTTGCGGAGCCGCCAGAATCATGAACATGCCACTCAAGACTTTCCTCGCGATGCTGAACCGACGGTGCTCGATCACGTGAACAAGTCTCTGCGTCGAGTCAAGAGTCACGAGTAGCTAAAGGCGAAAGAGGGGATGCGACGACGTGCATGGTGACGGCTGCTCCAATCAGCGCCCCGGAAGCGCGGAAGAGCTGGGAGAGATATCATCTAGTCTGCGCGCAGAAGCACAGGCGACTCGAGCCATGGAGAAGATGCTTTTCTTCTTCGAGAAGCAGTCACGATTGTCAATCGTGACCAGCAACAAGACTCCGAGGGCGACGCGACGGCGCTGCGGTCCCTTTGTACCTGCCGATGATGTGAAGGGCCTTCGCAATATGATGAGGAGTCCGCTTGCGATTGCTATGCACAGCGGAGTCTCAAACCAATCGCCACGACTCCCGATCCACAACGGGCGCTGCTTGGAGATCCTCTGCTCGCGGCGAGCGAATCTGAAGCATCGGGAAAAGACCGAATCAGGTACAAGTGTTATTCTGACCATACCCGACGGCAATACGCATGCGGATCGATTTCCACATCAACGGGAGAGGTCGTGACAGAGGCCACTGAGGCGAAAAAGCGGAGGGTGCTTGGAGCACGATCAGCGTGACGGCGACCAGGTGGCCCAAAGCGGGTCGCAGCCGCGTGCCTTGCGACCGGTCAGGCGTCTTGGATCGGAACGGCAGGGAGGCTCGTATCAATACGATCGGGAACACGTCGCAGCTACGTGATCTCCTCGGAGACCATAGCGTGGATGTAGGGAAAAGAGAGGCTCCAGGGCCCAAAGCGACGACGAGGGCACGTCAATATCGGATCAGCACCGCATATTGCGCCCTCGCGGTGATCCGAAAGGAGTGAGACGTGCAATGAGAAAAGAGGAGTACCACGCCGAGTGGGTGAGGGAGCGGGGTGCTGCGGTATGTGAAATTTGTCCCCAACAGACCCGATGCGTCGTGCGCGCAAGGTGAGCCGTGGGTATTTTGGAGGAGCGGTGGCTTCGAGTGCTTGCTTGAGTAAGCTGCGTTGTCCCTAAGCCGCCGCTGGGACTCGCGCCGTTGAGGTGGGGTATGCAGAGGGGGGATACTGTAGTCACGAACGCCTCCATTCAACGCTTGAAATCGACCGGCGGCCCTCTGAGGTGCCGTCGGGGTGGCGGCTGCGTACCGACAGAGACTGGCTACTACTTCGCATGAGTGATGGACGCATTCGGACAAGACAAGACTGATGAGGCGATGGAACTGTGGTGCGTGGAAGGGGTGCACGGGTGGCTGATGGCGGAGTTTAGGCTCAAGCATGAGGGCTGAGGCCATCTGAATGTGAATGTGAATGGTGCCCGCATGCAATCACGAATGGTGAGCTCGTGACTGTGCGACTGTTGTACCGTACACTTACGACTGTTGTGTGACTACTGCAGCGTCACGGTCGCGAATCAAATGCATGTATGCACCCCGCAAGTTTCTCGCATGGCGAATGGCGGGCCGAGCAGGGCGTGTGTGTGTGTGATCATCGACGATGCTATGCACGCACATGCAGCGCCGCATCGGACGCGCCTCGCGTGCGGCCAATCGAACTCCGACGCGCGCAGCCCAAAGCGCGACCAACGCAACATATCTGGCCTCATCACCTCTCCTCACTTCCTCTTTGCGGTGACTTGCCATGTTCCCACATCATCATACCCGCGGCTAGACTTGGGCCGAGCTTTAGCCTTAGCCTTGATGATGCATCGACTCCCAGCTCGATGATCTGCAGTCGCCTGGCCAGCGCAGATCCGACGTCCATTTACGAGATTACTCACACGTCTTCCATCACCTACTTTTGGCCTGGCCGACTGCGGTGGACGCGTTCGAGCGCCCCTTAGCTGCTCGTCATTGCTCACTGCTCGGGGGCGGGGTTTGAACGCCGGAAAGAATGTCGGCGTTTTTGCTGCGTCGCAAGCAGCGCGATGCAGCAGAGAAAGCCAATCAATCGCAAGTGTGATTGGAGACTCGAGCTGATCGTGCAAGTCACCAGCAGTTGTGGCGCTCTTGGGCAAATTCTGGGCCTCAGCAGGCATGTGCCCTGTGGCTTTCATCAGCCTCTCGAAGCCTAGGCTATGGCTGTCCTTGTGCACCGGCGGTTGGTGCCTCCGCGTCGCCTCCTCCGCACAGCCAGCCTGACAGTAGTAGTCGCGAGTACTTTCTTACCTCGGCTTTGGGTGCGCCTGCCAGCATTGTTGATGTGAGCGCCGCTTTCTTCTAGCGACCCCGCGGCATGTTGCTACAGAGCATCTCATAGTGATATGAGCCACGCCAATACTATTGGGATAGCCAAGACGTTCTAGCGCCTTCTAGCCTCTGCGCGGCGGCGCCTAGACCGCACTTGACCATGATACATGGCGCTGCTGTCAACCATTTCACCCCGGACCTCTTCCCAAACTGGGTCGAGTCACGATCTCTTCTGACGATCGCGTCGCCGCGAGCCTTACATCAGCAGCTTCGCGTTCGTCTGACAGTCGCCGGAAAGAGCACATGTCGACCCAACAGCTGTCGTAGTTGCTCACAATGCTCAACGCGTCTCCCAATCCGCTCTCCTCTTCTCCGCAGCTCCGCACAAAAACTTGACAGTTTCACGGTCTCACGACGAGGCGCAATATTCACACTCTCAAGAGACTCGGTCAAACTCGAACAACCCCACAGCACGTGCCTCCTCAGCCATTCCTCACCTGCTCTTGCGGAGCTTGCGCTCATCAACTCGCCGCTTGCGGAACACTGAGCATCGGGTATCGATCGTCGCAGTCTCATCTCGCCATCCCTCTTGCGAGCCTGGAACGCTTCCAGCATGCCCCCTTCTGATGGCAAATCACACGCTATCAACTACCTGTGCGACATGCAGCGGCTGATTTTCAACCGTCAGGTCTTATCCTATGAGCTATCTAGTCGAACGTCGACCAACAACAGATGAACATTCACCGCAGCTAAACTGATCGCTTGCGTCACTCGCATCATTCACAGCCCGCCTGGAATGCGTCGCTCCAATGAGGTAGGGTCTGTGTCTCAAAGAGCCTACGATTGTGCCTCGGCTAGGAACGATAGGGCTTCTAGCGCCACGCGACCACCCTCATGTCGTCTGTCGAGCCATGGCCAATATGGTCTTCATACCGTCGATCCTTCTGGCGCCGTTCAGTGCTGCGAGCCCGATCAGCGCCAGGAATTTTCGAGCAGGAAGGAGCTGGTGTCGGAGTCTGAGCTTTCCGCATTCGAATGTCATATCACTCGACACTGCCTACAGAGGGTTCCGCGTTCATACTAGCTGTAGCGAAAAGCAGTCGCTTGGACGCAGAGGCAGGGTCCTGACATACACATTCACGATGAGCCAGCTCTGCCACACGGCATAGCTGGCCGCCCATCGTCAGGCACTCTGCGAACCGTCTTGCAGGCTGCGCGAAAGGTATAAGAGGGGCCTGTTCAAACCTCTTCTTCCTTCTCATCTCTCCTCATCAAACACTTCTTCTCATCTTCTCTTCGACACTCTTCTTCTCTACAGTTCAGCTTCAACTTTTCACAAACCCTTTCAAAGCTCATCAAAATGGTCAAGATCGCTGTTCAATCTCTCCTCTTCGGAGTCGTCGCCGCCATGTACATGGGTGGTGCCGCTGCCGCTCCTCAGCCTCAGTCCAAGGGCGTGCAAGCTTCTGAATTCTGCACCAAGTTCACTGCTGCCTGCATTGACGTCTGCCCCAGCAAGAAGAACCTCCGCGTGACTTGCACGAAGAAGTCCCCCCGCAACCGTCAGTTCAACTTCAAGTGCAAGTGTGACGGCAAGAACCGCACCACTCGTGCTCTCAACCGCATCCCCACTCTCGGTCAGGCCGACCCCTCTTCCTCGTCCTCGTCCTCGACCTCCACTGGAACGTCCACTGGCCTGATCCCCACGGTCACCAGCGGCGTTGTCCTTCCCACCGGCCAGACGTCCCTGATCGGCGGCGTCACCAGCAACATTCCCAACCCCACCTCTGTGATTGGAAGCGCCACCTCTGAGATCGGCTCCATCGTCGAGAGCGCTACCAGCGAGATCGGCTCGATCATCAACGGTGGTGCTTCCACGATCACTTCGGTCGTCGGCGGTGTGACTTCCACCATTGTCAGCGTCGGTGCTTCCGCCACGAGCGAGGCTGGTGCCATCGCTAGCTCTGCCACCGTGAGTAGCGGATCTGATGATCTCGAAGTCGATCGAGGAGCGCCCTGCTAACATTGCATTGACCCGTCTACAGAGCGAGATCGGCGGCATTGTCAGCTCTGCCACCTCGGTCATCGGAAACGATGTTGCGCCCACCGTCACTAGCGCTCTGGACGGTGCCGCCACTTCGGGCGTCGGCATCATCGCATCTCTCACCAGCCAGGTCGGCAGCGTCGCCACTGGCGTGACCGCTGGCACTGGCCTCCGCAAGCGCGCTGCTGAGGTTGAGCTCATCGCCGAGGTTCCCAAGAGCCTGTCTCACCGTGACGTCGAGATCGAGAAGCGTCAATCCGTCACCACTTTCTGCCAGCAATACCGCGACGGATGCGCTCGTCAGTGCGCTCGTGTCAGCTCGGTGCCTCAGAAGCAGACCTGCAAGAGAATCGTCCGCGGCAAGAAGAGCGACAAGTACTCCCTCTACTGCTCTTGCGCCAACGGCAAGCTCGAGACCCAGCACGCCCTGAACGACATTGACGGCAAGGGAGCCAAGGCCACAGTTGTTTCCTCCTCCACCGTCGGTGCTACCTCGACTGCCACCAGCGCTTCCAGCAGCAGCACTGGCAGCCTCGTGCTGCCTACCTCTGTACTGCCCACCATCGTCTAAACGGGCACCATCGATTCGCGTCGACCCTTCGCAAAGCCTGAGGCAACTCAGCACACTCTAACGACGGACCCTCGTTTTCTCTTCCAGTTCCATTCACAGTGTCTCACACCTATCACCACATCGACTACCCATCACGCGATCTGACCATCTTCCACTGACTTCTGATTATTCCCACTCATTGTGCTTCGAATTTCATCTTCGTCTTCTCAAACAAAACGTGTGACTATTCGACTGAGTTGTGTGCCAACTCTCCCTTCCTCGAAACTACCGCGCCTTCGCCTTTCGCTGATAACTCCGATGCCCACTGGCGGAGGATGACCTGGGAAGAGCGAAGCTGGATCGTGAGCAAAAGTTGGGCGACTGGGTTCGCGCGCGGCAGAGAATGCGCCCACCTTTTGCACTTTCCCGGATGCGGTCGTGGGCATGGCGCCGACGCCGCCTTCCTCAACAGACCAGACCCACTGAGGTGCAGCTTGACCTGAAATTTCCGTCTTGACCTGAAGGCGGGAATGGATCGCACCCGTTTCAGCCTTGCGGCGCAATCTGCAGCCTGAAGTGCCCGGACTCGCGCACTCAAGATTGCACTTGACTCACATGCTCTCTGATTTGCAGAGCGGATGGCCGTCGTGCGTCGCCACGATCTGTAGAAATCTGGACAAAAACTCCCACGACCTCGCCCAGTCGTTCGTGCGGCACTGCCACTACGGCGCTGGCAGCGATGCCGCCGAGCTGGTTGATGCAGCTGTGCAGCATACGCGCGCATCATCCTCATCAGCACATCTTTCCGAAAAGGCGACTTACGAGCCTGCCATTCTCTCACTTCTCAATGACCGGCGGAAAGAGCTGGAAAATGAGAGAGAGGGAGATGAGAGGAATTGTGTGAGTTTGCGGCAGACGAACGCAAGTTGTGCATGCAATTGCCGTCTCTGTGCACGCACATTCTCTCCCCCACGAATGATGACATCCTTGACGCGACCGCAGATCTGGACGTAGCCTTCACCGTCCATGACCGCGACATCACCCGTCTTGATCCAGCGAATGCCTTCTTGCTCGACGATAGCTTCTGCGGTCTTCTCTTCATCTTCGAAATATTCCGACATGACCAAGTAGCCGCCAATCCACTGCGCAAGCAAGCCCTCGCCGTAAGGCAAGCAGGTGTTCAGCTGTGTCCGCTTCGACTCGCTAAGCATAGGAGAGACTCACAAGCTCGCCAGCCTGTCCTACTGGAACCGGCGATCCCGTAACGTCGTCCCCCGCCACAATCTTCGCATGTGCGTGGTCTACGATCTGCCCGACCGTTGTGCAGCGGCGCTCCACTGAGTCATGGATGCCTGAGAGCGATGCGCCATGCAAGCGAAAGAGCTTCAGCTCCTTTCACAGCACGGGATCACGCGCGGAAAGCAGATGGACTGGGGCTCACTAGCGCCAAAAGATACGGGAGAAGTCTACAGAGGCTCGCATATCAGTCCGACTGCCAGCAAAGCGGCATTGCGACCCACTCGGCGCGGCTCACCTCTGTCATTCCATACACCTTGACAAAAGGCCGCAATAGTCAGCTCAGAACTCAGCGTTCCCATCGCCTTGACCCGGCTCACCACTGTCAGTTCTGTTGAAGGCAGGGAGAGCAAGCAAGCTTCAATCTCAGCGCTTTGCAGGTCGTCGATACGACGTGTGACACTCACTGTCCGCACCAAGCTCCTCGATGCACGACCTCATCAGCTCGACTGGAATGGTAGAGCCGCTCATGAAGCCAGTCCTGAGGCTGCCAAAGGACCACACTTCGCCGTCGCGCACTCCGTCCTTTCGCAGGCTGCTGCACACCTTCGCCCGCTCACTCTCTGACATCACAGACGCCTGTTTGGCAAGTCGTAGCAGCTCGAGCTCCGACACGAAATGGCTCGGCACACCGTGGATCGCAGTGGCATTCTCTCGGGCTGCGCTTCGCAGGGCCCGAGCAGGGCTGAAGCCTTCAGAAGCGTACAAAACGCCTGCTCCTCGCGACCACGCCGCGAGATTGCCAAGAGTCAGGCCGCTGCAGGGGTTCAAGGGATCCACGAAGGTGTCAATTTGAACAATTACACGCCGCAAGAGGTCCATTCGACAGGCTCACAAGCAGTGAAACAGCGGGGCTAAAGGGAGGGAGGAGGGCAGCCATGAGACTCACGCCAATAACGCTCACGCTCGACGTGCCCAACAGGGACCCACGTATGTTCGCTAGCAGGTCGTTCGGTGTCAGCTCCATGATGTTGCCCAGGACGGTAGCGTTGTTGATCAGATTGATAGAATTCAGCACCACCGCTTTGGGATCCTGCGATAAAGAACCACCATCAGCGTCTCGGCTCAATGCATGTCCACGTCAACAGCGTGCAAACTTACACCGGTCGTGCCGGAAGTGAGCTGCAGATTGATTGCGGCGTTGGGTGAGTCTGCAATCTCCTGAGGCGCAATCTGCGGGCCTTGGTCCAGCACGTCTCGGTAGTCGATGGCCCAGCCGTGGAGCTGATCGAGAGCACCAGCAAAGTCGCCGCCGGCGGCGCAGTAAGCGCTGAGGTTGGGCCAGCCGTCGGGTCTGGCGGTGATGTTGTCGAACAGCACCACATGCTGTAGCGTGGGCACCTGATCATCACGCAAAATCGGCGCGCCTTTTGCTGCTTCACGCAGAGTGGGCAAGATGGAGCGCAGATGCTTGATGTAATCAGAGTCGCGCAAGCATGGAATGATGAAGAGCGCTTTAGCCTTTACGTGATTGAGCGCTTTCCGTAGCTGTAGGGGAGAGTAGGAGGGGTTCAGTGTAACCAAGGGAGCGTGCACGTATGCTGTCGCGAGCTGGAGCGCTGCCATGGCAGAGCAGTTCCTGTAGATGCGAGCGGAGACGGAAACGGCGCCGAGTGCTGGATCATCAGCAGCGTGCTTCGCCTCGACACCATGACTCCTCGATCAGCGCCAGCAGCCGATGAAAGGCGAGGCGAGGCGACACGCACATCATCAGCACTGCGACTCGGTCGCCCCGTTTGATGCCCATGCGAAGCAGTCCCGAAGCAAGCCTGCGTACGTGCGTGTCGAGCTCGCGGAATGTCCAGCGAAGGCAGTCTTCATCCCCAGGTAGTTTCTTTGACGGTGCGCGTTCGTGAGCGTCTGCTGGCTCGTGCGCGCTGATCAGTGCTGGTTGCTCAGCATGCTTGTGGACGAGGGCGCGCCACCATTGCGACAGGCTCTGATCCTGTATGAGCGGTGTACTTGTCGATCCGGCTACGCGCGAGAGCAGCTGGTCTGTCTGTGAATGTCGCAGAGTTGGGTGAGGAGAGCAGGAGGCCAAGCGGCTGCCGCTCTTCGCTGCCAGGAAGCGACAGACGGTCCACGGCGCTCCTTGCCGCCTTAAAGGTGCGCGCAATGGGTCACATTCGTGCTGCTTGACGGTCAGGAGCGCATCGCAGGGCTGCCGAGAACGGAGTGCAGCACAAGCCTGCATCCAGCTCCAGCTCTTTGTGCGCAAGGACATGATGTCGCCGATGGCGCAGCGAGCAAGTCGAGATCGGCACAGACTGTTGCTCGAGCGAAGTGACAGGAGGCAAGCTGGGCGCAGCGAGCAGCAGCAGCAGCAGCAGCACTCACAGCTTACATATGCGCCATGGAAGAGTCATACAAGTGCCGATGTGCTGTATCGAGCGCGGCAGTAGCGTGAATGATGGACTCGTAGATGATCACCATCGCCAACATATCGCATCCACACCTGATTTGCTGCACTGCTGGTGCACGGTTGGGTGACCGGGCGTGCATTGCGAAAGCCAGACATTGCGACACGATGGCTATGACCAGCCAAGCTTTTGATTCAGAGACGAAGTGGAGTGACTTGCGCTGTGAAGTGCTGGCTACCGCACCACAGCATACATGCTGCCGCCCACCCATTATAGCCATCATTCACAATTATAGCTTCCATCTGACACACCGCCGGGGCATCCACCTTACCCCGCACTTGTTGGCGCGCGCGCACGCGCATACCGCCATACCCAGCCCCTACTCACACCGCCATGGCAAGCATCCGCGGACGCCACGGATCAGGTCCGAAACGCCATACCATAATCACGTGACTTGAAAACAGACGCGTGCTTGCACGCGTGTGATTCAAGCGAAATGATGCAGGCAGGCGGTCCGCGTGCGCGCGCAGTTGGTTTCAGATCGTGGATGCTCGCGCCCGCGCCGCGACGGAGCAGGGCGCGTGCATGCGTTATGTTGGGTTGGTTTCCAATGAGGGAGGCAAGCAGCAATTAAATCACGAATTGCGCTCTGACTCTGACTCCTATAGACTCGCGCTGTACGAAGCAGTATCGAGCAAGCAAGAACCCATCGGAAGCTCATCTTCGACACCCGCGTGCGCGCGCGACTGGGTTGATCGATCGAGGGCTTTCCATGCCAACACCTTTTATTGCATGGCTCATCGAGGTCGAAGTCGTCTGACATGGACACGTCGGTCAATCGCCTACTCCTCACTAAGCACACGTATACCCGAGCTCACAACAACGATCACCTTTCCGCGGCGCAACCTTCCGCATACGCCGTTACTTCTGTTACATGCCCTCGACACCTCAGAGCAATCAGCATGGCAGGTGATTTGCGTGCTGGAGAGAGCAGCAGCGCTTCATTGCTGCTCTCCAGCACTTCGTCACCGCAACACAGCGTCGATGCGGAGTTGGATGCTGCTCGTACGCTCTCACTCCACCCATTCACGCCCGCCAAGTACGATGACTCGTTTCTTGACACCACGACCGCGATGCTTGACGACAAGGCGTCCAGCTTGCGTCTTGCCGAGGCCAATTCTCTGAACGCAGCAGGTTCCCACAGCGTACTTTCTGACAACGTCGATGAAGAGTCTTCGCTCTCGGAGCCACCTTCAGACTCCGACGAGGACGACGAGAAGGACGAGAAGGACGAGGAGGACGAGGAGGAGGAGGCGGATAGCGCAGATCGGGAATTCTCTTCCTGTCAGGCATCAGATCAGGCGTCCAGCTCAGCTTACCGCGCAGAAGAGGAGAAGGAGGAAAAGACGCCGTCTCGGACGCGATCGCCTCAGAGGAGGATGTCGACCAGATTGAGAGAGCGCAAGCTGCTGAGGCGAGACAGTCTGGATCTGGCTCGCAGGAGAAGCGTTGGACCTGGCCATCTGCGCGACGCTACGCCGGTCAGACCTGCTGCCCACACGTACGCGACCAGCAGCACAGAGAGCCTGCCAAGTACGCTGAACGGAGAGGGATCGGAGGTCAGCCCCGTGGATGCGGCAGATGCCCCGGAAAGGGAGCCGCTTGAAGGTGCGGCATCGAGTCGCGCTGCCGTTGCGGATGACTGTTCATCTTCGGCGACAGAAGCAGAGCAGCAGGCTGAGCAGCACCCGACGGCACTTTCGGAGAGCGAGACGACCGCATCTCTTGACGATGCTTCAGCGACCGACTCACCACCTCTTGGTCCTGCATCGCACCTCGATCTCGCTTTCAGGTCAGCGGAGGCGGCATTCGATGCTGACGTCACATCCGACCTGACCTATCGCATGATTGCAGCAGCAGATGACAGCTCACTGAGCCCCGCGCGCGCGGAAGCTGGCCTTAAGAGCTCTGACCTTCTTGACCTGCCCGCAGCGTTTGAAGCGATGCGCTTGGCTCTGCAGCGTGACAATCAAGCTGATCCTGATGGTCAAGCGGCGCAGCTTGGGCAGGGAGACCTCACATTCGATGCAGGCGCTTTCCTGAACCTTGATGCAAGCGTTGTGCTTCCTGGCGACAGCGAGGCAAAGTCTGGGCCGCAGGTCGCTAATGAGCTCGACCAAATGCGCGTGGAGCCGAGGCTCAGAAGAGTGCCCTGCACGCTGGAAGCTCTTGCTGACGCATCCGGCTCGTTCAGCTTCGGAAGCCCGGGACTTGCGCGCGCTGCTGTCGACCCCAACAGCGACAACAGCTTGCTCAGAGGCCTGAGAGCCGAGGTGGACCAGGATACATCAGAAAGCCCCTTTGCGCTCACGAGGGCGCTAGCGCTGGAACAACAGGGCACGGAAGACCTAAGTCCGCGCCGTGGCAGCCCTTGGGAGCGCAGAGACAGAGCGGAGCGACTCGTCATGCCGCACGGAGGGAGTCCATTGAAGCAGACTAGGCTTGCAAGCTCTCCGCAAGAAGCGCGTCCATCGAAGCCAAAGGTGGACCCTGCGACCGCACATGCGCAAGGCCTGCCATCAGAAGAACGGTCTCCAAACAAGACCGCTGTCTCCAAAGCCATCAGCGTTGCCGACGCCCTCAGCATGTGGGCAGACGCCACGACTTCGAGCCCAACAAAGGTTCAGCAAGCCGCTGCTCTGCCTTCTCCGTGGGTGCTGGGCGATGGTAGTCCCAGGAAGCCGCTCAAAGTCTTGCAACGAGCACGCGAGATGAGTGGTAGCAGGGAAAGTCCATCCAAGCCAGACAATAGGAGCCGCGGCGCAGAAGCGGTCGCTCCCGACGATCTGGGTACGCAGCCGCAACGTTCGTCTGACGAGCCTGATGCCTCTGTGACTTCTGTGCCCGTGCCTCAAGCGAAAGAAGCGACTCTACTGCCCAGGACTGGCACACAGCGCTCTACAAGGGGCGGTTCCCAACCAAGAGGTGTCGTAACGCGTCTCAATGGACCGTCTGCCAGACTGCAACAAGAAAGACGCGCAGCTAGTAGTGGCGAGAGACAGGGATTGCAGATCGAGACAGGAAAAGGTGCACGGGGTACCACAGCGGATCAAGCGACCTCGAAGTCCGCTGTTGGACTCGCCGCGAGCGTGAAAGGGGTCGCTGGAGTTACCTCTCGAGCCGGTGCGTCTTCTAGATTGCCCAAACCAGCCTCCTTGGGCGCTTCGCAGGGACCCTCAAAAAACCAGGGTTCTGCGATTCCTCAGCCAAAACCCAAGGGGGTTGCACTCGAGAACGCTTCTGATGGAAAGGAACTCTCCCTAGCAAAACGGCCTGCCGAACGTCCGAATCCCGCTCGACCGCTTGCCGCTGAGACGAAGCTCAAGAGTGTAAGACCAGTCACTGGCGCTCCAAAATCAATTTCTAAAGCTCCTAGCACTTCATCTCAGAGGCCGTCACGAATCGCCGAGAGCAAGGTGCGAACGACGACTGCCGGGTCGGAGCTGCTCAAAGCAGAAGATCGAACCGGATGTACGAAGGCTGGTCCGATTCGCTCAGAGTCGGTAGCCAGCAACAACAGCAGTCGAAGCGACTCAAGGGTCGGCATCTCGAGGGCGGAGAGCAGAGCCGAAGCGAAAGTCTCATCGAGTGCTACACTAGCTAGCAGTGTCGCAAGTCGTCCTGTAAGACCTGTAGCGCGCGCAGCGAAAGGAGTGCTAGTGCCTTCAAGCTCCCCGATCCGTAGCTCGCAAGCACACAAAACAGTCCCGGGCTCACGCTCTGCTGTGAATGCAAGCTCATCACCCCTTCGTGCCACGGTCACACGCGCTGGTAGCAGAGCTCCAATAATCCGAGATGCAAGGCTTGCGAGGGCGCCTGCGTCGCTGAAGCAAGCAGAGGCACCACCTACTGAAGCGACTGCCAGGGCGGTCGAAGACGTGAGCAGGCCAAAGATAGCTTCGCCTCTGGCAGCTAGAACCGGGCCTGTCGTGATTAGAGACGCACGTCTAGCTCCTTCGGTCGTACGACGCGACGAGCCTGCTTCCGCAGAGTCGACCCCACCTGATGCTGCCTCATCCCCAGAGCGCGGCACCACAACTACATCGAGCGTTGGCCCGACCGAGCCTCCGGGCCTGCTCACTTCTACCGCGCAAGGGCGAGCAAGGAGAGTACCGGCCGGTTCTACGGAAGCGACTCGAGCGCCTGCGAGCGTCCCGACGAATGCGCACACTCCGTCACACGCACCACAGGTGGTTTCCTCCCCTGTGCCCACACCTACTCCGGCTTCGCCTAGTAGGAGTGCGCCAGCTCCTGGTGCTGCTCGCTTCGGCTTTCAAGGGCTCGCGAGTCCCACACGTGGTTCCTCTGTCCGTTCAGCAACAGACGAGGAAGGAGCGGGCTACGTCGACGCGCTCGCCGCAACCCGCCAGGGTCGCACACCGTTTGGGCCGGCACAAGCAACGGCCACAGACGATACTTTCGGTCTTCATCGGGCAGGCTTTGCGAACATATCGCCCATGAAGGCTGCCAAACGTGCTACCCTAATGGGAGATGGCGCGCCAAGCAGCGACGGCATCATTGGTAGCAGTGATACTGGAAAGTCGCTGCGACCCAGGGCTGCAAAGCATGGCAGTCAAAATCTGAGCGAGATCTCGAAGCAGTCGTTGGGCGGATCAAGTGCCGCGGCTTCTGCACTCAGTACCAAGGCTTTCATGGCAAGCGATTCCTGGCCAAGTGTCCCGCTCTCGAATGCCGAGATGCTTGCCTTGACCAAGCACAATACGCGCCGAAACGAGAAGTACCTGACGAAGCTGGACATTGTGCCAATCCGGATGGATGGCCCTCGACCGCCAAGCCCTTCAGCCAAAATTCGCAAGACTCCTGGCGCTGATAAATTGGACAAAGCTGAGGCTGATGAAGCTAGAGAAAGGCGAGCGCGCAAGAGGACGAGCGATGGGGCCGATGACGGGCAAGCCGAGCAAGATGCTTCGGCGCCGCTTGGAAAGCACGTGCAAGGTGCCGGAGACGAGGAGAGCTTCCATACCCCGACTCGACCACAATTCATCACGCATGGACCGCAGAAGAAGGTGGTCAAGTGGCACAAGTCTTTGTTCGTTGGACCCAGCGAGGCTCCAGCTGAGAGGATTGCGGAGGTCGAGCAGCGTCCAGCTACTGGGACTCGAAGGGGATGCAAACCTCGCTCGTCTCTGTCCGCCAAGGTGAGTCCAGCTGCCCATGTGCAGAAAAATACCTGGAATCGCATCGCTCAACGCATGGTGCTGCTTTTTGCCTTTGCGGGCGTCGCTTTCAGTCTTACACTCTCGACGACAACGGTAATGTGGCTGAGACTGAAGCCCCAATCTCTCCTCGCCTGCGAAAGACGCGAGTCAAAATTGTCAAGCTTATCTTTGACGACGATCTCTGAAGAGCTCCGCCAACCATTCGAGCAGGACGAATCTCCCGCGGTAGCAGACACGCTGCCACACTCGACATCGATACCTTGATCAGCTCCGCAGTCGGTCTAATCAATTTCAATCACGTGAATCTTGGCTTTCCAGTGTTTGCTTGATCATATTGGTCACGTGACATAACCCTCGCTGAGCTACACTTGACTTCCAAGATGTTGATTCAAGACTCTTCAAACTTGTAGACTTTCTATGTCAATTTCAGGGAGTGCAACCTAGCGAGACAGACGAGCTAACAGCGACTGCGGAAGATGAGGTATGCAGATCGGAAGGCAGTGAGTGATACAGGCGCTCGATCTTGTAAGTAGGTTACGTGCATTGTCCGGAAGCGCGAAGCTAGTCCAAGGCCGGTCACTCTCCACGCTCAAGCTGGGGAGTCGAGGGAAGTCCGAGTTCTGCGCGCTGGGAATGTGGCAGAGCCGTGCGAGTAGCAGCGACTTGCGCGGAGGTCACTGCCTTGGCCAAGAGGGGCTGCTTCTCTCCGCTCGATCCGCTGGAAGCGCGCTCCGCCTTGCTCTTGCTCTTGTACGTCTTTTGGTAGAAGCGAATGAAGAGGAACAGGTAGCTGGTCAGGATGACGAGACCTGACGAGGCTGCCTGAGGCGAAGAGGCGCAGTCGGACAAGCCAGGTATTCCGAGGTTGAAGTATCCGTTGAAGTGGTTGGCGGAAGCCGTGTAGATGGCGGCGAGATCTATGACGAATTGAACGATCTGCATGGTGGTAATGTATCGCTTGAAGGGGCAAGGGATGCGCAGCGTCGCCATTGCGTAGTAGGCGTACATGATGAGGTGGACGAAGAGGTTGAGCGTGATCACCACCCAAGACACGCTGGATTTGCCGACCAATTGCGAGAAGCAGAGCAGAGCGGTAGCGAAGTGGTGGTACACGTGCAGGAAAGGCATGGGCTTTCCCTTGAGCATCATAAAGCAAGTGTCGATCAGCTCAATATACTTGAACATGTAGTTGATGATGTACAGCGTCTCCATTCTCGGCGACCAGCTCTCGGCGAAGCACATGGCGCCATAGAGCCCGTTCTTGTACCAGAAGGGAACGATTTCTTCCAGGTAGGCGGCAAAGAGCAGTCCCGAGGAAAGGCTGAGGGCGATGTTGTGAAGTACGAAGGGCCATTTGAGCGAGAAGACTGGAAGGATCTTGCGCTTTTGGAGTGCTCTTCCGCTATGAATGAGGGCTAAATAGCCCAAAAGGGTAGCTGCCACGGGAATTGGGGTGCTCCATGGCGTGACTCCGGGTGTCCAGCGGACGAGTGCCTGGTTTTTCTGACAAGTGTCGAGAAGCGAGCGTCAGCAACATGCAGGCTGAGCAGCGAGCAACTTGTCCAAGAAGCGTTGCGAAACTTACCCCAATGAAGCTTGGGAAGATGGCGGGGATCGCCTTGGCGCCAAAATCCCACACAGGGGTGTACGTCATGGTGATCCAGGACCGGAATGAAGTTGCAGTACTAGCCACAAGAGGGACAGGTCAAGCAAAGGGAGATGCGCGTCACGAGTGCTTGTGCACAAGAATTGGGAGAAGAGGAGCGCAAAAAGACAGTGGCGCCGTGGGAGACGTAGATGAGTGAGTGTTGCGTGCTGGAAATGTTTTGACAATCTCCACGGAGGTGTGGTGGATGAGCAGGGCGAATCTTTGAGCTTGGGCTGGAAAAGAGGACGTTGAGCAAGAGGATTGCCGGGGGGCAGGGGATCCGAGCGCTTTATGTACTTTTTACAGATGACCTCGGTTGTTGCGCTTTGGACGGCAAAATTGCTTGATTGCACGAGCAATCCGGGGTTGCTTTCGCCTTCACAAAGGTGCGGCTCAGCTGCGTTCACATGACGGCAGCATCGGGCCGGCAAAGCTGGGCACGCCGTGACTCGTTTTATCAAAGCCACAATCACAAATCGAGCGAGCGACGTGCTGCCGGGTCGGAGCTCGATCTGCGACGTTAGACGACGTTCACTAGGAGCTAGCAAAGAATTCTGTCGCTACTGTCAGTATCCTACCATGAGGTCACCCGAGCTTGCTGCGAACCTTTCGGTCATGGAAGAGCGACGTCCCCGGGTGTGGGGAGGGAGAGGGAGAGGGCGAGGGAAAGAGCAAGAACCACGAATGCACTTCCAAGCACAAGGTAGGCGCGATGCTACCCGTCAAGCAGCAGGAACACGCAAGCCCTGCAGCGACATGCAGCGTGGTGCATGCGGTTTCAAACGCATCAGCAACTACTGCTGCAGCTAAGCGACAGCGGAGTTACGCGCGGATTGCCATCAAACCCAGCAGCAAAGGCAACAGCAACGAGGCGCCAGACGACTCTGGTTGTGCTGCATGGCTGGCCCTTAGAACGTTATTGCGTTGCGTTGTCTGAGGCGCGTCCCGACAGCTCGATCAATACGGCGACTTGAGGACTACACGAGCTGTGAGCACCCCCCCCCCCCCCCCCCCCCCCGGTTTCCGGACAGCGCTCTTTCCCATCATCGTCTTCTCGATCGAGCCTTCAAACTCGCAGAGCAGCATCGCGTTCCACCGCCGCCTCGATGGACGCGTGAGCGAGACAGCGAGCCATGCCCAAAGCTGAAATGGCCCACAGCAATTTCGATGCCAAGCCAGCAGCGGCCTAAACTCCTGCAAGCAGCCCTGTGCGAGTCGCATTCGTGATTATTCGTCGAGGGGTGTTCCGCATCGGGGAATTAGTCCAGCCACTCGCGACTGCTATAGGTTCAGTGGCACTGATCCCTTCAACTCACTCTCATAACAGAGAGGCAAGCGGGCGGCGCAAGAGCGGTGCGTGTCGAAGCTCAATATTAGTCGTGAGTGTATTAGTATGAGTATTAGTATCAGTTTCACTACAGTCTTGAGTGCTATGTATATCATCAGTCGTGAGTGGTAGGCCAGGAAAGCGCGGGGAATTGGAGCAGGTACGGCGCGTTGTCTTAGCGCGCGGCCAGACCTCTTCAATTTGTGAGACAGGCAGGCGCGGTGGTCGAGAGTTGCATGAATGCCCGCGGCTTGTTGATCGCTCCAGTCAAATAAGCCCCTCCGCGGTCAAACAGGCTACGCTCTATCCGAAATGAAGGCGGTTGTTGGCCTCGCGGGTCTTCGCCATGTTCATCTGACTGGCCCATTGGGTTTCTTTGTCGAGGCGAGGTTTACGCCCCCCCCCCCCCCCCCCCCCCCCCCTCTCCCCGAGATACACTCCGCTTGATGATTTCGTCTTTGGTGAAATTCGACGGGCTGCGAGGTGCGCTAAGAGCTCCCGCCGATGCAGCGGCACCGCTGCTGCTTGTATGCTGTACGCAGCAGTCTGTGCGTGGCCCGATCGCCTTCGACTCAGAAGAGAGTGTTCGGGCTATCGAGTGACAGCGCTACAGCGCAAGCTCAGTGTTCAGCTTGCCACACCTCTAGACCATTCTCGAGCCGAATAAGCCAAGTGACAGGTACCATGTTCATGCATCCACGATCAGTCGTCATACAATGTGAATCTAAATTGAGCGATGTTCGCATGTTTCTGCAGAACATAATCGCCAAAACTTAAGCAAGATCAAGCTAGTCAGTCAGCAGCAGCTGCATGAAAGCCTCCGTTCCGGCCTTTGTGCCGCAAAGCTCGCTGCCAGCAAGCACAAGCAGTCCGATTCGTGATTGTGATTGTACCTTAGCGCCAAAACGCCCTGCTGTACCCCACCCGCCGTTCGACTGCAGTGGCCAGTGTGAGTGTCTGGCCCGAATCCCGTATCGTTCGTGATGAGTGTCGTCAAAGATGGTTCTACTGACTGAACTTCTCCGAACTTCTGCTGGGGCCGCAGCAGCTGGCTCACAATAGGTTGCACTGCCTCGACTCGAAGCATACCGCGATGTTGTCTGAATGAAAGTTCGTGCAGCGGAGACAGGAGTGGCTGAACCATCTCTCGTGACTCTGGTTTGTGATTCGTGAAGACTTTCTCACTTTGCCCAGAACAACCTAACCGCGGAAATTAGCCAAGTACTGCATCAAACTACAATGCTCAACCAGACCCTCCGAGTGCGCTGAATGACCCGCTGTCCACACTGATGAGTCGTGATCAACGCCTCGACTTTGAGCGGAAGCGCAAATAGGGGTGTCGGCACCCAGCAGAAGGTTCCAAGTAAGGCGGCAAAAGTCTGAGTTGAGTGGCTTGCTGCAGGTCTCGCCGAGGTGACCGAGGGCGACATGCATGTGTGGCCGAGGCTCCTCTGTTTGGGCCAGCAGCATGAATCAGCAGCGGTCCTTCATGGTGTTCCACTCGCTACCCATGCCGGACTGCTACCCTATTGCCGAGCGCCATTTGCAAACAGGTAGAAGAGTATACTTGGCGCATCACTGCTCCTGTGAACACTGCATAAGTATCCGCGCCACCCGACAGCTCAGGAGTCTGCTCACCAGAGACGCGCCACAAGCCACCACGCGAAGAGCGCACAGATTTTAGATCTGCCGGTCAGACGACCGCATGGGCGACTGACTCACAACTCAAGACTGTACATCATGGCTGATGGCCACTATGCGGGTCAGTGGCAGCAGGAGATCTAGGAGGCTCCTTCGTCAGCAACGCACGCCAACCGTGCCTACAGTAAATTTCCTGCATCTCGAACAGCATTTTCTCACGCGAATTTTCTACTGGAACGGCGGGAGGGTGACTCGATATCGGAAAGCTCTGCCGAGAGAGGTGCTCATAAGCGTGGGCCCGGGTATCCTTCCAACCGTTCATCGCACCCTTCCATCCTAGTCGGCCAATCGGATGCGATCGAGGCATTCACACCCGCCATTGGTCTCCGTGGATATCCATCTCCCTACTGCTCGAGGAACTCCCTTCTGAGAATACGCGAGACTCGCGAATGAAACGAGGTGGAAGAGCGCGCCAAGGCGATGCGAGGCGGGGCTGCAACGACGCGGTTCATGAAAGGATACCCCATCAGCGTATACTCTTTCCCATCGAGCCTCGCGTCGACGTGTAGTAATATGGCTCCGGCAAAGCTAGCCCGAGACACGGATCAGATAGAGGGAAGGCGAGTCATGCGGCATTGGACGTGCCGGCTCTCAGCTGTCCTCCAGGTCTTCGAAAAGGGACCTGAATGTTACAAAGAACATTCTAGAGGGAGAGCGCGACATCTTAGCTGCTAGGAAGCCCACACATGTTGCAGCGCAGCTCATTGAGTGTGATTAGGCACCATACTGTCAAAGGTCGCATCGCCAGCCCTATTGATGGGAAGTGCATCTTCATGGATTTGCGAGGAATAGCGATGGGCTTGGGTGGGCGACGAGTCTTCTGCCTGATTGCTGATCTGACATCTAGGGAGCGCTGGAACGGAAGCTGGTCGAGTACGAGAGTAGATGGGCATTGAGCTTGCTACGCGCTGCGAAGTGGATTCGGAGTGCATTCGCAGCTTTACTTCTTTCTCTCGCCAACCCTCGGTCGCCGCTGCCACAAGGTGAGACGGCCATCGGAGAGGCTGATCGCGTCAGTACCGAGCGTGCGCGTGCTCCCGCCAAAGGTGCCCATCGGCGGTATCTTGCATCGAAGACTGACACTGTCGACCGACAGCGAAGGCCTTCTACAGCCAAATACGTTCAGAGCAAATGGCAAGAAGCGAGGCCCGTGTCTGGACGTTGCAAATAGCGCGTGTTGTGGGTCGGCAGACTCTCTCTTTCAGGGCGTTCAACACACAAGAGAGTGGGGGGGCCATGAGATCCAAGAGTAGTCGTGATCACTCCCAAGTGGACGCCGTGGACTGACCCTGCTTGATCGGATCCTCGTCGATCATCAGCAACGTGATCGAGAGGGGACCTTTGGCGTGTGGCCAGACAGGAGCCCACGGACAGAAATCGATGCGAGGTCCCGCGTAATTGATGTCCTCGCCATGCGACACCTAGTCTAGCGTGAGAAGCCGTGCGCGCATTTACACCTATGTAGCTGCAACCAGAAGAGTATATCCGCCTGCTCTCCAGCAGGCTGTCTGTGTGCATACGCAAGCAGCAGTCTTGAGTGAGTCCGACTCGACACACGCACTTCACGACTGACGATACGGGGGTTGTCCGATGCCAGGTGAAGTCAAAATACTTGTGACGTTCGCAATTCGGATTGAGATCCCCAGAGGAGCGCCAGCAGCTTGAGGGCGGGCGATCAACTCTTCGTAGACATAGGTTTTCAGGACGCAGCGCAAAGTGGAGATCACGAGGTGATGAGCAAATACGACGACATTCGCGATTCGTGATTGTGATTACGACGATCTCCATCACGACTGACGCTCCGCGCCGCCTCTGGGAGCTGCGAGATGACGCAGAGATCGTCGTGAAGCAAGTAGTGACTTTGAGTCGAATCTGTGAGCTGTACAGTCGAGTAGTGTGAGTCAAGAGTCTACTTCAGATCTGGAGGTACAAGTCTCGAGCATCGTCCAGCGAGACATGTCAACTTGATGAGGATGGAATCGTTGCCGCGAGACACCGCATGCGCGCGGTCGAGAAAAGCGGGGCAAGCGCGCACGTACGTACACCCTAGCCGTTCAGCCATCAGGCCGTCTCGAGCTTGTGCGACAATTTTGCTTCGAGCGCGCGATTTCCGCATGTGGAAGCAGAGGACCTCAACATTGGAGCAGAAGAGTTGAATTCACGGCAACATATGGCTGAAATATGCTTGTGACTCACAACTCGTCTGTAAACACATCCACCTGCTTGCATGCCAGGTGAACGCTCCCTCATCCTTTCCCCCTCTGCCGCAAGACGTGATCGACGTCTGTGGGCACCAATCGAGCAAGCTAACTCGAGCCGCTTCACTCGAGCATTACCGCGGTAATCACGAACGGCGGCAGCAGCAGCAGCGGCATCTCCTGCACGCTGCAAGAGATGCGCAGCGCACCGGTTGTGGGTCCTCGCAAAGTCGGTCTACAGTAGAACTGATCCAAGATTCACGATTATCATTGCTTCGCTGATCGACGAAAGCCAATCGACGTATCGCAGTGATCAGTCTGCTGTAATGTAGCGTAGCGCTTGTTATGCCAAATGCAAAGGATCGAGCAGCTCCTGACCCGCGATAGAGAGAAGATGTCAGATGAAGGCTGTGTCCGGTCGCATCTCGATTCACGTTCCATGAGCCAGCATGGCCGCACAGTAACGAGTAACGTGTACCGGTATGGCTGTGTCCAGCAATCAATGAGAGAGAGAGCCTAGGCCTCCACTCGCGAGTCGCGACTCTGCATGTGCGCGCCGCTGCACGGCAACGGTCAGCATCAGAGTCAGCAGCATGATGAAACTCCGAGCGGAGTCCGCTTGAGGCAATGCTGCACGCCCATGACCCAACAAGCGGTGGCACGGACCATCCGCGCACGCTTTGGTGTACTTCTGCCGCTATGGAAGAGGTATACACACTCTCACACACTACTAGTTATGTGACTGACCATGAGGCGCAGCTGGCTGCTGGCATTTGCTGCTGGATGGCAACCCCTGGCATCATCAGGTAGACTCACGACTCTCGACTGAGCCGTGCATGCATGCAGCCGGCCGTAGAAGATCGAAGTGGATCGAGCGTTGTTCCAGTTCGGCGCCCCAGTTGTTCGACGCCCCTGCTCAAAGACTGATGAAGAGGGAACGGATGCAGCAGCAACGCACAGGCCAGCTGTCCCGTCTCTTCTTTCGGCATGCAACAGTCACTGGAATGATGCCATCTCTTTCTCACGCAAATGACGAATCACGAAAGGGCGAAGGCAGACTTGGCGGCACCGTGCTTACCTATAAGAAGGAGCTGCAAACATGCTCGCACTCACACTCCTCTTTCCACACTACACAACCAAGCACGTTTGAGCTTGCAACCACATCCACCCGAGTCGATACTTCATCACCCGCATAGCAACACTTGTCTTCATCATGGACTGTGAGCCCCTTGCACATTGCACACGCGCTTGGTCCATCAGAGTCTTGTAGCTGACTTCTCAAACGATCTCACTTCTACAGCTTTCATCAACAAGGCTAAAGACTTCGCCGAGTCCGACCAGGGCAAGGGTCTCATCGTGAGTATCATCGAGCTCGCGCTCGCAGGCTCCATCAACTTCGCTCCGCTCAACCCCGCTTTTGTTTCTTACATTCGTTCACCTGGCCCGGCAGAACAAGGCTCTTGGCAACCAAGGAAACCAAGACAACCAAAACAGCTACGGAGGCAACAACGTGAGTTGACCACGTCTACCTAAAAGTTGCCAGTCGTCATCGGCTAATTCGTCCCACTCGCAGTCGTCTAGCAACAATGATAGCTACGGTAGTGGTAACAACTCCTCCAGCGGCGGTGGATTTGGCTCTGTGAGTCGACGACTTGCTCACCATTTATTATGAATGGCGGTAGCTCACACGTATGCCCATCCAGTCCAACAACGACAACAACGACAGCTACGGCAGTGGAAACAAGTCATCCAGCGGCGGCGGATTCGGTGGCGTGAGTCGCTCAAAGACCGACACGATACGACAGCACTTGACTGATCAGTCCGATTCTTGTTGTAGTCATCGGACAGCTACGGCTCCAGCGGCGGTCGCGACAACAACGACAGCTACGGCTCCAGCGGCGGTCGCGACAACAACGATAGCTACGGATCCAGCGGCGGCCGCGACAACAACGACAGCTACGGCTCCAGCGGTGGCCGCGGAAACAATGACAGCTACGGCTCCAGCGGCGGCAACAACGACAGCTACGGCTCCAGCGGTGGCCGCGGCAACAACGACAGCTACGGATCCAGCGGAGGTCGCGACAACAGCGACAGCTACGGTTCCAGCGGCGGTCGCGACAACAGCGATAGCTACGGCTCCAGCGGTGGTCGCGGCAACAATGACAGCTACGGAGGATCCGGAGGCAACTCGGGGGGCTTCGGCAGCTCTGGCAATGACGTGAGTAAACCTGTCCCAGCGTTACGGACTGACTACGCCCGGACATCGCAGGTCGCCCGTACACACGCGCGCCGCTGACGTTGGCCTCATCGCCTTGCGACTCAGAATTCCTCTTACGGTGGAAACTCTGGCGGAGACAGCTACGGCTCTGGCGGCCGTCAAGGAGGCGGCAACAGCGTGAGTGCACAAGGTCGCATAGCGTGGTCCTGCTGCGTCTGATTACCCTCGTCGCGGCCATGTCTGACACACTTTCGGCGGCGCTCTCAGGATTCGTACGGAAGTGGCGGAAACGACAACAACTACTAAGGTACTGCTCAGTATCGCACTGAAAGAAGCCCTTCCCTCTCTCAACGTCATGTCGTCACGATCTCTGTCTCGATCGCTTAGCACTCTCGTTGCTTAATGAGATGTAATCGAAATTTCTCGTGTGTAGCGCAATGCACCTTGAGCCTGGAGATGTAGTCGGCCAACCGCTTTCGTGTTCTCGCTTTCGTGTTCTCGTCGCCTCGCTGGACGATTCGAAGCACGACACGTTTGACCGAAGGCACGGGAATACTTTCATCTTGACAGTAAACCTCTCTCTGTGGACGCTTGAGGCGCGCTTTTCACACAAGAGCGCGCATCGTCAAGAAAGGCAGCGCATCTGCTCGGTATTTGCAGCTTCCCGAGGGTAAGCATACTTTCGTCTCAAAGCATTGTTGAACTCCAGACTCCATCATTGTCGCCATCGTCTCCTCTCACAAAGGTGTGAGACGCGCGGTGGGTCGAGCCCCTAGCTGGACGGACGGCTTTTGAAAAGACCAGGTCGCGCTGCTGGGCGCGCAGATGTAGACTGGCGGCGAATGCGGGGCCTCGCCGCGTGCGTAGACTCTGACTGCAACGCGGGCTTTGGCCATCCTAAGCGCGTGAGGCGCGTCACGTCAATCAAATCACGCACAGCCCCATCGGCGCAACGTGACCGACCGTTGGGTGTCCTGACCGGATGTGCCTCATGTGCTGCTGTGCGGCTGCGCTGCGCTGCCCTGACTCGATTTGTGCAGCGTGGCTACGCGTGACGATGCATGGTGATTGCTGATATAGCTGCTGCGTGCGTGCGTGCGTGGCGGTCTGCTGCCTTACACCGCATGTGCTGTGCCGCCGTGCTCAGCAGCAGCACCGCGCGATCGTGGACCCGCACGGGGGTCGCACCGTATACGCGTTCAGCGCGAGGTTGAGCTTGAGCTTCAAGGTCGGCTTGGACGAGGAGCATCAACGGCGTGGATCACCTGATCATCTCAATCAATGTCACACTCACGACTCACACTGCTGGCATTGCTGGCATCGCAGACAACACTACACTCACCGCTTCAATTACCACCGCTAATCTTTGTACGATCGTCAGATCGCCGCCCTTGGACTCAGGCCTCCACCTTTTCTCGCACACTTCAATCTATCGCTTGGCTTCACCTTTGCTCAGCCTCTGTACCACTGACCTCGTTGTATACGTACACCCTTTCGATCTGATACCTCGACACGCTTTACGATCTCACACGGCCCTCATCTATAAGAAGAACGCTATTCTCAACCACCGCCTGCGCACAACTTCGATATACTCCAACTCGCGAGAGCGCCGCGAGCCGCTCACGCCTCTCGTTTGCTCCATCTCCTCACCCTGACTACCACCTTGATCCGCAGTCACGAATCACCACTGCATCGTCTTGAAGTTCCGCTCTGCAAGCGCACTGCTCGCCCTCTCTGGTTGGTCCGAGAAGCTGCAGACAGCGTGAGCCAAAAGCTGCGCTCATCGATCCTGATTGCTCCCAGACGCGGTTGCTGCTGCTGCTGCTGCTGCCGACCTGCAACATTCACGGTTGGCGCCCATGCGCGCTGGTACTCACAGACGACATGATGGTCCTGAAACACGTGCGCGACCGAAGCTTAGTAACAAAGACAATACCAAATTGCCAGCATCCTCACCATCCACCGCCATCTCCTCCTCTCAATCTACCGATGCATCGCCCCATCGTTCTTCGTCTCCATCACCTAGCAAGCCGTGCTTGGTCGACATGACCAACGCTGACTCGCAGCTCGACGCATCCACAGCATCCACAGGCGATCTTCCTGCACTGCATCGCCCAGGTCGACCGGATACGGGTAGAGTAGTGCAGCCCTTATCTGCACCACAGACATCCCTCATCGAATCACTCAGCGATGCCCTGGCCGCTGCTGGGTCCACTGCGTCCACTTTGTTGAAGCAAAGCAAAGAGCGCGCTGCTGCATTAGCCTCTGCTTTGAGCAAATCGCAGCACGCATCGAACCTGACCAGCAGCGATCAGCAGTCCAGCCGTGCCTCTGAGGTGCAAGCAATGTTTGATCCAGCAGGTCAGCTGGATGCGGATGAGCTGCAAAGCAGTCTTGCTGCGTTGTCGGGACTGGGAAACGGTAGCCAACGCATCACGTGGGCCAGGTGGGAGCAATTCGCTGACCAGCACATTCTGCTTCTCGGCTACGACACTGGCGGCTTGCAAGTCTATGCCCTGGCAGGGGAGGAGCTCGAAGAGCGATTGAACATTCACGGGCTGCTGCTCCCAAACGAAGAGCCCGCAGGGGCCGTGGTGAGTGGTTGCATCCACCAGCTTGGCTCTCGACGGTCTACGCATGCAGCTGCGAGCATCAGACTGCTGCTACTCTGCCAATCGAAGGCTGGTGCGAATCTCTGCTCGTATGACACCGGGTCCCACGTCGTCGTGCAGGTCACCAAGCTGAGCTCGGATCCATCCATCGGCGCGCTGCAAGCTGCATCAGCAAGACTTGTTAGCGGTGCCTCATACGTTGCCGTCGGCTTGGGAAGCGTGGTGCACATCTTGGACGCCCGAACGCTAAAGCTGGAGCGGTCGGTATCGTCAGCGGCCGACCCTGCCGACCCCGCCGATCTGCCTTTCGACCTCTCTAATCGCATCTTTGCCTTCGCAACCACCGAGCAACCGGCTCAACCGCCTGGAATTCTGAGGCCTGATGGAGCTGGCGGTCACCCACGAACGCCAGCTCACCGTGGAGGAAGCCAGCGTGGTGCTACTTCGCAGTCGCATCTCGGACCTCGAGAAGCCATCCAGACAGGCGTGCAGCTGACAGAGCACGCTCGCAAGCTCGGCGGAACAGTGCTGGATGCCGCACTCACGTGGGGCAGTGCTCGCTGGTCTGGAGCGTCAGGCTCGGCGTCTCGAATCGACACCTCGTCATCAACATCACCCAGACAATCGTCCTTGACGTCATCAGGATCTTCACCGCGACCTTCGCATCACAAGCTCGCGACGTCGGATCGTGAGCGTGAGCGCGAGCGCGCGACGCTGCCACGATACAATCCGCGAACGGCGGTCAAAGTCATCGACCTCCGCTCAGGCCGCGTGCTGGCCCACTTTACTCCTAGTCCTCAACGCTCTGCTTCGGACGTTGCTCTCCTCAGATTCAGTCCGACTGGGCATCAAATTCTCACGGCAGATCGTCGCGGTCATGCCGCCTCCATCTTTGAGCTTCGGCCCAGCGCACTTCGTCAGCAAGTCGCCGATGTCTGGCATTGTCTGTCGGTGAGTCTGCTCTTGCTTGACTCGTCTGCCGGCATGTCCGCTCACTCTCTCGACGCACTCGTGCAGCTATTTCGTGGTCATACTTCGGCAAGGATCGTCGATGCAAAATGGTCATCCAACTCGGGATATGCGACCCTCCTGTCCGCGCGGGGCACGGCGCATGTTTACGCTCTCACACCCTATCAAGATGGGCGGCATAAGGCGCCTCTAAGCTACCCGTTAGAAACATTTCTCAACTGTACAGCGCGCACCGCCCGTGCGCGAAGTCTCACCAAAGCCGTTCAGCAAAGTGCAGCCGCACACGAAGACGCGAATCTGCCTTCAGACGCATGGTGGACGGAAAGTATGGAGCACGCTTGCCCCACGATGGCCCTGGTCGAACCGCTCACGCCGTCTCATGAGAAGCTCCTTCGCTTCATGAACCCAGGACAAACCACAAATTCGAGCGCCGAAGTCTTCCATTTGCTGATCATGGACCCGAGGAATATCGTTCTGAACGCGCATCGCATAGGCATCTCAGCTCGCAAGGGTACGGAGCCCGCCACTGCTGGTGGAGCACCTGGCGCATCTGCTTTGAGCACAATGATGCACCGGGCTCGCTCTGCTTCAACGGCCGCAGCAGGAATCCGACTCTCGAGTGACGAATTTGGGCGCAATACCTCCCAAGCATCGACACGAATACCTCGCTCATTGTCGCAGCCCCTGCCTGTGATGTCCGGCACTTGCGAACGTTTGGCGGCGTGGCTTGATCTTGCAAGGAAGGACGATTCCGACGAAGTGCGCTCGAAGCATTTGGGACTCTTACCGCACAAGCGCTTTGGCTCCGCTCCTATGCTCGACCAGGCATACTCAACCGTAGTGGGACGAGCAGAAGTCCATTCTTGCGAACCCGGAATATTGGCTCGTTCGCCCTACCTCTCCAGGCAGATATCATTCAGGACGTATGCGAACATGGCGGATGACGGCCTATCAACTCAGCCACGCTATTCTGACTTGCAGCGGAGCAACACGAATCGCAACGCGGTCCGCGACCAAGTGCTCGCTGAAAATTCTTCGGACGATCCGATTCACGGTATAGACTACAACTTAGCTTCTGCGATCGAAGTTGAGCAATTCACGAGCGTGGCAGCAGCGGCCGCTGAAGACGTGGATTCGGCGCGTTCGCCATCGAGCCGCATACCTGCCTTCCCTCAAGGGCAGCGAGCGCGACAGCCCTCGTGGACGAGCAGAGCCACCAGTGGAATCGGCGCCATTCCTATTCGAGCTGGGGCATTTGCTGTTGCGGGTAGTCTGGACAAAGCTCGTCGTAGTCTGATCGATGCCCACAATGCCAGGCGCAAAATAATTGCCGCCGAGGCCAAGAACTCTAGCACGCCTTCTCTCAGCTTCGAAGACGTCGACTCGGATCTCGCTATCTTTGCCGATGCTATAGCTAGAGCTCAGCGCTCCTCGCAAACGTCAACATCTGGAGCTTGTAGATCGTATTCCTTCTCCTCTTCGCGTGATGCAGGAGTAGCCGGGCCCGAGAGCGGCGAGAGCGGAGGCTCAGCAGACACCCCGCTCACAGTACATGACGAGGAGGATGACAGCGCATACGAAGACGATGGCGACAGCGCCTGCTGGGAAGCTGCACGAGGCGCAATCGAGGACGAGGAAGGTGACACAAATGGTTGGGACTCTTTCGCAGATCAGGAGTTCGGCGGGAGGGGGCTGAAAAGCCCGAGTCATCCTGAAGGAGACAGATACAGCAGCAATTCTCGAGCACGGCACACGAACCTAAAGCCTGCTCAAGACAACCGTCACGAGAGCAGAAAAGAAGCGACTGGTGACTACATAGGCGTCTTTGACGAAGATCTGGCCACAAATGGACCTGTCGGTGCTAGTTCAAGCAGCTCGAAGAGTGTGGGAGATGCATCAGACTTTGGTGAAGGTAGCATCCCTGGCTCGCTGCCCATCACGGCGCAGCATTTGCAATACACGAGACAACAGGCTGCGCGGAAGCACGCGGCGCTAACGCAGCCACCCTCGCTTCAGGTCCGATCACTTGGAGCTCAGCCGGGCAGCCTGAGTGAGGACCCCGAATCGGACATCGCCCTGAAGCACACTTCGCACGCATCCCGCTCGGACCAGGACAGCACGTTGATGCAAGGGTCAAGACTTGCGCCAGCGTCTTCTGGCGGCTCGCGCAAAACTGCCAAACGCCGCATGAAACCAGCTTCGTACGAGTAGGTCTACGCTGACTCCACGCACATGTTTCCCGTCTCTCGATATAAACCTTGCGACGCACATCTGTCGCGTGGCTCTCATACATTTGCACCGCAATCACACCTCATAATCCATCGTCGTCTGATCTCACGTAGCTTGGCTCCATGGGTAGTACGTGCTCCAGCTAGGCTCCAGATTGTGTCGCGCTCTCTCAGCCCGTGCCGCTCCATTGCGAGACCTCTTGTGGACCGCGCCGACCACGCTCGTCTGAAACGCCCCAAAGCTCGGCTGCCTATGATGGATGCGCTTTCGGGCCTACGTCGTATCGCGGCAACAACTTGGGAGTCAAGCTGTCGATCACAGTCCCACGCCGGTGGGCAGTGATGAGTAAGGTGTGTGCAGCTGTCTACCTACGACTTGCACATCTTGGGCTCGACACAGAAGCTCATCTGCAGCGCAAGCTCTATATCTCGCCTTGACCAGCCATCTCGTTCACATGATTCACGATGACTGGCGCGATCATTATGCGACGCAGGACTTGCGAAAATGGTGTCGAATTACGAATTCGATCCAATTGTGGTTGCCCGCACGCCAAACGGCTCTGTCTGCAGCAGGAAACCGTCGAACCCTCAACGTTCGACGATGAGCTGACTGACCTTCTCAACGCTTCTCGATCAACTCACACGTACGTTCGCGTGACCCATAGATTGCTGGCAGCAGCAGCAGGGCTGGACGGGCTGCGCTTAGTCGGAGCGCCATGCGTGCATGCATGATCGGCCCGCGCGACAGGAGCCGTGCGCGTGACGGGTCCCTCCCTGGCGTGCGATGGATCCTTGCAGCCCCATGCATGCGTGATGTATGCGTTCGGTTATTGTTGCTTACTTGACCGCCGCTTCGGCCGTTGTTTGCTGCTGCTGATGCTGCTGCTGCTCAGCTCAACGCGGCCTGCATGGCGGTGGCTGATGAGGTGATGTGACTTGCGCAGTCAAGTCACCACGCAGTCATGATCGCGAGTGTCAGTGCAAGAGAGCAAGTTCAGCAGAGGCCCCTGCTGCCACGCGGGGTCTGTGATTAGGGCAGAGAGGTCCCTGCCGCCGCCGCCTGTGCATGCGCGACTGCTAATCAATGGCCTGAATCAGGTTATACTGCGCCTCCACGACTCCTTTGCCTCCTCCACACCACCAAGGTCAGTCAGTACGCAACGACACCCACATCACTCCAGACTCCTGGAGCTCATCCGCATTCCAAGCGCCCTCTCTCTTCCCGTCTTGTCATTCTGCAGCGAGCGCTCGTTACGCCCGCCCATCCTGGCCCCTTGACAGCGATAATGGCGGCTTTGGACGTCATGCCATACTCTCCCGGGGCCACGCCCAGCTCCTCGGCGCCCTGGGCTCCCTTGTCGTTTGACGACTTTCTGGACTTCCCTAGCCCCGGTATCGCCCCCATGTCTCCTCGCATGGCACCCGCTCTGAGCTCTGAGCCTCAGCCAGCAGTGCAGGGTGCCGCATTGGAACCACCATCTCTCGATCTGCCATCGACTTCGACAGCTCCCAGTGTCGTCGCGCCACCGACATCCTCGGCTCCGTCACCTCCACAGCCCCCGCCGCCTGGCTCGTCACCCGAGGTGCTATTCGTGAGTTGATGGTAGGCACCATAGCTTCGTTTGGGCAAGGGTGTGACTGTATGCGCTGCTAGTAAGCTAGCCACTGACGCCTTTCTCTTCTGCGCATTTTTGGATACAGCGCTACTACCTGGCTGCTGAGCTTCGTCGTATCGGCTCGAGCGCAGACGACAAAATCATCGACAAGTACGTTGCTCAACACTATGCCTCGCTCTCCAAGAGCAAGCCTCAGCAGCCCCACTCGAGCGTCCGCCAGCAAGCTCCACCCGCCGCTGCCTCTCCAGCGCATGCAGTTGCTCAGCCTAATGCTTTCAAAGAACAAGGCTCGATGGGCATGCCTGAAACTTCTGCATTGAGAGTCTCTCCGGTCGCCACTCGCCGCCCCGACGACGCGATTGGGATTGATCCACACATGGTTGAGCTTCATCAACCCTCGGAGCGGCTCACTGCGTCTACCTCGCAGGTCACAGATGACCATGTTGAGCTCGGAAACTCTTTCGCAGGCGCCGATGCATCTCGTCTACCCTTGCGTGGTAGTCCACGCCTACAAAGATCCGCTGACGACATGTCAGAGGACTCGGAAGGGGAGGAGCAGGACGACGTTGCACCCCTTGCTGACGATGACGGTGTTGACAGCAAAGCTTTACTGCAGAGACAATTGGCACAGATTGCCAGTGGCAAGACGGCGCGTTCTTCTAGGGCCGGTAGCGCCGGCACAGTTTCATCATCGTCTGGTCTAGGTGGCGAAGCGTACGATGGCGGCGCACAGTCGTTCAGCGGACACGGACGCTCTGTAATCAGCGCTGCAGCTATGCTTCGTCCTTCTCCAGAGGAGTACCAGAAGCTGAGTAGCAAGGAGAAGCGACAGCTTCGCAACAAGATCTCTGCGCGCAACTTCCGCACACGCAGAAAGGAGCACATCACCACGCTCGAGGAACAGCTGGACAATCGCGACGCCATTATCGATAGTCTGCGCTCCCAAGTGTCTTCTTTGACGCTCGCAAACCAACAGCTGACGGATGAAGTCAAAGTACTCAAGACAAAGCAAATTTCTCAAACTGACGTTCAGCGTATCCTTGACGTCTTGCAGCGTTCCGCTTCCACCAGCGGAACGGGCGTCGTGGCCGGATCAGCCGACGCAACGAGTGCTGCAGCACAAGCACAACGCCTCGGCATCTCTCGCACCGCGAGCAACAGCAGCTTGGTGGGTCACGCAAACTCGGGAGATGTCACGATGTCTGGCAGCAGCCGTCCATCAACTCCCAACAGCCCAAGGCCACCCATTCTGCGCCGCTCTTCGCCTTCTATCTCTGGCCCCAACACGCGCAAGGATGTGGCTTCTACGAGCTCGGCGTTCTGGGGCGGTGCCAACAGCACTTCCTCTGCGCTCGTTGCAGCTTCTTGATCCTGTATCATAAACCCTCAATCTCATCGGCGCCAGCCCTCGCGAGCAGTCTCTCTCTGCATTGCCTTTCCTTGTGGCAACTGTGGCATGCGCCGGGTTGCCACGCACACACCGCCACTCGTGCTTTGCGCCAATCCGCTTTTGCCAAATCACTGAACCGCACCTCCCCTACACGCCCCTCTCGTCCTCATCTTGTATGGTGACCATTCGACTCGCCGCTTATGACATCAGTTCGGTGTGGCCTTTCGCGTGCGGTCCTGGAGCGAATTACTTGAGTCTGTATGCTTGCGTCACTTGGATCGAACACCGTCTCCTTGGCCCTGTCGACGTCATGCGAGTCAATCACGAGCACTCTCGTGACCAGCTTGCTCAACGAAACGGACTTGTGTTCGGACGTTGATCGCGCGTGTCAGGAGATCGCGCCGACGAAACCGGCCGCCGCGCATCGAGGTGGGACAGAAGTCCGAGCGAGCCACGCAGCATGAGAGCTGGGATGCGCGCACGATCTGCAAAACTTCGCGCGGGTCCGTAATGGGACGGAACCAGCACGCGCGACGAGTCCCTCCCTGAAGAACTTGTAGCTTGATTCACGACTCTTATCTTATTCCAATTCTCTCACTGCCTCTAGCTCATCGAACAGCAGGCTAGGACTTGCGACTATGGCAGACCCTTCCCCTTCATTACCCAGTCTAACGGCATTAATCTGTTTTCCAGGAGCCGCATACACTCAGAAGTGCGCTCTCGATGCTGCAAAGAAGGTCTTGCAGCCAAAGGGCTGGACAGTGGTCGATGGGTGCAAGTCGGCCGGTGGTAGCGATCCGACAGCGTACGACACTCTTGTTTCAGCCCCCAAAGGTGCGAGTGCAGAGCACGCCCTTTACTTCACGGACTATGATTTGCTGCCCTTTGAGCAGCTGCTGGGATCCAAACACCAGCAGTGCAGCTCCTACGTCATTCGAAAGGCGCTCATACGCAAGCATCACCTTGCGCATTCGATTCACGCCCATTCGCTCAAAATCGGACCGCAAGCCATCCCAACACATCTTCCCTTGACCCCCAGAACTTGGTTCTTCGAGCTGCAGTTCGCAGACGATCTGGACGAATTGCTCATGGATGAGCTTTACGACCTACGGGATTCGATGCAAGCCCAAGAAGATGAGACGCAGGAAGCACAGTGGTTCATCTTGAAACCCGGCATGGCCGATCGCGGCAACGGCATCAGGCTCTTCAGAGACGAAGATGGGCTGAGGAGCATCCTGGAAGAGTTGGAAGGAGGTAGCGAGGAAGACGCGAGCGAAGCCGGGAGTGGAGACGAAGCAGGAGGTGGAATGTTGGGACAGCTACGCCACTTTGTCATCCAAGTGAGTCCTGCTTTACCTTTCAGCAGCAAGCCCACTCGCTGTTTGTTCGCTCACCCAGAATGCGACGGGCCTTATTCAGGAGTACATAAGACGACCTTTACTTTTGGCGCCCAGGAATGTCGATGCCACCGAGCGTAGCGAGCGCAGCGACGAAGCAGCACCCTCCAGAAAATTTCACATTCGCGCTTATGTCCTGTGCACAGGCGGCCTGCAAGTCTACCTTTGGGACGACATGCTGGCGTTGTTCGCTCCTCTGGCCTACAGAGACCCCACCTCGAAAGGCGACGCAGCATCAGAAGAGCCAGATCCGAGGATACACCTCACAAATACCTGCTTGCATGCTGATGGACAGCCATCGGCCGACGGGCGACCTGCAGAGGAGAACGTCTATCTGCTCGAGAACCTTGTAGGCTGCACCGCGACTGACGGCAAATCGCAAGCATCGACTGGGTCATTCTTCACTCCGACACAATACGAGCGCATCAAGTCACTGACAGCTCAAACCATCGGACGGACATTTGAAGCAGCTGCAAGAGCAGGAAGCATTCATTGGCAAACCTGGCCCAATGCGTGGGAAATCTTTGGCGTGGATCTACTCGTCGGCTGGGACCCCGAAGCGTGTTCGCCAGGTGACGAAGCGCTTCGAGTATGGCTTCTTGAAGTCAATGCTGTAAGTGGTCTATATGCATCGCGCCTCGGTCGCGAAGTTTGATGATAAGGGCTGATCCTTGCGCTCGCATGCTCCTCGTGGGCCGCCTTCGTAGCAACCCGACTTTGCGCAGAGCGGGGCTCGACTATCGTCCACGATCGAGTCTCTGTTTCGTCGGTCCATTGAGGTGGCTGTGCTGCCATTCTTCGAGCAAACGAAGGAAGGACATGAGAGGTCGGAGCCAAGAGTCGGCACGTCGCAGAATGGCATGACCTTGTGCTTGGATGCAGAGCTAAGCAGAGCGTGGTGAGAAGCTCCAACGGTGCTCTACACGGGCCTGCATCAAAGCGAGTGACAGTGCTGGCCTTCGACATCTAGCATAGTCTGTGCACTTCATCGCACGCGCGTTTAGGCGTTCTCGAGACTATAGCCCAGCTGGCGACCCTTGGCATGCGCGTCCATGACCAGCAGATTGCGCCACACTAGTCAGACGAAGCAAGCAAACATCAGCAGGTGCCAGCAACAAGCACCGCTGCACGTGCGCCTCGACTTACTTGGCCGAAGACGAGGCGGCAAAGATGCACCGAAGCTTGGCTCCTTCATCCACTCTACGTTGTGCTACACGCAGGCGAGCTGGATCTAGTCAGTGATTATGCACAAAGCGCTCGACGAGCTTTGCACCCTGTCCGCACCTGTAGGACATTTCGAGCGCGCTCAGCGAACGCTAGCTGCTCTGATGCGCGGTCTGTGGAGTCGAGGGATGCATCTGCTCGAATGCCGCCGTAGCAACCGTGCAGCGTTGCTCTGATCTGCGATGGTAGATAAGATGCCCTGTGCAGTACACGCTGAGAATAGAATGCTGTCTGCCCCGCTGTATTTCATTGTGCAAGGCTGTCTTAGTCCACCAAGCTATGGCCGCGAAGCTCAAGAAGGCGCGCGAACTCACCTTTGAGTTTGACTTGCAGCGTATTTGGAGGATCCACCTGCCACTTGGCGTCCAAAACGCCTTGACCTTCCAGCACCTTGGTAGCGGGCGGTGCCTTTGCAGCATTTGCCCTCTTCTCCGCTTCCGTTCGCAGACGCGCGTGCGATCCGGGGCAGATGAACAGACATTCGTCGTCATACAGCGCCGCGTTCCACTGGACGCCATAGGTGGGAGCTGAGAGCCTGGCCTCTTCCTCCTCGCTCGACACATCCGCTCGAACGTCGTCCCGATGCCAGGGCAGTGCGAAGGCGTGGCAGGCAGGATTGATCACTGGTGCCGATGTTGTAGGTAGCGATTAGATGCTGATGAGGTGCGAACGTCGCAGTGATCACTCACGCAGATTGAACAGCTCCAACTGCATCTTGTCCGGCTCCGTGTCGAGGAGAGCGGCTGCAATGTCGAGCAAAGGCGAGCTGCCGTAGAGCCTCGCGAAAATGCTGTCTTGCTTATCAGCTCCATTCTCTCCCTCGCCCCCTACAATGAGGTCAGGATGAAGCAGATGCTGTACGCCCCAGCTATCGTCTGAGATGGGATCGTACGGAGGGAAAGACTTGCCAACTACTCTGCGGTGAGGCCACTCGCCTCTCCTCGTCCTCTCCACAGCAGCTTGACATGCCACTCTGAGCTCCTCGAGCGACAGGCGATTCTCAAAGTCGAAGATGCCATCCAAGATTACGTAGCCGTCTCTCCTGTAGGCCGCTCGTATGGCCTCCAGGTCGTAGCGTGAGAGCGCATCAGCGGCGTCTGCGTGTTGCGTAATCATGTCGGACGCGCGTCAAGGCGGCGAGATGAATGCCGGAACAGCTTGGCTGGAGACTCTCGGTGGCGAAGCTGACTTGGTCAGGCAGAGGTCATGGGTGGGTCCAGAGGTGGTGTGTAAGGGAAGGGGCGGTCGGAGTTGGGTTGTAGAACCTGCTTGCTGATGATGTGCGCAAGGTTGCATGGTGGGAGCCGCGCAATAAGATCCACCATTCGTGATTGACCCGCGGCAACACGCGCGCGCCCATCGACGGAACAAGTCACGTGTCTTTGGCAATGATGAGCTCTCGCATGCGCGGTTTTCTGATTTGATTGCATGGGCATCGCACGTGGCGCATCCAAAGTCGAAGGCTCCCTCAGAGCCCGGACTGCATGGCTGCATGGTGACCGTGCTCGCCCGGCAGGCAGCAGGGCCAAGAAGAAGCTCGGAGCTTGCGCCTCTGCGTTCGAACGGCAGCAGCGAGCTCACAGTCGTTGGCATCCCATCAGCATTCGGTTTCGCTTGACGCTGCTTTCACCAAGCTTGACGGGGCACTGCCACGATAATTTGCGCGATTGCAAACACATCCGACCCTTAAGCCAACTTCCTGACCCGGTGCTCATTCTTGCCGTGGCCCTCTATTCCCTACAACAAGTTGCAAGAAAGGTTCAATCTTCTTGCAGACCAAGTTCCGACCGCGGTGCATACATACGCGTGCCAATCTTCGCGCAAGACAACGTGGCCTGGTACGATCGTCTAGTTGCGTGAGGCGCCGAATTTGGATACAATAGAGCACGATGACTGCATCACCAGCATTGAACGTGAGTAGCAGGGTCCAAGACAGGTGCTTCAATTGCCCCCATCCCGGCAAGTGGATAGATCTGAAGCTGCATCAGCTGACCAGCCCGGCATCCTTCCCATTCGCTCTACAACTGTGCTCCCACCTACTTTTGTCACCCTTCGACACCAATGTCGATCCTCTTGCATCAATATTGGCCTAATCTGGATGACAGGTTGCGCGATACGGCGCCTTGATTGGTGGCATCGGATACGGTATTGTGCACAAGCGAACACTGCAAAAGAGAGAAGATCAAAGAGCAGTGCAAGCGGAGTTGAAGCATCTCAGAGAGTCTCAATCCAAGGCGGAAAAGGAGAAGGACGCTGCTATCTTGGCGAGCATCAGAGGTGGTGGAGGTGAGTGTCGAGCTTTGAGTAGTGAGATGGCCAGGGTTGGAACGAGTATCAACCGGCGCTTGGTCGAATCAGGGCTTTTGGCGGCGTAAAGGCTCGAAGGACACGGTACAGCTAAGGGAGCACAGACAAAGCAAGGCGAGGCACGGTTCTGGCGGCAGTCGGTCGAGCGGCGCATCCCAAGTGTTGCTCAGCCGACCCAGCACGAAGGTGAAAGCGAAGTCTTCTTCGCAGGTACAGGTGGTCCCATTCGGCTTTTCCCGCGGAGCCAGGGAGGTCGCAACTATCAGAGCGGCGCAAATCTTCTCGGTATGGCTGCTCCATCGCTACCTTTCTGACATGCTGTTTGCTCCTTCGATTCATCGTACAGTCGTGTCGGACCCAGACAGCCCCAGCTTCGATTTGGAAAAGTACCTCTCTTCCCTGGAGAAGTAAAGGCGAACCACAAGCGCGTTCCGCGAGCCACAAAATCACCAGCGACGGAGGTATCACACGCTCATCACGCCCTCGCAATCTAGACGATTTTTGCGCCGACTCGTGACATGCTTAGCTTTTTTGTGTGGGAATGTCGCCTTGCGTGGGCACGGGAAAGGTGACGGGGCAAAGGTCCACTGCGGGGGAAGTCACACTTGCAGACGTGAGAGATGACGCTGTTGGCGTGCTTTGGCTGTCTCGCCTGGCGGCAGTCCACGCAACGAGCTTTGCATGAGCTCCCGCAAAGACACGACAAGTGCAATGCGAGTCTTTGGATGGCAAATCAAGAGTCCCATGCTCCCAAGCCTCCAGCTGCCCGATCGCAAAACATTGCCAAGCGATGCTCTGGCTCGTAAGGAACTTTGCCGCCGATTCGCATGATGGTAGATGGCGCTCTTGCTGCGATTCGCACCCTTGGCGGTGGCCTTGAGGTAGGACTTGCCGCCTGTGAAGGCCCCTCGTCCTCTTCAGTCCGATTCTGCTCCAACTTTGTCCTCAGAGCCCTTTCGACATCTCTCAGCACCTTGTTCTGCCCCTCTGAAGGTGTTGCTATCTCTTGGCTGCCTGGACCAGGCGGGTCACCCGGTCTCCATCCGTACTGCTGGCCGATTGCTTCTATCAGCTCCGTCTTGAAAGAGTCGTTCGATTTTTGAGCCGAGTTGGTCCACGCTCCTCGTCTCTCGGCCTGCCAACCGCCGCTGTACACTCCGTATGTGCTTTCGTGCTCTTCCTCAGTTTGTGACCCCGCACTGTGCTCGAATATTGATCTCCAGTGGTACGGGGGCCGCACATAGTATTCGTTGACCGCGTCTTCGTTCGACATTGCTTCCCAGGCCAAGTGCAGCCTTCTGAAACCACCTGCACCAAGCTCGCTTAGTGCCCGCACCTCCTCCGCTCGACGTTCGCTCTTGGTCCCCGGCAGTGCGAGCTCCACGAAGAAGGGCTTCAATCGCGCTGAATGCAGTGGTGCAAGCTTGATCAGCCTTCGACCCGCGACGCAGCATCTGCGAAAAAAGCACCGAACTTACCTGCTACTATTTCAGGTGGCTTGAAGCTGAAACGAGCCGTGTCGTAACGGATGTGGGTGAGCTCGATGGGCTCCGGACGTCCGCTCGCAGCGGCGACTGCATCATCGCGCCCTGCTAACCAACCATCGTTGACCACGTCAGCTTTGTACCTCAGGCCTGCATCCGAGGAGGATATGCTGCCTTTGCGAAGTCGTGCCAGGCCATCGTATGGCATCGTGATGCCTCCTGGCTCTTCGAAATCAGCGCCGATGACATGCAGACGCTTTAGGCGAGTGCCGTCGCCGTGCCATTGGTAGAATGAGGGCCAATCGGGATATGCGGCGGCCAGTACATAGGTGATCGTGAGCTCTCTCGGCATATACACCAGGTACCTATCGCCGGAATCTTGTCTGCCATCCTCGTAGCCAAACCTCCAAATGTCCAAAACGTCAAGTTCGCCAGCAATCGATCCACACCTCAGTATCTCTTCTGCGCACTCCATCGCGAGGTCGGCATTCCTTGGCTTCGTCGGCATGACGTGAAGGAATAATGCCTTGACGCATCCAGAGAGAGAGGCAGGCAAGGAGATAGCATCTTCTTTGAGAGGCTGCGCTTTCTTGCTTCCCGCTCCGTGCAAAGGAGACCGTTGCACGTCATCATCAGGAAGAGGATAATGACGCCTGACGCATTCCAACAAGCTGCGCGCTTGAGCCTCGTTCAGTACGATGATGGTATGCCATCGTGCTTGAGCAGTCCAGTTGCAAATGTCTCGACAAGAGAGCGCGAGGGGAATCTTGGTCCATGGATGCGTGCGCGCTGCTAGAACAGTGATCTTCTGGATGAGCTCCAAGGGGAGGATGGGCGTGAGCGCTGTGGACTCGCAGGCGTCATGACCGCCACGGGTCGACGCCATTGCGATCCACCTGTCTGGTCACTCCTATTCGCATCCACGATTCCTGATGCTTCGCATTCGGTGTTGAAGCTGCTTCGCTCTCGTCAAGGACCAGCGGTGAGGTTCACTTCTCGCTCTGCTGTTCATGTTACGCCCGGTCCGCAGCGGTACCCGTCACACACGCGTACACCTTTGCTGCTGGTCTGCGCGAGCCTGCTGAATGGATGGAAGGAGCATGCACGCACGCACGCAGCCTCGGCAGCAATTAATTATAAGCTTCACAGCACGCAGAGCTGCTGCACGCGTCGACGAACACTCGTGACTGACTGTGACTCTGACTGTCCATGGCAAATCATGAGTCGCAGCTGCGATGTTGCTGTTTGTCGTTGCTGTCTCGGCCAACGCCTCCCTCATTAATTTGATTGCCATCTGACCGACCCCTCGCCTTGATAGCCATATAAACAGACTGCAGTCCCTGCTGGGAGCCGAGAGCCGCATTCGATGACCGTCAGACTGTACACCAGGCTCTGCATGCAACGCCATCGCCTAATTCATCTATATTCGTGCTGGTAACGATCAAGAAGAAGGAGAACGACGATGACAATTTGAATGTCTCAATAACGCAACGTTGAGATGCTAATAATAATGCAAGAAGCGTAAACACGTACCGTCCATCAGTCAAGGGAAATATCTCGAGCGTCAGACGTCCAAAGTTCGCTGCTCGAGGCGACTCTTGAAATCCTCAAGACGACGAAAGGATTCCCACATCCTGCTGCACCGCCACATCGAGATTCCTAGGTCTTTCGAGGACGCAGCCGGGGGGGGGGGGGGGGGGGGGGGGGGGCAGGCACCCTAAAAGAGGCGCGCCTGCCTGCCTCTGCATGTGTAGGGCAGATGCGATGGCTCGAACGCGAGTCACGATGAGAGCTCGGCCTCGAGATCATCGTCGAGTCGTGAGTCCCAAGTGTGGAACCAGCAATCGTGAATGATTGCCGATTTGAATCGACATGCAATGAGCATCGAGTCGGGTTCGCAAACAGCTCGTGTGCGGAATGAGCTTCAGACATTTCGAGGCGATCGATGCTCCTGGGCGGCGCGCACCCTCTTCTGTTGTCGTTGTGCAGTGCATCTGTGTGCAGTGAGCGCGCTCGATGAGACTCAGCGCGTGGCGAGCTGGAGGCTTGCACTAAGCGAGCGAGCATTTTTGGCTACGATCTTGGTGCTCGGATGAATGAGAGGGTGCAGTCACGTTAGAGCGGACTCAATGAATTGCAGCCTTGAGTAATCGCCACTCAAGGCGGATGTGTAGCGCGGAGACCTTGGCACGCAGCTATATAGCTGACTGAAGATGTGCCGCTCAGCGCGGCTTGCGTACCGTGCGTGCGGAAAGCCGTGCAGCGAGCGAGCCGTCAGTCACGAGTGTGTGTCAATGTGAATCGTCACGACTCGTGAACTTACGTCCGGGCTCGAACACGGCCGTCGCCTTACAATCGTGTGGCTTTTGGCGGTGTGTGTGTGTGTGTGCCTGTACTGTACTGTACTGTACACGTACATGCGCAGGAGGATGCAGCAACCCAACCCAGCATCGCTTGTCTGCCAGCGGCGCTGCGTGACGGACTACGGTACCCTCAATTGTCACGGCACGCTCGATCTATCAAGCCTGCCTCGACTGTGCCCCTCCTCGACTCCAACAGCGACAGCGACGGAGAAGATCCTGCTTGGCACACCATAGCCTCGGATGTGTCGGGTCGGGCGACGTACCCATCTTTGCTCGCCTCTCCATCGCCCCGTCCACCGCTCGACCAGCAGCCAGCGTCCCGAGGTCATGCGCTGGTCTGCATGCGAGTCACCCCTCGGGGCGTCCTTAGCGTCTCGTACACATTATTTACCGGTACCGCACACGCTCGCGATTCTTCTCTTCTACTACTGTACTGCTCTTCTATCACGTGTATGGCTGTGTGCGCTGGCATCAATGATGGAATAGGCAAGCCTAGCCAGCAGCTCCCTGCTAGTCCAGTACTAGTCATGAGCGCATGGACAAGACGCCAGCCGGGGCTTTGAAATGACCTTGAAGTCACAAAATCTTGAATGCGGTCTCCATACTGCTACTACATACGCTCAGTCAAAAGTGTATTGAACTCACAACTTGAACTTCATTTGTGTAACTCATCCCTCGATCGAGCGCTTAGCACGGCGTTATGTACACAAAGCTTGTTATTAAGCTTCTTCATCATCATTACCTTTTCCCAAACGGTGCGCGCGCCCTCGGACCCATCTATGTATAGAGCGAGGAGAACGCATAGCGCGACGGGCGCGCGCGTCCGACAGGCGACGGGGCAGCTATGTGTAGGCGAGCGGCGCGCATGAGCAGCTGTATAGGAGAACCTGCGCGGGTGCTGTAAAGCATGCAAACAATTATTAACGCTGCTGCTGCTGCTGCTGCTGCTGCTAGCCTGCCACTCTCTCTGCAGCGCTATGGTACCGTGTACGCGTAACCTGTGACTCGTGACTGTACGCATGAGCAAGCAATCGTGAATCAGAATATATTTGCCGTGCTGCGCGTGCGCGCGATCAGCAGCTACAGCACAGCTATCCAGGCGCGTAGCGCTGTATATATGTGTGCATGCATGGGTGGCATCGCGCGCGCGAATGAGCGCGCCAGTGATTGGAGACGCGGACCGCCCGCCGCTTGTAGCTTGGGGGAGGTGGGGGGAAGCTCTGGAGCATGCATGGCAGCAGCTATAGGGCAGGAGCTAGGGCAAGGCAAGCGCGCGCGGCAAGAAACAGCAAGCACCCGCATCAGCAGCAGCAGCAGCAGCAACGACGCACAGCGGCATCTGCTGCTGCTGCTGGATGGAGAGGCGAGTTGCCAACACTCAGCACACACTCTCACCCAACCAACCCGCACAGACTCATTTCACGATTCGTGACAGCTCGCTCAGTCATTCACGATACTCCTGCTCTTCCATAACGGTGCCGACGCGCCATCGAATGCGCCATCCATCAAGCTAAGCGGGGGACTCGTCAGATTCGATCCCATCAGGAGGCCCGTCTTCTTCCGCGGTGCAGACAGCTGACAGGCTCGCCGTCGTCTCGTCTTGTCCATCCAACATCGTATCGCCGCACGTCCTGCAGTCATCTCCTTGTCAGACTCAGGCTCAGGCTCAGCTCGATCGCCGCTCCAGCGAAACTCATCCGCTCGGAGACTCAACCACTCATTTACAAACAACCACCCCTTGCCCACGTCGGGCAGGCAGCCTTTGCACATTTGGACCCCTCGGCGCCCGCATACGCTCGCTGTTTTCAATCATCACCACGCTCCTCCATCCCAGCTTGCCCGCCACCACTCTCTTCGAGTAGAGCAGATCGGCCGATCAGTCACGACGCTGCAGGCCCCCAGTCACCTTCAAGCTTAGTCGTGCAAAGGGTCAGGTGCGCTGCGTCCTGTGCGTTTCTCACTGCGAGCTTAGACAATTCTCCTGTCGCGAAGGAGGGCGCGATAGATCCGCTCACACCTACAGCAGCCCAGACAAGGCGTCCAGCTTCTCTGCGCCGCACGACAAGCCGCATACCCTCAGGAATCTTCACAAGAACGAGGTCGCAGGCATTCCTTGATAGGTGTATACATTCAGGTGCGTGAGCAAGAGTGGGAGAGCTGCGTGAGGGATGCGAATTGTCGCGTGGACGAGTTTCGAGAAGGTCTGAGGTGTAGTACAAGGCAGGGAAAGGGCAGCCCAGGTGCTGCAGGCTAGCTCATGGTATGCTGAGCGCGCGACTGGAAAGATAGAAAAGCCAAGCCGGGAGGATACCTTGTAGGCGCACATGACATGGGCATTTCTGTCACCCGACCAGTCACTGAGCTCGAGACCTGCTACTGCCTTTACAGCTGCATTCAAGCTGCGTTGCCCAGCATGTTCAAATCGTTCGGCAAGATGATGGGGTCCTCCAAGAAGGGAAAGTCGAAGTCGGCAGATGGCGATGACTTTCCCAATGAGGATGGCAGCTTTGCGGATGGGACCAACTATGGCAGGACACGAGCGAAAGATGCGGCTTCCTTGAGCGCCGAGAATGGCGGCGGCATACCAGGCTCTCGAAGTGGGAGAACAACGCAAGGACGCGGACCGAGTGGCGCTACAGCTGCTGCCGCCGCGTCGCCGAATCATGCCGATGACGCCGTTCCGACAAGGATTGAAAAGCAGGGTGGATTGAGTCGCCATGAATCTCCCTTACCTTCACCTTCTTCATCGCACGCTGATGGTCTGAATGGAAGCGGTAATGATGCCATGTCTCCTACACCCGGTCCCGACGAGTCTTTCACAAGTCAATCTGCATCAGCCCAGGCAGGAGCAGCTGCGGCCAATGCGCCCGCGGGTATCCCTACTACGCAAACAATCTTGGCGAACCCCATGGGGATCGGTGGAACATCGGGACCTTCTTCAGCATCGAGAGGAAGCATGGCGGGCAGCGGATCTGCGAGCGGCCTCGGAAGTGCGGGCGGACCGACACCGGAAGGTGTGCGCACTTTCGATATCGACGACATGATCACCAGGCTGCTCGAAGCAGGCTACAGCACGTCCAAGCTACCCAAACCTGCTCTCAAGAACGCCGAAATTACAGCAGTCTGCACTGCGGCGCGAGAAGTCTTCTTGTCTCAACCTACATTGATAGAGCTCAGTCCACCAGTCAAGATTGTCGGAGACACGCATGGCCAGTATCAGGACTTGTTGCGCCTCTTCGAGATGTGCGGTTTCCCTCCTCAAGCAAATTATTTGTTCCTTGGTGATTACGTGGATCGTGGTAAACAGAGCCTGGAAACCATCCTCTTGCTGCTCTGCTACAAGATCAAATATCCAGAAAATTTCTTCTTGCTGAGGGGAAACCACGAATGTGCAAACGTGACCAGAGGTGAGTACAAGCTGCGAGCGCTCGCTCGCAAAAGATCGCAAGAGCCCCCTGTTGCGTTTCTTTAAAAAGTCTCAAAATAGACCAAAGCATAGACGACGCTGATCGACACGTCTTGTGGCAGTGTACGGCTTCTACGATGAATGCAAGCGACGAGTGAACATCAAGATTTGGAAGACCTTCATCGACGTCTTCAACACTTTGCCCATCGCAGCCGTCGTAGCCTCCAAGATCTTCTGTGTGCATGGCGGCCTGAGCCCGTCGCTGTCCAACATGGATGACATCCGACGCATCGAGAGGCCGACCGATGTGCCTGACTATGGTCTGCTCAACGACTTGCTGTGGTCAGACCCCTCAGATACTGCGCTAGACTGGGAAGACAACGAAAGGGGCGTTAGCTACTGCTTTGGCAAAGCAGTCATTCAGCAATTCTTGGCGCAGTATGATTTCGATCTCATCTGCAGAGCTCACATGGTGGTAGAGGATGGGTACGAATTTTGGAACGAGAGGACGTTGGTTACGATCTTCTCGGCGCCAAACTACTGCGGAGGTAAGTGCAGACGGGGTGATCGCAGGTGTGCGACCAGACGGGCACCCCGCTGATGTCGCCCTCATCCAACCGCAGAGTTCGACAATTTCGGCGCAGTGATGAGCGTCTCAGAAGACTTGCTGTGCGCCTTCGAATTGCTCAAAGTGAGTCCTATCGGCCCGCAGCATCGGCTTCGAAAAGACGCAAATTGACCACTTTGCCCGCTTTCCCGCTCTCGCAGCCGCTTGACTCGACCGCACTGAAGAAAGAGATGGCGAAGAACAAGAGGCGCTCGATGCAGCAGCATCAGTCCCCTCCTGCACAAAGGCAAGGGTCGTACTAGTTGGCAGGCCAATGACGAGCGCGCACCATAGCTCGAGCCGAAGGCCGCCAATTTGAGTGCCATTGTCGGCGTGCTATACATAGACGTCAGACTCGGAAGCTCGAGAGATCTCAACGCTAGATACGCGACCGTGAACGGAAAGCGTGCTCGCGAAGCACCACTTTCGACTGAGCATTCAATCTGGCCTCCGTCTTAGCTGTCTATTCCGCACGAATGCCTCGTCTGCGCTTTCGGACTCGATCATCCGGTGCCTGCTTCTCTTCAAACACTCCTCTAGAGCTACACCTTAGTCGGCGTCATTTGGCATCAGCAGCTTTGCGGTCTGAGCCACTCGAGGGATCGCCCCGCTCTTGTTCTACCCCCTACCTTCCTTCTTCCCCTCACGTCACTTGTCAAGGTATGAATGGTATCTGTCAAAAGGCTTGCACGCGTGGCACGCGCTTCCGCGAACTTCGAGTCTCCTGGTCCGGGCACAGGTCGGGCCTCTGTCGCTTTTGTGTACAAGAACGAGCTGAGGTACACTTTGCGGCAGAGCACAGGCCAAAGAAGGGATGGCTGGGTACGGAAGCGCGAGTTTGAATGCTGTGGGCCTGGAGCTGCGACACTGAAGCGGTACATCGGTCGATCTCGAAGCCGGCTCTAGACCCGAGCAGCGATGCCCGACATTTTGAAAGGGGTCAGGCGCTTCAACTGTTCAGGCTGGAGGCGTGGAGCTGGTGCGTGCAAAGACCCCATCGAGTAGATGGAAACGCTCTCCGCAGATCTTGCCGACGGCTGAGTATGGATTATCGGGCCCTGCACTTCTTCATGATGATGTCCGCCAAACGTTGAGGTGGAAGAGACTGTCCGAAGCAGTGGGAACTGAGGCGGGTCAAGAGAGCTGCTGCTCCAAAAGGCATGATTTGTGTGCGCGACAGAAAGATCTGGCGAAGGGCTGGTGTGCTCAATTCCACTCGGCTTCAAGACGCTAAGCGATTGGCAGACTTGTGAGGTGCCACACAATGTTGCTCCCTGGTGTCCAGCCTCGACGTCACCTTCTGCTGTCTCACTAAAGCCTATTTCACGTCGCAGGTAGGCTTCCGCTTGCCTCGATCCTGTCATGACGTCCGCCGCTGGATGGACGTCGTCTGGCGTGGCCATTCGCGAGTCAATGTTGTCTGCTCCAAGGGAGGGCAGACGCTCCGAGACTTTGATTGCACCGGATGGAGATGCTTGCCTGTCCGGCAATGACTTCAGAGCGCTCAGCAAAGGATTGCCCGTATCCAGATCCAGCGTCTGATTTCCACCGGCCGAACGAGTCTGTCTAGGGGAATTGCGAGGGGCAGGATGGAGAGTTGAGGGCTTCGAGTCGGCAAACGTGACCGAGGTGACCGGTCTAACGCGATTGGTCGTGTGAGCCCAGTCAGCCCAAGCGCCTGGCCTAAGTACATGATTCGCACTAGGCGCAGCGCGTATCCTCGAATTTGCAGATAGGTACTCTCTTGGATCGTCGGTGTCGTGATCGAGGGTGCGCAGATCCTTTGCAGATTCTCGCGTGTTGGGCCTAGAGCTGAGTCTGAGGTCACCCTCACGGCCTCGGTCGAGGTCGAGCGATGCATCGAAGAGTGAATCAAGCCGACTCGACCTAGCCGTTCCATTCGTCTGCACCGTTGCGCGACTTTCCGCGGTGAAAGGACGGAAAATTAATGCCGATGGCCACATCGACTGTGCGTGGAAGTCGTCAGCGGGAAGGGTTCTGCTCCTCGCTCGCGTGTATCTGTCAGTCTGCTGACTGCGCTCAGAAAGTGCCGAGTTCATGCGGGCAAGCAAGGTGCGCGATGCCCGAGAAGGATTACTGAAGCCACGCGATGCAGTCGCGCGCACGGGGGATGGGCGCATCGAGTCGTCTTCAGCCAAGCCACGGCGCAAGGCAAAATGTTGCGTCTGGTCATCGGTAAGCGTATGTGCGAAAGACGGTGCTCGCCTCAGAGACTCTGGTGAAGTCGCGCGGAGTACTGGAGATCCTATCTTGCTGAACACTGACATGCGCTTTAACTTTCCAGAGTGTCCCTCGGAGCCGTCGCGTAGCGTGGGGCTATTCAAAGGTGTCTCATGGACATGCAGTGCGGGGCTGCCATTCTCCACCTGGGGCACCCATGTTGGAGGCCAGTTCTGAAGGAGTCAGTATGAAAGCACGACTTGGATGCGTGGGAGGTTTGATCGAGCAAATTTTGTCTACTCACGGAGCGCTCATGTATAGATGAAATGCTCGGTGGAAGGTGATCCTGACCGCTGAAACGCTTGCTGCTGCGAGCCCTCGCCGACGCCTCAATCCAGCGCGAGTACTGGGGCGAGGGAATGTGACAACCAGACTGACCGGAAACCTCTCTTCGCAGCGCAAGACCAAAGACGAGAGCGATGAAGGCGATCTTTGGGATCAAGACGATCTGGGGAGCACGGGATCGTGAGTATAGAGCGAAGGCTTCATTGCTTCAGCAAACGCAGACGGGAGAAGACACGCACGAGAACCCAGGTCCATGCTCCAACACTTGAAAAATGAGGATGGCAAAGAATATAAGGTAAGCCGCCCCACGTCGCGATGACATGGACGAAACCCACGTCCTCTACTGACCGAGCGACGAGCAAGCCGATGGACACGGCGTACATACTGCTTCGTGGCGATGTTGTCAGACTCAGCTTAGTCACACAGGGCACGATGGACACGGCCGGCAAGGCCACCACTCACACTATCAGGACTGAGCCGGAGAGCAGAGCGGCCCATAGCAAGCCGTTGAGAGTCTCGAGAGGTGCCTGCTGTTCAACCTGCGCATGACTGACTGCTCAGCGAGCCGCAAGGTCACGGTAGCACGAAATATGGCTCACCACTGAAGTGGCCTTGTGCAATTCCCGTGACAGGGTGTAGCAGATGAACATATCGATGAGCTTTGGAAAGGAGAGGTGTCGAGGGTGGTGAGCCTTGACGCTGGGCGTGCGAGGGAGAGTGCATGCGCACCATGTTCAGGATCAGCCAGCAGAGGAGGAGCACGGCAGCCCACGACCACGTGCCAAGTGCTCGAGAGTATGAGTTGATGAGCTGATGTAAAGAATTGATTCACAAGTCAGTGCGATTCAGAGCAGGTAGGTGGACGCTCCACAGCTCACCTTCAACGAAGCGGCAGTAGCGACGCCGAGCGCGCAGCTGACGACGATGATAAACGTGATGAGCTTACGCTTGGAGCTGGGCTTCGAACTGCGAGCAAAGAAGAGCGCATTGGACCTTCGAGCGAGCCAGTACTGTGCTCCAGAGAGAGCGACTGCTCCGAGGAAGAATGAGATGCAGTCTTCTTGTCGGTCGCCGCTGGCGTCCAGATACGCAGAGGCCGAACGAATGGCTGCGTCTGTGCCAGCAAGGGGGTGGAGAATGGTGATGCGATAGGAACGCGAGACGTCGATGAGCATCTGTGCTAGATTGATGAGCAGCAGGGTCGTGACGGAGCATCGCAGCTTCCAGCTGTCATTGCCTGCGGAGCCGCGCAGGTATGAGGCCGTCATGGGCACGAGGGCGCCCAACGCTGGGAGAATCGTCGTGGAGTGCATGAGCGGTCAAGCAAAGCGGGAGGCTATCGGACAGGCATGCGCTTGCTTACCAAAGACGGAGAGAATTGTGCCCACAAGCCAGGGCAACAGCTGCGCGAAGGTGTGCGGGAATACTGTGAATCGGGCTTGCCTCCTGTGAGCAGGCTTTGAATGCTTACCTGGATCATTTCTGTCCTGACGCCATCATCGGTCAAGCTTGCTCCTCCCACGAGGGAGAGCTCATTGCTCTGCTCGGTATTGGCGAGGGAAAACACATCCAGTATGGACCGTGGTAGGCCTGGCATGATGGTGACTGAGGCCAAAGCGAGAATGCGTGTTGAGGTAGTAGCAGTGCCGTGGAGGGGATGGTGGAGCGAGGAATGTCTGGTCAAGGAAGGCCGAGGACACGCACCAGCACGCTAGCTCCTGTCGATTCAAGATGGAGAGTGCCTTCGATGCTGTGATGGGAGATGCTTCATGTCACCGTCTTGCGAAGGAGCAATATGAGGGTACAAGGTACCGATGACAGAGGGAGTGCAAAGTCAAATCATTTCTTTCAGCACTTCCAACGAACCTCGAAGGGCGAGTTTGCACGGAAGAGGGAGTCCGCACAGTGCTAGCTATTCCTGCAGCGCCAGCCGTGATAGCGTGAAGCGTCGGACTCCATTCGTGATTGTGGATTCAAGATTGTGGTCGCTCCGACGCAGAGCGCATACAAAGCAGGCTGCGCAAGGCCTGAGCGATGTGAGAGCCTCTTCTGACCAGCAGCAGACTTGCCAGCATCGATGATGCCATGCGCAGGTCCGAAGGAGCTCATATGCGACGCTGAATTTGAGGCGTTTCTGGCTCATCACAAACCAGATCAGCGGCTGATGAGACTCATTCATATCCTGATTTGCAAAGATGCCGAGGTACGATTGAGCTGATGTGCCTAGAAGTCATTCGTGATTGTATGACTCAAGCAATCGTTTGAAGCATCGTGCAGCGCACGCGCGGAATGAGGGTATCGTGAGAGAATCTGCTGCTGCTGCTTGCTGTCATTCATCCTCTGCATGGCTGCTGAAGCAGCCTCGGTGAAACCTGTCAAATGGCAGTGTCAGATTCACAACGAGTAGCGCCGGAGCCATTATATAGCCACAGACACCGATCGTGCGTGCAAGGCCTCGATATCCGCCTCTGCGTCAGAGCTGCACACAGCAGCAGCACAGCTGATGGTGCTCTTGATGTATCCATACCTACCTGATGTATGCCACGTTGTTCGGGGGTAAGGGCGTGGCAATCGCGAATCGACCATGCACCCTTCGAATTCTTGAGTCTGTTACGCGACGTGGTGTATAAGGGCTCACGCCCTGCTCCCAAGTTCCCGGCTGGCGTGGGCATGCCTTCACGTAGTCCTGGGAAGATCGAATCATTCTTGATTGTTCTTGCAAAATGGCGATCCTGTCACAATCACGAGCCACGTGAATGTGTCAACTGGGGTGCGAGCGTGAGTCTTGAGTGGGAGCAAGGGCCGTGGCTCATGAGAAAGTTGACTCGTCAGGCTCTGCTCTGCCTGTGATGTAAGCTCAGGCTAGAGAGCTTGGAGAGCTGGCTCAGATGATGCTTTCGCTCTGCCGCCCATCACGAATCCCTTCGCAAATATGCATGCGACGGAGCTGCCATCCAGACGATTCGTGCCAGCATGGATGCATGGCAAGAAGTTGCGCGGTTCTGCCTTTTGTGTCTTCTTCTTCCAGCTGCATCGATCGATATGTGGGAGATGCGGACGCAGCCAGGTTGTGAGACCGATCTCTCAATCACTGAATAAGGATTGCTGCTGATCATGTGTCTTATTGTCTCGCACATTCATCCAGATCAGGCTTAACGCCGAGAAGCGAGGAAAAGAAGGATGTGTGCGAGGGCGGCTTGATCGAGTTATAGTTGCATATGCTGCTGTAAAGGTTCACGCGCTGCTTGCTGCTGATGCTCGTGCATGCGGAATCACACGCGTGGCGCGGGGTAGCAAGGCGCGGCAACAGCCGGCCGCGGCGCGACGCACGGGCGCAATCAGCAGCAGCGTGCAGCACGCGCGTATCCGTCGTGCATTCACAGCACAATTCACTCGCCCATTTGTGACTCCCAAACCACGAATCGTGAATACGAATGTGAATCGTGAACAGGTCAGAGTAGGCAGCACAACTCACTCGATCACGACTGGTGCAAATCTGGACGACAACTCGGTTGGAAAAATCGCTGAGTGCAACTCTGCTGGCATTCACCTGCCGTTCCTCTGCTGCTGCTGCTGCTGCTGCTGCATGTTGCTGATGTGGACTTAAGCAAAGGCCGAGTCTTATATATATCGTCTGATTCACAGTCAGTCGTAAGTGAGTCGTGGTTCGGATGCTCGCGGGTCACGCTGGAGACACTCAAGACTGCAGCGCTCTCGCGGCTTTTGGCTTATATTATTCACATTGCTCCCATAAGAAACTCTCATGCAACTTTGTTTCAGCCCAGACGGAGGCCAGCTTGCTCATCAGTATAGCTAGTCGCCGCGTTGCACGCAAATACCGCGAGCCAATTAAGCGCACGCAGCGCATGGACCACCCTCCCTCTTCGGTCAAACGGCATAAGCAAGGACAGCATTCGTGATCCCGACGGGCTTCGTGCTTGCTCTCTCAATCGACATCAGACACACGAATAGGCGAACGCGTATATACGTGGCGGCACGCTGAGACGCTTGGCTTGCGAATGCAAGAACTGCAAGCGCGGAATGGCGTAGAGACAAAGCAGCTTTCGAACGAGCCTGATCATGCAAATGCCAGTCATGAGACCTGGCAGAGATGTCGCCGGGCACCTACGCGGCATGCCGCCGCCTCTAAGGAGGTTTCGCCACCAGTGCCCCAAAGCTCTCACAATGTCGACCTGTAGTAGTTGCCAAAGGCAAGCATCGTCACCGCAGCAAAGCTTGCTGCTGGCTGCTTCAAAGCTGCCACACATAGAGCCTTGCCTGTACCCACCCCCAACGCCCGAATTCTTTGGTCGAACTTTTGTTGCTCAGAACCGACCAGGTCACTTCCCCAACCTAGTCTCACCAGCGTCATCCTACGCTTGGCCAGCTTCTGTAAAGTGGTCCGAACGGGATGGAGGTTCGCTGGAAGAGACGCTGAGGGGTATGCTGCGCTCTGACGCAGCTCGAGAAGCGATCGTCAAAGTCGAATTGGCAAAGTTTGGGCGTGGGTACAACGATGAAGGAAAGGGTTGGGACCTGATCAGGATGCCCTTCGGTGAGCGCTCACGCATACCCACCGGACTCGCTTGAAGCGCATCGAGCTCGATTGCTCATCATCTCACTTTGACGCTCATGGCTATGCGCAGGCACATTCATCGAGTCCTTCATATGCCAAAGTCTGCCTTGGTCTCCCACTTCGGAGCGGCTTGTAGGTTACGTAGCTCAACAACCTCTGGCAGATCTTGTGGGTTTCAGCTTGCGACTTTGGTCCTTTGCACACCTCAGAGTCCTGACAGCGCGCTGCTTCTGCTCTTCGCAGGGTCAAGAGCTAGAAGCCGATTGTCCTTCCTTGCCTCATGTCAAGCAAGGTGCCAAAGGTGGCGGGGAAGATTGGGGCAGAAATCTTTGGGTCGGAGGTGCTGGTGAGTATGTGTGTGTGTGTGTGTGTGTGGGTGGTGGCGCGTTGCGAAACGTGCGCGTCGGATGCTAAGAAGCGCATTCCATCAAAGGCACCTTTACGCCCATACACCGCGATCCATACCACAATCTCTTTGTGCAAGGTGCGTTCAGCAGAGCAAAGTTCAAATCGATTGCGTAGCGTGACGTCGTACATCCCTTGCTGCCCCCTGGAAAGTCGTTGGACACAAGCGCATACACTTCTTCCCACCGGAAGCTGCGGACTTGCTCCACCTGAACCGCACAGGTACGCAGACCAACACGAGTAGAGTGGCGAGCGAAGCGGCCCTTCTGGATGGGATTCCTAAAGATTGCACCGAGACCGATTCGCTCTCATTAGCTCAAGCCACCCACAAGCACGCCTTGAAGGCTGCTCACGTCGTCCTTGAGCCAGGCGATGCTCTGTACATACCCCAGGGGTGGTTTCACTGCGTGGCCTCGCTCAGCACGAGTGCTAGTGTGAATTCATGGTTCAGATGATCGAGGCCTAGGCTGGAGGAGGTCGAATGGCCTGAACGCTGATTATGACGGTCAATGCCGACAAACTATTCAGATTCACCGTAGTCGTAAGCTCCATGGCAGCTCGGCGTGCACCACGCCGTGGCGTGCTTGCTCGTGCCGTGGCGCCGGGAGGCATAAGGCGTGCACGCAACACGCGCACCCGTGGCGCGCGGCAGCAGCAGCGGCGGCGGCGGCGAAAAAATATCTTACAGCACGCGCGCGTGCGGCAAAGTCCTTCCCTGTCTTCCTTCCACATCCATCCCACTCCAGCTTCACGATTCGCGATCCAGCCAGAGCTCAACGCAGCCCGCGCAAACTTCCCCATGATCGTCTCAGGATCAAGTGTGTAGCTAATGAGGGCAAGATGATGTGGGCTTTCTTCAAGGAAGCCGCGATCATCAACCCCCCAAAAAGAGAGAGAGAGGGAAGGAAAGAGCAAACCTTTTATTGCTAGCGGCCAAAACCGAGCGGCTAGAGAGCGCCCATACGCGTGCGCTCCATGATACGCTGCTCGACCTGTTCCGCTCGACATGTCGTTCCAGTTATTTCCTTCGTAAGCTCGTAATGCCGGTGAGATGTTGGGGGCAGGTTTGGAAAGGTACCGTCCTCAGGCACGTGCGGTCTCTATGCAAAGGGTGAGTCGCTGACACCCCAAAAGGTGTGAGGCAGTCGGTCAGACTTGGAGGTCAATCAGCAGAATGAAAAGATGCATCAAAAAGGCAATGGCAATAGGCCGTCCGAGGCAATCCCATGGTTCTCCTGCGAGATGCGGCTACGTCCCGTCTGCGGGTCATGATGAACCCGCAAGGGAGTGCGCTTGACGTAGCAAGTGAAAAGGCGAGGCTGATCATTTTGAGCGAGACTGGGATCCAAGGCTTTCAAAGCAGGTCTGGGAGCGTCACAGCTTACGCCTTTTGCCTTCCATCATCTGCGGTAGCCTTGTCTGCGCACTGCCTGGACTTGGTGAGTGATTGTAATGTACATTATTCGCAGTGGATGCTGCAGATCGAACAAAGAGAATGCAGGATGAAAGCGGATGGCATCCCTCGAAGTGCTGCTTGAATGCGTGCTGGTGTGCAACGGGCTGAGTACGGTCACCATGCTGGTGTATGTGCTTTCCTAGTACCTGTGAGACGGCGCGGGCAAGACGCTCACAGCGCTTTCGCTCGAGCAAACATTCTCGTCGTCCATCACCAGCAGCTGCTGCTCGCGCGCCCTTCTTCGCAAGCTATCGAGTCTACTCTTTCCCTCTTTGCTCTTTGCCAGCTGTCTGGCCCTTTCCAGGCTTTGCGCCGCCAATGCCGACTTCTGTTCCAGCTGCACATTGCGCTCCTTGGATTCGTTGGCCAGCCTCACGTACTGCACTGCTGCGAGCGACCACGTCAGGCCTCCGACGGCCAGAAAGAAATGGGCGTTGGGCATGTATCGCGGTCCGCTCTTGGGATCTGGAGCGGGATTGGAGCCGTAAAAGTCGTGAGGAGAGCCTTGCGCTTTGGCGTAGGATTGCCAGCCGAAGCCGTCGTGGCCGCTGCCCCTAAATTCCCAGCCTTTCCTCGCGCTTGGTGCTCCGTGCCAAGGAGACGTCGAGCCTCGCACTGCGCTGCCGATTCCCGCCGTCCAGCCGATTCCCGACGCATCGTACCTCCTCCTTCGATGATCATGCTTCAGCAGCTCGTACGCTTGTTGCATCACTTCCCACTCTTGACGACGTTGCCTCTCCATCTCTGCCGTCAACGGTGTTCCCTCCACATAATTCGCTGCTTGCTTGTCTGGATGATACAAGCGTACCAGATCGTAGTAGCGCGCTTTGATGTCCAAAGAGCTTGCAGTTTTGGGAAGATGAAAGACGTCATACGGGGTGAAATCGCAAGAGGTGGGAAAGGCAAGGTCACTGAGGCTGCTGTCTTCCGAGCCAGCGATTTGCGAGTGAGCAGATCTTGCATGTCCGGCGTGTCTGTTCATCGATCTTCGAGCAAAGGTACTCCTCTGCTCAGCATTTCCAGTCGCAGCATCGTCCTCGGAAAGACCGTCTTCCAATGCAGAAGCTGTGTGAGCGCCTCTTTGAGATGCTGCAAAGCTGTGGTCTGGTCGAGCTGGAAGGCTCGCGGCCAGTCGCACCCTTGCCGAGACGCGAGTTAGACTGGACTGCGCTCGGATGAAACCATTCGCTTTGCTCGGATTGCGCTCCAAGGTCAGCCGTGAGGATGATGCGATGCTCGTTGCCGATGTACTGGTTGCGCACCAGAGACAGACGTGGTGAGCTGATCGAGCGGACGTGTGCAAGCTGGTCATATTGACTGAGGGGGTAAGTCCAGTCACAGAGGGTGGATCAGCTATGCATGCCCACGAGCATACGGAGTCAAAGCTTGCTGAGACTGGCGACACATGGAGCTGCTGAAGCGATCGCAGAGCCTCGTTGAGATGCAAAGTGTGATGTCGGGTGGGTGAGGACGATCGTCTCGGATCAGATAGAAGGGAGGCAGGGCGGCGGCAGTCAAGAGCAAGTGTATCGCGCTGGACGTATGCGTGCTTAGGTGGAGTCGCATGATATCACGGTCACGTGTCAGTCAGTCCGTCAAAGGCTCACGCGCTATCCGCGGGCGATCCTCACGCAACGCATTCAAAATTCAAGATCAAGATCTCAAATTGATCATTCAAAATTCAAGATCAAGATCTCATCAATTTGCATCTTCTTTGCTTCGAACAGCTCTGGGATACCTGATGGGCGAGGCACGCGAAATGGATAGCTTGTAATCTTTCAGCATGGACTGCACCAGGAACCGTTCGTGTCGCGGCATGTGGCAAGTTGCCGCTCACCGTGAAGCGATCAATGTCAGGTCCGCTTGGCGTGCGAAACCGCCCCCACGACTCGTCTTGGAAGAGCGAGCAAGCGGTCTTCATTGCGGCTGCTGCCTCCCCCTTCACATCATCGCCAATAGCATGCATGCATGTATGCTGCCCCAGCAGGTGCTTGTGCATTCAAGCAGGCGACTTGATCCAAAATTGTGCTGCTGATGGAGGATGAGGATCCACAGCCAACCAAATACTGCTGCACGGCCTTCGCAACATGAAGTCGCATTCAAGAGATTCGCCTTCGTGATTGCTTTGACTCACAACTTTGACTGTGCATTCAAAACCGACTCGCGATTACAACTCGCATCACACAATCTTGAATCAAGAATGTGCGGATTAGCTAGCTGCTGGTCAAGAAAGTGTGAAAGCTTGCACATCCCTGCAGCAAACTGTGAGCCTAGTCTGGTGTCCTGAGTACGTCGAATCTCACGCTTTTGACTCTTTGAATCATGAATGTTGTTTGTATTCAACATTCATCATTCGAGGTTCTTGATTGTATGTTCCGCTGCAGGTACTCGATCTTGAATATGCCAGCCCAAAGAGGCAGTCCAATAAGTCAATCTTGAATCATGAATTAATCTTGACGAATCTTGAATCGCGCGTCCCCCTCTGCCAGGCGCCGGCGGCTTTCAACGTTGACGAGTCGCGCGCCCAGCATATAGATAGGCATTCCACACAGCACGTACGCACTGCATGCTGCATGCATGCACGGTGGCGCGCCCCCGACTTCCACCCCGCGCCGATACCCTCACATGCCCTTCGATCTGCCTGTGCGCGCGCTTGGCTCGCGGGAAGCTCAATCGCGGGTGCGGATCCTTGGTTTGGATACCGGTACCTACATCAACAATCGTCAACCCAAACTCAAGACTCTACACGCGTACACTTCCGTTGCTGTTCGTCATCCACTCGCCACTCCTTTCCACCGCTGATCTCTCATCTACGCACAACTCTTCATGGCATCCCAGTCATCGATTTAGTGTCGTCGCTCATTTTCTTACTCGGCATCGACCGGTGCTTTACCGCCACTGGAGCCACTAGACAGCGTCACCTGCTCCTCCGACGGGCGGTACTGCCTCCGACGCAATCACTATACCTGTCACTTTCGGTCCTGGAGCCGACACGTAGAGAGGAACACGCTCACACCTCTCTTGGACATGTTCGTAGCTTCAAGTCTCTACAACTACGGTCAGTCGGGTTCCCGCCAAGCGAGAGGCACGGAGAGCATGAAAGGCGGGAGTTTGCACTAACACGCGCGCCTTGACCTCCTCCCCCTCTGCTCTGAACTCAGCGAGAGGCAGCAACGCGGCTGGTGCGGCGACTGTACACAGCGATCATGAATCAACACCAGCGGCCACCCGAGTCAAGAGGCATCCAAAGAAGACTCCAGGCGCCCCACCGAACGGCCTTCCCACCTCGCCGCCACCTTCTTACGCATCGGTTGCAGCGGGTCTTGCCAGAGCCGGCGGAGTGACGGAACAGGAGGGTGGCAAGCCTGCATGGACGCCTGCTGAGCTGGCCAAGATCTCCGTGATCGATGGCATCGCAGAGGAGGAGGACCTGTACAAAGTGCTGGGAATCAGGAAGACGGCAAAGCAAGACGAGGTCAGGAGAGGCTTTCTGGCCAGAAGCAGGGTGTGTCATCCCGAGTGAGTTGCGGTAGCACGTCGATCGGAGCAAAATCGACGCCCAGGTATTGGTGCACATTGCAGAGCGAGAGAATCGCTGACAATGGCGGCAAATTCCTTGCCCCTTGACAGCAAAATGCCATCCTATCCCCCATGCCATGCTGCATTTCAGCGCGTCGCCCTCGCCTATCAGACCCTCTCTTCTCCGAGTGCTCGCCGGATGTACGATGTGTCTGGTCGGGCAGACTATGCGCAGGCTATGGACGCAAGCAGCCATGCGGCTGCGAATGGTGCGGGAGATGAAACGCTGAACAGCGTCCTGTACTCCGTGTTCTGCGAGTTCTTGGAGGGAGACTTTGAGATGATCAGAGTCCTCGTTAGTGAGTGGTACCGCTAGTCATCTGTTCGCGGACCTTGTACTCACAGATTTGCCGCACCTGACCGCTCAGACGCGATGAATGAAGGTAACCCTGGTCTCAACCTCGGCGAGGAAGCAGTAGACTCGATCGAGGGCGCTTTCCGACGCTTGCGACACATGATGCTGGGTGAGTATGCCTAGGAGTCACAGAGCGCCGCAATCGAAGTGTTGGCTGACACGGCCGAGACGTGTCTTCGCATCAGCTGGCAAGCGATATCTTGGCGTCATTCGCTTCGAGCTGATTCGCTTGTACGAGATTCAACATTCGCTCCGGCAGCTCAGCTATTTTGATTTATTCGGTCGACTGCGTCTCACACTACAGCTCGCTCGTGTCACCCTCTCCATACCGATGGCCATCGACACCGCGATGAAGACTGGCGAGCCTGGCGAGGACGCCAGCGGAGTAGGCAGCCAAGGACAACGCACCGGCAGGGACGGCAGAGATGCCGGCAGATCTGAGACCAACGAGTTTGCTAGCGATGAAGACAGCGAGGACGATGAGAGCGATGTTGAGGAGATGCATGACGGAAGGTCGCGCCGTCGGAACGCTGATCAGTTCGGCGTCGCCTCTTCAAGCGACGAGTCGGGTGGATCGGATGCCGATGCGAGAAGGGGGTCGAGTCAAAGCCAGAGGCGAGAGGCGCGTCAGGCCCGAAGGCGAGAGCGCCGCAAGCAGAGGAGAGCTCGTCGAGCAAGGCTGGAATCTCACAACGACGAAGCGGATCAGGAGCCAGAGATGGTTGAAGGGCAATTGCAAAGAAGCGGGCTACTGGGTCCGACGGCTGCCACCTTGCTTGGCGGGGTGGTCAAGGTGCTTGAAACGAGCGAGTCTTGGGTTCCCGGTGGATCTCGCCAGGCACAACAAGATTGAGGCAGCTCTGCGCGATTCCACCACCACGATCACCAGTCCGGCACTTTCGCGTCCGTGTCAGCCCCACATTCACCAATTCACCAGTCACTTTGTCTATCGATCCTCGTACCTTTGCGCGTCACCTATCTATTAGCCACCTTTTACAATCAGGATCGTTCTTCGCTTCACATCTAGTCACGATATCTTGGCCGCTTTCCTCCCTTTCAATGTCTACTTGCACTTGATCTTAGCGATTTCACTGTAACCTTCACGCGTATGCTTATCATTGTTGTGGCAAGGCATGCCTCATGTCTTCACTCAACTTTTTCTGTAGGGCTCTCGAGAGTCTCTGTGTGCGCTCCCTTGTAAGATGAAAGGTCGAAACTCGGGTGGTAGGCAAGGAGAATATGACGGTTGCGCAAAAGCAAGGTGGACGCATGGTTTGATTCGATCAATTGGGCCAAGCATGAGCAGGCCACAGCAGCCTTGGGCTGCTTCTTCACGTGGCCTGTTGGAAGGTGCCGTCAACAATCTTGAACATAAATCTTGAAGAATAATATAAGGTCTGGCCCAAGCGCGGGGAAAGCAGGAATCACGTATGACGAACCAAGAATCATTCAAAATTCAAGATTGGAATCAAGAATGTGAATCAAATCTTGAATGAATCACAATTACGAATCACGTGAATGAGCTGACGATCCGCGCCAGCCATCAGCCCGCCGTCGTTCAGCCAGCACGCGCTTGTGTTCCTGTCCGCGCTGGCTCGAGCGTCACTGCTCGAGCGCCTGCATCTGCATCTGTTGTGCTAGCTGCTGCTGTGTGCTCAATGCGCGTGGGACGCGAATCAAAGCTCTGCCAGCTGCTGCTGCTGCTGCACATGCTGCTGCTGCTTGCTGGGAAAGGCGAAGGAAGGTGCGCTTTGCATTCGTGATTATGGATGCCTGCATGCCTGCTTGCCTGCCTGCCTCTGCGTATACGTCACTTATACTTGTCGTGAGTTGTTGGTCACGAGTGTCGCTCGACCTTCGCAAGACGATGCTTCGGACAATCTGAATGACGAATGAAGCAGCTCATTCGCTTCTGTCCTCGCTCCCTCCACCCGCACCAGCACGAGCACCATCGACGCGTTGATAGGGTTGATTCTGCGTCGCCTTCACGACTCTTTCAACGCGAGGCAGCGCAGCGCCACGTCACGCACCGTCACGCACGCCCGCTACCTTTCCTGTCGGCAACAAGTCCGCAACTCTTCTCCCGTTCATCACAATTGCTGACAGTCACAAGCTCCTCGCAGCGTCTCTGGGCCATCTTCGAGCGGCATTCTGAGCACACAAAGTCCACCTCGACGTCGCGCGCACAGCACGTCGCGCAGGATAAGAAGATGCACACAAGCAGCCGATCACGACTTGGCAGCAGCAGTGCAAGCAGAATGCTCACTCGATGTATGCTGCTGCTGATCGTCTGCGTGCAACTCGTCTCAGCCATCAAATTCGACTTGACGGCAGAGCACTCGGCTCCGGTCAAGTGTATATGGAACTATGCCCTGTCCGACACTTTGGTCATTGTTACCATCAACACCAAGCCCAACGATGTTGGAAGCGAAGCGGATCAGAGAGTGGACGTGGAAGTGGTGGATGGCAGCAAACACAACAACGTCTACCTGTCCAAGAAGGGAATTGGTAAAAAGGAGACTAGGATGGCCATCAATACCCACACGCACGCTGATCTGGGTGTATGCTTCAAAAACACCTTGCGGAAAGGTGAGCAGTGCGCGCATGGAAGGACAAGAACGCAGAGCAGGCGTAGTGCTCGGCCTTCCTGATGGCGAATGTCGAGCGCATCTCACTGCGTCGGCGAGTCTGTTCGAAGCTGTGCAAGATGTTCTGACGTCGTCCTTCCACCACCTCCCCACTAACGCACCGCCTGCGCATTTCTAGGAGCATCAGCGCACCCAATCAAGTCCACCATGATCGACCTCGATGTGGACATTGGCGCCGATGCGGTGGACTACAATGCCATTGCCAATCAAGAGTCTCTCTCAGGACTGGAAACTGAGATGAGGAAGCTGGAGGCTGTTGCGGGCGAGATCGTCAACGAGATGGACTACCTCAAGAAGAGAGAAGGCAAGATGCGGGATACGAATGGTGAGTGCTTTCCCTACTGCATTTCGCAACCGAAGGGGGCTCTTGGATGGCGCTGCGCGACGCATGACGCGCGATCTCCTGATGCTGCCATCAGCTCACCTTGCTGCCTTGCCTTTGATCAATCTTCTACCGTGCCAGAGTCGACAAATAGCAGAGTGGAAAATTTCGCGTGGATCACAATTGTCGCTCTCATAGGCCTCGGCTCGTGGCAGATCATTTACTTGCGAAGCTTCTTCAAGCGGTGAGTTGTTTCATCGCGCGCGTCCAAGAGCCGTTTGCACAGAGCTCTGACGTCTCCTACTTTCCCTGCAGGCTCTATTTGATCGATTGAGAGTAGGCAGAAGTATTGGAGCGGGAAATCGAATGCGAAATTGAACAATGCACGTGCTCGAATTGCGTAATCATGGACCGCACCAAAAGCAGGCCCACTGCGGCGTGGGCCACGAGAATGCATCGTGGAGGCAAAGAGCGGGAAGCAGGCGAAGCTGAGAGGGGCGGGGGAAGCGAAAGTGCGTCGGACTCGCCCTGTCCGTGTTCTTCCTGACGATGCGTCATCTTTTGCATCACACCCGCGAACGGAACGGCAAGTCCGAGTCAAGTAGGTGGAGCTCGATGCGGGCTTGCAGCGGAATGCCCGCTCACCGCTTCACACCGAAGGCAGCTAGCCGCTTGACTGGCTGGCTGAGTGACGGGCATGGGATGTCGATGTGGAAGGGTGGTGGCCCGGCGCTTTGGCTTGGCCCCCGATAGCGACGGCACCTTGGCACGTGAGCCCTAGTGTAGCTGATTGGGTATGTGCGTGCACTGTGACTGTGATCTCGAGCTGTGACCCTTGGAGGTGATGGAGGCGATGCGCTGGACACTCACTCTCGTCCATTGCGTGCCCACTGGCTCTACTGGTGCTGCTGAGCCTGGGAGCCATCAAAGTTCGTGATGCGTTATGTGGCCTGTGGAGATGATGCCAGCTTGACGCGTGAGCCTTGGGTCACGAGTGTTGCGCGCGTCCTCCTCCACCTGCTGCTGCTGCTGCTGCTGCTGCATGGCAGGTTGTCAGATCTTCCTGAACGGTGAAGCGGGCCTGCGGAGTCTTGAACGCTGTGCTCACCAGCTCTACTCACGCTCTCACCGCCACTGTCACCAATTCGTCTCGTTCCAATCGCGGCTACCGTACACCTTTCGCACGTAAGCTTCGTTCGTTTCACCCAGGTAACAGGTATGGCATCCTCTCAGCCTGTCGTCTTGGTGACCGGAGCCTCTCGCGGGCTGGGTCTAGCAATTGCTCAGCAGCTGCTCTCTCAAGGTTCCAACGTCCTCACGCTCTCCCGCTCCCTCACACCAGAGCTGAGCTCACTGTCAGAGCAGAAGCACAAGGACGATGCTGAGATATTGACGCACCAAGGAAGCGTAAATAGCGAAAAGGACACGCAGGAGGGCGTCAAGAAAGCCTTGGAAAAGTGGCAAAGACTGGACGGGGTGATCCTCAATGCTGGGGTCATCGACTTTGCCAGGATCTCCGATGTGGTGAGTGCAAGTCACCGTGCAAGTCTGCAGGTGTGGCGAATACTTGCCCTTGTGCTTCGGGAGCTCATCGATGCCTGGACTTCTGGCACGCTCCTCCATCCCCGCGCAGACGCCCTCATCTTTCGCAGAACAGATTCAGACCAACCTCTCTTCCCTCATCGTCACCTTGCACTACACCTTGCCTCACCTCAGAAAGTCCCCGACAGGTCAGGGAAAGGTCGTATTTGTCTCGAGCGGTGCTTCGGTGGGAAATACGGCTGGATGGTCGGCTTACAATGCCGGCAAGGCCGGTATGAACGCCATCGCTCGAACCTTGGCGTCTGAAGAGCCTTCCTTGGCGGTCTGGGCTGTCAGACCAGGTGTGGTCGCTACCGAGGTGAGTCTAGCGCTTCACGCAGCGCTGTCACACGGACGCGTGCATCTTGGCGTTAGGCAGCTCAGCCAAACGTCGCTCTTGCCTCTCGGCTCTGTTGGCAGATGCAAACCCAGATTCGCTCATCGGGCAAAGAATCCATGGACGCCGCTTCGTACGACAAGTTTTCGGGAATGCACCGGGATGGCACGCTCTTGCCACCAGAGCAGCCCGGTCATGTTCTGGCGGCTTTGGCTATCAGGGGCACCAGGGACGATCCCAAGGGAGCAGATGGTCAGGGCGCTGGTGCTAAGGGCGGGTACATTGATTGGAGCAGCGAAGAGCTGAAGAGCTTCAGGCTGCAGTAGTGGTGCGAGATCCTCAAGCAGCACAATGCGAGACCCCCAAGCAGCTCAGAATTAGCCTCATCAATGCTATCCTCTTCAAGCGTTGATCGATACCGAGTCGTTATAACGCAGACAAAGTGTAAGCAGTTGAATTGCAGCGAGTCGAGCAAAGGTGAATGATGTTGTTACAGTTCAAAGGATCGATCCGTCAATCCACCTCCATTTCCTCCTCCTCATCCTCGTCCTCACTCTCATCTTCGATCTCCTCATCTTCGTCCTCATTCCCGTCAGCTTGCGCCATCTCGCTGGTTTGCAAGAGCTGCTTCTGCTGCTCTCTGACTTTTCTTTGAAGCCTAGCAGCAGATTCCAGCGGACTCTCCTGTGTTTCGTTCTTCAAGAAGCTCAAAACCTGCCTCCTATCCTTCGGAGCGAAATCAACGTTCCTTCTCTTCTTTTCGATCCACTGAGAATTTAGCGTCATCTTGTGGAGGATGTTCTTCAAGTTGGAAGAGAGTTTGGGCGATCTGCACCCTTTGAGCGTTCGTCGAAGCTGAGTCCGAATGGGAATCACCAGCTCCGGAAAGGCAATGCTCCGGCTCTGGGTGGCCAAATACTCGAGCAGGACAGCACAAGTCTCGTCGGCTATAGCGTCAGCGAAGACGCGAGTGCGCACGTAGCCTTGAGGCGCTCGAAGCGTGACCTCGAAATTGAGAGGAAGGAGCGTCGACGGCTTGTCCTTGCGATGGAACTCTGCTGCGTCGAACACTTCCAGCAAAGGCGGCGCGAGGGGTATATAGACACCGGTCCTCCTGCACAGACGCAGCATACTGTTGACCAGATGCAGACGCATTGGGAAGTACCTCGAAGTTGGTATGAGCCTGCGCATCGTGTGACGGGGCGTGTCAGTGCTAGCTCTGCAGCACAATCTCCGCCAAAATGAGTCACGAGTGACTCACTTCAGAACGCCGGACGTCACTTGGACGAGCGGATAAATCAACGGCTGCATCTCATCACCTTTGCCTTGCTGCGTATCGCAGGCAGCAGCTAGGATGAGAGACCAAAAGTCCAAGCAGTGCAGGTACTGCCAATTGAGGACCGCTTTGTAGCTCTCTTGGGATCTCGTCTTCAGGGCACCTCTCAAGTGAATAGCCAGCTGTCTGATGAAGCCAAATGCATGCTGATACCCTGCACTTTGGTCCAATGCGAACAGCTCAGTCGCGCTGTTCTTCATCAAATTGATGGATCCTAGCGTGTGGATAGTGGTGTTCCTAGTCGAGCGAACGAAGCTTTGGTAGGTTCCCTTCAAGATGACGAGCAAGAAGAGGAGTCCACAACGTGGCTCAGCAAGCGGGCGAGGCGAGGTAAGAGACATACAGCTCACCCTCAGGCAAAAGTCCAGCATCTTGTCATTGCTTGCAGCGGCAATTTGTCGAATGCTCAAGAATGCGGCGATCCTGACTCGGTCCGCGGACGAGGTCCACAGGTCGAACAAATGCTGCAAGAAGAAGGGTTTCAATCAGACCACGAAGGTGGAGAGCTTGGCCAGACGTCTACAAACGTGCACTGACCTTGAGATGTTCTCGAGTCGCCTTGGGATTAGACAGCAGCCAAGGAATCGTCTTGGAGCTATCAGTAACGACAGCATACAAAGTGTCGTGATCGGTCAGCGTCTTCAAGAGCTTGTGGACATTGATAAAGAAGCTCTGTATGGGTTTTTGAAGCTGAGAAAATTTCTTGTTGCCAGTTGGCAGCTTGTATTTGTGGCCGGCACCGTTGGCTAGAGGAACCTCCTTGTAAGGGGCGTGATGCGCCAGCACCATGGGCATGTACTTCAAAGCGGTAAGGATGATCTTGTTGAACGCTTTGGCGGAGGTGACTATGTAGGCTGATGCTTGCTCTTCTGAATCTGGCTCAGACATGTGTGCAGCTGCTCTGAAAGCCAGCAGAAGGCGTCTCAAGGCGCGCAAGGAGTGTTGCTGTCGTTGTGTCAAGGGGAGGGAGGAGGGGCGACGAATGGAGGATGGGGATTCGTGGCGGTGGCATAGTAAGAGGATTGACATGATCATGTGATGAGCAAAGCGCATCGTGCAAAGACCCTAATCCACCACTTCTCACCTGGATCATGGACTTTTGCCAACTTCTGAGAAGGGCAGGCGTCACTACGACCGGACCCCCGTCATCGCTTGCAGCTTTGCTTTTGCCCTTGAATTTGGCGGTGACCCGCTCATCTTCGCTATCTGCCTCTTCATCATCATCGTCCTCAACTCCGGCTCCCGTCATCCCTGCGCCTCCGAACTCGAGCAGATCTTGATCGTTCTCTTGCAGATACTTGTAGAATGTGGGGTCGCTCTTGGCCAAAGCTTGGATCTGCTTGGCGTGCGCTACCTCATCCAGCTCTTCGTCCTCTGCAGTCGCGAGAGTTGAACAGAATCATACGCACAAGAAAGAGTTGTTCCAGATGTAAGCAAAACGACCTCGCTTGCTCAGCGCATGCGCCATGTCGCGAACACGCATACACCCACCTGCACCATCCTCAAGATCCTCCAGATCATCATCATCTTCTTCCACCTCCTCATCTTCACCCTGCTCATCAGAGTCCATGCTGCCAGCAGCCTCCTCATCTTCGTCTGCATTCAACCCTTGTTTGAAGCCACCACCCAAGAACTCTTCCACGCCCATCACCCGCTGATCCGACTTTTTGCTTGTGCGCGGCACATCCTCATCTTGATCAGCTCTGTCGCTGCGCTTGGACGAGCTGGGAGCTCGCCCTGACCTGATAGCTTTGGCCTGCTTGGACCTCTCTATCACCGCCTTCTTCTTGGATCTGTCCCGACGCGACTTGATGGTGTCGGTCAGGTTATTCTTGATGAACTTTTTCGTTCGTTTGGCCTGTTTTGCCATGGCGACTGTTCAGCCCTGTGTGGGTTTGTCGCGAGCAGAGAGCAGATGTATGCCGTGGTGAGCGATGATGAAGACTGCTGTGAGCGATGCTAGCAGTCGACTGATGCTCCGCACATCCGGACTTTGCGATTGACCTTTCTGCGGCAATCAGAAAGGAGCAACCGTGAGCACAGGGGGCTGCGAGAAGGACCCCCTCCGAAGTTGGATGGATGGCCATGATGCTCTCGAAATTTTGTTTTCGAACCCAAACACGTGATCGAACAGACAATGTCACGTGATGCAAGGGACACGCTCTTATTGCAACGCCTGTGGCTGCAGCCTTCTTGCGCTACAGACAGCCGGGTGGCAAGAACTGGTGGTCTGTCTAAGAGCTGCAAAAGTTTCTTTTTTAAGACTCGAAACTTGTCCGCTAAATAAGCTGCATGCACGCCATGCACGGCTGCTGTGTCGGGCGGAAAGCAAAGCTTAGCTGAGCGTAATTAAGTGGTGGAGCGCGCGCACCATGCATTGTGAATGTGCGTGCCGGCTGCCGCGCGTGGAATTGTGCGACCGGAACTGCACCGCGAGATGCACTCGCCGACCGCTCCCGCTGGCTGCCGCGACCGGTCATGCGCTGGATGCTGGATGCTGGCTAGCGCGCGCGTGCCAGATTTACGGGCCATGGACCGCGGCCGGGCTCTAGCAAGTACCGCGCAAGGAAGCATTAAGGGGGCTGATGTGCTTATAGTCTCGCTTGGATCGAGCGCAAAATTTGGGTCACCGAGGGCCATCAAAGCAGCTGCGCTGAGCTAGAAAGCTGCTGATATGCATGCGTTGCGATCGATTGCGCGTGCAGCGCGAATTTGTCTCGTCTTGTGGAACTTCTTTTGGTGAGAGGTCGTCTTAGAATTCGAGACTCTTAATTGCTTGTGGTGTGGTGTGCTGTGGTGTGGTGCACTGCTGGGATGCCTCTTCTGTCTCGCTCTTTCTGTCTCGCTCTTCTTGTCAATGCAACCGCGACTCGTGGGCAATAGACGCATGCTGTCCAGTAGGCACGACGCAAGCACGAACGGACGCACATCAATCCACCCTTCTGCGTCCCGATACGGAGCGTGAGGGTGTGTAATCTGAATCACTTTCATGTATGTACGCACACACAGGTCCCATACTGCAAGTATACATGCATGCAGTAGTCTGTGTGTCCGTCGGACATCAATGATGACTAGCGTCCGCGTCGGTCAGACCAAAGGCTCGTTCAGCCTGCTGCTCAATGCTCCAAACCCTGATTTGACTCTCTCTTCTGTCTGACAATTGTGAATCGCGACTCATATCTCTCACATCGACCCTTGCTTGATTGGAAACCCACCGAACGTTCCGTCACACCTCGCTGCTGCTGCTGCTGCTGCACATCTCATCAGCCTTCTTGCACACCACCACGCACGCCATACAGGAACTCGTCCATCACAAACATCACCATTCTTGCTACGACCCATCGCCACACTCTTTCTTTTCCTCCCTTCCCCTGACCTCCTCATCCCTTCAGACACCATGTCTACCACCTCTGTAGACACTCTCGTTATCGGCGCAGGTGAGCAATGCTCGAGCCCTCGAGGTGCGCGACCCACAGCAAGCTGACACGCGCCGCCGCCTCTGGCAACTTTCAGGTCCCACCGGCCTCGGTGCGGCCAAGCGTCTCAACCAGCTCGTGAGTAGACATTCTGGCAAGGCCTGTCTCCTCGCAGAGGTCATGGACTGATAGTCCGAGTGCATCACTCCCATAGAACCAAGGCACATGGGCTCTGATCGACTCTTCTGAAGAAGCGGGAGGTCTCGCATCGACCGACGTGACTCAGGAAGGCTTCCTCTTCGACGTCGGTGGTCACGTCATCTTCTCGCACTACACTTACTTTGATGATGTCATCCACGAGGCCCTGCCAAAGGACAGTGACTGGTACGAGCACCAGCGTGTCTCGTACGTTCGCTCAAAGAACGTTTGGGTGCCTTGTGAGTGGCAAGCAGGCTTTCAAACGAATCAGATGGACATTCTCTCGTTGCGGGCCAGTGGGGAGGGGCAATTCAACTTTCTTCTGGGGTGGAGGTGCAAGATGTGACATTCCGCATTGTTAGGCTGTATGAGGCGTTGCTTGGGACGAAGCTTAGCGCGAGCCCAGGGCCCGCGCCAACCCGAATGTCTGCTGAAATGCTCGGACTAATTCTCGCCCGAGGATCCAGGGCAAAGGAACTCACTTGCTCACACATGCCGCACCTGCTCTGCTTCGCCGCAGACCCTTACCAAAACAACATCAGCGTTCTGCCAGTCGAGGATCAAGTCAAGGCTATTGAAGGCATGATCGACGCTGCCGAGGTGCGCATTCGCGCCAAGGACGCTCCCAAGGACTTCGACGAGTGGATTCTGCGTCAAATGGGTGAGTCGCCGCAGGTCTTCCAAGTTCGATGCCTGCAAAACCTACTCACGCTACCACTTGAAATGGCAGGTGAGGGTATTGCAAACCTCTTCATGAGGCCTTACAACTTCAAGGTGTGGGCCGTTCCCACTACCCACATGCAGTGCAAGTGGTTGGGCGAGCGTGTTGCTGCACCATCTCTCAAGGTTGTTGTTTCCAACACCATCAACAAAAAGGTTGCTGGAGGGTGGGGACCAAACGCCACCTTCAAATTCCCTGCTGAGGGTGGCACAGGTGGTATCTGGAAGGCGGTTGCCAAGACGCTTCCCAAGGAGAAGCTCATTTTCAAAAAGCGGGTTGAGAAGGTCGATGCTGCCGGACACAGCGTCAAGCTCAACGATGGCAGCTCGATCAAGTACAAGAACCTGATCACCACGATGGGCGCAGATTACCTCATTGACAACCTTGACGGTGCCGACCCCGCTGACGTCAAGCAGCTCAAGGAGGCCAAGGAGGACTTGGTTTACTCGAGCACTCACGTTATCGGAATTGGAATCCGCGGCGAGCTTCCTCCTCGCATCGGCGACAAATGCTGGCTCTACTTCCCCGAGGACGACTGTCCTTTCTACCGGGCTACCATTTTCTCCAACTACAGCCCCAACAATTGCCCTCAAGCCGATGCCAAGCTGCCTACCTTGCAGTACGCCGATGTCAGCAAGGGCAAGCCCACGGACAACTCTCCCAAGTCAGGCCCCTACTGGTCTCTTATGATGGAAGTGTCGGAGTCTCACCTGAAGCCAGTCGATGCCCAAAAAATCCTCGCTGAGACTGTGCAGGGATGCGTCAACACGCAGCTGATGCAGCCAACCGACGAGATCGTCTCGCTCTACCACCGCAAGTTTACCCCAGGCTACCCGACCCCAAGCTTGAAGCGAGACGCTGCCTTGGCAAAGATCTTGCCTGTGCTTTCGGACAAGTACAACATCTTCAGCAGAGGCCGCTTTGGCAGTTGGAAGTACGAGGTTGGAAACCAGGATCACTCGTTCATGCTTGGTGTGGAAGCTGTGGACAGAGCGCTTTACGGATCTCCCGAGCTCACGCTCGACAGCCCAGACTATGTGAATGGGCGCAGAAACACCGAGCGCAGGCTCACCAAGGCTTGAGTCGCGCTTGACATCGGCCGGTCGGTCTACCCTTAGGCTCAGCTTGGTCGAAGTCTCGAACCCGCTTGGTACTGCGATGCGCCTCTAGTCACCCTGCTCACTCATCTCGAGCTCACACGGAGCATCATTTTGCGTTAACACGTCCAATCACACACTTGAACTCAATTAGATGCTTCCACTCACAGACCTACTGGTGTCCCTGGACTGTCGATTGCGAGATTGTTCCACAGCCAAAAAGCTTTGACTGTCGACAGTGATTAGCTCTGCCTCGCTGATCCCCAAGCCAGCTAGGCTGGCACACAACAAAAGGTAACTTGGCAAATCTGCATCGTTGAACTTTTCATGGCATTCGTGTCTGGCTGAAAAAGGCAACAAAATGGACACGAACCCCTTTCTGATTAGTATTTGCGAGGGAAACAGTGTCACGTCGCAGAAGCGTTCGTCCCGCCTGAGCTTCACGAGCTGGCGACTGGCTGATGTGGGCGCTGGATGAACCCTAAGCAACTCTCAGAAATCGGCTAGTCCTCCACGAGAGCTTGCCGCGGGGCTCGCTGTGGGGGCAGATGGGAGGCTGTCTAGTGCTCAGCCGTAGTAGAAGGCGTGGTAGCAGGGGTGGTAGCAGGGGTGGTGCTAGGGCTCGTGCTAGGGCTCGTGCCTGACGCGGTGTCGGCGGGAGCAGGCACGTCCCAGGCCTTGGACAGAGCGCTGTATTGCGCCTCAGTCAGAGGGACGACGTTGCCCTGCTTGCTACCAACAGGGAAGCCATCTGTCGAGCTGGGTTGAGGGTGGGGTTGGGCAATGTCGTTAGTCTCAAAGGGTCGGTAGCCAGAGACAAAGCCGTCCACCCAGATGTGCCACCTGCTCTGGTCGATGTTGTCCTTGAAGAGCAGAGGTCCGCCGTTGTTGTTCTTAGGGTCCACAAAGGCGTCGGTGCCTCCAATGTCGGTCCACTTGCCATTGACGCCATCACGGCTGATCTGGCCGCGGACCTTGAGCGTGCCGTTGGTGTCGTCGCGGAAAAAGCGGGCAAACGACTTGCTGTCAGTGGTGCCGTTCAGAGCAGCGATGGCCATGTCAGTGGCAGCGCCGTCCTTGGGAGTGTAGTAGGGCTGAGCCTTGGAGAAGGTCTGGAAATCGGTAGTGTAGGCGCTCCAGATAAAGGTAGGGGGCTGATCCTTGTCATCTTGTTGAGCAGTCTTGAACACAGCGCTACCCCAGGTGACGAGGAAGGCGTTCTTGATGGGGTCCCACACGGCCGAAGGTGCGTTTACAAAGCCAGCTCTTTCATCGATGAGAGGAGGAGAGATACGAGCGGGCTTCCAGTCGGAAAGGCTTGCTCCATTGGATTCGAAGATGACGATGCCGCGGCTCTGGTTTCTCTGGACCTTGCCATAGTCTCCATTGTACTGGCGGACATTGACGTCCGTGCCGATGATCCAGCTCTGGGAGCGGTCAGGCTTCGAGATCAGGTATGGGTCTCGAATTGACTTGCTGCCGGCTTCAGATCTGAGAATGGGCTGGCCTTCGTTGACGACAGTGTACTTGAGCGGGCTGTTGCCTACCGAAAGATGAGCACTGTGTCGCACAACAGGGTTCAAGATTGTTAGGCGATCGATCTGAAGGAGCCTGCGAAGGACTGCTCCGCGCGATGCGGCACCTCGTATTTACTCACTAAACAGCTTCGGTCTCATCTTTGTAGGAGACGAACAGATATCCCTTCAGGTGGTCTTCAACCTTAACACCCAGAGCCTTAGCTCTAGCGTTTGCTCGGTTGTGGTTGACGCTGACAGTACCGGTCGCAGCGATAGGCTTGCCGTTACTGTCAAATCCAGCGGCACCGCCACCAGCGGCGAGACTACCAGAGGAAGCTGAAGCGGATGCTCCTTCGCCTTGAGGCAGCGGAGAGGCTTTGACGCAGCTGAAGAGCATGGCAACAGCCGCCAGGCCAGCCAGCATCGAGTGTTGACGCAGACGCAGCATCTTGAATGCGATTGATCTGTGCTTTAAGTTGTTGAATGAGGTTATATGTGCTGTGTCTCAGCGAGAGTATTAGTTGAGTAGGCTGTGCTACGGATGTCTGAGGTGTCGGACGAGTGAGGAGAGATTGAGGACCAAGGAGAATGAACATCGCCTTTTTATGGGCCGTCCTCAAGCTCACTGCTGCATCACAGCTAGTGCAAAAGCTTCTAGGCACCGACTCCTGTACTCGAACACGGTCAAGCGGCGGTCCGCGCGTTCCAATCACCATGATGCGACAGGTGTTGTGCAGTGGCCAAGGGACCACTGCGACGGAATCGTGTGGCCAGGCACTTTGCCAAGTAAGTGCTGCTTCTTGGCTGCGCAGACTGCGGTCAGTTGATCACTTAATTAGAGAACAATGCTGGATGATGATGGCCCGCTCATTGGTTGCCTGGCCCGCGGTGTTTTTGCGCCGCCGAGGTACCTGGTGCATCGAGGGGGCAACGAAGACGGCGCAAGCCGCGCCCGCGCCCGCACCCGTCATCGCCATCGCCATTGTAACAGCGACCCTCTTTCGAAATCCACCCACATGACCAGACTCCCGCAAATGTGGCCTGCAATGCTGCGCTTTTGCTCAGCATGCTGAAATGAGCGAGGCAGACACTAGCGAGCCCATGGATGAGGCGTCCGGCTCTCTTGAGGCGTGCGTCTGCGCGATGAACCCAATTCGTTTTCCGTTTGGCGTCCCGATACCACGAAGGAGCCAATTGCCGGAGTGAGATTGCGGAATGCGGCCGATGGTGTGATTATGAGATGATGGCTTTCGTCTCGTCGCCGGGAAACAGATTGGCCACAAGGGAGCAATCGTGAGCAGTTGTGACTCGCAACGCGGAGCTGAGAGGGGTCTTGCTCAGCGCAGACACCAGCGAATCTTGCTCGTCTTCTTGCTATTGTTCAGGGTAGACCAGCCAAGATCTCCGCGGCACCGCCGCGCTCATTTACCCTATGGATGCGTGCATCGTGGCCACTGGCCACTGCAACGGTCGCGGAAGCGGCGGAAAGAGTGTTTGAGATCGGTGTTGCCTGTTCATCAGGTGATGAGGACGAGCGCGCAATCGAGGAGGATATTGGTGTGCTCCTTTGTGACCGTGCGGAAGCAGGTCCCGCGATGTTGGTGCGACGCAATTGCATGCAGGGGAGCCGACATCCGACATAGTCACGATTGACGAAAGATTGATGTTCGCGCAGCGCAGCGCAGATCAGATCGAAACTGACCTGACGAGCGACCGCCCCCACATCGGGCCGGAAGCTCTGATCGAATCAGGCGGCCTGTTCTGAGCAAGCGATGGAGCCTCGGCAGGAGTCATTGAGGCTAAGCGGCTTTGCCACAGCTACACATGTCGCGGTAGAGCGGCAAGAGGCAAGACCTCCATGCATTCAGGATCCCGCCTCTCGGCCTGTGGGCCTCTGCGAGTGCGAGTGCGAGTGCACGCCAACGCCAACGCCTACGGCACGCCGTCAAAGATGTAGTGGAGAGGGCTTGAGGATCGCATTCAGCTGCGGGCTGTCTCGCCTTGCTATGCCATCATCTCAATCTGCTGACGTTGTGTTGACGCTGTACCGTACGGCGCGAAGTTCAAGTAACGCCAGTAATGGCTTGCGCCAGAAGCTGAGGTATTTTTTGCCATGACGTGCAACGACTTGGCGCCGCCATTCGAGTTGCACTGGCGCCGTGTCTTCTGCTTGCGGCCTTGCCGCTCGCCAAATGTTTGCCCTTCACACCACTCTCGCGTGGAGTCCTTGCGATTTCGAGATCGTCGAAGGAAACTCGTGCTGGAAACGACGTGGCGTGAGTCCCGCTCGTACCTCGATCGTTCTGATCCGCCCTTGCGCGCCTGCGGGCGGGAGTAACGCCGATCGCCGCAATCGTGAATGCGTTTAGGTCGGACTGTGAGGCCTTGTGTGGGTGGTGTTTAGTGAAGCGCCACAGTGCGACTGAGCGGTGTGGTATGCGTGGTGGATTTTGGCGGGTTGATCAACATCGCAACGTGCGAAAAAGATTCGCGAGGCTGAGGGTCCCGCACAAGACGAGAAAGGTTGCGCTGTTTGCCTCAGTGGCCAGCCTGGGTGGAGTGAGCGCCATCTTGCTTCGATCGTCAGCTGGTTCGAAGCGAGCCGAAGGCACGAATGAAGTCTCGAAGGCGATCCATCCTGAGCACGTCGGCCATGAAGCAAGCTGCCTTCTCGGACGCTCTCCATACCGATGCAAGGCAGGAGAAGAGCATGGTGGGAAGGGGCAGAGCGCAAGACGACCCCGTTGCGCGCGTCATTTCCCGACTAAATGCGGCGGCGAGCCATGCCTGCATTCGTAAGTCGTGACTGCCGCGCTCAGCTGGCCCGCAGCACGAACCCGATCCGTCTCACGACGGGGGGAAAGTCTTGCGCTCACACGATCAGTCACGAGTATCAGCCTTGTGCTCCTTCATCCTACAACCCTCTCTCCTCTCCTCTCCTCTCCTCTCCTCTCCTCTCCTCTCCCAGCATCTCACATCCGCAACAAAAGCTGCGCAGCCCGCCATGTCGATCCCGGCACCAGACCGCGATGAAGTCACAGAGACGTTAGAGGAAGGACCTTCGCGCTATGCAGCCTACGCTATGCGTCTTAGAACCCTGATCACCTCCACCTCTCGTTACGTCGCCTACACGTCCGACATTGGCGAAGCGTTCAGACCTTTGACATCACCCGCCTTCGTCAGGGCGTGCTACGGCATCAGCTGGGCTTACTTGGTGGGAGACGTCGGCTATGCTGGCTACAAGGCGCATCAGCAACACGAGCACGACACGGCTGGCATAGCTACAAAGGTGGAGGATAAGGCAAAGGAGGCTGTGAATGTAGGAACGGACAAGCTCAAACAGATCGTCGGTGACTCTGGTCAAAGAGTAGAGCTGAGGAGGAGTCACGATGGAAGCCTGGAGAAACACGCTGCTGGGCACAGCGATTTCAGCCACGTTGGACTGGTAATGGCGAGGAGGGCCGTGTTTCAGAGCATTGCGAGGTGAGCGTGGTGCACATGTAGGAAGATAGCGTCCGAGAGATGGTGGACTAGAAGTTTCTAGACGTGTGCAGCTGACGGACCAGTCCCTGTCTGATCGACGCCCGCACAGTATGGCACTTCGTGAGTAGTTGAATCGCAACGATCACGCATATAGACCACTCACATCTCCACTACTCGGCTCTGACATCAACGTCATCTCCAGCGGCTTTCACAATCCACAGCGTAAGTCTGATCGAGAGTGGCCTGACAGCTGGCATTGGAAACGGGCCCGAGCTAATGCTGCAACTGTGTGCAGGTCGTGCGATACTCGGCTCCCATCTTTGCTCGGAGCGCATCCAAGAGGGTCAGAGGTGCGGGGCCTACCATCGCCGGTCTTGCCTTCGTTCCAGCCTTGGTCAGTCTGGTCGAACTTGAGCGAAACACTCTCGCGACACAACACAGATGCTGAACTCGTCTTGCACCGCCGCAGCCTTTCGTTTTCGATCACCCAGTCGGTGCGTAGTGTCGAGTGCTGGGCGTTACGCAGCGCTGAATGGTTCGCAGGCTTGACGCTGATGAATCTCTCCGATCTCTTCAGAAAGAGTCGTCGACCGGGTGTTTGACGTGATCGAGGAGCAGTTCATTGCGAGAGGATCAAAGGATACTCCGACCACAGATGCAGCCAAAGAGGCGGTTGAACAGCTCAAGGCCAAGGTGCAGCAGACAAAGCAGAAGATAGAATAGATCAAGGCTTGCGGCTCTATAGTCAGAAGGGCGGTCGGGTCTCGATCCAGTGAAGGTACGCATAGAAGTGTCAGTAATGATAGAATTACAACCAGCGACTCTCCGAGTATGTGCTTGCAAATTGGGACGACGTGCACGCTGGCCAAGGTGCCTCATGCCTCAGTGACCCTTGGACAAGCGAGGTAGAGCAGTCTCGCGTGATACGACGTCATTTTTGCCGGTATCAGCCGCGATGACCGAGCCCTTAGGGTCTGACGCATCGCCATCCTTGCCAATTCTCTCGGCTTCAGGATGAGCCTGCATCTCCGCCTCAGCAGCCGTCTCTTCAGCAACCCTGGCATGATCGAAAGGTTGCTGCTTTGGCCCCCGCTCTCTGCGCTTGGAGCCTACCGGCTCGCTAGGCTGCGCTGTGTCTTGCGAGGCAGAATCGTCCACAGCGCTTTGGGGTGGAGAGCTAACGTCGGAGTTGCTTGATGTGACTTCCGCCTGCCCCTCCCATTGCCGCCGAAAGATGCGTGTATGATGACCGGCTCTGAGTGCAGGGTCACCTCTACGCCTCTCTCTCAATCTTTGCCTGCGCACGAAGGAAGGGAAACATGATTGGCCCGGTCAGAGAAGAGCTTCCGGAAAATATACAGTCACGAGTGGTGGATGACTCTTTCCCAACTCACCGCTCTTCAGCTTCTCGATCCTGGACGAAGATGTCTACGATTCCTTGTGGTGGTCCCTCTTCTTCGTCAGAGGGTTTGGCTCTCTTCGGCTTCCTGTTCCAGAACCAGCCTTTGCTCTCCTTCTTAGGCGCATCAGACTCCGTGTGAGTCTGTTCTGAGCTCTCGCCGGTGGCACCGTAGTCTGCGGCAGTGTCCTGACTGGCTTGAGACGCGCGCTTGGCCTGTTGCGATTCATCGTCCATTACCTTGCCGACTTTGGACTTCTGGTCTTTGCGCTGTTTGTGACGCTTGATAGCTTGATCGTCCCTCTCGCGCGATCGCCGTCGCTGCTCTTCCATTCCGACATCCACAGTCGGATAGGCATAGTCCCCGTGTCGCAGATTCCTGCTTTCCGTAAAGAGCTTCTCCAGATCAGCGTCCACTTGCGGCTCGTCAAATTCCAGCGTCGAGTTGTCCGCCTCTGCATCGGGGTGCAAGCGATGCCATGTCTGTTCCGCCCGAGCGACCGCAGCAGAGGCAGCAGCTCTGGGATTTATACGCGACGGGCCTGCCTCATCTGCGCCCTCTCCAGGATCATCGCCAGGCTTTGAAGCGTCGGGATCAGGATGCACAATGTCTTCTGCTTCTGTTTCTAAAAGCGGCGCGTAGCCCTCTCGCGCCATGACCCGATGATCGAGCCATTGCTTGAATGTGGTGGCGGGGCCTCTGTGGCGCGTGCCGAGGGGACCATCTAGAGAGCCATCGACCGCAGCCCATTGCGGCAGCCAGTACTTTCCTGAGAGACAAAAAGGTCTGCTTTAGGAGGAGCCAATCGAAAAAGCTAGCGCTTGCGCTCACCTTTGCCGCCTTGGGTATAACGCAATCCGGCCTTGCTACGCCTAATCCTCCCCAGCCCTTGATGAACTACGCCCTCGCTCGGCTCAAACGTCTGGTACCCATAGCCCTTTCCGCTCAGCGTGCCTACGCTGTCTGAAAGCACGTCATAGCCTCCGGTCGCATCGCGAAGCGCATACAGTGCGGGCAGCCTAGCCGCATAGTGCGCAAAGGGATCCACATAGTCTCTGGGCGAGAAGGCATAAGCGTGGCCCAATGCAAAGAGCGGCATCTCAAAGCTGACCAGCATGTCCTGAATAGCCAGCGCAAGCTTTGCTTGATCGCTGATCGGCCCGATGTTCGTGATCGCACCGGCAGCTACCAGGATGGAGACTGCAAGGCCTTGCCAAAAGCTGAAGAAGATGATGCCCTGGACGAATGGGCTCAATTTAATGTGAGCAGAAGCTATGCGACATATAGACGTGGTGGCCTACATACCTTGATGCACAAAAACTTGGAAGTGACTCTGAAAGGCGCAAGATCTTCAGACAAGCAAGCCCAAAACATGGCCAGCGCATACAGCGACAGAAAGACACTGAAGTTGTAGACGAAGCTGACGTAGGTGTAACCGTTTGTCCAGCTCAATTTGCCTTCTTCATAGTGACCAGTGATTTTGAGAAATACTGTGGCGACCGCGAGCACGGGCTTGACTTGAACGTACTGGAGGATGCCTCGCTTGAGCGCTAGAAACGTGTAAGGGTCGCTGACGTCCATGGGTTGAAAGAGGAGATTGAATGGGAAAGGATGCTTGGTGGGTGCCCTGCCATGAGCCAGAATAAGTAGTGACCGCTCTCCCCCAAGATACTCCACCAGAAGCGCAAAGAAGCAGTAAATGACAAACGCTTCGTATATGTCCCTGACCAAATCGATAAAGAAGGCTCCTTCCAAGCTCGTGATGCTCGCCAAGCTGCTGAGACTGTAGATGGGCACCATGAGCAGCAGACGTACCACTGACCGCTGCAGAACCGGCTTGCGGTAGGCTCTGAGGTGTGAGTTGATGGAGTAGAAAGATAGCAGGGTCGAGAAGAGGGCGGCTACCGCACAAGCGGTGATGTACTCATTCGGCAGCGATGCTGACTCTGACTGCGTGGTCATGCCTTGTCCAGACTTGGCGCTCAGCCATTGGAGTTGCGACCATTGGGACAGCAAAGGTGGCGACCAGACCATCTTGAGAATGCTTCTGGCGCCAAGAGGGGATGAGGGAGAGCGATAAGCGGGAAGCGGGAAGTGGGAAGCGGCGAGCACCGCTATGAATTAGAGCGCACCGACTGGCCACCTTGTCTCAAGTGTTGCAATGGCAAGGGTCATGTGGATTCGCTTCGTGAAGGAATGCATGTCTCAAGTCTGTTGACAGATGCATGGATCGACCTCCTTTTCGGTCGAGCTGCCTATCGGTCAGGCTTGTGCGCAGTGAGCGGAGGGATGAGTAGTGAGAGTAGTGGGCACATCCTACACCCCAAGAGGGACCACCTCGCAAGCAAGGGTTTGCGCGCAGCATCCCCACAACTTGATATTGACGTCAACCTCGCCTGGCAGGCGCCCTCCACTCACCACTCGACCCCCGATGCGTTTCTGGCTGCGCGCTCAGCATATCACGTGATCTGTCACAGTCCGCACCTTATTCAAGATTTGACTCTTTCTCAAGACTTTTGACTTGTTGTCTTGATTCAACGATCCAAAGATGTTCGAGCGTCCAAGCTTATCATTAGTATAAAGTGATCCGAATCGGATCAAGAATTTCTCCTATCCAATCCGCTCGCCATGATTCAACATCTCCTAGCAGCTCACGGTCTGATGTTGAAGTGGTCAAGCCTTCAAAAGGAGACTGTCTTCGATGCACAGCTGCCCCACTCACCACATCACGGGTCTTACCAGCGGTGGATAGGGTAGGCGACGCTGGAATCGGCGCATTTCCGCTTTGCCTGACGACAGTGACATTCACGATTCAGAGACCGAGTCGTGCGAGCTCAGCGAAACATCAATGCTCACTCACGTGCCTTGCGCATCGAGCAAGAGTCGTGGAATTCAAAATTGTTGGAGACAATGCCTGGCACCTCTGCCCGCCTTCCCTTGGCCCACCAATTACCCTCTTCCGCCGAGGATCCTGATCACTACACGTCGGGCCACAATGTGAGATTATTGACATTCGCGTGACCACCGCCTTGGCCTTGCTTTGTGTCCCCCTGACGCCCTTCTTCGAGAACGACCGTGTGCTCGCACAAGCCTTCACGAACCATGGAAAAGCTTCTTCCCAAACTCGCAGATGATCTCCCGCAGCGTGAAACGAGATTCAGTGGTGAGTCTTGGCGGACAGGCGGAAGCTTTTCAGAGTCCGAGCACAACATCGACTAGCCGCTTCCCGCGGCTCTCGCTTCTAGCTGCCGCGTGCCACGCATCATCAGTCGTTGCGACGTAAAGTGCGGGGCCCCCGCCCCTCGAGAGATTTCAAATTCCGATTTGACAGCTCGGGACAGGCTGCTGGAAAATGTGCAGTATACAGCACCTCAACAGCGTAGGAATCAAGACGATGTTGGTCTGTACAAGGACGTTCTGCCGGCTCATACCCTTCTGGCGCCCCAAACCACACGTTCGCCTCCACAAGTTTCTCGAAGCTATAGCCAGCATCGCTACATCCAGCCAAAGCAGCCTGGTGGAATCCGAGCAAGTCAGGACGCGCCGCGCCGAGCCCCCACTTGGCATCGACATTCACGATTGCTCATCCACAGCAGGCAGGGAAAGAAGCATACACACATGGTGTCCATCGCTCCATTGTGCCGCGAGGGGCGTCAGAGCAGACTCGAGGAGCATGCACATTCGTGATTCACATTGAAGCTCGTGAATGACTCTCGTGCCTCGTGACTGCATATGTGCTGCGGTGCCGAACTGGCTTTTCTCGGCGTAGCATGCATTCACTGCATGGACTTGGTCCCTCCCCGCATGCAAGCGCTCTTCCCCTGCTTCTTGCATCCATGATGATGGTCAGACTTATAGACGCACGTATCACCACGCATACGCGCTTTCCCCGCTTTCACTTCGAGCTAAAGCACCGCAATAACCTCGGGACCCTGCGCTAAGCGCCTGCTTGGCGCTCGATCCATCGACATTCATAGCTCCGCATGTTTGGATCCGACCGCGGCTCGCCCGGCTGATGGCTGATTCAGCCTGAAGTATAGCGGCTGCATCAGGTATGGTGATCCGGACGCTTCTGCGCGGGAGCGAATATCCGGCCCGCCTTAGCGCGGCTGCGCTGACCCCGCAATCAGAAAGCAGCTTAATTGGATGCGCAGCTGCGTGGCAAAGAAGCAATTGAGGCTTGAGAGCGCAAGCTGCTACAGTAACGATGATACATGTTATACTCTTGACTGTAGCAGCAGCAGGTCAATCGGTGTTGGCGCGGGGGAAAGCAGAGGTTGTGACAGCTGCAAAGGCTTTGGCTAGATCCATCTCATCTCAACTGATCGTCAGCTGAGAGCTACAAGCCGCGCGCATTGCATGAAGTCGCTCCTTCTTGCCGCTGTGCGCATTACGGAGCAGCTTGTTGCTGGCTGGCGCACCACATCATCATTACCGCTTGGCTCACTCATCCCTACACAAGTCGGCTATCGTGCTCGATGAGTGCTTGCGTCGATTGACAGCCTTGCTCTTCCGCACCACGACAAGCTGCCGCGGTTTTTTTGTTGCGCGAACGGAAAGCTTTGCGGCTCCTATAATCGCGCGCGACCTTTCCGATAGCAGCGCGGACATGGGAGGGGATGCGAGGCGACCCCGCACCCACCGGCAACATACCTGTAGGTGTGCGTGCATGGGGGAGCGCGCTGGATATATCCTCTAGCTCGCTTTCTCGATTCACCTCGACAATGACCTTCTAGCGTCCTTTTCAAGGTTTCATTTGGCCTGAGACCATCATCACTCGGACCTCCCTCGCGCCTCCATGCCCCTTTCCACACGCACCGTTGTCGAGACTGGGAGCCGGACGTCGTGAAGCAGCAGTCTTGAGTGCCTGGTCATGCGCATTCACGAGCAATTCCAAGCGATGATCCTCGCTACAGCACGACTGCGACGGTGTCGGGAGCTTCTAAAGCCCACATTCACAGCACATTGTTTGCCTTCTCAAAAGTCATTTTATTCGGCAGGGATGCTGCTGTAGGTGCTGCTTGGCATGACTGCATTGGGCGGAAGCAATGTTTTGCAGGTCTAGCGTCTCCTCGCATTGGTGCTGTGCCTGATTGCAAAACGTCCCAGCAAGGCAAGACAAGCGGATGTGCAGAGCTACGCCTGCCCCGAATGAGGCCCTTCCATGGCCTCAGTGAGCACCGGCCACACGGGAGCGAGCCTCGTCTATGGAGGACAGGAAGATCAACTTGGCTGAGCGCAGCGCGGGCTAGAGGTGCTGTCAGCAAAGTCTGGCGCACACTCAAGCCTCCTTGCTTCGCGTGTGAGAAGCAGCAGAGGCTTCAAGGTTTTGGAAACGCAATGAGCAGCAAAGATGGTGACATTTCGGCGTCAGACTCGAAGGACGTAAGATGCGGCTAGGGAAAGCGTTTCGGCCAAATCGCAATGCTAGCGTCTGTGCCGCTCATGCTTCGGCGTGAAAGCGAAGGAGGAGGCATCGAAATCGCTGGGGACGATGTTGGGCTAGAGAGGTCTGCTAGCTCTGTCCCTTGCGCAAGCCGTTGGTTCGGCCGCTGCAGACAGTGTACGACGCTACTGCACCCCACAGCCGGGATCACATCTGCTGAAAGGTAACGTGCGCTCACTTCTTCACTTTTCGCAGCCAGAGCTCCTCTCTATCAGCATCGCTCTGGCACGGACGACGAGAAGGCGTCTCCGTCGATGGCCAGCTCGCCTACCACGCTGTGTGGGCTTCGAGGTGAGCCAAGTACTGCAAAGCGCGAAGACCGACTCAAAAGGCATAAAAGGCGCCTTACTTTCTTCCTCAATCCTCCCCGTCTCATCCTCATCCTACTCTCCATCTCTCCTCTCACCCTAATCCTTGCTGCTCGAGCCACTCTCAACCCACCCCACCCTACACACTCTGTCAAAATGAAGTTCGCCGTCTCCGCTGCTCTTCTCCTGGCCGTGGCCGCCGCTTTCGTCTCTGCCGACGTTGCTCAGGTCAAGAGGGACGTTGCCGCCATTGACGCTGGTGTCGCCAAGGTGAGCGACGATTGACGGCTGCCCGCGCCTATTCATCGCAATGTACTCACAGCCCGTACGACTTGACTCCCTCCACCTTCGTATCGCAGCTCAACAACGACCTTGCTGCTCAGAACTTGAACTACTTCTCTGCCCTGGGCATTCACCAGTCTGCTGTCAACCTTGACAACACCATCAAGACTGCCACCAACAACGTCAACGCGCTTTCCGCTGACGAGGTCTCCGAGGCCGACGCCCAGGAGGTCCTCAACACACTCACCGGTACCGAGGTGAACGTCAAGTCCGCCAGCCAGAGGCTCATTGCCCAGAAGCCCGTGAGTCAGCTCGCATGCATTTGGAGCTGTTTAGACTGGTGTGCTTGTGACTGACGATCCATACTTGTCTGGCCCGTCTGTAGAACTTTGACCGTCTCGGTGTGACTGGTCTTGCCCGCGACGACACCAACAACCTCGCCCGCGACACCAAGCTCTACGGCGCCGCTCTGCTGAGCAAGACCCCCGCATCCCTCCAGACCGACGCTTCCAGTCTGCTCGACAAGGTCAACGCTGACCTCGCCGAGGCTGTCACTGCCTACGCCTAAGCTTCGATACGGGCGCAGCGCAGTGAATGCAGCAGCTGCTCCGTGTCCATGGCCCGCTTAATTTTGTCACCTAATCTGTCGTACCCGGATGGTCGAATCGACTTATTCAAACGAAATGTCATCGTGATTCTTCCGTCTTGATGGCTCAAAGTGATGACCGTGTGTCATCGGAAATTCGTTTTTCTCGCTTGGTTGCTTCAGTAATGATGACGTGGGCGCCGCCTGGTACTCTTGAATCGCATGATCGTAGAGCGAGCCGAGCGCCTGACGGTACGTGAGGCATCGAGATTTATCTTCTGACTAGCTTTGCCGCGAAGCACCTTGCAGCAGCATTTGTACAATCGCTGTCGCTGCAGCCTTTGATCGGGCTGCTCGAGCCGATCAGACTGCGCGTCGACGCGATAGACGCGTCGACACGATCAGCATCTTTGCAAACTGGACCCTGCGCACGGCAGCGAGATCACGGCAGCTGACCTTCCGGTATTCACACGGTGACTGATGGAGATCCAGCTCCACCTGTCTTGCGCGTGATTTCAGGACTGACCGCCGCGAAGGTATAACGCTAATTCGCTGCTACGAGTCACGAGTGTGACGCTAGGAGCAAGAGTGAACGAAGTGCACGGCTCGCGTGACGTCGACAAGTTGGGTCAGCCGATTCTTGCTTGCAGCAGAAGTCACAGCCAAAAGTGGTGTCAAGGTGCAGCGATGTGTCGAGAAGGTCAAGCGAGGTGTTCTTTGATTCGACGAAAGCTCGCAGCAGATGTCATCGGTGTCGACTTAAAATGAGAGTAGATGACGTAGCCTGACCCACGACACCTTCTTCAGCACCACAACAACTCAGCATACTCAGAGCAGACCGGTACGAATCATCTTTGAGCCCCCTACCCCTACTTTGCCCATCATGTCGGAAGAATACGCAGGCAAGAGCAATGAGCAGATCATTCAGGAGCAAGCTGCGAGCCTGTCCAGCAAGGACTCAAACTTTACCAAGGACAAGTACAATCCCAGAAACACCGTCCTCTCCGAGCAGTCTGGTGGTGAGTTTTGGATGTCGTGCTTTGCTTTTGCCTTATGAGGTGCTGTAAATTGCAGTAGCTTCCTACGCATCGGCAACAGCAGACAACTTGCTTGCACCGGTCAGCTACACGAACTGTTGACTCATCGTCCTTGTTCGACCCCTCCCATAGTGAACGAGTCCGGCCTCGGCGAGTTTCCTGGTGCAGATGTGCAAGTAGGACGTACAGGTCAGACGGGTGGAGGAACAAATCCTCAGCTGATCCCACCCGAAGAAGGCGGTTCATCCAAGGCTCAGTCGCTCGGACAGTCCTCTGATCAGTTCGAAAGCACAGCCGGAGGACCTGAAGATGCCGCGTACGAGGTGAGTCTGCCGTTTTTGCACGCACGTGCAAGAGCCTCTCTCCTGCCAAGGACCGCACAAATCTGAGAAATGTTTCGCGTCGATTTGGCAGAGACTCGCAAACAACCCGGGTGGCTTTGATGCGGCACCTCGTGGAGTCGACCAGATCCGCGAACCTGCGACCGGCGCCGAGCCTGTGCCTAGGACGGAGGACCAAGCGCTTGAGCCAGACCAAGAGGCAACCGCACGCAACCCTACTGGGATTTAAAGCGCGTTGATGTTCTCAATTGCAATGTCGATGTGCTCATTGACGCGATGCCAAGACGTGTCTGCGTGGGATGCTTGATATGCTGCAAGATGATGGGCTCGGTCGGGTGCGCAAGTACGTGAGTGGGTGCAGGGCTCTGTACACCCCACGATTGTGCGTGTGAGATTCAGAGAGGATGCAAGTCATCTTGTCTTGAGCTGTCGACACCGTAGTACCGGTCGCCCATGTTACTGCAAACGAATGGTCGGCGCACAGCGGTAAGCTGATGGTCGCATGGCGCCTCGCCACTCTCTTGAAGACTCACCCGCAGCCAGGTTCAATGCTCCAACACACCCTCGTGGAGTGCACAGAGTCTGTGAGCGCCTCATCGTCGGCCGACCACGCAGAGTCTGTGCTGCTGGAGAATGCATCGCTTCGAGGTGCAAAGCTTCTCGCTCTCAAGAGCCTCGATGTAGCGGGCGGTCTTCCTCGCACCGCTTTTGGGTCCACTGCATGCGCTTCGGGCACGATCAGAGGGGCAGGTACAACCCTCCTCTTCAGATCCGGGTCCACCCCTCCCACGACGATTTTGACTCTTGGGAATGCTCGATGAAGGGCATGCACACCACCTCGTGCAGATGCGAGCAGCGTGACAAAGATGATGTGCTCTTCCTTGACATTATGATCCAGCAGCACCCGAACGCCCATCAAGGCTGCTGCTCCCGTGCCCAATTGAGAGTCTAATAGCAGCACCCAAGCCGATTGGGCGTTCGTTGGACTGCGAAGGAATCGAGGCAGATCGACAGTGTACAGCTTCGGTTCCCCTTCCCTATCTGATTGGATGAGCAGAGAGCCTGCTTGCAAAGCTGGAATGGCTCGCCTGGCAGAAGGTTCCAAGATTGCCCCGCTCCTCAAAATCGACACGGAGCAGATGTTTTCCGCAGCTACTTCGCATCCAATGTGACTCTTCCCCGAGAAAAGTGTGATCTTCTTTTCGCGGTGGGGTAGATGGACAGTGGCGCGTTCCAGTACCAGCGCTGCTACGCGGTCGATGGTAAAGATGAAATCCTCGCCCCTGACCGTCTTGTCGTGCATCGTAGTGAGGAGAGCCTGCAGTTGCGGGGTCTGAGCGAGCAGATCCACATTGGGAGGAAGCTGGTCCTCGGGAATCGCAAGAGCGCTGGAGCCTGTCCGCGCCATTGGCAACGGGCTCATCTCGAAGGGCGATTGTCGGACTTCCCTGCGTGGAGTTGCAGGGGTCATTGACAGCTCTGAGCGCAGCCGCGTAGCTCGAGATGACAACTGCCGCTTGATGTGTTGTGAGATGACGTCGATCGCGACCTGGATGAAGGTTGCGCAAGGACCACAATGTCAGTGACGTCCCACCCTGCGACGAGGCGCGCCACCTGCGCACCTCATTCCTCTGTCCTGGCACAATGATGTCTGCGTATTTAGATGTGGCGGAGACGAAATTGTCGTAGCTTGGCTTGACGAAGCGCAAGTACTTCGGGCGAAAGGGGCAGGGCGGGGCACCGCCGTCAGTCTAGCGCTACTGTCACCCTCTCTCCTCGCAACGCTGCTCTTTACACCAGAGCATACACGCACCTGATCCAGCACTCCTCCGACGTCTCTGCCACGCTCAGCAATGTCCCTGCGTATCCTCCTGGCCAGCATCAAGTCGCTGTCTGCCTGCACAAATATCTTGAGGTCCAGCAAGTCTCGAATGGCGGGATCGTGCAGCACAAATATGCCTTCGACGATCAGCACCGTTGCGCCGTACATGTAGCTGGTCTGCTTCATTCGCTGATGCTCTACAAAGCTGTACGTCGGGATCTCTACCGCTCTGGATCTTTTCAGATCCCTGACACACTCGTACAAGATCTTGTAATCGAAGGCGTTGGGATGATCAAAGTCGTAATTGTTTGCGTGGGCCAATCTGCTCTGCTGCGCGTCGAGCGACTTGTAGAAGGAATCCTGAGAGACGATGGCCACCCAGGGAACGTTTGGCAATGCTCGTAGTATGGACTTTGCTACCGACGTCTTGCCCGATGCCGAGCCACCGGCCACTCCCACGACGTAAGCATCCATCGGCCGCCCCTCGGCATCGTACCACGATCCTCGGCCAGCCTCTGTCATGACGATGCTGAGGGGAGTCATGGGAAGCACTCGAGTCAGCCAGCTTCTTTTTCCTGACCTCTTGCTTCATTGCCCACAATGCTCACTTTTTAGCCTGCGTCAGAGTCGATCCACCTCCATGCCGACTGCTGCCGCCAGGAGACAGCGGCGTGTCCACCTCTTCATTCGTGTGACCAGCTGTGTGGGAGCTCTCCGATGCAACTGGCGGGACTGGTGGGACTGGCGCGTCCTTTGCTGGGGGAGCAGCTCGAGCGGGCGCAGAAGGAATGAAGAAAGAGGTGCTGGGACCTGCGCCATCCGACACCGAGGCGCGCGCAGAAGAAGAGGTCATGTTTGTGAGCTGTCGATCCGCGTTTGGGCTTGTGACGCGCCCCCGTCTGCGACCGCAAACCGTCGAGGTGTGAGCAGCGAAGCTTTCAGTCGGGCTGAAAGATGGCCCGTGTGTCGGGAGCTTGGCTGTGTGAGTCGCGAGTCGCGGGGATAGTGAGTGGAAGTGTCAGATGAGCGATTCTGGGTCGGCAATAAAGAAGGATGTCGTCTAATAATGGAACGACATTAATTGCTGCCACTACGCTGACCCAAAGCACGCATGTGAATCAATAATCACAATTAAGAGCAACAAACCCTCCCGCGTCCGCACGACAGCGCGGCGGACTGCGAAAGACGCGGTGAAAAGTCCGCACGAGCAGGCGGCGCGGGGGCGCGCGATGCTCTGAACACACAACACCAGCAGCACAGCCACTTCTCCTCCCTGCTGCTGCTGCTGCTGCTGACTTTCTATAGTCGTGATCGAGTCTATAGCTGAGTCAAGAGTCTGTGCAGGCGTGTGCGCGCGGCGTGGCATCCCGCCGTGAGACAGGACGGATGCATGCAGCCTTCCCACCTTTTCCCATCTCCATCACTCCATCACTCTTCGTTTCACCGCACGCTCCGTCACATATCGGCATCACACGTCCAGACCCCTTGATGATGCACGCCGAATCTACACACATAATCTCAAAGCTCCTCACGCACATGCGCACAGGACAGTGCTGCTCACGATGGCAATTGCATCCCATTGTCAGCTGCCGGTCACAAGTGGTCTACCTTGCGCGCAAGTGCGACGAGGAGGTTGGAAGATGAAGATCGACTGAGGCAATCTTCAAGCAAAGATGCGTCATCGGTCATCGATTTGATTGGTTTTGCTCAGTGTTTCAGTCCTTAGCCACGTTGGCTTGGCTCCTGTAGAAGCTGGAGCCGCCGGTGAGCTTGAGGTTCTTGGGAGCGGGTCCCTTGTCGGGGGTAGCGTTGGGGTCCAGACCGGGCAGGAGGAGGACGCCGGCTCCTCCAGCGCCGTTTGCAGCTTGGGCTTGCTTGGTGGGAGCAAAGAAGGGTTGATACTGCGTCTCTGTCAATGGACCTGCAGTCACGCCGGTCAGGTTCAACAGCGGACGCTTCTCCAACGGGACTTGGGCATTACCCTTGTAACCTGCAGCTTCGGCCACAAAGGGAACAATGTTGGACAAGATGGGATCGACATCTCCGCGGCCGAGATGCATCAATCCCCAGTTGGCTTGCGTGGTGGCGAGGATGCCGTAGTGCGTCATGTAGAGGTCAGAAGAGGAGCCTCGCAGGTTTTGAGGAACAGCATTGCCAAGCAACAGCGTCAGGATGCGGTTCTCTGCTGCGTAAGTCTCGTTCTCGTCAAAAGTGAGGACGACGAGGGTGCGCTCAGAGTTAAAGTGCTGATCGAGGGGAAAGGGTAACATGGCAAGTGAAACGCTTGGCGTTAGCGCGCGGTGGCGGCCATCGCCTCTCTCACGCCCCGCTCGGCTCGCACTCACGGGGTTCTTGAGCAGGTCAGAGAGGAACCAATCGACCCACTGAGCGGCGTAGCTGATACCGCTGTCGTGACCGTCATCGTCCATGTTGGGCGTGACGAAGATGTGCTGAGGCAGCGCATCGGCTTTGAGATCAGCAGCAAAGTCGTTCATGTTCCTGTTGCGCTTGTAGCGCTCTGTTCCGGGCTTGGCAAACGTGCTGCTGAAAGCGCACGGGTTGTGCTTTCTGACGTAGAAAGTGTAATCTGGAGCGCTAGGGTCGACGTAATTCTTTTGCTTGTTGTCGTAGTCCTGGAAACCTTGAAAAGGCATGTTCTCCTGGTAGCAGGCGTAAGAGATGCCCTTCTTGTCGAGCAAGTCGTATACGCTCGTGATGTTCTTTGGGATCCACGAAAAGTTGTCATCGTGCAGACCAAAGAAGGAGCCAAAAGCGCTGGCCATGTAATTCGGCTCCGAAGGGTGCGTCACACCGTGGAAAGAGGTCAACGTCTGACCTTGCTTTTGCAAGCGCTGAAAGGTGGCCAGCGAAGCAGCTGCAGAGTAATCGGTATTCTCTAGCCAAACATGGATGATGCGGTCGAAGGCTTTGCCTGGCACGATGGGCTGACGTGCAAGCGTGCCGTTATTGCGTCCCTGGTACGCATCCGACTGTTCCTCAGGAGACGTAGAGGGAGGAACGAAGCTCTGCTTCTTGGCGCGACGCAGCAGCGAGGCGGGTTGAGCCACTGCAGAGGAAGCTGCGCTCAGCACAATGGCCGCGAGGATCAGGGCGAGCGTTGGCAGCAGCGCTGCTTTGATGTGCGACATTTTGCTCATTCTGACCGGAAAGGAAGGGCAGAAGAATGGGCTGGGATCGGATGGGAGGGGCGAGCGGGAGTACCTGGATGATCGTCGAGAGCTTGAGTGGGCGAAGATCATCTTTTGCGGGCCTTGGAAATCGGCGCCTTCTCGTTGGTCGGTCGTCTCGAGAGCAAATAATTCGCTGTGTCGTGCAACGGTACCGGCATGCACAGCGACACAAAGGACGCTTGAGAGTTCGACTGATTGCCGCGGAGAGCCTTCATGGGCCACCCGCACATTAGCGCCTGTCTTTTGCAGTAAAAAGGGTTGATGGTGCCTGACCCTTGATTCAGAAGAACGTGCTCCGAAGCCGCATAATATGCTGTGAGAATCTCGTGCACTGAGAAGCCCCGCCCCCATGCAGCCGACGGCAAATATCAATTGCGAACTTAAAGATCGAAGCCGCAATTAAGTCTGCGATCGTAGATACTCGGTCAGATTCCTCCATCGACCAGCAGCAGAACCAAAGCAGGAACTCAACAGCTTGCGCTCGCTTGATCAGCATTCGCGTTCACATCAGGAAGGCTGGGGTGAGTCAAGTGCAACGCACACAGGTCTCGGCCGTTGGCGAGCTCAAACACGTTCCCTAGCGCATCCTTTCAAGGCTGCTGCAGCATGCAAGCGCTCTATTTCGCCGGCAAGGCCGAAGCAGATCGATCGAGCAGCTCAGCCGCCAAAGTGTGAAGCTCGCCCCCGCGCAAGGACAACCAAGTTGCGCGGACAGCATATATATGCAGCAGCACATTCGTGATTATAGCAGCTGCCCAGAGCTATCGGTAAGTGTGCGGTTCGTGAGCCGTGCACAAGTTTCAGCGGCGTCTCCTCCTGCGGCTCCGTTTGCGCCGCCGGCTTGCGGATCAGCGCTTGCAGCAGCATGCATTGCAGCATATGTATCATCAATAATCACGAAGCAGCATCACTACTAGAACACGAATCAAAGCCGTGCAAGTTCATTCACATATTGCTGCATGCCGGCTCCGACGCTAATTCTTCCTGGCCCGCCGCGCGGCACTCAGACTCGTGAGTCGTGATACTGATGAAGGCATGTATTGTATGTGCCTCTACGTCGAGCTGCAGAGAGAGCAGAGCAGCAGGCTGGGCAGCATGCAAGCGCATCAAGATTTCAAATCGAGGATCCAGCGCAAGATACGGTCACAGTGCGCAGTCGCAGAAGTGAGAGGATCACAACGACAGAGATCTGCTTTGCACGATAGCACGGCCACCAACTTCACTGCTCTCTCTCTCCACCCGTGCACACACTGTCACTTGGCTGCATCGTCAGTGCTGGCAATCCACCGCAGAGCAATCAGGGAAGCGCGACCATCAGCTTCCGCACCCCATCGACACCTCTCGATGTACGATGCCGCTGTACTCGGGGTACGACGCCAACGAGAAGGCGGAGGCGGAGGATGGAGAGGGCATGGCATGGTCGATGGAAATGCAAGGCGACGAGCCGGCTGTGCAGAGGTATGGCGAAGCGGAGCGTGTGGGGCGCGGTGTTGAAGCCGGTGCGGACGAAGAAGCGCAGGAGAGCTTGCTGAGAGGCGGTGCGGAGGGCATTTTCGTTGCGCATCGGAGCGACGGATCGCCTCGCAAAGGGAGGCGGGGAGCGCACAGCAGGTCGACTCGGAGATGTTGCGTCATCGTAGTCCCTGCCGCACTGCTCTTGACGCTCCTCCTCGCCTTGCTGAGCAACTCCAACAGATCCGCGCAGGCAGCCAAGCCCGCTGTGGAAATTGAAGCTGAAGGCTCTGCGAATGCGACCTCCTTCAGCCCCATCGACGCCCTCGTCGACCCTTCCGTCTTTCAACTCGGAGCGAGCGGTAGCGAGTGGGATGTGAGCCAAGCCGTGCGGACGCGCACGTACGACTGGACCATCTCCGAAGTGATCGCTGCTCCAGCCGGCGTCTCCAAGCGCATGCTGGTCGTGAACGGACACTCGCCCGGACCCACAATAGAAGCCAACGTAGGCGACAGGATCGTGGTGAGGGTGGAGAACCGGATGATGAATGGCACTGCCATTCACTGGCACGGTCAGCCCCTGTCGGGTGCAGGTCAGAATTACATGGACGGCACCAGCGGTGTTTCCCAGTGTCCCATTCCACCCGGTGCATCCTTCACCTACGAGTGGACAGTCAGGACCAGCGGGACGTATTGGTGGCACGCGCACTTTGAAGGTCAATACAGCGACGGCTTATACGGCGCTCTCATACTTCACGATCCCAAGGATCACTTGCAGCTGATCCATGCCGGATCGCGTGCAAAAGAAGAGATGCCATCCGAGTCCGCTCTGATAGCGCAGCAGTCTCGATACCATCACGATCGCGTGATTCTCATGTCCGACATTTGGAACGACCTTTCGGGCGCTTACTTGGAGGGCTACATGTCCTTTGAAGGTCCACCTGGCGGGTGAGTGGACTGTGCGCGCATCGTCGCGATGCTATTGAACTGACTCTGCTTCCTTCGTGCCGGACGAACGAACTACCAACAGAGTGCAAGGTGATGAGCCGGTCCCTGATTGTGGCATTGTCAATGGCATTGGCCACTGTGCAGGTGGACTGCAACACAGCCCTGCCTCTCTGCCAGTCTTGCCCGACAAGACATATCGTCTACGTCTACTCAACGTCGGCTCCCTCGCCGAGATCCGTTTCGAAATCGAAGGTCACTCGCTGATCGTCGTGGAGGCGGATGGGACAGAAGTGGTGCCTCATAGCGTCAAGAGCATTACCCTTGCCGTCGCTCAGCGGTACAGCGTGCTGGTGCAAATGGATCGAGGAGCGGAAAGGCAAAGGAAGTGGAGGATCAAAGCGGACCTCTCTGATAGCATGTTTGGGTATGAGCCGGAGCACTTGATCAAGGAGCAGGCGATGGTGCTGCAGTACGAGCAGCCCGTGAAGCACGACGAACCTGAAGGTTCAACGGCCTCGCTGCCCGTGCCAGACCACCAGATCGACCAGTCACTTGACCCTTCAGCACTTGTGCCGCTCATCGTGAGTCTTTTGAAGGTGCTTGGTGATGCATACGGCGCTCAGCTCATCTTCTGCTGCACGATGCCGACCACGACAGCCCATCGCGGCCCCAAACAAGGTGGACAGGCAAGAGACGCTGCTAGTGTCCTTCGGCCTGACTTCCTCCAGCGTTTACCGAGCTTTCTTCAATGAGACGTCTTGGGAGATGCCGCCGGCTAATGGAAGCAGCGTGATGGCACTGAGGAAGCAGAAGCCATATCCTGACCAGCTCGTCTTCAAGAACGACCAGACCATCGTCATGGATCTCATCATCAACAATGAGGTGAGCTCAGACCGCCAGCATTTCCGTCTTCCTTCAGTGACCTTCAGCTTTGCTGAAGCATCCACCTCTTGCTTGTACGGCGCAGGACGAAGGAGATCATCCGATGCACATTCACGTGAGCAACACGTCTGGCTTTACTCTGACCACGCGAAAAGTGTGACAATCTCGACCTTGCTTTCGCTGACGCTATGCGGACTCTCCGACAGGGCTACGTCCCCCAACTATTAGGCACAGGTGCCGGCTTCTTCAGCTACGATCAACCGTCTCTAGATTTACAGCAAGACTTTCCAAATCCGATGAGACGAGACGTGTGGACCGTGCCTGGCTTCAGCTGGACAGTCATTAGGCTCACCTTGGATCTCCCTGGCCTATGGACGTTGTGAGTCCCTGTGCCAAAACTGTCGGGATGGCACCCTGACCGGCCGACAAACGTCGCTCATCTGTCCCCGCCCAATTCACCTCCCAATCACACAGTCATTGCCACCTGCGCGAGCACATGGCCATCGGACTTGTAGCCGCCTTCGAGGTGCTGCCGAGTCAGATGGGCGATGTCCCCAGCGCTAACAGGGCACTTTGCGATGCGCAACGCAAAACGTGACTGCAGTCCACCTTCCTCCCACGCCCGGTCCACATTTGCATTTTCGGAGCGAGGCGAAAACGCGCGCCTTGTCCACTTGTCAGTATCCCTTCGCCTCTCCATCCAGCTGTACCATGTATCATACTTCCTCGTCTTTTATGCTCTTTCCCCTGGCTACTGCCACATGATCGGCATCGCAGATTCGTGAAACGCACGACGCAGCGCTAACGCTTCTTCGGAAATAAACCCAAGGGTGTTCTATTATGAGGATTCCGTGCTTGCTGAAAGTTGACGGGACTTGGCCAGCCGTGGTGGCTAATGCACGACAGTATTCCTTCATGGAGCGTTGGCACTGGCGTCCTTGGCCTTGCGCAAGCTGTCGATAGGAGTCTCTCCGCTGACAATCTTCTCGACGAGGTCTTGAACGACGCTGAAGTCCTTGAAGAGAGTGTAAGGGATTTTGTACTTGTCGACGTAAGTCTTCAGGTCTGCGGGGATGTGGAAAAGAGAGACACAAGGTGAGATAGTGCCAGCTGAGGAAGGCAAATGCAATCTATGCAGATCCTTGCAAGTCATGACAAACGGCAGACTCACCATTGTCCTTCTTGTCCTTAACGAAGAGCACATCGGCGTGACGTGCCGCGGACATGTCGGAGCTGGAGAAGCAAGGAAAAAAAGCGCGAAGCGTAAATTCCAGGTACTTGAACTGAGCATCTCAAAGGAACGCACATTCCGTCACCGGCAAAGAAGAGGAGGGGAGGGTTGGGCAGCTCGCGGTAGGGCAAGATGCTCAGGCTCTTGTCGTGTCCAAAGTGGCTGTCTGGGTGACGGTAGACCAGCTCCCAAGTCTTTCCCTCCTTCTCCGGATCAGTGAAGTTGACCTCGTTGGAGATGACATCGATTTTGTTCGCCTCCTCTTCTCCGATCAGGTTGCTGAAGATGCTACGGATGATGGGGGTCATGCCCGAAGAGACGACGACGATGGGAATGTCGTGCTTCTTGCAGAAAGTGTGGAAGTCCTTGAATTTGGGGTCAAGGGTGACATCTGGAAGTAGCACAGCCAAATTTCAGTGGGCGATCTGCTCATCAAGATCTCGGGCAAGAGTCTGGACCTTCACCACACCAGGGAGCGGACATCCAAGCAGCCCGTGTATGACCGGGAGGAGAACACTTCGATCTTGGAAGATTGGACATTCGGAGCGAAAAGCCCGAAACAGCTGAGCTCTCCAAGATGACCAAAAGTCTCGAGTAAAGTCGCGCCTTGACTTCGCTCCCCGAATCGCCAGCCAACATCCTGCCCTCACTGGTCCAACAAGCTTCTCCTTACTCACCTCGCCTGACAAGCTCCTCCATCTCCTTGAAGGGGCGGTGCACGCTCTCCACCATCTTTCTGAAGCCCTCTTTGTAAGAGACGCGCTCGTGGATGATCTCCTCGTTGATCTTACGACGCTCAGTGTAGCCCATTCCGACAGTGTCGACCATGTGGTCTAAAAGGGCGCGAGAGAGGGATGAATAATACACGTCAAAGGTGTACCAACGTGCGTAGAGCGCCAGGCCATCGCTCACCATTGCTGTCGAGCTGCGCGTATGAGAAGTGAGTGATTGATGCCGGACGGCAACTCGTCAGTGAGAGCTGCGAAGCTGACTGGATGAAGTACTGCCACTCACTTGGGTGATGGTGCCGTCTAAAGGGCGGAGAAGATGGAGTTGATGACGAGATGAAGAGAGAGAGGAGAGATGAGCAAGCAAAAATCGACAAGGCTGAGGAGATGCAGCTGGTCTTGATGCTACAGACACGGCTGAACGATGTGTGCGCTTCGTCAATGCTCTCCAGAGCACCTATCTTATCTCCTCGGACATGTGTGTGATCACTGCCCGCAGCGTGTGGGCTCCTAGCGAGCGGCCACACGTGCCAATTTGCAAGAGATCTTTTTGCGCTGACCCAACACTCACCAAAGTCGGTGAGGAACACCATCTTGGCGTCTGCGTACTGTTTTGGCGTCGAGAGGACACAGAGTCAGTCAACGATGACTGACGGAGGCAGGATCGAAGCAGCTTCATGCCAGCGTGACCATTGCTCACCTTGGCTGGGGTAGTCATGTTGGGCAGGAATGTCTATATCTACGATGAAGTATGTGTTCGATGCTTGCTGGTGATTGAGGAGAGGATGGAGAAGGCGTGAGGATCTCAGTAGGCCGACCCTATATACCTTAGCCAAGTGGTCAAAATGAACGACCGAAGAAAAGCGAGGGAGCGTGCATTCATGCAAGGCGTGCATGCGGGCGCGGGCGCGCGCGCGCGTGTGCTCATGTGTCCGTCCGTCCATGCATCGTCGGTCCTCAATTTCGATGCTCGATCGATATACACGACGGTGTGCTGCTGCTGATGCGTCAAGGGTCGTCCTCCTCTGCCGCCAACGTTCCTGCCGCTCTGCTCGGCGTGTTGGGCGGCGCAAGCCTCGGTGCCACGGCGCGACGGCGCGACGGCGTGTTGTTGGGTGATGGCGTTCGAGCGCGTTTGCTGCTCCGCGTGCACACAGCAGCATGCACACAGGACTCTCTGACTCTTTACGTGACTCTTCACTATGACCGATGAGCGACTGTGATTGCACCAGCGCCAAGAATATAACGATCCGATCGAACCTGCTGATGACGACCCAGCATGCACTCATGACTCACACTGCTGAGGTCCAGTGAAGGCCTCCGTTTCTCACCGGACGTGCGCGCACACACCCGCGTGCGGGCGCGCACGCGAGATGCGCTCACGGCTCTCGTGCGGTTCGCATGCATGTGCATCACTCACACATTCGCCAGAGCCACGTGGTGCGCGCTGTTGTCGAGTCTCACGCACGCTCAAGGCTCAATTCACATTCGAATTCGAATTCGCATTTGAGTTCTTCTTGAGCTGAGCATCGATGTTGTCGGTATACACGTCGCACCGCGTCTCCCACACGTCGCTCGTATATACAAAGTGAAGGTCAAGCACACACCTCATTAATTGCACAACGACACTTGACATTCACACCAGCTCAGCAATGACCACAGACACGGTTCCTGCGGCGCTGGCTGCAGCACCGGCTGCTCAAACCTCAGAATGGGTGCGTCCTCTTTACCATCGCGGCATTTATCCTACGTCGACTGCGTCCGAAGAGCGTCAGGCTGACATTCACCCGTGCTTATCTGTTGCTTCTCCTCTGCAGACCAGCCCCTCCTTCAGACCGGAGCACATTAACCAGATCATCTCGGGCGTCGACAGGTATAACCCTCAGAACCTCGCCGTACTGAACGAGTACTTGCAGCAACAGCTCGACGAGGGCACCTACGACTGCCTTGCCAATCTAGCCATCCTCAAACTGTGAGTGGGAATGGTGCTTCAAGCAGCGTTGGGTCCCCTGGGTGGGCCCGTTGCTGCTGTTGCTGCTGCTGTCGAAGTGCGGGCTCGAGCCAAGCGCAAGCGTTCTTGGGGAGTTTTGCGCAGGTAAGGAGAAGGCGAGAAGGTGCGGAACGTGGGCGGGACTTGTGGAGCGTGGGTTGTGGCACGCGCTACGCTAGTGCAGCAGGCAGTCATGCCGCGCGAAGTGATGTGCAAACATATACCCAAATTGTCGAGCGTTTCTGGGCTGATTACCCGTTACGTAGATGAGAGGAAACGTTATTAGCTCTATCTGATCAATGCATGGCTGGCGCCGATTCGTCGAGTTAGGGTGTGGAGGCAGGGCGACAGCAAACGAGACGGCGATGCCTGCTCAGACACTCGGAACGCTGACGCTTTGAACTCCGGAATTTCCGTGCGCGGCGCAGCTTTCAATTCAACCCAGCAGACTTTGACTACGGAGTGGCAGTCTCGATCTTGGCCAAGGCCTTGACAGCCGCGCCTAGAACCGACTTTTCGCTCTGTTTGGCACTTCTTGGCGAAGCGCCCGTCGACGTTCTGAGTGCCAAGCCCGAGGAGGGCGAGGGAGCAGCAGCAGAGTCGACGGACACCGGAGCGGACCCGACACCTGCAGACGCGGCCAGCGGGACTGACAAGTCCAAAGACGCTTCGAGCGCCTCTGCCACACAATCTTCGGCTGGTCTGATCACCGATGCGCTCATCGTGAAGCTGGCGAAGCTCAATTCCCTACTGCAAAGCGCCAAATTCAGAGAGTTTTGGGCTGCTCTGGCAAATCCAGAGAATGAGGATGTTGCTGGTGTATTGCAAGGCTTGACCAGATTTGACGATGCCATCAGAGCTGTGGCACTTTACAACGTCAAGGGCGCATTCAGAGCCATCAGTCCTGAAAGGCTCGCCTCTTACCTCAACCTCAGGGGTGAGTCTGCGCACGCGAATCAAGAGCGTGCGTTTCAAGTGCCACTGCGACTGTCGCTGATGCCTCCATCACTCGCATCCTGGCTGGCAGGCTCGGAATTATCCAACTTCATCTCGAAGCAACCAGGCTGGGTGCTGGAAGGTGGAAAGGTCATTGTACCTGCCAACGTTGACAATGACATCAAAGCGACTGTCATCAGAGAAGACTTGCAGCTGGATCGTGAGTCTACAGCGAGTTTGACCGCGTCCTTCCCTCTGGTGATCAATGGCTCACCAGGCGATCTCCTTTCGCGTCTAGAATTGACAAAGTTCCTGTCTCAGGCTCAAGCTGCGTAGAACCAACGACCGCACAGTGTTGCCGCAACGGCAGAGCACGTGTACTTGTACTTGAACCAAAATCGAATCCTCTTTCCACACGCTCAACGATTCCAGTCTTGCCTGTCTCCAGGCACAGTGTGCCGCTTGCTCAGAAGTCAAGGACTGCATAAACATAAATTCAGTGATACAGGACAAGCTCATGTCAGATCAGCCAGACTGCAGCGAAAGGCAGTGTGCCGGCACGCCCTCCGTCCATTGCATTGACCTCCCAAGCCTCCTCGTTTCGAGATGCGGACTCGACCACGGCTTCCACAGTGGACTCGGCTGCCTCCACCAAATGTTCGCCGAGCGTCACATCAGCAATGCCGTCAGATCTGGAAGGCGTCGCGACAGCTCGTGCAGAGCTCAGCAGCAATCTTGCACCATCCAACATGACAGACGTGTGCTGCACATTCTGGTCTGGTAGATAGTCCTCGAAAGCGTGGTCGTAGTAGATGAAAGGCCGTTCCTTCTCCGCCCACCATGTCCTGAAGATGGCCACCTCTTTGCCACCACCTCGAGTCATGATCTCTTCGCGCCTCGAAGATCTGCTTTCGCTATCGGCGGCTGCCTGTGGAGGTGTGAGATCGACGAATCGAATGTAACCTGCCGTCTGACGAGCTGTCCGCCAGATCGCTACCATGCGGAATCCCGAGGCGCTGGTCTCTGCGACGGGCGCACCCTCGCTGATACAAAGCGAGAATCGCGACATGTTGGCCTTGACCCACGAGGCATCTAGGATCGGGTAGGTCGGCTGGCCAGGTGTGTAGAGGGCCAAAGCTGTGCCAGGATAGATCAGATCCAAGAAGGACTCGAGCTCGGCTTGCCAGATCATGCCTTCTACGCAGATGAGCATCAGTGCGTTTCGCCTCTGGCCTCGCAGATTCGACTTGTCGCCGATCGAAGCTCCGCACTTGATGTAGCTCAAGCCAGGCACAGGTCTGGCCCGGATGGGCAGACGAATCTCCGCAACAAGGGGCTGACTCTGATGCAGATTGTAGATTTCCAATGTGCTCCCCCAGTCCAGACCGTGATCGCTAGTGGCCGGAGCGGATCTGATGAGCATCAAAACGGAATCTGAGAGCAAGTGTGCGCAAAGGAGGCGTTGACTTGAAGAGATGACCTTTGGAGCCCAAATGAGGGGCCAAGCAGTCCTGATCTCCGAGTTAAAATCATCCTCCCCTTGCCAAGCGAGTCGCCGAACTTCAGCCAAATTTCCTTGCCGCAAGAGCACAGAAGAGCCATGGACCTCCACCCTGACCTCGCTGGGATCGAACAAGCTCGGCGCCTGATTGAACGACTTTAACAAACGGCCGCTCCTTAGCTCGATGGCGTTCACACGAATCTGCCTCAATACGTTTCCCTCAACATCGGTACCTCTCCTCCGCACAGAGACGGTGACTGCCATGTCGGCCTTCGCATCGACCGAATAAGCACTGGCGGGCGAAGGTAGATGTATGCCGGTGATGCTCTCCACACGCTCCTCGGAGGGCGGTGCACAGATCTCGTCGTCATCCCTCGCGATACGTGGGGCGAGCTGCTGAGCAAGCAGTAGACTTCCGTCCATGGAAAGATCGTACACCTTGTCCCTGCGCAGCAAAGGTGTTCCTCTGGGTCTGGCTCCATGCGGTGTGCCTTCGTACCTGGAGGAGGAAGGACCAAGCAGTGCTGCATCGCCTGATTCGGGAACCGCGTGGGGCCAGCTGGAGCTCAAGAGAGCTCTGGTCGCATGTTGTAAATGCGTCTCGGCAGCCTCGTCGACGGACAAGCAGAGACGAGTACGTGCTCGGAGATAGCTGACTCGTCTTGATGAGTCGGTGAAGCGCAGAGCCCTGCACGTCTGTGTTGTGCAATCGGACAAGCAGCACGTGAGCAGGCTTGCGATGCGGACGCCGGAAGTGTCACAGGAGCACACTCACTTGAGTCAACTTGGCAGCATCGCAAAGTCGACCCAAAGACAGGAGGAGGGAGATGAGGGCTTCAAACAGCTCCAGAGGTAGCTCCAGCAAGCTTGCCATCCCTTCCCCACTCGCTCGCCACCTTCGAGCAGAATGCAATGCCCCTTGTGCTTCGTTGCATCGAAGCTGAACTCTGATCCGAAACGCTGTGTAGCCACGAATCGCGATCTGCACGATCTAATTCGTTGCTCGACTCTGACTCTAGCTTGTGAGGCTACCATCGGGTGGTGGAAATGACGTGTCTGCGAACACAGAGGGGCGAGACTCTCCCCGAGGAACCGGTCCCTCGGGGAGTGCCAGCCTGCGCAAAATCTCGACCGCGAGTCTAGCCGCGCGCGTAGCGCGGTGGCTTGCAGCGAATTCCTCCACCCAGTATTTCTAAAGTGATCAAGAGCCGCTAGAGAAGTCGTTGGGTCGCTCGAGTCGGTAACGTGCCTCAGGCGCCTTAAGGAGCGGCTCAGTGAAGTCGAGCTAGACGCTGGAAACAGGCAAGCACCACAGTAGTGATTTTGACTGACCTTGAAGGAGGAGTGTATAGCAATGACAATACGTGATCTGAGGGAAGCTTGGCGAACAGTCGAGCACCAAGACAAAGGAGACTGGGTAACATTTAGCTCGTATCGTATGGCTCGCGACCACTCTACCAAGCACCCGCCAGAGAATCGAGTTGAAGAAGTACGTACGCCACATATGCACCCGCTGGATGAGGCCAGACTTCATCATCGATCTTGAGTCGCTGCGAATTTGAGAAATTTCGTCCGTCGATCGGGCGCCCAGCGCCACACAAGATGCGGCCTCGTATCATACAATAACTATCACTCACAATGTTGCAATCAATGCTATTTTCTTTAGGGGGCTACAATCACAATTTTTGAAGACCTGCCAAGTATATAGACCGACTGCTGTTGATGGATGTCCCCGAATCGAGGTCCGCGTCTTCGACTTGCACCTTGCAATTGCTTGCACGCTCTCTCACCACGACTCAGCCAAGCAAATTTCGCACTCGGGCCACCACCATAATACGTCTGTACCCACACGGTCAAAAAGTCGGCCATGAGCGGTTCAAAGCTCAAACGTCACTTGCCGCTCCCTCCCAGGGGGACGCCGCTCATGGACCAACCGATCAACGCGCAGGAACTTCTTGAGGCGTGCGAGGATCGACGAAAAAGACAGAATAATAAGAAAGAGGAGGAACTGCCATGTTTCGACGTGAATGGGTTTCGCCCGATCAATATGAATGGTGTCTTCACCTCTGATGAGAGGCCTGCCTATACTAGTAGTGTTGATGGACAGGTGTCTATTCTTCATACGGACAACAACGGTGACGTAATGCTGAAACTGCAAAGCATTGCTCCTGAAAGCCTCCTGCAATTGGATTCGCCTAAATTTGAACTACTGATGGGAAAGCTTATCAAACTGGCAGAGGACCCCTCTTCGCCGTATCAGACAAAGTGGCTCCGAGTGAGGGCTTCGGCTTCATCAACAGAAGGAGAGCGCAGCAAATCAAGGAAATCGCAAAAGTGGATCGCAATCGCTGTCTCGCCTGCGGCGGGACTTGCGCTGCACTGCCTCTCGAAGGCCGCCGAAAGGGAAAGGGAAAATGCAGATGCAGATGCAGATGCAGATGCAGATGCAGAAGTAAATCCATTTCCAACTTTGTTTGCCCGAATCGTATGTTGTCACCCGGCAGAGATCGGGGCCCAGGTTTTTCCTGCCAAGATCTCGTTCAATATCCTGTCGTCGACCACTCTCTTGCAACTACTACGCCACTCGGCTCCCACGAACTGGACTCCGGAGCAGAATCCACACATCTATTTGCGACATCAAGAACTCTCCGGGATGGCCTTGAGACACTACCTTCGCTTTCCACCACTCGCCTGCTTGAGACCCAGCTTGTCGAAACCAATGCAATGGCAACATCGATATGCCTCCGAGAGTCGCGATCTGCTCCTACAGAACTCGGCCCTCTTCCTCAAAGAAGTTGCTCGTCTTCTGATCAAGGTCATCTCCCGACCTCTGGTCGAACCAGAAACTTTGGACCAACGAGCGTGGCAAGCCTCCACGATTGTTGGGCATTCTTTCAGAGTGATGGAGCATTTTGCAAGTGAATTAGCTCGCGACAAAAACAAGCTGCGGGCCAAGCTAGAGGCACTTCTCGACGTTTCCAAAACGATGTTGGGTGGCGCAAGTTCTTCGGTTCCTGGAGGGAGTGCAGCCGTGACCGCAACCTTAACGATTGGCGGATACGTGGCCCAAAAAGTGGTCGAGACAAGAAGTGAAAGAGACGTCTTCGAAAATTTGAAGTGGCTTGCGGACGCGCTCAAACTTCTTAGCGAGCTTCTCAAAGCCCGGGTCGCTGCTGGCACGATGCGCATTGGTAGGGGCGATATCGCAGAAAGCACGGCGGTAGACGAGAGTGACCTTCAATCTGGGAAAGATTTTGTCGAATCTTACAGAGTGGCGCTTAGCTTCTTCCGTCAGACTCCGCTTCAAAAAGGTTTATACAGGGCGGTCATCCTGTGCCAAGACTAGTCCACAAGCTCCGCTCTTGTTTATGTATTTCTACTTCAAGTATTGGTTTCTACATTCAATGATTTGATGACAGTCTCACTGCTCGGCTCTATGGCTTCTGTCTTGGCCCCACGTAGGCTGCGCAATGGGTGGGGCCTGGCTCGGCGTAGCTCCAAGGCACCCATCCATCGAGAGCCCACCTGACGAGAAGCCGACAAAGGCATTTCCGAAGCATGGAGCCGACAAGGTGTCAAACGCAAGCGATGTGTTGCAGCAGCTCAGCTAGGAAGCAGCCAGGCAAAACAAATGTCTTTTGGCAGCTCAGCTCGCTGCCCTTTATTGCAAAGCGGTCAAGCTGTTGTGCGCACGAGAAGCCGGGCGTGTTGGCTGTGCCAGCAAGACTGTGTGAACAGCGGTGACGAGCATGTACAACATTAGCCCGTGATGCATTGCTACACGGATTCAAAAAGGGCCAGAGTGGTGGGTGACTCTGAGCGTCGAGAAAGCTGATACTGCATGGCTCCCATCAGAGGCCCGCTGCGATGCTATGTGGAGTCCGGCCCTGCCTGGTTCTGCTGTTGGAACGCGGGCATCCACTCTAAAGAAGGAGGCATTCAAATGTTACGTCAGTCAGGCATCCACCCTCTCGAAGTCGGACTGCAACTCACCTTCGGCCCACAGATGCTGTTGCGCGAAGAGTTGCTCGAAGGGATCGGATGTATTGCCGCCGTCCATCATGCTCGCAGGATCGAAGACGCTCCCTGTCAATTGGGGTGTGAAGCCCGTCGGTGCGTTGAAAGAAGACTCTTGTCCAAGGAAAGGCATGCCGGGCGACGTTGCGGAGCCTGCAGCTCCAGAAGGAAGGCCACCAGGCCCCAAAAAGGGTGTCAAGCCTGAAGAAGGGACATCACCGGAGCTTTGCAGGAACTGTTGGAACGCCCCGGCGCCAAGCTGCGAGTCCAGCAACTGCTGCGGGTCGCGCTGTGCGGATGGCGCTTCGCCTTGAGCGGATGCTGCTTTTGCCGACGTCGCTGACCATTTATCGGCGGACGCAGAGGGTTCGGCTAGGCTAGTCGCCCTAGCGGAATGAGGCGCAGGGCTCGTTACCTTTCCTGCCGCGCTTGTGGCTGGAGAATCGGCCTGCGAGTCTGCGAAAGCGGTCATCAACTCGCTCGTTGAGAGGGGCAGCGGCACAGGTTCTCCAACCGAAGAGCTCGAGGAAGAAGCGTTGAGAGTTCGACGCGAGTCTCCACTGCTCTTGATCTTGCGGCGCGAGCTCGAAGACTCGAAAGAGCCTTCCTCATCGTCAGATGCGTCGCCACCGCCGCCCGTTTTGTGGGGTCGCTTGAGGGCTGATCGAGGTACAGGCAGCTCGCTGACAGCGATCAAATGGTCCATCAGTCGGCTCATTTTGCACGCCAAGGACCAGTGCTTCTCTAATCCTCGCAAGACATCGAGGCAGCGACGTACGTCGGCCATCGTAGATGTCGAAGTCCTTGCCCCGCTTCTTTTCGCGCTCCAGACGACGAGAAGCAGAATGCAGCCTGCAGAAAAGGCGCGAAACAAGACTTGCAGACCGCCTCTCGGATGCAGCTTGCGCCGATACAAGTTGTGCAAGATATGGCAGATGGATCTGGCGGCGTTGGTGCAGATGGCCAACGATGGGTAGTTGAGTGACGACTTCGAGTTCGGACCCGGAATGAAGGGCCTGTGCACCAAAATTTGACTGTGGTAGTATTTGGTGTGGAGTAGGCTTGACTGAAGGAGCCACTCGTCGTTTGGCTCGTTGGCATTGTACTTCAGGTGCTGTGGTACTGTGCCCAGCCATTGGTTCAGCGAGGAGTCGATTTCAGCGACGATGAATTGGTCCCATTGGCGACCAACAAATCCCCTCGACACTTTCGCCTTCCCAATAGCGTAGATCGTTCGCAGGGTGCGACCAATGATCTGATCAAGACGAATGGACGCGACAAAGCCAGCAAGAAGGGAGGGCTTCTCCACCGGCTGCGAAGGAGGGTTGCCTGTTGCAGCAGCGTCGATGAGAAACATGTCGTCGACAGCGAGCGGTTCGTCCACATCAAAGTCTTCATCCTGGATACAGACGGGTCTTCCGAGACCAGCGCTGAATTCTCGATCGAGAGAGTAGGTCACCCACCACAGTCGCCTATAGGTTTCAGTGAGCAATAGAGGATGCTTGAGACGCTGAGCTGTGACTTTGCGGTGGGCTCCCACGTCCTGAAGCAGACGAACCGCTACGCTGAGTACTGCCCATGCTAGGGTGTTCGCCATCGGTGTCCCAAGCATGAAAATCGTCGCGAGCACAATGTTCTGGGCATGCTCCAGTGTCGCGATGCCACCAAAAACGCGTTGTCCGATGTGCCGCTGTGCCAGCCACCATTGCAGACCTGCAGTGTGGTACGTCTCTCCACCTGCACGTTCGTTGGGGTTCAAGCACACGCGCGAGTCGTCGACGTATCGACTAGCTACTGCGAAGAGGCCCAGACAAAGGGCAACGAAGTCCGGTCTTCTGCGCATGTCCGGTCGGTTGTCAAAGTCGTGCCGGAACTTGAGCTCGTTGATCATGGGATAATCGAGGTGTGGCCGCTTGAAGTAAGCGTCGATGAGCTTCTTCTCCAAGTCCGGCTCGGGCCAGTCTAGCGCGTCTATCTCCTTTTCTGAGAGCTGCTGTGTAGCTGCCGAGGGAGTGAAGAAATCGTAGCCATCTGGGTCTTTCGCGCTCTTCATGGCGTTGGCTTCGCCCCAGATGCCCCTCTGCTGAAGTCGCTGATCGTCTCTGCTCATGCGATCGAGGAGGTCGATGAGATGGAAGTCTGAGGCCTTGCCCAGGAACTGACTGGTGACGCCCTGAGGTGGTCCGTCGGGTCCTGGTACTCCACGAGCGCTGAGCCACTGGAGGCGTTCGTCCTTGATGGATGTCCAGTGCACCTCGCCGATGCGGCGCTTCTCCACTTCGGACGCATCTGCACAGAGACTGGTCCCGTTGAGAGCCTGCTGTATGAATGCGACTTCGTCTTCATCTTCTCCCTCGCTTGCTGTATCGCGACCATTTGTTGAAGACACTCGATGGTGTGACACGGGGCTCGGCACAAGCGCGCCGCTTCCCGTCAAGGCGCGATCCAGATGGGCAGCCTGAGCCTGACCCTGTCCTGGAGCTGCGGCTCGCCCGGTTTGGCCTTCGTCGTCCTCTCCCGGCAGCCGAGGCCGAGGCCCAACGCGCTCAGAGTAGTCGACGCCTGGCGCCAACTGCGTCAGCAATTCTTCCATCCTATCCATGCGCGCCTCGAGGGCATCGACGTATCTACGGATGAAGCATTTGATTGATCAGAGCCCGCTCGCTGCTTCCTAATTTCGGCTGAGAAGTGTGCACACTCACGCTCTTGGAGGAGGCCGACGCTTTGCGGCATCCAAGAATGTGCACTCGTGTCCATAGGTCGCGCTGCAAGAGGCGGCATACTCCAGATCAGTCAGCCTCGACTTCGGTTGGCGACGATGAAGGCAGCTGCTGCGAGCTCACCAATTTGTACACTTTGTCTCGCCCTGACCGAGACCATTACACTTGACCTTCTTCTTGCGGCAGCCTGCAGCAGCGAATCGACAGTGAGAATGTGCGATTACCGGTCAGAAGCGAGCTCATCACCTTGCCAGCGCTATCCTTTTCCACACTCACTGTCACAAGCGCGCTGCACTCGGCGCCTCTTTCCATCAGCATCCTCGTCTTCCCCATCCTCCACCACGGCAGGGCGTGTCGACTCATTTGCGTCGCTCGCGTTCCTCGTGTGCCCATTCTTGGTCTTCTTCTTGGTAGAAGTAGGGCCTTGAGAGCTGCCCGGTGCAGCATGCTCTGGTCCAGAGCTGGGCCCTTGCGGTACGGAGCCCAGCATGTTGATGTGGTTCTGGTACATTTGTTGCTGCTGTTGCTGGTGCAACGGTGAGCCAGGATAAGGGTTGGTAGCAATGACTCCGTAGCTATAAGGGTCGGCCGAGACTGCTGGATTGGCTCCAAAGTGAGGGGCACCATAGTCATAACTTGGTCCAGGATTGGGAAAAGCTCCTCCGCTAGTCTGATCTTGTCCATGTTGTTGATCGGGCCCGTCAGGTTGGCCTTGGCCAAAGCCGGAGTACTGAGGATGAGCAAAGTTGGCAAAGCCGCTGCTACCCGGCTGCGCCATGTTGCGCGATCACTCTTGCAAGAGCTGCCGACGACGCTGATAGATCTCTGTCAAGGCGAGTGCAATCGCGCAGGTGGGCACCGCCTCTGCGCCCCTTTGATGCCCAAGACCTCGTCGTGGTGGCAATGTGATTGTGACGTCCAAGAATGAGCACAGTGCGGATGAGCTGTGACCGAAGCGCGCCAACGCCAACGCTTTGTGATGCGCAACGTTTTTCCGTGTGGAGGGGGTCTCCGACCGCTTGAGGATCTGGAGAGGAGCAAGCCGAACGCTTGCGCTTCAATGAGAGGGCAAGGAGCAGTTGATAGAACGCGGCAGAGCAGGAGATCGAGGGCAAAGGGGAAATCGCGTAATGATGGAAATGGATAAGGTAATTGTGGTGCGGTGTGAGGGTAGTGATGGGAGGGTGGGTCGTTCAATCGTGGCTTTGCATGCATACGAGTGGACTTCGTATATACGTGACTGCTGCATGCGTGTGCGTGTACCGCGCGATGACCGGGCAGCATTTGAGGTGTCATGCGCATGCGCATGTGCGTGCGTGCGTGCGCGCGCACCTCACCCGCAGCCACAGCTATTATATGTCTACATATTGCAGGGATGGATGCCCGCTCGCTCGAGCCTCCGGACGACGAAATAGTCATTCAAAAGTGAGCGAATTCGACCTGTTTCTTACGCTGCAACAAGAAGCGAGATCACGATCACAATCGCGTAGCATGCTTGGCGTGTTGTGCGCGCCAGCATCCAATTTGAATAATAAGCTTTCGCGTTGGGCATCGTCTTTGCGCCCAACCGCGGCTTTCGCATCGTCTTCAGGTACGGCATACCATTTGCGGACAGCGGACGCAAAGCCTCGCGGAGCTCCGCCAAGCGCACTCAGCCGTGATGGCGTTGACTTGGAAGTGTTGAGAAGGCGAGTCGCTGACAAGCACGCATTTTGATTGTGGCTCACCTTCGATGGCCTTCCTCGATCGGTCCACGTCACCCTCCTCGTGCGCACAATGGAGCAAATCCAGGGAACGGGTACCGATGAGAGGGCCGAGCAGCTTATCCTATACGTACTCTTCTGACTTGATTATTATTATTGCTACACATTGCGTCACATTACGCGCCTGGAGTGCTAAATTGATGGGTATTCAGCAGTGATTCGGATGAAGACTCGATCCGCGGTAGACCGGCAAGCCGAGGCAAATGCTCACAAAGTTCGGGCGGGCCATATAGGGCTTCCAGCCAAGCAGCAGCAGCTGTGCAAGCGTGCTCACTCACAACTTGCTATAAGCAGCCAAGGCACAAGACCTCACAAAGATGTTGAGACTCGAGAATCCGCGGAAAAGAGTCACCGAGCTTTGTTGCTGTCCGCCGCGTACAGGATCAGTGCGCAAGCGCTGCCAACGGCCGCAATTCTTCTGAATCTTGAATGTGAATGAGCGTTTCCAGGCCCACTAAGCGCTGAGATTAGTCCGGTGGCTCGGCCGATGGTCAATGTATACAAGCACCATGCAATTAACATAACCTGCCCGCACTCTTGACTGCATGGCGACCGCCATCCTCACGGCTCAAAACGGTCGCAAGGGGTCTCCGCGAGCGCGGTTCCGGTACCGGTATCGTTTAATTGGAGGAGAATTCAGCAAGGCGCGCGATACGCGGCCGCTGATGCGCAGCATATGTATGATGAGTGCATGCTTGCTGGTATTCGCGATTAGATTTGGGGGGACGCGCGCGCGCTCGCTCGGCGTTGCTCACCCGGCCGCATGCAGCGAAGACGAAAAGCGCAGAGAGACGCATTCACGATTTGCCATACATCAGGTAGGTAGGTAGGTGCATGCTCTGGTATATAGATGGCAGGTATAGGTGGTGCTCGCAAGCTCTCCATGCAGCACTCACGATTCACGATTGACTGCGCAACAAAGTGAGGACCTGCTGCTACTCGAGCAGCGCTTAAGTGCGGGGCGTCCAAAGAGAAGCCTATACGCTTCATAAGCCCGGGCCTCTTGGCTTTTCTGACTCGACGTTCACATGACGCGCACGATCGAGCAAAGGGAGGGGCTGCTGCACCTTCATGCACCTGCACAGCCCGTCAGCTGACATCGAGGTCGAAATTGCTCGGCGGGCGTCCTCTGTGCAAAGTTGTTGTGGAAGTCGTGGATATATGGATCGTGAACGCGAGTCACAGTGGGTCTGCTTACACAACGGCAATCTATAATCGTGAATGAATGGACTCTGGTCGTCCGGCTGCTGCGCTTGGTGCGGAAGTCGCCAAGAAGGCCCTCCCTCGTGTGATGCGTCAACTTGGTCAGCACGAAATCAAATCTCATTCGTCGAGCTCAGCATAGCCCTTTGCGCGGGAAAGTTGCACCAACCGATTGCCGAGTCGTGAGCTGAGGGCCAGCAGGCGTGATGTCGTGAGACAGCGCTTGCGAGGTGTGAATAAGATGGGCACAGTGTGAGACCTACCTCATCGAAAGGTCTCGGTGAGGGCAGAGGATGCAGCATGACCTTACGACTCGCGTGTTGAGGCAAGAAGGTCTAGGCCTCCAGATCGCCGGCGAGTGGTTATCGAACCATGAAGTCCACTCGACATGCCGCGCCTCGCCGCTTGCCGCCAAGCGCCTGCGCCTGCGCCTGCACCCGCGTGAAAAGCTCGCAGCAAGACGTGACACTTCGTCGACACGAGTATAATAATGGAAAGGCTCATGCTAGGACGGATTGAGAATGCGTCTCTTTGTTCGATGAGGGAGATCACAATGAGATCTAGCATGTCGCAGAGCTGACGAACAGGACGCATACTACAGTGTGGGCAAAAGGGAAGGGACCAAAAGGCAAAGTATGGTCCTTTACGCGTCACTGACTTCTGGCTCCTCCACGATGGTCTCGGCGGTGCGACTATTTGCACGGTCAACTTCGGCCTGCGCGAGCTCTTCTGGAGATTTCGCCTTCTGAAGTGCTGGATCACGTTTTGATAGATCTTCAGACACCACGGACGAAGAGGTGTCTTCGCTGGTATTCGAGCTCTTCAATGGCTGATCTTCGTTGTGCTTCCGCTCAGCTCGGTCCAAAGCTACCGCGCTCTCGGTGCCGCTCTGAGGAGCTTTGCCTGCCTTATCAGCCGTGGGACCTTCCAAGTGAGCCAGAGAGGTAGCATCTTCATCCTCCTGAACAACCCTCTCGTTGAGATCGGACTTTTTGGTGTGCTCAGAGTTTGCATCGTCTAACCCATCGGACTTCTTCGATTCCTGGATGTCGTCTCCTTTGCTCGTGTGATCTTGTCCAGTCGACGAAGGATGGTCCGGATTCTCTTCTGCTACATTCGAGTCCTTCTCGATGGCTGCCTGATCCAGGCGCATATGCCGCTCTCGGACCGACAAGACGACATCATTCTTGACCCGAGGCAGAGCAGGTAAGCGCAATCGCTTTCGTGCAACCATGACGCTGCGCGGCAGCAGTGAAGCGGGACCGGTCAGAGCTGCAGTGGTCCGATTTATTCGGGCAGACATGCGATCGGACTCACGGGACTGGACTCTTTTGCACCAAGTAATGCGATGTAGACCCGAGCAGGATGCCTTTGAGAGAGCCCAGGCCTCTGGATCCGACAATGCACATCGTAGGCGAATAGTAATCCAAGAGATCGCAGATCATGTGCCTTGAGTTGCGCTACCATAAAGCAATCAATTGGCAGGGATGTAGGCCGCTGAGCTCTCAATGCGAGCTGCGTCTACTCATACTCATACGATCGATGCGTATACTCACCGCATGTATCGCTTGGCAGCTGACTTTGACCCCGAGTCTCGTGCGCTGAAGCACAGCAGTGGCCTGACGAGCTAGAATGACTGCCATTGATTGGCGCTGATGGAAGGCAAGCGTGGCACGGTTAGCGACGTTGATTTATCATAAGTGTCACTGGCGCTGGGGCGTTGCCTTCTGGGCCACCTACAAGCTTCTGATTCTCCTGACGGGCAGACTTGTCTTCATGCGCAGGATTTGAAGCATCCACTACATTCAAATGTGTCAAAATCAGCAATGAAGCGATCCTCGGGTGATGTTCGAGCCCACCGCTCACATTTAGCATCCGTCTCCATGACCGAGCACACGAGAGTCTCTGCAATAGGGGTGTGTCTGGTCAAATGAGATAACATCCCCTTCCTTCCAACGTTGTTGCTACGCTCACCGTCACCATCGCGCAGCACAGTGCCTATGCACCACTCGATGGCATAAGATGCTTCACTGAGAGAGATAGGGTGCAGTTGGCGTCGCGTCAGAGAGTCGATTGGCGATTTAAGGGCGTATGTCCGACTTGCACTCACTCCGATCCGTCACTTGCCACGACATAGCGCTTTGGCCTCTTGTTCTGACGAGCTGCCTCCTCGTACTCTCCGTGAACCAGCGTGATTGTGCAGCGATTCCTTTCAAATACTGGCCTACTTGCGGTCAGAGCGTGTTCGCCATCAAGCACTTTACTGCCCTGTCGTTTAGGCTTGGGTGGCCTTTGCGCCTCCCCTAGGACGACGTTGGGAGCTGCCGCTAAATGCTCGTCATCCTCGTGAGCAGCATTGTCGACTTCGCGAGCACCAATCAGATCGGAGCGGTGCTCATGCTCTTCGTCATGTTTCCAAGCGTCATGTAGTCCGATGCACCCAGCGTTGTGTAGCGTATTGTCGATCGTCTGACCGCACGCAAAGAAAGTAATCAGGATGTCCACCAACACAGCTTCGGAAGAACACTCCTGCGCAGGCAGCGAACAGTCATGCGTGCCTGTTGCTCAGCAGACCACTCACCTCGTCATCGAAGTCGATGTAGTCGTCCTCGTCCTCCTCATCGTCTGTGGTCTCATCGCGGCTTTGCTCCGTATCACTCTTTGGCTCTGCGTCTGTTCCGTCTGTATGCGGCTCAGAAGGTGCCAGTGCTGACTCAGGGCTGCCGCCTTCTGGCCTCGCAACGTTCTCCCATTCGTCATCTTCCGCTTCGGCGTCCGAGTCAGCGCTGAAAGCATTGTTCCGAGGCGTCAAGCCCCGCCCTTTGCGAGATGACCCAGATGTGACGCTGTCGTTGTCGCCCTCAGCATCCGTCTCCTCTCCTCTGCTCTCGTCGCCGCTTTCAGGATCTACGTCTCCAGCAGGCACTCCGAGCGTCTTACTCTTGTCCCGACCACTGCCTTTACTTCTGCTCCTGCTTGTTCCCGGCAATGCCAATGCTCCGATGCCGCTACCACTATTGCTGCGCTTGTGCGAATGATGCCTGAAAGGACTCAGCGATCTTGCGGTAGCTTTCAGCTTGTCTCGCTTCCTGCCAGGCTTCCCAGACTGCCCATCTTCCGCAAGGGCACCGATGTGCCATGGCATGTGGGGTCCACTCGAGGGTGCGCCCGCAATGGCGATAGCAGGCAATATTGCACCGGCGAGGGACGAGGTCGAATGAGAATGCGAGTGCGACCTGCCAAGAAGCTGCTGCGTGAAGGAGCCCGTACCAGAGCCAGAGCTTCGAATAGAGGCCGAGTCAGCGCTCTTTGAAGGGCTGCCCATGGCCGCAGCGGGGTCACTGGTCACCTTGTCTTTGGACGGGGCGTCGAGAGCTGTAGCTGCTGGCGATCTCTGTGGCCGATCTATGCTGGCCGCCGCGGCTTTAGGACTAGCGACCGATGAGTCCATCGAGCTGCCTTGCTCACTCAGGCTATCGTCAACAGGCATCTTTTTGCAAACTGCGGCAAATGATTGGTTGGAGCTGCAAGTTGGAGTTGACAGTAAGCGAGGAGGTATGTCATATATCACCAGCCAAAATGGAGGCTTGCAAGTCAACAGTCAAGAGCCAAAGGTGTTATCGCAGCAGCTAGCAAGCCATGATGCAGGGCGGCATCTCCACAGCTTTTGGTCCTTTCAGCGCTCGGCAGGTACACGCGTTTGATACATGACCGGAGTCTTGGCACCACGCGTCACGTGGACTGCCCAAGCCTACACACAGCCTAGGCTCATTTGGAGACTCGATGTTGAATCAAGACTCTTGATTGCGAGACGGAAGTAGGTCACAAGCTTGAACAAATTGGCCATGGTTCGACGTGCCTACAAGATCGCTCGCTTCTGGAGTAGCGTGTGAAGCGCAAAAGATGGACAAGATGCATCATGACGCGCAAATACTAGACCGTCGCGAACGCGTCCAATGCCTGGGACATGCCGTGAGCGAATTGCCAACTATGCTCCTTGCCGTTATCATGGTCATGTTGTAAGAGACGAGCATGACACCACTGGTTGCGGAAGCCGACTGCACTCCTTCCAAAAGACCAAAAGGTGTGAGCGTCAACAAGTCCTTGTCGAAATCCTTGCTTGAAGCGCCAGCTCTGCGAAAGAACTCCACGATCATGCTGAGACCAGTATGATTCGTGCGATGATGTGGCTCGCTCTTGTGCTGCTTGCAGTGTACTTGATGGCGGTGCTGCAGAGCGAGTCTCGGAGAGCACCTTTGGCAGTACACCAGCTTCTACGGCAGAATACAGGCACCATCCAGCACTGCGAAAGAGACATCGGTCACATTGGGAAGATGATAGTGCGCGGGTACGACGGTTTACTCACTCTGGCGGCCCCTCTTTCTTCAGAGTCCAGAAGTACCAGCCAGCTGTGTTTCGATTGTAGCATTGTATTTGCGCTTGTGCCCACTGAGTCTGTTTGGAAGTTGCGCTGGGCGCATCGCTGCCTCCAAAGCTTCTAGGATTGAGAGCAGCACTCCATTCTCCGATGATCAAGTTCCCACCTCTGATGCCCCCACCCTTCCCACCAGCTGCCCTACTGGACCAGCTCTCGAGGGCCTGATGCATGTGACCGTGTGGATGGGACATGGTGCTCGCATGTTGTTCGGCAGAGGTGCGATGATCTGCATCCGTAAAACACCGATAACAGTGATGATCCAGCACAACAAAGTCGTTTCGTTGCGCCAGCCAGCCCGAGTAGTGATTCGCATCCCAAGCGTCGCCAATGTAGATGGGAAGGTCGATATTCTGCTTTCGGATAGCATCCAGAGCGCGCTCGTACCATGCCTGTAATCTTCCGTCGTTCTTCGGTTCATTGAGCAGCTCCAGACCTATGACATTGTCGTACGCGGTGTCTGAGAGTCGCTCTGCAATCCGCGAGAGTATCTCGATCGTTCTTTCGCGATTCCAGTCTGCTCGAGAACCTCGCCAGAACGCAACCGGCGCGCCAGACAGACCCGAGTGTCCGTCAGCATTTTGCCCGCCTGGAGCGCAATGAAGGTCGATTAGCACGCCAATCTGGTGAGTCGCAGCTTTGCGAATAATCTGATCTACGGACGTCCATGCTGTCCGGTAGATCTGCGCAAAATTTTCGTACTCTGTGCCGCGCAGCAGATCGGGCGCTTGGCTTGCTGCGAATGCCGCGTATGAGATAGGCAGCCTGATCGTGTTTATGCCGTGTCCCCTCATCCATTGGAAGTCACCATCGTCGACGAACTGTTCCCAATGCTTCTGCAATCGATTAGACGAATCCGCACTAGTCGCACTGAGCAGATCCATCTCGCTAGAGGCGCTTACGATACCGATGAAGAGGGATGGAACGAGCCATGGTTCGAGGGCAAAGAGGGAGCCAAGATTGACACCATACTGTTTGCGGTGACGATAGATGCCCCTGACTAGAGCTTTGCGCTCATCGTCACTCGCAGCTTGCTCTAAGCTGAGCGCTAGGCGAGAGCCTGGCAGTACAGTCGAATCTTTCATCTTAGGTGATGCGCGAGATGCCCTCGACTCCTCGAGCTTCTGTGCGGCTTTGCGAATGAGCTACCGCAACACGCAAAGCAGGGCCCGCGCGCCCAAGCATTGCGGAAGACAGACGATGCACTCAAAAGGTCAGCGTTCAGAGGGTTTTGGATGAGAACGCTGTGCAGCAATGGGTCGCATCGACTTACGCTACTCATTCTGTGGTCGCTCTTAGCTGACCTCGGCTTCCTGTTTGAAGCTTCACCTCAGGGGCAGCGCCACGAGCCTCGGCCTGGCGCTTCCTAGAATTTTGTCCCGTCTGATGTGTGCAGAGAAGATCATGCTGGTATAAAGCTGATTGTACATCTTCCTTGGGCAGCGATGCCACCAGTGGTAGTGGTGATAGAAAGTAGTCTTGAGTATGTAGGAGCTGAGCAGGTCAGGCTATCGTTAACCAGACCTTCAATTTTAGGTGGATTCTTCGTTTGGGCACTTTTAAATCGTGAATACGACTCTTGACTTTCAATGTCGTGCGCACTGCGACTCACAACCGAAGAAGTATTGAATGCAGCAGGGCGTGAGCGCCACGCTTGCGTTCATCACGTGTCTGCTGCATGTATGCAGCATGCAGAGGGGAAGAATCAAAAATCAAGAATCAAAATCCAATTTTTTGACTTCACCTCGAATTCATGAATTCTGTTGCTCGCCCGACCCTTGCACCAACGAGCATCACACACACACACTCTCTCTCTTTCCCTCTTAGACCCTCGCCGAGAAGAAGTGTGGCCGCGATGCGCCCTCAAGCTCAGGCACTGCCTGCGGTGCAAGCGCTTCGGGCTTTCATCCAGCCACGTTCGTTTTCCATAACGACCACGAGCGCGATAGGCGCTGCGGCATCATCGTCAAGCCAAGCATCATCTCTAAACACACCCTCATGTTTTCTTGCATTCGCTCAGCTCTCCAGGGTCAAACACTCTTCACGCTCGCGATCAAATCTCTGCAGCTGTCGAGCCTACGCAACCGCTGCCTCTGTTCGTGATGTAACTCCGAACACTCCACTCATCGAAGACCCTGCGCGACCTCCTCTCAGAAAATTTGTAAAGCGATGGCAGGTGAGAGCAGTCTAAAAGACTATATACCATGCAGCGTCATCGCCGTCGCTCATCTATGCTCATCCCACCACTCAGCGGCTTGGATTGAATCCGATACTTGCAGAGCAGGTGCTGCAATCCTTTCCGCACCTTCACGATCCAACCGCAGCGCAGAAAGAGCTGCTGGCTGCGCTTTACAAGCCCGCCGACGTTCTCATGCGAGCACATACAGGCACAGGGAAGAGCCTCGGCTTGCTTCTAGGCTTGATGGCCAAGCCTCGTGTCGCATTCAAACGCCCTTCTTCCTCTTCCAGCAGCTCCTCGGCTGCGCCTGGCGCAAGGGAAGAGATGGTGAAGCACGTCTCCGCTTCGCTGCTCATCGTCCCATCGAATGACCTGGCGCAGCAGTATATGCGATGGGCTCGACAACTTTTCCCGCCGGACCGATTGGCATCCCTCGACCCTGTCATCCAGAGTCAAGTACGAGGACGCAATCACGAGGGACTCTCACCCGACGAACAAGTCGAGCGACTCAGAAAGACTTCGCCACACATCATCATCTGCACACCCAACAGATTGTGGGAGATGCTCAACGAGCCAGCCACCGCGGTTTTGCTGCGCATTCCATCGCTACGAACCATAGTTCTCGATGAGGCTGATGCGCTATTGGACCTGCCCATCAGCCTACACCGGGGCAGCAAGTGGGCAGACAGCACACATCCCTCCACGTGCCTGTTAAGTCTCGACTGGATTTTTCAGCGTAGAGGCACATACTCCGGAGGGGAGCTTATCGCCGCTGCTGGCCTAGAACAAGGCCGGGAGAGGATGCTGGACGAGCGAAGACCGCCCAGTAGGGAGAGAACACAAGTCCACCGGAATCGTGACAAGAGCGAAAAGAGCAGATCCAAATTGATGTCCTTATCGCCGTCATCTACAGGCAAGGATGAAGGCGTGAGCCTGAGATTGAAAGGCAGGGATCCACTCCAGTTGGTATGCGTCAGCGCTACCGCTGGCTCCGTGCTGAGGCATTTCATGGGGGCAAGAACTGGCTGGATACGGACAGGAGTGGAGCACGAGGGGCGCAAGCTCGCTTATTGGGTTGATTGCACAGGCCTGTCCGCCGGTGCAGCTGGAGCGACAGGGCATTTGCTGCACACGCCCCTACAGCAAAGGATATGGAAAGACGAAGAGGCGGAAGTGAGGAAATCAGTCTCTGAAGTTGCACCCAGTGCTACGGCTTTGCCACCTGGCTTGACACATCACTGCGTTGTGGTCGATCCTACCTCGGCGCCCGAAGACATGGATCAAGCGGATGTATCTCACCAAAAGTCTGCCAGTGATGGACCTCTCTTGTCTATCAGAGACATGGCCCCTCGGCTCGCGAGAACGACAGATGTGGAAATGAGGGAACATCGTGGATCGCTCGTCCTCTCTTCGGTGCAACTTCAAGATCACGTCATCGACGAGCACCTGCTCGATGCTTTTGCACTGCTTTGGACCTCAAACATCGGAGAAAACCAACAAAGCATGACAGCGCAGCCCAGCACAGAAGCCCCTCACGGGCGGTTGCTACCTGGTCCGGGCCAAAATCTGCAGAGCCTCGTAGTCATTCCGAGCCAATGGTCGTTGAGAGGCGTCATTGGCAAGCTGCGAGAGCTCGGCCTGCCTGCTCAAGCGCTCGGAGACGCGACCTCGCAACCCTCTACGGAGTCGCTATACGTGCACGGATCTGCCTCTCTTAGAGGCTTGGACATACCCAAGCTAGAGCACGTCTACATCATTGGTGCTCAGGCCGTCCAGGACTCGCGACATTACGTGCACATAGCGGGACGCGCTGCAAGACTGTCTGCCTCTGCGATGCTTGAGCAGGCTCGAGACCCCTCGCGCAGCGAAGAAGCCCGCCATATGACGGCTGAAGCGCAGAGAAGCCGAGGACGCATCTTCACCTTGGTTCGAGGATGCGAGCCTGGTAAATCTGCAGCCATCGAGCGTGCACTCAAGGGCAAAGGCCAAGGTCCTGTCAGAGCTGCGAACCGTTCAGTCATCTTTTCCTCGAAGGAGATGTTCATGGCTCGAGTGTATCGAAAGGTCGGGGCGAGATGCACCTTGTTGCGAGGTGCTCTGCCACACGCTGCGCTTGAGCCCGCCAGCGAAGTTGCGGAACACGAGGAAGAGGGGGACACCGGCGAAGACGCCTTCGAGACTGACGTTCGGAGCGCAGAGGTGGAAAATGAATTGGTCCTGGAGGAGGACTTCGACTCCGCTCAACAAGACTTTTTAACGGGTGATACCACAACCGACACTGCCGGCGGCGCGGGACAAAGTCCGCTTGTCGGCTCCTTCAAGCGTCCTGGCGTCGTTGAGACTATTCATCTCACTAACGCAAAAGGCGAAACCTCTGGTGCAACGGAATCTTCGGCTACTCAAGCCGAATCACTCAATGCGGATTCCGAACAGCCCACCGACGAGCCAGATGTTAAAGCTGAAAAGTGGGAGGAGCAGCCACTGCGTGGAGACCAAGACCATTTGTCATCTGACGTGCGGGACTCGACATTCAAGGCCGGCGCATGAGCCGTGTCCCATATTTTGAGCGTGCGAGGCCGACCCACTTGTGAGGCCATTCCACGCAAGCTCCAATTTTGGTTGGGTGCCTCTTTTCCTCCCTACACTTGTACTCTTATCCGCGGCTCTGCCACACGTGCGAAGCCATCCGGTCGCAAAATTTCCGGAAGTCTGGGCCCTTCCTCGAGCCGAGTTTACGCACTGCAAATTTTTGTATTATACCTCGCACAATCGGCCAAGTAATAAACTTGGCGAACGAGTCACACCTCTCTAAATTTCCAGCACAGGGAAAATCGACTGGCATACACACAGGCTGAATTTGGCTGAAGCTTGATAGTATTTGTGCTGCAAGAGAGGCAAACGCTGATGTGCGCCGCGTACGGCCTGGTCGTCTGTGGAGCGGTACCAAACGCCTCGCCATCAGTCATCAAACTTGATTGTTCCTCCCGTCCAAGCTCCCCCCCGCGATGGCGCGGGGGGATGAGGTGCGCTCTGATTGAAAGCTGCCTGGCTCCTAGTCTGCACCCGTTGCGGTGTTGTGTTGGTCGAAGGGGACAAGGAGGTGCCTTGGAAGCGAGACTGGAGGCAAAGGGAGCAAGACGCGGTCAGCGCAATCAGAATCACGCGTTGGTAATCGGACAGGACAAAGGCGACGCAATACTGACAATGAGATGTGCAATGTCCATTTGACGAGCACGGTGCCATTCTTTGACTTCTTGCTTGAGTTCGCTCAGGATTCTCGCCAAGTCGTTGTAAAACTGAGCGGCCGAGCAACGAAGTGCGCGCGAGGAAGCAACGTCAAAAATGGGTCTCTTGAGTCAGGACATCCAATCTCGACTCACCCTAAGGCCTTCCTCCAGATTAGAGGTGATCTCCTTATACTTCGCAAAGCCGAGGTCTAGATTTTGCAAAGCTCCCTCTCTGCGCTTGATTTGAGCATCGGTTCTTCGCGCTGCGATGAAAGCCTCATTGGCTTTCTGTCGCCAGAGGGAGCAATCGAGGCGCGTGAGATTAGCTTGTGAGTCCCATCAGTCCCATGAGCGCCCCGCAAAAGCAGACTCTCACCGCTATCCTGTCTAGAAGCTGCTCTTGTACTGTGGCACCAGCCTCCAGCTCTTTCACGTACTTGTGATATCTCTCCAACCTCTGTTCGAAGATCGGCTCAAAAGCCGCAGGTTGGATATTGGTGTTGGAGCTCCAAGCAAGCCTTTGACTTCCGTTCGATCCTCCGACTAGAGCAGCAGCCTCCTTAATGATGTCCGGTCTAATGTCATCCTCTTTGGCTCGAGCCCTTGCTTCGGCTATAGAAGTTGCTCGAGCATCCTGCACGTCGTCGAGCTCCTCAAGTGCTTTGCGCAGTGAACGAACGGAGGTCTCGTGTGCGCTACTCTGCAATGCACTACTGGAGGAAATGTTCGCCGAGGGCAAGAAGGCGCTCAATGAGGCCTGGGAGGACGATGTCAGACTGGAAACAAGCTGTGCAAAGAAATGAGCTGACTTCCGAAAATGTTCGACTCACTTCACCGCTTGCTAGCACATCAATGATATCTTCCCAATCCTCAATCTTCTTCTGTACTATAGCATCGCTGCTCCTAGCACCTTGAAAGATGTTCCATCTCTCAACCGCTCGATTCCTCATTTCGGCTCCCGCAACATCCGAGCTCATCCTGATGCCCTCCCTCGTTACCTGATCGAAGTCTTCCCTCAACTCCCTATCTTCTCTCTCTTCCGACTCGAGGTGCTCAAAAATCTCGGCCAGAAGGCGCTCGTCCACCGATGCTATCCGTTGTATGTCATCAGAGATGGAGCGTAGACGATCGAGGCCGCCCGAGAGTCGGACCTCATCCGACTTGCGCAAGAGCGAGGACGGCAAGCCTTGCGGTTGCTCTAGTGCTTGCAGAGAGCCAGGGAGTGAAAGAGATTGCAGAGTGCTGACGAAAAACGCTCGGATGAAGGTGCTGATGAGCCTCGCTAGACCGGCTTCATCCGCGCGTCATCGACGATTCTCACCTCGCAGCGATGGCATCTAGTTCTTCCCTTCTGGCATTGAGTTCATCACGGACGTAAGAGTCCTTCCGGTCCTCATAGACAGATACAGCAACGTGGACAGCGTATGGCACAAGTTCTGCAAAGAGAGGTTTTCCTAATGCTGGAGTGACGTTGGTTCCTTCCGACAGATGTTGCAACGGCTTCTCCAATTCCGACGGAACTTTGGCTTCTACCAGACTAGCTCCAAGGATCTTTGGCAGATCTCCCGCCGAAGGAATGGCTTCCAGGTAGATCAGATCGTTGTCCTTGACAGCTCGGTGTAGATTGGTACCTATTACCGCTTGGAGAGAGCGGGCGTCCTCTGCAAGCATGGTGGACACTCCCTTAGAGCGGCAGGCATCGAGAGCTTGCTTTATATGCTGTTGTGCCAGCTGCAGCCGAGCAATTTCGGTGCCGTACCTACAAAATGTGACAGCTCAGTGTGTGAGCGCCATACCAAAAGCCAGGACAACTCGGCATGCTCACCGATTGGCTCCACCATCTTCGACACTCTTCCTGTACTGAGCAGCACCCGAAAAGTGGGCTTGCTTGGCCGTTATATGTGCTACCCAATCTTTCGGCAAACTTGCCGGCAACAGCTCCAATGCAGTCACGGCTTCGGGTCTAGCGCTAGAAGTAGCAGGCAAATCCGCAATTGGAGACTTGCAGCTTCCCTGAGCATGAGCTAAAGCGCTGGAATAGAATTCCTGTACTCGCAAGGCCAATCTGGCTATGGTACCATCTTTCAAGCGATCTGATTCCGTAAGAATGAAGAAGAGGGCAGACGGATAGCTCAGCACACTGCACATATCTCATCCCGGTCGAAGGTTCGATCGCGCACCTCGAACGGCTCTACTCCAGGCGCACTCTTGAGCCTGAGCGAGCATCAAGTCCCTCAACGCAGCCAAATTTCGGGGTGCCAGATCGAGATCGGCAGCCCTGGAGGTTCTCGCAATGTCCTCGCTGAGCAGCTCCGTGACAAGACTTAGCAATGCATTGAGAATCCCCGCCGCAATCTGTGCTCGGCGAGATTTTCGCAACGTGAGGGAAGGGGGCGAAAGCGCAAGCTGAACACATCGTCCGACCATAAAGTTGACCAATTGCGATCTGTGGCGCACTCACGCTGAAGCCTGAAATGGCTCTCTTTATGCTCTCATTGTCCCCCCTCCCTTCCCTCGCAGCCAAAGAAGAATGCAGAGCAGCCAAGCTCCAAAGCAGAGCGCACCTCTCATAGCTGATGGAGGGATGGACAGCGATTGTCTGTCCACTTGAGGAGGTGGTGAGGCTGGCTTTGATCAGATTGGTTTGATCGCGAGATGTGGAGGGTGAGGAAGGAGGGGAGATGGAAGTGGGAGGTCCATTGCTGGGCAGGGCAACAATCCAGCTAAAGGGGATCTGCACCTGTGCCGCGAGAAGAGGAACGGTCGTGACACCAGACGAGCGTGGATCAGCTCCATGCTGACCAGAACGACTTCGTCTTACTCCTGTACCACTTACATCAGCACCCGTCTTTGTGCCCAACCAGACGAGCTGCGCGTGATACTTGGCTCCTCCAAGCAAGCCAGAAGCGTGCCCGTCCAGACTGACTGCATCGTCCCTTATCCGCTGCAAGCTCTCCAGATCCCTCTTGAAGGCGCTGGGATGTACATCGGGAAAGCGGCTGGTAATGTACTCCTTGAGCGACGAGGTCAATTGGGATGTGGCCAGCTGGGATGATTTGCTGGGAAGCGAGAGCAGATTGGCCGGCATGGTGTCGTGCTAGCACGCGTTTCGAGTGCTGGCAGCCAACAGCGAGAAGACTAAGTGACGGGGGATCGGAGACAGTGAGGGACGTGCTCGCTTGAATGGATCAACCCCATGTCAACATTGAAGCAAGTTGCGTGGTAATCGTGAATCTTGAATGGAAACGGCAAGGACGCAAGGTAACAGCTGGGTGCGTGAGCAGACGTGGAGGGCGGGCTGCGTTCTCACATCGTCACGTGTGGCTGATCGTTCCGACACTTGGCGCTTCTGGCAATCGTGAATGCGTCTGCTGTTTTAGCGCGCCAGCTCTGAGCCACGACGTTCTCCCGCTTCTTGACCCTCCCTCACCTCCACAACCGGACGCCCCTTTAACCACCATCGTCCGCCGTGACTGGCTGATCTGACTAGCGGCCACTGTGGGGGAAAAGGTCCGCACGCGATCGGGTACCCGAGGCCCCGCGGACCTCCCAGCTAGCCTTCTCAGAAGCTGGACAGCGGCAAAGTTTCCGAATATCGAGACGACCCTTGAGGAGGAGGAACGCAGCGACGAGCGATGCCAGTGGCGTCCACTTCCCGCGAGACGCTAGAGGATCAGGTAGCGGCGCTGAAAAGTGCTCAAGTTTTCCTGTATCCGACTCGGTCGCAAGATGATGCTGAGCAGTACGGGTCAGAGGCCGCATACACATGGTATACACGCGCTAATTGGAGAGGGGAGGAGAAGGCAGATGCAGCCGTATCTTATCCGGCAGACCAAGCAGCAGGAGCGTTGGATGCAAGCAGAGTAGAGCCGGAGATCATTCACTTGCTCCACGTACTGGTGCGTCAAGAGGCATTCATCTATGCCCACGCGCCGCGGGACACGCTGAGTAGAAGAACGCTATGCTCGCTCAAATGACAGGTGGACGAGTATCTCCCTTGGCGAGCGAAAGTCGAAGCTGCCCGAATGATCCTATCGGCAAGACTTGCAGCTTCCGTGAGTTTGCGAATAGCTTGTGGCCTCTTTGTCCTAAAGATGCCGGTTTCTCTAACTTTTTTAAACTCCCTTCACCCATGGAATCGGATCGATCGACGCCCTGCTCAATGCTTGCCGCCCTCAGCCACCCACAGAAGCCGATGCGATTCACAAAGAGTTTTGTTTGTCTCTTTTCGAGACCGCATGCTCGGCGATCATTGGTCTACTCGGCGGTCCGAGCTTTGCAATGCCCGAAGCACCACTGCAGCTCGGTCCCGAGGCTTTTGTGGCACCAGCAACCTCCTCCGCGCACGACTACATTCTGCAGTGGACAGCAGCGCTTTGCGGACTGATTCCCCACATCATTTTCGAGGTGGAAGCTTCACGCCATCGATCTGCTGCTCCTAAAACCACCGATGAGGGTCGATCTGGGTGCGCTCAAGTCTTCCGCGCTTTTGTCGCGCGCCGACGCGATGCATTGATAGAGATCGAACGGCACGTTGCACAAAGGAACGAAGCAAATGCTGCGAGCGCAAATGGAGCAGAGGAAGACGTCATGCTAGATTGGCTGGATCAAAAGTGAGTTTGTGACTTGCACACAAGCACGCACGCTTGCCCCTCCTTCCTGTTCCTCACGCCTTCAGCATCCTCAAAGTCCCTCCACTCCCAAAGCTCCGATTCATTGTGCCCTCTTCAGAACGCTTTTGGACTTGGGGTTGGTCGATGCATTGGATAGCGAAGGCACAGCTGCAGTTTCTTTCTCTTCTATGGATCCTAATTTGCTCGCTGAAGCTGGTCGCAGAGACCAGGTGCAGGTAAGCGAGGGCAGAAGAGAATCGAATTGGCCGTCCCGCACTCGGCGTTTCTCAATGGTTCATCGCCCTCAATGTTACCGCAGGCTCTTATCAGCGCCAAGTTGCAAAGCTCAGCAGAGGATGTCGAGCTCTTGTTCTCCAAGGTGGTGACAGATTACAGTTCTCATCTTTCTCTGGCGGAATGTACCACAAAGGTGAGCTGAGTTCAAAAGGCATAGGGCTTGCTCCGTTCACTCAAGAGAGGACCCCAACTGGCTTGTCAGAACATGGCATCCGCTGGTCAGACTTCGGACCTCGACTCTGTTTGTCGTGTCGCGAAGGCTTGCTTCAAGACGCCGCAGGTAGTCGACATATTGCTTCTGTACACCGATGCCATGGACATCCTGGTGCCAATCGGAACGCTACTGGACAAGACTGATCTCGCCGAGAGTGGTGCGTATCTCCCGCTTGGCCAGCGCATCAGCGCATCAGAGAATGATGCATATAGAGCTAATAGCACACCTGTTCTCCTTTGAGCAGCCGATGAGCCCTCTGTGTTACGCAACATTGTCCTTTTTGCGCAATGGATTTTGCAGAGAGTTGTCGTGAGCTCCGCAGTCGCTGAATCACGTCAAGCCATTCAGCACGACAAAAGCCGCTCACCCTTATCGCTCGTCTACTTGTCCGCAGATCGTTCGAGGACACTCTATCCTCGAAGATTTGGCACGACAGGTCAACTTTTTGCCCCGCTTTGTGAGCGCTTCGACCGCATTGCCTTCAATTTCCCAACTGCAGCCGAATGAAGGGGATCTGGTGGGCAGATGGATACACGCTCTGTTCGATAGCGAGGGAATCTCGGACGACCTCATGCGGTGAGTGCTGCGTCTCGCCTCCTTTGACTTCTGCAATGCATGAGACCTTATCGCTAAGAGCTCTTCGTCACCTTATAACCAGGGACTCTCCTCCGCAAATTCTGATGCGTCTAGCCCCACTCCTCTTCTGCCAATCTATCGAAGCTTGTAGAGCTGGCGTGATTGATTTGGAGACGCTCCGAGGAGGGCTAGACTACTTCGCACAAGACCTTCTTTGCTTCGCACTGCCTGCAGGTCTAGGCTGGGTAGCTCGAGACGTACACAGGCGAACCGTTCGGACCTTGCCTTCGGATGGCGTCTCTGCAAAGATAGCCAGCATCGACACAAGCGTGAATGGCCAACGAGAGACGTCTACGCATTTCGAAGTCCTCAAGCAATTTCTACTGGCCGAGAATGCGGACCAGGTCGTGACGCAATTGGTTGCACCTCTTGTGAGGACTGCGCTCGATGCGTTTTCGCTTTCTCAGTCGACTGGGGTGACTGAGAGCGACCTGGACAGCCTTCGACTGCGTGTGGACGCTGCGCTCGGTCAATTGCCCGGTGAGCGTGCCATCGCGAACGCGTTGCTCGCCGCGTCAGTCTGCTCACCCCGGTCCCTGTCCCTGTCCCGTGCTCCGATCCACAGTACCGCATCGTGGCGACGCATGGATTGCTCAAGCCTTCGCGTCTTCCCTTTCAAGCATGACACCCCAACTTCAACGAGCCCATCAGAGCATCACGCGAAGTCTGTCCCGTTGCGAATCGGCAAGTTCGGCGCTAGCCGAACACTTTCACGTTGGACTCATCACGTCCCCAGAAGGTTCGGGCTTCAGAAAGAGTCTAGCAGCGCTAATCGCTCTGGATCGCGTTAGGCAATTCTCCTCGCACACAAGAGCGAGATCTGGCTTCGATCTGCTCGTTCGTGTGCTAAGGTGCTTGATGCCCGATCACGCAGGGTCTGCGGCATGGAATCAGGACGAGGTGCTCACACTAACTCCAGCGCACTCGAGCACAATTCTGCTGAGCTTGGACCTGCTTGGGTATTCAGGGACTCCTTCTGCACAGTCAAGCACGACGTCGATGGACATTGACGAGCCAATGCGCGCTGCACCTTCCACGCTCGACACGGCTCGTCGAGCTTCCAGCATCTTGTCGCTCATCTTTGCCCACGCCGCGCGAACAAGAGGCTTTGCGTCGACGTGCGCCCCGGCTCTCGCGGCGCTCTTGGGGCGAGCACACCAAGAATCTGCAGCATCTCGCCAGATGGCTGAAGAAGTCAGTCGCGATTGGTCTTCTGCACTGCGTGACCCTTTAGAGGCCGTCTTCCCTTCGCTGAAGATATGGCGCGATTCAAGCTACACCACTTCATGAAAACCACACACTTTTTCAAGTGTGTCTTCACTGCACGCAGCAGTCCTGCCCAATCGCGATGCTGGAAAACGTCATGACAATTGCTGCATTTCGAGACGCGCGCGCGTGTGTGTGTGTATGAGGGACGAGAAACTCGCTCCCAGATTCCTTCTCTGTCTAAAAAGTCGCCGTTTGGAGCGCTGAGGCGAGGCTGATTTCTATTATCGCATTTAATTGCGGGCCCACGTCTCGGGGACAGCTGGCCTGCCCGTGCCTTCGAGGACAAATTCCCTTGCAGCATCTATCGCGAGCAGCAAGCAAAGCAGTGAGACGTCAAGAGGTGAGCATCAAAGAGTGTGAAAGACCGCGATCCGATCGCCTATGCACTCACCTGGCACAGCCAAAATGCGCATGGAGTTGGTGTGGCTAGAACCTCCGCGCCAGCCTTGGAGAGCCACAACGACGTCGCCCTTCTCGACGATACCCAGCTTGAGGGCCTCTGCAAGACCGTACTTGATACGGTTGTCCACATCCTCCTGCCACTTCGAGTCGTCCCTTGGCCGGAGATAAGGGTACAGGAAAGGATAGCAGCCTCTGTACAAGTGCACATCGCGCGCTGTGTGTTCGTCACGAGTGACTGCAGGCGGATAGCGCGTGAGCAAGCGAATCAGGGCGCATGTGGAGATTCGAGCGAATTGCTGGGCTACTCACTGACGAGGATGGGGCAACGCGGGCGGTATTTGGACACCAAACGAGCCGTGTTTCCGCTAGTGGACATCAACAAGATAGCACCTGCTTGCTGCTCAAGACTTGCACTGACAGCTGCCATGGCGACAGTCTCGGACGTATCGGTAGGAACCTGAGTAAGCGACCTCATCTCATTGAAGAGAGGCACGTAGGAGATGGACTGCTCCGCCAAGAAGCTTGTCTCGGCCATCATCGTGACTGCTTCGATCGGATAGGCACCTTTGGCCGTCTCTCCGCTGAGCATGACGCAGTCGGCGCCATCCAAGACAGCATTGGCTACGTCAGACACCTCTGCTCGTGTGGGTCGGTTGTTGACGATCATGCTCTCGAGCATTTGCGTGGCGCAGATGACGGGCTTGCCAGCAATGTTGCACTTGGCGATCATCATCTTCTGAGCCATGAAGACCTGAGGTGCGGGAATCTCGATACCAAGATCTCCTCGTGCGACCATGATTCCGTCTGATTCCTTCAGAATCTCGTCAAAGTTGAGCACACCCTGATGATTCTCCACTTTAGAGATGATCTTGATGTGAGCGCCCTTCTCTCCCAAAATTTCCCTGATGGTGCGCACGTCCGATCCGCGTCGGATGAAGGATGCGAAGATCATGTCCAGATCGTTCTCGACAGCAAATGTAATGTCCTGCCTGTCCTTTTCGGAAATGGCGGGAAGGTCCACTTCCGTCAGAGGAAGGTTGACGCCCTTCTTGTTCGACAGGACGCCGTTGTTGACTGCACGAACGCGGACCAGCAAGTCCGACTCGATGTTTACAACTTCGAGAGCCAGGATGCCGTCGTCAATGAAAATCTGCCTGCCAACCTCGACCTTTCTGGCCAAGTTCTTGTAATCGATGTAGAGGTAGTCTGCGCTTCCCTTCTCCGCATACGCATCATCCATGGTCACGTAGAATTCGTGACCTTGCGAGATCTTGACATCCTCTCCATTCACCATCATACCCGTGCGCATTTCTGGCCCTTTCTGTTAGGGTCAAGGCAGGGACGCATGCAAGAAGTCAGCTGTGATGCAAAAGCACCCATAAAGGTCGGCATGTGCCACTCACTGTGTCCAGAGCGATTGCGAGGGGTCGTCCAACCGCCGCTGCAAAGACCGAGCATCTTGCGTTAGCCTCAAGAGGCAGCGCATGATCGTTCACAAGCAGCTCACCAGATTGCGCAGAGCGAGCATTGTCCACCACGGACTTGAAGTACTCGTGCGATCCGTGCGATGCATTCAGTCGCACTGGGACGAATCGGAGGATCGTCAGCTGGCCCAATCAGACCGACAGCTGATGTCGCGGGCCAGGCTTCGCGCCCCAGCTCTCGACACACTCACCAATATTCATGCCAGCCTTGCGCAGGGCACCCAGAAGCTCTACATTGTTGGTCTTGGGGCCGATCGTAGCGATGATTGAGCTGCAGGACAAGCTCGAGAGGTCAGCTACCGGAGCGCGGGCTGCGCGCTTTCTTGGGCGCCAATCTACCACAACTCACGTCTTGCGAAAGAATTTGTTGGAGCTGGAGATGGCGTGCTCAAGAGGGTTGAGACTTGCGAGCCATTCGAGCTGATTGAGCAAAATGCGATGGTAGGACGAGCGTGAGCGCTGATGAGGAAGAGCGCCGCTCCCCCCAGCACGATGACTACGCATAAAAGGTTTGGACAGCAATCCTCACCTGCGACTTGGCAATGGGCTGATACAGCATGGCGCCTGCTTGCTTTTTCCTTGAATGTCCTCGCGGAAGTGGGCAGGCCGAGACAAGCCGTTGCTGGAAGGGAGCGAGCGCTGCGAAGAGTCGATGAAGCGTGAGCGCGCGCTCAGTAGTAGGCGGCAACGAACAGCGAGAAAGTCGGTGTAGAAGAGACGATAGGGAATAGGGCTGGCGCTACTGGCGAAGGGACTTTGGTGCTGGAAGAAGGGAGTATGGCGGATGACGCGAAGGATTTCGGCTGCTGGGTGTGCTACCGAGTCTCGATCGAGCTATGCTGACCGACTGTGACGATCGCAGCTATAGCTAGCTGACCAGCCCTTGCAATCTCGACATTCCTCTCTCTCTCGCCCGTCGAAACTTTTGGTTTTGGCCACAATCTCGCATGACTTGCATGCAGCAAGCAGCAGCAGCAGCAGCTTAATTCATTGGCTACGCTGCAGAACTCGATCGTGACTTGACTGCACGGCTCTCATCTGCGCGCAAAAACTTGCCGCTGCTGGTCCGAGCGCAATCTCTTTTTCGTTAGACTGGCATGGTGCCTGCATGCATTTCGTCCTATCGCCGCGTCGGTCTCTCATCAACTGCTCGCGCGGCGCTCCGCCCAACGACGGATGCGTGCGCGCACGCACGCGGGAATTTTGGCGGCATTTGCAGGCATTTCGCAGCAAGTTCGTAGTTGTTGGCGGTGCAGAGAGACTCAGACTGGGGTGTGGCTGCATGAGACCTCGAGTCAAAGTGGCCATAATCATTATGCTGCTGCCACGCGCGCATACGCGAGCGAAGTGCCTTAAATCATACCTTCACACTCGTACTCACACCCTGTCATTTTGGTTGGGGCGCCTACCCGCGGGTCAAACAAGACGCGAATATAAGCAAATTTCAGTCATCAGTCCTATCAAAGACGGAGAATTTGTCGTAGCAGGTGCCTCGCGCATCGCGAGCGAGCGATCAACACCTGCTATTCGGAAATCTCTGATCTGTGCGTGCGCCTTGGAACAGATGAACATCATGCTGCCGCCGCATATATGCAAAGATCCGTCCCCAGCCGGGCCCCTAGGTAGCTGGCTCTTCAGTGTGAGTGCTCGATCCATGCATGGATGACCCTCGCCAGACAACTTGGGCTTGCTGTTCTGCTGAGCCAACAACGAAAGGGAGGACTGCGCGCGCGTGTGCAAGGTCAGATGTTGAACGACACACATCCACCGCGGCCGCAAAGAATCTCACAATGAACACGCGCGTACGACGACGCGCGGGCCAACTGTGGCTGGCTGCTTCTGCATGGACTGGAGGACCAATCAATTTGCATGCTGGCGGTGCCGCACGCGCCGAAAATTGGCCGAAAGTGATCTCGGTATCGTGAAGAGTATAGTCACGACGAGTGCCGCGTTCATGATGATGCAAGCCAAGCAGACTAGGAATGGGTCACGACGTCACGTACGGCGAGTGTGGTTCACGTACGTATAGCCAAGCAAAGAATGACGTGCAGCCAATGTTGAATGTCAAGGATTCGAGGTGGGCATCCATGCACTACGCGCTTGGGCTTCGTTGCACGACAGCTAGTCGTGGGCAAACGCCAAGGGAGTTCAGACTATGGAACACGTTCGCACCGAGGCGTGCAACATCATTAAATGTAGATCTTCTGTAGGCCAATCGTTGACGTTCGGGGTTGAATCTTGCCTTTTGATTCAACGCTCGCCCATGCACGCGTATGGTAATTGAGAGGTCTACAACCCGCAACAGTGTGTCGTGTCGCTACAAGTCGCATTGATGAGAACACCATGAGCGCCCTTCAGACAAGGTCGCATTACAGAGCAAATGTGAGGCACCGGATCTAAGGGACGCCTGGTCGCCATCTACCACCTTGTCCCATAGGCATGCTGCAGCAGACCTCTCAGTCCTGTGTCACCTGAGCTTCCAGAATCAATGCGGGAGGATGCAGAAAGCGGGTCCACTCCATCGTCATCATCGGCCGGTATGGACCTAGCGTCCGCGAACGACTCATCAGTCTCTCTATGCCCCGGCCGCTGAAGGTTGCTTGCACGCTCTTCTTGACCGGCAGCCTCATTGTAAGGGTTTTCATCCACCACCTGAAGCGGTTGGAGCCCCGCGATTCCCCTACTCCGACTGGCGGACCTCGTCCCAGCCACGTTGACCCTCGTCTCTGGCAATCTCGTCCCAGAAGCCTGCGTTGTTGAACCAGTCTGAGCCTTTCGGCTGCTGCGCAAAGTGCTCGCCTGCAAAGCCTTGCTGTAAGCATTGTCGTAAAGTTGACTTCGCATGGCCAAATGCATCGTAGAGTTGGCCGGCGTGAAAGCTAGGAGATCTGCAGAAGCGCTCTCGTTAGCCGTGTCCATCGGAGGGGACTGAGCATTGGATTGTGTAGCGATCGCCTGGCTCAAGAACAGCGAAGCAGACGTGTCCGCAGGCGGGGCCCAATCTGGATTGGCCGCTGCAAAACCCAACAGACTCTGTTCCATCTCTGCCGCGAGCGAGCGGGAAGCAATCATTGTTCAGCGATGCGTGCATGCAAGTCTATGCACAGCCAGACCGACTTGTGACACCTACTAGCTTGCGTGCTGAGCTTGGAGCGCGCCTTGCGAGCGTTGGGCACTTCTCCAAATCGCGTCTTGTCATTCTTCGCGAATACAGCAAACGAGCAAACGTAGCCTATGCCGTCTACATGAAGTGTGAACTGCAATAGCAGGCCGGCGAGGTCAGGCGATGCTCTCGGCGAGGTGTCGACACGCTCACACGCACCTGGCGGAAGAAGTCGATGATTGCGGATGCACTGCTGGGTAGACTCTTCCAAAGCACAAATGGAGTCACAAGCACTGAAAGTAGTTCCTCCACAAATATATATATCTTGAGCTTGTAAAGCTGACCAAACTCCGCGTGTACCTATGAAATGGAGGCTGAGAAGATGCATAACCCTCTCAAAGGGAAGAGGCGGATCAGGCGAGCACTCACCTCAGAGGAATGAAAGCGGCTTTCCCAATTCTGTGGACAGTAGTGAGTGTGCTGCACGATGAATTGCATGAGCACCTCGGGCTCGAACACGAGTCGATCGTCCGGGATCATGCCTCTCGAAACTGCCAGGATCGCTCCAAAGACACCAATGTAGAAGAGTGTGGTTCGGCCAGGGGTGACGTCGAAATGGACGAAAAGATCTGGGTCGATGATCGACGCCACTACAAGCACAGCCATGAAGCTGCCCGCGACGAAGGACACGAACCTGAAGAAGGACGTGCGAGACACAATTGAGCTTCAGTAGCCTTTCCTCGTCGACTCGATCGACCGTGCAATATACGTGCCTTGCCAACTGTGCTGTCAGCTCCTTCGGAAATTGATTCACGTATCTGCTTGCAAAGGGATAGCTCGCATGACATCGTCTCGTGAAAAGATGCGGCAATTCGTTGAACTCTCTGAATTTCCAGCGGGCCAGCCGGGTATATTGGCGACCACCAATCTGTGTCGGGTCTTGATGATACTCCTGCAAAGACAGATGGCAAGTGAGGTCACTGAGAGGCTCACAGCGATGGCAGATGCGTCTCCACTCACTTCAAAGTAGCGGAAGAACGAGTAGACGAGCAAGGCTAGCACGATGAATGGTGCGAAAATGGCATTCAAAAGTGCCATGAAGATGAAACGACGCTTCAAGCTGGACGTTCGATCAAAGAGGTCAGGAATGACGTACAAGGACACGCCACTTGCATCGGCTCGCAGGCGCTCACCCTTCAATGAGCTGAGGTCGAAAGCGCTCATCCAAGAACTGCTTCCGAACTTGTCCCTTGCGGTCAAAGACAAATCCAAGAAGACAGAAGCTCAAGTTCCATTCCATCGCGCGGGTCAAGCTAGGAGCCTGCTTCCGAAAGAACGGCAAGGGAACTCGAAGATTGAGCAAGTCTTTATTGAAGAGGGCGATCAGGTAGTTGGATCTGCGCAAAATCCGATTAGCTACCGAATGCGCGTCCAGAGCTCCCCGTTGAGAACTTGTGTTTGAGGCTGAAGATGCGATCGCCGTCGGGTGCGAATTTCGCAGCTCTCCCAGCCTCGTGACGACCGATGACCATGGAATGGATGCTAGATCCGCCTGTGAAAGCCAAAGCTTGCGGTCAGCCACGGCATGGAGAACTACAACAGCATGCCGGGGGACCACGCGCACCTCTGGCACTCCTAGAAGCTCTTCATAGAACGCGCTCAGCGCTCGTAGCCTACTTAGGCTACTCCCAAACTGCACGAGCTGCCAAGCGTACAGCGTCCCAGCGAGGATAAGAAGTAGCAAGGTCGCTCCGGATGAGCTGTCGCACAAAAAAGAGGCGTCTCTCGCGTCAGTCCACATCGTGTGGAGCACGACAAGGCACCATGTATGCGCTCACTGTGCGACGCATGATGGCACAACGACTTCGCTGAGGTTGCCGTCGTGCTTGATGCTATGGTAGTCGACGCAGCGCGTCAAGAATATGCTGAAGCCAAGCACGAATGCGACAGTGCTGCATTGTTGGTGCAAAAGGTGCAACAGTGACAGTCAGCCGAGCAAGCGCAAGTGACGATGATCGAATCAACAAGTCGGAGTCGCACAGCAAGTTGAGTATCCTCGAAAGAGCGATGGCGTAGATGCCCTTTCCAATGTAATAGTCGTACACCTGCAAAAGGGACGAGTGCGACGAGTGCACCCGTGTCAGAAGCTGCTGTATGTGTCCAAGCGACGAGGAATTCTTTTGGGCGCACCTCGCACAAGAAGGCATCCAAATCGTCCACGTTTGCCCAAGCCCACAGCGCCCTCTCTTTTCGACTCATTCCTTGCAGAGCACTGGCTGGCCTGCCATCACCACGCATTGCACCGCTCTTCCTGCTGGCTCTCATATCCGCAGCAGTAATCTTAGCTGCTTGCTCCCTGATCCTCTCCAAGAACGTCTTGTCCCTCCTCGACCTCCTACGCGCCGCTCCATCCGATCTGGATCTGGATGTGCCTGAAGGGGGCGCTTCAGGGTCCGACAGCAAAGCTGCATCCGCTGCTGCCTCGTCGCTGTCGCTCGACGACGGCGAGGCAGGAATGTGGGACCGAGCCTCGCGAGCAGATCTTCTTGAAGTCGACGAGCTCGGTCTGGAGGGTCCTGCGTTTGGAAAGCGGTTGAGCCGCACGGATAAGCCTGGTGTCGCTTCTGAAGAGCTCGCATCGATGACATCGAGCGTACTGCTAGCCGGATGATCGCTGATGGCTATGCTCGCCGCATCGCCGGGCAGCAATGCGCCTGCTTGATTGCGAGGTGTTGCTGTTCCATCGAAGGTCGGGTTGTGCTCCGCAGCTACTTGCTGTGCTCGTCCCTCTCGCGATACAGAGTCCGTCTCGGAGGACGAAAGTGGATCCGCTTCGAATGGATCCATGAATTAGCATGAACAGAGGGCAGCAAGGATTAGACAAAAGGAGAATGTTGCAGCGATTCCGAGTGACTATTCAAGGTCGCTGGCGAGAATGGGGTGCGGCGTTGCCAGACACGATGTGGTGGTCTATGCAACGGACTGACGCCAGCAATCTCGAATATGAACCATCAGGTGGAGGGGCAACCAACCAGCACTCAGCCGCGCGCTGCGCGGAATGGACGGCTCGATCACGTGACTCACTGCACGAATTCTCTACTTTTCACGCGGACCTCTGGGTACGGTAGCATTTGCGATCGCAATGGACGCCCCACATTGCGGACCCATTGGATTGGGACAGGTTAGAGGGGCAAAGGAGCCTCAGGAAAGCTATCTAAATCGCCAAAATGGATTCGACTTAGCGAAACCGTGGGACGCAATGTCGCTGCATGGGAGCGGACGAGGTAACCCATGCGAGGATCCAGCAGGATGCTTCACGCATGCTATGTTTGCTGCATGTTCGTGGATCGCGCTTGCTCGTTCGACGGGGCATTGCGAGGGCGCGCGGCGTGTGAACAGCGTGCATGCATGCATGGCATCACATCTGCGAGAGGGCGCTAAAGCGTGCATGAATTAAGCAATGAGCGCGGTGGGCGGGCTAGCAATCATGAATACAAGATCATGTGGTTTCTTGAAATGGCACCCAAAAGCGTCCAGTCTCGGGTTTTCAGCTGATGACCTGCCCCCCGCGATGTCACGCAGACCGGATTTGAATTCGGACTGCGTGTCGTTTGTATAGGCGCTGAACTGCGCCAACGTTTTGAACTTTGGTGCGCAGGCGCGCGCCTGCAGCTCAAGCATCAGCAATAAGCAGACTGGCACGCGCGGGGCCCGGCTCGTGCTCGTGCACGCTGGAAGGGCGTGCGTGGCATTGCGCTGCTGAAATGACGAATGACGAATGGCCAATGCTGAAGCTGCGAGGAGCATAGCTGCAGCACATGCACACGCCAACGAGCATGGACTGATCATCTTCTTCCTCACTCCGACATCACTCGCCTCCTGACCGGCACCTCGTCAGCAAACAATCGGGTGAGAGTCGGTTTGCATAAACATTGAGCTGACGGCCCTGTGCTGAACTTGTCCGTCTCTCACCATCACCACCATCACCACTTGATACCACGAAGCTACTCACGCAACTCCTACACAAGGCGCCAATTACGGCCCTTTGGAGCAGATAACAAGACAAGCTTCGCAGCAACGAGAAGCATCTACACAACTCAGCCGAAGCAGAACCGCAAGAAAAGCAAAGTGGGTCAATCACTCTAGCAGAGATCGCGAAGCAGAAAGTAGCACCATGGCGACGTACGGAAGCTCCCCGTACGCTAGACCCTCGGGCTTCGCAGCCGCAGACGATGAATCACCTCTGGCCAAGGTCAGAGCGTACACTTCCAAGGTAAGTCGCAGTCAGGAGATTGCTGAGGTAAATGCAAGATCTGCAGTGGCTGGCGATCAGGCTTCTTGGCCGGGACCAAGCGCCGCGAGCTGGTCTGCTCGAGCGAGGCTCAAGTCGTAATCGGCAGGCATGAAGCTGACCTTCGTCCCCTGTATGCGCGCTGTAGGTTGAAGACCTGATCGACCAGTACACGCAGCCCATCAAGCCTCATCTTCCAGCGCTTGGCAGGTTCCTCATTGTAGTCACCTTTCTGGAAGATGCCCTGCGCATCCTGACTCAGTGGGGCGACCAAAAGTACTATCTCCAAAAGCATCGGGGATTCCCTTGGGGCATCTCTCACGTCTTCCTCCTCACGAACGTTATCGTGAGTCCACCTATCTTCAGCACATCTCATAATCCGGTCGGAGGGCCCAGCCCGGCCCGGCTCTGAGCCAATCTCCCAGAATCCTGCTCTGACTACTCGGGGCCTTCTCCGCGTTCCCTCCAGGTCATGCTGGCAGCCTCGGGTGCAGTCATCGCGCGCAAATTCCCTGAAATCAGCGTTGGAGCTCTTTTGGGTGTGGTAGTTGTGCAAGGATTTGGATATGGCCTTATTTTCGATATCAACTTTTTCCTGCGCAACTTGTCCGTGATTGGTGGATTGCTCATGGTCTTGTCGGACAGCCTGAGCAAAAAGAAGAACATCTTTGCTGGTTTGCCTAGCATCAGCGAGACGGATCGCAGAATCTACTTCCAGGTGAGTGCCTGTTCTTTGTGGCACAGCTGATGGGCCAGCACACGGGCTACATGCCGGTCAAATTACGGAGGCGTCGCGCAACATCCCCGCCCGTCATCGAGAGGCAGGGAATGAGTCATGATAGCAGAGCGGCGCGCGTTGTCCACGAGCTCGGCTCTCTTGCCGAAATGTCACTCGCAAACATGCTGCTCCTATCCGCTGATCACTGTCGTGCACAAATCATTTCGTGCTCGCAGCTCGCCGGTCGCGTGCTTCTCATCTTCCTCTTCATTGGCTTTATTATCCAAGGCAATTGGTCGATCGCACGCGTGGTTGTGTCCATTCTTGGACTTGGCGCCTGCATCATGGTTGCCGTAGGATTCAAAGCTCGTTGGTCCGCCAGCTTCCTGGTACTGCTCCTCTCTGTCTTCAATGTGAGTCCGCCTGGGCAGTGTAGTACAGCAGGTCACGCCGCGTCTCATCTCACCTCCGGTTTTCCACTCACACACCTACCCTCGTGTCTGCATCTCCTTCTCTCGCAGCTCTTTGTGAACAACTTCTGGACTGTTCACCACGCCCATCCCGCTCGCGACTTTTTGCGATACGACTTCTTCCAGACCCTCTCTATTGTCGGAGGTTTGCTCTTGCTTGTGAACCAAGGACCAGGTGAGCTCGCATTACTTCACGACTGCCCTGACCGCCATCCAGCATCAGGTCTTCAAACAAGTATGCTCACCCTCCCTTGCATTACCCTCAATAGGCGGTTTCTCGATGGACGAGAGAAAGAAATCCACCTGAGGGTTCCAGGCTGAGCGGGGCAACAATACCAGGGCTTCGCACAAGCAGAGATCGAAAGGGGCGCAATACGCGCGGAGTGAAGTTGCAACATTTAGCAATGGCGATGGGAGAAGCGCGTCTGGTTTCCGTGTCGAACAGCTGCATAAGCGAGGTGTGCAGGCGACTTGCAGAGACGCAGCGAGCCTCGCTTCCAAACCAGCTCTGCTCAAGGCGCTTCTCAATCCATCCGCTTCTAAATATGTCCACCAATCGTTCTGCTCCGCAGTCAGATCAAACCAAAAAGAATGAATCCGTCTCATCTCAGGTGATACCAAGGCAAGCCTGTTCCAACCCGAGACCCAAGCCGGGCCGCAGCGAAGCACTAGTGTGCGCCGCCTCAATTTCCACAGCGCTCTTGAAAAGGCTCGAGGGGCAATCTGCCGGCAGCGCAAAAAGCCAAGAGGTGCGCGTGTTCGCGGTGAGAAATGCGCATGCATTTGAGTGCGTCGCGCGTTGATCGGTCGACGACGAGATGCCAGTCTGTATCAGGGGCGCGATTCGGGGTGGGGTGGGACTAGAAGCAACATGTATAGGTATCTCCCGCTGTGTGTTTGGTTGGGGGAGAGGAAGGCGGTGCACGCCTTGCTTGGGGCTGTATCAGCGAGGAAGAGGAGGTGATGAAAGTCGAATCGGTCAGACGAGGGCTCGAGATGGAGCGCAAGCGAGGAAGCAGCTGATCTGTGGAAGGAAAGAAATTCATCATGGGCCGGGAAGAGAGAAAGGGTGGTGATTTGAGATCTGGACGGAGCTTTGCTTGCTTGCTGCCAGGCTGCAGAGAGACATTCCAGGAGTAGAACAGAGGATAGTGTGCGCTCCTGCAATAATTCAGTCTCTCCCCAAGCTTGCTCAAGCTCATGCTCGAAGGCTGATTCATTCGTCTCCGTTCAGGAGAAGTCCAAGTGCGCTTCCGCGATTTGCTTCGGGCGTCGGTTCAGACTTTCCGATCGAGGATGGCTTGTTTTGTCGCTTGGCTCGGGCGCTCGCCGATTTGTTCGTCGACGTCCCGAGAACGTTGGTGCGTTGCTGAAGGGGAGCAGCTCCGGCTCTCCAGGAGAGGGCTCCAGCAGCATAGCTCGACTTGGTAGGTGCCGCTTTATCGAAGACTGGAGATTGCTGTTTGCGAGGAGCCTGCTGAGCGTGGCGTGTGTCAATTGTGCTAGGATCCATCGAGAGCGAGCCGAGCAGTTGAGGCAAGTGCTGTCCGTCGATGACTCCTTTCCCTTGCAATTGCTGCAACTGTTGCAATTGTTGCAATTGCTGCTGCTGCTGCTGCTGGTGTTGTTGTTGTTGTTGGGCAAGCCAGAGCGCAGATGCGCCGACAGGAGGGAGCAAGCCATTCGATGCGCCTGGACTCAGGGCCCAGAAATTGGGACTACGATCCAATGGACCGACGGGAGAGATGGGACTCTTGTGGGACGAAGTCATTGTTGGCATGCGCATACCAGCTGCTGCGAGCATGTTGAGGTAAGCAAAGTTGTGCGGCTGAACGAAGCTGATCTCTGGCGAACTGGGAGAGTAAATGGATACGAGGATGAGTCTGCGCCAGCACTTGCTGTGGACTTCCCTGCGCGCCACTCACTTGAACACGCTGGAGTGCTGGGAGGCTGGACTGAGACTAGGAGTGCTCAAAGCAGGGCTGAAGGGAGTGCTCAAGGTGAGAGGGCTTCCAAGACCACCCGTGAAGCCGTTGGCGCCGCTCGAGAGCGTAGGCAACGTGGGGCTAAGGCCGTTGATGGAAGAGAGATGAGGCGATGTGGCGTTCGTGGCGGCGGCTGCCGCAGCAGCATCTGCGATCGAGGCAGACTGTTTCAGGCGCTTCTGAGCTTCACTGTCAGCGAAACGGACCTGAAGTCCGGATGTCGTGTCCGGTAGGACCTGTGGCGCGCAGCAGTGGTTGGGCGCGTTGAGCATAGGTGAGGCGTCACCGACTTGCGAGGCGCCGCTACCAAGAGCTCACCTTGCCATTCAGACGGTCGATGCACTCCTGAGCGATCTCGCGGGTACGCAGTCGTACAAAGCCGACACCGCGAGATTCTCCATCATTGTCTGTGAGGATACGGAGGCTGACCACGACGTGTGGTGCAAAGAGCTGCTCTAGGCCAGAGGATGACATCGTGCGAGGCAGACTGGAGTAAGGAGTAGGAATACCCACCGACTTCAGCGGCGGCCAAATACTCGAAGCCGAGATCCACGGTCAGCTCACTTGCTAAGGTACACATTGGCGCTGCTGTTGTCCGCCATACGGCGAAGCTTCGATGTGAAGCTCTCCTGCAACTCGGAACGGAGCTCTGTGTCAGTGGTACAGCCCCTTCGACGAAGTAGCTAAGAGGCATACGCACGCGAGCCCAAGAAGTCTGGTAGCCGCATTTGCTAAGCTCAGTCATGGCGAAGTGTGCTTCGGCACTCGTAGCATACATCAAGAATCCATATCTGTGGTGCAAGGTAGATGGTCAGAAGATGCGGGCGATAGACTGCTAGGAGCGTACACGACTCGCCCTTTGCAAACTCCACTCTCGCTGTGGATCATGGCCTTGTGACTCAGCACAGTGCCGCAGCGAGCTCCAAGGGCGAGAAGGTCGTCGTCCGTAGTTCTGAGCGTGCAATTCCGGAAGCGGTGAGCAGCGGTATGCGTGCTGGTCACGAGACGCGCGGCAGTCGACTCACTGCGTGCCGAGACCGTTGATGTAGATGTTGGTAGTCGGGTCGAGCGTCATTTGGTGATCATGAAGGCCTAGGCGAGCATCAACAATGCTGTTGAGTGCTGTAGCGAGCGAAGGACGAGAGGGGCGGGTCAGCCGTTGAGTATGGTCGTCTCCAGAATGGCAAACGCGCAGGTTTCTCACCGGGCGGAAGCTGCTGGTGCTCCTCAAAGGCGCTGAAGCCAAGGCCATAGTTGACGTCTTGCTGAGGAGCAAAGTGATTGGCAGCGCTGGCTGCTACCAAGGCGGTGGCGGCGTTGGTCCCGTACGAGCTGAGGATCATCTGGCGCACGGCATCTTGGAGCGAAGCGCCGGTAGGATCGATGGCGCTAAGTTGTGGCAGGAACGGACCATTTCCAACTCTGATTGAGGGCATACGAGTGCGCACCGACGAGGTCTGCTGAGGTGCCTCGGCAGAGATGGCCGCTTTTGTCCCGCGGGTGGAGGGAAGGCTAACGTTTGGCTTGTGATTAATGTCGACAGTGCCGAGGTCTTCCATTTTCACCTTGCTCCTGCTTTTCTCGCGACCGTTGCTCTTGACATTGGTGACATCAGTCCAGGTCATGCTTGGCATTGGTGGACTCGCTTCGGGCTCGACAGTGGCGGCGCGTGCTTTGCGAGGGGCTTGAGTCGAGCCAGCGTTCCGTCCTTTGCTATGCTGGTGGCGTTCCTGGTCGTTGTTCTTGTGACGGCGAGAAGAGGATGCTGGCGAGCTGTCGCGCATCTCTACATTGGAGCTGCCGGTCGAGGCGCGAGGTGCGCGAGCTTTCGAAGTCATCCTGCTATTCCACGAATCGGGATGCCGGTATGAAGGTGTGCCGGTATGAAGGTGTCGGTGTGAAGGTGCGAGACGTGTGCAAGACGCGCTCAGCTCGGCTGCTTGCCTTGATACCGACCGCACGAGCTTGACCAGGTCTCAGACGAGGATCTGCTTGAAGCTCAGACTGTTGCTGGTGAAAGATGACGATACGTGAGTATAATGAAGACTGAATAGTGGATTGGTAGATGACAGCCTGATGGGCGAGAGGCTGGACGCTGGCACAGGGCCCGATGAGCTTCGCTGTGGGTGAGGGAGGTGATGAAAGAGTGATGACCCCAAAGGCTCGCCTTCATGTAGCTGGCGAGAGTCAGAGCAATGGGCTGATCACACCAAGCACGGCTGATAAGGTCGCTGAGAGATGCGGCGACCAAGAAAGGGGTTGGTCAGGCGTTGGCGAACGTTGAAGCGGTTCAAACTTAGTGGATGCTAAGTCTGGGGCAGCAAAGCACGAGCCTAGACGCACTGTCGAGCCAGTCTCTTCGTAACTGCCCTCGCCTACCCTAACGCTGACCACCAAGTAGGCCTTGAAGTCTGTGGCCAGTACCTGCAGGCGCTCTTGGTTCGTGATTTCTTCGATTCTGATTGTTGGGTGCGAGGTCACTCCGTGCTGGCCGCTTCAGGGGACACAGCCGCCGGGCCATGTGCCTAATGTACAAGTACTGCCCGAACAGCGGCAACAGAGGTGCTGACCGGGTGGACTCGTGACCTGTGTTCTCGCGTTACGGATGATAGTCGCGCGGCGCTTGCGACCCTACCACGAGTGATCGTAAGCAAGGAGACACACCATCATCAGAAAGGAAGCCACGCTTAGAAGCAGCCGTTGAAGGTTCAACAGTCGCGAGCGTTGGGCAGTAGAGTCGCTCCTTTCTGATGTCACCTCAACGGTCGACTTGCATAGCATACATGTGAGCCGATGCTGGGACGGAAGCGTCGAGTGTTGGCGAGCTCTTCGCGCGGCAACGGAGCCGCTCGTGTGCGCCCGAGGCACGGCCTGTCCGCCGCATACTGGAGCCGCTGGCTGTTCATCGATCTTGAGCTCTCTCTGAGCGCATTGCGCGGATTACGAGCTTCTAGGACATTGTTCTGGGCAGCACCGGCGGAAGCTATCTCCTGACTCTTCGTGCGTGGAATGTGCTTTTTTTGCGCGGACGTGCTGAGCAAGACCATCCATCGGATGGAGGTCAGCCGTTGACCGCACGCATGGCTCGCCCACGGCCGGGCCCAGCAGGGCACATACACCTTGCAGCTCGATCGATCGAGCAGCATGCAGCTGCGTGATGGGATGCCTGCCGCGCGTGATATGCGCGTGTTGGTTGACGCGCGCGGCGCATAGATCAACACCAGCGCAGTGTGAGTTAAGTCCGGAATAGGCCAGTGCACGGCCGGGTAGGTAACTTCATTCAAGATTCCAACGAGGACGGTCGTGGTCGCACAATAATCGCGATCGAGGGAGTCTGATACATCGGCGACTCACACCTTATAATACAGGCCGCTGCATTCCAAGAGCAAGTTTGAAAGCTATGCATGCAAGCTCCTCGCTCCCCCATCGAAATTTTGACCGCAATCGCGGGATGTATATACTGCTGTATACACTTCATTACTCGCCTATGCGCGGCTAATGGTGCTGTACCGGTGCAGGGGCTGTAGCTGAGATTGGCGCATTTCTGACACCCCTGCATGCAGCAGCGCGGATGAAGTCACAATAATCGAGAAGCAAGTCAACGCTCGTGAGTCTTTGGCCGAGCAATTCTTGAGTAGAAAGTGATAGCGACTATAATCACTCAAGACTATAATAGTCTGAATCATGAATCAAAAATGGACGTGTTTTACATGCGTCTACTTCGCTTTGACAGAGGAGTGGCCAGCCTGCTCTAACACAAAAACTTATCGTGTGAGACATTGCGCGGAAAATTTATCCGAGGGTGGATTCCTATATATGGCTGCATGAGTGAACCATCATTCATATGCACACCAATAAGCTTGATTCACTGGATACCGATGAGACGGTCGTGAGAGTTTAGACGAACTTGAAGCAGAGCGGAAACCTGATCAGCTGCATATGGGGCGACAGCCTCGCGCGCGGTCTTGATTCATCATGTCTCTCATGGATAGCCTTCTATAGGTCCTTTGAGAATCTTGAATGGTGCGTGACAACGACCGCGTGGTATCACTGCCCTCGGCACCGCATTTGAGCATGTCACGAGGCATACATCCAAAGTTCAGAGGCAGCTAGCTAGTCACCGCAATAATTTTGACTTTGAATGGCATTCAAATTGCTAGTCCGATGCGAGGTGCCTGGCTGCCTTGCTGAGTCAAGAGTCAGACTGGTCGAGGTGGTCGCATCTTACTCACGTGATTTGACGAGTTGATTTGACTTACCCTTTGATGACTTAAGTTCACTCTGACTGCACTCGATAGAGCAGGTAGAATTGGAGATGGCGGCGCTCGGTCATGCTTACGGCGGTGAGCTTCCTCCGTAGACGAGTCCCTGCAGATACATAGCCAAGAGTGCCACATCGCCAAGGGATGCACAGACGCAGCAAAGAATCTTTGAACCTCGGCCGGGTGCTTTTTCTTGCCTTGCCAAGCTGTTCATCTTGATCATCCGTCATTCAAGAGAGCTGCATGTGCATGGCACAAATGCGAATCGATCATCTAGGTTCTAGCTAGGCACAGCTGATGGTGAGGTCTGCGCTGCTAGATGCGTCGCAATCGAGCATCTCGATTGATCGTCGTCGGACTTGCAACGATGTGAGCGGGTGCATTTGGACGGCAAAAGCAGCACACGACGCACTGCATATGCATGGATGCGAGCCACTGAATTGAAAAGAACGGGTGCTGCTCCCATGCTGCTGCATGGTATAGCTACCGCACACCGCCTCGTTATGAGCGCTGGACAGTTGGTGCATAGAGCGGAGTCGGGCGGGCTTCCGGCGCGCAGCTCTTGGTTGCCGCGGCGATGGCTTGGCGCTATCATGCGATGGACACCTTCTGCTGTGACAGAGCGTATACAGTACCACCATCCCGATTGGCATCCTGCTTCGACTTGCGGTCTTGATGCGTGTACAACGCAAGGGAAACGCGACGCGCGAATCTTACTGTTAATGAGCCTCGCAGCGGTCTGATCAAGGTTCATGAAAGACTACAATCGATATCTCCCATCAATCACAATGCTCAATCGTACGAATTGCTGCTATTCTTGCATGGATCCGATGCAGACGAACGTCGCGCGCGCCCCGGCCAGAGCAGGCGAGATGCAACAGCCGTAGAATCGTAAGTCGTCAAATTTAAGCAGGACCAGGTGCACCGCATCGATCGCATGCGTCGGTCGGCGGGTACGTAAGCGTGTGCTACACGCATCGTCCGCTGCACGCTGTTGGTTGAGTGCAGCCGCTTCAGTCTACATGGGATGCAAGATGCTGCTTGTTGACCTTCTATCCGAACGCTCTGCAGCAACAGGGTAGTGCGAAGCGAAAGACCATTCGAGAGGTGATACCAGGTGCGAATGCCTCGCTCTAGCTAGGAGAGCAATTGAATGGAAGGCCGATACCAACTATACTCACACTGCTGATGTTGCTGCTGCTGCATGGCTGATGGTGTCCTTTCTGGCTTTGCCAAGCCATGATGAAGGCAGGCCTGCAAGGGTCCACGCGAAAGCGGCCGCGCCAAGCACACACGCAGGGGCACAGCATGAGTCACGAGTCAAGAAGTCGATTGAGGCGGAGGAGACCTCGATGTTTGTTAAAGCTGCCCAGCAGTCACGATCGGGTTTGCAAGCACACTTGCAGCGCAGCGCAGCGCAGCATGGACTGGCGCGTAGCCCGGCCGACGCGTCCGGAAAACCCCGTTGACGTGCGCGATGATGCGTTTGACACGCATCAGCTACACAGTACATAGTCACACTCGTGACTGGCACCGCGCCATGATTCCAGCAGAGGGAGGGACGATGGCGGTGCATGAGCAGCAATCGCTTGCAAGAAACCTATAGTAGCTGTAGCATGCATGCATCCACATGCCATCTCGTTTAATGCTGTGCGACAGCTGCATGGCCCGCACTATAGGGTCTTTTGCGAGGCACGCACGGCGCCGCGCTAAGAACTTCCAAGCCGCTGCGCCACACAGCTCACGCGTGACTTGCGCTTCTTTTTCGCTTGTTTCCTCTCACATCATCAGCAGCACCTGTGTCCTGTGTCGATCCATTCGTTATTTCGATTTCCATATTCGTGATTGTCGTAATCACTAATATGTCATTCACACTCGCGATGTGGGTGGGACATGCAGTCAAGGTCTTGATGTGGTGATTTGGAGCTGGGCGAGTGCTGCGCCTTGGGAACTGAACTCACACTGAGCTCAGCAGGTCAGATGCACCCCGGGAGACGCGACTCGCTCGCCCTCTTGACCCCCCTTGCCAAGCCAAGCCTAAGCATCCCGTCCGTTGAGGAAACTGCCTTGCCTTGGATTGATGTGATTGGCACACCACGCAGCAACAGGAGGCCGGCGTTCCGAGCGACGCTTGTGCGCACGCGCAAGTCATGCTCGGAGGCCCGGATCGCTGCTCGGTGTTCGTGATTGTACGGCTGTGGTGGACCCGAACTGCGCTCGGTCCGTTCCAGCTGAAAATTTGGGCAACGAACGCCGTGCCGCGGCAAGTTCGAATGATGAGATGCAAATCATGTTTGCAGCATATGTTCGTTCCCAAGTTTGCTGCCGCCAAAGGGATGTGGCTGACCAAGGCCCTGGATAGCAGCGCACCAGCCGTTCTGCTCAGACATGCCCGATGCCTCGACGCTCAAGTGGCAGCGGCATCAGCAGCCACTCCTCATCACCCGTACATTGTCGACTCTGGACTTTCATGTACCTCACCACGACCACGCAATAATCCATACGTCGCCCCCGGGCCGAATCGGCAGATCTTCTTCTTCGCCAGCTCGCCTCTACCTTGCTCCTCCGCTTGAAGCATCCTCGCGTGTCTTCACGTCGCTTTGCGCATATTTGACAGTCGTTGAATTCATCTGTCTGCTCTCTCTTTTCTCTCTCCACTTTCGGGCCCCACACACTCTCCTACGCCTTGTACTGGACCAAGCTCGATTGCATCACTCACCTCGTTGCACCCTCTTCGACTTTCGCCTGTCCATCCGACGATCATCGGGCAACACCACGTCAGCCATTCACAGCTTTGTCTCATCTCCAACCGACGCCCTCGCATACACGACGCACAATTGCCATATCTGCTGTCGGACCTCACCACGCGCTCTCACCAGTGACAAAGTACAACAACCTACACGATCTCTACAGCGCTTGATTGACCAACGCCGATCCACGCCACTGATCGGCAGCAACTGAAACCACTCTCCCAGGCGCCGCTCTAGCTTCCTTCGGCACCAGACAATTGAGCATCATGCATTTCACGGCGCCTATCAAAACAGCTGCCGTGGCTGCCGTCGGTCTCGCTGCCGCAGGTTCTAGCGTCTTGGCTGCCACAATTCAGGATCGAGCGCAATTTGACTCGGCCTACTCTCACCACGCCAACATGATGAGGAGGTCAGTCACTGGCAATGGCAACGATCTTGAAGGTGCGTACTCGTTATATGTGGACCACTTGATGGTTATCGCTCATCCCTTGCGTCGCCTCGCACAGGTCAAAGCTATGACTACATCATCGTTGGCGGCGGGCTTGCTGGGCTCACGGTGGCATCGCGGCTCTCGGAAGTATCCAACGTTACGGTAGCGGTCATTGAGGCAGGAGGGGATGTGTACGGCGCGGACCAGAACAAGTTCCTGGTGCCTACTGGCAATCTCTACGATTCTGCTGTCAAGACGCAGTACGATTGGCAGTGGCAGACGTCGTCTCAGGCTGGGGCGAATGGCAGGAATTTGGATTGGCCTCGAGGCAAAGTTTTGGGAGGCTCCTCTGCTATCAACGGGTTGTACCTCGTGCGAAGCAATAAGGCGGAGCACGACAGTCTGGCCAGCTTGATCAGTGCGCCGGATATCTGGGGCTGGGACAACATTTTCCGCGCGATGAAGAAGAGCGAAACCTTCGTTCCGCCCACCGGCCGTGTCCGCAACGTCTTGCCCGATCTGCGCTACAACGAAGCCTCGCACGGAAGCTCAGGACCCATCCACCACAGCTGGCCAGGTGCCGCGTTCCCGACCACAAATGACTTTCTGCAATCCATGGCGAATACCGGAACACCCATCTCGGACGATGCGTACGGCGGCAGCAGTTCTGGCGCCTTCGTAGCCACTAGCGCAATCAATCCCCAAGACAACTGGCATCGCAGTTTTGCGCGAAACGGGTACCTCGACCCGGCACAAAACAGACCCAACCTGCACGTGCTCACGGGCCACCAGGTAACTAGAGTTCTGCTGGATTCGTCGGACCCAGCAAACATCCGAGCGACCGGTGTCCAATATGCGGCGTCACGAGGAGCAGATGTCAAGACGGTCAATGCCAACCGTGAGGTGATCGTCAGCGGTGGTTCTGTCAACACGCCTCAGATTTTGCAGCTCTCTGGCATCGGTAACCAGCAGCACCTCGCTTCCATCGGCGTGGACACCGTCATCGACCTGCCTGGTGTCGGCGAGAATCTCAACGACCACGTCGTCACTTCCGTCGCTTGGGCTCCCCAGGGCAACGTCGAGATGCCTGCACAAGCGGTGACGGGCAATGCTGTTGCCGACTCCTACGTCAACGCCGCCACCGGCTACACGACGATGAACACTCTGCTAGGCAACTACACTGCTGAGCTGGTCCAGCAAGCCAGAGCACAGATGGCTCAAGCAGACGCAGCTTCCGATGCTCGCGATGAGGTCAAACGAGCATGGAACGTTACGCGCGAAGCTCAATTGCAGGCCGTGTTTAGCGAAGGCAGTGCCATTGGTGCTATTGAGCTCCTGTGGGCCTATGTGTTCGGCTCAATGCAGGTCCAGGTCGCTCTGCAGCACCCGATGAGTCGAGGCTACGTCCGCGCAACATCCAACGACCCCTTCACTGCGCCAGAGATCAATCCCAACGTCTTTGGCGTCAATTTCGATCTCGCACTCATGCGGGAGGGTTTGAAGCTGGCCAGGCGTGTGGGTAACGCTCAACCCCTGTCGAACAGTCTTGGAAATGAGAACAGCCCCGGCACAAATGTCCAGGCGGACAACGACTTCGAGACGTATGCCAGGAATAGCGTGGGCACAGAGTACCATCCTTCTTCGACCTCTTCCATGCTGCCGCGAGAAGATGGAGGTGTGGTGGATGCGAACCTCATGGTGTACGGTACCTCGAACCTGCGCGTTGTCGACGCTTCCATCCTCTCTTCGCCCCTTTCGTGCCACCTCATGGCACCACTGTACGGAGCAGCAGAGGTGGCTGCGGAGATTATCGTGGCGCATGCTCAAGGCAGGGGCTACACTGGATCTGCACCGCCCAGATCGGACAACGACTCGGCGGGTCAGACGGACGGCGCACCTGGCGCTACGGGCGGACCCGGCTCCAACAACGGCAACGGCAGCGGCAGCGGCAATGGCACTAGTGCTCTTGCTAGACCCACCACCTACCTGGGCGCTCTCTTAGCTGTGATTATCGCCTCCTTGTTGCTGTGATGGCCTTTAAACAGGCTTCTCACACACTGGCCCTCAGCAATAGACTTGGCGCCTCCAGCACCACGCCAGCACATCTACGGACTTTGCTACAGAAACACAACCCCAAGGACAATCAAAAGACTTGCATTCTCTGTTCCCGCATCTCTTCGCACATACCATGACGCAACGCATACTTTCTTCCACCCACCCAGCGATGCGCACCTCTTTCACCCTTTCGCTCGTCTTGTGATTCTTCCTCACCTTCGCCTTGGCGGAACATGTGCAGCATAATCGCATCGACCCTGATCGAATTCTCGTGCGAGGCGGGCGCGTGACAATCGTCTTGCCGGGCACGCAACTGAAAAGCGAATGCACGAAGAAGCGAGACTGGTCACTATGGACGTGTTGCTCTCATGTCAAGCGGCCATCAAGGACATTGAAAGCGAATGGGGAGAGAGCGAGAGCGAGTGGTGAGAAAGGTTTTGTATCGCGTTTGTTGCATTGGGAAAAGACTTGTGATCGGGGCATGGCGTCTACAGATTAGCATTGGGCGGCTTTTGCGTTGGCGACGCATCCGATCCTCGAGCATATCCGCGCTCCTCGCTGTCCGCAGCTGGTTCCGAGGTGAAGTCATCCCACGGTCTGACGGGCTGAGCAGCTCTAGAAGGTTGCAGGCCAGCCTTGAAGACATTGACGTCGGTAATTTCCACCTCTGTCGACGCTTCTCTCCTCGATTGCTCCTTCGCCACATCATCTTCAGCCATGTCTGCTTCGGCGGGGTTTTCGGTAGCGAGCTTGTCGATCGTAGCCATCAGCTGAGCCGTCTTTGCTTCGTCGATCGGAGGGTCTGCTCGAGTCAGATTGGCCCTCGTGTACTCCTTGACCATCTCTACGTTGGGCTGCTGAGCCTTGAGCGCAGCAAATTCGTCTTCGCTAATGGGAATACCACTGCTTCTCGCTACCTCGCGCAGTCTCTCCCCAGCTTGCACGCCGAAGCGCTGCGGCTTGACCTGAGATCGCAAATGCACGCACACCTTGGATCTGGTCGGGCTCGAGTGGTGAATGTACGTGTTGAACAGATCCACCACATCTCGCTTTGCGAGTTTGCGGAGCGAAGCGACGTCCACGTCTCGCTGCAGGAAGTCGTAGTATCCGGAATGAATGTGGAACCAGAAGCGACTCGACTCCTCGTACAGGTTTTTAGGCACCTCAAGCTTCTTGTGGATCAGGCTCTCGCGCTGCGCCAAAAATTCGCTCTCACTCAAACCTTCCAAGTGCGCCTTGAATTGGTCCAAGAAGGCATCGATGCGGGATTCGACGTAACGAGAATCCCTCTCGGACTGGACCAAGATGCGGAAGCCCATGCTGCCAATCGTCTTGCGGGGGCTGCTGAACACCAAGTAGCCGAGCTGTTCCTTGGTGCGAAGCTGATCAAAGACGGGCTCGGAAGCGATCTGAGCGAGCAGAGCAAGAGTGGCTCGCTGCTTGAAGTCCACTGGGTCTCCGATCTGGCAGTAGTACTCGACAGAAGAGTTGACGTTGTCAACATTGGCGACCTCCCGCGACCATGAGAAGTTGCATGGTCTCGGCAATATGAGAGAGCGATGGGACACAAGCTCGCTCGCAGCCAGGGGCTTTGGCGCGAGAATATCCTCAGCAAGAGCCATGAGCTCACCCGCTCGTGCCGGCGTGACATTTCCGTGCGCGAGCGTCTCGATGTGCAGGCGACCAAGGAGATCAGGGAGGAAACGCTGCAGATCGTCGGGCGTCAAGAGCTCTAGTTCGACTAGCTTTTCCTCTGCTGTCCACATGCGCTCGACTAAAAGGTACGTCATGTAGTAGTTGGCGTGCTGATATGGTGCCTCTAGGCTGAAATTTTGGTAGCCTCGTCGAACAGAGTCCTTGATGATGTCGAAACGCTTGGGATCCACTTTGAATTTGGCAATCTCCTCGAGGATGTAGCGACAAAGAACGGGAAGCTTGTGGCTGTATCCGTCGACGCTCAGACCGATACCATCAGCTTGCGATTCGATGTTGTATCCAAGACCGGCAAGCTCGGCGTCGTAGGAGTACTCCGTCAGCGCATCCTTGACAAGCTCTACGAATACGCGGGACTTTACGGCGTTGTTTGGAGTCGCATCGATGAGCGGACTGCGAAGAAGCATGAACAAATTGGCTTTGGGCATGAGGAATTGGTCATCGCGCTTGTGCCACAAACGACCCAGCGGCGTGTTGCTTAAAAGCGTTGGGCGCTTTGTGGGTCTGTAGCCTGGCTGGCGGAAAGCCTCGACGCTTGCCACTTCAAGGTCGGACGGCACAAAGTCGTTGCGTTTGGGCAACGCCAGTCCTTCCGACACATGACCATTGCTTGGCCTCAACAGCGTCTCAGGCAAGGTGGTGAGCTTGTACTCTGTTCCATACCACTTCTCCCTCGCTGCCCAGTCCTTTGATCCATCCGGCATGTTTTGCGCAGCTACCGTAATTCGGCAATTGGCGGGGGTGAGGCAGTCGATGGTCTTGCGAATGAGATCTTGATCGAACTCGCGCGTCAAGTAAGGGCCGGAGAGGACCCACTCGCGAGGGAATGGCATTTGCATCTGAGTCGCCAGAGCTGACGCATAAGATGCTGGCGGGACTTTCTCCTTGAAGCGGTAGGCCAGGTCGCAAAGCTGCTGCACCTCCTTGAAGGACCACTCGGGAACAGCGGAAGCGCGCAGCAAGTCAATGTATTGGAAGATGCCTTGGACGACTTCCTGGTAGTTTTGCAGTCCGCTTTGTGTGAGGTCGACGCTGATCTTGAAGAATTCGAAGCCGTCCGCTCCATTCGTAGCCCCAGCGCTGAGGTGATTCGCCCAGCCTTTGGCTTTGAGATGAGATAGGATCGATCCCACACCTTCGTGTCCCACGAAGTGGCTCACGATCTGACCAGGCTTGGAGCGGAAATGAGGTCCTTGATCAGGAATGGGAAAGGTCACATCGAGCAGGCGAATGTCCTTGACGCTACGGAAGAAGACCTGAGTCTGCAATTGCTCCGCTCCGAGCGGAGAGCCTGGGAAAGTAGGGGCTGCCACGCCTTTGTTGCGAACGCCAGAGAACTTGTCCACCACCCAGTGTGTCAATTGATCGAGGCTCTCTGCATAGCAAGGCATGCAGACGTGGTGAGCAATCCGCTTGTTGACTGCGCGTGTTCTGCTTTGTTCGCCAACGAAAAGAGCATGCCGCTCTGACCTCCGCTCTGCACTTCGACTCACCTCTGCCGAGAACGACCAACCGCATGACATTGGCGCTGTAGTACTTGTCGTGGAACTTGAGCAGCTCGTCCCGGACGTCCATGCCTTTGCCTTTCGGATCATCCCACAGCGTCTTGAGATTGCCCGTTCCGAAGTGCGAGTAAGGATGCCGAGGGTCGCTCAAGCTCTTTTCGAGCTGAAAAGACCGCCAAGCATCGCTTTGCAGATTCTTCTTGTGCTCCGAATCGACAGCTCTGATTTCCCGCTCGGTGCAGCCTGGATCAAAAAGCGGGCTTATAAAGAATTGGGAGAAGCGGTCGAGAGCGCCTTCGAGATGGGAGTGGCCCACGTCGAAAAAGTAGTTGGTGTTCTCCATGCCGGTGTATGCGTTCGAAGCACCGCTGTTGTTGGACAGGTACTCGCTGTACTCATTCTCCCTCGGGTACTTTTGGGTTCCCATGAAAAGCAGATGCTCGCAAAAGTGAGCCAAGCCCTGCAGCTCTTCCGGGTCCGACAAGTGTCCGACGCGAACGTCCATCGCTGCGCTTGCCTTGTCGGTCTCTGTGTCGTGAATCACGAGCGCCTCGAGACCGTTTGCTAGCCTGATGAGCCGATAGGATCTGTCATCTTGACCGCTCAGCTCCAGCGGCCTGGTAAAGACGGCATAGGATGCTGCGTCGTTGCCGTCAACACTGGGAGTGATCTCGAACCCGGGGGGTAGAGATTCCAAAGGAGCAGAACCGGAAATGGAAGTGGTAGCGGCCGTAGCCAGTGCTCGAGAGCTGCCGGGCGCGCGCGATGCTTCCGACATTTCGCTGGGGTGGGGGCGATGGGACGATAATAAGCGATGGGTTACGTATCGGCGACATGGACGCCATCAAGCGATGGGATGAATCCACATTGGCTTGGCACTCACCTGTGGAGCTTGATACGAGTCGCGTCGGTTGCGGCGTGGCTTGATTGGTCGCGAGTGCGAGTTGCGCGACGTGCCCGGTCGATCGGACCCGTATCGCCAGGCGCAGAGCGAGGTGAAGAGGTCGAAAGCTGCTTGGCGTGAAGCGAAGCGGGAGTCAAGCTAGCTCGAAGAAGAGAATCTAGAGCGATGCGAGCGGCAGACGAGACTGGTGATGCGGAAGAAGGTGTGCGATGAGCAGCGGCGGCAGTCCTGGCGAAGATTCGAGGAAGACCTCGCGCCGCGGATAACCGAAGAGGTAGCATGCGCGTAGGCCGATGCGCAGTCGCGATCGAGTCCCCAGCAGTCGCGTGAGTCGTGAGTCTCCTTTTGAGTCACAAGTCTTCTACGGTCGCGAGCGTACTTCGGTGCCCGTTGTCAAGGTGATTGCAGACTGCGTGCTGCAGAGAGGGATGCACTGAAGCTGCAGCTATTGATATAGGCGGAAGAGCGGGGCAGAGCTTATTGTGATTCGCAATCTCTGAGACTGATTGATGAAAGCTGAGAGCTTGGCAGCTGATGCTTGCTTGCTGTTTTGCTTGCTTGCTTGCCATGCAGGTTTGGCGAGGTTATATGGACGGCGCCGCGAGGCGGATGAGTGTGCTGTAGGTGAGGGATGGAAAGTGGAGCTGCGCAGTCAAGTCTCGATCCTCGTCCGTTTATTGCTGTTCTGCTCGTCTCGGCGTCACGAGAATGTGAGTTAATGTAGAATAGGTTCTTCTCAAACCTGGAGCGCGGCAAGCGAAGTCCCGTATATGCAGGCTGGCAACAGCTAGAAAGGACGCGCGGCCGCTGCTGCTGCGCCTAAATGAGAGACAAAGGGGTGAAAGTGTGCTTGCTGCTATAGCTGCTGGCGCTGCACAAACGCAGAGGTTCCCGGCAAGCGCTTACGTGTTTGCTGTCGCGGCTGATGGATCGAGTTACAATAGTGAAAGGTTTGCTGTGATTCGTTTGTTCACGTTGCTGTCTATCCCGTGCGCGCATACATATGTGTACGGTATAGCTGCTGCTGCGAAGCGGGCGCCACAAAGTCGGGCAGGGCGCAGCAGACATCAAACAGCATGCAGCAACGCGCGGTGAACGGCGTCTGCGTTCGCCGTATATAGTGAGCCGTTGCATTCACCTTCAGAGCTGGAGAGAGTCGCGACATCGATTCAAGTCACGACTCGTGACTACACGATTCATGCGCGTGACCCGCTGCTGCTGTGTGAAACACCCCGTCGCACACGTCATCGCAGGTCTCATATGCGCTCCGAAAACTCAAGATCACGTGGAGCTCACAGCGCCCCCTGCAGCCATGCAGCATCGATGCTATATATGAGCGCGGTTTCTATTATGACTGGATGCTTGACACGCAACGTCGACCGACATGTCTCTCGGCTTCGGGCTCAGCGTAGCTAATCACGAACGCCATGCTCAACGGCAGCCTCGGTTCTCAATGACGACAGCTTTCGCCGATCGTGTTAGAACTTTGCATGCCTGTGCGGCATCGCAATCTGAATCTTGATGATTCCAAGCGCGGTTGCAAATCCTTTGTCCACCGCGCAGCAGTTCTCGGCCGGTAGAAGGCGAGCATTGTATCGCGCAAGCGCAGCGCGGCTATGTCAATTTAGCCGCAATCACGAGTTGAACAACCACGCCAAGGCTGATCGACAAAGGCATTCCTTATTCACCTCTCGCAGTCTTCGACGCTCTCCTCGAGAAAGCACGATAGTCACCATTCGTTGATTCGCTCACATACTCGCGCGAAGAGGCATCCCTCCTCAGCCTGTGGTGGCACACACAAGCTGAGCTTTGCTACCTCTTCTTCGAGCTATCGTCTCCTGCAAGCGAATCCATGATGTTCCGTTCGGCTGCGGAGCATCGCACATCCGTCAGAAGTCGCCCCTAGCCAGCTCAGAGATGGCAGATCCGAGCGGCGCCAAGGTACGATCTTCTCCTGTCAGCGCAGAAGCGACCCTCGCGTCATCAGCTGAAAGTCTGAAATGGCACGTCTTGGGTGTATTCGCTGCGGCTGCAGCCCTTCTGTCGCTTTGGGTTGATTCAGTCTCGCTACCAACGTGGCTCTGTAACATCTTCGCCATCTGCTTCACCCTATTCGCTTTTACAGCGATACCAGCATCGGTCGTAGTCCTTGCTTACCTGGCAGACCAACGCCAACTTCTCCGCACTCGTGATGAGCCTCGCCTTGACGGGTCATCTCGACCACAGCTTTCGTTCACTCAACCCACCGCGTGGGCCAAGCTTCGTCGGGATATCAACAGACCTCGACCTCCCACCTCATCTTTGTGGCCAGCGAGCAAGCCCCTGAGCGATGTTGCGGATACCATAATCAAGTGGACCATCCGCGACTTCGTCTCTCCGTGGCATACGCCTCTTACAGCGCGTAGTGGTTCGGGCGGTGAAGTGACGTCCAGCAATTTCTTGCGTGCTGTGGACCGCGCTCTGCGGCATGTCCTGCGCACGCTGGGCGAAAGTGGATCTCGGCTCGACCTGTCAACCCTCGTTGTCCGCGGAGTCTTGCCGAAAGTGACAAGTCACATCAGTGTGCACCGCAAAGCTGTGCTCCGACTCCATGGACCTCCTCTGGCAGGGGCAGGGGACCCGAACCAGCTTTCAGGAGACTCAACTACGGACATTTTCCTTGCAAAGGCGTACGAGGCCTGCGGAGGCTCGCTGCATGCTGCTGTCGCATCAACCTCGACGCTAGACACTCGACACACCGAACAAGCTCATTTGCGCTCCAGCGCCGAACGTATCCTGGCCGTGCTGTTGCCTGAGGAAGAGCTTCGCAGCCCAGCTGTGCGCATCGTCGCACGGGAACTTCTCGCCTGCACTGTCCTCGCGCCGCTGGTCGACTCTTTGTCGGACCCAGACACCATCAACTCGATGCTCGAGCATCAGGCTTCTGTCGCACTGCAAGAGCAGAAGCTGATCACCCAGCTCCGTGAGACGTTGGACAGAGAGCAAATGCACTCGCGCACCAGAGGCGGCAAGGACTCGCATCTCTCGTCTTACAACGACGTCGCTCTCAGTGACCGGATCAAGCGTGGCCCCGCGTCAGGAATACCCTCCCCTCTCGCCATTCGTAGCATGGACGAGGCACAAGCTCGTCGGCTCAAGACCGCTCTCGTGCGCGAAGCTAACAAGATGCAGAGTGTCACCGGCGGGAGCGGCTTGCAAACAGACTCGACACGGCAGTACAAGCGTATGAAAGAGGGCATCGTGGCTGTCGATGCTCGGCTTGCCCAGCTCGATAATGTCAAGTCTGAGGCTGTTGCCAAAGCCTTGCCAGCGGACGACGTGCCAAAGCACATGGAACTCGACACCACTTTTGACCCGGCTCCAGTCACTCTGCAGACCGTTCTCAAGAATTCGCTCGCTTTGTCTCATTTCCTAGAGTGGATGGAACGTCGAGGCGCAGGTCAGCTCGTGCAATGCTGGATGTCGATGTCCGTCTTTCGACAGCCGCTCGAGGAGGTCGATAGCGATGCCGAAGAAGAAGATGCCGCGCGCCATTCGGCTCGGTCCCAGAACGCTTCGCGAGATGCTCTTGACGTTCTCCTCGCGGACCTGCGACCGTTCGTGGACCACTACTTCTCAGGACTCACCTGCATCAATATCCGAGACAAAGAAGCGGTCATTAGGGCTACGCAAGAGTCGTCTAAGCCTAACGCTGTCATGACGCACACAGAATTGAAAGCGGCACGGAGGAGCGTCCTTAAGGCTCATCATCAGATAGAGATGGAGCTCCTTGAAGAATACTGGCCAAGCTTTGTTCGAAGCCGCGCTTTCGCACGAGCTAGGCGAGAGCTTGCACGCGACACCGGCTCGGACGCACGGCAGCTGCATACTTCTCAAGCTATCACGTCCGCTGATCGTTCGCGACGAAGCATCGACGACGAAACAGTGGAACAAGCAATGGATCGAAGCATGCATTCTGCTGACCTCTTTGGGCACGAGCCGATCCACCGAACGCGGTCCGCTTCGCTCGCGCTTCCAACACAAGCCGGCACTGAGCCTCTTGCAAGAACTCGCGGCATTTCGAAGGTCGCCAGGAAAGGCAGCCGTGCAACACACAATCTCGACCTTTTGATTGGCGGTGCTGGTACTGTTCGCAGCCCGAGCGAAAGGCCTCCGCTTTTCCGCGAGAGTCTGTTTGAGGATGGAGAGGCTGATGATAGTGCAGACCAGAATGACACCGAAGAAGCGCCACTCACCCTTCGAGCAGACCGGATGGACGCTTTGGCCGATGCCCTTGCTAACCTCATCGCCGATGATGGTGCGATCGCTACATCCGGTGAACGGGTGCTGTCGCACCTGACTAGCACGCATGCAAGTAACGTGAATAGCTCAAGCTGCTCTTCATGGGCGGCGCGTCCCTCTTACAGAACCGGTACAAGGGGATCAGCAACAGCAAAGCAAGACTTGCGCCCTGCATTCAAAAGATCGTCGAGTGGACCTATTTCGGATGGGCCTCGCTCCAGCCAACGTGACAGAGTCTTTGGTGACGCCGACAATCCTGACAAGAGCGCGAGCTCCTGTGTCTCAGGAGAAGGCGATGCAGTGCCGCTCGGCGAACCTAGTGCAGCTCCTTCATCCTCTACTGCTAACCATTCTGCGGGGGCGGGGGCGGTGCCGATTGCTGAGTCAGAGCTCGCTTTCGACTTTGTACGTGAGCATACCAGACTCTGCGCGGATGAGGAGCGCGTACGGCGCCAGCATGAGCTGCTGTCGGCCCTCATTCGCAAAGCAGAACTTACCGGCGCTGGTGTCAAGGAGCTGCGGCTATTGACACAGAGCCAGAAAGCAGCGGCTCGTGATCTCAGCCAGCTTTCACTAGCCCACGCTGAGCTGCGGGAGCGCAAGGCACGTTCGAGCCTTGTGATGGGATTGGTTGATGTCTCGATACCGTTTGAAAGTATCATGGCTGCAGAAGTGGGCGCAAAAGATTTTGCAGTGTATCACATCCAGGTCGATAAATTCTCGGCAAGGTCACAGGTGACGGAAGAAGACGCGCGGGAAGACCCACAAGAGGCACGCCCTGTCGAGAGCGGCTGGGTTGTTGCGCGTCGCTACAGCGAGTTTGCGGCCTTGAACGACCACCTCTCCAAGCGCTTCTCTGAAGTACATCGCGCGAAAAGCCTGTTCCCCAGCAAGCGAATAGTGGTCTTCTCACCATCGCCTCTAGTCGAAGGACGTCGGCAATCGCTAGAGAATTGGCTCAGGGTAAGTCTGTCTCCATTGTCGATGACCTCGCGATGCTCATTCGTCGTGTTCCTCCATTTTCTCAGGCCTTGCTCCTTATACCCACTATCTGCACAAGCCCAGAGCTCGAAGCATTTCTAAATCCAGCGCAGATGCACGTCCTCCAGACGACGCTTGAAGCCGCCGTCAAAAGCTCGGGCATGGCTACAGCACCAACGCTCAGCGACAGGAGCATTGCGTCGCCGATGGATGCCGCCTTTGAGATGGTTGTCGGCCTCACTGACTCTTTGGGCATCCCTTTGCCGGCCATCGTGAGCAGTCGCCAATTTCTGACAGCCGGACTTGTCGGCCGCACTATGGGATCGACACCTGTGCCCGAGTCGCCGCTGCAGGCAGAGTCACAAGGCGAGATGACATCGACGCCTTTTACAGAGCCCATATGTGCGCTGCTGTTTGAGGTGTTCCAGCTCAGCGAAAAAGACCAGTGGTTCAGACGACAATCGCTCGTGATCGTGCTACAGCAAGCCCTGGGCGGCACCATCGAGCGGTCAGTCTCCGTTGTGCTTTGACCAATGCGGGGGGTTCAATCTGAACGCTCCTTCTCCCGACTCAACACCACAGCAAAATTCGCGAAGCCTTTTCGAGCGGAACCTCTCCTTTGGCAATGACGCGCCACTTGACGAAAGTGCGCGAGAATATATGGCCAAATGGTAGCTTGAAGAAGCCCGCGCCAGTCCGAAGTCAAGCTGAGAAAGACTCGCTCAGGATCAATTCGCTTCGACAGTGCTACGCATTGGTACCGGACATAGCCGCGAGCTTCATGGGCAAAGAGAACGCGCGAAAGGGGGCGCGCGATGTGCACTCTGTCTTGCAGAGCAAGCGCTTGAACAAGTCTCTGATATACTCTGTGCTCGATCTCTTGCTCGACGAGTTGGTGGAGAAGTCGAGGCAAACGCCCGTGTAGGGGCGCACCATTGCATTGCCCCTTTGCAATTGATCTTCACCAGTCAAGACTATCACGAATGCCTAGATTGTCGACACCATGATGGACGCTGTGGACAATGTATAGTATTGCAACTCGCACTACAGCTTGCCCAGCCGCGTGGCCCCATCCAGCCTGATGAATGAACCGTTCTTGACGATCAATCGAGGTAGCAGAGCAAGGTCGCGCAGGATCTTAGCTTGACATGATTCCAGCGTGTATGCTACCACCTCTCCACCGCGCACTCACCAACATGGAGTTTTCGATGCACGCGATGACGGCGTGTGCAAACTCTTCGGGATGTCCAAAGCGAAGCGGAAACTCTGCAGTGCGCAGGATCGCATCTTTCGCCCTTTGTGGCAGACGTTCCATCATTGGCGTAGAGAAGAGCGCCGGCGCAAGGGCCTGCGCAGAGGATATTTAACGAGCGCGACGGCAGATACATCAGCAACTTGGTGCTGACGATGCCAACAAGCGTGCCTCTGCTTGGAACACACGCACCATCACCCGAATGCCGTACCATGCCAAATCTCTGCAGGGAAGAGAGAGCAAGTAGGCCCCGATGCTGAGCATTCTCCGCGCTCATCGCGTCTATCATCACCGAGCGCAAATCTCTCACCTAGCCATGGGCATGCTCATACCGACCACGCCACCTTTGCTAGCGGAGTAAGATACCTGACCCGTCTGGCCTTCGAAAGCAGCCGCACTAGCGGTATTGATGATGACGCCCCTATCCTGCGTCTCGCTGTTTGGCTTTTGAAGAGGTCTGGGCAAATCTCGAACGATGCGGGCTGCGGTCAGACGAGAAACGTTGAAGGTGCCCACCAGGTTGATATCGACGACTTTTTTGAACGTGTCCAGATTCTACAGGGAATTTAAAAGATGTGCGCGAAATTCAGAAAAGGATGAGCTGCGCGCCTAGAGTTGGAAAGGATTGCAAAACATCGAGACTTACAAACGGCTCGCCTTCCGCATCGATGATCTTGACGAAAGCGCAGGAGAGCAAAGCAGCTCTCTCTTTCAGCTCAGAAGTATGTGCGGCCACATGGCTTTCTCGCCGCTCTCTTCCCCTCCCCGCGGCACTTCGCAGCTCACCTTTCCAGCCATTCCAACACCTCCACAATTGACGCATCCAGCCACCGTGCTGCCTTTCCACTTGTCGTCCGCAGCCTGGATGGCCTGGCGCACGTCCTCCTCCTCCGTCACATCCACCTCACCCACCAACGTCCTCTCTCCTCCCAATTCCTCGCTCAACCGCGTCGCGCCCTCCACATCCAGATCCCAGATCGCTACGTGAGCCCCTTTTGCGTGCAGACCTCGGACCGTCGCTGCTCCCAGTCCGGAAGCGCCGCCCGTCACGTAGAAGATGTGATCGGCAATCTTCATTGGGTCGTCGTGGGGGTGGGAAGGGATGACAGCTTGCTCAAACCGCTCGGTCAGATGGAGCAGGGGCAGAGTATGGAGTATCTTGAGAGTTTGAGAGTGATTCGCTGGACTGACATGTGACGCATCAGTTGCTCTTCCTTGGACTGTGGTACGTGGCCGTTTCGACCACAGTCGCAACAAGTCCTGATGAGTACAGGTACCGAACAAGCATGCAGCAGCAGCAACGCTGCTGGGATGCACGACGCATACATCCGTGTACCTGCGCGTGCGCTCCCCTCTCGGCTCTCGGCCCAACGAAATCCCGCGCCGGCGCGGTGTTGCGATGTACCTTTATCACGTGATGTACTGAGTCGGCGTAACCGCATGCACGCAACGCATACACAACCACATCCGAGGTGGATTAGCCGTCGGGGTCTCGGAGCATCAGCAGAAACATGCAGCTGATGAGAGAATCACGATCGCGAACGAGGCGGATGGATGGCGCTGCATGGGAGAGACTAGCCGGCGGGGAAGAGGCACTTGTGGAGGTGCATCCCGAGAAGCAGCATGCAAGCAAGGCTGCCTGTCACTGCACGCTGTCGGGCGACATTCGAGATTCCATCAGCAGCAGCAGCAGCAGCACAAGTCATGCCTTTGGACGCTGGCAGTGTGTGTCACTTCGCTCGCTGGCTCCCTTCCACATCCATTCACAAGGTCAAAGGACCTTTCCCACCATCACACGCGTACCGTCACGCGTACTGCACCTTTCAGAGCCTTGTTCAGTACCTTCTCTATTTAAGATGACGGGAACAGCGATGCAGAAGCAGCAGCAGCAGCTTCCTACATTGATGAAGGGTCTCACCCTAGACCAATTCGTCACGGGTCAGGACAAGGAGGAGGCGCCCTACAAGCTCAAGCATGATCTCAAAGTGCCTTCGTGCAGTGCAGACGAGGTCGTCATCCACATTGCGGTCGCTGCAGTGTGCCACACCGATGGCATGGTGGTGAGGGGAGAGTTTGAGCACATGATGAGGAGCGGATTGCCTCTCATTCCCTCCCACGGTGAGTTCATCCCCATCACGGCTTCGCAAGCAGCAATGCATCCTCACACACGACCAACTTCTCCCCTTTCTCCTCCCCCCCTCTCTCTCTCTCCCTCTCCCTCTCTCGCCGCCGCCGCTCTCGACTTTGCCCGCAGAGCCAACGGGGATCGTGGCAGCGATCGGAGAAAGAGCAGCCAAGAACTTTGCGGATAGTCCCGGTGCGGGAGGTGCAGGTCCGCTCAAGATCGGTGATCGGGTTGGCTCGCTCGCTTTCAAGGATTTCTGCGGCGAGTGCGAAGACTGCAAAGCGGGCAAGCCGAGGTACTGCGAGAGTGAGTGGTCAGAGTTGCGAGGTGCTTGGCGCTTGGTGCTGTGTGCGTGCGCGCGCGCGCGCCCGCGCGTGTGTGTTGGCATCAGCAGCGGCATCTTTGCACACCTTTGGCCCAGAGTACTCTCCATCTGCTCAGTGACTGACTCGATCTCGCCTTTGTGACTAACATTTTGCCCGCTCATTCGTAAACAGATCAAGACATGTGCGGTGTGACGGCTAATGGCGGCCTGGCAGAGTACATGGCAGCAGACTATCGCAGCGGTGAGCATAGTCGTCCAAAGTCGAGGCTTGAAGGCAGAAGCGCCCAAAGTCAAGCGAGCTCCGTCCCCATCTTGCGCATCGCTGACCCGCCATATTGCACGACCCTCACCACCTTCCTCCACCTTGCGCCTCTCGCCCAGTCGTTCGCCTGCCCGACGAAGTCTCCTTCGAAGCGGCTGCGCCTCTTTTCTGTGCCGGCGCGACCATCTTCGCAGCCATCCGAGCATGCGATCTGAAAGCGGGGCAGAGAATCGCAATCGTGGGAGCCGGAGCGCTGGGCCACTTGGGCGTTCAATTCGCAAAGTGTCTCGGACTGCACACCATCGTGGTTGATGCTCGAGATGCTCCTTTGGAACTGTGCAAGGATCTCAAGTACCCGCCCGATGAGATCTTGAATGCCAAGGATGTCGACGTCAAGCGACCCGAGACGGTCAAGAAGGCCATCGAGAGCATAGGCGGACATGCCGATGCCGTTGTGCTTGCCACAGACACCATCCCAGCCTGCGAGTTCTCTTTGGAGCTCACAAAAAAGGTGAGAGGGAGAGCGAAGCCCTGACGCAGGGTTTCGAGGTGCGCGATGCATGCACGTGGCCTGTGCTCCTTGCGCTTTCCAATCCCGACACTGACTCCTCCCTTCGCACACCTTCGTCTAGCACGGCCTCTTCATGGTAGTCGGTCAGCCCAACCTTCCAATCCCCGTGCCATTCCATCACGTGCGTATAAGCTCAAGCTGCAAAGATCCAGGTTTTGACAATAAGCCTGATCAACAGCAACGCGCCCCCGCTTTCTACGCAGCTCGTCTTCCGCGACGTCACCATCAAGGGAAGTCTGCTGGGTGATCCGGCGGATGTGAGCGAGATGCTCAAGGTGATTGCGGACAAGGGTATCGAGGTAAAGACGAAATCGTACCCTTTGGAAAAGATACACGATCTCTTGGTGAGTCGCTCCTCTTCGCCTTTGTGTAGTGTGCTCCATGTCGAGCCACACATTCACAATGCAGCCGATGCCTCCTTTGTCTTGCGACAGACCGACTACAGCAAGGTGAGCACAAAGACTTCGCCAGTCTCGTCCTTGGTTCGCTCATCGCTTACCCCCCACTACGGTCCACACAGCCCGGCCACGCAGGAAAGCTTGTGGTCCGAGTCAGCGACCACCAATAAGGATGGTGCGCAAGCCCAGTCCAGACCGACGCTCCTAGACCATTCTGCTTCCTACTGCAGTCCACCTCGTCGACTTGTCTTGATTTCCTAGCAATGGATTGCTGCATTTCTTCAGGAGTCTCGTCTTTTGAGAGGCGGCGCCCTGTTGCGGGTCAGGAGAAGAAGTTGGGTGTGAGCATCGAAGGACCAGGTAAGCCGCTTGGACCAGCAAGCTCAGGCACAGGGAACGAGGCTGTGCACCATTTCCCACGCCGCGCGAGACCCAAGCATTCTAGCCATGCTGGCGAGGCCAGGGCATCAAGAAGGGAACGGCTGGTCGCATCTAGGAGAGTATGTACTTTGGCGTGGGAGGCACACCTCAGTGGCGTGCCTCTTCCCCTGCTTGGAACAGTCTCCGAGCCAAGGCTTTTTTTTTTCTTTCCAAAACGCTATTCTCACTTTCTGCTTCTTGCAAGATGCAATGAGCCGAGCGTCCATCCGAGTTCACAGAGCCAATTCCGCCCCGCGCCTCTTCCGCTTACTGCTGCTCCCACGCAACGCAGCCGCTGAGAAGTCTGAGTGGGGCGGGCCCACGAGCAAGAGGTTGGTTGCATGTGGGCGGTGGTGTCACATGCTCGCACGAATGGACGAAGACTACGATGGCAGGTGTCGTCTGTCCAGCTTCGAACGTCGACCCGATATAGCAACTTGGTTCCTTGTCTCACCTTCCTTGCATGCGTGGCACGCATCAGACTCGCAAAAGCTGGCAGCGATCGAGGCCCCCAGCACGAATGGATTTGCCCAAGGAAAAGGCTCCTCCAGCAGCCCTCACACTCAGGTCCCACCAGCGGAACTGCCTGCGTTGCCGCGGGACCGAAGGTGCGCAATCAAAGAAAGATGAATGGCGAATGACGTCATGAACTTTGAACCTCGCCGACAGGAGCAGCTGCTGCAACACTTTTGGCGTTCCGCGTCGGATAGGCCATCAGCAACCTGCGAAGCGAGCTCCGCATTCCAAAAAGTGTGATTGTGGGAACAAAATCAAGGAGATCGGCATCTCAGTTCTCCCCGTCCCCGCCTTTGGCGCTAATACCCACGAAGGGTCGCAGTTGTGACCACAAGAGACGAAAAAGAAAAGCTCGGACGTACGAAGAAGCGAACAAGCGGACCCGTATCATTAGCCTGGCGGATTAAGATTATAGATGCGGGGTCACCAATCAAGGGGGGCGGCTAGATACAAGTCTCCCGCCACATGTCTCACCTTACGGCTGACCGCAGCGGAGCTTATTGCAACCCTGCACGTATATATATATATATATAGCACGCTGCACAATTCCCACGCTTGCTCGATCGCAGCCAGGCGCGCGCACTGGATGCTGCATGGGCCCCAACGCCTCCTCCGTGTACAAGATAAGAACAGTCGACTTTTTTTGGAAACCTTTACGAGTGTTGCGTATCCATCAAAGGCTGTCTAGACCGCCGGACATTAGTACAATGCGCTGACCGAGATGCGCAGCGGATCGGGAAACCTGCCAATGCAAAGTCTACCAGGTCCCGCGCAGCTCAGAGGGGTGCCGTGTGAAGTCTACCACCGAGGTAGCCTGCCGATGCCTCGTCTCAAGTTGTTTCTGCAGCTTTCCAAACGGGAGCTTCGCTTTGGGCTTTGGAAGAGGCACATTGCCCCCCGGTGCCCTGCGCGCGTCGCACCTGCCTCGCTTACCGAATTCAATTGCGATCACCAAGGCCCACGCTCACACGCCTCTCGAGGAGATTAGGGTGGATGGATGCAAGCATTGCATTGACATTCGGAATCGTGGGCCAATTTGCGCAGCTTCGCAATTGACTCAGTGTGGGATAAGCAATGAGTGTGTCGAGGTTGCTTCTTGGCAACGTACAGATAAATGTGATAGGTGACGTCGAGTGTGGGGATGAAAGGTGTTGGGGATGAGGAGGGTACAATGGAGACCTTGCTTGGGCCCGGAGAAGATCTTTGAACTTGCTACGAGACTGTGATAATGAGATGTTGCACATTTGATACCGTGTTCGAAACAATGACCGCGGAGCGATGTCGATGAGGAGGCTAATGTTGGCATTGAAGGAGCAGATGACTGATCGAAAGACGATTCGGATCGTTTGGACGAGACTGTATGAAGACAGGTTGAAGGAGATGAGAGCAGACCGGACTGGAAGGCGAGAGCCGTGTCGAGGCGACATCGACTAGTAGCCAGAGGACTGGTGTCCTCCGAGCATGCGAGCGAGCAAGTTGCCGCTGCTGCGACTGGTGCGAATGGCGTGAGACTGTTGCTGTTGCTGAGCCTGAAGAGCCGACATGTCTGGCATGCCGCTGGCGCTCTTGCGCAATCCTGCTGGAATAGCGCTTTGAATGTAGCGGTGCATCGAAGGTACTGCTTTGGTGGGCTGCACAACGTCGCTCTCCAGGCCGTAGCCAGCTCCGGCACCGTGTTGTATCTCGCTGCTTTCCATGTACTGGTCTTCTCCTTGGATCTCGTCAAAGTCTTCCTCGTCGTCGTCATATTCGTCTTCAGCCGAGGAGCTGCTCGATCCATTGTCGTCAGTGAGCTCAGCCTCCGACGACGCAGAGCTGCCTGTAGACTCGTGGCTCTGCTGGCGGCTCATCATGGCGCTGGCAGTGCGGCGTTGAGCAATGGGCGCAGGCGAGACTGGCGACGGTGGAGCGTTGGTGGGTGGACGTCCCATGGAAGGAGCGACAGACGACGGCGCGCGGACGGTCTTGTGCGCGTTCCAGCAAGGAACCTCCTCTGCAGGCAATGCACGCAAGTAGACGCGGCGCTGACTCGCGCGCTCGTAGCGTTCGCACTCTCGCCCGGCCTCGCAGCTGCGGAGAGCCATTTGACGGCGACCGCGCGTAGCACGGTCCTCTGCGTGGTCGACGAGGAAAGGCGAAAAGTGCTCAAGAAGCTCGTCCTCGTTGACGCGCAGATCGTAATCCAGCAGGTACAGAAGCTGCTTCTCCATGAGGTTGACCTCGTCAAGGGCAAAGAGACTGCAATATTTGGTCCAATGCTTGTTTCTGGGCGAGGAATCGTTGAGGTACTTGGCTGCCACGATGAGGGTGGCCAGGAAGACACGGTGACGAGTGCAGTGCATGCCTGTGACGGTAAAGAGGAGAAGTGCAACGGTCAGTCGCGGCGCCTAGACGTGTGCAAAGCTGCGAGCAAGGTGAGGCTCACCCTTTGCAACCTGTGGCAGTCGAGACTTGAGACGGTCGAGGTAGACGAGCGTGGTGAGCAGGGTGGGAGCCTGCACGTTGCTCTTTTCCACCAGGTATGCGATGAATGTCTCCAACGAAGGCAAGCCGTTGACCTCTGCTCTGCCCGCTGGGTCCTGCTCTGCCTCCGCCAGCGACTTTGTAGGTGTGGCGGGTGGTGTGTCGAGGCCTGATGCAGTTCCACATTGGATGACGTGGGCGGCTTTGCAAGCAAGGTATACTGGGATGAGTGGGTACATGTGCGTGTCAGTCGTGCTGCGCCGCGCCATCGCGCGTGCAGTAAGGAAATGACTCACCGACCATGTCCCTAGACACGGGCATCTTGATCATGTCCAACAGCGCGGGGTCGTGGCACAGCTTGGGGATCAAGCTCATTGGGTGACGACGCATAGCGCTGCTCTGACGGCCGGACGACGAAGCGTGGACGGAAGCCATTGTGATCGTGTCGGTGAGTGCTGGGGAGATGATCGGGGTCGGTGCAGGTGGTCTCAAGCGATAGACGAAGAGCGAGTCCTGCGAGTGTCGGGTAATTCAGGTCGATGTTGTGACGGTGCCCGAGACGTTGTCGAAGACGATGACGGTGAAGCGTGATGAGGGTGGTGGATGGTGGATGGTGGAGGGGGTGTCGATGATGAGCGCGGGTTGGGAGATGGATGGAGGAACGGGGAAAGGAAAGGGAAGACGAAAAGGGTAAGTCTTTTGACACCAATCGGGGTGAAGGATGGGTCGAGTAGAAGGTGAATGGATGAGACATAGCTGATTAAGAAGGTCTTGGGCCATTGCGCACGCGCGTAGCGGACATGCCATGCCATGCCATGCCATGCCATGGCACATGACATGACGCTCAGGCACAGGCGCGCAAGCACGCACGCACGCACGCACGTCAAGCATCCGATGCTGTGAGGCGCGTGCCGTATGATGTGCGTCCTGCGTATCGGCCCTGTGCAGCGGTGCGGCTTGCATGAATTCACTCACCGTATGCGGGCTTGCTTCCTGGATTTCGTGGCGCGGCAAGGGGAAGAATGCCCGAAAAAGCTGCTGCGTGGGCTGCAGCGCTGTAAAGGTGTTGTTTGTGTTGATGCTGACGTCGAAGGGGTAAACGTCAATAGAACAGGGGATCGGTGGGAAAGCAAGGAAAGGCAGGGAGGAAAGGGAAGGGCGGGCGGGGGCGGGAAAGGAGGGCAAACGGTAAAGGCCCGCGGGGAGGGCAAGGCGGGCAAGGCAGGAGACCAGGCGTGGGCTAATCAATAGCAGCGGTCCAGTCACGGTCGTGAGTGGTGAGTGTCGAGTTCTCGATGCAAGGCGGGCACAGCAAGCTACTGCAGCAAGCGAGATCGAAGGCGCGTGAGCCGGCGCGCGGTCGGAGTGCAAGGAGGTGAGTACTGAAGAGGTCAGCCGTTACGTATGCCAGGGGTCGCTACAGCATGCGCGTGGCTCCCAGCGACTTGGCTCGGATTATTTGCAGCTGTCGCCACTCACACTTCTCTACTACTCGAGACTGTTGTAGCAGCAGCACGAAATGGTGCGAAGACGCAGGATCCAGATCAGCGCTGCACGTCTATATGCACTCGACCACGGGTTTCGATAATGCGAAAGGGTGTTCGTAGTGACTGCTGCTAATCCTCTTGCTGCTTGATCGGCCCGGTCGATGTCCTGATGGTGCAAGTGTGGCTGATAAGGTCGATAGACCAGTCTCGATCGCAAGGAGAGTAAAGAGTGGATGAACAAGCAGGGCCGTCGCACACGAGCCGGTCGTGTACGGAGAAAGAGGGGGGAAGCAATCTCAAAAGTGTTGAAGTGAAGGCAAACCGGTAAAGGGCGACAGAGGAGAGGAGAGCAAAAGGGAGGGGGGAGGGCGAAGCTGGAAAGTTCGAAGATGCGCAAACAACAAAGATCCGGCTTTGCTGCTAGGCAGAAGAGAACGAAGATTAAGGTGTGGGAATTGGTGGGAAAAGTGGTGAAGGAAGATGCGGGATCAGCAGAGCGAAGCGATCTATGCCCTTGAGAAAGAGATGGCAAAAAGTGGAGTGGAGCGAACTCAGTTCACCGAGCCGAGGCACGATGATCATGGATGGGCCAGTGAGTAGGTGATCCATGCAGCCCAGCTTCCCGCCCCTCTTCGCCATGAACATTACTCTGGCCAGTCGGCTGGCTGCCTCCCCTCGATCGATGCTCTCAAGAGCCCATGGAGGCGTTGGGCGTGCACGCGTGTTGAGTGAACGCCACACCTTCCTAGCTGAGCGAGAGAGGCCTGGACCGAGCTTCACCAGCAACGAAACGCGGGACTGTGGATGTCGCCGGGCTTTCTTGGGCCCGCCCCGCGGTGCTGTCGCCGGGCTTCTTGGGCCCGCCCGCGGTGCTGTGTCCAGGAAGTTGGGCCCAGCGGGCCTTGGCGGGCCACAACGTTTACTAAGCCCGTGACTGTGTTGCTTGCTTCTGAACGCGAGAGCAGCAACGACGGGCCGCCCAAGTCGTTGGTTCGGGCCTTGAGTATAGGTGTCATGCGGCTTGGACGCGGCAGATGAGCAGCCAAGAGGAGCAGGAATGTTGGGAGCGCCATGAAAATGACATGACCTGTCGGTAACAATTAGCGTCTGGCCTTTTGCGATGGCGCGTGGCTGGCGGTTCACAGGCTCATCAAGGTTGTGCGTCCGTCTTAGCGGATTATCTAAAGGCGAGCGTGCGAACTAACGAAAGGGCCAGCCAACACCCACCGTCCCAGCTGCATGCATGCATGCGGCAGCTGACGAGCAGAGCGGGCGGCCAGCAGGTCGCACGCCTTTTCTCTCCCTGCACAGCTGCTGCTGCTGCTGCAGCTTAGATTTAACGATGCTGCAGAAGCGACCTGCTGTGTGCGTGATGGGCGCGCGTCCCCGGCAGCACGCCTGCCTCATGCCTGCCTGGTCGGTCTTCTTCCATTCTCGGCTAGACAAATCGCGGCGAGAGTTGCCGCTGCTCCATACCCACGACTTCAAAGCATCGGTAAAACGTCTGATGCTCTTTCCCGCCTCGCTGGCCTTTCGCCAAGCCTGTGATTCTCACGCCCGAGGTCGCTCAGGACTCGCAGTGGTCGCTGCTGCTGCTGCTGCTGCTGCATGCAGCCGCCAGTGCACGTACTCGACGAGTGCTGCACATAGGGTACACGTGTAGGGTCCACACATACAATCACACCGAACAATCTTGAATCAAAATCACGAATCTGATGAGTCGAGTACCTTGCTTGCTTCCGTCATCTATACACTTCGTAAGGATTAATTTGCTTCAGTCAGCAAATAGCAAATGATAGCGAGCAGCAAGGGCCGGCCTTCCGTGCGGGTACTAGTCTGCGCTGCATATGCTGTTGTGGCGGGTCTCCGCCAGGCCCCGATCGCGCAACCTGATGCTACAAATCAAATGTGGCAAGTTTTCGCCTTTACTTGCTCTTGCTCGCTTGGAAGTTGTGCCCAACTTTAAGTGACCTTGAGCAACCTTTGCGATCGAGGTGCCATGCGTACGGATTCGTGATGACCAAGTCTGATGAGTATAATGAGACGCATCTCTCGCGCTGCGCCCCACCCCCGCGGGCGCATGGAGAGGTTGCTTGCTGCCTTTTGGAGAGATCGCCCGACGCGCTAAGGATCAGCAATCGGGCGCACGAGTCGCCTAGCTTGCATGGCACTCGTGACTTGTGTTACGTATGGGGAACCATGCAGCACCCGGAAAGATCGGTCAGCGTTGCCCTCCGCCTCACAGAGCGGCAGATCACGAGTCATCTTCTGGAAGCACCATTCGAGCGCCCTTACCAGCAGAAAAATACGTCATCAACAGAGCACTCGTCACTCACAACCAAGGCTCTTGACAAATTCTCTCAGACACTCCTCTGCCCAGGATCGAGATGGCCGGTCTTTAGAGTGATGAGCTTCTTTCCCGTGTTGTCACACCGTGTCAGGCTTCTTCGACGTCATGATGGACGCAGCGCCTTGATCTCGGGATGTCAAGCGAGTCTTCAGTCCTTTGCGGCTGATCAGCCGTCTTCTTCTTTTTTCCAAACGATCCCCTTCAGCAGACCATGTGACTCCGCGCGCCGGCTAGCTGCGACATGATGCCGGTGCACGGAACAGACCCTTCTGGACACCTTGTCGGGATCGTCATGAGAAGATGCGTGCAGTCTTCCATGGGCTTGCGAATGACAACTCCGATGGATGGGGAGCACGGATTGTTCGCACGCTTGAGCCTGCGTTCCGTCCCGCCGCGCGCGCGATTTCCCATCTGCCAAGCGCGTGCAGCAGCTAGCAACGCAGGCGCGCAGGCGCGCAGGCGCGCAGAGATCCTCCGTGTGAGCAAGCAAAGCAAAGCAGCTATAGAGCACAGCTTCACAGCACAGCACAGCAGGCAAGGCAAGAAAGCGAGCTATCGAGTGAGTTGCTTGCTCTTGCATGGCCGCGTCGGCGCACAGCCTCCTCCCTCACCCACTTTTTATGACTCAAGACTTAAAAATTTTGACTGCATAGATGCCCATACGTGCGCTGGTGACTCGGCGCGAGATTGGCTTTGCTTTTGCAGAGAGCTCCTCGTCGCGCTGGGCCTTTCCCCACACGCCGTTCCTGAAATCTGGGCGCGCTTGCTCGCTCGCAAAGCCGAATATTGATCGAGTGTTGGACAAATCGCCGAGCTTAAACAATCAAGAATAATCACAATCGGCGACAGCCACGACGATAGGATGCAATGTTGGGGAACGTCGGCCAACTCAGCTCGACTGGTGCCGCTCACATCAGTCACGTCTACGCCCAGGCATGACGAGCGCATAAGTCGCCCTGAAGCCCCCTCCGACCCTGCTTCGGCCCTTTTGGGGCATTATGCTTCAGAATAGAGCGGAGGACTACACCGGTATGCAGTTCGATCGATGTCAACAGCCCATGCCGCTCTAGCGCGCGAGAACGCCGCGTCCATGCAGCAATACACCATACCGTACAGCAATCGATCGACCGATATGAACAGCTTGCATGACTCGAGCACGTGCAATCTTCAGCGAAAAGGTAACGACCATGCTGTGCGCAGCGCAGCGTGTTCGTCAACAGGCCTCCTCCACGGAACAGCTCGCACTCTGATGAATGGACGACGCTGTTCACTGCGTAAGCTCGCGCGCATGCGGCGACTATAAGGGCTAGTGCGCCGGACAAGCATGTGGTCGTTTCGCCGATCGGCGCAACCTACTTTGTCCAGCGAGCATTCCGACTGCACAGACAAATGTTGGGATTGGTAGCCCATGAACCTTGACCATATACCACAGCCATCGTGGCGACCTTTAGATTGGACTTTCTTCCAGAATGTAGGAGTTTATGCGACGAAGGGAAAATCCAGCAAAGCTTCCTAGCGCATGCTTATTCTGTGTCGCTACAGGTATACGGTCGTGCATGGAGCGTGCATGCATCGTAGGGTATAATAAGCTCAACGGTCGCATATGGGAAAGCAATTTCTTTTCCCTTTCGCTCCACGGCTTCCGGCAAAACCGCCTGCCTGCCTGCCTGCCTGCCTGCCTGCCTGGGCTTCTCAAGCGCCGGTTCTCACTTGGGCCGAGCACGGCTTTGAGATCGACCGGAAGTGCGCGATGTACAGTACGCACGCTAAATGCTGAATAAGGGTCACAACAAGGTTACGCTAAGATTCGATTCCAACTATACGTGTGTGTGTGTCCTTATTTTGAGCACATCAGCGCGTCCGCTTTGCCGCTGCGCTGCAGTCAGATAAGGGGGGCAAAACACCGAAATCACACGCTGCAGCTGTCTTGGCTTCACGACCCCCCAAGATGACTCTTGCTTTGACTCGGGGGCTGTTCAAGTGCATGGAGTCAAGAGTGTGCCGTGCATCGGCTGCTGGTGCAGATGGCTAGCTGCAGCCTGCTACTTGACTGCCGATTCATCCTTTGAAATGCGCAGTCTAACACGAGCATATAATTGGGCATGGCGCTGGCATTCGAAATTGATTGAAATCGACATTACTCTTGACTTGAAGCTACTGTAGCTACACATTACACTCTACAAGATCTGCGGCTCCCACGACACTGGGCGGAGTTTTGTGGGTTCGGACTCCGCCGTACCCATCTTGGCTCTGATGTCTGTCTGGCTTTCTGCCTGGACCCGCGGGCGTCAGTCAGGACTTTTGGTCATACATATGCCATGGACCAGCAGCATCGCAAATGGAAATCCGACGTGAATCTTAAAAGCAAGTGGAAATCTTAAAGCAAGGGGCTTGGTCGTTTGCATCCTTGCGACCTCACGTTTGTATGCCAAGACGTCATCGATTGTCCACCCTAACAACAGCTTCATAACGCTCAGCTACTACTCACGACTGTGCAGCCTTGGTGAAGTGCTGGGTAGGTAGGATGCTGCAAGCGATCATCTGCGCGGCTAGCGGAACCTCGTGACAGACCCTCCCCTCCTTGCGTACAGCGACCCCTCAGTCCCAAATTACCAGACCGCGGGGTCACGTTGCGTGTGTACCGGTGCCTTGCTACTGCCCCTCGCAGCATGCAATCAGTCGATTGAAGCAGCCACGACGATCGGTGGACGCTCGCAATCAAGCCCCTGCTTGTGTGTGCATGCGCGGTCAAGAGTGCAGGCAGGCAGGCAGCTTGATTGATGGCTTCCTGCGAAGTTCAGGAGATCTACGAAGCAAGAATGAGGTCATAGGCAGCTAGCTTCTGGATGATTCGTGGACCGGTGTTTCTGGCATCAACTTCCACGTGGTTTTTGATCTGTACCCTTGCCTCTCGCGTAAAATCTTTCGAGACTTGGACCTCATGTGACGCAGCCGTGGAGTGTAGGCGTGCCAGAGCCGGGGGGGGGGGGCCTGGCATTTGTGAATCGAGTTGTGCAAGTACTCAAAATCTTGAATACGAGATGATTTCTGATGGTGGGTGAGTCGAGGCTGATCCTATGCACTCGACTGTTGACTGTTAATACTCATGGGGCTCAGATCATGCTTTCCTGATGAGCATGCTGCTTGCAAATCTTTCCTCGACGTGTATCCTCGTCTCGCACAGTCGGCTCTTTGCAACGACGCTGACTGCGTCGCGTGAATGGTGTCATCGAGCAAACGTCCTCTACAGCTGCTGGTTCCAAGGCCCGCGCCTACAACTCGTGACCGCAATTCACATGCAGCCGCTCATTCCTACCGCTCGCGACGTTTGACTCCATGACGTTCTTCGTGGTGCACGTAATCGTCGAGGAGGGGCAAGGCTCCGCAAAGAAGGAGAGCGCTCTTATGAAGCTATAGTCGTGAGTAACATGTCACATTGGTGGATCAGGGTCCTCCTTCGTGGTGGCTCGGAGTGGCGTAGGAGAGGCGGATCAGATGCTTTGCGGGCGCATGCGAGGCTTGCGATACCGTACATTGCGGGCGCGCGCAGACTGTGAGCCATGCATCCAGCAGACCGACATCGGCTCTCGCAGTCGTAAGTACTCGGCATGCGTGACTCCAAACAAACAAAATTTACGATTAGATCAGCCAATGAAGGGCCGTGACGTCCGCTTTATGCTGCGCCGACCCTTGAAGCGTCAAGAGTCGTGAGTCGTACGTGCGTGCGTGGCTTGGTCTTTTGTGATGGAAATCATTTGCTTCAAGCCACGATCTTAATTATTGGCGTTGCGCCTCTCTTCTGTTTGCCCCACTGACTCTGACTATGCGTGCATCGCGGCGCCCGCATAACGCCGCGTGGCTTGCGGCTGCATGCTGCTGCTGGGTGTAATGCTGGGTCCCGTAGCTGCTGCTGCTTTATAGCAGGTCATGCATTCAATTGTTCCATCCATAAGGCCTCGGCCAAAGCAGGTTCTGGCGGTAAACTTAAAAAGCCACTCACGACTCACCACAAGGAGCAGGAGATCCCATGACATTCGAAAATCACTTGCCTCGTCGTGGGAATCGACACCGATGGAGGACATGTCGCGCTGGGCGGAAACTCGCACGGTCTGCCACACAGCGCCACGTTGATGTTCCGCATCACCACGCTCACATCAATCGCGCGTCCTCCAGCATGATGGGATGTCCTCCTTCGACGCTACTTTCCTGCTTTGTGACGACAATGAAGAAAGGCAAAAGCTTGAAGGGCCGCGCTCCGAGCTGCTATTGATAGGATCAAAGGGCTCATGCACGATCAGGAATCATCTCCAGCCCTGGTCCCCTCGAGACGCACGTGCACGCATACCAGAAGAGGCTTTGGCGAGGAACACTTCAAGATTTTTTAGGTTCTGACCGCGACTATACCTCCTTTGGAATCACACCGCTAGGAATTTAGCGATCCTCCGCTCGTGTGATTTTTGAATTGCGACGCTTCGACCTCCATGTGTGAGCCCACGTCAACGACTCGTACGGAAGCAACGAGAAACGCGCGCTGAATTGTCGAGGTGATAAGCGCTCTATGGCCTCGCGATCGACTACGCTTGCACTCAGCAGGCCTCAAACTCTTGGCGCTGAGCACCGGGCATGGCATTTTTCATCAGCATATGCGCGCAACGATCCCACGAGTCTGACCACGGATTCCCACGATGAGCCATCTCGGCGCTCAGAAAAACCGCGCTCAGGCCTTCGCAGGAAAGGTACTTGATCTCGTGGACGCCGTAAAGACGAATGAACGCTGAAGGACGACTGGACGCTCGAGCCTGTCCTGCGGAAGCTTCACTTTGCCATCGTGGGATGCAACCCCCTGGCAAGACTCACGAGCGTTGTAGACCACCGGACGCGGTGGATGCCTTCAGCCTCGACAGCCTCGACGATCGTAGTGGAAGCTGCCGTCATCACCGCCAGCAGGTGAGCTGGACCACATTGTCACGTATTCATAGTCACCTGGTCTGATTGATTTCCACACACCCCACGATCATAGCAGACGGGCTCACACCATCATCTCCTGTCCGCCCGCTCGTTCGCTCACTTCGGCCTCCCAAACGTTCGCGTGGGGCCGGCACCGACCTCGACGCGGGCCACGGGCGCGGGCGGGCCCTTGACACCGTGACTGGTTTGAGCGGGCGCAGCATGAAGGCGCGGGCCACGAGCGTCTTATGCGCATGAGCACGATGCGCAATGCGAGCACCATCGTGCTGTCGCGGCATGACTATCACTTCTCATCTACACAGAATGCTCTATCTCTCATCCAGGTCCAATTTTGCGCAGATGACGCTTTGCTTCGGGTAGCTCTCGGCATCATGCGGCACCTGGCCCGCCTGTCGCGGCAAAGCCAAGCATGACAGCTGACTCGCTTGTGAGTGCCTATCAATACATGCACTTCAAAGTCGACCTTGGCCCCGTCTGTGCGAGCGCCGAGAGCTGCCGGTTCCAAAAGCAGTAAAGACGTCCCCACGCCTTTCTGCATAACCCAAGAGCTCGGGCCTCATCGGAGGCCGAGATCAATGGCGTATCGCATCGCCTCTACCAGCAAAGCTCGGTCCGACAGATTAGCTTTCACATTCGTCGATGCTGCCTTGCTGAGCCGTAAGTAATCTTGCCGGCTCACAAGGGACCTGCCTAGCACGTTCCCTCAGACTCCAATTTGCGCACACGCAATCAGCTGAGCTGTGGGACCGAAGATAGCATTGCCAATTCGATTGCGTGGGACATTCGCGAAGCGGGCCTTGCGCACCTTCCCGAGACGGGCTCACTGTATCCAATATATGGGCACGCGAAACGGGGCCATCGATCGCACGGAAACACCCACACTTCGCTTCGTACGAATCACGTCATCTAGGCAAATCGCTTCAGAACGAATGCCAGTGCGAGAGCACGATTGCAAGCTCTTGATGGGTCCCGCTGCGAGCAAGCCGTCCTTGTACATGAATCCCCACACCAATGACCGCTAGTCGAGAGCCAAGGCAGCTTCTTTGGCGTGAGACAGGATGTCAAGAGTTCGCCGCGATGGCTGACCGAGAAGTCAAGAGTGCAACTGACGAGAGTCGGGAGCGCTGCCTTCGATCAAGTGGACACGGGTCACGTGTTCTGGCGCAGAGTGTCCTCAGATGTGCAAAAGGTCCGACTGATGTAGCTGGGAGGCAATGGTAAAATTTGCCGTCAGAGAGGCTGTGATGTCCGGCAAGGTACCCTTTGTGTGCGTTTAGAGTCTGCAATCCAAATCGACGATGATGGGCCTGCAACCGGGGTTGAAAACACAGCGATGAGCTTACGTGGTTGAAAGTCAGCAGCAGCGATGGGACCACCTACTGATGCTGGACTTGATACTTGACTAGGCGAGTGGTCATCCAGAAGCGGCAGAGGATCAGCAACGCGCTACATCCAGTTCAATCGTGTCGCGTCACTCACACGTCTGATGTGCTTGGGATCGCGCGGCGTCCATATCAGCCACGGCGGCATTGATGAACAGAGTGTTTGGTGCATGTCTATCGTGATGGGGTCGATGAATCTCCCTAGGCCACTGTTCACGGAACACACCTCGCGCCTCTGCGCCACGCAATTGTCACGTAAGCTCGAGATACCTACCTAACGATGGGGATGGCTGTGATGCAGACAATTGCTCACCGTGAATGTGCCCAAAAGCATGGATCCTGGGACTTAACTCGCCAGCAGTCAATTTCCGCGTGAGCTCTTCGCATCCCACGTGTGACCGTCCATACCTGATGACATCTAGGTCACCAAAGCCATGGGGCGGCCCATGTGTCAAGAGCAAGTCGACGTCTGTTGGTACATTCGCATAAAGCACTGTTGGAGGCCGGAGAGTGCGTGAGAGCAGTCAGCCTCCCTGTAGACCTATCCAAGCTGGAGCATCATAGCCGCCCCGACAGCTCACTTTTTGCCTGCCATCAATCCGCATGAAGGGGGACGAGATGTTTCAGTCGCTGGTTGATCCTGCGTCATGTCAAGGTTGTTCACGACCCGACGCGCAACTCACCTGCGCTCCTCGCTCGTGATTCCAAGCCCAGCCTCCAAATTTGGGTGTCCACTGCTCGAAAAGACGGTAGGGACGGCATAAAGGCTCAAGTCAATCTGTGCTCCCCATAGCTTTCGCTAGGGCTCACCACCCTCGCTGCTCACCGGACTTCCATAAACGTTCCACACTCTATCTCGTACACCCTCTCTCGCAATCGAAAAGCTATACCTCTCATCTTCCAGATACACGAAGCCATCCGATCTCTTTTCGCGCAGCAGCTCGGAGACGCGCGCGGTGTTTGCTTGAGGCTCGTTGAACTGCCTGTGTATCGACCTGCCTTTCCGATCATACCTTTCGGGAGTGTCGGCAAAGATTCTCGAGCATAAGTCAAGCTCTTGGGGGACCAAGTAGCGCTCGCTATATCTTTCGCAACCTTGGTGCGTGTTGCCCACTTACCAGCCCGTCTTGTTATCGGCGGCGAAATCGTGATTGCCAGCGATGGCTATCTTTGTTTGGTGTGGGTGCGATCTGAGGCACGAGCACATATATGCGATGTGCCGGCGTCAGCTAGCGCTCACCGTTTCAAGCTCGCTTCCAATCGGGCCCGCTCAAGTCCGCGTTCCACCCACCTGAACCAATCAAGAAAGCGCTCAAAGGAGTGCTGCGTGCCTATGTCTGTCAGATCGCCGCAATGCAGGAGCACGTCCTGCAGGTTGTGGGAGGTGAAGGTGCGTCAGATACTCGATCTTCAGATCAACGACTGGAATAGCTGCGGTACTGACTCCGTCGGGAACCTCTGGCTCAGTGCTGTGAGTATCTGATAGAATGACGAAGCGGGCGTGGGATGGGCTGGCCAAGGGGGGAGGAGCATGCACATCGTATTGCAGATGCACCACATCCGTGCCGAATGATTGCGGGGCTGCTCGAAGCATCATTTCCGGAATGAGGCGAAGGGCATTGCGACGAGTCAGCCCATCTTGCTCAGGTGCGCTTCCTCGCGGCGTCCAGATCGTGACGAGACGCACGAGGAGCGCAGAGACTCACGTGCTTCCCATCTAGCGCTGCTGGAGCGGCTCATGACGAACGCGAATGACGTCTTGGATGGCGGTATGCCTCGTCGCATGCAAAGAGCATCCAGAATGATCGTCGGGCAATTCCGAATTATCTTGGTGGGTATCGCACGCTTCTCGACGGGACAGAGCGTTTTGGTGGTCTTGCGACGGACTTTGACTCTCGATACAGATGGGCGATTTCGAGTGTCCGTGTGCCTTTTGATCCAATCTGGGCTGCCCCTTTGGCTGAAACCGTATTGGTAGTAGTAGTGATGCTCTGCAGCTCAAAATGCGCTTCCGCTCCCACGGTCTGGGTCGCACCGTGCTCTGTCTGCTGCTCGTTCGTGTGTGCTTCTCCTGTCTGGAATAGACACCGCCTGTGCGCTGATTCGGATGCTGCTGCGCAACAGACTCTAGGCTAGGTGATCCCTTATCGCCTGTGATGTGGTCCGGGTCACATGGTGCAGCTGATGAAGGACCATGCAGACTCTCTTCTGACTCATGAATGTTGGATCACTTGCATTTGGAAACATCACTCGATCGTGATTCACGACCATCGATGCTCAGCCGACCTCCACACCACATACAGTCACGTTGAACGAGAAGGCCTGAGGCACCGTGCGCAGCCGAATTCAGATACACAACCTTGAATCAAGATTCGTGCATGATTCGTGATTCGTGATTCAACATCTGAATGGGCGTGCGTCACGCGTGCTAAAATCAAGAATAAATAAGCGCGGGCGTGCAAATCACGCTCACGTGATATGGCGTTGTGGTGATCAGAAAAGCGCGCGGCGCGAAACGCGTGGTGTTGATCTCTCTAACGCGCCCGCGCGCCGGCTTGCTTGCCGCCATGGATGGGCATCCTCAACGGCATCGCGCTCCATCCCACACAACTTCCACTACTCCATCCTTTTCATTTTCAAGCTCATCTTTCATTCGTCGCCCGACACGCCCTGGGCTTCCTCAACCCAGCAGCAGCCAGAGCTTGGTGTCGACCTCACATTCTAATCTTGCCATTATGGCCCAACGAAGACCCGCACCGAGCGGCGTGGGCTTTCCCTCTTCCATGTCTCGCCAGGGACTCGCTTCGAGCACATCTAGCGGTCAATCAAAACCACCGACCTCTCGCAATCCTTCCCAAGCTGGCCCTTCCCGAGGCGGCTCGGCAGTGACAGGGTCCGCATCCTCGGCAACGATGCCAGCCAGCTCAGAAAGCAGATCAAGGGCTGCTAGTCTAGCACCCGGCGCTGTAAATCAAGGAGCGATGGGCAGACGCAGAGATGAGGAGGAATCCTCAAACATACAGGTGGTCGTGCGAGTGAGGTGAGTCGTAGTTGCTCTGCCCGCAGGTGTGCCGAGCCTGGTCCCTCGCACTGCGGCTGACGGCGCAATCTGATCCCTGCGCATTGGCATCAGAGGACGTGCACCTGGTGATGCAGCGCCAAAGGACTCGATCCTCGCCACCGAAGGACCTCGCTGCCAATCCATCTCGGTCGCTCTGGACTCGCAAGTACCTCAATCCATTTCTTCACTGCCTGTCGATCCGCTCGCCGAACCTTTGGCCATGCGAGAGAAGACGTACGATTTCGATCACGTCTTTGGTCCAGAGGCCGATCAGGGTATGGTGTACCAGAATGTCGTGGGCCCGATTTTGGATGAGGTGTTGTCTGGCTACAATTGCACCATCTTTGCATATGGTCAGACTGGCACCGGAAAGACGTGAGTTGTGGGTGCTGAGATGTGCGCGAGCGGAAAGTTTTGCTCAGTGTATGCGCTCTTTCTCCACGTCAAGCCACACTATGGAGGGCGACTTGACCTCTCAAATGGGCACATACTCGACAGAAGCTGGTATCATTCCTCGCACGCTCTATCGACTCTTTCACACGCTCGAGCTACAACGCAACGAGTACAGCGTTCATGCAACCTTTATGGAGCTGTACAACGAGAAGCTGCGCGACCTCTTGTCCAGCGATGCTCCCGTTTCCCTGGAGGGCAACAAGGATGCGGGTCTGAAGATGTACGAAACTGAGAACGACAAAGCTCGAAGTGGCGTCTTCATCGAAGGTATGAGCGATTCACCCGTGGTCGATGCCGAAGCGGGACTGAAGCTTTTGCAAAAAGGAAGTCAGAAGCGTCAGATCGCAGCTACAAGATGCAACGAGCAGTCGAGGTGAGTACGGCACGGCCCTGTCGCCCCACCTCTGCTCGAGCCATCCTATTCACGCTTGACATACTGCATCTCCCGCAGCCGCTCGCATTCCATCTTCACACTGACCGTGCATATCAAGGAAACGACGCCCAAAGGTGAAGACGTGATGCGGACGGGCAAGCTGAACCTCGTAGACTTGGCCGGCTCGGAGAACATTGGTCGAAGTGGAGCGCAAAATAATCGCGCTCGAGAAGCGGGCATGATCAATCAGAGTCTGTTGACGCTCGGCAGAGTCATCAATGCGCTGGTGGAGAAGACGCAGCATGTGCCTTACAGAGAGTCGAAGTTGACTCGCATCCTCAAGGAATCTCTTGGAGGTCGCACAAAGACTTGCATTATTGCCACAGTCTCGACGGAGCGCTCCAACGTTGAAGAGACGCTGTCAACATTGGACTACGCTCTGCGTGCCAAGTCCATCAGGAACAAGCCAGAGATGAACAGGCGCATGACCCGGGCAGGTCTGATCAAAGACTATGTGCAGGAGATCTCGGTGCTCAAGAGGGATCTGGTCGCTGCGCGCGAAAAGGAAGGCTTCTACCTGAGCAACGAGAGCTACAAAGCAATGAACGACGAGCTGGACGTCAAAAAGGCCGAGACGGACGATCTGCGCAGGGAGAGAGAAGTGGAGCAGAGCAGAATGGAAAGCTTGAGAGAGCAGCTCTCGCAGAACATGCAGCTGCTCGTCAAGAGGGATGGAGAGACGAAAGCTGCGAAAGCTGATTTTGCCGCTCAGTCTGCGGAACTGGAACGCACCCTCAAGCAGGTCGACGAGCTTGTCAGAGCAGAGGACGAGGAACGAACGCTCAAAGAGGCTTATGCTAGAAGCGAGCGCAAACTTCATGAGGCCGCGTCTGGTTTGAATCACCTGCTCGGTGAGAGCACGGCGGACGTGAACGGTCTGTTTGCCAAGATAGGTGAGTGGCGCTTTCGGAGCACAAAAGCCCAAGAGCCTAGGACGAATATTGATGCTAGATGTTCCGCTGGACTTTCCCAGAGCGCAAAGAAGGCGTGGAACAAGCGAATCGTGCCCTGCTCGACCAACATCAAGGCTCGCTAGCAAAGCTGGCAGATGCAGTCCAAGCGCGCGTCTCCGAGTATCGACAGCATCATGATCAATCAACTCAGCGTTTGGTGCTCGAGCTGGAAGGCTTCGTGTCGAGGCAGGGGAAGACGGTCGGGACCACTGCTGCTCATGTCGATCAGCGCATTGAAGCTTTGGCTTCTGCTGCTGCCGCTCTCCGCGATCAGCAAGGAGCTTCGCAGACGGTCATTGGCGAGATTACGCAGGAGATCGAGGCGACCCGGCAAGCACTGAAGCAAGCTGCCGAGACGAATGTTGTTGCGCTAAAAGAGCGGGCAGCCGAGCTGTCGCAGCATATTGTGGACGGCCAGGCCGCAGCTTTTGAAAAGGTCCGATCTAGCTTGACTGGTATGTCTCAGATCGCCGGCGACATGTTCATCGCGGCCAGAGAGCATAACGTTGCTCATTCGGAACAAATCAGCAAGCTGCGGTCTCATGCAGAAGACAGGGCTGAGTATGAGGCGCAGTGCCTCAAGGATCAGAACGCCCGACTGGCAAGCATGCTCGACGAGGCGACGCTTGCAATGGACCAGATGAAAGCGGGGCTCATCACAAATGTGACACAATGGCTCGAGCAGGCCACAGCGAAGCACAAGACGAGCCTGACGAAGAGCACGGAGCGCGCTCAAGATGAGAGCCGGCAGCTAGAGCAGTCGAGGGCGGCATACTTTTCAGAGCACGATCAACATTTGCGAGACTTCGTCGAAGCAGGCAACTCGCATGTCGGATTCCTGACCGATCAGGAGAAGACTTCGAGAAAGTTGTTCAAGAAAGGCACCAGCTTTTTGGACAGGGGGATCAAGAGCACCGAGGATGGCCTTTCTACCATGCAGTCTGAGCTTGGCGAAGGCTTTGACGCACACATTGCTAGCCTGGATGAGAAATCGGGAGTGCTCAACAGCGCAGCTGATCAATGTGAGGTGCCTGTCCCGAGGCATACCTTGCGATATTATTGCTGACCACTGTCGCTTTGGTGCTTCATACTTGGCAGTACGGGAGCAAGCAGAGTCTTCTTGTGTTGCCCAGCAGAATGGCCTCCAACAGCTCGCAGACGATGTCGCAACGTCTTACCGCGGCATGCAAAGTACGCTGCAGGACTCATTGCATGACACCACGCAGACGTCTGGTAACACAATGGAAAGCGTGAGCCCGACTCTTGTATCCTCTAGTGGAACGCGTCAGCTGAGACTGACACAGCAAGCGCGCTTTTCTCCCAGCTCAATGCAGCTCAGACCGCCCAGCGCAATTATACTGCCAAGGTGGACGAGAATCTTTCAAGCATGCGCTCAGAAGTCTCCTCTTTGCTCGACCGGGCAGCTACGGATGTGCCGACTGGCGCCACGCCTCAAAAACGTGACTGGCCAGCCACAAAGGACTGGAAGCTGGTGCCGACCAACCGAGGCAAAGCGCTGGTGCAACACCGTCAGCGCGTCGAAGCCGCGGAGCATGAGGGCGTCACGTCGCTCTCGATCGTCTACTCCGAGAGCGAAGCGGGAGGTAGCACCTTGAATGAGCAGGACGAGGGCGATGACATGGAAGGGGACAATTCGATCATTGCGGACATGAGAGGTCAAGACAGCGACGAGACGTTGCGACCTGTCCGGAAGACCAGGACATCGCAAGCTTCGCGAGGAAGCAACGGCAGTCAGGCATCTGCATCGTCGGCCGCGATGACCCGCAAGACTTCCGATCGCGAGGCGCCGTCAGCTCGGACTTCTGTGGTATCTGCCTCTGCGGATCAGCCCTCGGTCACCACACGGGGCGTGCTGCGAACCGTGAATGCCAATGCGAATGCCCAGCCGCAAACGGGTGCGGCACCTACCAAGCCAGACGTCATCAAAGAGCTGACCAAAAGACCTGCAAGCGTCGCTCAATCTCGGCCGAAGCGAGTCAGGCAATAGACCCACCCCCCATTGGCATTCGAATCTTCTTGCCTCTTCGGACTCTTTCGCAGATCCACATACTTTCCCCCCTGCCCTTTTCCCTCTTGACCCCGGACAAAGCTTGCGTGGAGAAGACGCTCAGCGCGAATACCTCTGGTGTGCTTGGAATCTCGATATCCTTTAGCGCTTCATACTTGACAAATGCCGAAGGCAAAGTCTGAGAGCAGCGCGTGCGCAGCCGGTCCCAGTCACTTTGGTTCGTCTCTTCCACTCAACATGACGTCGTCTCGCTGGGCCACGAACGCGGGGTTGAAGTGCGGCAAGATCCGATTGCAGTTGGAGCAAAAGGAGGGACAAAAGAAGGTTCTTTCGATGGCGGCGAGAGCGCAGAGGTGCAGCGACCAGAGGTGGCTTGCCAAGGGGAATGGGAACATGCGTGGGAACCGCACAGATTTCACGAATGAGGGTGAAGGGAGCGTGGAGCAATGCTGCGATGCTGCGCGATCTATGCCAGTCGCCAATTGGCTCCGAGCTGGGAAGATCCGATATTTGGCATGGGAAAGGAAAGGTGGGGAGATAAACAGAGAAAGAGAGAGCGTGTGTGTGAATGGGTGACTGTCGAGCCGCTTCCCTTTGATGTAGCGGACCTGAGGCTCTTTGAAAGAATCAGCCGCGGATGTGAATCGTAGACGTGCCGCGATTGAAACGCGAAGGACAGGCCATAGGTGACGCGTTCGAACAGGTGGGTAATGTGAGGGCATGATGAAGGACGCTTCATCCCTCAATTGCGCGAAGAAGAGATGACGGAAGCCCAACCAGGTCTGAAGCGCGCAAAGAATGAGGTCAAAGTCAAGCGAAGTTCATCAGCAGCGTGATTCAGAAGGGGACAACAGCGCGCGGGCCTATACTCACTCGTACTCGTCGTCGCTGGCATCCAAGTCTGCCGCAGTGAGCATCACGCCAGGCGGAGGTCTTCTAAGTTTCTGACTTTTGCTCCTTCCGAGGTTGATAGCATCTCTGGCTCTCTGTGCCGTTTCGACCGAATTGCCATTCGACAAATCAGGTCCGCTCTCGGTCGTCGGGAAGTTGCCCAGCGTGGCGCTGCGTTTCGGCCCAGCATTCGCTGCCGAAGCTTTGAACGCGTTCATTTCTCTCTCTGAGCTGCGCACTGTATTTGTGGCATCTCTAGAAGTGGGCGCATCGCCTGCAACTTTCGCCGTAGTGGGGCTTGCACCTTCGACCTTTCCGCCCGGGCTCGCGCTGTATGTGGCGTTGCCTTCTCGATAAGCTGCGACAGCATTGGCGTCGTACCCAAGCACCTTGACGCCAGCCTCCGAGGCGGTGCTGGACGAACTGTACCTCTTTGCCGCATCGTCAGAGGGGACCAGCAACTCTGGTCCCTGCACCTCATGAGCTTTTGGGTCCGTCGGATCGACTCTGCCCGAGCTGGTCCTCTCCACCTGCGCTCGCGCAGGCAAGTCGGATCCTAATAAAGCGGGTTTACCTGCGGAAGGCGGGGACCTGACAAAGGCATCGGTGGGCGAATTGGATCTGCTGTCCACCTCGTCAGACGATGATTCGTGCAGCGCTAATCGGCCAATGGCGGATGCTCCACCATCGTCGCTCGCCTCACTGCGAGCAGCAACGCTTGCTGCGCGGCGCGAAGCCCCCAAGTGCTCTGAATCGTCCAGCTGCCGCCGTAGCGCCGCCATTTTTGTCGGAGATGCATTGGCTACTTCGATCTCGATGTCCGAATTTGCGCTCGTGCTTCCAGTAGTTGGCGGAGTGGGCAAGGTGGTTGGAGGATCTGGCAATCTGGGCATCTGGTGGGTAAACAGCGTGAAGTGAGAGTGTTCAGCATTAGCGAGCTTGCACGCCGTGGTGCTACCGCTTTCGCTTACGTTTCCGTTCGTCTTGGCTGGCGTTCCAAAGACGTCTGCGCTGCTAGTCTTGCTTCCCGCAGCGGACAAGCTACCGGGCTCGGTGGTGGGAGTATCAGGCAGATCTCTCAACGAGTGATTCGCGCTGCTCGGAGCGAAAGATGGTGGCTTCAACGGGCTCTTGGGAGGTTCCGGCTCGGTGCTCTCGCTAGCTGACCTTCGAAGGCTTGAAGATCTGGCTAATCCTGCACTCGCAGCGTCCAGCTGGGCCGTGCTGAAAGCGGATAGTCTACGGCTGGTAGGTGGTTTATCCCGAGCTGGCGAGCCCGCTGCGCTGCCTGCACCAGATAGCGGAGAAGGGCTGCGAGCCTTGCTTAGGCGCGCATCTTCGTCCAATTCTAGGAAAGCATCTTTGCCCACTCCCGGCATGCGTGGCTGATCGCTAAAGTCTCGAGCTGCAAGAGATGCCAAGCAGTACGAGATCGTCAATTCGCCGCATCGGTCACAAAGATCTTCTGGCCACTCCTCAAAGCAACGCGTTCCTGCACACGAGCCACATGATCCTCAAACGCATACATCTGCACTGCTCGAGCAGACGCATTCACCCTCCGCACACATTTCGCCTCCATCTCCCCGGACTGGCGAAGCAATACTCACATCTTCCCCAAGCCCCTCCAGTCATCTGAGGTCGAGGTCCGGGCCCACTAGCGCCAGTGTACTGCGGTTTGACCTGTCCATCAGCCCAAGGGCCACCTCTATTGTTGCCCAACCAAGCGCCGCCTGTGAGCTGAGGTCTGAGCACGCCTTCACCCCAAGCACCGCTACCGCCCCCCTGGTACGGTTTCAGAGCGCCTTGTCCTGCTCCAGGTGCGGGTGCAGGCGCACCAAAGCTGCTCCTGGGTATCAACGGCTTTTCACCAGTCGTTTCCACACCTGCTTGAAATCGAGCTATGCGATCCTGAACGCTTCGAGCATTGCTCCCGACGCTGCTGCTGCCACCACCACCCGAAACTGAACGTGAGCCGGGTACAGTCAAGGAAGAACCCGAGGGTGTTCGTACGCCCATAGTACTCGAAGCTGGCCCTGAGGAGCTTGAAGATGATGCGTTGGTGTTTGGCGAGCCATCGGACGCTTTGCGCTGCAAGGCTGCGATACGCTCCGACAACTTTTGTCCACCCGTTGGCAGATTTCGCTTGGAAGGATCCGACCTGAGACGAGGCGTGAAGGAAGGTGGGCGTGGGGCAGATCAGTCAGGTCAGCAGTCGACATCATACCGGTACAGCTCGCTTTGTACCCAAGAGAGTGTCCACTGCTCGACTGCACTCACATGACTGGATGTGTAAAAGTAGCCAAGTGAGCTGAAGCGGGTTGGCGCTGCGAGGTCACCAAAGCAACAATGATGGATGGAATGAACCCGATCGATGGAAGTGGGCCCGGTGCCGGGACGGCTGTCGCTACACGGAGTCCGAAAGAGGGTCTCAAGAGCGGTGCTCAGGTTGTTGCGAGTGCTGCCAATGCTCAGCCCACAAAGCGAGGGTGGGGGGCGACTGCTGAGGCGAGAAGGAACCTGCACGCGGCCCGATCCTTTGCTCTAATTTTGAGCGTCGCGCCCCTTTGCGCGTTATGGAAACGTTTGTAAATGCGGCAATAGCGGGTGCTCGGGCCGTAAGACAAAAGTCAAGATGAAGCTGAGTAGGTTCGAGTCGGAAGGAAAGGGGAGCAAAGGATGCTCTGCGGGCCGACTTTGGGTAAGCTCCGAGATGAGAAGAGCTTGGTGCAGTAACTTTGGCCAAGCGAGGAGGCCGTCGGTGAAATCGTCGTGATGAATTGCGACCGGGTCGAGTTCGAGAGGGCTGCGGCCGATGTGCTGAACGGTATCCGAAGCTGTGTTGTGTGCGAGACGACGATCGACCGCGAAAAGGGAGATGATGACCACCGAATAGACGCTTGATGGGTGCACGAATGTATGCGGGTGCAGGCACGCCTACGCCGTGGCTGGCTAGAAGCTGATGTTACGGTGTGTGGTGTGTGAATGTGAATTCGTGAATGTGAGTGTGAGTTGCTGTGCCCTCACCTCGACTCGGCGCTGCGCGCGTGTTTGACTTGCATGCAAGCGAGCAAACGCACAGACTCCCGCGACGTCGCCTCTTCATGGCGTCCAGCAGCACCAGCTGCTTGCTGATGATGCCTGCTGCCTGATGCCGCCATCGCGCCCTCGTCCTGGTCAAGCACTCGCATGCGCATGCGCATGCACTCACGACTCGACTTGACGACAATCAGCGACTCGTGCGCGCGCGTGTCTGCTGTGCGCCTATACTCAGACTCTTGACTGTACGCACCGGTTTCGTCGCGCGGTACGCGTTACCGTCATGTGTGCTGCTGCTGCTGCTGGATGCTGCTGCTTCTTGTGGTGCATGCATGAGCGGCGTAGGTAGGTACACTCATGACTTGTACAGCAGTGGGCACGCCCCACGCAAGTAGCCTTGTGCCTTCCTTCAGCTTGGCGCGGGAGGCGGCGCGGTTCAGTCGCAGTGACGAGGTGTGACGAGTTCCTTCTTTCGTGCGAATCTGCACTCAAACTCATATACACGCATGCACTTGACGCCCTCATCGTGAGTCGTGACTCTTACAACTGTCGCGAATTCGCCGCTTTCCTGCGATGAGCACGAGCCATGCAGCAAGCATATGGCTTGCGTGCGTGCGTGCATTCCCCGGCCGCCGTAGCCAGAAGAGTCTCGAGAGCCTTGCACGGCACGTATACATCACAGCATGTGCTGGGCAGCAGGCATCACATATATACGCGCGTGGCGAATGCACACGCCTCCTCCGTGGTCCCCCGTCGTGCACGAACCTTCTCATTCACTCTCGGCATGACGCTCTTCACCGCCGCGCTCGCCCGTTTGCATATATATGCAGCTGCTGCTGTACACCACGTGATGCGCGTACGCGAATTGTAGATAGTCACGAGTCGTGAGTGACATGCACAAGAGACTATCACATCCGCACGGCAAAATCGCCGCCGCGGCACAGCCGGACTTATACCGCATCGCCGCCGCGGCGTCTCGCCCACGCTGTTGCATGGCCGTGTGGGGTGCAAGGCTTATTGACTCGACTCCTTCTTCTAGAGCTTCTGGCTGACCGTCAGCCACGGGATCGTTCGAATCTGAACCTTGCGACTTGTCATGTCAGTATAGTAGTAGTGCCGCAGAGAAGTCTCGGTCTTCCAAACACTTCTCCCTCTTTCTCTATAATCTCGCACACTCTTTCGTTCCCTGTAAGCATTTGAACTCCGCCTCTTTCGAATTCGCCATGTCTGCAACAGCTCCATTCAGCTTTCCCTCTCGCCGATCTACGGTGCACAGCGTCAGGGGCATCGTCTCCTCTTCGCAGCCTCTAGCATCTTCAGCAGGCATAGCGATACTAGAACAAGGAGGAAACGCAGCCGATGCCGCCGTAGCCGTCGCTGCAGCTCTAAACGTGACGGAGCCCGTATCTACGGGCATAGGAGGGGACGCATTCTGTCTGTATTGGGATGCCAAGCTGCAAAGAGTCAGGGGCATCAATGGGAGCGGAAGGAGTGGAAGCGGAGTGACGTTGGAGAAGCTGACGAGCAAAGGGCAGGCGCAGGCGCAGGCTAGGCATGCCGGATCGCTGGATTGCGATGGACCGCACGAGCTTGGCAGTCAATTGCCATTCGATAGCGTTCATGCCGTCACTGTGCCTGGCGCTGCTGCTGCTTGGTGCGACACTGTGCGTCTGCTGGGATCAGGCAAAGTGACGCTGAGACAGGTGTTGGCGCCGGCTATCAGGTTGGCAGAGGATGGCGTGCCCATCTGCGCACAGACGGCTCACGATTGGGCGCGCGGCGAGGCGTTGCTGAAAAAGGCGTCTGCCAATGCAAAGGAGATGCTGCACGCCGTCAGCGGTGCTGCGCCCAAAGAAGGCGAGATTATGCGCTATCCCGGCCTTGCGCAGACGTTCCGACTGCTGGCAGAGAAGGGCAAGGATGGGTTTTACAAGGGTCGCGTGGCGGAAGAGATTGTCAAGGTGGTCAGTGCAAGAGGCGGTCACCTGACCCTTGAGGATGTGGCGCATCACGGCGAGCAAGGCAGCGAAGAGGTGCAGCCCATCTCTTACAATTACAAGAGCGGTGCTGCATGCGCTGGAAGCAGCAGCAGCAGCAGCAGCAGCGAGGCAGCAGTCAGGCTGTACGAGTGTCCACCCAACGGACAAGGATTGGTGGCGCTCCAAGCCCTGTGCATCCTCGACGAGCTGCAAGCATCGGGCAAGATCCAAGCACTGCTGTCCATGCAGCACAACTCTGCAGACTACCTCCACGCACTCGTGGCCGCGCTTAGGCTCGCCTTCGCAGACGCCACCGCCTTTGTCGCTGATCCCGCTCACGATGTACAAGGCGCAGAGAGGGTGGAGAAGATGTTGAGCAACGAGTACGCCAAGCAGAGAGCTGCGCTGTTTGAAAGTGACAGCATCCAATCCTTCAAGAATGGCAATCCCACCAGCAGCACCGATACGGTCTACTTTAGCGTCGTCGATCAACAAGGCAATGCTTGTTCCTTTATCAATTCCAACTGTGAGCGCATCTCCTTTCGCAGCTCCTGACTCGCTCCCGCTGATTCCCCTCCCCCTCACGGATGCTCGCTAGATGCCGGCTTTGGTAGCGCTATCATTCCAGCTGGGTGTGGTTTCACGCTGCAGAATAGAGGAGCAGGCTTTGTCCTGGAAGAAGGACACTTGAATTGCGTCGCACCGCGCAAGAGACCATACCACACCATCATTCCCGCCATGGCGACGCACCTAGTGCCGGACGGTAAGGGCGGTCACAAGGAAGACGTCTTACTCTGCTACGGCGTGATGGGTGAGTCTACCATGTGCCGGTGTAGGCCTTCTCGTTGATCTATTTGCAACCTGCCTGACGCCGTATCTCGCTTTTCACGACGAAAGGTGGATATATGCAGCCTCAAGGACACGTCCAAGTGCTCCTCAACATCCTCAGAGGCATGTCTCCCCAAGCCTCTCTCGACGCTCCTCGCTTCGTCATCGGTGCAGGCACACCCGATCAAGGCGACATTTTCTCCCAAGTATTTTTGGAGCAAGGTATACCGCAAGAGGTGGCTGCAGAATTGAAGAGACGAGGACATGATGTCAAGATCGTCGAGGGATGGGAGAGCAGAAAACAATTCGGAAAAGGTCAGGTGATTAGGAGGTTGGACTTTGGAGATGGCGCAAAAGGCTGGGCAGCTGGAAGCGATCCTAGAGGTGATGGAGCGGCTATACCTCAAACTTGAAGCAGACGCCATCTCGTGCCCTCTCCCCGCCCAATGTCGGAATAGCTTGGCATGCGCAAGTGGTGCAGTGATGCCAACGATTGGCTTGGCAGATTCTCTCACGTTGATGCTCCTAACGAGGTTGTCTTGCCATAGCGAGGCGACCAAGGGTCTTGCAGCTTGCATCCGTCCTCGTGCGCACCCTCAAGCCTTCGCGAAAGCGACGGAAAGGTACGAATATCGATTATTTCTGTCTGCGCAGCGCGTGATTCCTCTGTTCAAGCTCTTCGAGCAATGCTACTCACCGGCTTTGTTCTGACAGCTCGAGGCGGTATCGAGCAAGGATCAGCTTTCATCACCTTGCTCATTCCTGGCCTTCGACTTCAGAAGGTTTCTAGCCGGTCATCTGCTAATGCTTGGGCACCTGCGCGTCGAGCCCATCGCTCTCTTCTTGATTCGTGTCGATCGCTCTTCGACCTTTATTGGCCCAAGTGCTGATTAGCAAGACGGACGCAAAAGCAAGTATGGCCAAAATATGGTAAAGCATACTTTTTCCGCGATTGCGATTGAGATAGAGTGGAGAGAGTGAGAGGATCGCTTGGAGTATGGAGGAAAGCCGATGCTTGCCGAGTATGCATAGATGGACGTGCTGAGACAGGTACTGGAGCAGGCGTCCAGCTGAAGTGCTCTGAATTGGCGTTGCCATTCAAGTATCGTGGTTGGGAAAGGTAAAGAAGATGGGTGAGGAGAGATAGTGAAGTACATGGTGTGCGTTGCCGATTGCCAGCACCTGTGCTGAGATTCGCTATCCACCACGCTCCAGTACACCACGTTTGCCGCCTATACCTCGGGTCCACATGCATTCGGTCCGCAACCCAGCCAAGCACGCTTTGTGGCGCGCAATTGTAAAATGTGGCGTCCATCCTCCACGAAGACTAGCCACACACTGCGAAGCGGCGTTTCTTTGACCGGGCTGATAGGAAGAGATCAGGACGAAATCATAAGAAGGCATCGCATTGAGAGTGCTTCCTCACAAGCTCGCTTCTGCGTGGAAGCCTCCAGTAGTTCTGAGGCTTGCAGGGGAGCTTTGTTAGGGTGAGGACGATAGCGATGCGCTGTCTAGGTGCCGTGTTAGATGTTGGGAGTGGATGCTTATAGCGGTGTGGCATAAAACCCATCAAGTCTCTCGCGAACGCGACTCGCAAGTCGCAGATGCGATAGTGGGTCGTGCAGTAGGGGTTGGAAAATTACAGGTGCTGAAGAGTATGCCGAACGGCTACATTGCAAGGGGCGAGGTGTGACTGAATGCTGGTGGCGTGAGACTGGGATTCGAAGAGGTGATGAGAAGAGAGAGGGAAGCAAAGATATGCTGGGAGCGGGGGCCGGGTATGAGCGGTGAGGGACAGCTCAGAGGCTGACATTCCACTTCCACCTGCCCTCTCGATGACCTTCTGACGTGTCGCTAAGCATGATGTCGCGCCTCTTGGAGACGTAAACAGTCAAGTCTGTAACGCGCTGGCGCAGTGCCGGTATAGTGTCCTTCTCGATGGGTTTCTCGAGCTCTCCGCTGAGCTCTTCCACAGCCCTCTCTAAATCTCGCTGATTGTCTTCGAAGAGCTCCGTCATGTTGTCCTTCTCTAAATAGTAAGCCATCGCGTAGGTCCATTTGAGTGTCATGCGGCACTCGCTTAGAGTGTCCACTGCTTTCTTCAGGAACTGCACTTCAATCCAGGTCAAATCCGAGGTGAGTTGCATCTCCTCCATCTTCTTTTCCGTGCGACCATACAAATCTTGATCCAGTCGTGCAGATTGCTCATGATTGGCGAAACGGTTGAAGTACTGAATGCATCGTGCAACGAGACTCGAGGTAAGTATGGTACGAAGCTTTGACTATGCGCTCTACTCACGTGCAAATACCTGGCCAACGATGCTCGAGATTTTGCCTGGTCAAATCTTGCATCTTGACCGCTCTTTTCGTCGAAACGGTTGCAATTGTACCAAGAATTCCCATGCTCTGACCACGGGCCCGAGCAAATCCAACACCACTCGTGCTTGCACTTTTTACAGGTCATGTGGTTGCACCCTCCGTTCTTCTCAATCGTGCTATCACATTTGGGGCACTCCTTCGTGTTCGCAGAGATCCAGTTGGCGGTCTCTGAATCATCCTCGCATTTTCTCGACCAAAGCCTCGTGATTGGGCAAATGGCGGGCGCGTGAGACGCCAAACCGCATCCGAAGCAGAAGACATTGCCGCATTCGCAGGTGACTGTTGGAATCACCGTTCGCAAAGCCTTCGCTGGTACATGACATTCGATGGCATTCTCGCAATTTGGCGCGGGACACCATCGCATGATGGCGCTGTCGTCTACGTAGGTTCGATTGAGCAGCCTCTTGTATCTGCGCACACGACTGCATGTTAGTAGCACGTCTCGCCACTTTGAGGCTCAGAAATCAGCTTCAGCTCACCTTTCGTAGACATCTGGCTCGGCGACGAGTCCGACCGAGTTCTCATCGACAATAAGTGCGCATTTTTCTTGCAAGCACTGCACTCGCCTGCTCTCTCCTTCGCCCCCGATCTTCTGCGTCAAGTAGCTCGCGTAGCAGTCCGTGCAAAAGCGGTGGCCGCAGCTGAGCGCGAGCGTACTCATCGTTCCCCCTGGCATGTCCTCGCTCGACAGGAAACAGACCTCACAAGTGAAGTCCTTCCGTGGAGAGATGCGTGATGAGGATCCTTCGGCAGTCAAGATCCCCGCAGCAGACGCGACCGTGTCTGGATCATCCATGTAGCGTTCGATGAGCCTTTCCTTGTTCCAAGAAAAGTGTCGGAGCAAGATCGCCGCATCGGTAGTCTGTGCGCGCAGGAAAGGTGATCAGTCAAGCTTGACCAGCATGTACCTCTTAGCCATTGGAAAGCGAGCAGATTCAGAGAGGCCTCCCACTCTGACAGCATCATTGCTGGCTGCCTTTTCGCAAACAATCACTCACCTTGATGGCGAACATGTTCTCAATCTGCGTGATCTCCTTCTCTTGTGCTGTCACAATGGCCTTCGGCGACCGGCACCAACTTTCGACCTCCCCGCGTTTATTAGCTCCGCTCTGAGAGCCAGGTCCAATAAAAGAGTCCCCCATCACGTCCATTTCGCCATCTACATCGCCCTCGTCCACGTCTTCAGCTTCAGTGTCCAAATCTCCTTCAGAGCCTACATCGGATCCAGATCCCAGGTCCGACATGAAAGCTGTGTCATCCATGGCGCCTTCGTCATAGTCACCGAGCGAGGAGAGAGAGTCCTCATCCATGCTGTCTTCCACGTAGCTCTGTGATCACGAGAGGAGAAGGTCAGTTGCGCGCCCCCGACACGCCTAATTCCTGACATAGCGGAAGGAATCGCTGCTTGCGGGCCCAGCAACATGGTAGCACTCCAGATCAGCCCACTTACCTCTACTACGGGAGCGTCTGGCGGCGGCATGTTCCACCTCTGAAGTGAAGTGGCGGCTCAGAAAGACGAGTAAAACACGTGTGATCTTGATTGCTGGCGGCGGTCACAGGTATGCTCGGCGAATCTAGGAATGTCGTTTCGCGATGGGGGATGCAGCTCTCTATTTGTCTATGCTCTGGCTAGATGTTGAAGGATGAATGGTAATGCTATGGGGCACTTGGAGTAGCTCGCACTCGGCGCAAAGGTCAAGAGTCTTGCGACGTATTGATGGGAGGTGATGGTGGCGAAGAGCTTGATCTGATCGATGCATTCTTGATTCTCGATTCGAGATCTCATCGCAAGCATCTTTCACTCGCCGGCTCAGCATCACCGTGCAGCTGAAGCGCGCACACGCGTGCTCGTGTGGCGCAGCGGCCCTCGCCGCGCGCGTAGGCCGCCGTCAGAGTGCACCGCATGCTGCATGCATGCACATCACATGCTCACCCATGCATGCTGCTGCGTGTCTCTCCGGTCACGGGGAGTCTGACTCAGACCAGCTGTTCAAGGCTGTACACAGCGCAAGTTGTTCACCATCGCCGCTGACACGGCGCAAGCGAAGGGGTGTGATCGATTAGAACCTCAATGCGAATCCAGCCCGCGTCGCTGCTACGCCCGGAAAAACGCGTCCTTCCGAAGCCGACGGCGCACACAAAAACACAGGTGCTCCTCACAAAAATCGTCACAGCTCCATCAATTCTCAAGATTATGAGCACAAATTTGGACAGAGGGTGGATGAGATACACAGCAACCTTTTGAATCAGACAGATTTCTGAAAAAAGGTCGAAAATTTGGAGTGCCGCAGCACGGGATTGAACCGTGGATCGCTGCATTGTCAAGGATTCGAACGCATCAAAAGCACTTCGCGCCATTGGAAATACAAGTGCAGTGCCTTACCACTTGGCCACTGCGGCATGCACTGCGCAGCGCCTTTGAGGCTTGCTATGAATGTTGATATCTTGTGCGCACGGATCACGGATGAGTCCACAAATCGTGAATGTCGCACCAGATATCCTCAAAACTCGCGAATGATGGTGTTGCTTGTCATCCGCTGGCATGCGCGGCGCGCCTTCATCACTTGTTACTCGGCCCGCAAATCTGGCCATCTGATCCTGTACAGCTTTTATTTTCGAGCTCACCTTGTCCCTATATGACATGTCATGCTCCGCCGTGTTTGGACACCACCACCGCAGGCGGTCTCCAGGTCAAGCGCATGCAATGAAGCGCTTCCGTGAACAGCGGTCCGCGCTTTTGCCGTGCGGGGTTTGCGCCGGCGCTAACAGAGGGGGCCTTATAGGAGTCAAGCGAGCTTCTGGCGTCGCCTTGCAGAAGAAGCGAGAACAAGCGTGAGGGAGCGGCCTGGATGCTCCGCTCGACTTCATATAGCTGTGACACTGACCCAAGCTAGGTCCACGCCACTCGGTCATTCAGAATCAAAGTCACGAGCCATGCTGACCAGCGACAGCACAGGCAGGACATTTGCCTCAAGGCTTGATCGACAACGCGCCATGACGCGAGACACCCGCGTGCAGGAGAAGGGTAGCCGCGCGATGGTTTCCCGCGTTTTGACGAAGGAGGACCACCACCCAAATTTGTTTCAGCGCGCCTGACACCATACATAACGGCACCGCGGGTGTTAAGCGTCAAGCCACTCCGCGCGGTGCCGACCGATGCTGGTTTCAGTGAAGGCGTGAAAGTTGCTCTGCTCAAAGCCACGGTAAACGTGGAGAGAAGACGGCGGTCTAATTGTAGCCGCTCGTTGGACAATGCTGAACGTGCTTTGCTCTAGACTTGTGACTACAGCACTGTTCTCGAGAGGTCATGTAATGGCTGTCGCCCTTTGCACGGATGCCTTTCTTTAACATTCGGAATCCATGGGCAGGCAGGGTTTGGCAAAAGCGAATCGAGTGTGAGCATGGTCAGCACACATCGCTCCTGTCCTTCTGAGGCTTGAGCGTCGAGTGCCCTCATGGCGCAGTCAGTTCTTCTGTGAAGAAGGTAACAAGAGGCGCCAAGGAATTAGACTGAAAAGTTCGCCTCGCCCGAGCTTCTTCCTATATAGGAGTCAGGAGATATACACGCGATACACAGCCACGGTTGTGTTTAATGGCATGAGGTCGTACGCGTAGAGGTTGACCCCTAGCAAGGCACTCTTCGCCGGCAACCGCAGCTCGCGCTAGACCTTGCCGCGCTCGCACCGCTAGCTAGCTCATTTAGGAAGGAGTAAAAGCATCGGCTGACATAGACCGTGCAGTGCCCCATCACTCGTGAATGCTGAATCTGACATGGATGCTCAGTCTTCGTCATTGGCGCTATAAAATAGATTGTTGGTTTTGATGTTGCGTCGAGATCTCACCAAGGAGCGAACAAACCAAGCATGCTGAATGTGAGACTCGACTCATGCAGAGCCCCTACAGCGTGATGTGTCTCTGACTATAGAGCACGCTCTGACGCTGTCAATTCGGAGTGCCCCGCCCGCTCCCACGCACGGGGGACCTGCATGATATGCCTCTGACATTTTGCACCCGCACGCACCACTCTAATGATCACAGTGACCGGGGTCATCGTCATTGAGTGAGAACTGTGCGCAGATTGGATTTGTTGCTAGGCGCTGGCCCCAGCTTGGGCATGAAAGTAGCTATGTAGAGCATATATGCATCAGATGCGGGTAAAGGGGGCCCGGGGTATGCGTGCAGCAATAATAAGAGGAGCTATATATATAAGTGATGCGAACGATTGCTTGAGCGCGCCGAGTCCCCATACACATCACCACCGGAACGCCGTGATCGAACATCATTTATACATGCATCGTACCCAGCATGCATGCGCATGAACCATCCACACATGCGTGCATTTGTAGCCGCTGCTGCGCGGCGCTTCTCTGCAGGGAGTAGTTGGCCTCGGCGTCACACGATCTGCGAGTCTGCGACTGAGTGCGAAGTGGAGTCGTGCCCGCGCCTGCATGTGCGGCAATGACGAGCATGCGTACTGTATATCATCAGCTCCACTTTCGCCGCGGGGAAGGACTGTGCTGATGCATGGCAGCATGGCGCAACCTTGCTGAGTGACACCGCGGCGATCCAATCGTCGATGGATCGAGCGCCGCGAGGGGAAGTTCCGAGACGATGTTGACCGGCACTGCTGCGATTGCGACGCGAGGTGTACATGTCAAATGAGCAATCGACGAAAAGGACCTCGCCTGCCACGTCCCCTTTCATCCCATCTTTGCCGCCGTGGCTCTTCATGTGGTCAGGCTCGCTCTGGTTGTGGCCCTCCGCACGCTCAACCCCTTCTCCCCTTTGCTTACCAGCAACCATCACCGCACCGGCTTTGACGTCGGCACATTCTCTTGTCACATCATCCACCACGCTGCTACGATGCGGCTGCACTTTGCTCTCCTGCTGAGCATCATAGTGGTGATCACCACTTGCAGCAGCGTACAGGCATCGCTGGAAGGTTCAGAGAAGCAGCTCAAAAAGATCTGGGCCGCTCTGGCAGACCTCACAAGAGATGAAGGTCAAAGGTCCATGTCAAGCTCTGAGCGCCAAAAGACCATTCAAGACATCCAAGCGCTCATCGACCCCGATGCAAAGAGCCTTCGACAGGGCGAGGATGGCATGCAGGCTGGCACAGCCGGCTACTCCCCCCCTAGCGGCGAGCTTGAGAAGCAGCTCGAGGCGATCGCCAACATCTCGGCTGTAGACTACGCGGATGCCATCACGAGAGAGGCCAAGGAGTACGCGGGCGCCAAAAGCGCATTCTACCCCTTTGCACCCCCTAGCATACCCCTTGCTGTGAAAGGGTGAGTTGCTGGCGATGTCACGCATCGAGCCTAGGGACCTTCGCTGATCGCCGACCTCGCACTCGCGTTCGCGTTCATGCCATCTCTGATGCGCTGCAGACCATGTGAGTACTGCAGGCTCTGCCCTCACTTGAGCGCACATGGTGCAAAGAACGAGATGGACCGCTAAAGCGCCCGTGTCTTACACGCAGATCTCAACACCTGGCTTCCCGCTGGCTCATGGTATCAGACTACGCCTCCAAACGTGGTGGGAAACGGTGGTTTGCTATTCGGTCAAGACCCTGCTTTTTGGACTTCCAGCTACGGCGCTGATGGCCAGTTCCGCATGGCGTGGAACGGCCTGATCCGCATTGACAACACAACGCACCAATGGATGGGGAATGCTTTCGGTACGACTGTTGCCAAGGGCCCGAATGCCAAGCAGCTCTCTGCTACAGTCACAGCTACGCGGTCGATCTTTGAGTTCGAGGCAGACGGCGTCAAGTTCAATGCTACTTTCCTGACTCCAGTCGAGCCATTTGATTGGGTCAGACAAAGTGAGTTGTCAAGCGAGGCAGCGCACGCATCCAGCCAGCCAGCGTCAGGCGCAGCAGCGCGCTGACTGTGGAGCTCCTCTTCCCTACACTCTTCCTCGCAGGTCTACCCCTTAGCTACTTGCACGTTGAGCTGGACAGAGCGAGTGCCAAAGGTCGAAGCGTCCAGATCTACACAGACATCGACGAGCGTTGGATCACGGGCCACGACTATGATTACGAAAACTACCCGACCAAAATGGTGAGTTGAAGCGGTTGCGCTGGATGGAGACTGGTGCGCAGAAAATGTTGAATCTGAAAATCCGGCCGCGCCGCTGCCTGAATCTAGCGCTGGAACGGCAATAACAATGGGTCCTTAGCATACTTGCTTGAAAGGACAGTCCCGGAGAAGTACACCGAATTCCGTCAGAGGGCCGAGTGGGGCACGACAGTCTACGCTACCCGCGACCGCCCTGGATTGACCTCACGCAACAACAACAACGTTGTGGCTCAATTCGAATTCTTGCAAAAAGGGCGTGTGTCCATTGATCACTTCCCAGTAGGCGGCCCGGACAACGCTTTCTCGTTTGCAGTCGACTTTGACAACAAAAAGGGAAGCGATGACGCCATTTTTGCTGTCGGTCAGTTCCGAGATCCTCTGGTCAACTACATCCGTGCCGGATCAGCCCAAGGCTCCAGCTACCTCGAGGACAGGTACGGCCTATGGCGCACGAAATTCGACACTGTCGATGCCGCCACAGCATTCTTCGTACAGGACTTTGAGAATGCTCTCAAGTCTGCCAAGAAGCTCGATGCTCAGATCGATGCTGACGCTAGAGCTGCAGTTGGCGGTGGTGACATCGGAGAGAAGTATGCTGGAATCGTCGCCCTCTCCGTTCGTCAGAGTCTGGCCACGATTGAGATTACTGTCAGCCGCGACAGCAAGACCGGCAAGTACAATTCGACGGACACTCTTATTTTCCTCAAAGAGATCAGCAGCAATGGAGACATGAGTACGGTGGACGTCATCTTTCCTCAATTCCCTCTGTTGACCTACCTCAACCCGGAGCTCCTTCGATCTCTGCTCGAGCCCATCTTCATCTATACTGAGAGCGGCATGTATCCCAACAAGTGGTGTGTGCACGATCTAGGTGTCTATCCTTCAGCGTTCGGACACAACGATGGTAACGACGAACCTATGCAAGTGGAAGAAAGCGGAAACATGATCCTCATGGCTCTGCACTATGCTCAGCTTCAGGGCGCTAAGAAGGCGACTCCTTGGTTGAAGCAGCATTATTCGATCATGCAGCAATGGGCGCAATTCCTCATCGAAGACTCTCTCATCCCCGCTACGCAGCTCTCCACAGATGACTTCGCAGGCGAGCTGGCCAACCAGACCAATTTGGCACTCAAGGGCATCTCCGGCATTGCAGCTATCGGAGAGGTCGCCACCTTGCTCGGCAAGCATTCAGATGCTAAACAATACCAGAATGTGTCTGCGACATACATTCAGTCCTTCTACGGCTTTGCCATCTCCAAGGACGGCTCGCACACTAAGCTGGCATACCAGGACGATAGCAGCTGGGGCACCCTCTATAACCTCTTTGGCGATCGCTTGCTGAACTTGCAGCTCGTGTCGCGTGAGATTTACGATATTCAAGACAGCTGGTATACCAAAAAGGCCGCCAGGTACGCTGTGCCGTTGGACAGCCGTCATGGCTGGGCCAAGACGGACTGGGAGCTCTTCACCTCAGCAATCTCTGCGAGCAATGATACGCGCAATCTCTTCATCGAAAAGGTGTACGATTTTGCATCGAACGGCCGCACGGATGCACCATTCACCGACCTGATGCACTCTATCACGGGCGATTTCCCAAAGGAGCCCTACGACCCTCTCAAGCTCTTCCTTGCTCGTCCGGTCGTCGGTGGTCACCTCTTCCACATGGCGCTGGCCAAGGCTGACAAGGTGAACGGCATCAGCGCCTCGAGCCCGTACAAGTACGGACCGCCCATCAAGTCGAAGAAGCCACCCAGAAAAGAGCGACTGGACGAGATCGCAGGAATTATTGCACGAGCCAAGCAAGGTGCTTTGGGAGGCATCACTACGCCCTCAGGCTTCCGGCACGGCGGCAACACGCCACCGAAGGCGCAAAAGGCTGATGCAAGCTCGAGCAAGTCTGCTGGCGCAACCTCAACGAAGCTGAAGAAGCACGTGACGCGCACAGCCCACGAAGAGAGCCACCATACGGCTGCGTATCATGCTACTGACAGCACTCCTGCTCGTCACGCAGTGATGAGGGGCGGTCAAGCAGCTTTCGGTGCCATGCGTGCCTAGAATGGGCAATTGGCTGAGACTTGTTCGCACCTTCGGCACAAGCTTCTGAAGTCTTTCGAATATCTTGTCGTGGTGTTGACGCTGTCACGGAGCGAGGCAATACATGGCATTCCTGTTCCCAATGACACGTAGACGTTGTTTTGATGTTTGCTGAAGAGCGCTGGGTGCAGGGACATTCTCTTCCTTCGACTTATGACAAAGCAGTCGCATGGAAGCATTGCTCCACTTCCGAGGTGGGATCATCACGCTGTGGTGGAAGATGCTCGATTCGGTCGCAAGCGTGACCGCCGCAGCGGTTCGAGACTTGCTTCAAAAGACGGCCGTGATGTGGTTTGACCCGCAGCGATATAGATCAGAATGCAGAAAAGCTCAGCATCAATCGTGAAATCTTTTGAATCGTGACTGGAGTCGCGTGCTCCGACGCCTGTATGCAGCAGCCGCGCCCAAACTCCTGACTCAAATCGATCACGACGATAGTCGTGATTTCGACGATCAAAGTCGTGCGAGCGCCGCACTTGCTGATGCACCTATATCTACATATGGGGTGCCGTTGCAGCGTGTCGTGCGCGTTGCTTGCTGCTGACGCTTAATTGCTGCTCCGCGTTCACTCGACACGACTCACAATAACTGCTGCATGCATGCGTGGCGCCGCCGCGCTCGTTTCAGCTTCCTGCATGGCCTTTTGATTGGTGGATGATGTCACAAGACAAGGACTCAGTCGATGTTGCTCGCGACCATCATCGCCCATCGCTCTAGTCTTCTGCGAGCACCGATTCATTCGCGTACATCTATTTAGTATCCGTCTCATCTCAGTGACAGGACTTCGCCACCGCAACTCACTGGCCTACGACCACGAATCTCGATCCGACGTCACAAGCTTGCGCACACAAGGCCCTTGATATTCAGGCCTGAAGCGATCACGAGCCGCGGTGCCGCTCTCGCTGCTTCAGACTTTCGCCAGCACGTATACAGGACGCTCGATCGGAAGAGCCACGATGGATCACGGCGACCACCACTCGCCTGGTATGGATCATGGAGGCGGGGAAGGGATGTGCGCACCGGGACAGCGTTCCTGCTCTCCTTCACCACCTGCGTGCAAAATGTCGATGTTGTGGAATAGAGAGACGGAAAATATTTGCATCGTGTTCAGATCTTGGCAGATCACCAATCGAACATCCTTATTGCTTAGTCTGCTGATCATCGTGCTGCTCGGCGTAGCGTACGAAGGACTCAAGGCGGCCATCAGAAATCACGATGCCAGATTGGCCATCAAGTATCATATTCATCCCACCGATGCTGCCGGGGCAGCGTCTACTGGTGGGCACAGAAGGCGCGCGAGTTTGCTCCCCTCAAGTCACTCCCGCACTCCATCAGGACCCACCGGACTCGGCACGTCTGCTAACCTGTCTTCGCGCCGGGCCACCAGCTCACATTTGGATGACAGTTCGACAGCGCTCAGGAAGCAGAGGAGACGATTCGTGTGAGTTTGTATTTTGGGTGGCGAATGTGCAGAAAAGTTCGCTCGCCCGCCACTGGGTGGCTCCCTCCTTGTGGACAGGCGTTGGGCCTCAGTGGAGATGCAGAGACTCGTGCCTGGGCAGCCTCTGGCTTGCGGGCGAGCCGTCCTCTCGTTCCGCTTGTTTGGGTCATAACAATTTTGGGATGTTGCTGACTCGTATGCTTTGTCCTCCTCAGCCCTCCTCTTTTGATATCGCGGGCCGCCCAAGTTCATCGCTCGTTGCTGTATGGTCTATCAGTAGCGCTCTCAATGTTTCTCATGCTCATCTTGTGAGTGGGCTTCGCTCGTCTGTGCGGTTTTGGTATCGATGACTGAAGCGTTGACGCACGGAACCGCACAACAGCATGACTTACAACGCTGATCTGTAAGTGTCCGCAAAGCAGGAGTCAGACTATGGGCCACTTGGGCAATCTTGGGCTGATGAGCGCGCGTCCCATCCACTCTCCAGCATTAGTGCAGTGCTCGCTGGTGCAGTCATCGGGCATTACCTCTTCTCCCGCGATCTTGGTCATATCGTGGATGGGGTGGACAAGGGTCCAGCTTGTCATTGAGAATGCCGAATGCATACAGTCACAGTCAGAGTGCACAAGTGCATACACGCGCACACAAGCGCGGCCAAGAGACCTTGTGGACCCGCGAGTGCGATCGTGGTGATTGTCTGCTATGCAGATCGTCCGCGACAATGAATCCGGTGGACTGGATGCATTGCAAAAATGGCTCGAGCGTGACTTGGGCGTTTCACGTGTACATGCAAGGCCGCAAGACCATTCCGGATCTGCTGGCTTGGCAGTGTCGTATTTGTCCCTTCCCTTCCGACCTTTCTTTCCGTCTTACTTTTGCTTGGTTGCTGCTGAGCGGCCCATTAGACCGAAAGATGATGGAGTGTGACTGCTCCCTTTCATCTCTACGACCAGCATTTCTACCTGATTCGCTACGCAGACGCGAATGATTCGAGCGCGACTTTTGGTTCAGTCTAGAGTCTCATTTGAAACACTCACTGACTTACAGGTACGCAGAGTGAATACGACCTTCACGACCTTGCTCGTGACTCACGACTCATGCAGACTCCAGACTCACGACTCTTGACTTTTGACTCGCATGACGCGAGCGCCTCCTGTGGACACGTGATTCGCAGTGTCGTGTGCGAGTGAGTCAGCAGCCCGCATGTGTGCTTGTGCGTTTCTCATTGAACAGCGTGAGGGCTTTGCAACGGGGTTGGCATCCTTGGACCTTTGCGTTCACCTCCATGCGCTGTTTCAGAATCATCAAGACTCACGATTGATGCGTGGTGCTCGCACTTCACCTGGCGCAGCACAGAGGCTCACAGACTGCGCGGTTGCGTCTGGGACGCAGGCGGGCGCGCCATCACAATCATCCTGACTGGCTGCCTTCAGCCCTTGGTAGTCTGCATCGTGTCGATGCCAACAGAGAAGGGAGTGAAATGAAGATGACCTGAAAGCGACTTGAAAAGATCATCCAAGGTCGAAGTCAACATCAACATCGCACTCCAGCTCAAAGGTTCTTCAAGATGCCCTTTGAAGCAGGTCTTGAACTCTATCGCTGGCTCAAGCCCTCTCGGTCTGGCCAAGAAGAGGTTCCGCCAAGAGCTCAAAGTCTACGTCTACCTCAAGATGTGCTCTGGGAGGTGGCAGAGCATTCAGACTTTCAAACCTTGCTGAATTTGGCCCTGACCAATCGCTCCACTCTCGATATGTTGAGTGCTCGACTTTCCAGCTATCACTACACCACGGACGGCGACGTGCTTGCGGCCATACCCGTGCAGAATCGCAGACACGTAAAAGACCTCATCGTCTATCCGCGACTACATCGTGAATCCGATCACAGTTGGCACAGTTGGCGCAGGCGCGAATGGGACATGGGTGACCAAAATTTGCTCATTCGAGATTTGGCCTCGCAGCTTCGGCATCTCACCAGCTTGAGGAACTTGCGCGTATATGGTGGAGAGCTGCGCGAGTCATTCTGGAGTTTGTTGACAGCAGCGCCACAATTAGAGGTCATGAGGATCGTGGGAGGATCTCCTCTGTGGCCACTTCTCAGCCCACCGGTAGGTGCCATGCTCTCGTACCGCTCTCTCGCTGTCCTTGTCGCTGCATCGACTGAGGCGTTGTCATGGCCGACTCTCAGAAAGAAGAGGCAAGTGTAAGATTCAACTTGCGTTGCCTCGAAATCGACATTCTTCGCGCCCCTCGGGACGTTAGTAGTGAGTAGCCGGACCATCGAGCCACGGTGATAACAGATCATATAAACCGTTATTTTGGCTGACCTAGGGCAGTCATTCAGTCCTTCAAAATCCTGGATTGATGGACGAAGTGCGCTCTTGTATCGCGAATCTTGTCCTGAAGGTGCGGCTAGAAGAGTTTCGGCTCAGCATCGCTCATAGCTTGCGCCGACCCGACGCTTTGCGTATCATTGCGCCTTTGGCCGGAGCCACTTGGCGTGAGTACTCAGCGTGAAGAGCCCTGTACTTATGAGGAGGTCGATCTGATGTGGCTCACGTATCGGTCAATCTTGAGCAGCTTTGAGGATCCTGCAAATATGTGAGTTTCAAGGAAAAAGGCGCGGTGATGTGCTTCCGCATGTTTGCAGGCTAATCATTCGATCTGATATCGACTCTGTTCAGCGGGGTACGTATACAGCCCTAAGCCGCCGCGAAAGCTGCTCTGAATCTCACTAACCTGTCATTGAGCAGACTCCCTGGCTGCCGAGACGAGCTTCTTGATCTGATCCTCCCCAATCAGTACTTCAAGTTGCAGACGCTCGTGCTTCCTACCGAGCAGCGCGCGCAGCCGCTCAGCGCGTCCTCGGCTCTTCTCGTACAGGCAGCGACAGATGTTCCCAGCCCAGGTGGCCTGCCTCTCCCCCTTCTGGAGACCCTCTGCTGTGACGAGTACGTCGTGGCGGCGTTATTGAGCGTATCGCGTCCCCGCCTTCGCGTCGTGGAGGGCTTCCAGTGAGCAGAAAAGTCATATAGATGCTGTTACTCGTGCCTTTGCACCGCTAACTTCACTTCGATAACAGTTTTGGCACCTCGCCCAGCATGGACGATCGACTTCTGAGCTCCTTCCACCTCAATCGTCAGATCACGGTGCTTGGAGGTAGGTTTTGCGGACCAGAACCAAATAAAGATTTGCGAACGCCCTGAGCTGAACAGGTGCGCTCTTTGAACTTCCCCACAGTCCGGCATACACCCTCAGGCGAGATTGGTCGCCGGGCGCGAGCGAGGCTCTTCCAGGCTTTGCCGAACGTGCGACATCTTCACCTCACGGAATATTGGCCTTCTGGTCGCTCGGGCATCAATACGGAAGACTTTGCGAATCTCAAGAAGCTGGAGCGTCTCGAAGGATTTCGCTTGGATCTGTCAGAAGTCGTCATGGCGCCCGCTATAGATGCGAATGGAGTCCGAAGACAGACCGTGGGAGACGCAACGAAGTGGTGCATCGGAAGGCTCGCTTGCGCGTGCCCACGTCTCCGTCTTGTGCAGGAATCGCGTAATTGGTACTTGATCACTCGAGTGGAGGGATCCGATGCTGTGCGATCCATCGTCGATACGTGAGTCACAGATCCTGTCGCTCGGCGCTGCAGCCGATTCTTGCGCAGGCCGAAGTGATTTGCTCAGCTTCCTGCAGGACTTCTGATCGTAGTGATTGTCCATCCATGCACGCGTAGTCCAGCTAGTCAGGTTCTCAGCTGGAGAGCCTCCTTACCTGCGTCAAGGGAAACGGTCGAGGAGACCCCGTAATGCCCTGCCATGATCATGTAAGTTGCACGTGGCCTCGATCCCATACCTTCCTGCCAGCAGATTGCAGCGCCAATAACCGGAGAGGTACTCACGCGTAGTTAGATAACGCGCACAGCACGCGTTTCGTGATTGCAGACCTTCGCAGCCACGCATCAGGAAGTCGGGCGCGGGGGCAAAGCATGCAGCGACAGCAAACGGCAAATCCTGCGGCTTGCGAGACCGCAACACAGCCTTGCATAGCATCTCCACTCGATCGCGCCGAATGTGCTGCCGTAGCGGCTGAGACAGGAGGTGAGACGGCGGGCCTCTCGCTCTCTAATTGATGCAACGCCCACGCGCATCCATGCAGAGGAGTCAAGTTGCGAGGGAACTCTTCACTCGGCAACTCTCGACCCTTGAAGTTCCGCATTACGTCCACCTCCATCCACACCGCTCCTTCTTCTGTCCAGCATGAAGCTCGAAACGTCGCCTCAAGGCCTCGCGCGGAAGGCCGTCGATGGCCATGCACCGCATCCAGAGCTCAACTCCAATTGCCGCCGTGCACGTCGGCTTCCTTCAGACAGGTTCCAGACCTACCCAATGGACATTCAGTGAGTGCTGAACAAGCGCACATCCTCCTCGCATCCTTCTACTGTCTGACTATGCGCCCACGCTGATGATGAAAGGTTCTCTTTACAGCGCTTGCCTTGCGAAGCATCTGGATGCCGAGAGTTTGCTGGCCATCAGCCTGACCTGCCGTGCTCTGGCCACACTATACGCCTTGCCGCTATCTCGATGCCTCGCTCTGAACTCGGGAGACGAGTTGCTCAACTTTGTTCAGCATCATCAGCGCAAGAGAGATCAGCTGTACGCTGGCGGGAATTCTCTTGATTATCGTCAAGATGTAGTCAAATGGACAAGTCCGGTGTACGATCTGAAGCTCGACGATCCAGGTACGCTCTTGAACTCGCGGAGGATCATGGAGCTCCATCAGCTCATACGCGAGAGAGAGCGCGCCCCGGACTTTCCGGCCGAGGAAACATCGTCTGGTCTACTGGGCGCAGTGCTGGATCTGTGCCCAAAATTGAAGTCCATTCGCACCTATCACACCACCTTGCCTCTCACTACTTCCTTAGCGTACGCGCTCCTGAGAACGACTCCTAACCTCACCACCCTGATCTACAGGTCTAAATGGTGCGACCCGAATGCTCTCGCTCTGCTATTGTCCCGTTCACAAATCAAGACCCTTGATGTCTCAAGTGCTCGGTTCTGCGCCTGCAAAGGCGACGAAGTCAGGCATCTCGACGCCGAAGCCCTGGGGTGCTGGATCGTCGACTCGAGGTCGTTGCAGCGCTTGGTCCTGACATCGAGCTACGTGACAGGCTGGAATCACGGAGCGCTGTGGCGCCACATGGCTACGCTGAACTACGGGAATGGTTCATCGGGGGATCGGAGAGCTCTTCCGCCCGTATTGAAGAGTCTAGAGCTTCGCAGAACGCAAGTCAACGCCAGCGCTTTCGGTGCCTTTCTGTCAAGTCCCAACGCTGGAGCTTTGACCCACCTCTTTCTGGGTGGAGTCGCGCGTCTGAGCTCAAAGTCGATGGAGGAGAGTCTCACTCCACGGTCAGGCGAGGCGCCTTGCGCTTTCGTCGCGTCATGCGAGCTATTGGACCTCGAGATCGACGGCCGACTTATGAGCTCAGAGCTACTCAAGCTTCTCGGAAAGCGGATCGGCTACTTGCGCGTCTTCGAGCCCAACTCCGTTCAATGCATGGCTCTGACAAATGTGCTAGCCGATGGCTTTCTGCCTAAGCTACACCGACTGGTCATCTGTCCCAGAAGCCAACACGACGACGAATCTCTTCGAACAAAGGCGACAAGAGGCACTACTCCCCATCAGCCCGTAAGCGCGAGGCACGCAGCGACGATTGCCCTGACCGCCATGTCTCTGGGCGTGAGGGACACCACGGTAGGCGATGACTTCTGGTGGGGCATCGAGGAGCGAAAGAATAACATGGCAGCCTATCGGAGAATGGAAGCGGAGGACCAGCGCAAGCAGGCAGCAGAGAGCGCCCGAAAGGCGCTGCAGCGAGCTCGAGATGCAGATGGCTGGGAAGCCGATGAGGAGGTCATGGTCTTTGGCAGCCTGCCTTGTGGAGCCGCGCGGCAGCAGTGGGGCGAGGGCGGCCTTGATCATTGGAGAGACTAGCTACTGTGCTCCGCGGCCACTACTTTGCTTCGAGTTCCGGCCAGCCCAGCACATCAGTGGAGTTTTGAGCAACTATTTTGTCCATCAAACAGGAAGAGTTCGTTACATTAACAACCTAGTTCCTCTTGCTCAATATGAGCTGCAATGGATCTTTGAAAATGACGAAGCGATCTTTGATGTTGTTGCGAAACGTGTCGGGGTCGATGTGGGGTGCGAGGTTGACGTCAAAGTTCTGCACGAAGCGAGCAAGGAATAGGCGCATCTCCATGTAGCCCAATTGCTTGCCCTGCAACACGTGCACAATCGCAGTCACATCTGCTCGTCAGTTGGGCTATCAGGAATCTCCTCGAGCGCAAACGTCGACTCACGATGCACTGTGTTGGTCCCGCGCCAAAGGCAGTAAAGGCAGATGCAGTGAAGACGTCGCCCGTCTTGTCCTGCTCGATCCATCGCTCTGGGCGGTAAAGTTCGGGATCGGTAAAGTTGCGGGGGTCACGCTGCATGGTGTAAGTGGGCGTGGAGATGATGACACCTGGCGGGATGATCGAACCATCTGGTAGCTTGAGTCCAGCTGGGGAAGTGACGCGTTGCAGGCCGCTAGGTACGCTTGGATAGAGCCGGAGCGATTCGTCGATGCACGCTGTTAGATAGGACAGGCGACGTTGAGTCTCGTACGAGCCTACGTCCGAAGCGCTGATGTCGCGTTGAGGAAACGCAGTATCAAGCTCCTTTCTGAGCTTTTGCCAGCAGCGGCCCGAATCCGTCGTGATCAGGTTGAAGATGACCAAGCCCATGGCGTTTCCGGCAGTGTCGGAGCCAGCCCTAGCGAATGCCACGAGAAGGCGTCAAATCGAAGCGCAGATCCAAGAAGAAATGCGGGCAGACAAAACTTACCCAAGCAGCAAGAACGCCTCGGCAGTAAGCTCGTCCAAGTCGATCCTGTCCCCTTGAGCCTGCCTTTCACCAAGAATGTAGCTAAAAATGTCCTGCTCCACCAATGCCGGTCCATCCCTGATGCGCTGCCGCACAGTCTCACGACACCAAGATTCAATGGCTGCAGTGGGACTCGGCAAGTATGCGAGAATATCGCGGATATATCCGGCAACATTTCCCATTGGCATGAGCACGGCCAAAGACTCTTGGATCAGCTCGATCTCTTTGGCTGTATTGGCGGTGTCGAGCATGTGGAAGGATCGACCAACACCGAGCTCGGTGACAATGTCCATGGTGAGCCAATCAAGCCAATGGCCAATGTCTTGCGTCGTCTTGCCGTCAGCTTTGTCCAGGAGCGCATCGATCGCTTTCTCCACGTTGCGCTGGACATTCAACTCGTAGCCTTTGAGCGCGCTGCTCCTGAAGGCTCCGTCCCACTGTCTACGCCTCTCATTGTGCGCTTTCATCGTCTTGAGAGTGTGCAAACTGCGCGCTTCCTTGCGAGTGATGGCAAGACACTCGTACCAAGGTCCTTTTTGCAAGCCGGTTGCGTAGATTGCAGATATCGCACCCACGATGTTGATGCTCAGCTCTCGAGGGCCAATGCGGACCACATCTCCGTACTGCCTGTGCAGCTGCTGCATGTACACAGGTCTGCTGCCGGCCAAATCGAAGGACATGCTGCTCCACTTGCTCAAAGCGAGAGATGTTGGACCTGGGAACTGGCTGAGTCGGTGAAAGTAAACCCTGTAGACACCGATGATACCAAAGACGGTGAACAGGTACGTGGCTGCTATTCTGGATGTCAAGAATGCCGAAGCAAAGATGCCAAGGCCTTCTTGAACGTGGTAGATCAGGAAGGAGGCAACATTGCCGCCAACGAAGGCCAGCGTGATATACAAGGCATTTGGCTCGGAAATTTGAGCTGACAACCACGTCGCAATGGCTAGGGTGATTGGCAGCAATGTGGTCACTTGCCAGCTTTGCGCTTCCAGATCAGCAAGCAGCGTCATCCTGTCTTTTAGGAGGGCGTAACAAGCAGAGAAAGATGGATGATGGGAGACCATTCTCCTTTGATCCTGAGCACCTCATATAAGGGTTCGAGCGGGCCATGTAAATGACCCAAGTCTGCTCCCGCTGCGGACCTTAGCTGCTCGCGCTCGTCGCATTCTGCGTAGAGAAGCATGAAAGCACTATATGCCTTTGTGTTTCGCTGCATGACATGTCTCTAACCCCGCATAAGAGCCATCTCGTCAACACCAAAGAAAGGACAGGATTGCGAGAGAGCCGACGGGAACGGCTTCGGCTTCAGCAAGCACACCTCGCGCGCAGGTTGGGAGATTGGCTCTCGACTTTCGAAGAAAATTGGTGGTCTCGGTCGTCGAGGTCGGGCAAGTACGTGTCGAGGTTGGGACTGAATAAATACGTACACATCCTCATTTGGAGAGTGGTCCATCGTTGGGCACTCGATTAGTGATTGCAAGGCTTGATGGCAGTCCGAAACCTTATCTCTGGAGCACTGCTCATGTGCCACGATCCGCGAGCTGCAGCCGATCCGTCGACGCTAAAAATGCGCGAGATTTCTCCGACCCGCCGCCGGCGGCGGAGATCCTGCTGCTGCTGCGTGAACGCTAGCTGTTCATGCTGCTGAGCCAATCAGCTTCCGCCATGACTCGTCCTAAATGTACTAGAGACGTTGCAAGGTGGGGAGGAGCTAGCCATGAAGGACGTCGATCGATTGGAGCGTAGATGATGAGTGACAGGTGTGGCCGATGCTCTGGACCTATCCACAATGCGTCGCTCAGACAGATGCACAATTCATGCATGCGTGACGGTCGGTAGGGAATTGATGTACAAGGTCGGACTAGGGGGACGCCTGCAAGAGAGCCGCGGCCTACGAGCCTGCCATCGCAAATCGCTGTGTATTACATCGTTGGTTCTTGTTCCTTCCACCTTTAATTTCTTTCCTCCTCTCCGAGTAGCCAGGCAGCGCCTCTGCTGATGGAAAAGCCTTGCGAAGCAGAGACGTTGCGCACAGAATTTTTCTCGTCACGCTCAACATCCCCATTTGTTTCTGGTCGCGGACCGGGCGCACCGCCGCTGGGCAGGCCAGAGGCGAAACCACCAAAGAAAGATCTGGCAGCTCTAGCAGCTCTCTCTGCAGGATCCATGTAGCCCGACAGGTTGATTGAAGTACCGCTCGGGCTTGAGCTTCTTGCGCTAGGCGCATCGCCCAGACCGTCGAAAAGCTGAGCTGCTCGACTACCAAAGCCACCGCCACCTGATGCAGGTGGGCTAGCCAAAGAAGCGGCGCCTGGAACCGTGCGCCCAACAGCAGACGGCGCGGGCGCAGCACCTCCTCGAAGTCCATCGACCACACCAGCAAGTCTTGCGCTGTTGAACAGCCCACTGAAACCACCACTGGCGGCCTGGGCAGCTTGCGCAGCGCTAAAGATTGATCCAGCAGCGTAGCTTGCTCTGGCTCGCACATCGCTAGCTGAAAGACTAGTCATTCGACTTGCAACAGCCGCAGCGCCAAATCCCTGGTCTAGTCGTCTGGATGCGTCTTTACCGCCCGGCAATGTTGGATTTGCTTCCAAGAAGGCGAGATGCATGTCCTCTGCATTTCTGAACTGTCGCAGAAACCCAGACACCTTGTCTGGTGGACACAGTTCGATCACGTGCGCCATCAGTTCGAGCTTAGCAGACGTATCCTCAAAATCGGGATGCCGAGCGACTTGAAGACAGGCTTGCCACGCCTCTTCTTGAGCTTGTGGAAGTACTGCGGCAGCGCTATTCGGATCCCTCAATGACATGCTTGATGACTCTGTGCTGTCTGCATGAGCCGCAGCAGCTGCATTGGCGCGCTTTCGCAAAGCCGCCACCTGCTCTACTAATCGAGTGCAAGCGGCACGAGCCGCTCGAAAGTCTTCGGCAGCTACAGCGGCATTGCTGATCCAAGCGAGCGTCTGAGCATCAATGAGAGCCTTTGGCTTGGGCGAGGTTTGTGTAAGGTCGCTAGCTCCGCCCCAAGAGCTTCGAGAAGGTGTGCCGACGGCATTAAGTTTCCTGGCGAGTTCAATGATGATGTCGACTGTCTGGTAAGCGCCGTCATTGAGCGATAGCAAGCGACCAATGAGTTCTTGTCTGTTTGGTGACATGCGAATTTGAAGCGGCGTCACCTGTTCGTGCCTAGCATGCTCAAGTTGCGCGTCACGAGATCGGCTCAAATTGTAGGAGCACAGCTTTGACGTCCCTTCGATGAAGGCTCTTTCAGCAGATATGCGCGGAGTGGGTGTAACAGCAGAAAGTGCCTCGTAAGCAATCTTCATGTCGCCACGGTGAATATTCGTAGACTCCGTGTTGTCATAAAGTTCCCGCGACACGCGCAAGACAAGCTCTTCGGCTTCCTCGGACGATGGTGTCGCCGTTGCAGAGGTGTCTGCCAACAAGATCTTGAAAGTGGAGACATCTTCAAGACTCGCGCGCCAAACACACAATCAGCCTTGCAGCTCGCTTAATACACTGAAGCTGGTACGACTCACCGCCATTTCGAAGCACTTCCTCCAGGACCACCACAGTGGCCTGACGAGGTCCTAAAGCTTCTAGTAAACCCCCTTGCCCTGCCATCGCCTCTAGCTCCAGCCTCAAGGGGGCCCAGACGCGTGACTCTTTCTTGACATCTCCAGCTCTCAGAAGTCTGACCACCAGTCTCCGCTGCGCTGCTGCGTCGCCAGAAGCAGCCGCTAGGCTCGCGATGCTCAATCGGAGTCCTCGAGCAGCAAACGTCTTCGATGCTCGCACGTGGGATTTTACGAGAGGCAATAGCTCCAGAGAAGGGGTTGGCAGGGAGTTGTAGAGCTCTTCTGTCGTCATCGTTTCCGGAAGTCTCGGAGCCAGCAGAATCGCCAGACTCTCGCGTGCGCCTGCAGGAACGCCGGCAATTTTGCTAGAGAAATCATCCGGAGCTGCCGCATCGACGATAGCTGAAAATGCAGCTTTAGCAGAACCGTCTGTCCTTTCGGAGCCGTAAATGGATACGAGCGCAAGACGGGCTCTCGTTTCCTCGTCCAGGATCATCGCACCATCTGCAGCGCTCAGGGCACGCAATATGGACGCAATCAATCTAAGACAATCCATGCCGAAGCGTCCTGGCGCGTTCGATTGTGCTCTTAGCACGTCGAAGACCAGATCTTTGAGGGCGGTGGCAATGCCCGACGCGCCTGATGCCCGCGTCAAGAACACGACAAGGTCGTGCATGGCCGCGTCGGCTTCTGAGGGGCTGGTAGCCGATGCCAAGTATGCCAAAGCCGTCTGCCTGCTTCGCTCAGGGTCCTCGAAAGCAGCGCGAAGGTCGCATAAATTGAATTCTCGAGCATCGGTCGAAGGCGCGCTACGACTATTGAGCGCTGCAAGCATCGCAAGCTCTTCCTTCAGCTGCAGCAACTGATCCGCAGCAGTGCCCACAGCCGCTAGCGCTACGTCCAACAGATCTTGCGCTGAGCTCGCCTTATTCGCTTGTGCTTCCAAGAGCAGCACTTGCTCCTCATACCACTCGACCAGCTCTGTCCGACTGAGCGAGCGAGGCTCGTCCGGCCGCAGCGACTCATTCTTCGTGTCGACCACATCTTCAAGCACAGTGGAAGCCTGATAAGAGTCGAGCCAGATGCTTTGCTCCTCCTCCCCCCTCACATTGGGCAAAAGACCTAGACTATACAAGGATTTGACCGAGCCTTGGTGAAGCGCAGCGGCGAGGAAGAGGAGGGACAAGAGCTCATAGCGCTCGGTGATGATCGTCTGCAGCTCCACCCTCGGCAAGCTGCGCAGCAAGTCCAGCAGCTGTTGGGGCTTGTTGTCTTGCACCAAATCGATTGCAACCTGTAGAAAGGAGCGCTCGAGGTAGTATGGCATGTTGAACGGTTGCGCGTCAGACGAGGGGGTCTCCAATGCTGTGTCTCGACTGACTTCGTCGTCATCCCAGGGATCGTCCTCGTCTTCGTTCTTGGCGCTGAGCACGTTGGAAGAGGACGAGCCGTCTGCGACAGGAGCCAGCAGCAGGGCTCTTTGAGCATGTACAGCAATGCTTCTCAACTCCAAAAGCCGCGCCTCGGTCTCCCAGCCCGGATCAGAAGCGTCCCCTTGTCCGTATCTTCTTGCAAACGCATCTGCAGCCGATGCAGTTCTCGTCAAGATCCTGTCAGAAAGTGCGACATGATCTTGGAGCGTGAGGGAGGAGGATTGAAGAGCTTCTGCCAAGGCGCTGCAAGCCCATACATCATCCGTCACGCCATCGAGAGCTTGCAAGGCGAGGGACAGGGACGGCGCATCCGAGCCTTCAGCTGGTGCTATGTGACCAGCATACCTCAGCCACGTGCGTTTGAGTAGGCGCTGAGAGGGCTGAATGGATGAGGAAGCTGGACGCGTAGACAGCTCGGTGCTCTTACGCTTCTTCGTGCTGGCACTTCGCGTGGTGGATGACATCTCGGGGAGCCTTCGTTGGTGCAGCGCTTCATGAGCCGCTAGGTAGCGCAAGCACTATATTATCGTAGCTGCGAAGCCTCCCGATGTTCGCTCTGAGAGGGACAAGGTGATAGAACACAGCAGTATGGGGAGGCGAGTGGCGTTGTAGAAATGGATCCAATCTCAGTCGTAGTCTCAATGCTAGGTCACTTCATGACTGGATCGAGGCTCGAGGTCGAAGCGAGTGAATGGCGAGCCGTGCGCCCCGCCATGCAGCTCTTCTCCACGACGAGAGCGCGACCTTTCTCGTACGAGACGCGGCCGAGTGGCTTCAGCATGCACGTGCATCAGCGGTCGGGACATGCCTGCACAGTAGGCGCGGCGGCAAGCAGGCGGCGAATCGCCGCGAGCACCGCGCTGATATCCTGCTGCATTCACATTCACGATTTGCCACAGCGGCTGCGATCATCACGGTTCTCCAGCCCCGCACATGTTTTGATCACGAACGACATCCACCTCGCTCTGTGACTGGCTTCATCAAGCTCTAACAATCCCATCAGCTCGTCACTCTCGCGTCATGTCACTGGCAGCGCCTCACAAATGGGGCGCTGTGCGTGGCTTGGGCAGAGCAGCGCGAGATGGTGCGCCGCCCTGGCCCGGAGGCGCATCATCGCTACGCTCAGCTCGACGAGCCCCACCGCCATCATCGCGAGCATTCAGCTCCAGCAGCGGTGCTTCGTCATCTCAAGCTTCTCAACGCGGCGCAAGTCAACTTCTCAACAGGAGATTCTTGGGTATCCTCAGGCACGTAGTGCTGCCTGTGCTGAAGGGCGCCTACCTACCTTTCACTGGCGCCGCATCTTCCAGCGCTGCTGCACCCAACTGCGCACACCTCGCGCGCACACCGTTCAACCCCACTGTGCATGGTGGTGTGGGCGCGAGATTTTTTGGTGCTTCCGTACGCGCTCGCGTACGACCTTCGCCAACTGTCTCGGCGCTGAAACCCTCTTTGACGCACGGTCCAGGCCTTCAGACTGCGCGCAATTTCTCTAGCGGCGGTGGCGGTGGGCGCCTGTTTGGCGATGTCTTCACCAACGCCCCTCTGGCTTTCAGAGCCGCTGTCGACGAGTTGGACGATGACTTGTCTCTATTCGGGAAAGCAGCCAAAGGCAAGGGCAAGGCGCCCACGATCAGCGCTGCCACCGCCCGCCGTGGTGCTCGTCGTTCAAGCCCTGCAGCGCGCACCAAGCATGCGGCTCAAGCCTCGGCTCGGATCAGTGCCAAGTACGCTGCTCGACAGAGTGCAGCTGTCCAGGACGTGTCAGCCTGCTGCTCATGTGATGGTGACAGCAGCAGCAGCAGCAGCATCTGCATGGAAAAGGACAACATCGAGCAGACGTACAATCAGTACTTTGCTACCGCACCACGTGTCGCCGACAAGACCGATCAAACCTCTTGCGGCCCTTATTGTGACACGTGTACTATCTTGCGTCTACCTGCCGAGCCGGATCTCGACCTTTTTCAGCTCCTTCTCGGTCCGATGACGGATTTGGCGAGCGAAAAAGACTCAACGCATCCGCTCGATCGGCGCACTTTATCGGTCATGCAGAGCTACTCCGAAGCGGCAGCTCATCACCGCCTCCTCATTTCCAGCTTGCAGCGTCTGCTCAAGCGAGAAGGTCTGGACCCGGACTGGGTCATCTGCGCGGATGATGTTGCCGCGCACGGGCGAGCGTTCGATGTCAGCTTCGATGGATGGCGCGCGGAAGATGTGCGACGCATGCTCCTTGCCGAATTTGGGGTTCGAAGAGGTGGAGAATTGTCGCGCTTCTTGTTCGAGCAGAAGCATACTGCTGATCAGCCACCAGACAATGCGTCTCGTGCGGGCTTGGACGATCTTCATTCCCCACCCCGAAGCACGGAGGATTTTGACACGAACTCGCATCTCAGTCCGAACAGCGAGGCTATCTCACTCTCGCCATCACCTTCCGATGCGCACGATGTAGCTCAAGACGTCGCTGAATTTGGAGTGGCATCTCAAGTCAGCTTTCAAGATCATGCCGACGCGCACTCCGATCGGTGGGACATGCCGTCGCCGTCGATGACGACCGAGCACGCGATGGGCAATGGGCTGGGACTGGACTTGGTGATGCCTACTCTGAGTTTCGAGCGGGAGAACGGGCCTGCATCGTTCGCCGGCTCGATCTCGCTTTCTCGCTCATCTGCCAGCTCCGATCTGTCCACCGGTTGAATGCACTCGTCTCGCCTTCCGACATTTAGCGATGCGCGTCTTGGATCACTAGCGTACTCGCGCATGGATACCCAAGCCGCATTGTTAAGCCTCTTGCGGTCGCGTGTGTTCGATTTCACGCAGGCCATTCTTCCGGCTGGGCTTTGTAGCCAATGCTTTCATTGGAGATGCAATCATGTATAGGCCTCGTCCCCTCACAAATCATGCCCTTCTGCTTCTCGAGAAGCGCTCCCACGCTCTTTTGTTCCCTCCATGCTTTCTCTGGACGTCGACTTTGTTCTCTCTCTCTCTCTCAATCTTACGAGCCCTTATTGCTATGATTTCATACACGTTTCATGTATTGCGATTTGAACGAGTTCGCCCGAGTCGCTTTATGTCGGGTGATCAGTCCAATCGGACCAATGTATGCTCGTCGGGTCTAATCGAGTTGTAATCAGCCACGACATCGCAAACGCTCGCGACGGGCATGACGACGAGATGCATCCAATGGGGTGGATCGTGACGCTGCATGACGAAAGATGGAGGAGATTCAACGCAGTAGATCGAGCAGGCGCAATGGAGAATGCAGTGCAAATGGCTGCGTTGAACCGTCCAAGAAGCGCAGCGTACGAGGTTGTGAAGACAAAGTCGTCTTCGATAGTCTAGTGCGAGGTAGGAGCAACATCGTGCAAAACAACGGAACGGTGCAGCGAGCAACCAGACGAGGTATGAACCCGCTAATTTGGTTCGAGCGCGCCGGTCTGCCCGGAGGCCCGCGGTCGTGGGTGATCCATTCCATGTGCCAATGCGGAGCACTGTGAAAAGAAAAGAGTAAGGTCAAAGCTCCGCCTTCTTCTTTCTATCGACGTTGCCTTTTTTGTTCTCTTCCGACCTGGTGCGTTCCAGTTTTATCTTCAGATCAGCAAGCCTCTTCTCCACGTCATCGAGCAGACTAGCCAAAGTCTGCACGTCGTCCTTGGTCAAGCCCTGCTCGGTCTTCTGTGGGTCGGTAGGCAAAACTTTTTCTTGTCCGGTGTATCGCGGTTGCTGGACAGGAGAAAGATATTCTTGCAACACGCCCCTCACTGCGAGAGCAATGGCTTCGGCATTTGCCGTATCCGCCGCAAGCGAAGAAGAAGCCGAGTTGGATTTGCGGGATTTGACAAGCTTGTGTGGATCGGAAGGATCCCTCTTGCTCGCTCCACCACTCGCCGTCAATGCCCAGATGTTCGTCAAGAGCAAGACAAAGACGAGTGCTCCCAAGATGAGCATCGATGGGCTAAGATCGCCTACCATTTCGATAGCGCCCCCTGCCAGATCTGCAATTGTGCCGCCGATGGTCGACAAGATGCCCATGATGCCCCCAGCTTCGCTCGTGCTCGAAGCCTCGCTCGAAAGAGCCTTGGAGGACTCTTTGGAGGTGGGATCAACAGACGTCTCGCCAGCTGGAGTGGAAGCTACAGCCTCTCGCATCTCGTCTGCAGCTTCATCATCGCCTTCTTCTCTGAATTCTGAAGCGTGTTCTTTCAGGTACTTTCTGACCGCAACGTCCAAATCCTTGTAGTACTGCTTCTGGCCGTCGATGGACGCTTTGTCGATGATGCCTATGGGTCGCACGAGTGTCGAATGGCGCCGTCAGCTGAGCTCACTTCGCAACGATGCGCTTGACTGCTCTCACCTTTAATCATGCTCCTTCCAGACCATTCAACATTGCAAGTGACATAGACCTTGGTGGTATTGCCACCTGCCCACGTGAAGCAGGTTCGGGTCTTGACCGCGAAGCTTCCTCCTGAGGGGACATCAGGTGTCCTCGTAGTCGTCATGGTACTGACGTAGTCGTCCATGTCGACGTGCAAGTTTTCGTCCGTGATCACGCACTTTGTTTGTTTAGGACCAAAACCACCAGCCAAAGGTTTAATGTAAGACATTGACCTGGACAGCATGTTGTTGTTTGCGGTATCGGGCGACCAATCCGACATTTGCAAATCTGCATCGAGAAAGAGGTATTTTCAGCATTTCATACTCCTTGCGCAGCATCGTTCTGCACTTGACGACTCACCCATGAGCTTCTGATCCACAGTCCAGAAATCCTTCATGAAACCGCTGGTGAACAGCAGGTTGTATATCTTCTCCGGCACCGCCGGATAGGTCTGGTCGAGCGCGACGGTGGGCATATGCTTCTTTTCCTTTTCGCATGGGCAGCTCGTAGCTCTGTGGGGAGCTTTCTTGCCGCCTGCAGCGCCCAAAGCCACAGCAGGTGAAAGTGGCGCGCCGTTCACTCCCGACATACCATTTGCAGCAGAATCGGCGCCGGCGCCATTCGCAGCACCTTCCTTGTTGCTCTTCAGCTTCATTCGCAGCTTCTTGCGCTTGGATACCCGCTGGGCGCCTTGCTCCGTGGGCTTTGCCGCTGCTCCGTCTTTAGAAGCATCGCCTTCATTTTCTACCGACTCGTCATCCGATTGGACCTCGATGGTAGCTTGACCAGGGACCGAGGGATGGGAAAGCTTCCAAATATTGACGATGAGATCATACGTCGCATCTCGCGATAAGAAAGAAGCAAACGTATACTGTGTGGAGATAGAGAGGACCACGTCAACGGTTTCAAACAGTGCTTTCATTTAGCTCCCGCTTACCTTCGCATGCAATGTGGCCATCTGTATAGCGTTGGGTATCACAAATGCAGTCATGCGTTTCTCGATCGACACGATCTCGTGAAAGCCAATGACGATATTCGTCACCCATCCAAAGATGTTTGCGTTGAAGCAGACGTGATTCTCAGAAATGTAGAAGCGTCCTTGAACGAGGATCTCGCGCACGAGAGCGCAACCGTAGTCTGTGTGCGATCGCAAGGCGAGCACACGTGCGAAGCAGAAGGAGCGCAGTGAGCTTGGTATCAACATGCTGTCCCTAAGCCCCTCACACAGACCTGATCTGCCGATGCAACGTATCCCACTCACCTTCGATGAGATAGTCGTCCTCGGGCACGCTTGGGAAGAGAGCATGGAAATCCGCATTTCTCTTGGAGCTGGCTACCGCAAAGCCGGTGATCTGCTGTCCGACGCCTACATCGCCGGGCCAAGCATGATCGTCGTCCAATAGAGACACGCCCTCTCCAGTTCCCGCGGGGCTCAAGCCTCCCACGGCGCCAATGCCGCCGGGAGTCAGATGTGGTTCTCCCACAGCGCTGACAAGTCGCGGAGTGGGTGGCGCTAGACTGGCCGCTCCTGGCATCAGGCCGTGTGGAGCGTGCAGGCCTCCTGCAGCTACAGCAGCACTGAAATGAGCAGCCGCCCCAAGTCCAGAGGCTTCGCTCGCATCGCTCGCAAAGCTCAAGCTACTGCTCGTGCTTCTCTCTCTCAAAGCTCTTCTCCTACCCTCTATCGCTTCCTCCGACGGCGTTCCAAGCATTCCGGGATCAGGTCCGACCTCTGACATCTTGCCAGTCTGTGGATTTCGATACAAGCCTCCTTCACTCCCACCCACGTAATTGGCGTCCAGATTGCTGCCTGATCGAACCATTGCTTGTTGCCTAGCCATCGCACCTTGACTTCCACCTATGCCTGCCGCTCCGATCGCGCTTCCAGCCAGAGCACCAGCTATGCCTCCAGCGGGTCCTTTTTTGGCGCTCTTGGTGCTCTCGGCCGTGTCCCTCCTTGCAGGACCATCTGACAGTTTTCGCAACCTCGCAAGAGGACTAGGAGGCAGCAATTGAGAAGTGCTTGCCGATTCGTGCATGCCTGAAGATCTTGAAGGAGAATGGCTGTCGGTGCCGCGAGGTGCAGGAGGTGCGAGGGAAGAAGCTCTACCGCGATCTGCCATGGAAGGCGCCATCGTTCCAGTCGTCGCATAGCGGCCGTGACCACTTTGGGTCTTGTGAGGAGACGCAGTGGCGGTCGAGGCTGCGCTGGGCGAAACCGTCACCTCACCCATATCTGAAGCGTAGCTGTTGTTGCGACTGCCAAGCTTGGGTCTAGCTGGTGCTTTGCTCTGCTGCCCTGCACCAGCTGCAGCAGAAGCAGTGAGAGCATCACCGTTCCCGGCAGTGCTGGAGTGGACTGCAGGATTAGGTTGAACAGATCCATCCGCGTGCACAATCTCGCCCAATGTGAATGCAGCCAAATTCAAACTGCCTTCACCGGGTCGATCGCCAGGCGATGCAGGAGGTAGTTCGACTGGCCTCGCATTCAGCGTGTTGAGGTCGGCATTTCCGGTCGATGTGTCCACATTGGCCAGCCTGGCAGGAGCTGTGGGTGGCTGAGCTGAGAATGGATTGACATTGTTGAAGCGAGTATTGCTCGGAGCTGCGCTGGCATTGCCTGCACCGCCTCTTCTTAATGGTTCCTCATCGCCGGACGATTCGCCGCCTTGGAGGATATCGTGGGCTGCAGCATCAGCCATGGCTCTCCGCATCAGCTCGTGCCTGTCTGGAACGCCCGTGCTGGCACCCCTTCCGTGCCCATCATCGCTGATGCGTGTGCTACCTCTTCTCCCAACCTTGCCGGTCCCAGAGAACACGCCCGCGGCAGATCCGGGTCGGGGCATGTTGCTAGAAGATGCGGCTGTGGCTGTCCTGATCGAGAGATCGGGACTCGTATGGGACGTGGGAAGCCTGCTGGGAAAGGTTTGCGTGCCTTTGAGCGTCAAGTTGGAGTCGGCAGATGTGGTCGAGGGCGAGGGGATGGACGTGGACGATGAGGTTGGCGCTGCTGCTGTTGGCGTTGCAGACGCTCGACTATCGACACGCGAATTCGTTTCGAGAGGATGCGCGGCAGCACCGTGACTTGCAGTTGCAGACTGAAGCGATCCTCTTCTGCTCTGAGAAAGGTCAGATGACTGCGACTGCGACTGCGACTGCGATTGCGATTGCGATTGCGATTGCGATGAGCCTTGAGCCGTATCTTTGCGAGCGCCTCGGATGAGAGACGATATTGCTAAAGGCATCAGCGTCGAGATCACAGCACAGCTGTGAGTGTCGAAGAAGCAAAGGTCACCAGCGACGCGGGGAGAGGATCGAGATACTCTTTGACTTTACGTCTTGATCTGCAAATCAAAATGAATTCCAACCGTCGGAGTGCCAACGACGGTCGCGAGTCCGAGGGTTCGCTTTTGCTGTTGGCTCAGACCTGCTGGCTGGCTTGTTGGCTGGCTTAATTGTTGGCTGGCTGATCGGCTGGTCGGCTGTGGATGATGCTCGCGTGCATGCAGCTGCTGCTGCTAGCTGCTGCTCTATCTGTCTGCTGCTGATCTCGTTCGTGCCTTGCGCGCCGCTGCTGCTGCTGTTGGTGTTGCTGCTTCGTGCATGCACTCGTGACTCGTGACTCGGGTGGGTTTAGCCTCAGTTGACCGTCTGCATGACGCTTGATCGCACCGAAGAACTCTGACTGCTCGCGACGGACTCAAGACTCGTGACTGCACAATCAACACTCACGAATCACAAATCAAATCACTTCGATCCGTGATCGCAAACGCGTGTCAAGCAAGCCCACGCTGATGACGGTTCGTCAGTACGAGACATTTCTTCATGAATGAGTCTTTGAGTGCAATGGTGGACCCATCGACAGACGTAAATCACACTGTGCGAGTGTATATATGTATTATACCTCGTGCAAGCATTCTGCTGGCCGCCTGCACAACATCAGAGAGGAAGACATCCCATCCGCATCTCATCAGAATTGGATCACGCGTAAAGTTGACCGACACTGATCATCCGCTCTGGCAAGGCTCCCCATGTGCGGCGGCGGACACAATTCGCATCAGTATATACTGCTTAATGTCTGTGCATGACGGCGGGAGCGAGCAAGTGCTTACGATTTCCACTCACGACTCGACAATCTTGTCACGATTCAAAGATACTCGAAGTCGTGAGTGATGCATGCATGGGGCGAGAGCGATTTCCAAGTCACGTGTCAGTGGTTTGGCGTGGTCAACACCGCCTCACCACTGCACGGCGTTGTCTGCATGGCGCATATGGCAGCCTGGGGCAGTGCGAGTGCGAGTGCGAGCGCGAGTGCAAGCGGATCAAGAGGGGTGGGGAGCGCGTGTATTCGTGATTTGATGCATTCGCGATTCGTGATTCGAGCAGCAGCTGTCGCGCCTTTTCTCAGATGATCATCCAAGCTGCTCTTCCACGACAGCGGCATCGAGCGGCCTCACAGCAGACAATCGCCATTGCAAGCGGTCGCACTGCGAGGCGAATGCGTTCAAGCTCGTGCGACAGCGCGTGCGAAGACTACATTCATCATCCGGGCCTGTCAATCGCTCATCGATGATGGCAGATTCCAGCCATCCTCGCAGGACGTCATGGGATGACGCAGCCGCGACGGCTGGTGGTGGTGAACCCCAAGCTTCGACATCCAGACCAGCGATCAAAGCTCGGCCGCTCACCTTTCATCAAGGTAGCGCCCGTCCAGCAGCTGCTAGAACGTCCACTTCTCTATCCTTGCCGCGCCGATCTTCCTATGCGGCCACAGCAGCAGCAGAAGCGTCAGGCTTGACATCCACCTCCAACTCAACTTCGACCTCTGCGAATACCCCTCATTTGGCCTTCACCGCGGATCAAGATGAGGAGGGCGATAGGGATTGGAGATCCACCGCTATCGGCGACTCTCCCTTGGAAAGGAGCATACATCACGTGGGAATGGGTCGGTATCAGTACAGCTTGCTGTTCCTGACAGGTTGTGGCTGGGCAGCGGACAACATGTGGCTGCAAGGCATAGCCATCATCATTCCTCGACTGCAAGACGAATTTCGACTGTCGGACTCGATCGTAGGCCTGGCTTCGAGCTGCATGTTCTCGGGCATGATGATAGGTGCTATCGGCTGGGGCGCCTTTTCAGACTCGTACGGCAGAAGACCAGCATTCAACCTCACACTGCTCTTATCGACAGTCTTTGGACTCTTGGCTTCAGTCGCACCTTCCTTTCCGCTCCTCTGCAGCTCGCTCTTCGTCCTTGGTACAGGCGTGGGAGGAAGCATGCCCACAGATGGCACCCTCTTTCTAGAGAATCTGCCCCGGGACAAGAGGTATCTCCTCACTGCTCTCAGCGTCTTTTTTGCAGCTGGTAGCGTCGCCGCCGCTATACTAGGTTTGCTCATCCTGCCGTCCGGTAGCTGTCCAGACCGCGATACGTGCTCTTCAGATCAGAATCGAGGTTGGAGATATCTACTAGCCAGCCTTGGCGGTCTCGTGAGTCTAGCCTCGACCAGAGATCGCAAGCCGCAGGCCAAACCGCTGACCCACCGACCTTTGCTCATGAACTTCGTAGACGGGTCTCTTTCTCATCTCCCGTTTACTCTTTTTCAAGCTTTGGGAGTCTCCAAAGTACCTAGTATCAACGGGCAGGCCCTACGAAGCTCGCGTGATCCTTCAGCGTATAGCAGCATACAATGGCAACCCCCTGAGTCTGAGCGTCAACGATCTCAGGAACAATGACGCGAGCGCAGAATTGCCAGAGCTGGATGAGGCTGATCCGTCTAGCTCGACACGCACCAGATACGAGCATGATCTGCAGGATGACAGCGACGGGACGGCGCAGACGCAAGATTGGGGGGTATCGAGCATTGTGGACGGAGCAAACGAGCTTTTTGGATTCTCGAAGCCTGCCGGCAAGGAGTATACGCCGCTATCCACGCAGGACGTCACGCCTGCAAGCGAAGCTGGGCGGTCACGTCGTGATGGATCGACAGATGAACCGCGCAACTCGCAAACGAACGCACCACAAAGTGCCCGCTCGAGCTTCAGAGCTTCTGATCGATCTGCTGCTACCGTCACGCCAAGCGCAGGCAGAGCGAGCGGGCTGCTGAACGCTATCTTACCGGCGCGAATGGCAAAAACGGCAGAGCCGGTTCTGGCGAAATACGACGAGCTGCTCAAGCCTTATTGGCTACGCACTACGGTACTTGTCTGGTCCATCTGGGCTCTGTTCAGTCTCGCGTTCACTTCCTTCAACGTGAGTCTGCGCTTGTCCTGCAGTCTTCGCCAACAAGTGCGACTGACTGGTCGTGTCTCACTTTTCTTTTCCTATTGTCCTTGCACCGGGATCCGACTCTTGGACCCAAATCCCTAGGTGTACCTGTCAAAATTCTTAGAAGTAAGAATAGGCGCTTCGAATAGGATCCAAGTCATGGAGGACATCTTGCTCTATTCCGCAGCCAGCTTGCCGGGCGCCATCATGGGAGCCTATCTGATCGAGACTTCGCTAGGTCGCATACGGACTGTGAGTGAAGGGGCAAGACTCTTGGTGGTCTGCAAAGGTTTCAAAGCGCGTCCGAAATGTTACACCGACGACTGACCATTGCCTTGGTCGACGTCGGCTTCCCGTTTGCGCGCCGCCAGATGGCGCTCTCGACCGCACTCGTGGCTATTGCTCTGCTCATCTTCATCCAAGCCACGGAACGCTTCACCATCGTCTTGAGCTCATGCAGCATTTCCTTGGCCGCTTCCGTATCGTACGCAGCCATTTACGCTTACCCGCCAGAAGTGAGTAGGCATGACGTGGGGCCGACCCAAAGCGCAGTTCAAAGCAGCCAGAAAGCGCGCTCATTTATGACTTTGTGTGTTGCAGGTCTTCCCGACTCACCTCCGAGCCACAGCTTCCGGCACAGCATCCGCCCTGTCTCGTCTGAGCGGCATTTTGGCTCCAGTGGCCGCAGGAGCCCTCTTATCGCTCAGCGAGCAACTCCCTTTTCTCCTCGCCGTCGCGATCTTCATCATTTGCTCCATTCTCATGCTGTCGCTTCCGTACGAAACAAGGGACAGAGACGCGGACGCGGCTCACGGAGAGGATGGGCAAGGCAGTCAATGAAACAAGAGTGTGAACAGATGCTCATCGCCGTACACACGCTCGACTGCGACTGAGCATGGAGTCCTTTGATCATGCATTGCTCGTAGGGGGAGTGTGTCGGAACATGTGAGCTAGGCCATTGAATGCACACGGCTCATGGACCTACTGAGCCCGAGGGCAAGCTGATGTAAAGCCTGCAGGGTGGGGCGAGACAGTGTGATGAAGCGCGAGTCGCCCAGCCAAGAGATTGCAGCCTGAAAAGCGCTCTTGCACTTCACCTGAAGGGCAAGCTCTTTTCTAAAGCTTCGAGCAGTCTTCCTGCTGGACAATCGTGAATATCGAACTGGTAAGATGAAAGGGCCGCGATATGGAAGAACAGAAAGGGAGAAAGAGAAGTCGTGCCATAGAGGCGCCGTTTTAGATGCGCCGTTGCGCCCAAAGCAACGAGAGAAAGCATTATGAGCAGCTCACGTTTTCGTCGGTCGTGATGTGGTTCTGAAGCGAAGGTCCTGGAAAGTGAGGAGCATGAATGAGCCAAGTGAGGCAACACCGATGTATGCGGCGCACGGGATAGGAGCGACGTGCAACTCGTCACCGCATGATGGATGTAGATCATGGCGATTGGAGTTGTTTTGAGGTACCGGGAGGATCGTTTCCTCGATCAGTTCGTTCTCTAGAAATGAATTCGTTTGTGGGGGTTTGTGTGAGAGTTTCGACCTCAAAGGAGACATCTGTGCCCTGGCATACGAGCTACTGCGAAACATGGCTTTTGCATCTGAGTAGTGCATCCGAAATCGCCGGGACGCTATCCTTGCATCGTTGCTTGCATGATCCCTTCCGAGACACTGCCAAAGCGAGGTTCCCGAGGTCCCCGAGGTCAGCGTCAGGCCAAGTTCCGTGAAAGAAACGTAAGCTCGTCGAACTACTCACTACTGCGCCACGACTTTTCGCCCGGCGAAGAAGCGACCGTTAAGAGCGTTGATGGCTTTTCCAGCACCTTCGACTCCTGCAAAACGGACCCAAATCTCTCCAGCACTCTCTTTGTCTACGTAGCAAGCTTCGACTACACCGTACTTTTCCTCGCACTCGCCCTTGACTTCTTCAGCCAATTCCTTGTCCCAGTCCCGCTCGGTCTCCCTTGAGAAGAGGTTTGGTATGCGGGACGTCAGCTGAATGACTTGGTCGAAATATGTGCACATACTCACTCTTCAGGATTGAACATATTTTTCAGCAGGATGGCACGACTCAACGCGACCGGCATATTAGCGGGTCTGGTTCTACGAGGCCGTACGTGTGTTTTCGCGGTAAGCCCTCTAATCCCATGCGATCATTTGGCGCGGCTGATGGACTCACTGTTCGGTCGGGACCGTTAGTGCGGGCTGCTCCGTGCGGGCGAGCTTTTCCATCAGAGCGGCACGGCTGGCAGAAGTCAGGCCTCCGCCGCCTCCCTCGTCGAATGACGACGTCGTGGTCGCCGTCTGCCCAGAGATATCGATGCCTTGCTGTGCAGCAGCAGCGACTGCTGCTTGTTGCTGGTGCATAGTTCTGCCCTCCTGACCTCGAGCATTGACGTGTCCCACCCGAATGTTTCGACCGGCAAGCTCAAAGTTGTCCATATGCTGTATAGCTCGCTCAGCGTCCTCGACATTTGTAAATCTGCCGCAAGATGGAGAGGCAACGGTAAGCGGTCAGAGCTCTCGCTCGCCGGCCACTGCTATCGCACGAAGCGGTACCCACTGGATGAAAGCAAATCCTTTGCTCTTTCCAGTCGGCTCGCGGTGAAGATCCACGCTTTCGATCGTGCCAAAAGGATCAAAGACGCTCTTGAGGTCAGTGTCTGTAATTTCGAAATGCAAACTACCGACGTAAAGCCGAGATGCTTGGTTGGCGTGCGACTTAGCGCGGGCAGCAACGCTCGCCAAATTTTGACCGAGGTGTATCGGTGCGCCAGCAGAGAAATGCGGAGGCAGAGGGATACCGGCGATCAAAGATTCAGTGATGGCTGGGGGCGACCCACTTGTCGCGGTACCACCAAGATGCGGCGGAAGGTTCGGCCGAATAGGTGCCTGAGCGGTGGAGGCACCTTCGCCCCGATTGCGCGCCGCCTCTGTTTGTTGCACAAGTATTGGTATACCGAAAAGTTTGGTACCTGACAAAGCCATCGCTTTCTCGACCAGACTCTCTTCCTTTAATTCAACATAGCCGATGCTGTAAATGGAGAAGTCTGCAATGAGCTAAGCAGGACAGTGCACGACGTAAAAATTGCACTCACCCTTTACTGCGCCCAGTGATACGATCTGTGACAATGCGCACGTCTCGCACACTGTTGTCCCCTAGAGCCTCCTCAAAAAATTCGCCCAGATCACGCTGTCCAAGACGAGCCGCAAGCTGGGAGCAAAAGACAGAGCGTAATTCGTAATCCTCGGGCTCGGGTGTGCGCACTTTCTCTTCTGGAGGAAGCGGTCCACGAGAGCCATGGCGGGGACTGTGGTAAGGACCATCTTCACGTCGACGTGATGCGTATGAGTCGCGATCGTATCCTCCACCACCACGAGGGCCGTACCTGTCGCGCCCATACGGTTCGCGATCGTATACACCGCGTGACGGGTATCTGTCTCGAGCATAAGGATCCCTATCGTAGCCGCCTCGTGAGCGCTCATGGGGGGTTCTAGCAGGTCCACGATCATAGTAGCGGTCGCGCTCGTACCTGTCGGAAATGCGACTGCTTCCACGTTCGCTACGACGATCGTCGAGACGGGGCTCTAAGCGACGCTCTAAGCTAGCTCGCCCACCTTCGTAATCTTCGCGGTCACGCTTTCGCCTGCGATGTGCGCCATCTCGCTCTTCATAGTCACCACGTCGAGAATGCGTTGGACTGCGAGAGCGTGACCTTCGTGGAGAGGGAGAGCGAGTGACAGACCGACCACGAGAGTCGCGAGGTCCATTTTTGGAACCTGCTGCTCGTCTGCGCAGGGGTGAGACAAGATCAAGGGTCAGCGTGTGAGATTGGCGTATGAGCTTCGCTGTAGTATTAGCATCTGAGTCTGTCACACACCTTCGCAATTTTTCTGCTAGCTCTGCTTCTCTCTCAGCATTGGACACGGCGCGCGCACGTGGAGCCGTGGAGGAGGACCTAGACGATGGGGTACGGGAGGGAGAACGCGATGCCGGACTGCGAGAGCGGTCCTCATCATTACGATGACGGCCATTGCGATGTGCCGGGTTACGCGAGCGTCGAGCGCCTGGAGAGGCGCTGCGGGAGTGACCCCGACGTCGGTCAGTATCTCCACCACGGCTTCGCCTTGCCGAGCTGCTGTGTGCGCCACTGAGAGCGTGGCTGCTGTCCCGTCGATGGCTGCCCGCTAATTCGGGCGACATGCTACGCGTGGGCGAACGAGCCGCACGATTGGGGCTCGGAGAGCGGCTCACCTCACTGCTCGTGTAGTCTCGCGTGCTCAGCACCCTGCCTCGACCACGAACATTAGGCGCTCTTGGTGCGGATTGAGCAGGCGCGGCATCCAGCCCCTCTTCGCGATCTGCATACATGGTGTCTTTGGGGATGGACACAAAACTTCGGTGGTGTGGTGGACGTAATGGGATACAGATCTGAAGGCTTGAAGCACGAACGTTTGATCCGCGTGCGCTGAAGCTTGTGTTGCATGCGTGACGGGGCAAAATAGAGTTTGGATGATGTGAACAGCCACAAGTAACGATTGGTTAAGTAGTTAAGAACGGGTCACGAGTGAGTGAGTTCCATGAGGCGCGGCCCATCGGCATACAAACACAAGCGCAGGGCGACTTGGCGACCAACCACGTGGCCGCGCTGAGCGCCGACCCCCGCATCGCGCAATTCATGATTTCTTGATGTTCGTGATTTTGATTCAGTGATTGCAGCCAGATAGATGGCCGTAAGTCAGTCACGAGTCAGAGTCATGATTGAAGCTGACGGGTCTGGCGCCTCCACCTCCATCCTCATTCTTTGGCACACCATATCACCATATCAGGAGAGCGGATCTGATCCCGACGCAACATTCACGAATCTCATATATCCTTCGCAAGAAGCACATGTCGGTAGCCACTGTGTCACACGCGAAGTAACAGCGAGACCAAAATGTCTGCGACGGCGTCGACCAAGGGCGCCAGCGGCTCCACACCACTCAGCGAGCAGCGTGAGTACGCTCGCTTGAACAGGTCGAAGGCATACATGCGTGCAGCTTCGCAAGCTCGATCTTGCACCAATTTCCCGCATACTGACGCCATCTCTGCCCGCAGAGGTAGCACAGCGCTTTCAAACATTGAGAAGTGAAATGACCAGCATTGCAACCAAGATTTCAGAGATTGAGGGCGAGACGGAAGAGCATCGGTGAGTTGCTGATTTTTCAAGTGGTAGCGAAAAGCACTCGGTGATTCACCTCTGCCACGTCTTTGACTTTTGCGCACAAATTCCTCCAGGGCAGTCATAGAGACGTTGAAGCAGACAGCAGCAACGGCGCCCGACAGAAAGTGCTTTAGGTTGATTGGAGGAGTATTAGTGGAGCGCAAAGTTGCAGAGGTGGTACCTACTCTAGAGGCAAACGTAGCAAGTGTGAGCGGTGATCGATCGCCAGCCCTTCGGTCAGGCCGCAACGCTCATACTTCGCATTCTCTCCGCAGCTTCGACAAGTGCTAGAGGCCCTGTTGCAGCAGTACAAAGGAAAAGAGGAAGAGTCGCAAGCATTGCAAAAAAAGTATCAAACAGCTCAATGAATGCAGTGTAGCGTGTGCACGGGCGTGTCGTGCCCAGGTCCAACTTTCACTGCTGACCGCTGCTTCCAAGCTGAAGCTTGGCGAACCGTGCCTCCGCGGCCCTAGCTCGTTTTTCTCTCTCTATCTTAGCTCGCATCTCCGGCGTCAACCCGGCGGTATCATCCAATTTTGCTTGCAGAGCGGCAGGTGGAGCTCCTCCTAGTCGATTCCGGCTCTTGTGGCTCTCCTTGTCCTTCACCTCGGCGGGCGCAGACACTGGTATCTGGTGGGCGGCAGCCGCTTCTTCGATTGCTTGCGCTTCTCGAGCCTTCGCTTTCTCTCGGAGCAATGCGCGGCGATCAGTTTGCTTCGCCTTTGTCTCTTCCGTCAGAGCAGATGGCACCCTCGCTCCTCCCTTCTCCATCGAACCCCAATCGTACCAGTCAGGATGCGTTGCCATAAGGCTCCGGAAAACATCTCGCGCATCTCTGTTGGTGCAAAGATCGACAGCTGTTCGGTGAGGCAAGTCGTCGGACTGCTTGCCCGTGGGCTTCCCTTGAGCATCGAGAATTGGAACTGGCTGAACTGCAATAGTCGGATCTGCGCGGCGTTCTATCAGCAAGTACTTCAACAATTCCTCGCTGCCTCCTTCGGCCGCGACATGCAAGAGCGTAGATGGAACGAGCTGGCGAGCAGTGGGTGTCGGATTGCTCAACACTTCCAGCTCTCCCGTTGTAGAATCGTAGCGCACGAGTCCCTTCTCGTTTGCGTCACTGAATCGCCACCACGAGGGGAAAGGAGCATCGACGCGGGTCCTGAGCAAGTCCGCAGCTTCGTCGGCATCATCAGGATCCGATGGAGCCTCCGTGTCCCACCCGCCAGGACGCAAAATGTCGCCTTCGTACTTATAGAGATGAGACTTGACGGCAGAGACCCGACCCTTCCTTGCCATCTCTACCAGCCTCTCGAAGCGGTCGCGCCTGAGCGCTTCCTTCGGCTCGAGTTCGGGACCCGAACGCTCGGCTCTCGCCCTTTCTGCTCTCTCCTCGCGTGCTTTGTCTCGCTGAGCGCGGGCCTTTTCCTTCGCTTTTCGCTCTTCGCGGGCTCTGGCTCCGCTCTGCACCTGTGCGAGGTATGCGGCGTCTTTCGCCGCCAGGTCCTCTTCGCTGTCGTGCCTGACTCGGACTCTAATGAGCTCGGCGAAGCATCTGAGTGCTTCGCCTATCGTCGGTCGCCGTGTAGGGAATGGCAAAGAAGCAAGCGTGTCTTGAGAGCGATGAGTCTCCAATGGAGATTTGCCCGACGCCCAGCTCCACAGAAGCCCTCGCGCATTGCGCTTCCCGGCTCTGACCCAAACACGCTCGCTCTTCTCGATGCCCGATCGCCAGGCAGGAGATCCGAGCAGTTCTCTTACCTCCTCTGCCAGCGCAATTTCGCCGTAACGACGCAGTTGGGCACCGGCTGACTTCGCAAAGCGCCCTGTTGCATCCTGAGCTGCTTGACCGCCACCCTGCTTCTTCCGTGTGGTATACCTATGGAAAGCTTTATGAGCGAGAACGATGAATCGCTGCTCGACGAGACCGGTTCGCTTTGCCGGTGCGGTCGGAGCTGGGGCTAGAGCCACTATGACGGCGCTGAAATGTCCACCCCCGAGTAGAATGATGGTCCAAGTTCGCAGCGTTGGAACCGGTGTCTGCGCAGCGACACTTTGGGCACGCTGAGGGTCATCGAAGCCATCCAATGCTCCCTCTGTTCCTTGATGTTCTGCAGATGAGGATGTCTCGGAAATGTCGCTGTCGTACTCTTCGTCTCCATCAAGCTGTCCTAGAACCGTACGCCCGTCCAGGAAGGTAGCTCCCAGCATGTGTGCGGCTTCGTCGGCTCCCGGACCTCCCTTGAGCTTGCGCAATGGTCCACGGGCCAGTTGCAGTGCTGCGACCTGAGGAGCCGTGATAGGCTCTGCTTGAAAGCTCTGCAGAGCATACTGAGCACTGTCTGGTGCGGCAATGGGCACCAAGGCTCGATAGACCCCAAGCTGCGTCTGCACCAGCTCCGGATACTCAGTGTCCTCGGGACCTGCCGTCTCCCTTTTAGAGCTACTCCCAGGCGTGACGAACCACCAGAAGGGATCTCGGGCAGCCACGCCTTGCACCCTCCTGTGCCTGGAAGCCTCGTTCGCTTCGTCTTCCGAATGATCATCGCTGCTGCCTTCGCTGTCCGAGGATGAGCCTTCGTCGGACTCGTGGAGGAGCTGTGTGTCCACTGCCCTGAGCTGAAGCCGATGGAGCAGCGGTGCAGGAAGAGAGAGAGCGTACAAAGGTTTTTGAAGCAAGACGTGTCTTTTTGGCTTCTTGGACGATGGCGCCTCGCCCGCAGCCAGATGGGTTGACATCTTCAAGCAGCAGCGGTAACAGCCTGCAAGAGGTAGCGGTGAGCGGGCGAATGGGATGGGACTAAAGAGTCAGCCAGCTCGTGCCGCAGTCATCGTCACTTGCCATGGGCTGCGCAAAGTCAATCACGAATGGTGGATCAAGAGGAGGATATCCACATGGCATACCGTAGACCTCACATTCGTGATCGCTTGCATCATATGTGGTGCCGCATCCCTGCGCGTCAGCATCTTCTCCTCCTCCACCCTAGCATGCGCAGCACGTACCGCGTAGGCAAAGCCTTGCAGCAGGTGCGTTTGTCGCACGAGACGCCTGCTCGGCTCGCGGTATGAAGTACCGTGCATTGAATGATATACCCACACTCAGCACTGCAAGCTCGAATAGGTAGCCCCTCTGAATGGCACCACATCACGCTATGCGAGGCTCTCGGTGATTCCATGTGGAAGCTGACATCTGCTCTTCCTAATTCTCGCTTTGTTTGGATCGATCTACAATTCCAGAGAGCCGCTCGAGACACCTGTGCGACCAAGTCGCAGACCTTGCGTTGCAGCTCGCTTCCAACTCCTCAACGCCGCTTGTAGTCACCGGGAAAGTGCATCATCTTGTCCTAACGGGATAATCATACCTGTCTGCACTTGTGAGCCTGGCATAGCGTCAAGGAAACGCCATCGTCTGGCGCCAATGTCAGGCAATCCTGCACAGCGTTCGGGTGTGCCCAGTGCCGCATCGACTTCTCTCGCTCGGCACGCATCAAACGCATCATTGCAGAGCTCCAAAAGTCAGTCGGGGCACAGCGGATCCGCAGCTACTCGTGGACCACCATTAGCCATCTCGGGTGCACCAGTCAGCAGCTCCCCTCAGGCATCCCCCCGACTCTCTTCCAACAATGCGTTGCCAGTCTCGGGAAATGGTCGAAGTTTGGCTGTAGGAGGGCGAAGCAACGGAGGCGGGAAAGGCAAAGCCTCTGTCTCAACACCGACCGCACTCATGGGCAACGCGGCCATCGGCGAGGAGAGCGTGTGGAAAAGCAGCGCGGCAAAGAGGGCGGAGAAAGCGTGGGCTGTACAGAGCGAAAAGACGCTGCAGTCGGACTCCAAGTTCAAGAAGTACGCATCAAGCGTCGAGAAAGCTCTGGCTTCCTTCGAAAGCGTGGCGGAGTGGGCAGATTTCATTGCCTTTCTTGCAAGGCTGCTGAAGGTGAGAGCGGACGAGGATCGAGAATAAGCATGCCTTTTGCTGACTTGTATGCGATCCGACGAACTTTGCATGCAGACGCTGCAAGCATTTCCTCAGTTTGCCGCCATTCCACGCAAGCTTATCGTAGCAAAGCGGCTCTCCCAATGCTTGAATCCAGCTCTGCCCTCTGGCGTCCATGCGCGAGCTCTAGAGGTGTACGCACACATCTTCGAGACAATTGGCAGCGAAGGTATTCGCAGGGACCTCGCTGTTTGGTCTCCTGGTCTCCTGCCCTTCTTTCAATCGGCCTCCACATCCATCAAGCCGACCGTCTTGGGTCTCTTTGAGAGGTTCTACCTGCCTCTGGAGGAGGATCTTCGACCTGTCACGCGGGCACTCCTACTCGCCCTTCTGCCAGGTTTGGAAGAAGACACCGGAGAATTTTTCGACAGAGTACTGCGCCTTCTCGATCGTCTTCAGCTTCTGGTGAAGCAACCATTCTTCCTTCAAAATGTTTGGCTCATTTTGGTCTCATCGCCCTCCATCAGGCTTGCAGCTTTGAACTACTTGTCTAGGCGCCTTCCTCCGCTGAACGGGCCCTTTACCCAGAAGGATGTGGTAGGACGCATTGTCAAATCCTCGGGCGACTTGGCTCAAGTCGGGCACGCTCACGCATCGGATGTAGTAGGGCGCGACATAGGTCTACTAGCCCGAGCTTTCGCTGCTGCCTTGGAGGACCCAGTGTTATTGGTAAGGCGAGCGGCACTGGATCTGCTGGTCACGCACCTGCGGCTAGACTCGCACACATTCAAGAAGCTGATACCAAGCGAGGAACAGGTCGGAATCGTCCGTGCTGGCATGACCGTCGTCCTGCGGCGAGACCTCAGCCTCAATAGACGACTGTATGCATGGCTACTGGGCCCTAGCGAAGATACTCAAGCTCAGCGCGCTTACTTCAAAGAGCATGCCCTAGCTCTTGTGCGCCAAGCTCTGATTGAAGATGTCTATGCTGAGCCTCTCGTGGAGAGCGTGGTAAAGGAAACAGCTCTGACACAAGAGGACGTTGATGCCGACGTCGAAGCCAGGCAGCGGCCTCTGCGAATATTTGTCAGTCTACTGGACAAGTGGGAGATTGGACAAGCTCTGACCAATGACTTGGTCATCGACTTGCTGCGAGCTTTACAATCTCAGCTTGCCGAAGATGTGAATCCGCGACCTGTCGGCGTGGGCGAAATCTTGACCACAGCAAAGATGCTGTTCGAAGCGATTGACCCATTCGCAACATATCGCCAATTCTTCTCAGCCCTGCACGCTGAAATGAGTTTTCGGGACGAGTCATCACAAGGATCCAGCAGCTCGACCTCGGCAATCGTACTGCTTCAATTCGTTTTGCAGACATTTCGCGTCCACGACGAAGAGACCCGGCAAATCCACATCCCAATGCTGGTCTCTGCTCTCGCCGAGCTCGTTGACGAAGCTGCGCAACCTGATACAGAGCTGAGCGAGGGCCAGCAACGCCTTCTGGATCAGGCTCTTGACCTCACATCGGAGCTACTGAGTTTGATTCCAGCGAGAGTCTTCGTTTGTGAAGCGGTCCAGTCAGTCGAAACAACCGAATCTCAACGAGCTTTTTCCAAACAACCGCGCAGATTCGTTGATCAGGCAAAAAACTTTTACGGAGAACGCGGTGCGGATGTCAGTGCGGACGAAGCTGCTGCCAAATACATCGGGTTCCACCATCCTGAGGTGCTCAAGGACTTGCTGGACACATGCGCAGGCATTCCTATGCGTCTTCCCAGGTACCCTAAGCTGTTCATCAATGGCCTTCGACTCACGACGGAACTTCTTGCGGTCTATGACGCTGCAGAGGAACCGTCAGTGCGCGCTTTGGCAACCTCAGCGCGATCAGAGTCCAATGCAGGGATTAAGGTTGGAACTCACACGGCGGAAGCTGGGGTGGCCTGGAACGCTGCCGGGTGGGGACGGGCGCTGATGCTTCGTCTAGAGGACGCGCAAGCGTTTGAGGAGGTCGATCATATCATCGATGGTCTGATCGCCGCAGCCACTTGTAGGCCGTTGGTCACAAGGCTCAGCATCGGTGATCGTAGCCAGGTCGTGCTAATCCTAAACAAGGTGAGACTTCAAGTTACTCAAGACGTAGTTTGCCGCCATGCACTCACAAATTAACGTCCTCCACGATCTTCTCGACCTTCAGCTCCAATTCTTTCTGCAACCTGACTTTGCGCCATATCACGTTCGCGCCATCGAGTTGCTATGGACTGTCCAACAATTGGCCCGTGGTCATCACGTCGAGGCCATATTCAGCGAGAACATCTGCTCTCGCAAGGCAAGCATTCGACAGCGCTGGTTGAACGCATTTGGTGTTCTTTGGGCCATGACAGGTGTGTGATTGATCTGCGAACGTTGCTGTATGTCTACTGACTTCGTCTTGTCCCTCAGACGAACGCGACGCCAGTCTTACAGCCCTGCGGATACCTTTACTTCGAGTCGCTGAAGGTCTTCATTCAGACTGCGCATCGACTCGCCACTCCAGTGAAGCGTGGCTGCGCACGTATATGAAGAGCTACTTGCCGCTTCTAGAGCCCCTCGTCGCCGTCATGCACCATCCAAGCAGCAGAGCAGCAGATCAGCAACGTGTCGTCAGCAGCGAAGACGACGATACAGCTGGTCTTCTGGCTTACCCACAACCTTTCGATTATGATGATCACGGGCGTGCTCTGCAGCTCTTACTGTGCCTTTTGCAATTTGGCGGCAGTGTGTTCCTCGCGTTTGCAAGGGGGGCACGCTTGGAAGTGGGACATCTTCGCTCGGCAGCAATGGACTACGATTTGCTAGCCAACCATGAAGGAGAAGACACCTACCTGGACGCAATCATCGAGGGCGCTTTGCTTGATGTCAGGTCCCGACCAGCGAGCGACGTAGAGGCGGCATATGCCTTTCGGCACTTGCAGTCTGTTCTGCTCTCGTTAGACATCTTGCAAATCATTGCGGGCGAGGCTCACTTGAGTGTCACAGCACTCGAGGCGGCTGAAAGACGCATTTTGCAGCGACTTATTTCAAGCAGCACGATAGAGCAGACACAACTGCAAGCCAAGCTTCTGCGAGTACTACATACGGTCAGCAAGGCGCGAGGAAACTTGAGTTCGAAAACCCCTAGAGGTGGCCCTGGCTCGATCATTAACAGCAGGCAATCTGCGAGAATCGATTCGGCAGTGGTAGCGAAGGGCACTCACCCCCACCCGCTTCTGCTGAGAGCACTGCGCGAGGGACTGTCCATCGGAGCTAATGCCGATGCGCTTTCGGTCTGGGCAGAATTTGCGTGCAATATCACCCAGCTGTACCCATCAGCCGAGCAAAAGCTCCTTCTTCCGTTGGCAGATCACATTTGCGCCTTGCTGCGAAGTGCTATTGACAAGATCGACCTTGCATTTGGCCTTGCCGATGCGCTACCACCACCAAATGCCAATTGCGGCGTCACGGACAGCGCAATTGCGTTACTGTTGAACGTAGCCGAGCGAGCCCTTGCCTCTTCCCTGGCAAAAGATCGAGGCACATTCGCCGGCGAGGCGCCTGGTACAGTCGGGGACGGTGATGCAAACTCGACTCCGGCGCCCTCTGTCAACGAGAAGTCCGACGCCGCCCCTAGCACAGGCCTATTTGGTTATGTATCAAATGTATTCTCAAGCGAGTCTAGTGCAGCCACCAATTCTGCCAGCCCAGCTGTCGCTGCGAATGCCCTATCACGCACGCTGCATCACGTGGTGCGGACCCTGCACAAGCTCTACAGTACTGTTCGAGCGGATAGAAAGCTGCCACTGGATTCGCGCGGGCTCGCTTTTGAAGCAATGGCTCCAAAGGTCAGAGCGCGATGCAGGCGCACCTTAGAGCGCCTTTACAGGACCCATTCTGGTGAAGTGGTGGAAAGCTTGATCGACTGTTGGGACAGTGACGCCCGGCAAGAGGGCGCAGAGGCATCCGCAGATGCTCAGTGCACCTTTGCGATCTTAAGTTTTCTGGCTCCAAGCGCTCAGATGGTAGTCACTTTCCTGTGCGATGTTCTCAACACGCGCACCTCTACCAGCATTTCGTTGAGTGAAAAGCGTGCACGTGGTGGCACAGAATTCATCGTGTGAGTGCCCACAAGAAATAAGACCGGGCACCTCGCTGACATTCTCGACCGCATTCGCTGCTGGCGCAGGAGCGAGACTACCTTGTTTTGCTTTCTGGAGGTGTACTTGGGTCGTCTCGATCAGACTTCCGCCACTCAAGTCTGGCCAGTGGTGACCATCCTTGTCAAAGAAATAATCAAGAATTCTGCTTCACATAAAGCTAGGATCTTTCCAACACTTCGCGTTCTGACAACGATCGGGGAAAAGCTCAGTCAGACCTCGCCGCCCGAGGACAAGCAGGTGCGCCGAGAGCTTGCAGTGAGTGCAAACATCGTTGATCCCGAATGTCTGCTCCGAGCTATCTGTTCCTCATTTTGTCTTTTGTAACTCCGCAGGATCACGTCGTTGCTCTAACAGACCTTGCTATAACGATATCCGGTCGCTCGTTTGGCGCCAAGACGTGGATGCGGCGCTCGGGCAAGGATGCAGACGTGCTGTCAGTAAACGGAGATGGCAAAGCGACACCCGATGATCGAATGGCACAGTCTCTAACAGAGCCTACACAGGCAAGCGGCCTGCTGCCTCAACTCGTCAGTGCGCGTGATCTCCGTGCTCTCCGCCCGGAATTCGCTAACCCAACGCGTGTTGACAGATAAACGAATACCTGGCAACGCGCATCCTACCCGCTCTCCGCAAGTTTGGTGTTCATCAAGACAAAATGTTGGCAATTTGCACAAACGCCATCTACTACATTGTTGCTCCGAGTTTGAAGAGCCGAGATGAGTGAGTACTTCCTCTTCCCTTGACGAGATTCGGGGTGTCTTACTTACGCTTTTTTTATCCCATTCACAGGGCACTCGACATTGATGTGCATGCTCTAAAAGTTTTGCGAGAGCTGACGCGACAATCTGGAGCCCTGAAAACATGGCGAGGCTTGGTCGCCGACACGTTCGGTGACCCACGCTTCTTCTCGATGGCCCCAAAGGCCAGCATTGGCTGGCAGCCGATTGTCTTCGCACTACACAACAGTGATAGGGAACGCTTTAACGAGTTGTTGAGTGAGTCACCTCTTATTTCACTGCACACGACTTCTAGCGACTGATCACGATGTTCCTTGTGCTTGCAGACAAAGCTGTCGCACCTCCTTCCGCGAACATCTTCGCCAATCGAGAGACGGAGACGCTTACGCGATGTCTCAATATGCGCCGGGCCTCGTTCGTCATCTTCTCTGGACCCAAGGACCACTTCATACCCCTTCTGCCAAGCATTCAAGAAAAGGTCGTCGACATCTTGCGCACCAGCAATGCTGATCGATCAGCCGCAGAGGTATGTCATCGAGCGTCTTTGTGGCTACTATGAGCACGTCTGACGACGCATATTCTGGTTGTCGCAGGTCTACCTGTGTATGCGTGTCCTCCTACGGAGTTTCTCGACTCAGCATCTGGCCGGCTTTTGGCCAGTCATCATCACAGAGATGGTGAGGACTTCGCGTGGGTTGCAGAAGTAGCGAGCTCCCAACTCACACACTTGTCCCTTTCCTCGCCAGATGCGGCTTTTTGAGAGCTTGTCAGACGAGCTACCTGCGGACGGGTCCGACGCATTGCACTCAGTTCTGTCCGCCTGCAAGTTCTTGGACCTGCTTCTGACGTTACAAACAGACGACTTTCAGATGTGCGTTTGATTTAGTGAGCATTCGATTGGATGTAGCTGGTACTAATTGCTCCTCTTCTTGCGAGTGGCTTAGACATCAATGGATGTTCATCACCGACACCTCGGACGTTGTTTACCCAAGCGACGATTGGGCTCCGGAGTCCGTCATGGAGCGCGTTGCATCTGTCATCGAAGAGCGGAGACCTGCCCCGGTAAGTTTACAAACCTGCACTTGAGAGCTTAAGCCCGTCTTGCGCTCACGCTGGGGCTTGTGTCTGTGTGCAGCTCCAGAGAGGCTCTCAAACCACATCGAGCGTCCTCAAGACGTCTGCGACGGACTTGGCTGGGGCTGTGCGACGTTTACAGAAGCAAAATTCTCGTGCAGGGCCTTTGCGCCGACCTCTTTTGTGCTCGACACGCAGTGTACAGAGCATTGAGGCGCTGCAGCATTTCTTCGCGCATGTCAGCTTGGCCAGTTACGAGTCAACACGGGCGTGCACATCTGTTGATTTCGAGGCCATCGACGATGCTTTGCGGAGCGAATTTTTCGATCTCCATGTTGCCTAGTAGTGCGAGAAGTCTTCGGGACGGCCTGCCTTTCCTTCTCCTCGCGTGTAATTGTACATATCATCGCTGGTGCGAGAAGTCTCGGGACGGCGTACCTTTCCTTCTCCTCGCGTGTAATTGTACATATTACCGCTGGTAAGGCCCGCCGGGGGGCTCGCCTGAGTCTTGGTGTCATTGTGATCCCCTTCTACTGTGTTGTGAGTGTCGCACGCCACGGTTCCGCCCAGCCCTCGTCCGTCATCGCGGCTGCAAGGCCGCTCGACTGCATCGGCAACGTCTGAAGTGCGGAGCTACGTCGGCTGAGCGATGGGAAAGAACTTCGACTGTCACCATCGCCCAAGGATGAAGTGAGACGGGTGATCAGGCCATGCGGCGACCCGATCTGAGGTTCGCCCTCGATCAACTTCACTTCCCGACCCGCTCGCCTGCTGGTATCGCCACATCCAAAGCACCGCTCAATGTGGTTTCCAACTCCGACTGAAATCGCTTTTGAGCCTAGATTTCTCGCAGGAAACGCCGATCTGGACCTCCACTGGCCGATTTTAGGCACCGCTATCAAGAACCGCTGCCCCACCCCGACCATGACTTTTCAAGTGCAGCAGTGAGCTTCGTCATGAGCAACTGGCACAAAGCAAGCACCCTTTATCGGTCCGTCACCGACACGAGTGCTCCCCTAGCCTCGAGACCCCCGCTCGAGTTCTGCCAGGATCGCGAACGTGCCGAAAGCGCAATTCTGTGTGGACGGCGCGGATCAGCAAGCTTGTAGGCTCGATGGCATTTCCCTCGACGGCTTTCTTGAGCGTCGTGTCGCCCTGTCGCCTTGAATTGAACTCTGCTCAAAGACAAGACTGCCATCTCGATTCGAACGGTGCAGAGCATCACAGAGTCACTTGAGCTCGGTTCCGTTTCCGGGCGTGGCTCGCTCGAGACGGACACGACGCGACGTGCCGGCGTCGCTCGGCTCAGCGTCGGAACGGAAGCAAAGCAGCGTACGTGCACTTGCGAAAGGAATTAGCCGAGATCAGTCGCGCTCTGCCGTAAGCAAGACGCCTCGCATTTAGGTACCTTATCTTCTTGATCGTCCTGTGGGGTTTCGCATCTGACATGCCAATGCTCGGGTCTCAGCTGTCGAGGCACTTGCCCCGCGCCGTCCAGGACACTTCTGACCGTCGATCGTTGTCGAGAAGCACTCGCAAATTCTCTTCCTCTTCGCCGTTTGCAGCAACTGAAGTGCTTTGAAAAGACGAATGTCTGATTGGCTGCTCCCATGCCAGCACAAACAGTCTTGTTTGAGGCTCGGGAGACCGCCGCTCTTCCATCGGCTAGGGCACGCGGTGCTCGATCACCTCTTGCGGTGCTTCTGAGCCCAGGCGGATGAAATCTGACCGCTGGCTTGCAATCGTCAATGTCGAAATGACACGCACTGCACGATGTCTGGCCCAACGGCGACAGCCAAGAAATGGCCACGCGTCGACCCTGCCTCTAATAAAGTCAAGTGAGAAAGCAAGAGGTGGGTGGGGCAGGAAGTACACACCCCGCACCAGGGCAAGATCTACCGCTCCGTCGGAGGATTGGCACCTCACCGGCACCGTGAGGTCCGTGATCGATGGAAAGGGCTGTCCTGTCTTGCAGCGGAAGCTCCAGGACGCGACGCAGAAGGCCCGTCGACGTGCAGTAGCGCCTCCAAGCTCACTGCTTAGCATCCGCTAGTGGTATCATGAAGTCCATTTGCAATCTTGGCTCGAGAGGATACAGCAGTAGTTGTTTGCGGAACAAAGATGCCTGCTGCTGAAGTAAGTGTTCGAGAGACTGATCATGAGCGTTTAGCCGAAGCTGGTGTGACAGGTACAAATGGCCCTTCTCTAACGAATTGGCCCCTCAACTGCACTGTAGGTGCCAAGTGTACCTAAGTGTCCAAGCAAGCTGATTCATGCGTTCAACCATCACTTTTGGGAATTTGAAATTGGTCGCGCTCACAGTGAAGGCGCTTGGTTGCTGTCGTCCTGTCTCAAGCCTCTATTTCACTGTGTACCGGTGCTCCCCTTGCAGCGGTACTTCACAGACACAACAGCAGGTATCCGGTTCCCTCACTCGGTGCGATGACACACCCTGCCACAGCCAAGCCAGCATTCGTGTCCATGGGAAACCTACAAGACCACACGCTGTAGCCTTGTCGAGCGAGGGCAGGTGCCGCTGAGCGGTTGCTGGAGCTGCGGTGCAGCGAGCGAGCGAGCCAGCAGGTCTACGAGCGTCTTGAGACAACAGCGTCAATCTTCAATGGGAGTGTTTGCGTGATGATTGTATGCACGGCAGCGGACTTTGTTCGAAGCGATGGCGAGCGTGAATGAAAGAGACTGCAACATGTATAACGAATGGCATTCGATTTCGCCAGCTCCTCTGCCACAGGCATCCAGCCAAGGGCAGGCAGTTGAGGTGCAGAGATGAAAAGCGGCTATGCGCACAGCTTGCATGAAACAATTTCTCGACATCTTCGATGCGTTCCTCATCCCGCTTACCGAGGCAGCGAGTAATCTCGAGAGGTCCAGAGACAGGAGACATGAATGTGCCATGTTGTGTCCACTGGCACATGCAGGCTGCAGTCGAGCCAGATCGACGACGACGTGCGCTTTGTTGCTCCGTGGCTTACCGTACACGCACGTTGTGGTAGAGTGCGGAGACGAGTTCTGCCGGATGTTTGCACCCTTTGCCGAAGATTGCTCAAGCTGGCCAGCAGAACGGTACCTTCCCACTCTCAGCTCATTGCCTCACAACAATGGGAATGCGAACAGCTACGATCTTCGTCGGGTCGATCTGAAGCGTGCCTTGCTTTGCTTCGAGAAGGCTAGACGAGACTGCATGGGCCCCCGAAGGCGTGCGCAGACGGGCCCCTCCTCTCACGGCCGTAAGCTATAGCCACCGTCTCGCCGGTGCGCGCACATCCGCGACGCGAGATGATCGACGTGCAGTCGCTGACACAGGCCAAAGTACCGAGGCAGTCGTGAGTCATGAGATGGAAGCCGCTTGCACGTGTGAGACTGCAGTCAAGTACCCTTGCGCTGCAGGCATATGCTTGCTGCATCTCGCTGACGTGGAGCGCTTTCACGGCATACGGTACATCGGTACAGTACAGGAAGCCAGAACGGTGCCAATGCTCCCCCATGATCTCGAGTAGTAGAAGGCAACGAGCGGCGCTTGAAACTCGTCACAGTAAAGTGTCGCGAGGCTGCAGGAGCAGGAGGACTGCAGCGCGATGCAATGCGAGCATGCACGTGGGCATCTCCCGGGAAAGGGCGATGAGCGAGGACGACTTTTGCCAAGGTCACAATCCTATCTCTCAAATGGCTTGATGTCCGCCAAAAGTTGCGCAAGTCTTCGGCGGCTCCTCGGAAGGCTCGCATCCGATGTGGGATGCTGGATATCCTGCAAGCATCCGAAAGGGCTCGGCCAACACGGGCCTTTGATCCATTCCAGCCCCGCGGAGCCGCCCGCGGCTGTCGCTCGATCGCTGCTTTGCTCGTCGCTGCTGCTCGATCGTGACTCGTGACCGCTTCGATGGATGCGCCGCGCTGTGCCCTGATGGAGAAACCAGCACGCGTACGACATGCAGCATCCTTCCCATGCATGCGAAGCGGGCCAACACCGCGCGTTGTTGAGGACTTGCTCTCGCATACTTTTACATAAGCGGGCCCCAGCTCCAAGCGATCGGGCTTGATGCACGCGGCAATAATAATTCATGCGCTCTTGACTTGCATCGTTGTCATCAGAGGCGAGGCAGCACACGCGGTACTCAGATCGACTTAATTGTGCTGCCAGATGCTTGCATGCAGAGAGCGGACTCACCGCTGCATATATACACACACACACACACACACACACACATGCTCCAGAAAGCCAAGTCGCTCGGAGCGCATCTGGGTTCCTTGACAGCAGCACTTGAAGCTTTGCTACCACACCCGCCCACCGGGCCACCGGGACTATATACTCGGTAGTATACTTGTGCTTCTTTGATTGCACCAAGGCAGATCAGAAGATTCAGCTGGTGCGCACATCTCTTGCTTTAGTCTGTGAAAAGTCGTTCGAGACCACGGAACAGCTGGCTTCCCACACTGCCAAACTTCGGTCTTGTATCGCTCGCTGATAAATGCTCGAGTCGGGCTCGATGGAGGCTGGCTGACGGGACGGGATTTTGCTTCCCTTGCTCGTCTGATGCTTCACGCCACCACCAATGATCGAATTGCCGTACAGTATCTTCTATTTGTGCAGAAAGCCCGTGTTGACAGGCCGTTACCGTACCACCGTCTGAAGGGCATCAAGGGCAGGTCGCGTGTGAGGCACCGGACATGTTCCTCCTCGCCATTTAGCGTCGCGTGCATCGAAGCTCCGACAGGCGGCAGGTCAGCTTCAGCGCTTGATTGCTGCTACTACTCGTGACTACTGTACACGGCAAGCGGCTCATCAGCAACAATCGGGAATGGCGCGAAGCAAGGAATGGCAAAATGCCGCATGCACGTCGGAGAGCAAGATGACATACATGCATTCACATTTGGTTTCAGCGGCGGTGTGGTGGGTGTGATGCAACTCTTCCGCAAGCTTGTGGGTGCATCTGGCATGGCTGCTTGTGGGCGACAGATGTGCCTTTTAGTGTTTCTGAAGGCGAAGACTCCGACGAAGGGAGTCATTTGAGTCGTTGGACGTCAAGTCGGTTGCGCGCTTTCGACCTGGCTAGACCTTCGCACACCCTTACCTCTCACCTTCTTCCCGCTTCGTTGATTCGGATTTGTCATATCGGACATTTGGCCACCGTCGTACCGCTCTGCCATTCCTCGCGACATGCTTCGACCTGCCGTCGCCTGGGGTGAAGCCTTGCATCTGTCCTTCGACCACACCTGTTGCTTGCGACCAGCTCGAGTGTAACCTGCAAGTACGACTTCCAAATTCAAGCCCAGCTTGACAACGCGGGCGGATGGGCAAGAGGCCGTTTCCAGCTCGTCTGGCAGCCCTACCATTGCGACTCCGAGTTGCTAGCTTACGCCTGCGTGTCTCACAACTCCCAGAAGCCGCTGTCTGGGGCTCATCGACACGTCAGCCGCGTGCCCCAGCCCTCTTCGCCGAAATTTCTCACAGGCCTAGTCATCCCCGCACGCAACTTCGATTGTAGATTTAGACGTCTTTGATCTGCAAAGCGGGTGTACATCAAGCTTTGCGCTCCCGTACCCCAACGACCCCGCCATTCTGGCGCTTCGCCAGGATTCTGTTGCTGGACCGCCGCCTCCTACTCGCCTTGCCGTTGGCTTTCCGCGCTTTGCACACCACTGTACAACGCTCGCTCGTCCTTACCAAGTTACACTCATGGTCGACGAGTTGCCTCGCATCGAAGCAGACACGCGCTCCGCTGTACAAACCGTTCAGTCCACCCTCGTGGCTTGCGCAGGGGCGAATGGAGGATCAGGAAGACAAAGCGCCTACCAAGCTGTCCCAGGCGACTTCATCGAATAACAATTGTTCGCCGGCTGCGGCCGGCTCGACAGTCCTTGACTGCCAGTCAGTCAGACTTTTGTTGACCCTTATTGTTCGTCCGAGGTCGTATCCACCTCGCCGTTCACGGGCATCTCAGCATGAACAAGCCAACAAAAACATCACAGTCAACGCCAGTGCCTGACATTCAAGCCGAAAGTACGAAACGACCACTTCTGCCGCCAATCTTACCTCGAGCAGATGAAGCCGAAGCACCCTCTGCAATGCTCGCCCCTAGCCAACGTGCTCCGGCCGCCGTCTTCGGGAGCTCCGGCCTTCCTCCAAATGCTTGGAGGCGGTCTGTTGAGGAGGAGAAGCGCCGTCAGCACCGCGAATCGCCAGTCGCACATCAGCCAAAAGTTGAAACGGATTGGCATACACGAAGCATGTCCCAGACACCCATGGCACTTCAAGCCCTGCTGACTACAGATCTGTCATCAAAAAGAGAACGTGAATCCACAAATTTGACCAGTAGCCCACGCCCTCTCGACCACGGTCTACCAATGGCACCTCCGCGTCCCTCGACGGCGCGCGTCATGCCACGGCCCAGTGGACTTCCAGCACACGGCCTGTCGACTCCATCAACATCGTGGAACAGTCAGTTTCCAGGGACTTCACAGGAGTCGCGAACACTAGCAACGCAGAAGACTTCCGCCTCTTCCGGAGAAAGCTCCGGGTCGAGGACAAACACAAATGTAGCACCAGCGATGGGGTCGTCTTCCGCGTTGGCGCCCTCCTCCGCCTCGCCCTGGTTCACGTGTCCCAGCGTTGATCATACCCTACGCATACATCAAGGTCTGCCCCCCGCAACACAAGTCAAATTCCAACTTCGAATCATCCAGCAACCGCAAGAAGCGCTGGCTGTTGGTGAATCCACAGATGTGCACAAACAGGCCCGCAATCTCCCCCTAGACCCACCGCCGGTCTGCGAGTTGGTCACGCGCGACGATACCTTTGCAAACTTTTTGCATCTACCCGAAGTGAGTCTGCGCGCTCACCTCGTGGCAGCCGCCGCACCGCACAAAGAGCTTCTTGCCGGACCTGGAGAGCAAGGTGCTCTCATCAATGGCATCCACGAGGGTGCTTTTGTAGCACCCATCACAGATAGCGTCACGCGGAGCTTCTTCATCTTCACCGAGATCGGGATCAGACCCTCTGGTCAATTTCGCATACGCTTCGACCTTGTGGATCGAGCGGGTCTCTCCTTTAAACATGTCGCCTCCGTCTACACAGACCCTTTCACGGCGCACAGCGACCGCAACCAGTTCTCTGGCCTGCAGAGGTCTAGCGAGCTGCTGCGCGCAGTAGCTCGCAGAGGTCTCAAAGTCCGCATCGTCGACGTTCTTCCGCTGTAAGTCAAAGCTAGAGGGAGTTGATGATGTGGTAGATGCGTCTGACACCAAGCTTTGTTCTAGAAACAGAGCATTCAAACGACGCAAGACTGAAGCAGCCGCAACAGCCTTTCGAAACATCTCGGCCCCCGTTTCGTCTATGCAGGCGCCCGCTTTTTATCCGCGGCAGCGCCAGTCTGACCAGCTCCCTCCACCATTACTGCACTCTGCGGAGGATCTTCAGACGACAAGACACGTCTCATATGAGTCCTCACCTCGGCCGATGGTGGATACGAGGGCAATCCCACAAATGCACGGTGACCCTCTGCGGTCGGTAGACCTGGCGTCGAGGGGCCCTGCCGATTTTCCCGGTTCGGAGAGGACTTCGGAAGCCAATTCTAATCGCAACAGAGGTCGCTTCTCCGCTCCAATTGGCGCTGAAGAGCTCGAGAGAGTAAAGCTGCCTCCTCCCAATCCTTACAAGATCAATCAGCATGTGCCCCGCTATGCGCAAACGCCTCTGCTGCGAGCATCGACTGATCTGGACGGAGGCCGGCTTAGCGCTCCTATCTCTCATTTCTCCGCTCGAGAGGAGTTCTTGGGCTCCACCGGCCTCAGTGGACATCCTCAGACCAGTGCCAGCGGGTCTCGTCGTCAGACCTTCGTAGATTACGAAAGACGACCCCCGTCGGACGTGGCAATCCAGGATCGCCGAGGCAGTAGCAGCAGCTTGGATGCAGACAGACATGACAGCTTACCACCGTCAAGGCTGCAACGCCAGATGGATGCCCTTCCGAGTCCGATGCCACCACCTGGATTGCTCCGGCCTGCTGATCCACTCAGCATGCGAGATGGGGCCTCCATCGGCCCAGACACATTACCTCCACCATCGTCCATCTTCTCTCGAGTGATCGCGCGTCCAATGAGGGAGCTAGGCCGCTATGAGGTTGCTGATGACGATGCTCGACGGGCGGACTTGTCAGACGACGAAGTGCATGCTCGACGCTTATTCCACGCTCGGACAGAAGGCTCCATGGCACCTCCTGCTGCCGCGGAAATGAAAGGAGCAGGAGGATCTTCGACCAGACCGCAAGATTTCGAGCACACCCTCGATGCCAGCCATCGATTTCGAGATCAAAGCCGGAGAGAGGGAGACGCAGACGTGCAAGACGGTGAGGTTGATCGCTTTCCAAATCCTTGCGAGCACATCCTGATTGCGCAAGATCTCTGTCGACGAATCTAAGGCTATCCCTTTCTCTTCCACCCACACACCCACCGTGCTCGCCCTTCCACGCCCGCCGCAGGCTCTCATCTCGAGTCAGCTTCATACACGCGGCGTTGATTTCGTGCAAAGCAGGATACGTGACCGTCACAGCACCTCTTTTCAAAATTCCTCTTCATTTGATACCCATTCTCCCCGCTCTGGTCATACCAATCCTGACCAATACATCTTGCATGCTCTCACCGGCGTGATGCACGATTTGTTCTCCAACGTGCCATGTTGCACAAAATTTGCGCAGCGCTGACAGCTCGCGTAGGAGCGCCTTCGATAGGTCTCACGAGTGCGGTTAGCACAGCTTGAATGCCATTCGGGCTTCTACTTGTACATTTCAGTCACTCAGCTTTGACCGTAAGACCAGTCCATCATGGACTTTGCGCAAGGAAACGGGATGTTGAAGATGGGATGCGTAGGCAACAACCAATTCTTGCCTCCGTCGCCGACCACATTGACCTTTTCAGCATCGGCGTTCCAAGATAGGGAAGAAGCGTAACAAGCTCTTCTCCATTCGTGCAAATCTTTCTTCTCCCAAGGCGCGGCGTGTCGCGCGTCGCTAGGCTCGGGGGAATTGGTTCCGTATTTGAAAGAGGCTGCTAGTTCGGATCGACCGTCCAGGTCTAGTCGAAGTCGATGTTGAGCCAAGGACATGCCGGAGAGGTTGTAGCAGGTGTGATAGAGATCAGGTCTTTTTCCTGGTTTGTCCCTCAATCCACCCAAAGCTTCTTGCGCCACCACCAAGACGTACTCTTGAAGGGCTGCCCTGTCAAACAGTACGCCATCGGCAGGAAGAGATAGCGGGTCTGTTGCCAAGAATGAAAGGAAAAGTCAATGGGACTTCCTCCCAAACAAGCATTGGTATGCTTCTTCAAAGCGCTAACAGGACGACTCACCGTCATCTGCTTGCCACACGTCATCAGCTTCCATTGCTTCGCCCGTGCTCTGAGCAGGAATGCTCCCCGTCTCGGCCTCTTTCCACCATTGTCCTGCTTCCATCTCCACTGCAGCCTGCAGGCAAGTGAACATGCCACCACCACTGAACCATCCGTAGCACCCGTCCACCAGCTTGTTCGTTCTGCCTCTGAAGCCACCTCCATCCGCCGCGTTGGCCTGCAACGAAGCAGACCAAGCGACGAGCGCGGACACGTCTATTCGAGGCTCTGAAGGTTCTGATGCTGGCAGCGGTAAGAGAGAGAGGGCGAGGTGAGAAGCCAAGGCGCAGAAAGCGTAGCCTGCGTGCGCTTCTCCCAGAGTGGGCCGAGGTGCGTTCGGGTCGATGGTGACTTTGCCATTCGAAGAAGTCTTGTATGCGGGATGCGAAGCGGACGCTAGGCCGCCTTCGTACGTTTGGCAGCTGAGCAAAGGGAGCAAGAGCGAGGATATCAACACGATGAGCCCAAAGAGATTGGCGATGCATTTTGACTCGTGAGGGGTCGACTCACCTGCCCAAGAAGCTTGGCAAGCCTTCAAATAGCTCTGGAGTCGCGATCCCCAACAACAGGCTGACTGTGACCACACAGTACGCCGCACGCACGTCGATTTCCCCTCCGTGATGTACGGTAAAAGATCCATCGGGCTGTTTGAGGGACATGAACATGTTGTACATTGCAGAGCTGATGAGCGCAGCGCGACACCAAATCCCAATTGGGAATGTAGCTACGAGGTCAGATCAAGGAGGAGCAGATGTCGGAGCGAGTCCCACTCACCGATCGATCGAGTCCCATCCGCTCTTGCCGCCGCCGCCGCCGCCGCCGCTGCTGCTACTGCTGGGGCCCGCTGCGTCTGCGATGTCTGGTGCATGTCCAGGTCCGCTGACGATGGCCAGAGCGAGTACAGCAGCGTACGTGGCCATCAAGTGGGGAATCTGACCAGGACCTCCACCAAATCCTCCCATGGGACTTTGACAGGACAATAGCGTGCTCGTGGCTCTTGCCGACATGTCTGCGTCAAAGGGAGAGGACAAGAGGAGACTGGCTTGAGAGGCCCAGTAGATCAACCATGGTCTAGTGGCGTCGAACACGACGTAGCCTGCGGGTAGAGGTTGAAGTCCCTTTTTGAGGAATGCCAAGTGTTTTGATTTGCTCAGGGAGGGCAACGACAGGCCTGCTTGAGCGGACTGCGCAGGTTCTGAAGCTGAAGCTGACGAGGATGAGGATGATCTGAAAGGGGTGAACAGGTCGCTAATTTGGTCTTCCGTCTCTCTTTGTTCCCTCGATGTGGATGTGGGCACATCATCGTCGGGAGCAGGCACTGCTGCTTGGTGAATCACCGACATTGTTGCGGATACGGAGGAGCGCGTAACGGTGTGAGGAGGGCGATGGTGGGTGGTGTGCGAGTGGGTGCGCGCCTGTGATACAGTCGTGGAGGGCAAACGTCGGAGAGCCAGCGAATGGGGCCTGCCTTTGTAGCCTGTTCGCCTTTTCACCTTGCTTCCGGACGTGGAGCAGTTGGCGAGGGTGAGCCGCGAAGATGAGTGATGAGGAAGAGTGGAGAGTGGAGAGTGGTGAGTGGAGAGTGGTGAGTGTGAGCGCGGGTCGAGGAGAAAGTCAGGATTTGAGCTGAACGGGTTGCCAATGAGGTGTGTGCCTGCCTGCTCATCCATATAGCTGCCTGCCTGCCTGCCTGCCTGCCTGCCTGCCTGCCTGCCTGATGCAGCTGCCACAGCTCGATCCTTCCTTTGTGCTGCAAATCATGCGCGCGTGTGTGGAGGTGTGCTGTGCTTTCTGGCTCTTTTTGGCGGGACCTAGCCGGCTGCTGCTGCTGCTGCTGTGCCTACCAAACCATGCAACGCCCATACGAACAAGCTCTAAGCAAGCCACACACATCTACAGCAGCCATACCGGTACACCTAGCTTGATCTCGGGCGGGCGGGCGTGCAGCCAGCCCATCACCGCGAGCCTCATCAGCAGCAGCACGAAAAGGTCTTGGGGCAGTCACGGCTGCCTTAATTGAGGAAGAGCATTCGACTTTGTGCCGCGCTCATTACCACTCGTCAGTTTTGTGACGGCATGCAGGTGAGAACAAGGGAAGGAAGGAGCAGGGGCGCTCACCGCGACAACAAGAAGAAGTGATTCGTCGCGACTCATGGTGGGTGAGTGCGCCCTGCGAACAACCATCTCCACCCACGTGACTGCGTCGTCGGTTCGGTTGTAACAGCAGCTGCACGCATGGATTGGCGTCTTTCACTCATAGCACCGGCCGGTCTTCGCATCCCTCCCATCACATCATGACAGACCACACCCAGATCCAAACGTATCATTCACAGATTGAATGTTCGAGAGTGTCACGATGGATCGCCTCGAATCCTCCGACGTCCACAGCCGGCTGGATGCTGCGCAAGCGGCGCCGTTCTCGCTGCCTGGCCCCCTGTCTGGTCAGCCCTTTCGCATTCCGAACCTTGTCGTCCGTGGGTCTTCAGCTGGCACAGCCTCCAGCAAAGCATCGCAGCCTTCTTCGCGACGCGTTGCGGAAAAAGGCGACCCATCGGATGCATCGACTCCCTTGACAGCGCGTCCTGGCAGTGCGCATACATTTGCTCGTTATCGCTCCGACCAATTTGCAGTCTCCGCTATGAGCCAGGCACCGCTCACTCCCTCCCTTCGTAGCCTCTCACCTGCACCCAGTGATGTGACTGTACGCAGTGGACCTGCCAGCGCGACGATTCGACTAAATGCTTTGCCCGCAAGCTCTCGCACGGACGCACAGAGAAGTAGCTCCGCTTTGTCACGGAGCGCTCGGGCATTCACCTCTGCCCACGGGCGTGCCAGACCATCCACGGCGCAGAGTGCTGGTAGGCCGAACACTGCTGCCTCCGAGCTGGGTGTGCCTCCAAGCTCGTGGATATGTGCCATTCTGGAGAATCGAGGGGTCGGGCGTGAGGTTGGCATAGCTGCCATGGAGAAAGACACTGGCCAAGTCATCGTTACGCAGGTAATCAATCACACTCATTCTCCCTGCATGAGAAGCGTAGGCAGCTGCTGACAGTCTCGAGACATTGGTTCCGATGCGCAGTTTGCGGATACGCAGGTATGTGTACGTCATCGTGATACCGAGAGTAAGCTCAGAGGTCTTCATTCGTTCTGCCTACAGACATACGTGAGGACCGTGCATCACTTGATGCTTCATCCTCCAGCTACTGTACTCGTGCCGGATACATGCGCCTCTTCCGCGGACTATCCAGATCCCGGATCTAACGGCACAGCGATCGAGTCTTCGATCCTTGTGTGCACAATCGAAGACACGTTCGATATGGGAATTCTACCCTTTGCGAGAAAGTTTTGGAATCACGAGGATGGCGGTGAGAGACTGTTAAGCGCCAAGATGCATGCGTCAGTGGCTGACCCTGAGCACGCAGCCAAGGTTTTGGATAAAGTGCTCGTGGACGATGTGCTCACAGAGTCCATGAGTAGAGAGCGCGAAAGCTCGAACTCGGTAGACAGTTCTGCTCACGCTGGTACGGAGTTGCTTGCGGGAGCTACGTCGCGGGTCGCGATACTTAAGGCGATTGGAGACCGCTACTATGCCCTTGGAGCGTGCGGCGCGTTACTCAAGTGCGTGGAATTGCACGCCTTACAGCCCCGATCTCGTGGCCGCAGTAGCCTAGAAGTAGAGCTCACACCAGCCTCTCCGTACATTTTCAGATACGTAGAGCGCAGCAGCAACTATGCCCTCATCCATCGTTCGTTACGCGTTCGCTACAGTCCTCCTGACGGTACGTAAGCAGCGATCGGCAAAGCCACACTGAGCGCTCATATGTGCCGTTGGGTTCTTCAGGAACCATGTTAATTGACACAGAATCCGCTCGAAACCTCGAGTTGGTCTGCAACGGGGTGGATCGCAAGTCCACAGACTGTCTGCTAGGTAGGAACTTTTCAGGGGCCGAGATTTCGTCTCAAGCTGAATATCGCCGTCCTGACGCAATCTTGTAGGCGTTCTTGACTGCACTCGCACACCGATGGCGCGGCGTCTGCTTGTCATGAATTTGCTTGCGCCGCTCACGGACCAATCCACCATCCAGTCCCGCCTTGACACGGTCGCCGAGCTGATAGAAGACGAAGATCGTCACGAGGCTCTGCAAAGCAGTTTCAAAGCATTTGCCCAAACTAACATTGACCTCGACAAGCTCATCAGGCAGCTCTTGGAACCAGGAGGGAAGCATAGTATCGGCGACCCGAGCCACACATTCTCAAAGGTTGGCCAGGTGCTTGAGCTCTCCGCCTTGCTGCGCCAAGTCACTTCGCTCCGCACAGCTCTCAAAGGAGCTCGCTCGGGACTGTTGCGGGCCATTGAAAGTTTTCTCAGCAATCCGATGGTTGATGAAATTGTCGACAAAATACAGAGTTGCATCAACCCAGACCTGATGGTCTCCAGTAGTAAGCACAACCTTGCAAATCGCAACACACGACTCTTTGCTGTCAAGGCATCCCGCTCGCCTCTTTTGGACATCGCCCGTGACACCTATAGAGAGGTGATAATTGCTCTCTAGAGTTGGCATTCGTCGAGTTTCGAACTCTGCCACTGACTCGCTGATCCTCTGGCAGAACATTGGAGACATCCATGGGCTTCTCAATCGATATGTGGAGGAGTACAAGCTTGACATCGAGCTTGCGTGCAACGACAGCAGCTACTCGGTGAGTCATGACAATGAGGGACGGTATGTGGCAACTGTTGCGCTGAAGATTAAGCTCGCGTAACCAGCTGCGTCTGGCAACGACTCCTGGCATGACTTCCCGCGATCTGCCGCACACCTTTACAAACGTTGTCAGGAGCCACAATAACAAGAGCTTCTCATTCACCACGCTGACCTTGAAAAAGCTCAATCAGCGCGTCATCGACTCTAGCAATGAGGCGAGTCACCTCTCGAGCTCGGCACTGCAACTCTGGGCTAAGACTGCTATTTTGTAGATCTTGCTGATGTCCACCGGCATCATCGAAGAGCTGCGAGCAGATGTAGTGCAGCGGGTGGGAGCGCTTTACAAAGTCTCCGAGGCCCTAGCGCTCCTGGATATGATCCACTCTTTCGCGATTTGCGCTCGCAGCGCTCGATTCACGCGTCCTGAATTTACCGGCACCATCCACATCAAAGCTGGAAGACATCCAGTATTGGAGAAGTCCATGCGCAACAAAATTGTGGTGCCTCAGGATCTTCTTGTGTCAGGCGGAGAGAACTTCTTCATCATCACTGGACGTGGGTAGCAGTAAGCAAAGTCGTGTGCCATATATGCCCCTCGTCTCAATCTGCCTTCCCAACACGCCAACACGCTAGCAAATCACTCTGGCAAGACCACCTACCTGCGACAGACAGCGTTGCTACACGTCATGGCATGTGTCGGCAGTTTGTGAGTCGCGTGATTCGCTGGGGAGCGCCATTTGAGCAGCGCCAGCTGATTAATTCCGACTAGCAGCGTGCCTGCGGTGTATGCTTCATTCAGGCTACACACCGACAGCATTCTGACGCGGCTTTCGAATAACGACGACCAAGAGACGAATTTGAGTACCTTTGCAAGTGAACTGCGTTCAACGGCGTACATTTTATCACTAGCATCCAAAGACAGCCTTGTGCTGATTGACGAGCTAGGGGTGAGCAATACGTCTCACCTGTGGCCTCTCTTTGACAAGGCTGACTGAGATGTCGAGTCGCAGAGGGGCACCTCGCCGCACGGTGGCTTCGGCGTTGCTCAAGCCGTGGCGGAAGAGCTCATCGCCATGGCAGCCCCCACACTCTTCGCAACGCACTTTACGGACCTTGGTAGGACTCTTGGTCATCATCCGAACGTAGTCTTCCATCGGTTCTCATCAAGTCATGCCCAGCAGCGCTTAAATGTGGTGAGCACAGCGTCGACCGACACAATTCACCATCTTGAGCGAGGAATCCTTCCAAAGTGAGTCTTCTGATACGCTTTTAAACTCGCCCTCATCGAGCTCTAATGCGAATCTGTCCTCTTGGCAGCTCTCACTATGGCCTGGACATGGCAGCTCGCTGCGGCTTGCCTTCTTCCTTGCTAGAGAGAGCCCAGCAGATGGTGGCCAAATTGGAAAGCGCTTCCAACTCGGCCACCGAGGCTTCCGAAGCTAGGATGGTTATGCGGCGCCGCGAAGCTATCAGTGTGGTGGGTCGCATTGTATTGAACACGACCTTCATTCAACAGAAACTCCAACTAATCAATCTTTCCGACTGCGCGCCTCACTGGAATTCACAGCTCTGCAAACAGCTTTGCCACCTCTTGCAGACGTGCCAAGTCGACGATCCTCTCACCTTGCTAGCTGCCATGCAACGTGACTTTGTAAAGGTCCTCAAAGCTTCTTACGCAGCTCCCAAGTCTTCCTGATCTCCTGTATGGCAGGCCCAAGAAAGGCTTTACGCCGTCGGTGCCCACCGGCCCCACTGCGCCATCATTTAGCGCGCCGGGCGGACACGATGGTAAAGCGTGCAAGGATGAGTAGCCAAGAGAAATGCGGATGAAATAGCGACTGAAGAGAGAGAGAGACAGCGCGAGCATTTGCGTACAATTACGGTACAATTACAAACCGAACCGATGCAAATAAATCATGCGCTCCGTTTCGAGAAGGGTGCGCAATAGGTTCAGCTGCAAACGTCAAATGGCAAGGCTACTGCAAAGAGCGACGCTTGAAGGTGACTCGGTAAGCGGACTGGGTGAAGGGATCCGGCTGGATTGGGTGGGTCAAGCTCTCTGCGTAGAGGGGGGGCTGATTTTTGAGCGCCTGAGCATCATAGATGACGTCAAAGTCTCTCAAAATGGCCGCAGTGACGGCCATGCCTTCAAAGGTGGCCAGCGTCTGTCCCAGGCACAGTCGTGGCCCCGCATTGAAAGAGTGGAAGAGGAAAGGCGAAGGTTGCTTCACCGATCGACTGCCATCCTCTTTGATGTCCAAAAAGCGTTCCGGTTTGAATTCCGCAGCATCTGCTCCCCATACTTCTGGCATGCGAGCCATGACGTAATCGCTCCAAATGACCGTCTCTCCCTTTTTCATGGGAATGTCCGGCAATTTGTGCTTCAGTTCTGGCATATCGGCCAGCAGCTCTTGAGCGCCGGGTTGGGCGTACGGCCTGATGAGATCGTCCTTGTTGAGCGTCTTGGCATTCTTGGGCACTGCAGGGTGCAGCCTTGACGTTTCGTAGAAGACGGCGTGCGTGTATGGCATAGCTTTGATGTCGTCATATGCCATCTTCCTGCCCCCATCTAGCACGCTCTCCACCTCTTCTCGAATCTTGGCCACCACCTGAGGCTTGTCGTGAAGCTGGTAGAATTGCCAAGCCAATGTTTGAGCGGTAGTGTCTCGCCCGGCGATCAAGAAATTGAGAACGACCGGCAGGAGCTCTTCTCGATTGAGCCCCATGTCCATGAAGAGCTCCAAAAGATCCTTGCCGCTCTTTCCTTCTGCAGCTTTGACGTCGCCTTGTTTGTGGGCTTCGACTCGCTTGTCAATGACGCCGTAGCAGAACGAGTCCAGGACCTAGTGTGCAGCGTAGATTGGGCAGACAGCGATGAGCTACGACTGCACCCCACGAGGGCTGCAACGCACCGATCGCCACTCACCTTGATGGCCTTTCTCATCTGCCTCCCGCGCCTGTTCCAAGGAAGATACTCAAGGACGCCTTGCAGCGGATCAAAGAATCGATTGTCAATCATTCCCTGCGCACCGTCAAAGGCCTTGGCGAATGGGACTTCGTTCGCCAAGCCTTCCGGACTAGTCGGCAAGCAATCCAGTTGGGCAGAAAAAGCCATAGAGGCAAAGGAGGAGAGGGTGAACCTGAAAAAGATGGCTTGCAAATCCACATCCTGATTCGTCTTGCTGAGAACGTTGAGCAACTGTGAAAGCCTCTCCAAATCTTCGTGCACTGCGTGTTGCACGCTGTCGAGTGCGCAGCGCGCAGGAGGGAGCAAGATGTCAGAGAGGAGTCACGTGGCGTACCACAGCCTCGCTGCTTGGTGACGCTCACTGTGTCCGGAAGTTGTCAACCGAGAAGATGCGGGAAGCCATTTTCCGTTGCTTCTTCCAGATCTCTCCGTCGGCTGTCAGGGCAAGCAAGCGAGCACCGTCGTGCCGGCATGAGAATGAAAAATAGCTTGCGAGGCGCATAGCTGACCATGGCTCCCGCGACTCACCGACGAAGATGCCTGCATGCCCCAGCACGTCCGACATCGCTCTCCGAAACGGAGCCCCCTTGTCCTGCAGAGCAAGCGACAGAAAGTCCAGAGCGTGGAGGGCGGTGAGCTCGTGCTCTTGCGCCTCGGCCCCGGCTCCTCGCTCTCTGCCTGTGTGCTTGCTTGACTTTGCACTCACATAGGTCTCGAAGTTGGTCTTTTGTGCCCACAGGATGTACAGAGGGTGATTGATCAAGACGACGCGATGGCCCAAAGCGGGAAAGGTGGCGGTGCAAACGTATCCGCCTTGATCCAGCTGTTTGCGTCTGGGAGTTTCATTGCAGGCGAGGAGCAGTGATTGGCGGATCGGGTTGGAGATGCGAGTCAGCAATGGTATATGCTGTGCCAGTCCTGAGCGTCGGCATGCGGACCAATGCATTCCTTGGTGGGCGTCTACAATGACTCTTATCTCTCCTCTCCTCACTACTCATCCTCAGAGAGCATCCGCAGACTATCAAACTCACTGTTCTTTGACTAGCTCGTCGATCATTTTTGCCTTGCCGCTGGCGATCTTGGAGATCCACGGCGTATTCCCGATGAGGGGGAAAGCGGGCTTGATGGTAGGCACCTCCTTTCTGGGATGAGTAAAGATCAAGCGATCATTGTAAACGAAGGCCAGACCGCACAGTGCGAGAAAGACAAAGTCGAGGAGGAGCATCGCCCAAGCTTGCCAGTCTTCCATGATGGACACGACGAGATGAGGAGGTAGAATGGCGAAGAGCAAGTTGCTGCTCATGCTGTTGCTCATATTGCCGAAGGAGGAGGGTGAGGATGAGGATGCGCCTGGAACGGATGGATGTCCTGCGGGTAGATCGCCCGAGTAACCCAGGGGACACTTGCCAGACATGATGGATGATGGATTCCGTCTTGTGTGTGTGTGAGCGAATGAGGAGGAAAGCAAGGTGCACGTGCGCCTATTTGTACGCGCAGATTCTCGCTTTGTCCAACCTGCTACGCGCAGATCAAGAGAAGCGTGTAGAGTAAGATGCGCGTATGAATCTGCCCTACTTGCTCGGTAATGTTCAAGTGACGCGCGGAATCGTGTGTCAAAGAGAATGGGGGGTGAGCGAGGAGAGAATGCCTGAAAGCGTGCTGATTTGAGGGTCGACTTTTCTCGCGGTTCATGAGAGAGCCAATTAAGCGTGGTGACGGTATGCGTGAAGGACGTGTGTGGGGTCAAAGCTAGAAGCTTGCATCAGGATCGTCAATATCCGTCAAAACTACCGATGCACGGCCCCATATGTCGTATGTCGACGGGCAGCAGCAGCGGCAGCAGCAGCAGCCAACCAAAACGTGCGCGAATCGAATCAGCAGACTTGAGTCACAGAGTCGCCGTCCGCATCCGCATCACGTATGGCGCATGGATGCGCACGCGTATGCGGATGGGGGCGCTGATCCGAGGCACAAGTGAAGCAGCAATATTTGAGTCTGATTGTAATCACGAATATCTCATCACCGATGCCCGAAGTGGGGTCCGGTCCGCATCCCCACATTCACATTGTTGTGATTGTTGTGATTGCGATTTCTCCACATTCGCCACCCAAGCAGGCAGTCAGTTGACATCAGCGCTAACAACACTCCAAACTCGGAGCACGCGCTAAGCGGTGGGCGACCGACCCCTGCAGCATGCGCAGATGTATATAGGATGACCGGATATGTTCGAAGCGCAGGACCGCAGCCACAATTCACCGTGACTGTAGGTACCTACTCATCACAATTCGTGACTAATGTGAATCAAGTGTCATGGTTCTCCTCCCCCCAGGAGCGTCTGCGCTGCGGCGCCCCCCAATAAGCGTGATGGGACACGGACTGGCTCGCGAAAGAGTCCGAAGTGCGGAACGAGCGCTCAGGCCCTTCGGATCGGGACTGAAACTCGGCGTCGGGCCGAGAGTCTCCTCCACCTCGGCCATGAAACTGTAGCCCGGTGACTTAGAGGTGCGACCCGCGCGTTCTCACGATTGACCTCGGCGTTGAGTGAGCTTATTGCAACCCGAGGCTCGACCTGGACAGCTAATTCGCGGGTGGCCGCTTGGCCAACGGATGCAGCCAAAGACATTTCGGAGGCAGTGGGCCCAGATGCTCTGTGCAGCACATCATCCACACGCAAAGCCGCACTCGCACATGAGGAGAAGCACGCACCACACGCACCACACCGCACCGCGTTGTTGAGTACGAAATCGTCCATTGTTCGTGAGATCGTGATGTGCCTGTTCCCAGCAAGTCGCAGGAGGTTGAAAGCGGTGACAGAAGGGGGGCCGAGCGCAAATCGAGCAAGCAAGAGGAAGCAGCGGCCAGGAATAAGGGAGATCACAGGGGCAAGAGGAAGTCGAAGCAGAGGCAATGGATGCAGCAGTGTGACTTTGTTCAGAACATCGGATGGATCAAAACTGATCTTAGGCTCGGAAGATTGTTCATGTTTAAGCGAGAAGTAGCAAGAAAGGAAATGTTCCCGATGCGGCAAGACTCAGAGCTCCGGTTCGTTGACGATCGAGCTCCCCGTGCTTCCTTGCCGATCGGGATTCGCCACAAAAAGTTGGGCCTTCGGTGCGAGTCCATGTGAGTATGCGGGCCTCGACTTTCCCTCGTCCTTCCTTGGACTGACAGGGCTCAGCGACGCATGGCCTCGTCTAGGCGAATGATCGGTGCGTGAGCTGCTCGGACTTTCGCTGCTATGAGCAGGAGAGGCCGACAAAGTTCCAGGCGATCTCGGAATAGGCAAAGCTTCGTCCAACGTCGCTTTACGCTCGATCGCCTTCACCCTATCTTTCACAGAACCAGACGTTGGCGGCTCCGGTTCATGACGAGAGCTCGGCAATAAGGGCGAAGTTAGCACCGGATTGTCCCTAGCGCGTCTCGTCGTCGAAGGCGTAAAGCTGGGTGCGTCGGACGGCCTTTGTCGCGCAGCTCTAACATTTTCCCCAGCATTGGAGCGTGAGCGCTCTGTCAGGCCAGCTGGGGTGGCAAATTCGTCGCGTGATTGGCCCGGGTCAGCGCTCGCAAGCCCGTTGTGGAACGAAGCTGCCCCTGCGGCGTCTGTTGATGGGATGTGCAGGTCAAAGTCGTCTGAGCTGTCATCTTCTCGCACGGTGGTCGGTATGCCCTGAGCTGCACCGGCGCTGGCCCAGTCACCTGGGGTCCAGCCCGTAGGTGAGGTGACGACCTCATCCAAGCTTCCTCTCCTAACGTGCGCTCGACGAGTGCTGGCTTCTCGAGAAGGAGCTAAACTCTCCATTCCGTTGGAGCTGGCGCCGCTGCTGCTCGTCGTGTGTCTACTGCTGCCGGTGCGTGTGCGTTGCACCACGTCCATGCGCGCAAGCTGTGCCTCGAAGTGAGAGCTGGTGGCAGTGCGAGCGCTTTGCAAGCTGGAGAGGGACCGCCCGTGCGCACCGCCACCCACCGTATAGGCATTGGCACCTGCTACATAACGACCAAGATCGTCAGCATCGTGCCCAACGCTCGCGTTTGGTATGGATGCGTTGGCGTCTCCGAAAGGATTGTCCTCGCTCGGATTGGCAGATCGAGGAGACTCGCGAATGGTCGACAGATCGGGAGGTGCGGCAGGATCTCGAATAGGACGATCAGCGCTCGGACCAGGTAGCAGGCGTCCCGAAGCGCTTCGCTCGAGAAAGCTCTGGCCCATGAATCTATCCCACCACGTTGCGCTCCGCTTCATACCGGCTGCCGGGGCTGAGCGCGGGCCACCCGGGGAGGCGACGTTCCTGCTCGATCTCCTGCTCGGCCCACCTTGGTGATCCCTGCCAGCGTCAGAGAATGAGACCAATGCGTGCTCGCCTGCAGACTGACCAAGACTGCTGTCTCCGATGGTGGAGTGGTCTGTGTGCGACTGGCTGGACACACCGCCTGCAATGCCAGAGGGGCCGGTCGTTGCCTCAGAGTGGCCGCTTTCAGACTCCAGAGGCCTGTCATCGGCTGCTCGATACGCAAGAATGCCTGCGCCGAGCCCGGCAACTCCGTAACGGGCCGCCGCCTCCGCATTGTCCTCAAAAGGCGAAGTGACAAAATCCATCGGATTCGAGCCACGACCACCGTGGCCACCAATGTCGCCCATAGAGATGTCTTCGTCTATGTCGTCCTGTTCAAGTCGGCCGTACGAGGCTTCGCGTAGTGGTCTGCTGGGATAGAACAGCTCGACGTCATCTACGTCGTCGACTGCAGAAGCGCAATGATTTTGCTCGTCTCGGTCAGCAAGGCCGTTGCGAGCGTTCATGGGGTAAGCATCGCCGTGCTCGAGTTCGTCCTCATCAGCAAGCATGTTGAAGCGAGGCTGAGCTGCACCTGCACCTGCACCAAAGCCACCGAGACCTGCGAGCATAGCCAGTCGTTCTCGGAAATGCGGACCAGAGCCCTCTTGTGCGTGTCCGACATTGCCAGCAGTCCATGCGCCTCCAGGCGCTCCCATCGCTCTTGGTCCTCCTGGACGATCCCCGGCTTGATAGAAGCCGTCTCCGGCTCCACCCTTCTCCATCATGTAGGGATCGTCGTACGGGTCGCTAGCTCGGTAACGTGCCCCACCGCCCAGCAGCTCCGCAGCTCCATCGCCGTGTCGCCAGTTGGAAGGATCGTTTTGTCTGCGACGATAGATGGCGTACCCTGCCCCGGCAACGAGGCCAACACCGATGAAGGCCGCAATGACGGCGCCCGCCTTAGCTCCTGCGCTCGTTCCACCGCCGTTATCATCCTTTGGCTTCGAGGTGTTGGTAGGGTTACCAAAGGACCCGCCCGTTCCAGTACCGCTATTGTTGCTTCCGTCAGGTGACTGAGAGCCTGAGTTGGAGCTTGAACCATTGCCCCCTGATCCGGAACTTTTGCTGCCACCGGAAGCAACAGCAGGATCCGGGGTGTAGGACGACGTCCAAGAGCCACCGGACCACTCTCCTCCAGATGTCACTTGGGCTTTGATAGCATCAAACACATAGACGGCAGTGTCCGCGGCACTGTTACCTTGCCAGCCGTAGCAGATGACGACCTGGCAGCCGTACGCCACGGCAGAGTGACCGAAGCGCGCTGAGGGTGCACCAACGCCAGTCACCTCTGACCATCTTGGAGGAGTGACGCTCCAGTCGAGCAGCCATGCATCGCTGTACGCGGTGGCCAGATCGGCAGATGCACCTCCATGAATGAAGACGCGCTTCTCCGGCAAGCTCACAGCGACGTGCCCACGACGAGCGACTGGCGTCCCATTTGTTGTCGAATTGGCGCCAGTGGTATTGAACGAAGTCCAGGCTTTGCTCTGAGTGGAGAAGGAGCTGACGCTACTGAAGGGCTGAAGAGTGCCGGAAGCATCAGTCCCCCCCAGCATCAACAAGGTGCCATCGCTGAGCAAGGTGGCTGTGCCATCCACGATGCTTCCGGTAGGCGGTGCCAATTGCTCAAAGCGAGGGCTGCTCGCAGTGCTGTCCATCGACCAAGCTTCGTCCAACACGACGCCCGATCCGTCATTTCTCTCGCCTCCGACGATCCAAACGCTGCCCTTTGCGTCACTCTCCGCAGCGTGATATATGCGTCGCATTGGTTGGTCCAAACTCGGACCGACCGCTTGCCACGAAGCTGTGGAAGCGCTGTCCGAACCGGCGAGCGTGACCGTATAAGCGGAGTCGTTGTTTGTCTGAATCGGCACAGATCCTGTAGCATCACCGCCAAAAATGAGTAGTCTTGATGCATCTGCGTCCAGTGGCAGCAGCGAGTGAAAGCTGACAGCTGGAGCTGCAGTGCTGTTGAGCACCTGCCAAGGCGCTGAGCTACCTGACCAGGATTTGGAGAGATCGAGCAGCATCAGGTCTGCAGAGTTGGGTGCCGAGTTGTAGGTGTAGCCTCCACCACCGGGACTACTGCCTTGCGTTTTGCCCCCGTGTATCACCAAGCGCGAGCCCAACAGAGCGGATGCTTGGCCCCACCTGCAGTATGTGAAATCATGGATTCCATCAGCCCGCAATACGAGAGACATTCCCATCAAACAACACCCACGCTCGCCCACTCACCTGCCCGCTAATGATGAGGTCTGCATCGTCGTCGCAGTTGCATCAGTCCCGCTCGTTGCAGATGCAGATGCAGTCGCATCGACCGGCTGAACCGTCTGTGCTCGCGTCTGGGCTACAAAGCTGCTACACGCAGCAAAGACGATGCCGTAGCTCACGAGACGCCTCGCGCTGTAGCTCGTCCATCGTCGTCTTCGACGTTTTGTGGAGCGATGTGAGGCTCTGGCGGCACGATCCACTGCTAGTGTCGGGTCCAAGGCCGGCAGAGTAGCTTGGAGCCGACTTGGCCCTGCTCGCTGCTGGTCGTCCATGGCTTGAGTCATCAGCGCAGCCAGAGAGCAGCGACCGCCGGTCTGGCTCCGGATGGGAGGGTGACCTGTGGTAAGGATGAGATGCACAAAGGAAGGGTGATCGCTGGCGTTCAAAAGAACGAATGTATGTAAATAAATCGATGAAGAAGGTGCGGATGTGGTGGTGGCTCTCAGCTATTGCGAACAGCAAGATGATGGTTGGATGAACGTTGGACGGACGGACGTCCAGGTGGATGGATGTTGAAGTGCGCGCGCACAACTTTCAAGTGGAGCCGCGCCGCGCCGCGCCCGTTGCTCGCTCGCGCAGCTGAAACGATCGCGCGCGATCGTTTCGAGCTCCGCCCTACGTTCGCAGCACGCCGAGCCTTGCCTTCTTTGCGCGATGCGATGATTCGAGGCAGCCGCTTGTCGCGACTGAGTGCAAGCTGGGGCAGCTATATACCAGTCATGAGTACATACACCGCGGTCATGCTTTGAACAGGCCCCTCAGTATGACCCTAGGTGAATGAAGCGAGCGTTCCCTCCCCGGCTAGGATCGCACCATGCAAGTACAGACCGCCGCGTCGTACACGCGCGCCCAGCAATTAAGCAGATCGCAGCCGCCGCTAAGAAGCCCCTATCCACATTACTTTTCGTGATGCAGCTGCATACACTGTGTGGTTCGTCAGGCCGCTGCCGCCCTTCCGGCACTGCACGTACGGCGGAAGCGCAAACGCAAACGCTAAATGGACCCCGCGTGGCGTGCGGAAGCCCTGTACCTACACCCGCATCTTACTGCGCGACGCATGAATAAGCAGACGCAGCAGCTGATCAACAGCCAGAGAGTCACGAGTGTTTGAGTGTCGAGTGTGGCTGTGCATGCTCGCCCAGCCCTTCCGAGCCCAGACATCTCATCTTGCACTGCAAGCATTGGTGTCACGCATCAAGTAGGCGAAAGCGAGCACGTCACGCGTGTAAACCTGAAAGCCACCATACCTAGCTATATACGGGAACGAGTTGCGTATTTTGAAGTCGAAGGGGAGGATGAATGCAAGGCATGCAGAAGATCATCAAGCTCGCACATAATGACCCGCGGTTCCAAGGTGCGATTAGAAAGGGGGGGAGGGAGTTTGGGTCGCGAGCTCTAGAAGGCGTCCCCACCGAAGGATTTTATGTACTGTACGATGTTCGAGTAGGTATTTAGCAGGCAACGCAGCGGGCAGGGATGGCATCATTTTGCGGTGTGCACCATCTGATGGGAAAAGTCGAAATAGGAGGTGACTGCAAAAAAGGAAGGTTGGGAGGTCAAAGGACTAAATTTCGGGATGAGACGCAAGAATTGTCCACCTTCAGCCTGTTTATCTGGCGGGTTGTGTCGCAGGAGTCGTCTGCGTGTCGTCTTGCGGGTCCAAGTGCGCTTCGTCGTCGTCTTCGGGCCCAGGACCCTGCGCCCTCCTATCGGCAGGTACACCCGACTCATCTACATCTTGTCTTTCCTCCTCCTCCAGACCATCCTCGCGCTCGGCCTGAATGGTTCCCAGTGCCCTTCGTTCCTTCCGTCTCCTAACGGAACCGGGAATCAGACGCTCCTTGAGCGTAAGCTTGCGTTTGGGCTTGCTCCGCGGTTCCGGATCTGAAGCTGAGAAGCCGTAGCCGCGCCCTGGTCTCTGCTCGCCGGTCAGCATATCGTAATGCGTGCTCGAGGCGCGGCTCTGAGTAGGCTGAAGGGCGTGCATGGGATAAGATGCTTCCACATCGCCTTGACCGCCGTACGCGGCCGAGTGAGGAGCAGCTTCGGGCAATGCGACGCCGTACTCCTCTGCAGCACGCCTGGCGGGCATTCCCGGATCGTGAATGTAGTCGTGCTTCGGATCGTACTTGTCGATCGCTCGCAAAACTTGCATGTCGTGAGGGTAATAGACCTCGCGAACATGCCGCAAGATGATTCGAGGGATAATGCAGAGGAAGACGGTGAGGAAGCCAGCAAACCAATAGTAGGCTGAGTAGTACAGATAGTGGTTGTTGCCGTAAGAGTATGACCAGTTGAGCGTGGGAGGCAGTGCGGCGTAGATGGGTGCGAAGACAAAGAAGATGACCGGCCCAAACCACGCAGCACATACAAGCCACCAAGTCCAGGCATTGGACCAAAGTATGGTGTAGAAGTTTGCTGCAAGGACTGAGGCTTGCGCCATCGTCGTTGTGAATTCGTACAGCTGAATGTCGTAGCCGTCTGTGCGCGCAGTGGTCGTGTCGTAGGTATAGGTGACAAAGAAGAACAGAACCACAGATTGGTAGGTGGCGTCCAGCAGGAAGAGCGCAAAACGCTTGAATCCGAAGTAGCCTCCTACACGACTGCGCTTGTACAGTTCTGGCACCTCCATCAGAACGCGGTCAGATATCGGTCGGTCGAAGACACCCATAGCGATGACCAGGGCCACTGTCCAGACTGCGTTCCAGAATAGCAGGTACACGTAGTCGACGGCTTGAGTTGTTGACCAAGCACAGTAGATTTGGAACCAGAACAGGTAACCAATGTTGACAATGTTCTTGTAGAAAAAGTTGCAGATCAGAGTACCATTGCGGTAGTACGACTGATGCCCATGCACAAGCAACAAGCGTTTTAAGAACCTGAACTGCGCGATGGCGTAATCCGAGCTGTTAACAGCTTGCAGTCCCTCTTCTCCTGCAATGCCCACGCCAACGTGGGCGGCCTGCAGGGTCGAGTGCATGTCAAGTCTGTTGTCAGTGAAACATTCCGAAACGCTCTGGGCAAAGAATCAACTCACCTGAATCATCGACACATCGTTTGCGCCATCGCCAATCGCAAGTGTCATCACTTTAAGACCGTCCTTGACCAGTCTAACGATCAGCGCCTTCTGCAAAGGCGACACACGACAGCAAATGACGGCCTTGCACTGCGTGGACAGCTTCAGAAGCAGCTCCTTGCTGAATTCTTCAGAGAGGGCGTGACCTAGCGCGGCGCCATCGATGACGAGGGCGAAGCCGCCTTGACGTTGACCATTGTCCTCGCCAACGAGGGAGACCTGGCTGCGTCGGCTCTGGAAGGACGGCCGAGCATTACTGATTCGAGAGGAGCGCCTGCTGTGCTGGCTAGCACCCTCCTCCTCCTCGCCAGGCGGCCGAGTCGTCATTGACTGCAAAGCTTCCTTGCCGCCGAAGAAGCGCTCGATTGCCCGCCTCATTTGATCGTAAGCAGAGTTCGGCTGTCCATATTCTCCACCTCGCACGACGATGAGATTCATGTCTTTTGACAAGAGCATAGTGGAGTAGCCGATCGCGATGGCGGTCTCCAGCTTGTCTCCAGTAGCTACCCAGACGTTGATTCCTGCTCGCTTCAAGTCAGCGATTGTCTGGGGTACCCCGTCTTGAAGCTTGTCCTCGATAGCTGTGGCTCCTAGGAGCTCCAAATCGCGCTCAAATTCCGAGGCCAATTCTTCCATTCGCTCTTCTCGCCGCTCGAGAGCGACGGACGCGTCATGGTAGAGGTGTGCCCACTCTTCATAGTCGTGCTGACTGATTTGTTTATACCCAAGGCAAAGCGTGCGCAGGCCATTATTTGCGAACTCTTCCAGCGAAGTGTCGGTGTTGGCCTTGATGGCTTCCTGACCCTCTCGCGCGCGCTCAAAAATAACGCTGTCTGCTCCCTTCGTGAAGAGAAGGATGGCATTGTCAGAGTGGCGGCGTAGAATCACACTCATTCTCTTTCTTGCCGATGAGAATTCTAGCACAGTCAGCAGCTCGTATTGCTCCAGGTCGAGGGACCAAGGCGTCTGGATGGTAAGCGTGTTGCGATCCTTGCCTACGAAGACGAAGCCAACCTCGGCAGCCGCTTGGACCAAAGCTTGCTCGTCCGGGCTCTGTGCCTTGTACTCAAGCACGCCGGTCTCGGGGTCTTCTGACGTGAGGACAGTGTGGCAAAGAGCCAAGCAACGCCAGAATAGACCTTGAAGCTGCGCTTGCTCGCTGTGTTCATCCTGCAAAACCTCCTTCAACTTGCTGTCACGGAATGGCGGAACCCCCTCATTCCGTGGCTTGACGCGCTTGCGTTTGGGATCGAGCTGAGAAGTCGAAGAGTCACTTGAATCACTTGCTTTGAGTTCCTTCTCCTTTTCGGCGACGCTGTCCGACCGATCCGTTTCAGCAGCGCTAGGCGCATCGCCATGATAAGTGATGCCACCGACGGCGAAGCCTCGGAAGATCATCAAATTTTGAGTGAGCGTGCCGGTCTTGTCAGAAAAGACGTACTGGATCTGGCCAAGATCGTCCGACAAGTTCCAAGACTTCGCAGTCGTGCGTCGAAGAGTCGGCTCGTAGTAGATATCCGCATCATCGTAGATGAAGTACGCTTGCAACGTGCGCACAACCTCGATGGAAATGTAGAGCGAGATCGGCACAATGTTCTGGAAGGTGATGAGGGCGTTACCAAATGTAGCGAGACCATTGAGGTCAGGATTGTCGTCGCTAAAGATGGCAAGGTATTCCCAATAAGCTGCGCGATCGAAGAAGTAATTCTCGATACGAGCGTCTGCGATCGCGCAGGCAATGGCAATGATAGCCAGCAGACCCAAATTTGCAAATACCATCGGCTCCATTTGCCTCTCGACTTTGCCACGCTTGCTTGGTGTGTTGCCCGAGTTCGCGATGATCTTCGTGTCGAAGCCGGTCATGAGGACGACACCGATAACCCAAGAAGTGTTTCTCAAGACAGTGCCGCGCAGCAGGCACTGGTTGAGCGTGACTGGGCAGCGCAAAGGTTGTCCATCGCGATCGAAACGGTCGCCAAGCACCACTGAGCCATTGAGCCGGTACATGTTCGTGTCGAGAGGCTCGCCATCGACGCGCATAAGCGCGCGAGCACAGTCTTGGGCGGTGCGCAGGGTCTGAGCAAGCTCCGGAACAGCGTGGCGCGACTTGAGGTTGGTCTCCCCATCCAGGTTTTTCGTCTCAACAAAGCACGCATCCTCCTCCTCGCTGGTCGAGCAAATCACAATGTCTGCCGGAATGGCCTCGTTGTTCTTCAGCAGGACAAAGTCACCAACGGCCAGGTCCTCCCACATCTGCTTCTTCCAGCGCGGAGCCTTCTTCGCGTAGAATTCGGCCTCTTCTTTCTCCGTCAGCACCCTGCCTTGGTACCTGACCCTGCCGTCAGGTCCCGTTTCGTACTGACTGTCGAAGGCGCTGACTCCGATAGACGTCTGTCTTCGAACATGCGAGCCACCTTGAAGGCCCAATGAGCTGGCAGACGTCATCGCTCTTTGGTGCAAAGGTCGTTGAGCAGGAAGGTCAAGCGATGACTCGTTGCGACCAGTCCCCGCTCCAGTCGTCGACAGTGGCTCCGGGGCGGCACCGCCACCAGGAGCGTCGGCTGGAGGTGCGGAAGGTTCGGCACCGTTCGCAGCTGGTTGCGCTGATCGCGCGGCTTCTTGTTCAGCCAGCTTTTTACTTTGTCGAGCTTTGCCGCCTAGCCATCCATCATAGAAGACCTTCCATGCGGACGAGACGCTCTTCTCTTTGGCTTCCATCACGTTCGGGTTGGTCCATCCTCCACCTTTGAGCACTCTCACGCGGGCTCTGTTGATACTGCGATCTGATTGGTGACGCTTGATGTCTTCGTATCCATCTTTCAGCGCCGTGAATGCAAGTACAGCTAGCAAGGGAAGCATGGCGACGCCCGGACTGATTGTTGCAAATTTGGGAAAGAATTGCAAAATGACGACCAGCAGGAAGAAGAGATTGGCAATTCGACGGAACTGGATGGCGAAGAGGTAAAAGTCAGCATCATACTCGTCGTGCGGATTTACCGATAGCACCTGTCGCTGCTCACCTGCTCAAACAAGTTTTTGAAGATCTAAAGTGCGCATACAGGGTCGACGCCGTGAGCATGATGCTGCAGGACTCAGAGGCCTCGACACGACACTGATGAGGTACCACTCACGAAATTGAAAACATTGTACTTGGCAGTGATGACCTGATTAGTGGAGTAGGTCCAGTTATGCTGGCCATTCTTGCCCTTGAGTGGCTTGTTCTTCTTGTCGAACGCCTCCGAAGGCAGCGGTTCGTTGAAGTAAACAGATCGTGGGCACGGCGGGGGCCGCTTCTTGGCAAAGAGCACGCTGGGATCTGTTTCTATGCGGTACAAGAACTTGAAGAAGCTGCCAAACTTGCTCAGAGGCCCCGTCTCCTTCTTCTTGCCAGGCAGCTTGGCCGACTGCCCCTTGCCACCTCTCCTTTGCGCACTCATTCTGACCCAACCACAGCGTCTACAGGGTCAGAGTCGCTCGAAGCTCGCCTGCGCCAGCTTGGCAGCAGAAAGTAGGTGCTGCTGCTGTTCGATTGTAGGCCAGACCACTGGCAAGGTAACTGAGACGCGCGCTGGGTTTGGCGTGATGGGTGGAGATTCTGATCTGCGCAAACGGCGATCGCCGGCGGTGTGACTGCGCCAGGTACGGCGTGGCACCTCCTTTTTCGGCGCGCCGTGTTGCCGGAAGGAAGAGGGCAATGGAGTGGATATAGAAGCAGATGGGAAGGTGGTTGCAAGTTGGATCGGATTACCAATGACGAGTGGATGATGGAGCAGCATGCACTCGGGCTTGGGATAAGCACGAAATGCAGGTCTGACGATGCGTCCTGCGATTGATGTGCGCTCTTTGGACTGCTGCAAGTCACAAATATACCTGCGCTGCACAGACTGCTTACTACCTGCTCGCGGCTTCGCGCGCCCGCCTGAGAAGTAATCTCCGCCATGCAGTGGCTGACGGCCGATCGAGTCTGGCGGGTGAGCATCCACGCACGGCCGGGCTGTCGGTTGCAAGCCGGTATAGCGCGATGAGCGCCATATACGATGCATGCGCTCATACACCTTCACGCCTGATGGGTGCGCTGCTGCTGCAGCTGCTGCATGCTGCTGCCGTACGCGTGCAACAGGATGAGCGCGCGGCTTTGGTGTACCGTGCCGTGTGCGCCCGGCCGGATTTGCACCTCCATGCGGATATACAGTCGTGAGTCGATCGCGGCACACTGCCCCCCGTCGCCCATGCACAGCACGCAGGCGTATTGCGATGCGCTCTGGTTCGTGCAGGAAAGCAATTGCATGGCGCGGCGCTGCAGGGCCGAAAAGGAAAATGATATCATGACAAGACATGATAGACACGGACGCGACGCATGCATGGCCCGCCAGTCGTGAGTGTACAATCGTGAATAATCGTGAAGGACGGCTGATGCCTGCATGCTGCATGGTACATGGCTGTGCGACATTTTCTATTGCTGCTTGCTCGCTTGCTTAATATGCGCGGTGACCGGCCCCATCTGCAATCTTGAAATCATCTTTTATACAGCTCTTCGTCAATATATGGTCTCTGCCGACGTGAAGAGTCTTGAGTTGTTGACGCTGCTGAGGCCTGAGGGACATTGTCGTCAAGACGCGGTTCGACCCAAGCGATCGCCAGTTCTGATTGGCCTTCCCCGGAGAAGCGCTGCCGTGCCTTTTAGCGTGTAAGCGCGCAGTGCGCCGCGGGGCCCTGCGATGGTACAACGATCGAAGATTACACGTGTATGACTTCAAATCCCCGTCAGGCACATAAACAGGTCCGATCGTGACATTCATCAAGATTAATCCGCGATTCAAGTTGCAGATACGACGGCCGCCGCAACAGCATATATATAGTAGGGGGACTCATGAAATCGCGATCCTCCAGAAATGTTTACGATTCCTCACATTTTTTATTACAAAATATGCGTCGGAGAATGCCCCCGCATAGGAATTATGTATCACGAATTCGGAGGTGAGTCAGCCTTCGATGATCACAAACACGCAAGAATTGCACCTCGGGCGCGAGTTTCAATTCCTTGCCGATCGCTACTGTACTCCCATTTTCGCAGCTATCACTGGAGCCTGTCGTACTTAGCCATGGTCTGCTATACTACCGAGAGCAATTTGGGAATTCATGGAAGCCCACGAGGGGACTGCTGGGAAGCGTCACGTTCAACGTAGCCAACATCCAAGGCTCAGGCACATCTGGTGGCAGCATCAGCAACTTCCACCCATGCACGCTCAACGCGTCAGGGCCCGTTATACCTGTCACGTGCGTGCGCGCGCGGCGCGTCTACCTACATGATGGCGATGTGCGTGTCTCGCCCACATCTTGACTCGTCAGTACTACCATCATCTTACCTCGGGAACTCGTCGCGAAATCCCCTGAGACGGCTGCGCCCAAACAGCCGTCCTCTTTCGCGAAAGCCGGCATGCTGGTTTCCGGCAATTCGAGCACAGGTAGCCATGCAATCACGCTTGTCAGTCCGGTTGCCAGACACATCACCGATGCCGAAAGCAACAATGTCTGCGAGAGAAATTCCGGTTGGCGGCCCGCTCCGCAAGACAGAGTAGCCGTATACGAGACGGCAGGCGGCCTGTAGCGGTGAGACGAATTAGCGGTATACAAGAGGAGCATTTTGTGTTATAGCTGACCACGGGTGGCAATAGAGCGTCACGCCACGCGCGTTTATGGGCATCTTGCTGGCGAAGGAGGTCGTCGCGCTTCAGGGCACATATGAGAGAGTGATGCTGGTGCATGCCCTTCATTCGTCTCGACGTCGGTGGATGCACCATACTCACCGCACACCTTCATTCGCTTCCTCTTGCTTGGATGCTGCTCCACGTAAGCAGACACCTAGTCAGAGGCGAAGGTCCGCAGTAGGGCAGTCAAGAGTACGGTCAATAGTCTGCTCGAATCCATCATCCCTCCACGTACAAGCAGAGTCCGAGTGTGTGTGGCAGAAATCCTGCTCGTACCAAGCGTGGACAAATATTCGTTCATAGGTCGTCATCTCCGTGCCATCAAGGTCGGCCAACCGCGTCCACCCAGCTCGCTCACCAGCCGTCGTATACACGGAGTGTGATCGTTGTAGCTATCGCTTCAAATGTCGGGGTCGGAAAGTGGGATGGTTCGACGGCATACATCGGTCGCAGGCGACTAGCTCAGGACTGCGTCTCGCCCAACTACAGTGGGCTAGTGAGGCCAGAAGAAGGATCGGGCCGCAATCTCCGATCCAAAAAAGATCCATGAAGAACATGGCCAGGCGTCGAGTGTCTCATATTGCCCGCAAAGACGGACCGCCGCAGGTGGTACTTAGAACGGAGTACACATGGAAAGGCAGTCGCGTTTACGCTCGCGAGGGGGTAGGGGGCGTGCAGAACAATGCGGCGGTCATCGGAACGGCCAGTAAAGGTCAGGCTGTGAGTAGCGTGGACACAAGTACGAACAAAGATATAGAGGTAATCAGAAGAGAGACGCGGCGGTCCGGACGTGATGGTCGCAGTGGGGCATGCGTGTTCTTAAGGGCACCGAAGTTCAGAGGGGTTTGAGAAGAGGAGAGAAGGGAGAGGCCTCGGAGACTTGCATGGATCGATGTGAAATCGATGCGTGCCGTCAGCAGCGCTCGTTGTATGGGAGGTGGCTCAGGTCTGTCTTTCGACTTTGGCGAGAGAGGGCAGGGTGATGGACCGCGATGTGGCTGTCAGTTGGTGACGCTACAAATTCCCAATCAGCTTTCAAACAGGATGCAGATGCTTTGGCTGATTGAAGCCCGTGCGTTCGTGTGCGAGACAGCAAGGAGAGAGCCATTGAGCCGAGCGTTAAGCCTGTCTCATGAAGTAAACGAAAGTGAAGAGCGGAGGCGGTGATCATCATGCATCAAGAGCTCCGCAACAGAAGGGACTACGGAACGCACTACATGTTGTCGTCGATGTCTAGCTATGATAACCGGGACCAGAATGGTCAAACCTGCCGCAAGGGCAAGGCCCGAAGGCCCACGCACAAGGCGCATTGCTAATTCTTCTGAGTCGAGGTCTAGCTATGATGAACGGGACCTAAACGGTCGAAAACTGCCGCGAGGGCCAAACTGCCGCGAGGGCCAAACTGCCGCGAGGGCGCCCGAAGGCCCACGCACAAGGCGTGTTGCTGGTGCCTCTGAGGCGAGGTCTAGCTATGATAAACGGGACCTATACGGTCGGAAACTGCCGCGAGGGCAAGGCCCGAAGGCCCACGCACAAGGCGTGTTGCTGGTGCTTCTGAAATTGATGGCGCAGAGGTTGAGGCCCTGGATCCAGCCCGAGATCCATAAACAAGAGGGTCGGTCCCACGTGTGATCGCTGGTCGGTCGCGATCTTGAAAGCCAGCAGGGGTCGTGCGAGAAAGTGCTGGGATTGTTGGTGGTGGCATTGACATTGCTACCTCCCGAACAGGAGGAGGCGGCGGTGGAGAGTTGGTCTTGATTCTTACTGGCGCTGCGGTTGCAGAGGCCCGCATCCTGCTAGCTCTTGGACCGAGTATTATACTGTGTCCTCTCATTGGGGGGACGGGGTCGATGCTGGATTCTTTCCTGGGGACCGCCTTTGCAGCGCGAGCCTTGCTACGCCGCTTAGCTTCTGCGGCCTTGCACTCTGCGGTCTCCTTATGTTGCTCTTCTGCCCTCCACGTGCACTTGTAACACCAGCGTCCGCGCCCAGGGTACCAGACATAACACCGAGGAGACCCAGGGACGTACAGCCATCCATGGACCTTGCGATCTTCACCGATCAACTCGACCACTGCCAGCAGCTCCTCGCGGTATCGTGGCGGTCCGTTGATCGCGCCCCGTAGGTTGGTAAAGATCGACCAGAGGCAGCGCAGCTCGTATCCTCGAGCATTAAGCTGGGTGATGACGGTTCGGATGAAGTCATCTATGTAATCGATGCTTCTTGCTAGGACAGGATCTAAGTAAAGTGCCAACAAGCCTTCTCCTAAGCTGCGGCTGGTCTTGTCGTGCTCGAGATGGAATCCTTCGTACTTGATTTTGAAAAGAGAGGGGTCAACGTCTGCTTCTGGAGCAAATTTGATGTCGACACCAAGGATGGCGGTGCGAACCTTGAACAGCCGGACAGCCGAGGCACGAATTTTGTCGATGTCAAGGCAGATTTCGACTACCGACTTGAGGCGTCCCTCGGCTTTATTAGCGGGTGACATGGCTTGGCCCATGGTGAAGACATACCGGCTGTAGCCAGGTAAGAGTTTTTCGGTGGACAGGGCTGCAAGCGCATCCCGCCAGGCAGGCGGATTGTCATCTCGCGTCCAGGCGTTGTATAACCACTCAGCAGATAGTAACACTCGCGAGGCGTCAATAGCATCCTTGATTTCCTGCTGCCTCGCAGTGAACTCTTCCCCGCTTCCTCGATCAGGAGGACGAAAGGGGCTTGCCATCAACCCCCTTGGGGTCGGGTTCGTGGGAGCCCCTGCAGAGACACCTTCGGCTGCATTTGCACGATAGAGCAAATTTCGGCCAAGCGGGTCGTCCTTTCCGAGTCCGTCCTCTCCTTCTTGGCCGTCATCTACTCCTCCTTCCATAGCGGCCCTGTGGCCGCCACTATGGATGGGTGCGATGATGTTTGTCGTTTCCTCTGCAAGCATACCCTCGTCCACATCCTTGTTGAGCATGGTGCTTGAGAGCCCTTCCTGTTGGTCCAGGTACTCGTGCTGAGCTTCGTCATCATAGCCGGACCTGTAGCTTGGACCTTCCGTGTCCATCGACTGTAGGGAAGAGCTGGTAAGTGACAAGGTGAACTTGGTTGGGTGTGGTAGAACTACTCACGAGACCTTGGCAGAGCGTAGGATCGTCGAGGTGAAGCCGACTGAGCGCAGGAGAGCCCTGAGTAGAAAAAGGGAGCTGTTGTTTTGGCTAAAGTTGCTGTGGTTCGTTTAGCAGAGAAAAGGGAGTTCGTTGGTGAGGAGGAAAACTAGGTGGGCGCAAGTAAGTCGCCCCTTTTTAAAGCTTCTCGCAGGGTGACGTTAGCAACCTTCATTTGACCGGTCATTCGAAAGACAAAGGGGGTAGGGTGAGGCAAACGTTTGGTAGTGCACTTGCTAGAGAGAGTCACTAGACGGTGTAGAGGTGTCATCGGAGGCAGTCATCATGTGTTGGAGCCGTGCAGCCGGCTCCGGCAATATGTTGCATAGCACGTCAGAGCAGATGTTCTTTTTTGCCACTCGCTGGCTATCGGAATCGGACACGCTCGCTCGCCGCCACGATGTGGAAGGGTCCCTGTGTTTCGAGAAGCGCTGCGTACAGTCCCAATCCATGTGTCAGAGAACAACGCAGCCCCGAGCTGTACCAGACACAGAACATCGACGCCTTCCACCTGGATCCGTTGTGCCTGCCGCCGCCGCCGTCACATTGACCCAATGAGCAGATTGAATGGGTTGCCACTCGTTACCCACGCTTCGAGCAGACGACTGGAGCGGCGGACTTGCTTCCTATGGCACTGCAATGGTTTGGGAATCAGAGATGAAGCAGGCAGCGTCGTGACTCCTGGTCCGTGAGTGATCAGCCGAAATGTCACTCCCATGGCCGGAGATAAGGTAGTCCGGGCAGACACTTTAATGGCCGGCTGTCGCTCGTAGGAAAGGGTGAGATATATTGTCCTGCTTGCCGGTACCATGACAACATTTGCGCTGGTCGTCCAAAGAGCATCTGGGACTCGAGGGCCTATGAGGGCGTTCCCAGATGGTCAGAAAGAAAGGAGGGCACGTGGAGTAGTCTACAGGAGATTTGCGACTTAGTGCGCCAAATATCGATCTCAAGTTCCAGTGGCGTTTCGGTGATCGTCCCAAGATATATTGATGCTTTCATTCGTTTGCCATCAACCACAAAGTCGCTGGGGAGTGGGGGTGCTTTGGTGAGGCTACGCCAAAAGATTGAGGGCCTCAATGACAAAGGACGGGCCAGGAACCGGCTGGGAAAGGGCGTTCTTGTCAAAACGGGCCGAACAATTCCGGAGCTGCGCCTCTTCCAATCCGCCGCACTTTAGTGAGGGGATTCATTGGTTGCGATGTTGGCTCACAAGAGACCGAGCCATTGCCGACATGGTGTAGATCAACCTGTGTGCTTCAGGTGTAGGTACTGCACCAGCCGAGCGAGGAACGTAACGAAAAGGCCGTCGCAGAGGTATGTTTGGCCCGGAACATCGTTATTCCCTCCGATCCGCCGCGCTTCCCGCCAAAAGATCTAGGTATAGATTGAGACCGGACCCGCCGCGCTTCCAACCAGGGGATTTAGGTTTAGGTTTAGGCTGGCGGGCATCGCCATGGCAATATAATGTCGACTAGCCTGTGTGCTTCAGGTATTGGCGAGGTGTGCTACCGCAACATGGCGGATCTTCCCGAGAGATCCCGCTGTTACGCAGAGTCCTACTGATGATGATGATGATGATGATGATGATGATGATGATGATGACGATGACGATGACGATGTATTTGTTTAGCGTCGCTACGTACGTGTGCTCACTGACGGCACTCATTCCTGCATGATCGAGTCGTGGGTCAAACAAAGGGGTGCGAGCGGGGAAACCACAATATTGAACCAACGACAATGTACATGTACATGCCCAAAGGACCTCCGACGCGCGTGGCGAGGTGCAGCTGCGCATAAGGACCAATGTACTCCTGGTCCCCCTTCTTTTTAAGAAGATCGTTATCTCATGTACGTTCATGTACCGTACCTACAACAAACGACTGCTCGGAACAGGCCTGTCTAGTGACATGTGTGGACACGTGCGTAGCACTGTTTGTGCGAGGCTACTGTGGAGAAGGGTAACTGCAGGGCCCTCTGCACGAGAGGGTTACAGAGACCGGTCCACGGAGCACCGCGGAGATGCTATGCTACATGCCATGGGCGCTGAGTCGTGAGTTGTGACTCATGAGTTGTGGTCGAGCGCAAATGTAGAAGGCCAATATATGAGTGTGTTTGAGCAGGTGCAAGGGGGTGGGGGAGGAGGTACCAGGCGTGGCAAAAGGTTGAGGCGGCAGCAGCACTTTCTTCTTTTTGATGGATCAACCGTAGGTGGTTGATGGCTTCACCGGAGAAGCAGGGGGACCATGATTGGTGGACTCAAATCGGCACGGTGGCCGGGGCCTGAATTACAGGCAGAGCGTCGAGACTTTGAAGTTGGTGACGGCAATGATGATGAAGTTGGCGTCCGAGACGCAGACCATGAGTCAAGAATTTGAGTTTGTTGACATCGAGGAGGAGGTTGGCGCTTGAGATGTAGGCCAAGAGTCAGGAGGTCGAGTTGGACGCTGATGGTGACGAGTGCCGAGACAGGCTCGAGGCACTCGCCCAAACAGGAGGTTCCCGAAGAACAATTTTGTTCTTTTGCAAGGTAGCAAAGGTGCCGTTGTTGATCCACTTTTGTGAGAAAGCCGAAGAGCTTTGGTCGGACCGTTGATGCAGGTGGTGCAGAAGCTGCAGAAGGATGCGCGCAACCCCAGTGGTTGCATCAGCAAATGTGAACATTGCATGCGTGCCAGCTTGTCGGGCAGCAGCAATTTGCACGTGCCTCCTATTGCGGAGGTAGGTGATGACGGCGTTGCGCCACAAGACAACTCGAGGATGTTGTTGCTTGGTAAAGAGTGGAGGATTTCTCCAAGAGGTGAGGACGTGGTGGCACTGCACAGGGAGAGGCAGTGCTACCGATGTCGAGAGCAGCGACTGGAGTACAGGCCAGGCAGCAGACCACACCTTCTGAACTGCGGGACACTGTACGTAGCCGTGCTGTACACTGTCGTGCACGTCAGCGCAACCTGCAGGACAAAGGTCAACTGCATGCGCGCTTTGAAGAGCTGCATCCTGGGATGCGAGGTTGGCAGTGCGCAACGTGAGGTGGAATCGTTGCGGCGTCTGACCAGAGTTTGATATGAGATTGCGAATCTCCTGACTCGTGAGTGCTGCTTTGCCGTGGCTTTCGTTGTGCCTGGTACCTGCGGGGGAAGGAGAGAGGGGGGAGGGGTTAGTTGTACTGGGGCGGTCAGGAGCGGGCATGTGTTCTGCATCCGGGTCCACAGGATGTTGATCGTCACCTGGTGCAGGTGATGATGACGCTGGCGGGCTGTTGATATGCGTAGCGCCTTCAGAGTCTGCTGTACTGCCTGCAGCAGAAGACTCCGAACTCCACGAGGTAGTGGAGCTGCGTTGGCGCCGTGCTTTGGTAGGTATGCACGAGGCCAGTGCAGCCTCGTACGCTGCAGCATTGATTTTGGACGAGTAGAGTTTGGTGTGGTCCGGCGCAGGCTGCCTCCGATGTGAGGCATGGGCAGGACTCCGACTTGAGGATGGGGAGCGGGCACGCCGCTTGCCCTCCCTCTTCTTGCGTTTGCGCTCTTTCTTGCGCCTGCGTTGCTGTTCACGTCTAGTCTTTGTGCTCTTCCCTTGATGTGGGGAGCGCTGCTGTGTGCTTCCCCTCTTCTTCGTCCTCTTCCCTCCTCCAGTAGGCCGAGTACTGGCCGCATCGCTTGGTGCAGAGCCCTCCGACCAGGCCTCTTCTTCTGCAGGTTCACCAAGCCCTTCTGGACCGAGAGCAGCATCCAGATTGGCATAGTTGATCTTGGGTGTGGTTGTGCTCCTTGTTCCTGAGAGCGTACGACGGGAGACAGGGCTGCGGTTGGTGGGAACTGCTGGGGTTGCCCTTGCCCGACTTGTAGGGCGCAGCACCCCCATCTCGATCGTGTAGCGCTCACTGGGATGCCTAGATGGCCAAGGGTATTGCTGGCGAAGTTCAGCCCAGGTGAGGTCCCGTGGTCGCTGGTCTACTCCACAAGTCTGGCCATGTGGCGGTGGTGTTGCAGCAGACATGTCCGTGCTAGGTGTATGCCGAAACAGGTCTGTGCCTTCCCAACCCTTCTGGCTTGCACAGGGTGTGCCCACACTCAGCGTGGCGAGAGCATGCTCGGTATCAGCTGTGCCACTGCCAGGTGCGCGGTGGACCGGGTCAACTACCTCCCAACCTTCCGTGCTAGGCGTCCGCCGAAACAAGTCCCTTCCTCCCCAATCCTGTTGGCTCGCACGGGATGTGCCCACACTCAGCGCGGCGAGAGCACGCTCGATATCATCTGTGCCACCGCCAGGTGTGCGGTGGATCGGGTCAACTCCCTCCCAATCCCTCTGCCTCAATGCATCGGGCGTGCTTGCGGTGAGAGAGAACCCAGGAATGTCCGCTGGATTTGGTGGGTCGGAAGCGGGTGAAGGAGCCGCCTGGCCACCCAGCCCAGCCTCATCAGTCGTCCGGAAAACGGCGCCATCATTCAACAAGGGATGCGGGCACAGTTGCTCACGAGCTGCGGGGGATAGGTCAAAGTGAGTCCATGCTGAGGCACCCTGGCCCTCGACCCCCGTTTGGGAGGCTCCTGCTGCAGAGTGAGACGAAAGACTGAAGTGGACGTATTCGGACACATCAACATCAGCAATATCTGGGCTCATGCTCATGACCTTGCCCACGAGGGTACTGGGGTTGTGGTAGATCGTTGGAGCAGGTGGTGGGCTGCTTGGAGGAGGAGGAGGAGAGGGCTCGCGGGCTCCAGACTCGGCATAGATGGAGAGATCGTCCAAATTCTCTGGACCCGGCGGGTTCTGGAGGTCGTGTAGGTACTGCGCACGAAGCCTGGCTATCGCAGCCTTTCTCTCCTTGGCTTCCTTTGTCAAAGTTGCATCCAGCCCAGCCGTGAAGAAACGGTTATAGTGATCGGGCATGGTGTCATCTGGGTGGGCCTCAATGAGGTCTAAAAAGTCACCTGCGCACTCCTCATCGTCAGGCAGGAGCTCACGCACTCTCTCAGACATGGACATGTGCTCTTCGGGCCGATGAGCAGGTCCTGTAGAAGAGACCCAGGCTCGGCGCAAAAGGAAGAGATGTACTGCTTCGTACGGACCAGGGGGCATGCTGCACCCACGAAAGTCCCTCCAGATCGTCTTCCAATTCACACCGTCAGGCAGGTCAGGCCAGTCTGGTTCGACATGGTCCTTGGCTGCCGCCAGAGCCAGGATCGTCTGGCGAGTGTTACTCACAGTGACCTCATGCCACTTGCGGCCACCAAGGAGAAGGTGGTGCCACGGAAGCCTGAATTCCGTTGGTTCCCATTTGAATGGCCGGACATGCGGGATGGTGTGCTTCGAGGTGGATTGGTCGGCAGAGACTTGGTACAAATCCTCCTTGGCTAGGCGCTGGATCTGGTCCTTGACCGGCCACGGCAATCTCTTCCAGAGGGAGCTCCATAAGCGCGTCACAGGGTTATACCCCTTGTACAGATCCTCAACCGTGTTCGTGCTCAGCTCAGCAAGGCCAAACGGGTATGGCCTGTTCCGCCAGGCTGGCCAGTGGTGCCGAAGGGCCCGAGGGAAGGGGGGGCTGATGTTACCAGAGGCGAGGCGGGAGCCCTCAGCATACGACGTGCCTCTAGCATCTGTCCACCACAAAATGTCAGCAAAGGTGAGGTTCTTGGCACGAAGGAGCGCCAATATTCCCAGGTCAGAGACGCCAAAGAATTCTAGCACTGAAGTGTGCGCCGACTCGATGGAGTTGCGACCAATGTTGCGTGGACGTGGGTCTCTGCTTGCAGGATCCGGTGTTGCCTGCCGTGTTGCTGGCTGCAGCGGCAAGTCAGGGGAAGGAGAGAGGCGACGTCGTATCTGCTGCTCTTTGATTGGCCTTGTCTTGTGGACATTGAGTGCGGGCGTGAACCAAGGCAGCGCAAGCAGTTCATGAATGTCCACATCCCGCCAGTCAATATCTGGTCGAACTTGCAACCCAAGCACGCACAGTACACGGAGTATCCTTCCCCACATACTCAGCTGTGCGGTGTTTGGAATGCTCATCCTCCGCCACTCGCTTCCCCGCCTGATCAGTAGGGAGGCAGGCGTCGAGGCCATGTATCCAGGATGCGTGATGAAGTGGTGCAGCCCTTCCCGAAGGAACTTGCCCAGCACCGTGTCCTTGAGCACATGCTTGGCGAGTAGCGCAGCCGAGAACGAAAGTGCCATGATGTACGGGTCCAGCAGTCCAAATCCACCGCGGTCCGTCGGCGTGATCATGATCTCCCACTTGACCCAAGGGCGCTTCCCGTGCCAGAGGAAGGAAGTGATGGTGTTCCGGACAGTGCGGGAGTATCGTGGTGGCAGGCCACAAAGGCTGAAAGCATGCCAGAGTTTGCCGAGCGCAAGCGAGTTGAGGATGCGCACTCTTGTGTGTAAGGTGGTGTGGACTTGGCGGATGCAGGAGAGGTGTCGAGAGATGGCGAGGATTCTAGCCTCAAAACTGGATGGTACGACAGCCTCCTGAATGGAAATCGGATGGCCCAGGTGGGTGATGTGCGTGCCCTCACGCTGATAGCCTGACTGTACGAGGTAGTCAGGGATCGCAAAACTAGAAGTCGCATTTGCATGCACGCAAAAGTACGAGCTCTTGTTTGGGTTGAGTCTGGCATTCGAGGCAATCTCGTACTGCTTGAGTGCACGCTGGTAGAGGTCCCAATTCTCCCTCGTCGAGACGTCAATGAGCACCGCCTCGTCGTCGGCAAATGCAATGACCGCCGTCTTGCCTGTGGTGTGTTCCAAGAGTACACCGATGCCGTACAGCTCAAATAGATCCAGCAGAGGCTGCATGCTAAGCTCAAACGTGATACAGCTGTCGGGCGCACCCTGCAGCACGCCTGCCAGCAGGTGCACAGCGGCAGTCAGATGGCCCTCGACCAGATAGCTCACTGTAGCAGTGTATAAGAGCGCCCCCACAAGGTTGCAGTAGGCTTCGTCGAAACCATAGCATCGCAGTACTGCCATCAACCACTCTCTCAGCACCCTATCGTACGCCTTCATAAAATCGAGCAGCAAGATCACAAAGAAGCGTGTAGGCTGCGCATTGGTGTTCTCGGGATTACGCGGAAAACGGGATGTGCTCCCCCAGAGTCGTCGAGGCTCTGCTTGCCGCATGTGCTGGAAGTCAGCCACACCCTGCAGTAGAATGCCAATGTCCATCGTGGAGCGGCCATGCACAAAGCCTGCCTGGTTCCACGGCAGCAGTTTCTGGCTAACTGTTTGGAGACGGATGGACAGCGCTCGACTGATGAGTCGGATATCCATGTTGGCAATCGACAGCGGACGGTAGTTGGAGATCTCCCTCTTATCGCCCTTCTTGGGCAGAAGCACACCGCGTAATCGTGGCTCACCAGGGGGCAATGCCGCACCCAACAGGAGAGCATTGGCTAGTCTCGCAATCCGTGGCATGGTCGCAGCAGAGGTGGCATTGTATACGGGCCATGTCAGTCCATCAAGTCCAGGTGCCGAGTCCTTGGACATTTGGAGCAGCGCCGCGTGCATCTCATCCGCAGTAAAGGGTTTGGAGAGCGTGGTTGACTCTGCTGGCGTGAGTTTACGTGAGTCCGGAATCGCATCAAGCAGTTCCTTCGTCATAGCGGCTCGTTCAGGATGTGGTGGCGGAGCAGCGTACGCCTGTTGGAAGTGCTTGCACACAGTGGCAGTCTTTTCCTTTGCGCTAGTGGCATAGCTCCCATCAGGCCGAAGCAGTTCAGGTACCGGAGCGTGCGAGGCAGACCTGTTGGCTGAGGCAAGCCAGGATGTGGGTCGTATAGATTCTGCTTCCAGTCTGCTTCGTGACGCAAGTGTCAGTTGTGCTGCCTCGGCTTTGAGGGCTTCATCAAGTTTGTGCACCATGCTAGGCATAAGCTCCCGGTGCACACGATTGTGAGCCAGGTCAAGCTGCTCAAGCTGTTTTGTCAACGCCGTGACCTGCTTAGAAAGCGCTGCCTGTCTTTTGCCAATGTCGAGAGAGAGGTGATGTGTTACGTGTCGCAATCGTTCCTTTACCGCAAACCAGGAGCTCACTGCCACGTTCGCATTTGCACTAGTCAGAGGGGACGCATTGCCAACCCCGACGTCCTGTGTCCATTGCGATAGCGCAATCTTCATCAGCGGGTCCTCCCACACTCCTGCGTGTAAGTGCCAGACTCCACGCCCTCGGCTTGGGTCAATGGTTGGCGAGCTGTGGCATGTAATCGATGCAACACGGTGATCTGAGCTCGACCACTCGAAGGTCGCTTTGGTCACGAGATCAGCCGTGAGGAGCCGGATTGGAGCCCACACACTATCGAGGCGCCTAGCTGATCGCAGGTGAGCATTTGTCCCGCCATTTAGCCCGCCTGTCGCCATAGTGTACCTGGTGTACTCGCGAGCCATGGGGCGCAGATGCCTGAAAGCGTCTGTGAGATTAGCAGCATCAAGCATGGCAGCGATGGGTTCCCAGCTTCGTGCGTTATATGTCGCGTTGTAAGCATCAAAGTCGCTTGCCCACGCATTCCAATCACCTCCCACAAAGCATGGTCTGGAGCTGGATGTATGTTCGAGGAAGGGTGGGCCTGCGATATCGCGCCAGAATGCTTCTCGATCAGTGTGCGGACCATGGAAGGACCACAAGTCAAGATAGTAAGAAGGGTCACAGTCGTCATCAATTCTGGGAGTAAGTTGATCAGCAGGAGACACAGATTGATCGAAAGGCGCCACATTGAAGAAGGGCGCCTTACTTTTGAGTCGGATACCTAGGAAACGTTCGTCGTGCCAAAGCACACAAAAGGGGAGCTTGTCAAAGGGTGCGAACAAGAGGATGCCAGCATCGCGTGTGAGCACACCACTGGGAACATTGGGTAGAGTCGAGGCACCAGGGAACTTTAGCGGCTGACGCTCAGAAGACTGTAGATAACTGGAGGGACATAAGTCGGGGGCGTGCGTTTCTTGGAGGAAAACAACTGTAGGAGGATCACGCATGATCTTGTGAATCTCACCAGGTGTTCTTGCCGAGATGGAGCGAGCGTTCCATGTGGCAAAACGGTAGGTGCTGGCAAGGCACACACCCACCACCTTATTGTCGGGGCTCATTTCTGAGGCCCCTTCGGTGGGGTGGCCTTGACTACGTGCGGGGAAACTTGGATCTCTGGAGATGCGGTACGCGACACACTCTGTCGCTTGCCACTGGGGCCTGCAACAGAGTGGTCATGTCCGAGAGTGGAGACAGGACGCTTATGTTTAACTGGAAAGCCTGCCGCGAGGGCAATATTCGAGGGCCCTTGTGCAGGGCGCATTGCTGATTCGTCCTCCGTGATTGACGGCGCAGAGCTGAGGACGCTGGATGCCCTGGAGTCTCCTCGAGACCTAAAAGGAAGAGGTTCAGTCCGACGTGTGATTGCTGGTTGGTCGCGATCTTGATAACCAGCAGGAGCCCTGCGAAAGAAGGCTGGGACTGTTGGTGGTGGCATTGACAATGCTACTTCCCGAACCGGAGGAGGTGGCGGTGGCGAGTCCGTTCGAGGTCTTACTGGCGCTGGAGTTGCCGAGGCCCGCATTCTGCTAGCTCTTGGACCGAGTATTATACTGTGTCCTCTCATCGGGGGGACGGGGTCGATGCTGGATTCTTGCTTGGGGACTGCTTTTACGGCGCGAGCGATCCTGCGCCGCTCAGCTTCTGCCTCCTTGCATGCTTCAGTCTGCCGATGTTGGTCTTTTCTTCTCCACATGCAGCTGGTGCACCAGTATCCACGCCCATGGTAGGAGACGAAGCAGCGAGGAGAACCAGGGAGGTTCATGAATCCGTGTATCTTGCTCTCTTCTCCAACCAACTCGACCACTGCGAGCAGTCTGTCGTTGTATCTGGGGGGTCCCTCGATCTCGCCCCGTACATTCAGATAGATTGCCCAGAGGCAGCGCAGAGCATATCCTTGAGCAGACAGCTGATCTTTGATCGCCTTGATGAGACCATCCCTATCTCGGAGGGACGCGTCTAGCACGCTATCGAGCCCGATTACCATCATGCCTTCTCCTAGTGAGAGGCACGTTTTGTCCCACTCCAGGTGAAGGTTCTTTTCGTGGTTGTCGATTCTAAACAGGGAGGGGTCGATGTCGGTTCCTGCCGCAAACTTGATATCAGCCCCCAGGATCATGGGGCCACCCCTCCATAGCCGGACAGTGGAGGCAGAGAGTCCGCTGAATCTAACATAGGTTTCAATCGACGTTTGGATGTCACCACGAACATCCGGATCGACTCCAAGTCTCGCCTTGCCCATGGGGAAGACATATCTGCTGAAACCAGGCTCCAGATTCGCTGTTAAGAGGCTTGTAAGGGCATCGCGCCAGGCTGGTGGGGTGTTGTCGCGTGTCCAGGCGTTGTAGAGCCATTCAGCAGATAGGTAACGTTTGGCGGCGTCCAGAGCAGCCTGGATCCTCGCTTCCTCTGCTGCAGCAGCTTCATCCACAGTTTCCCGATCAGGAGGAGGAGAGGGGCTCACCATCAAACCTCTTGGGATTGGGTCCGTGAATGCCATTGGTGCCCCATCGACCCCGCCTTGACCAAGCATGTCGTCCTCAACGGGTTCGTGGCCAAGCATGCCGTCTTCTCCGAGTTTGTGGGCAAGCGGGTTGTTCTCTCCGGGCTCGTCCTCCCCGAGTTCGTCCACTTCGAGTTGGCCGTTATCTACCCCTTGGCGACCACTGTGGATGGATTCGATGATGCTTGTTGTTTCTTCTGCAAGCATGTCCTCATCTACATCTTTGCCGAAGATGTTGCCTAAGAGCTGTTGCTGTTCATCAAGATACTCGTCCTGACCCTGGTCATCATAGGCGACCTGGCGGTTGGAGTCTTCATCCTCCATTGCCTGTACGGAAGAGCATGTAAGCGAGGTGGTCACCTGGTTGGTTGTGATGGTGCAGCTACTCACGAGCCTTTGGCAGGGCTTAGGGTTGCCGAGGTGAGACTAGCGGGGCAGGGGGGCGTTGAGTAGAAGACGGGAGCTCTTGTTTTGGACGGAGTTGCTGTGAGGCCTGTAGCAGAGCAAAGGGAGTTCGCTGGGGAGGAGCAAGATCAGGTGGTCGCAACAGATTTGTCCCTTCTTAAAGCTTTTTGCAGGATGTCGTCAGTGACCTCCATCTGACCCGTTGTGGGGCCATGGCGAGGCAAGTGTTAGGCGGCACACCTGCTAATGTCACTTGTGTAAACGTGTCACTGGAGGCAATTGCCGTGTGTTGGGGCCATGTAGCCAGCCCCGGCAATATGTTGCACAGCACGTCAGAGCAGGTGTTCTTTTTTGCCACCTGCCGGCTACCACAATCGGACACGTTCGCCTGATTCTAGAAGCACTGTGTGCGATCTCGATCCGTGTGTGCCAGAGACCGATATAGCCCCGAGATGTGCCAGGCACATGAATCAACGCCTTCCGCCTCGGTCCGTTCAGCCTGCCGCCAGGAGATTCACTGGACATGGTGTCGGTTTTGCACAGCACGTCGGAGCAGATCTCCTTTTTGCCACCCGCTCGCTACCACGATCGGACACGCTTGCTCGCCGTCACGATGTGGAAGCGAACCCTTGGTTCTAGAAGCACTGTGTGCGTTCTCGATCCGTGTGTCAGAGACCGATACAGCCCCGAGATGTGCCAGGCACATGAGTCAACGCCTTCCGCCTCGGTCCGTCCAGCCTGCCGCCAGGAGATTCACTGGACATGGTGTCGGCGGCATGAGCAATGCCTTCCACCTGGAAGCGTTGCGGCTACAAATCGCGGCCTCGAGGCATGCCAAGCACAGTTGCCTTCCATCAGGATACGTTGTGCCTGCCAACAGGGGATTGGTCGGACGTTGCGTCGGCGTCATGATTGATTCATTGAGCAAGTTGACTGGGTTGCACTCGCCACCCGTTGCTTTGAGCAGCCAAATGGAACGGCGGACTTGCTGCCTCGATATGTGCCAGGCACCGAATTGCCTTCCCCCCGGCCCCGTTGTCACTGCCCCCAGGAAATTTATGGAAGGTGGCGTCGCCACCATGAATGACTCGGTGAACAAGTTGAATGGGTTGTCACTCGGCCCTCCGCTAGCAACCCAGCCTCGATCCCTTCCACCAGAATCGGTGGTGCCCGCCGCTAGGAGATTGATTGTGCGTGGCGTCCATATCGTGTTCGACTCGGCAAAAAGGATGTATGGGTTGCCACTCGTTGCCCACGCTTTGAGCAGACATCTCCGCTGGAAAGCATGCTTCCTATAGCATTGCAGTGGCTTGGAAGTCAGCGATAAGGCCGGCGGCGTTGTGGCGCTTTCTTGATGAGTGGTCGGCGGAGATGTTACTCTCGAGGCCGGAGACAGAGCATTCTGTGCAGACATTTTTGTGCCTGGCCGTCGCCTATACAAGCAGGTGAGATATATTGTCCAGCTTGCCGGTACCAGTTCAACTTTCTACGCTGGGTGCTCAAAGAAGATCCCATATCCACAATGGCGCTCCTGGGTGGTCAGGAGGAATGGAAGGCACGTGGAGTGTTCTTCAGGAGATTTGCCACTTGGTGCGCCGAACCTCCATCTCAAGTTCCAGTGGCGATTCGGTGGTCATTCCGAAATCAGGTGGTGTTTACATTCACTTGCTGTCATCTACGTCTTGCTGGCACGACAAGCCTAGGACGGAAAGCTAAGGTCACACAAGTGAGTGCAGGTCGTTGGTCAGCATCAGTCGAGGCGTAGCTTACATGTGGGGGCCACTGGCATTCGACGAGGGACAGTGAGCTTTATCCCGTTCGAAACCGCACTTGGGTACCCCATAGATAGGTCGATTTGGCCTCCGCCGATGCGTCAGCAATACTCCCTAGTGAAGGACGCTTTCCTCGTGTGTGCGCTGGAGGGTGTCCATCCTACAGAGCTGGATTGGTTGGGTGGACAGTTGTGCGTAGCGGTGGGGGAAGAGATGGATGAGGAGGGCATCGTTCAGCAAGCGTCAGCTATACTTTCGAGCTTCACCCATCCGGGCCAGCTCACAGCCCCATTGGTGACTATAGACCAGCTGTGCAGGGCGTTCCCTATCTTTGCAAAAAGGGGGCTATGTACAAAGTCGTTGGGGTCGGTGGCAGCAAAATGTTGGAGATGGGCATGGAACGAAGAGGCGCAGTATGAGAGCCGGGAGAAACGCGAGCGCATCCTTATGGATGTGATCGAAATTTGCGAGCTGCACGCTGTGTTTCTTTATCCCGAGATCCTACGTTGTTATGAAGAAAATTACGCCTAGTCGGGGAGGGGAGGCAAATTAAGAATAGTCAAGAAATCTCAAATGTAACGCGTGTCAAAAGGGGGTGTTCGTGCATGCTCATGCACGTTGTGATCGGGTAATCATGTCAGTACAGCGCAGCTTGACTTCCCTGGCTTTCTCACACGAGCGAGGCATTCCACCCCCGCATAGCCCTCAGATCAAAAGAAGTGCCAACGGGGTTCTTATATCCCGATGGACTGTAACATTCAATTCTTTCTCCCGCGAACATGTGTGGTCTACTGTGGTCTGCGCTTGTGTCGGCGAGGAGTGTCGGTGAGGACGAACAGCCAGGCCAATGGTCGTAACCTCGGAGGCGGTGGACTATGCCTTCCCTTTCTCAGATGGGGGCGGATCCAGAAGCCTCGGTGAGTTGGGGCCTACCGTGGTCGACCTCGTGTCCAGGGCAAGGAAGTTCGCTCTGTAGATCGCTTGATGCACCGACATCTGATCGTGAAGAGAGTGGTGACCCCTCAGAGCCCTGCTCGGCGATCAATTTCCCCCGTTTTGAAGCACGTCGTGCTCTCCCTCAGTGTCGTGACCTGATTCGTTTTGAAGCACGTCATGATCTCCCTCAGTGTCGTAATCTGATTCGTTTCGAAGCGCGTCGTGATCTCCCTCCGTGTCGTAATCCGATTCGGTAACGACCATCAATAAGTCACCCTCAAACAGCAGCTCACCAGGCTGTAGGGGTGACAGGTTGCTCCGAGGGAGGGAGCCGCCATTCGTGGCACTGGCTCCCATCAGCTCGTTGAAAGGTCTCAAGGTGGACTGGTTGTCGCTTGGGCCCGCAGGCACCAGCAGCTGAGTGCTGTCCATGACAATGTTCGGCATCCCCGGCGACCATGGTGCTCGTAACGCTTGCTGTCCCTCGCAGGGAAATTCGTAATCAACCATTTCACCCAGTAGCTTCGTGTCGACGAATGGTGGAGGAATGACGTCCCGGAGGCCATGGCTACTGAGAATATCATATGTCCTAGGTGGCCATTCCCCGCGAAGACGGGCATGCCAGTTGTGGCAGTGCTGAACAAGAGCCGGTAGTAGTGCAGCTTTGATGTCAGCAGCGTGGTGGATTTGCAAATAATTGTTTGCATTGCAGCGTACGCGTCGGTCGCAGCAAGTAATGCATTTTGTATCGCCTTCGAGGATCTGACACATGGCCCCCGTGACGCGACATTGCCAACACCTCAGGACGGCACTCCCTTGGATCGCTTGCAAGGTGATGGCAGGATAGTGACTGGCATTGAAAGGTCTCATGCGAGTGTAGCTTATCGGCGCAACTGCGTGTCGGTCGATGACGAAGACAGAAAAGAAACTACCTTCGTTGAGGTACATGATTTGCATTTCTGTGTAAGCGCGAGAATCCACTACGCCTGAAGCGATTCGCGACGCTACAGAGAGCGGTAGGACAGAATAGCTCCGCACGATGTCGAGAGCAGAGGGCTGACTTTTGTCGCTGGACGTGCGAGGCATGTTGACAGAGATCGATGTGTTTGGATGGTCCATTCAGCAACCACGTACGTGCGGGGGAAGAAGCGTTTATAAGTGACCCAGCCGGGGGAGACCTTCGCGGAGGCACCGGTGCCCGCTCGCGAAGAGCGGCGGGCGGCGGTGGATTTCACACGCATGGGCGTATGGAAGGACCGCCGTTGGTACGGCTGAGCGGCCAGCACTCTCACTCGTCGCAAATCAAAAACAGCAGGTGAGAGGACACAAGGGGAGAGGCACTCTAGGGAGTTGGGCGAACGGGAGGGAAGAAGCAAACGGGGGTGTTTCTAGCACGGGGACATTTTACAGCTACCATGCGTCGAGAGAGAGAGACAATTCGTGTGAGGTCAGAAAGTAAGGAATTGCTGCGAGGAGGTGCGCAAGATGGTTGCTTGCACGAGGGGGCGCAGCGACGCCCAGCGCCGATAAGCAGTAGCATTGCAGGGGAAGAAGGGCCCATACGTCTGAGCCAGCAGGGCGAGCTGCGCCCGGCAAACGAACACGCATTCGTCACCCCCCGAGTCTGGCAGACTGAGTGGTCGTTTCTTTATAGTGAGCTCGACGCGCTTGGTGGATCTCTTCCGCGATTTCTTCTGACCGGACAGGGTCAGCTCCAGGCACGAACGTAGGATCATATATCGTGAGTGGTAGCATGCACTTGAGGCTGACCTTCGTGGCATATTTGTTGTATCCAATGCGGCCTGTTGGGTGGCAGATCTTAAGGAGGAGGTCCTTCATCGCCTCCGTACGCAGCGCCGTGGGTGGAGCGACCACATCGAGAGTGCAAAGGTACGCTTCAGCTTCAGGCGGGACTGGCCAAATATTGTTCAGCCTAGCGTTGCAACTTGCGACGTAGCCCACGAGCGCATTGAAGCATGCCTTTTGCATGTCACGATGCTCGTACCAGATCAGCTGGTTGTTGGCGTTGCAAGTGAAGCCCCATTCGTCGCAATGTTGACATTTTTCGGTGTTCCAGTTCGTATAGCATGGGTGTCCCATTGCCATGCAGTGAAAGCATGACAGGACGGCTCTACCCCGGATGCTGATGGGCAACTGACGTGGCCAGCGCTTTGGTTGACCGCTCGACAGTCCGCGGTTGTCCGCCATCTTGTCCACGAACGCAACTGCGGGATTGGGTCCGCCAGTCTTGACGTAACAGCCCATGAAAATGTAGGCTAACGGCTCAAAGGTTAGCTTGCCAAGCCATTGCTGGACGGTGAGGTGATCAATTTTTGTTATGGACGGCATCGTTGGATTTTCTGACGACGGTTGAGGTAGACGGCTTGATGTATCAACAAGTGCTCAGTAGAGGTCAGCGTCATACGGGCCCCCTGGTAGAAGGATGTCAATTGTTCATGAAGGTTCGACGTGTGCAGTGATCCCTTTTTTTCCGATAGAGGTGGCTCAGGTTCTTTCAGGTCCGGTGAGCGATCGAACATTTCCCATCATGTCCCTCGGGTTGGCGAGACGAGTGGCTGCGCCAGAGATCGGCGGCGGTCGTGAACCAGGCGCGTGTCAGGTTGACGGTGCTGACAGAGTACGTGACGGAAGGCGTTCAAATTGGATCAGATAGATTAGCACTCGACTGTCAGGTTCCGTGTGCGATGTCTTGCTCGTGTAGGGCGCCCGATGCCACACCTAGTCTCACTGTGGATCAAAGGTCGCCCAGGGAAGATGAGCGTGCACGGTGTTAGATCTCAGTGTTCCCCAGGCTGATGGGTGCATTGATTCGAGGGCCACCGTCACGTCAACCACCCTATCATCACGGATGAGCTAGAGAAAACAGTGCGTTACAGAGTGTGTTATGCGTGAATAGAGAGTGTGGTGTAGGCATTGACAATACCATCGTTGACAGGGACGTTAATCGGGGACAGTCGTCATATCGCAGCACGCAAGACACTCTCTCCCAGTTGGAGGCTGCTGGCACAAACATCAAAAGTGAGTTCGTTGAGCGAATGAGCCGAGAACGCGGAGCAAGGCTGACGACCGAGGATGACGATTATGACAGGAATGTTGATAACTCTCGCGAGCGGTGCCAGGGTATATCTTCTTCGGGAGAGAAACTTCGATCCCATCCCCGAGGGAAGAGAGGCCCAGCAAGCGTGCGTGCGACGAGCGTTCCAGATATGCTCGATGCTAGAATCCTTTCCTTTGCCGGATGTACTGGGCAAGGCGGCAGCACTCCTGAGGAACAGCAATGCGTCAGAGCACGCTCGAACCGTCAAAGTTCGCGTGGAGCAGTACCTTGAAGACTGGGACGAGAACGGTCAGCTGCCATTTTTCCCTCAACACGCTTTGGAGAATGTTTCGGACGCATTCATGCTATGGGCTGGCGATGATGATCATGCCATCTGGGTCCAAAGACTTGGGAGGTTGTATTCGGCCATCAGCCAGGATTCCAACCCGGAGTGGAGGGCCGACCATTGGATTAGCAGCCACGAGCACCTTCGATGCCTACTCAATACTTGGTGGGTGTGTCATTCTCAGAATATGGGTGATTGTTGGCCAGTATACCAAGTCATCCATCGTTATTATCGCGACCTGTACCAGTAGCGGTGACGGTCGCAGTCGAAGCTACGAATGTCGCCGCGTTCACTTTTTGTACTCGAAAGCTAACTTTTGAATAAATTCAGTTCCCCAAACCATGACGCCGTACACAGACCGTCACGCAAGTTTGATACTGGCCCCTTCCCGAAGCTTACGAAAGGATCACACACATTGGCCGCGCTGTAGGCCGGCATCCAAAAGGATAAATTCGTCAAAGGGAACCCCATATGCAGGCTTTCGGTGATGTGAGTGATAGCTGCGACCATCCCCATGCGAGTATCCCCAGAGTGTCTCCCAACCGCATCGGGACCTGCCCTTTACAACGAGGAGCAGAAGCATCGAGAAGCGTGACTCGCACGTACTCTTTTGCCGGGAGTCTGAGCAGGAGAGGGCAGGGCATCAGACCAAGACAACGATACACGACGGACCCGACGGCCATGTGAGCTTCGAGCGCATGTACTTTCCTTGTTCTCTCCCTATGGGCCTGGTTGTAGACTAGTCGCAAGTCGGCGGCGGATTTCCAATGGGCTCCTGGGGGCCCGTGGTGCAGCGCTGGAAGCTCGTTCTGGCAGTGGAGGCGTGTAGTGCCAGAGCGTGGTGAGGCTGTTCTGGAGGACTTCTCGTTCGAGTTCGGGGACGTTGAGGAAGGGCGCACGCGCGTGATCAAAAAGACGGGTCGGTACGCGAGGGTCGTGGACCATCGGTGGCCATACCCCGCGATTACGAGCATCCCAGTCGTATGAGAACTGTACCAGGGCATGTAGAATTGCAGTGCGGCGAGTAGGATGGGTAAAATATTGGACCTGATGGTTCGCGTTGCAGCAGAGGTCTCTATCGAGACAGTAGTCGCAGCGAGTGCTATCCCTGGGTACGACGCAGCTATCCCCAGAGAGTCTGCAGTGCCAGCACCTCAAGAAGGCGGAGCCCGGGTAGTGTTGCTGGCTTGCTTTCGGGTATCGCCGAGGGGTAATCGCGCGGTTCAAAGGAGCAGCAGCGTTCTGTGCACTCTTGTCGAGGACGAAGGCGACCGCGTCACCGCTCCGACCATCGCGGAAAGACTGAACACTTAACCACTGTCGCGCATCGGGGAGAACGATGTTGGCCAAGGCAAGCACGACCTCTTCGTGTTTGACAATTGAAGACGCAGGTGGCGGCATGTTGGATTGGGAGTATGATGATCGGTGTTGAGGTTGACCAGCACAGGGAAAGGAGCCGACTTATTAGGTCGAGGGGCTTCGATACATGTATCATGAAGCGAGGATACTTGATGTGCGCGTGTCGTCCAAACGAAAGGAACGCATCTCCTATTTATCGTTTGCCGTCGTGTCCGGACGACTATCCTAATTACATGTAGCGTAATTTGGTCGCGCGAGCAGGGGCATAATTTCGTGATGGGCCGACCAGCATGATTCACGGGCCGACGTGGGTAACAAATGCAGTGGCCCTCATTTGGCGGGAGGGAGAGGTGTAGAGGCTGGTACAGGGTGTCTTGCGTCGCTTCATAGGGACGGTTCGTCAGGATTAATTGACATGAGGTGTCGCATGGGAGAAATAGGGTCATCGCTTCGTGCACGCAGGCCACGCGGCAGCGGTGCTGACCATCGTGACATTCGACGAGAGAAAACACCGTCGTGGAGTAAGGAAAACAGATGATTCATATCGAGGATACTTTGAGTACTGCATGTGTCCTCCTCAATTTCAGAAAAAGTGGACTTCATACGGAAGAGCAAGGGGCAGGCAGTCCTCATTGAAAAGCGAGAAAAGAGAAACAAACTTGTTCGAGCAGCCGCCAGCCGTCAAGTGACAGCCCCAAATTTGCGAGTCATGCCTGGTCGTCCCATGTAATGCGTTGACCGCCTCTGGGATTCGAAGCCTGTTCGTCGGTAGCGCTGCTCAGTGAGAGACTTGGAATGCCAGTCTGAAGCATGCGCTCCGTGCTCGAAAGGCGAGGTTTCACCTGTCGAAGTATCTCAGCGAAGGTCTGGTGGGTGATTGTCGGTGGGCGACGAATCCCTTCCATAGAGTTCAGCAATGCGTACCCACAGGTTGGGGGCGGCCATGCCATCCTGGCCACCCGAGCGTTGTACAGTGCCACGTATCCTACCAACGCGTCCCACGCTGCCTGTACAACGCCACCGTCCCAGTGCCATATGGCGAAGTTGTTGGCGTTGCATGCTTGATGCGTTTTCAAGCACCGGCTGCAGGATACCGCCCCCGGGCTGATGAAGCAAGCATAATCGGTGTTCGTACAGCCGTAGCATTCGTGTACTGGGTAGCCCCATAGCCAGTATGGCGAGCTGGTCGGCCAATCTTCTGGTAAGTCACTCGTGTGGCCAAGCCGGTCGTGCTCAAGGATGGTGATCGCCTGGCGGTCCCCGGCGACTCGGAGGTAGACGCCGACACTGTGCTCAGCGGCAGACGTGAACCGGTGATTTCCCACCCAGGCCGCGGTGTTCACGTGGTCGATTCTGAAAATAAGGGGGTCGTCGGAGGACATCTTCGCGCTGTGATGTGCAGGGTAGAGAGGCGTTCAAACTGAACGTGTTGGCCCGCCGCGAGGTGCAAAGAATGCGAGAAGCGTAGTGTTACTTCCGCAGAACAAAGTGATGTGGTTGAACAGGAAGTCGAGTCGTGTCTACAATGATCGAGCGACATTCGGTGGCGTAAAGGGCGTGGGCGGCTAGCAAGATCATGACGGTTACGGCGAGGCGTGAGGATATGATGCGCGACAAGGCATGTCGAAGCGTTTGTAGACGGCGGGATGGGAGACGCCCCAAGCCGGCAACGTACAGTACGGGCCGCAGGCGGGATTCTCGTTCGCAGGATGGTTCGAGGTGGGGCCAGTGCTCATATACTCAGGCCCTCTCTCGCGGAGCGTCGTACCCCCAAGGTCACTCGCAGCAGGCAGAGTCGTGTGCCGACACGCCCATTCCTGCTATCCAGGCCCTTCTCTCCTGCCAAGCGTAGCAGCATCCCGGCCAGTCGCAGCAGGCAGAGTCATTTGCCGACTCAGCCCTACTATCCACCGGTGCCAACGAAAGGGGACCAGTGGAGAGTCAGCATGTTGGCGCCACATGTATATTTGGAAAAGGACATATTGCCTCTATCCGACTTGCATGACCGCACAAAACCCGTGGTGAGCATGCCAAAGTCCCTGAAGTGCGATCCGCACTTTTGAAAAGGCATAGCGAGGGTATCGCTAGCACGTTCAACTAAGCAGGTATTGGGCACGACCAATTCCACATGTGTCGCCAGGCCGCATTCGTGAGCGGAGCCGCCGGGGCGGCTCCCAAATTACGTAGACGTAATTGGTTAACTCACGTAGGCAAGGGTGTTGTCATCGTCGCCGGCGATTGTCCTGCCGCACGTAGCAGTGAGGCACGCGCCGCGCACGGTTGTGCGTGGGTCCGACTCGTTCTTTATTGAGTCAATTCGAGAGCTGTGGCTGTCGTGTGAATTGCAGATCGTTGCCCCAGCCTGCGCGAGGCCGACAGATGTGTCAGGGAAGCTAGGTTGTAAAGCGGTGAGAGAGGTAGGGCTGATCGAAAATTCAAGTGTGTCCATAGGTGGGCAGGAAACACGCGTGTGCAGACGTGCGGATGGGAGTTCTGCGCGAAGCCTCCGTGACGTATTTCATCAGTGTGAGTGCCGCCACCCTGTACGCGCCTGCATGGACCACGACCGCCGAACTCTGATGCGGCTATTCATTTCGAGTCTGGGCGCGTCCGCCTGCAGCCGCTCCGCCCAGCAAAAGGGGATCTTCCGGGAATCGAACCCAGGTCGCACGCACACAGCTGTGTCTCGCAAAGAGAGTCTTGGACCCTAAGCGAACATGATACCACTACACCAAAGATCCTGAGTGCTAAAAGTCGTTGCTTGTATGTATATGATCTCGGATGTTTGAGAACGCGTCTCTTCGCTTCTACAAGAACCGCTTTAGATCAGGATGGGAGAGAACTAGTCAGAGTGAGGTGGTGTGCATGATTGGTACCTATACGGTAGAGGCGCACCGAGAGATCCGATTGTCGACTCAGCTTTCTGGTGTCGCACGGGGAAGCGTTGGCGCGCATTGGCTCGTTACGGAGTCTTTGCACTCCGATATCCTCCAGATGAATGGAGCAACGAGGCTGTCGTTGATTTCCATCGAGCGCAGAGAGACCTGAACGCGGTGCAAAGCGATGTCGGCAAGAGGTGGACACCCTCCTCGGGCCGGCGCGCTCAATTATCTTGGGATAATTACCCGCTGGTCCGTCTTCCATTGCTTTAGAGGACATCAGTCGCCCCGGATGCAGGGAGGCTATGGGATGGTCGGTCGAGGGACACCTTCGGGTCAGACGGCAATGATGCATAGGGTTTTCCGTCTGCCTCGCTCTGGGTGTCGCAGGATAGCAGCGAAGTGGGCAGGAGAGTCCACACGCGACACCGCCTTTGAACAGCTCCGTGAGTCGGTTGGCACGTTGTGCACAATCGTGAATTGTGAATTCAGGTGTCGCAATCGTGAATCGTGAGTCGGCAGAGTGCAGCGAGCCGCGCGGCGGGCTCGTGGTGCATTTTCGGTGAGCGACGGCCACAGGGTGTCAGCGCGAGTCATGGTCGTTGACCTCTTCACCTGTACATCTGCCGGTCAGCGATGAGTTGGGGGCTGACTCTTGATGCTGAGGGGTGTGGCGGTCGTTGAACCAGCCTATGACGCAATGTGAATGATGAATGGTACTCACGACTGTGACTTGTGTGGTAGACCTGGCTGTGCATATCCGCCCCGTATCGGTCAAGTCCACCAGCGCGCCAGAGCCAAGAGTGAGGTGTTGCCGCATGTCCGTGCGCGCATGCTGCTGACTGCACGTACAGCGTGTATACCGGTACCGCGTATGAAATGTATCTGGGTCGAGCGCACAGTGAGTGAGTACCGGTATACTCGGCAGGAACCATGTAGGTATATGTGTAGTGAGAGTCGCTCGTCCCGCAGCCGCGAACGCGCGTCCTGTAAAGCACGGCGGCGGGTAGCCCGCCGAGACCGTAAAGGTGTGGCTGCTGATCGCGGGACAAGTCTGAGTCAAGAGTGTCGAGAGGCGAGAGCGGAGGCATCTTGGGCAGCAGGGCAGGGGACAAGGCTCCGACGAGTCATGACTCAAATCACTCGCAAGTCACGACCCAAAAGTCGCGATTGCCGATCCTGTCTTTGCACAACCATCGCATGTTTTAGCACCGATTCATGTCGCTGACCAAATATCTAGACATAAGCGACCGGCGCATTGCGACAGTCATCCATCTCTCGGAGACGTCCGCTCGCCATCCCGACCGGACACCTGCTCACCACCATCACAACACACACCGGGTAAGGAAGGTTTGACGCCAAGAGTCTGCACTCCGCATCCTCGCCACGAGGTCACAGATCGCCGCGGAGGCGTTCCGTAAGCGCACAAGATGGACCCTCGCTTAGTAGTGGGTCGCAGATCCCACGATCTGCTGCCATCGGATCGCATCTTGAACGCATCGGACGTCAGCAGCTCTCTGGTCGAAGCTTTCAGGTTGAGCATCACCGAAGCAGAGAGCTATTTGAGCCTCTACGAAGCTAGAGTCAAGCTGGAGGAGGATTACACGAGGGGCCTCAGATCTCTTGTGGAGAAGCAGAGGGAGAATGATGTCCGCATTGAATCGTCAGTAGTCTACGCAGTACAACATCTTCTTCGTCAGAATGCTTCAGTCCTGCTGACTCCCATCTGCCCTTCTTCTTCATCTTGCTTGATTCAGCCGCATCAATGTAACAGCGGGCGCTTTGCCTGGGACGTCAGACCTTCCCGGTGCTCGCAGGGCGTGGAGGGAGCTGCGTGAGAACGACTTGAGAGGTGAGAACTTGCAGACTCTGCGCAAGTCCGGCTCCCACTCCTGTCATGGTACATGCGCTCATGATGTCATTCCCGCAATCCTGGTAGAGATTGACGTGCGTCTAAGTCATATTGAAACACTCAAGCAAGGCGTGATTGTTCCTTTGCATCATTATCGCGACTCTCAAGAGCGGATCAGGAAGAGAGTGAAGGAGGATCTCAAGACGAGCTGCGGCCGGTATGAGGAGATGCGCAATGTGACGCTTCCCAGGGCGAAGCGCTCGTACGAGAAGAAGAGTGAAGAGGTGAGTGGGCCATGATATAGCAGCGTCGCTTTGTGCAAAGATCTGGCACTAATGATACCCTTGAATGCTGCTCTGCGAAGGTGGAGCAGATTAGGCTGCAGCAGCAAGCGGTAGAAGACCAAAAGATGTTGTTGGCATCATCCGGCATGTCTCGAGATTTCTCCGCATCCTCCACCCAGCCCGGCTCCGAGGGATACGAAGACTTAGCGTATGGCTCTTCCCCTCCTACCAGCGATGGGAGCGGAGCCGCGATGAGAAGCAGTCCACGCCGAACTAAGTCTACTAAGGACAAAGCGAGAGGTCATGCGCGGTTGCCTAGCAGTGGCAGCGGGGCCGTGTCGGATCGAGAGGAACACCTATCCAGTACTGAAGAGGCGGCGATTCGGGCTGCCGCCGGCGCTGGCGGAGTGGGATTCTCTCCGCCCAGCAATACTGGCAAGCCAAACTTCTTGGACGCACTTCGGACGAAGGAAGGCTGGGAAGCAGCTCGCAAAGAAGCGCCAAAGAAGTTTGGCGCGTTTATCAGCAGGATGAGAGAAGGCGCGGAGAGGGGCGTAGGTGGTAGTCCAGAAATAGGAAGTCCCGCAGGCGGTGCTGAAGGCCTTGGTGGAGCTTCTGGTACGATCAAGAGCGCTCAAAACATGGCGCTGAAGAATGTGAAGGCGAAGCGAGAAGCAGAAGAGTGAGTTTATCATGCCGGCGAAGACGCAAGCTCGAAGGCTTCCTTCGGCAGCCTGACCTTTGTTGCACACTTGCCGCCCAGGGCCGACAAGATATACCGGAAAGCCATCTTCGATCTAGAGACCCTTCGCTTGAGGCGCGAGAAAACGGTGGCAGCAGCCACAAGGTCTGCCATAGAGTGCAGAAAAGAGCTTTACAACACTTCGCAAATTGTCTGGCTCCAGAGCGAAAGGGCTGGACTGACGCTACACTCCACAGCCGTCAACCTGCATCATTTGGCAGAGGATATTGTGGCACATGCCAATGACCATTTGGACCAGGAAATCACGAGGTTCGAGCAGCGCTTGCCTGGCCTGGACTTACTTGATGAAGGGCCCATAGCGTATCACAACTAGTGAGGAGCCCCAATTGCGGCAATGCATCTAGACCGGTATGTCATATACTGATCGTACTTTCGCTCACAACCACCGCAGCTTCCACGGCGAATGCAAGGATCTCATGTGAGTCTCGCGCCGTCAGAAAGATCTGGAGCTAGAGCTGGTAATTTACAGGCAAGCCCGCGTTTGCACAGATTCGGTACTTCGTTGATTGACTACGCTTTTTCTCGAGCACAACATTCGGCACCGGTTCTTGGCCCAGCGCGTGTGGAGCCTCCGCTAGTCGTCACCAAGTGCATCGATTTTGTAGAGGCGCACGCACTTGAGCAGCCAGGCATCTACCGAACGAGCGCCAAGCATACAACTGTGCAGAATTTGGCCCATGCCGTCGAGAAGGATGAAGAAAGGTTTCAATTCGGGCCAGACACTGAACCAAGCGCAGTGGCGGGGCTTTTGAAGCTGTATCTCAGACAGCTACCTGAGCCTGTTATGCCCATGCCTTGGGAAGAACGTGTCCGGCAGTAAGTTGGCTTAGCCAAAGCATGCCGACAAGATCAGCAGGCTGCGGTGGCTCACTCTGTGCCACATCTCCGCTGCCCAGTACTCACGAGAGGCAGCAAGCTGTCGGTAATGGCTTTGCGTCTCTGAAAGGTCGCATCAGACGATTGTGAGTCTTCTCCATATCGTCGCGCCGCCGGTCGCCCAATGCCTGACCACACCCCTGCGTCTTTCAGGCCCCCTATCAACCAAGCTGTCTTGAAGGCTATCACACTGCATCTCGCCAAGGTCGCTGACCGCTCGGATGTCAACAAGATGGTGAGCGGCTTGTGCGCTTTGATTGCTCGATGCGCCCCGCCTCCCCGCCTTCTCACCTCCCAGGCACTGCGAATTTGACAGAATGCGTCCAACCTCTCCGTCGTCTTTGGACCTGTCTTATTGTCCGAAGCCGATCATGAGACCACTTCTTTAGCGGCCGCCATGGAGGAAGATCGCGTGATGGAAGACATGATTATTTGGTCCAAAGAGATCTTCGATTTGACCACTGCTGGAGCTCCACTGTTGCCGCACGTCCCCATCACCACCGGACTGCCACTCGATGTGCCAGAGAACAATCCCCTGGCAACCGAGGTGGAGCCCGTATCGAGCTCGGCAGATGCGCCTCTCGTTCTGGGCAGTTCTGCTGGGCTGAAGCGCAGCAACGCTATCACACCCAACGCTCTTTCCCCTACACTGCCGTCGCATCAACAGACTGCCGTACCGCTGTCACCTCCCATCAACGATGCAGCTTCCAGCGCCGAACCAGGCTCACTTGGCTTTGACCGGCCGCCGCTGCCACCTAGGCCTTCTGATCTTCTCTCTGCTTCTGGCTTGAGCGAGCACGACCGGTCCGCTTCCTTGCCGATGAAGCCTGCTGCTGCTCGTGGCGAAGCTCAGGCTGAACTGCAACCACATCCAAGCCATGCTGCGCTGGCGCCTCTGAACACTAGCCTTCATCCTCGCGCCGCTACAACACCAGGCGCTGGTGGCGAGGAATGGACCGTGTCAGACGCGTCCGCCGAAGCGCATGGCGCAGACGGATCAGAAGAGCATGTCGCAAATGCCTCTCCTATGAACGTGAATCTTGATGTCACCCCCGGCGAAGTGGAAAAGGCGAGGACGCCTAGGGGTTGGAGCAGAGAAGCTGATTCGATATCTGTTCCGGACGAGGTGCCAGCCCCACCTCCCCGCGGAGCTGACGGTCAACCGCTGCTCGGGCGCAGAAGAGATCACCCGGAAGGCGCCTCTTACAGCGGACAATCTGGCACGACGAACGACGAATCCCTTCTCACGCCTCAAAGCGCTTTGCCCTCGGGGCGAGTCAGCTCGGATGGCCCAGCTTCTGCCATTTCGTCGTCTGCTGCCTCCGCGGGACACGCACTTTCGTGATGGAAAGCTGCTAGCACCCTGTTTACACTTGAGCCCTTTTGACGGCGTGATTCGCGCAGTGCGGATATCCAGGCCAATGTCTGCCCTCCATTTCTTCTTGTACTTACTTCTTGAGTTCACGAGCGCGCGGTACATAAAGGGGCATCTTACCTGCATGTGCGGCGAGTGCTTCGTCAATTGATCTCCATCTGGTTGCAAGGTCCCTGGCGCGCGTGAAGACAGACTTCGGCTCCGAATCATGCAAAGCGTGAGTGTCAGGTCAGATTGTTGTTGCACTTGATCCGAGTGACAGCATCTCGTTGAACGTATGTCTGGCATGTCAGCAGCGTGCACCTTTTCCCGGCTTGCCAAGGTGACCGTGTGGCTTGCTCTTTATGATCAGACGGGACAAGCATATGCCCATGGAGCAGCCAATCTGATACATTGACAAAGACTCGCTGTCGTGTCGGAGCTTTCAAGCGCGCGTCGTTGTGAGGGCCTATATATCGGCAAATACCTTTGGCGACGGCACGGTGTCACAAGCCGATGTGCTCCAAGGTAGCAAGGGTCTCATTTTGATCTCCCTCTTTTGAAAGTTGCGCGATCGGGGACCATTCCCGCTTTCACCCGCGGGGGCATGGCCATTCAGAGAGCAGAATCGCGAAGCGTGCTCGGCCCGAGTGAACGCCACTGTGGCTTTTTCCACACAAACATGCACACGTCGAAAATCAAACACGGGATCTGAGTGTGGCTGCCTCGCACCCTGCATTCGCCATTGTCGTTGAGCTGGGCCTTGCGGCGGTGCCGAAAGACGACGGTCCGGTACGCTTGCCGTAGCAATTTTTTACCTTTACTCTGATCAGAGGCACGGTCAACGGTCACGAATGTTACTTTCTGTGCGCACCCATCATGCCCATGGAATCTGACACAGTAGTCGGAACGTTGCGATCGATGTTTTTCGTTCATCGAGCTCATGCGAAAGGCTCGACTCGTGAGAGGAGCGGACGCCTCTCGGCTGATCAGATCTCTCCAGCGGATCGAGCCGCTAGGAGCCATAACGATGAGCCATGCATGCAGAAACGCGGCGTCCGACACTCGCGTTGCGGGCTTGTGATGCATGGCAGCAGCAAAAACAAAAGTCTTGGAGTTGAAGTCGTGCGGTCAGCAGCACGCACCGCGTATACCTACCCGCAACAGTCATCAGAGTGTGGCAGTTAAGTAGGCAAAGCAAGCCGAGCCGTCGAGCCGGACCGGACTCTTTTCATCAAGATCGCGCGACTTCTGCAGCTGGCTGCGCACTTGATTCGCCCAAAGAAGCGGAACCGCCTAAAGCTTTCCTCGGCGCATACGCCGCCGACTCCGCGGCCTGCCTGCCTGATGGATGCATGCATACATGCGTGCTGATTATCTGGATCTGATTACTCTGCAGCACCTGTCTCGCTCGCTCGCCCTCGCGGCACTCTACTCACGCGCAGGAATTTTTTTGAGTGTGAGTGCATGTGGGTCAGTCTGCTGAGTGAGCGCATATATGCTGCTGTTCGCCTCCCTTCTGCGTGGCGCATGATGCTGCTGCTCCAATTAAGCCGTGTAGCTGATGCACTCGCAGCAAATAGGCGCGCGCCACGCCACCATGCGTACATACACCCATTCTACGGCCTTGGCAGCTCGCTCGCGATGCTCCGCTGCTTCCTGCGCTGTGTCCCCCCCGCACGCACGCACGCACGCACGCACGCACGCAAATCCCACAACAGCAAGGACCTTATAATTGTCACGGTCACGAGATGCTCAGGGCTCGTCATTGGGAATGAGTGCAGGATGAGAGTGGCTAAGTGAGGCCGACTGAAGGTGTTTCACATTGCTGTACGAACCATGAATTTGCCAATGCATCCATCCATCCACATGCACCGATTGCGATCTGCGCGAACAGCTTGATTGCTTGGGGGTTGTTCACCGCTTGATTCACATTGGACGTGTCAGACGCGCGTACAGGTGTAGAATAGTGGTGAGTCCACAGCTGCCGCCCAGGTCAAGAATACAATTGAGCGACGCCACAATCTCGAATGCATGTTGTGTTTGCCGGCCGCATCATGCTTCATCGAGAAGAGCGAGCAGCTATAGACTTGAACCCAGGCTTTTGATTCCAGACCCACCTGATCAGCCTTTTGATAAGCAGCATGGAGCGCGCCAACTCACATCCGAGGTGCGAGCTGCCAATCTACGCAGCAGCAGCAGCAGCAGCAGCAGCAGCAGCAGCAGCAGTAATAATAAGACGCTCACTCTGCTGTGCTGTGTACTGTACGCGGTAATGATGTGCGATGGCTGCCTGCCTGCCTGCCTGCCTTGCTCATCGTCATCTATTCGCCGCGGGTTGACTGCACTCGCGTGACTGCCATGCATACTCACACTCTTGACTTACTCGCTGCGAGCAATCGCTCTGCACCGACGCGCCGCCTACAGACGCGACGCTTACATATACTCGTGATTGTCCCGCCGGCGCGGTGTGCACCCATGCATAGTCACAGGTCTCATCAAAAATCCTGGTGAGGCAGGCTAACTGCTGCATGTATGCAGCTATAGCTGCTGCCGCCGCGACTCGCCACTCTTTCGGGCCAAGACGTAGGCACAGCTGGACGGAAGCACAGCGTCTAATTGCTGATCAAAAATTTCAGCTTTGCGATTGTGGCGGATGCTGGCGATTCTGATTTCTCGTCGTCGTCGTCGTTCTTGATGGCGAAGTTTGATTGCATGTACGCGCACACAGGTGCAGTGCGTTGTGCTACACTACAGTACATGCACACTCACCTCCACGCCTCGCCTGTTCTTCCGACGTCGCTCCTCACTGCGCACCAGCAAGTTCGTTCCTGGCCACAGCAGGAACCAGCATCTTCGCCGAGCCGAGCTTAGCCGAGCCGAGCCTCTTTGCGCGGTGGCTTTTTCGCTGCGATTATCAACATCTGTTGCAGGCCGCTTGCGATCGAGCAACGCAGCCAAGAAGGTATAATAAGGCCTCATCTCTGTGCCTTTGCTCTTCCTGCCCCCCCATTCCTTTAGGCAGCAGCAACACGCTCGACACCCTCACCCCATTCCTAACTCATCTCCTCTCTTTCTGTCTCCACGATTCCCATCATGGTCTCGCTGCCGTGGAAGAAGTGGGCTCAAGCGAAGTCGGCTCAAGACTCGCCGGAGGTGTCCAGTGCGCCCGCAGGTGACACTGTCGCCCCTTACGAACCGCCCTCTGCTTTCCTGGAGGACGAGACGGACTCGGTGGACACGGCGGACAGGAAGCAGCAAGGCGTGGTCGTAGCCGAAGCAGCGCGCGAAGTCGCTGGCTGGAAGCTCTACCTCGCCTTTCTCGGTCTCGCCTTGGCTTCCTACGTCAACTCGCTCGACAACGGCACGGGCTATGCTTACCTCACAGCTGCCACCGATCAGTTCGGCCAGTACGGCTTGTACCCTTCCATTCAAGTCATTCAGCAAGTCTGCATCGCCGTCTTCAAGTTCCCCGTCGCCAAGCTCAGCGACTGTTTTGGCAGAGCACAGGGCTACATCTTCTCCGTCCTGCTCTACATTCTCGGCCTGATCGTCCTCGCCGCTTGCCCGGGCTTCACTGCAATCGTGGTGGGAACGGTGTTCTATGCTTTTGGATCTACCGGTCTTCAGATCATGCAGCAGATTGTTCTTGCGGACATTACCCCCACAAAGTGGAGAGGTGCTGCCATCGGTCTGCTCTCCGCCCCTTACATTATCAACTTTGCCGTCTCTCCACGCGTAGTCGGTCAGCTTGCGCCCTTTGGCACCACGAGCGAGGACTGGCGATGGGGCTTTGGCATGTTCACCATCCTCTTGCCCGTCGCCACCGCTCCCGTCATCTTCTCCCTGGCTCTAAGCCAGCGCGAGGCGAAAAAGCAAGGCCTGGTCGCTCCTCACCCGTACCGCCGCATGCCCGTGCTGCGCGCCATCAAGTCCTTCTTCTTCGACATTGATGTTCCAGCCTTGGTGCTCATCGCTGCCGGCTTCGTCTTGATCCTTCTCGCCCTTCAGCTCTCGGCGCTCACTGCCTCACGCTGGAGTGCTGCCCACATCATCACTATGCTCGTTGTCGGTGGCGTTTGTCTGGTCGGCCTGGTCCTGTACGAGTGGCTCCTCGCACCCAAGCCCATCATCCCGAGGGCCTTCCTTCTCAACAAGAATGTCGCTCTTCCAGCCTTCTTCATCGGATGGTTCGATTTCGCAGCATTCTATCTCAGCTGGACACCCGCATACACCTGGGTCTTTATCACCTACAACTACAACGCTTCCGACGCTACCTACTTCAGCAACACTCAAAGTCTCTGCTTGACCGTCTTTGGCATTGCAGCTGGATTCCTCGCTCTCGCGACCAAGCGCAACAAGTGGGTTCTCACTGCTGGCTCTTGCATTCGTCTGCTCGGTCTCGGCCTGATGGTGCGATACCGAGATGCCATGTCGACCACTTTCCAAATCGTCATCTGCCAGGTCCTGCAGGGTCTTGGTGGCGGTCTGATGGGTGTCAGTCTTCAGGTGCAAGCTCAAATCTCGGTTCGTCACCAGCTTGTTGCCATGGTCACTGCTTTCGTTTTGCTCTTCACCGAAATCGGAGGCGCGTGCGGCACAGCAGTGCTCGGAGCCCTTCAGCTCCACGTCCTGCAACCGCGCCTTGCGCAGGAACTGTCACCTCTGGGCGTCTCTGCAGCCGAAATCACTTCCGCTTTCGGCTCTCCTTTGGGAATCGCTTGGCCGCTGGGCGACCCTCGCAGGGATGCCGTCATCCGCGCTTGGTCGCATTACATGCACATCGTCCTCATCGTCGCCCTCGTTCTCAGCGCGGTGCCCATCCTTGCCAGTCTTCTCGTCACCAACTTTAAGCTTGGCAACACCCAAAACTGCGTCTCTGACGAGCTGAACCTCAACGGCACGGAGCCTGCTCGTCCTCAGGTCCATGACGAAGAGACGCACACGCCCTCTCACTCTCACTCGGACGAGAAGCACTGATGCTGGTCGAGCGCATCCTCAGCTCCGTCGTGATCATTGAGATCGCACACCGTCTCGTCTCCTAACCGTCACCGCTTGCATGTCCCAAAAAAAAAGGGCGGATGCTTCGGAATTATCCTAGCGCTCGCTCAATCCTTAGACTTCTTGTTTGCACCGTCTGTTGTTTCTATGTCACGCACCCCTGCCCTGGAATTGACATGATTGCTCACGTCTTCGGCACTCGGCTCGAGCTCCACATGAAATGTCCCGTTGGAAGACTCTACGGTCGGTATGCTGTACGATCATGGGAATTGCGCGTGGATCATGGCGTGATTGTAGGGGGGGGATTGATTACAGGGTGGTGAGTACGAATGGTACGGAAGTGCTGTCGTAGAGTGGAAGAGGCGCACCATGCCGGTATTCGTTGATGCGCATATAGATCTGCGTATGTAATTCGTGGTCGATAGCTACTGATAGTGTTTCATGAGCCGTTCTTCGAGAAGAGCTTTGCAGATCTGATCGGATTACTGTGCGTCATTCTCGTCTTCTGAAAGGACGATGCGACGCTTCTTGCTTGATGACTGCGTGGGAAATGGTGGGTAAGCCGAATCAGCGAATCCGTCAGCCGAAAATTGAGTGAGACTGAGGGACTCACGATCTGCACATCGCGTGGAGTACTCGACAGAGGCTTGATAGGTGTGTTTTCTTCATTGCGGCTCTTGCTGCTCGACGCTTCGAGCAATTTTTGATGACGTACTAGCACCACCGATGTTGCTCTGCGTGAAAGCCTGCGGGGCTGTTGTCGGCCTGGGCAAGGCGAGGCAAACGTCCAGTCAGCTCCAGCTCCAGCTTGCGATTTACGACTTGACCTACTGATGGAAGGATCCAGACCGACAGATCGAAAGGCGCCTGGGCTCGTGGCCGTTATGCCTTTGGAGCGGTCACTGACTGCGTCTCCTGCCTTTGGCAGGGTGCTTTTGCCTGTTGCCGCCGAAGCACGATTTTTGAAGACTTCCGGAGGTATCGAGTCTGGTCTAGCATAGCTTGCAGATCGGAGCTCCGTAGATGCAGGGGGAACGACAGCCAAATCACTGCGAGCCACTGATCTTATTTGATCGACGTGATGGTTCAATTGAGCTGGCAAAGCAGTAAGTAGTGCGGCAAGACCGCGAAAGCTGGCCAAGGGCGCGAATGCGTCGCTCTGCGCGGCTTGTGTCTGGCTAATGTTCTGCAGTGCCAATTGAATGTCATGTAGAGTTGCTTGAATGCTTTCGTCGCGCAGCTGCTGATTGCGTTGGTTCTGCAGAATTTCCTTCAGAGACTGAGCTCGCGGACAATCACAGCACGTAAGCTGAGAGTTTCTGCATTCAAAGCAACTCGACTTACCTGCTCGTGCTTGTTAGATTTCTTCAAGGCCGTTGCATGGATTTTGACCGACTTCTGCACCTCGGCCAAAAGGTCGTGCAAATCGGCGAATCCGGTTGATACTTCTTTCTTGAGTGCTCGCAGAGCTGCAGGATCGGCTTCTTTGCGACTAGAAACGCCGCCACCGTCGGCGGGCCCTTTTGATTTGGCTGAACGCATGTATGCGGCACCTGATCAGGGCAGGCTCATCTTCCGTAGCCCATACATGACTTACCATGAGTAGCCAAAGCGGCGATGTCTTCCTTTGCGGATGTCCAAGCTTCTCTCTGTGCATGCGTCAATTGCGTTTGATGAGCCGTCATATCGCGAGCTACACCATCTAGCCGCTCTCCGAACGCCACCAAGTGCCTGTGCGTTTCTGAGAAGATCAGCTTGCGGAGATCACTTGCTTTGACACTAGCGAGAGCGCTTTGGGAAGCAGCTGTACTGGACTGTGGTAGCCCTGCCAGCTGGTTCGAAGACTGCGACTGCGATCCGTCAAGAGTATTGAGAGGAGCCAGAGAACAAGCTAAATAAGACGGAGCCTGCGACGAGGGGCCAAAGCTGGATTGTGAGTGCGCATTGTGGGCATCCGGGATGCCCGAGCTGCTGTGGCTGAAGCTGTCGGTAAGGGGCAGAGGTGAGTGCGCTGGGAGGCGCCAATCTACCAAGTCGGGAATGCATGAAGTCTGACTCTGAAGCAGGGTACCAAGGCTCTCGGAGCTGTGCAAGAGAGCTTGCGTCTCACGCTGCAGCTGCTCTGACATCGAAGAGCTGAGCTGACTGGCACTTTGATGCGCTTCACCTGCTGATCTTTGCGAATAGCGCGAGTCGTTCTGAGACTGAGACGGCTGTGGTTCGTTCGCGCTGAGCCGTGCTGCAGACTGTGGCATCTTGATGCAGCTTCCTTAGAGCGAAACGAGATATGTGCGAAAGCCGTCACAAGGTGAAAGCGCTACACGATCGTGAGTCTCCGGCGAAGTGAGCATGTATGCGGTCAGATGATTGAGCTTCTTACTCTGTCGAGCTTGCGTGCCGCCACAGCTCCGCGATGAAGCTGTTCAAAATATCGGATGCTTTCCAAAGGCGTGTCTGCTGATATACTTTGGAATGGATGGTGGTAGAACGCACACAATGATGAGAGTCTGAGAGTCTTGAGTGGCCGCCTCGCCCATCCAATACCATGTGAATCACGTGAATCTTCCACTCAGCCTCGAGTCTGATGAGTGATTCACGATTCTTGATTCGTGATCTGCGCGATAGCCGATGGCGATGGGACACAAGCCGGCGCCTATCTGATGACGTTTGGCTATGTTCGGCCTAAAGACATTCTCGCAGAGCTTGTCACGTGTATTGCCATTGAATGTGAAGGCTCCGCCGCCGAAGATCTGCCGATGCCTCGAATCCCTCGCAAGCATCAGCAGCCATGCAGAGGCGGGTGTGCCTGCATCTTGGTACACATGTGCGCGGGAGCCTCGCCACAGCAGTCACAACAGCCTTGAGTTGTGAGTCGGGGTGAGAGAGGAGCTATTGGCCGCGTGGCTTTCTTTACCGCATCCTCCTTTGGCCCGCAAGGCTTGACTGACCCTTCTTCCCGACGTTTTTCTTCCCTGCATTCATCGTACTCGCCCACGATTGGCGCCATTCACCCTTTGCTCCTCATCCTCACATCTCTCCCTTCCCGTATCTCCGCTCTTCCCTCCATCTCTCTCGATCTTCCCGCAAAATGTTGAGCGTCCATCAAGCAAATGCGCTGGTGTATTCCACGCTGTGCGGCTTCATGCTCGTGGGCCTGTACGCGGGTTACAGCGTCAAGAACAAGAATCAATTCTTGGGAGGTGTTCGAACGCAGAGCGGTGAGCAGAGAATGGGGAGTGGCATGCGCCATTCGTCTGCACTGCAGTCAGCTCACACTCACATGGCCTTCTCAGCCTTGCCACTCACTTTGAACTGGATAGCAAGCAGTTAGTTTGAGCAACGAGCAGACCATTGGAGCGCCCGTCCAAGGAATCAGAGCACATGGAAAGCGCGCCGCGCAGACGCATACAATATCGGTAATGTTAGATCTCGCTGTCCAGCAAAACCAGACCCCAAAGTACTCCTACTCCGGCTCGGTGCGGTCAGATGGCGAGAGGGGAGTGTGCGGCAAAGACGCCACTCCTGCCCCCGCCGATCAAACTCGTGCCAGCAATCGGCAAGTCGCACTCTTCAACCCACCTACTGCACTGTACCAGCCGGAGCATCAGCTACGGGTGCTTGCTGGAAGTTGGTGTGCCAGGGCGCAGCCTCTCTCGGTCTCGCTCTGGCGCGCCATCTTCGGGCTTGCTGAGATCATACCGTTCGCCATTGGAGTGGCCCATAGGTCAGCTCAAGATGATGCGCGTCGCACAGGCTCTGCGCTCCCTATCATGGTCGCTTTGCTTGGTCGTACGAAGTCGCTTGCCCGCTGACCTTGGGTACCGCACATCCAATCGGCTCAAACCGGATCGAGATAATGCTCGCGACGGGAAGCTGCTCTATTCCTTCTGCCTAAGCGCCGTGCCGGCAAGCCGAGTGTCACCAATTTGAGGCATCGCTTCGCAGCTGTACTCAAGACAGGTCGGGCGTGCCGAGCGCGGCGCAAGGGAATTTGCCCGCACGTGCGGGCTTGCACAGTCAAGCTGATTGCGTCCCGTTTTTCCTATCCTTTGCGTCACAGACATGTCCTCCTCGCTATTCTTTGGCTATCCGCAAATTGCCGTTATTCCAGACGCAGGAATCCTTGGACTCACCGCGTACGCCTTCGCAACAGTCGCCCCTCTCTGGTTTTTTGCTTGGCTCGGACCGCAGATGCGAAAGCTGTGCCCAGATGGTTTCACCATGGCTCAATACGTGCGCGTACGCTTCGGCTGGCCCGTTGGTGTCCTCATCGCAGTGGTCGTGAGTGGGCTTGAAAGCATGCAGAAGAGAAGACAGGCGCGTCGGAAGTGATCAGCTGACATTGCGCCACCCCATTGTATCTGTCCACAGTTTGTCGCCTTCATGCTTTGCTTCATGCTGGTCGAGCTCAACACGTACGGTAGCGTCGTATCCACCCTCGGGGGGGTCAACCCGACGATTGCAGCCCTAATTGTGGCGATTATCACCACGATCTACACAGCGTATGGTGGATTCCAAGCGTCCCTCTGGACGGACAATGTGCAGTCAATCATCATCCTCATCTTCATTACCATTGGTGGAGCAGCGATCGGTACTCGAATTGAGCTCGATCAGCAGCGAATCGATGACAGCGGTCTGCTGAAGGCTCACAGCTTGGGTGGCCAGCTTTTCTTCATCTTGCCTGCCGCGCTCATCTTCTCGCAAATGTTCAACCAGGGTACGTTTCGTGAACGTCTCAGATCTCAAAGTCCAATTTTAATGGCGTTCCTCTTACGTCATGTCCCACAATAGGTTTCTGGCAGCGCGCCTTTGCGTCGAAGACGAACAAGACGCTGTACCTGTCCGTAGCTCTCGCTACTCTACCCCTCTTCGCCATCTGCTTCCTGGTCGGCATCACTGGACCCCTCGCCCAATGGGCCGGACTTTTTGACGGCATCACTCCGGAGGATGATGGCTCTTCCAACTTCTTCTACATCATCGCCACTTTGCCGAATTGGGTCCAAGGCATCGTGCTTGTTCTCGCCGGCGCACTCACAAGCTCTGTCAGTGACTGGGTCGAGAGTTTTGTTGACGTTTTTGGCCACGTAGCAGTGCATCTTGCTAATCTAGTACGTTTCCTTGGAAACAGGCGTACGACACCTTCCAGAGCGCTCAGATTTCGACTATTGAAAATGACGTCTGTAAGTCTCTTCGACCGTTGCACCTCGACACGTGAAACGGGAATTGATTCTTGCGCCTTCTCCCATGCAGTGCTTGGACGCGTCAATCTCTGGTGGTGTAGGTTAATCCTGGTCGCGCTCAACGTCCCTGCAGTGGTCCTTGCCGTCAAGAATGTCGACATTCTGCAGGTGTTCCTGATTGCGGATCTCGGTGCTGCAGCAGTCTTGCCTGGTACTTTGCTCGGCTTGATCCCCCAGCTATGGTGGCTAAATGGCCTCGACGTGTGAGTCCAAGAAATCTTTTCACACGGATGCGATTCTCGGCTCAGCGCTTACTTCCCTCGCATCGTCTGGGTCCTCCAGGTTCATCGGAGCTTGCGGAGGCTTCTTCACTGTCTTCATAGCAGGAACGATCTACTACCACGGAGACGCAAAGGCGGGCGGAGACTTGATCATCCTACCCCAAGGTCTTTACGTCGGCGGCGACGACTACAGCGTGCTTATGGCTTTCTTCGCTGCGCCACTTGGCTCTGTAGGATGGTCGCTGGCCAGTGGTGGAGCTCGCATTGGCGCTCAGTGGCTCTTCGCTCGTGTGCAAGGAAGGGAGTTCTCTTTGCAGCGCGTTGACTTCGACACGACCAACTACGCTCTGCCTCAAGATAGACCTGCAGACCTGCACGGTGTTCATGGATCTGGCAATCCTCGCGACAGAGCCGGATTTGAGGGTGATCTCTACGAACCGGAGACTGGGCACGACGCGAAGGGACTTGCCGGAAACACTTCAGACGCCGGAGATGACCGCAAGAGCGTCTCTGCGGCCTAGTGTGCGGAGGATGCTTGCTTAGTAGTGAGCATGAGGGCCAAAACTGCACGGACCTTGTTGATCGGTCTTGGTCGAGGCGACGCCAAAGTTTCGAGCTGTAGTACGACGGATTCCCGAGGCGAATGTGATGTAGGGGTTAAGAGTTGAAGCGAGGTGGACATGAAGCGTGTGGGACATGTCGGCTGATGAAAAGGGATCGTGATTGGCGTTGCCAGGCGCAGCGACCTGATGTGATTGCGCACATGCGAGCTGGTAGATCCGAAGGCGCTCGATCGGGCACTCGCCGTCTCTCGCAAGCCGAATTCGTGATTCTGACGTGTTCAATCCACGCAGAATATGAAATCCAATCCAATCCAATCCAGCGCTCATCAGCGTGCTTGCTTGTCCAGCATGACCATACAACTCGTGACTCTCTTAATTTGTAGATGGTATCTTCGACCCATCCCCGCCGCCGCGCGCTCGCTTGTGATCGTCGTCGATGCATGAAAGATGACAAATTCGAGCGGCAAATTGCCGGCCACCGCGCCCGAGGGTGAACTAGCGTCTGATCGACTGAAGCCTTGTTGTGAGCTCAAACACCGAGGCAGCTAGGTAGGATTTGGGGCAGATTGCACAAACAATGGCGCTCGTTGAAGCGTGCCGGCGTCCCTTGGATCAGAGTTCGTGCCGTGATGTAGTCGTAGCAGTAATGGTGGTGGCGTCACAAGCTAACTCATCACGTCGGGCATATGGAATTGCGAGCGGTTGAGAGCATCAACCACGGCTCTTCCTGATCAGAGTCGGTGGGTGATGGCAATGTGGCACAACGTATCGAGGCGTACAATGTGCGTGGATGGATCAAGCAAAAGTATAAGAGGGGCAGCTTCAAGACTGTGGTAAGCTGTGACTCCATCACTTCTCACCTCATCACGAACACACAAGCTCGATCCAGCCCACTCAGAGTCGATCTCCATTTCTCCTTCCAGACCACCATTGCCCTCCGAAATCCTTCGCAATGCCAGCGGCACCCAAGACATCCCAAAAGTTGGCGGGCAAAAAGTATGTGCTGCTCGGTGGCACCTCCGGCATCGGGTTCGCGGTCGCAAGCGCGCTGATCGAAGAAGGAGCATCAGTGGTGGTAAGCAGTTCTGGCTCGGCTCGAGTGGAAGAAGCGGTTCGGAAGCTGAGCGATGCGGAGCAGCAATTCAATGCCGACCCTTCTCGCGCCTCGGGCCACGCCCTGGATCTGTTCGGCCCAGAGGTGGAGAGTAGGCTGAATGCCTTTTTCGCAAAAGTGGGACCCATCGATGGACTGATCCACTCGGCTGGAGATAGCTTGGACCCTCTACCTTTGGAGGAGGTCACTTATCAGGCTATCGTGGAGAGGAGCAGCGTCAGATACTTTTCCGTCATCCTCGCCATCAAGGCCGCTCTTCCTCATCTCAAACCGCACTCGAGCATCGTCTTTACCAGCGGCACGAATGCTGACCAGCCTATTCCGGGCCTCGGGGTGAGTCGGGTCCTGGCATGGCTTGCCGTGCCATGCCGCGGACTACGCTCTTGGTCGAGATGAGTCAATGCTAAGACGAACACTTCACCATGCCCTGCCGTGCAGATCATGAGCGGCTTGGCTGCTGGATTGTACGGTCTAGCCCGCGGTCTCGCGCTCGACCTCTCGCCCAGACGCATTCGCGTCAATGCGGTTGTGCCGGGTGCAACCCTGACGGAGCTGTTCGAGCGGCTTCCAGCTGAGGTGAAGAATTACCTGCTGGAGGAGGCGAGCAAGCAGCCTACCTGGAGAGTCGGCCATCCTGAGGATGTGGCTCAGACGTATCTCTACCTGCTGAAGGATGACAACATTACCGGTCAAACGATCAAGAGTGGGTGCTTGCTTGCAACTCGAGGCTGCCGCATTGAGAACTGCAGTCACACGAAAAGCTGACGTTCGACTACCATTCACGCCTTGCGAATAAAGGCGATTCTGGAAAGGCAATCGGTCCACGTCCTGGAGCCTAGCTGGCACGATGCCTCCGACCGTCCTCCGTCACTCCTGGCTTCGTCTGCACGGCCCGGTCACCGAAGATGGGGTCTGATGGCCGTGCATCAGAGTGCGCTATACTGGTCTGGCAATGAAGCGGCATCTTAATTGCTGTCACAGATCGTGAATCAATCTGTCTCGGGATCGTTGTATGAAACTACCTTCGCGCCCTTGATCGAAAACAATCTTGAATGCGGCTTTAACCTTGATCAGTTAACGCGCTTGGATGCGTGATGATGAGCTCGCAGGGATGCTGACGCCATCAGTCAAGAGTCAGAGTCGAGAGTTCCTAGAGTCACGTGGCACGTGCCATCGTGATACAAGCGCTATATGCATCGCTGACCCATCGACAGACATGACGAGTGTGGCGCCTTGGAGTAGGCGGGAGAAGCAGAGGGCGGCGAAGGAAGACGATATGAAAGGGCAAGAAGCTTGAAAGGTTCGTGAGCATCGGTGATGTGTCGATGTGATCACGTGGTCGAGCTTGTCTGCTGGCGTGCACACAAAGCTCGCGGCGACTGTGGGAGAATCTATAGCGGTATACCTGATGGTCCAGCATCAAACGGAGCAAGCACCTTGGAAATCTTGCGGCCATCTGGCGGGGAGCCGATTAGATGATCAGTGACCTGCCTGCTGCTGCATGGCCTGCTGTGGCAGGCATTCCTCGATTAGATGTCATGCAGACCCCAGCTGTAATCGTGAATAGATACGCTGCTAAGCGCAAAGGAGAATTACAGTAATTAAGCTGCAGACATTAGCAACCTTCAACCTACGCGTACAGGCAGGGGCAAAGGCTCGTCTGAGGCCTTAGTGCCTGGTACCTCACAGCAGAAATCCGCGCGCTCAACCGGCTTCTTCGCGATTTCAGTTGCCGGAAGTCGAGGTGACAGTTCGTATACACCGCGTGCTACCCTACCCCACGCCACGCAGCAGCTACAGCTTGCGCGGGGAGGGGCCACCCACCGCTACATTGCTCGGCTCGCGCGATCGGTTGCTTGGTACCGCCGAGCCAAGCCTGTCTTTTGGCCCCGCTTTCGCGCTTCGCTCGTCTGATGGTGTTTGGGAATGTGTGCCTCGAGTCGGGATAGCGCGAGGACAACAAGTCGTACTGTGATCCAAAACTGCAGCAGCAGTTGATTGTCTCTCCCACCCCTCACCCCCTCTCCAGCTTGCTAGCCCATCTCGTCGCGATCCCCTATTTCGTACTAGGCTCACCTCAACAACCAGGCCAACATGTCGCTCCGCACGCCACTCACCGAACTCTTCGGCATCAAGGTGAACAGCTGACTGGTGTGCCCCGTCGGTAACGATGTGCGAAGCTGACACATCCCGTCACCTACTTTCCGCCCTTCAGCATCCGATCATGGTGAGTCGTTCGGCTACACGTGTCAAGATCTTGACAAAGTGCGGCACACTCATCAAGCTTTTCACTGTCCTCCTTCAATCGCCTGTCGTCAGCTCGCTGGCATGAACGTCGCAGCTGGTCCTGAGCTCGCAGCAGCAGTGACAAATGCAGGCGGTATCGGAGTCATCGGAGGTGTCGGCTACACTCCAGATTTCCTGCGAGAGCAGATCAAGGAGCTCAAGGATAATTTGAACGACAAGAACGCTCCGTTTGGTGTCGACCTTTTGCTGCCAAAGGTTGGAGAAGGTGCCAGAAAGACGAGTGAGCGTTAGCGTGGTTGCTGACTAAGATGACTTGTAGCCTGTCCTGATCTGAGCGGGCTGTATGCACCTTGCGCTGCAGACTATGACTACACTGGAGGCAAGCTTGGAGAGCTCATCGACATCATCATCGAGGCGAAAGCCAAGCTGTTTGTGTGAGCCGTTGCTCTTCTTCTCGAGGCTGCCACGCGTTTGCTGCACGAAACTGACAAGGAACTTTTCTCGCGATGCTCATGTAGCTCGGCCGTAGGAGTTGCGCCCAAAGAAATCATCGAGAAGCTGCACAAGGCTGGAATCGTGTGCGCGGGTATCATTGGCCACCCCAAGCACGTCAAGGGCAGCGTTGCCAGTGGCGTAGATATGATCATCTTTCAAGGCGGAGAAGGTGGAGGCCACACTGGTGACATTCCCCTCTCTGTGCTCGCGCCTAGAGTGGTCGACATTACGCGAGGACACAAGAGCCCCTTGACGGGCAAGCAGATCCTCACTGTCGCTGCTGGTGGCATTTTCAGAGGCAAAAGTCTCGCTGCTGCGCTCTGCTTCGGTGCGGATGGCGTGTGGGTCGGCACGAGATTTGTCGCTTCGCAGGAGTCCGGCGCTCCTCGCAAGCACAAGGAAGCCGTGTTGACCAGCACCCACGAGACCGACGTCCGTGAGTACGATGCTGGTCTACGACATGACTTTGTGTGGTGACTGACGACGCGCTACGTTCGCGCGGATTTCGTGCCCGACAGGCACCATCATCTTTACCGGTCGACCCTTGAGGTTGAAGAACACACCGTACATCCAAAAGTGGGAGGATCGTCCAGACGAGATCAAGAAGCTCACTTCCCAAGGAGTGATTCCTGTCTACCACGATTTGGAGAACGATGACGAGAAGGGCACAGCAGAGGAAGGCGCTCGCGAGCGCTACCTGCTCGGCAAATGCGCAAGCGTGATTGGTGAGTCGTTTCGAATCTCCTCGTGGGGCAACGTGACCTCAAGTCGGTAGCTCAGACTTTGGCCGTGTTTAATCTTTAGAGGACATCAAGCCCGCTGCGCAAATTATCCAAGAGATGGTAAATGAGGCTGTGGATGTACTTCAATCTGGTGAGTCAACAGCAGCAGCAGGCGCGAACGAACCTTGCTGACCATGATGGTCCGTTCGAACACGAATGCTTTTGCATGTGTGGCGCAGGTCGCGAGCTCGTCGTCACTGGCCCACGTCTTTGATTCGTCACGTCCCTGATGCACTCAGGGCGCTTTTCAGGCTGTGCCGAGCTTGGCTAGCAGTGGATGTTGCATGTGAATCTCATTATTGCGCGCTGGAAATCTGCGAAAGAGAGAGTGTGTTTCTTCTTAGGGAGCTAGCTGGTCCAACTGCCACGTATCGTCAGCTGCGTCCTTGGCCGACTCGAGTGATCGCGTGTAACTTTTGCAAAGAAATCGAGCCATGGCCGGGTATCAGCTCGAGTGCGAGCAAGCTGCAAGGGCGAATGTATGCGAAGATGATCAACTCACCGGAACCTGTCATGCAGTCTATTTTCCCTTCCTAACCAAAACTCAATCTCATCTGGGATGACGCGCCAGCCTCCCCAATATTCGGGCACTGGAATCTTTTTGCCCTCATCTGGCGGAGGCGCACCATGCAGACCAGCCGCACCGGGCACTTCGAACCTGTGCTCCACACTTTGCACCCGCTCCTCCAGCTCCCTTCTATCGCTGATGACCTGACTTTGAGGACTGGCATGCGCGCCGATCCGACTTCCCAAGGGCCGAGTGTCAAAGTAAGCCTGCGATTCGTCCGTACCGAGCTTTTCCGCCTTGCCACACACGCGCACCGATCGATGCAGTGGCTGATCATAGTAGAACGTCAAGCTGCACCACGGGTTGCTCTGCAATTCTCCGCTCTTGCGGGAAGAGTAGTTGGTGAAGAAGATGAAGCCGCGCTGATCCAGTGTCTTGAGCAGCACCACTCTAGAGCTGGGTCGAGCATGAGTGATGCCTTGCGAGCCCTGCATCAGACTAGCCGTGGAGAGCGTCATGGTCTCGGGAGCCAAAATGTCTGCCTTCTTGGCCTCTTCGAACCACGCGTGGAAGAGAGAGATGGGCGATCGAGGCAGATCGGACTTGGATAGACCAGCATTGTGGTACTGATCGTGCGTCGTGATGGATTCGAGCGGCTTGGCAGATGAGAAGTCTTTGCTGGCAGCCGATGAGCTTGACTGACCGCTCGGGGCGCGCTGCTCGCTCGAGCTGAACAGAGCGGGCGGTTGAAAGTCTGTCATCGTCGTCGCCGACCCGATTCGATGTGCGGCTTTGCTCGCGAGGCTGCGCGAGTCGGTGCGAGACGCGATGGACGAATGGCGCTTGGGTGTTGCAAGGTGCTGCTCTGGAGCACCTAGTCGTAGGAGGCAGTGCTTTGTGGTGACCAGGCGTGAGCTCGAGTAGCAGCGGATTGGCAAGCTCATGGAAGGACTCTGAGAGTCGGTCGTATGTCAGCGTCAAGAGCCGAGCAGAAGTGCATGCATTGAATCGAATGGTGTTCGACCTAGATGGGAGGCACAATCTCGCCTCTTGTTGGAGGGGTTGAGGGTGAGAAGCTGTTGTAGCGGGATGATGATGAACGGCGAGTCGCTGCCTCAGTTTGAGTCCGATGAAGTACACCTTGGTCACGAGTTGCATGTCGTGAATTTGGTGGAGTAAGTGAGTCATCCTGATCACGTGCACAGCGGCCAAGGGATAGGTGAGTCGGAAATTCTTCTCGAAGATTGTTTCTGTTTTCGCCAAAATCATGTTTACATGTTTTGCACGCCTTGGTAAAGACTCGTCCACAATTCGCATCCACATTCGTGATTCGTGATTGACAATCGATTGTTAGCCACGCGCTTGCTCATGTCTTCTCTGTGAGCACGGAGCTGAGCAATCCTTGACCTGGCGCTCAAAGGACGTCAGACCCAAGTGGATGCCATGGCATCGATCAATGTCCACTTAGCTGTTCCTTCGAGCTCATTACCACTCGGCTCTTGCGCTCCCAGACCGACTGAGCTCTCCCGTCGCAGATCAGGCTCAAGAAGGAGTGAGCGGACGAAGCTGACGGAGCATCAGCTGCTAAGGAGACTATGAATGGGGTGCTTCCGACTCTCGTCATACAGATGCATTTCAAAAAAGTACAACGATGCCCAGGCGAGTCCAGGAACCAAGCGACATTGACAATGCCCTTCGTCTCACGAGAAAGGCTTGATTGCGAAACATGAGCATTACCTGTCCTTCACGGCTCAAACTGCTTCCTGGAAGATGTGGGCCTGTTGTTCCTTGTAGTCGATGCCAGGAGCTGAGGCAAGAGCTGACAAGCTGACGAGCTGACGAGCTGACGAGCTGACGAGCTGACGAGCTGACGAGCTGACGAGCTGATGAGTCTGGCCCTGTGAGAAAGAGAAAGAGCCCTGCGGACGAAACAGGGGCCACTGGCGCGCCTCCATCAGTTCCCTTGATGCTAGCTAGACAGAGACAGGGGCTCGGCCTGGCGGTTGTTTGCCACGCTAGCTTGGCGCGCAGTGTCCCGACTAGGCTGGCATCACAATGAGCAAGGGGTAGGCTCAAGGCGTCCCATGGCGACGGGCTTGGGCCACGGACTGGAGGCAACGAGTGAATCATTCGTGATTAGATCTCGCCAGACTTTGCAATCTCTGCGCTGCAAGTCGTGGAGCCGGTGGGAACAGGTGAAACGTAGAGAGGCAAAGCCGATCTTCTTCCGCGTCCAATGCTTGCATTGCGTGAGGCTCGATCGCGCTAAAGGGCACTTTGCGTGGCCATACATACAGTGCTAGCCTAGCTGACACTTTTTAATGTGGGGTACATTTCCCCATGGGCGATTATCACCTCACCTCTCACTTGACTCAAGACTTTTCCAAGTGTGCTACAATATAGCCTGTGCAGGATCGTGCGAGCGCTTGAGCTAAAAGAGGACACATACTGTACCGTCGGTCCGAAATCCTCATCAGATCAATTACTGTGCTTGCTAGGGCATCCATGCATCCATGTGCACAAAGTGCTCCGCACCAGATGTACGAAGCACCGTCTCGGATCTTTGATCGCTGCTGGGGGAAGCACCGACCTCTTCCCCACACGCCACAATGTAGAGTAGCAGCACTGATGCCGAAGCGCGAGGGGTGGACTTGTGCAGGTTAGCGCGCAAAGACACACGGCAGAGTGCTTAGATTGATCCGGCGGGAGCACGCTAACCTAGACTCGTCGATGCCGCTTGCACTTGAAGTTGTGTGTGTGTGTGTGTGAGCTGCTTCCGTGAGTAGTGAGTCAATTCAATCTGACATTTGTGATATTCGATTGACATTCGTGATTGCGTCGCGAACGTCAACCACAAAGCTGGTCGCTTTGCTGGTAGCAATCTGTTGGACACGGTCGTCAACAGAGATGCCCCTCATGCCCCAAGAATGTCCGGCGAAAGTCGGCCCTATGTAGCTGAGGCCTACGAAGTGAAGCTCATCTTGCTCGGCCAGGGTGCAGGACAGAGCACGCATCTAAATCGGCGGCTTTGACGCTGCTGCAGCGATCAATCTAATTTAGATTCATCCCTCTTGCCGATGCGGGGCGGGCTGCTATGGAGAGGGGAGCCGAGCGGAAAGAGCTAAATTTAGCGTCTGCCCACTGTATATACAGTCGTGAGTACACTACTTCGAAAGCGACGTTGCACACGTGCAGTCGCGCACAGTACTTGCCAAGCGAGAATGCGGTGCTGGATGACAACATCAACCTCAACGTCGCTGCTGTGGGTCTCAAGCAGTCGCTATGTCTGTTGATCCTCTCGACTCGTGCACACTCACCAGATTGAGCCTGATAGGGGCCATCAAGCGCGGACCGTGAGGCTCAGCCCGGACCTTGGCAGGCTCCGCGCCCTGCCGCAGGGGCCCTCCCGAAAGTGTGCACCACATTCAGTCACAGGGAGCAAGCACGTCGGAGATTCGAGACATGCGCAGAGCTGGCGATGCAAGCGACTGCTGGCCACACGGTCCAGTCTGTTCGAAAGCAGCGGAGACGTGTGCGAGTCCCAAGGAGCTCACCCGAATCATCGTCACAAAACACCGGGCGCCGCTCGAGGTGCGTGCGCGCTTACAGCATCTCGATCTTTGACAGGCGCACGCAGCTGCATATGGAGAGATGTCCGTACAAGCACCGAAGCTCCCTCACATTCTACGGCTGCAGTGCTCGGCCGATCACAGTCATGGTGGCGTGCATTGCATGGGGACCAAGCCAGAAAGCCGCTGCATGGCTGATCCTCCCCGACGTTACGATTTGACGGGTGCGAAGCGGGTCGAGTCGACTGGGAAAAGGTCCAGGCTCTAGCAGCGAAAGACTTGTACTGTACAGTCATCCCGATGGACAACGACAACACCCTTCACTGGGTCCGGTTTGACCCTCTCGTTTGCGAGCTGATGCTTGGTCGAGTGAAGAGGGGCCATCCCGAATCAAAATGTAAGTGCGGCATGTTTTATGGATGCGCGGCCCGCGGTGAACAAACTTGCAGTAGCGCGCATAGACCGACGCGGGTCGAGGAGTCGCTCTCCGCTTAGCGCGGATCGACGGGACAAGCGTTCGCCAGGATCATGCATCAGCCTTGCAGGGCATTCACCTTGCTGCACGCACGACCCTGCTGCTGCTGTTCAAGCCGCATCTCGCTTCCACAGTCGTGAGTCAAGGACCTACCGGTATTATGAATTACGTCTGCTTTCAGACTGCTCTACCTCTGCTGCTCACCGGCCGGTCACATACGACACCTGCTTATTTCAAAGGCTTGGGGAAAACAGCCCATCCGCCGTCTTCCAGACCGCCGTCACGCTCGAGCAGCTCTAGTCAGTCTGTGCTCACGGGCAGAGCAGTCATCCGCCTTCTGATGATCAAGCCCAGATGTTCCACGGAAGGACGTCGCGCATACGGACCTCATCCTCAGAAAGACCGTCGCAGAGCGTCACAATCATTTCATTTCCACAAAAAGCTCTGGAGATTAGCGCTCAACGCCAAGCAGCCTGCTCCGCACACACCGCTCGGCAGAAGTCGAACGCACTGGGTGTTGACGGCCCGTTTAGCGCAGATGCAGCAAGCAAGTGTGACCGTGTGGATGCGAAAAGGCACCAAATATGGTTCGTACCTTCGCTCGCTTGTCGCGAACTTGCTGCGATTGTTTCTCGTTCCAACAACTCGCTTGGTGCCTGCGATAATGCAAGTGGCATCAACGTAGGATCTCTATTCCTCGGCTGATGGCGGACCAAGACAGACAGCTCCAACACACACAAGTAGGAGCGCTGCGCTCGTACTGTAGCTTCATGTGCAACGTGAGGCTAGACAGTCTGCCTGCTTCTTGTGCGCTGCCAAAGAGCCTTCATGTGCGCCGAGCTCGTGAGGTCGTAATTGCAGGCAACACCATTATTTGTAAAGTCGGTGACTTTACGCCCTTTGCTGCTGAGCAAACAATCTCATGCTCGCGTCACATCGGAGGTGGAAAAGAGTGTGCAGTCAGCGTAGCCTGTCGTCTACAAATAGCACGGTGAAGTCTGGAATCTACGACGTTCTCCTTGGCCACCCCTTCCCATCCCGCTTATTGTCCACTGTTGCATAACCCTTCGCTGGGGGGGAAACACACTTCACGGTTGATCCCATCGCCCTTACTTTACCGTTTCGCATCCTCATCCCTTTCTAAACTTCTGCCATGAAGGTCATTCCGGCTGCGCTGCTTGCTGCTGCTGCTGCTGCGCAGTGCGCTCTCGCTCTTCCCCACGTGCAGACCATTTCTGGCAAGAGCGTTCGCGATGCCGTGAGAGCGCAGTCCAACGAGGAAGGTCACTTGCAGCTTCCCAACCCTAGGACCAACCCCGAATACTATGCGCGACACCACGAGATGCTCGCGGCTCGCTACAACAGCGGTCCCAGATTCGAGCGTCCTGCATGGGCGGACCGCCTGGTTCAAGGTCTGCACAATGCTGTCAGCAGCCTTGATACAATGGCCAGCGGCCTAGGACTTGAGCTGCTCACCGTCAGCAAGCTCTTTGCCCCTCTCCTTCCGGCTCCTCAGGGTCTCACATTCCAGTCTGATCGCTTCAGATTCGATGCAGAAGGCGAGGAGATGACTCTGAGCAACAATGCGTCTGCGCTCTTTGACCCTGCGGACTCTGGCTTCGACTATCGCAACGACAAGGTACGAGGTGTCAATATCGGCAACTGGCTTCTCTTCGAACTGTGGATGAGTCCTTCCCTCGCCAACACCCTCAATAGCCGAGTGGAGAACGGAAAATACGGAGACATTGTTGACGAATGGACAGCAGCACAGCACATGTCTTTCAGCTCGCTTCAATCTGTTCTGACAAAGCACTACGACACCTGGTTCACGGAACAGGATATGGCTGACATTGCTGCTGCCGGCCTGAACCACGTAAGGTGAGTCATGGGCTCTTCATGACCGTCATGTCGGAGCAAGTTTTTCGAAGTGAACCGTGCGGGGCACACCTTTTCCGATGCTCGCCTTGCACTGATCGTTGTGTATATCGCGCCTCGCAGACTTGTCATACCATACTGGTCGTTCAAGGAAGCCGTGGGACCAAAGGCCCCTTACTACACTTTCAATCAATTCGCCAAGGCAAAGCAAGCAGTACAGTGGGCCAAGAAGTACAACCTCAAGGTGTGGATCGACTTGCACGGCGTGCCTGGATCTCAAAATGGCTACGACAATTCTGGCAGATCGGGACCCATTCACTGGGCTAACGATGCAGACTATTATCGAAGGACCAAAGTGGCGTTGAAGAAGCTCATCGATGAATTCACTCAACCAGCTTACCGCGGCACCGTCACTGCAATTGAGCCGGTCAATGAGCCTGCAGCGAACCGTAATGGCGCCGTGAAGAATCTGATCCGGCAATACTACCCCGAAGCTAGAGACTCGATTCGCGCCGTTGGGGGTGCGAACACCCTCATGGCATTCCACGACGGCTTCCTTGGACCCAAGTATTGGGAGGGCTTCTTTACTCCGAACCAGGCCAAGCGTACCATTCTAGACGTGCATGACTACTTTGTGTACGGAGATGCTCAGAAGAACAAGAAGGATATCGCCAGGATCCGCGATGTTTGCGCGCTCGAGGGTCAAATCACCAGGTCTCAAGGCTTCTACCCCACCGTGGTCGGAGAGATGGCATTCAATGGTCCTAGTGGAGACCGTGCAAGCGACCGTAACCTTCCAGTGGGACCCGTCAAGTTCCCATCCGGTCCCAACTATCCATACAGCGTGAGGTACATGGCGTTCATGGCTCGCAACTCTGCCACGCAACGCTACGTGTTCGAGAAGGGATCCGGCTGGATCGCATGGTCTTGGAGAAACGATGGATCGCTCGATTGGTCGTACAAGACCGGTCTGCAGTACGGCTGGAACCCCAGGGACCTGAATGCCAAGCCATACGGCAACGACCTTTGCAACGGCTACCGTTGATCCATCTCCTGCTTCTTTCATCCTTTTCTTTGCATCGTCGTCTTGCTCCTTCTCTCTTACGCCTTTGCGATCATTTCTTGTCCCGTCCACCACGACTTGCCGTGTACCCTGCATTACGGCTTGCAAAGCTGCTCTTCCCGTCGCGCAAACAGGAGCTCGTGAATCGAACAGCGCCGGGCTTCACCCAGTTGTGCGATGGATGGAATGCGTGAGGCATCGTTGCGAGATGACGAGTGAAAGGGTCAAGCTTTGCGTCAGCATCATGGATCTGATCTTGTCTGGCACGCGTGCATGCACTTTGACTAGAGCTAGTGAGTGACTGACTATGCATGGTCTAGATGATTCCGTGACTGTGGGAAACGCGCTGAGCTCTAAATGCGCGAGACTGACTTGCGACTCGCGTGTGGACGCGATCGAACGTGCGTTTGAGAATCCGAGGTTCGGTAGCGAACGTGTTTCGTGCGCTTGACCACCCCCCCTTGGGCACGCGCAGCTTCAGACCTGCCTGTGTGGCCGACTGCTCCTTCATTTCACGCTCAGATTCGGGCTCCAACCCCAAAGATCTCATGACTTTGGCTAAAGTAGTAATAGTCTAGTAGCAGCGGGGGGGGACCTGGAAGGCGAACGTGCTTCTGTCGGCTCGCTCAGTGTCCTTGATGAGCGGCAGGGATTGGGGCGCTTGGGGGTTGCCGTGCGCGCTCGCCCCGCCTCCCTTGCCTCAAGGGACGACGGTGCGGGTGTGACGCATCGCCGCTGCTCTATTAGCGTCAGGCCCACGCTCCACAAGGACTTGCTTGCTGGTGCATGCCATGCCAGGACCTGTGCACTCACACTCTTGACTCACGACTCTTGACTGAAGGACGCCGACCGGCAGCTGCCGGCTTGCACGCTTCGCGCCCGTCTGAAGGCGGAGAGACAGATTCGCGATTGGCAGACGCCCGGCCGGCCCTTCCTTGCCCCCCTCGTTGATCCGCTAGCCGCCTCGTGTGCTCTTTGCATCTTGTCGGCGGAATACTCTGTCTCCCACCCTCGGACAGGAACGCAAGATACAGACAGGCAATTTGCGAGAGTTGCCGCCGCGTCTTGCTGCGACAAGCTTTGTCAAGCGACATGTGCGCTCACAGGTCGACAAAAGTTCGTGAATGGCCGTTGCTGTGGCCCCGGGATGCGAGCGATTGGCGCCGTGAGGAGATCGCGGCGCGTCCTGACGAGCCACTCGCGTCTGCCACGACAACGTTCAAATCTTTGGCAGTCTCCTCTTCCCTCCTTGCTTTCGCGTAGCGTTACGAACAAAGAATCCAACACGCTGATGGACTTGGTCTCAAGGAAGAGCAACTCCCTTCTCACTCACCACCATCCTGGTGTATCCATCACAAAGACAAGCGGCCGTTCACACATCTAAAAACTCCCTCACGAGAGAAGCTGCCGCAAGACACTTTCGAAATGGCTGTGACGGCTCACGATGCGCCTACGCGCCTCCACCACCAGCAAGAGAGTGTGGCTCCTTCAGCCTATCCATTGGACGCAAAGAGGCGCAAGCTTCGAGTCGCCATCATCACAGGTGCGTGACCGCAGATTGCGCAGCTTGCTGTCTTGATCCCGTGGCAACCTCAGCCCGTGCCGTCCAGCTGACCCTCCTGGCACCAACGTCTTTCTCCAACAGAGAACTTCTTGCCCAAGGTAGACGGTGTTACGCGTACGCTTGCGCGCCTGCTCGAGCATCTCAATGCGGAAGGCCACGAAGCCATCGTATTCGGACCCGAGACTGGCATGGTAAGTGGTCTCCTCCCAAGGAGCGCAAAGCTTTCAACGATGCACTCTGGCGATCTCCCAGAGCTTCAATTACTGACTCTGATTTTCGCTATGCTGCCGATATCCAGACAAGCTATGCTGGACACCCTGTCGTCGGCACTTTTGGTTTACCGCTGGTCATCTATCCCGGACTCAAGCTCAACTTCTTGAGACCACGTTTCATTCGGAGGCTTCAGCAATTTAAGCCAGACGTGATTCACTTCGTCGATCCAATCTGGCTCGGCGCTCAGATGCTGCCCGTCGTCCAGAAATGGTTGCCGTTGGTGCCGTGCGTCTCGTCCTATCACACCAACCTGCCCACTTATGCCACCCTCTTTGGCATGCCATGGCTCGAGGCGACAATGTGGAAGCTCACGAGGAGCTTGCATGACCGCTGTGAGATGGTCTTTTGCCCGTCTGAGAGCACCAGGCGCATGCTGCAAGGCAAAGGCTTCTCCAATGTCAAGATTTGGAGCAGAGGTGTCGACACGGAGATCTTCAACCCTCAAGCGAGAGATGACAATCTGCGCGCAAGTTGGGGCTGCACACCAAAGCCAGACAATCTCGTGGCGCCCCTCACTCCCTCGATCTCCAACACAGGCGACGAAGCTGCCCTCGTGCAGCTCGCTGCCAAGCTCGGAGTCAGCGTGCGCCTGCCCATCACGAGGCGCAGTCTTAGCGCGAGTCCGGATGATGAAAGCTTCATCCGCACGCCACCAACAGGTCCAAGCCTTGCCGGCAGTCCCGAGCTCTCTCCCCCGCCCTCCTACGACAGCCTCGCTGGCATTCCAGAGCTCGAGAGCGCCAACTTTGCCTTGCCTCCGCCGGCTATGCCAACGCCCAGTGCCAAGCCAGCAGCCACCGCTCCTCCACAGCAAAACCTGCATCCCGCTGAAAGCCGCACGGTCATCCTTTACGTGGGTAGAATATCCTGGGAGAAGAATTTGCGTCTCTTGATCGAAGCTTTCAAGTTGCTACCGACGGCCGTTCGAAGCAATGCCAAACTAGTCTTCGTCGGGGATGGCCCTGCGCGCGGTGAGCTCACGCGCGTTTGCAGCAGGCTCGGACTCGACGCCAGTTTCATGGGTCATCAAAAGGGAAAGCGCTTGGCCGCAATGTACGCCAGCGCTAGCGTATTCGCTTTCCCCAGCTTCACCGAGACCTTCGGTCAAGTCGTTCTGGAAGCTCTTGCGAGCGGGCTGCCAGTGGTCGGTTTGCACGCAGAGGGAACTTCTGACCTCGTCACCCACGGACGCACCGGCTTATTGCTCGACGTGGCTGCCGCCGCAAAGTCCGCAAGCAGCAGCGCCTCGTCCGCACTGGGCAACGGCAAGGAGGCAGCTTCGGGCGCCATCAGCGCCCCCGCTTCGCCTCGATTGACTGCTTTGCGAGCTTCAGCATCGACTGCCAGCCGATCCGATGTGTCGGCAAGCACTGCCATTGCAGACTTTGCTCAAGCAGCATCCACCGCTGCCGCAAAATTGCGACCCGCGTACGAGCGAAGCGGCTCTTCGTCTTCTCTCACTGGTGTTCTTTCTCGCAGCTCCAGCAGCGCTAATGCAGTCCCCTTGGCCCCGACATCTGGTCTTGCAACCCCAATCCCATCGGTCGGCGACTTTGCGGCTGCAATGTCCACATCTTCCGCCGCTTTTGCCGCCTGCGCTCGCAGTTACAGCATGCTCCTCGAGCGTCTCATCAGGGACAGAGCGCTCAGAGCTGCGATGGGCCAGCGTGCTCAAGTCGGGGCTTCGCGCAAGACGTGGTGGGACGCTATGGACGCCGTCGTTCAGGGCTACGAAGAAGTGGTGGAGAAGGCCGGGATCTACAGACTTTCCGACGAGGAGCTCGAGGAGCTGAGGGCGCGACAGCAGCGCAACGCGCCTCTCACCGGCCCGATAGTAAAGATGTGCATTGTCCTTTATCTAGCTCTTTTCCTTTTCATCTGGACCGCTTTCTTGGGATAGACTCTTCATAGACCGACCCGCAAAGCTCCAGCCAGCCACGCCGCCAAGCCTTCCGCATACCCTTCTGTCGAATCTCGATCATTGGGATAAGACAACTTTGCATGTCACGTTCGATTCTTTCACGACACTCAGTTCCACGAAATGTATGCGTGCATTGTAGACAAAGGTATCGCTCTTCGCGCAGTACATTATCGAAGATGATTCGAGACATTGTGCCTGTTTGTGAGCGCAGATACCGAGATGAGACGGTAGAGAGGTCTTTCTTGACCGACAGATGTCCCATCATGGCACGCTTGCTAGCTGTCACCTTTTGATGCTCTGAAATAGAGTTTTGAGGCCTTTGCGACGGCTCTTCGTGCTTGTGACGCTCTCTGCGTAATCTTTATCTTTACCTGAAGACGTGCCAGGAAGCACACCTGAATGTGAAGAGACTGGAGTTCCCGAATTGGTGACAGAGCCAATCGCCGAGCTCGAAGATGCGTAGGGATCGAAGTCGGGCGGAGCGTGGAAGAACGACGAGAGCTCAGATTGAGATCTTGGCGGAAGCGACAGCAGCTGCTGTGGGGTACCTAGGGCTTGTCCGGGCCCCTGCGCGACACTCGATGCGCTCGATACTGATCCCGCCATCTTTCGGCCGACGGCACGACCTCCACTGCCATTTCCTGCGCTGCTGACTGTGGGCGTCGGGGACGGACTGAGGGTGGTGCCACGCGGGGACGCTGGAGGTACCGGAGGGTTGCGTTTCACAGCATCTGGCACAGAGCCCGTCTTCTGAAAGGCAAACTCAGGTCGAGGTGCGAGCAAAGTGGACGTTGACTGAGGAAAGAGCGCGTCCGCGTGATCGGAGAGCGGGACGGCAGAGTCGGTATGGCGGGTAAGGGACGCGAGCTCAGTTGGTAAGGAAGGGCTGTGTCGATGAACTGGCTGAGCGCCAGGTGATGACTGCGACCGACCAAATCCATCAACCCCTGCAAATGAGGGAGTTCTGATTTCGCGATCACCGTTTGAGTCTCGAGAGATTGCCTGAGTGGATCGCGCAGAACCGATCTCGGAATCGCCAGCGCGTGAGAAATGTGTTGATCGCAATAAATCTTCGCTGGCTCGGGATTGGATCCATCCGCCGTGGATATTTGCGCCGGGTCCAAAAGACCGGTCCGCCGATTTCATGCTCGTAGAGCCCGCCGTTCTTGCTGGCATCGTCAGCCCGGCAGAGTGCGGCGGTTGTAGGGCAGCCTTGTGGGACGCACGATCCGCTGGCAGAGGGGGCGCGCGCTGTTGCTCTGCGAGGAGGACAGCAAGGCGAGAGGTTTAGGTTTCGATCGCCAATCCAGATTCCAAACCCACGCAACGCGCGGCTCACTCTCACCTGCAAAGATGGAATTCGTCGGGACAGTCGATCCCGCGGCTTTGCGCCTCGCTGCCTCTTGGCTCGAAGGAACAGCTCGGGGCGTTTCGGTCTCCGCTGGGGACGCTGCCTTCGACCTGGCAGACCCTAGTTGACCAGTAGACGGCTGCAAAGCTTGCGCTCTCGTGCCTGATTCTGAGGTGGAGCGTCCAAAAGTCCGCGGCGAATTCGGCGATGTTGGCGTAGCTGCTGCGCTTGAGATATTGCTTCTCGCAAGAGCCAGTGCTGCGGGAGGTGGCGAGCGAACGCTATAGACTGCATTGTCATGGATGTAGCGTTGATTTTCAGCCACACTCGGCAACTGCGAGCGCCCGGTCAGGCTCGCCCCGCTCGCTTGGCGACGAACCGCCCGACTAGCGGCGAGGTCCGCTTGGAGAGCAGCCTGGGGGGCAACAAGATCGGACGAGTGCCTCTCCTGCGCCAAAGCAGCGCCGTAGGCAGCTAGCATCTGCGAGAGGCTTACTCCTGACTCGTCGTCTTTGGGTGTCTTGCCGTCGCTGCCCAGCTGATCAGCTTGTCTGAGAATCGCTTGAGCCTGGTCCGCGGCGCTGAGTGGAGAGGCTGCCGAACGCAGGGAGGAGGAGGAGGCACGACTCGCCACGCTGCCAGCGTTCGAGGCAGATCTCAATCCGCGTGTGGGAGCTGGAGACGATGCGGAAAGACCGAGCCCAGTTCCCTCAGAGATAGCGCTTCCCACAAGACGCCGGGGTGAGTCATGTGGAGAAAGGCGCATGGAATCTAGCTGCGTGGCGCCTACGCTTTGAGTTCCAGAAGGGATGGCAGGCGCGGCAACGGCGTAAGAGCCCGAAGCTGAGCTGGAGCTGGCAGCTGAGAGGGAGCTCGAGCTTCCGTACCGAGGCAGCTGTGGGAGCTGCGGCTGCGTTGGACCGCCGCTGCTGACGTGAGGACTAGACCCGTTTGATGCCTGGGGTCGATTTCCCGACGAGCTTTTGGAGCTTGAGGAGTGCTGCCGGCTGCTGGGACATTGATCATCTGAGGAGGAGGATGCGTGAAGTGGGACAGGCCGCCCGGCGTTGGGACTTCGCGATGCGGTCGCCGATCGTAGACGATCTGGGAGGCGATGCTTGTCATGCTGCTCGCCAGCCTCATCGTCAGCAGCTGGCACTGGTACATCGCCCAGAAACTCTTGCGCATCCTCGAAAAGCGCGTCGTCCACGCTCTCTCGGGCGCTTGGAGAAGCCTGTTCAAGCTCGAGAAGCCTTGTGCGTGGCGACAGCGATGGGTTTCCCGCAGCTTCGACGACGAGAGGGGCTTGAGAAGTGAGCATCGGCGCCTGAGCTGCAGTCACAGCACTGTGAGATCGTGGTCGCCGCGCCAAATGCTCTGACTGCGTCTGATCATGCGGTTCCACGCTTTCTTTGTCCCAGCCTGGTGTGCCTGTCGCAGCATCTGTTTCAAGAGGTGCCCGACGCCCAAGAGGGGAAGTCGTAGCGGACAGATTCGAGCTCTTCCTCGGCCTGTAGTCGTGTGCAGCAGGCACGACCTTACCCGATTGCCCAGCGCGACCAGAAGTAGCCGCGTTCCCAGTGGCGTCTGCGAATGGCGATGATATCGCTGGTCTGTACGGGCTGCTATTCGACCCTGACCGTCCACGCAAAGCGTCCGTGCTCTGACGAGACGTGACAGGCGGAGGCATATCCTGATGCTGCCGCTGCGCGGGATACTGAGCGATGGGCGACGAGCGCCCCAGCGCCGCAGGCGAATGGGTGGTAGTCGGTGCGTGCACCCCGCTCTGGACCCCTCCATTGCTTTGTCCCATTCCGAAGGAAGCCTGACCAGCCGGTGCTGAACTGAGTCTTACCTCTCGATCCAGAGAGGAGAAGCTGCTTTGCGAGGCTAGCCGACTCATGGACTCTCCTGAGACCGAAGTGGCGAATCCAGCATCGTCCGATCGCGGTTGAGACCTCCAAGCAGCTTGAGATGAAGGAGTGTCTGTCCCTGCCGTCCCGGTGGCTTTTCTTAGCATATTGGACAAACTTCTTTTCCCTCCCATGCGACCATTGAGGCGATGCGGACTGTGAGGAGGCGCATTGTGTGGCTCTTTGCCTCCTGCACCACTGTTACTTCTTCCATGCCGATCTGCTAGCTCCTCAATAGCATCGTTGCCTCCCAAGGAGAACAGATTGGCAAATTGAGAGGGGTGAGAGGAAGAGGCGGTGTTGGACGTCGAAGATGTCAAGGCTGCTCGGATCGACGCTGCGGGATGGGCAGCCTTCTCGAACAAAGACGGCAAGGAAGGGCGGCGTTTGCTCTCCTTGCTCCCGTCATGCCCGCGAGAGCCACGGGGAAGCTGCGGCGCGGTAGTGCCGCTGGAAAAGCCGAGATCATCGTTGTCGCTCAAGTCGTCAGGACTAGTAGGACGCCCAGGCGAGGCTGGCCAGTACTGCGAAGGCTGCGAGCTTTGCTGCGTCGGTAGTGGGGGCGGAGATGGTTGGCGAGGCGACGCGTGCAACGCAAGCTGCTTGAGGTTAGGATTCGAGTTCATTTTGAGCAATGCTTGATTCCTTCGATTGAAGAGACTCGCTTTGACTCCTGCTGCTGCCGAAGTCAAGTGATCAAAGGACCTTTGACTGCGTAAATCCAAGGTCGAAGCGCTGTTCTTGCCCAGGCTCCCCATGTTCGAAGCGGGAGGGCTGTAGAACTTGCCGATGCTCGATGCACCAGCGGCTGTCCCAGGACCAGTGCTGGAGCCAGCCGCTGCACTACCAGACAGCCCATTAGGACCATGCTTGGAAAGCCAGTCTCTGAGTATGATGACGCAGGCTTGATGCCCATTTGCAGCTGCGAGCATGTCCGCAGAGAAAGCCTCCATATCCTGGGCTCCAGGTCGAGCGCCGTGCTGTAGCAGAAGGCGAACAATGGCGAGATGCCCGTTCGCAGCTGCGAAATGCAGAGGCGTAGAGCCTTCAGCGCCAGGTCCTAGCTCCTGACCTTTCGATTTGACGCGCGGCGCATTCACGTCAGCTCCGTACGCCAGTAGGAGTCTTACAACGTGCTCATTCCCCCCCGAGCAAGCCGCGTGCAAAGGCAGAATGCCATTGAGCATGCTCGAATGAGGTTGTCCGTTGTCCAGGGCGAACTTGACCGATCCCACGTCTCCGCTGGCTGCAGCATGGTGAATGCCCAGATTCGGATGCATGTACTCCCCAAGAGCATCCGGCATTGATCCGCCAGCACCGCTTCCTGCATTGCCTGAGCTGCTGCTGCTGTTGTTACCGAGCAGAGTCGCGATCGCACCACTGCTTCCGCCGCCTCCTAGACCAGTGCGAGCAGCCGCGGTTGCTCGAGCAGAACGCAGCATGGCTGGGACGCCTGGGGTTTCTGGGCAGGTGGTGGTCAGAGAGGTGATCTGCCAGGATGGGACCCCTGATGCGCTACTCACAGAGAAGGTCAAAATGATTGCAAGGGCTCGAGATGGTGCAGGGAGAGCTTGCGTGATGGATTCGCACGTCACAGCAGCACCACACGACTCCCAAAAGGTGTGCCGATCCTCTAACAAAGATGGCGTCAGACGCCGAGCTTGCGATCCATGAGAGCCTTATATGTTCCTCAAGAAAGTCACGGTGCAGGTAAGTCGAGTCGAAGCGCCGCCAATGTCGAGTTAGCGGATGGGCGTTTGGGTGTTATGAGCTGAGACGTAGACGCGTATTTCGACTGGGCATGGATCGACTATGAAGCGCTGAAAGCCTGTGCGCTGTCGGAAGAGCGCGGCTTGGCTCAGCTTCCCACAGGTGCCCAAACCTCGTGTTGGTTGGGCGGCAGAAGCTCGCGACCGGTGAGAGCTTGTCTTGTTGCTTTGGTCTGCTGGCGGGCTATGACTGAGCAGACAGACAACTTCGCAGAGGCACGACAGGATGTCTAATAGGTGGCGTGTAGCAAAGCGAGTGGAGTTATTGGCTTGGCACGTATGATGAGAGTCGACTTGGGTGGCACCACTGGCGATTGTTGCGTGATGAAGAGCGAGAAGAGCGGGGAGAAGGCTGGAGGTATAGCGGCGGCGATTTGCGTAGACGTGACCATCAGGGTCTTGGCGGTAGGAGTCGAGTCCCTCCTTCAGAGCGCCGGCCGCTCAGCGACTGCAGGGCAATTGCCAATTTCGCAATATCGGATTGACTTGGATGGCGCGATGATACGGAGATGGAGGAGGGGAATGTATGGAGGGAAGAATAAGTAGAAGGAGCAAAGCGATGAGCATCAAGCGGGAGCGATCAAGGCCCTCGTCGCCACGACCTCGAGCAAGCCGGCCTTCCTTTGAGCTGCAGCAACTCGTGAGTCTTGGATCGCGTGCATGCATGTATGTGCATTCACATTCACATTCCCGTACCCGTACACCTTGTACTCGTACTCGAGACTCTCGATCGTACTCTTGACTCATGCCTCTGACTCAGGACTCACGAGTCACGGCTGCTGTATGCGGTCAGGGTGGACGCTACGCCTCTCCTTCTACTGTGCTGACCTTGACTCGTGACTAGCGCACCCGCATGTAACGCACTCACCACTCGACATTCAGACTGTGCGCATGTATGCTATGGAGGTGATGTAGGGCTGCAATTTGAATCTTGAATTCAAGTTTGAGTGGCGGCGCGTCACCTCATCGCCTCTTTGTATTGAGTTGAACTGCTCATGCATGCCCTTTACGATTCAAATTTCTGATTGTTGTTTCAAATTCACGTTTGCAGCAAGGCTTGGGCCCGTCACAAGCTCGCAATAATGATAATACAACGAACAGCCATGGTAGCTTCATCCGCGCCGTCGAGGCTCCGCTCGCACTCGTGACTGATGGTGATCTGTAGCCGAAGGATATGGATGGCTATTCAAGATTCTGATCACGATCGGCGAGTTTGTGAAACACGCGGTCTCGCGCATTGAAAAAGATTGGCCATCACGAGTCCTACTGCGCGCTGTGGGCGGCTATACAGAACCCTTCGCATGTATGCGCATAGACAGATTTTGATTGTGAGTTATACGGTACCTCTGTGGTCACTGCATGCTGCTGCTGACTTCACCCACGACAATCTCGATCCGCGCTTGACCTTCACGCAAAGAGTTATGTCGATGTGGTCACATTCACACCATAAGCCGCGATCCAACCGCTGCACCCTTCCATCGTGACTGCAACACAGCACCAATTCACGAGTGTCGACGCCCGCTGCACGGAGGAGGAGGAGCTTGTCAAACGAATGCTGCTTAATTGGGCCCGCGCGATATTCTCATGCAACACAACCCCCTTTTCTTTTCTGCCAGCAGGAAGTTCCGAGCCTGAATCGTGATCGAGTCTGGGGGGGGGATCAATTCTGAAGCACACGAACCAGACGGATGGTGGATGACAACATCTCTTCTGTCTTGACACATGGCTGATGAATGTTCACGGAGAGTATGCACGCTCTCGGCACTCGATCGTGCTTCCTGAATTGCTCTCTTCGCGTGAGGGCTGAGCCGACGTCTCGCCAGCATGCCCCAGTGCTTGCCTATTGATTCGCAATTGATTCATCAGCTGGCGGCTCGCGGCGACCCCCGTCAAGCAAGAGCAGACCGACTCTGCATCAAAAAATGTTCAATTTGTGGATTGGGTGGGTCATCTCGATCGAGTAAGCTTGCACGATCCACTCACCGTGCACGTCTGCGAGCCTTGAGCGAGCTCAAGATTTGGTGCCTATACACACATCAGCAGGCACTCACATTCACAACACTCATCACCAGACTCTCAGCAAGAGTCAGCAGCAGCAGCAGCAGCAGCTAGCCGGCACGCACCATATATATGCAACCATCCATCCAGGCACACCGTATGTCGGTCGTGAAGAGCGCGTGCACGCGCGCCGCACGGACCTCCTTCCAAAAACGGAGCTCGTCTCGTGACCCTCGACCTAGCTGATGCTGCTGCTGGTTCTTGCATGCACCATCGATTTAAATCACACACAATCTTGAATCTTGATGAATTGTGAATGTGAATTTTGAATGCAAGATCTCTTCCCGTTGGATATCCGCATTCAAATTCAGAATCCTCAATTTTGATTGTGTGTGGACGCTCCACGCAGATCACCTCGGCTTCTCGCTCTCAAACAAGCAGAGATCGTCTTCATCCACCCGAAAGTCGAAGAGCTGTGGCGTGGCCATTTGTTGCAATCTTCAATCCCCTCCGCCGCGTCTTCCTCAACCTCGCTGATCGGCGAAAGTCAGGTCAGGCTTGTCGGGACTCCAGACAGGTGCTGTCACTGCGCCTGCCACCTCCCGCTAGATCGCAGCATCGGTACGTAGCTGGTGACAGAGCGTCTTGAGGCTCGCAGGAGCGGGAAAAGCCAGCGCTACTGTCTCAAGCATAGCTAGCGATCACAGTCAAAGCATGAGGTACGTGCGCACACACCCAAGCCACTTCAAATGTTGTGACCCATCGCGCTAATCCTGGAGCCTTGCAACTTCCAGTCGCAAGCAAAAGAGCAGCACCTCCTCCTTGCCTCCGGGTCAAATCTACTCGCAGCCGAGCCTGACAGGATCTGGAACGCACGACTCGGCAAGGCTCGCTTTGGCTGTGGATGCGCTCAAATCGGAAAAGTCGCCCGTCTCTCTGGATGACTTTGCCATTCGGCATGGACTCGAGGCGCTGTTGAGGGATCAAAGCCTGCTGCAGAGGTTCAAGGAGCATGAGAGGGTGACTTGGAATGAGAAGAGCGGGAGCTATAGCTACAAGGTGATTGCAATAGTACACGTGGGATGGGTACACGGTCTGCCAAGGCGTTGCATCTGACACACCTACCCCAACGCTCCCGCACCTTGAGCCCGACTTTGACCTGCGAAGTCCAAACGATCTATTGCATCTATTGGAGCAGAGATCCAAAGCCTCGGCTCCAGGAGGACTGTCTGCGGGCATGAAGATCTCGGAGCTTCGCGAGTCATACGATCATGCCAGAGATGCTGTCGAAGATTTTACAAAGCACGAGCCAAGGGAAGAGCGCAAGGTGCTGGTGCTTCGTGGGCTCAAGGACGGCCTGATTCGACACGTGTACTGGAACGAGATCAGAGGCTCAGATTCAAAGCCGGTAGACGACGGTCAGTTGGAAGCGCTGTGGTACGCCCTTTTGAAGCTCCTGACACGCCTCACAATGCCTTTCATCCCTTCATCTCTCGATAGAATTCAAGGAGCTCTGGCATGCCCAGAAAGTTCCCGACGCTGTCGATCTGCCCAAAGCCTTGGCTGCAGGTAAGGAGAGACCCTCTACTATTGAACACAAGGCCCTACAAGCTCACCTGCGTCGTGCTTCTCCTTCCACCGCAGAGGGGCTTCAGATGGCAAAGTCCGACGAGAGCAGCAATCCAAATCCACAAGCTGCGCGAGGAAGAGGCAGAGGTCGTGGGCGCGGAAGAGGAGGGTTCTCTGGTCGGAAAGTCAAGGTGCAAAACACTCATTTGGAAGGTGTGGACTTGAGCAAGGATTACGTGTAGACAGCTCAGCTAGGTCTGCATGGTCATTCTTCAAACGATTGGCTGATGTGGGACATCGTGAGCTCGATCTCCCTCTATGTGGCTGCAACCGCTCGCAACCCAACATCTACAGGGAACTCGTCCCACACAAGATTGTCGGCGCTACCACATTTGCAAGCGGGCACAGGAAGTTGACCGACACGCATTGTAGGGGCTCTAGAGTCTAGCGGAGCGGATGGTCGCTCTAGGCACAGAACCAGGAATCCGTACGAGTCCACACAGCATGGTGTGTTGCTACTAGGTATTGCTGTACGTCTGCAGACACAAAGCACGTCTAGTCTCGACAAGCGTTGTCGAGTCCGACTTCGATCGAGACGATTCGGAATATCATTTGCGTATTTGACGACCACGATGTCGGCTGACGCGAAATGCGCCGATCGTTCGCGCGTCCCCGAATCTCATTTCTGAAGCTGCGAAAGCTTTGCGGGGTTCCTGAGCTGAGCGCGGTGGGGGCTTGCTCGCTGGCATCTCAGCAGGAAGCAAGCAAGGCTCGTTGCAGAGGTGCAACTAAGAAGCAAAATTCTTGGCATGTCCTGGCGACGGCGCGTTCTTAATTGCGCTCTGCCTTTGACCGGTCAGCGCGTTCCTCGACTATACACTTTGCGACGATGAGACACGAGATTCGAACTATCTGCATGGGGTGCCAAGATTGCTTGGTCCTTGGCGCGCGCACACTCGTCCGCGTCAAGGGGCGCGGCGCAGCGCAGCGCGGCTGTGGCGGCGCAGCGCAGAAGCGCATGGCAGCAGCAGGCTGACCGCAGCAGTCAGAGTCACGAATCTCACGATGGCGACTCTGCTGACTACGGTCAATTTGATTCAGCACCGCGTATTCGAGCAAGCAGAGCAGTCTGCAAATGTCGAGGCAGGTCGCGATGGGCCGGCCAAGGCGGGGTGATGGATGAAGGAGTCAAGTCCGACGGGGAGCTAGATCGGTGACTCTGTCACGGTTGCATGCACAATAGCGACGCGGAGCGAGTGAATGCAATCAAATGAGCAGATGCATGATGAATGAATCGTGAAATGTGAATGTGTGAATGCATGGGTACGCGGGGCACCTTTCAGGGTCTCCTTCTTGGCTCACATGCAAAGCTCCTCCGCCGCACATCCACGCTCAGCAGCAGCAGGTTTTGACGAGAATCAAGCGCTGCGTGCCTACCTCCGCTGCGTGATGCTCAAGAACTCTCCAAGAAGGCAGCGCATGCATGCACGATCCGCGATTCGTTTGGGATGGCAACTGGTCATTCGCCAATCGTGAATGATGTGCGTGTCCATTCAAAATCAAAAGGAGGCCCATGTGTAGAGAAAGGCCATTGCTGAGTCTGCGTGGAGCGCTCGAAGTGCTCGCTATGCACACGACAAGTGGCGGTGGATGTACCGCTACACCTGTTCACCGCTCCTCTTGTGGCTTTATCGGTCCAACCGCCTGCTGGGCCCACCCACGGTACTGCTGTACAGGCGGCAGATTTGGTGAATGGATGCACCTTTGTGCTGCCAAGGGCCGAGCTTGAGTGTGAAGCGCGGGAGCAAGACTGGCCAAATCCCACATATGCAACGAGCCAAGCCGCAAGAAGCCGTTGCTTGCCCCCTATAGCTTCACACGACTTTCGCCTCATTCTCGTCCTGCTGATGCTGCATGCATGGGGTTGACTGGTCTTGCTTGGCCTTTTGCTGCAACACTTTTCGCTGATTGTAGAGCTAGGCTGCATCATATGCTGGGACCTCATTAGTACTCTGTATACACAGCCATGGCCTCACTCAACATCTTACAGGAGCCGACGAGGTGCGAAACATGCACTCGTTGGGCGCGCGCCAGTGACTGCATGGCTGGCTATTTTTGGGTCTCGCTCAATGGTGAGCATCAGCGGGGCTGACTTGAGCGAGCCTTTGAACCGCGGCGCAAGCTCATGTCAGGGAGGCGCTGATAGCTGCCCCACAGATGGGGGGGGGGGGTGGATTGGGCGGTCTGAGATTGGACACACTCGTGAATGTCGAGCATGCGTATGAGGACGAGTCATGAGTGCTTGGCGGACGAAGCAGCAGAGGGACTGCGATGAAGCGGGTATGTATACCGCGTATATACCTGCAGTCGTGAGTCTTGAGTAGCGCTCGCCGTGCGACAGCTGCGATGTACGGGCGCGCGCGCGAAGCAGCAAGTATATACGGTGCACACACGGGGGCGCTGCCTCGGGCGCGGGCGCCCATGCAGCATACATATAGGCGATCGAGGATCATGGCGTGCGGTACGGCGCACGCGGTTGCTGCGAGATCCTGCCGCCGCCGCCCGCCGCGCGATGCTGTTGAGGAGCATCGCACCGCATTCAGCATGAGCAGCAGCAGCATGAGCAGCAGCAGCAGCTGTGCGTACCGAGCCTATACCGGCAGGAAATGGCATGACGATGTTTCCATCTTTGTTTGCACGGATGCATTCATCTGCCCGACTACGCGCTTCTTTGCCCATCTTCACCATCAGTACGAACCTTGACCTCAATCATCCCTCTCCCAATCCACGCGCATCTTCCCAACACTCACATTGTCAAACCGGCGCAGATCGCTAAACGCCAGACCTCTTGCCTTTCGCACTACAGTGCTTCGCGCCAACAATCGGTGCGCCTCGGTCCTTGACCCGCCACCATCACACTCGCATACACACGCGATCCGACGAGCTGGGTCCAACGCCTCGCACCTGTCCTTCTGCTGGTCTTCTAAAGGGGCAAGGTCGTCCGCAGTCGACGCATCTCTAGGATGCAAGGTGCCATCGCTTCCTCCTCGCAGGTCACTCTCCTCGCGTCCGACGTCGCCTCATCGCATCATCACATCAGGAAGGCCGAACGAACACCTTTGCGCCAGCGCAAGAGCCCCCGAAGCATGAGCTGGTCTGCTATCGTGCTCGCTTGTCTCGCGGCGGTGGTGCTTTCGGCCCAGCCCTCGTCTGCGCAGTTTCAGAATGTGACGAGCCTTGCGGGAACTTGGGCTAGCGGATCTGGAAATGTCCTCACTGGATTGGTGAGTCTCGTCACATGGCATGACGACGGTAGCGCTTCGGGGGAAGTCTGGCGGGCTTGTATGCACGCGTAGTGACCATCGCTACGAGGCCACGAGGCTACGAGCATGTGCACTCGGTCGCAACCATCCTTTCGGCTTGCTGACACCCCCAACTCCTGTACCTCTGCCGCACATAGGAATTCTTCAATCCGATCGCGAAAAAGTTCACAGTGCCCAGGACGTCGGGAATTGCCTACTCCTTCACAAATGATGGCTTCTTCGAGACAAGCACCTACACCTACACGTCCAATTGTGCGTACCGAAGTTCGAAGCGCATCTGAGTCTGGCTGTAACTCATACACATTGTGTGACTTCTTCTCAACCCACAGCTGCGAACAACAGGTGCTTCAGGGCAGCGCTGACCTGGCAACATGGATCTTACACGTTCAACCCGAACGGTTCCATCAGCCTGACTCCTTTCGCTCCAGATGGCTACGTGCAAGTAATGGATCCTTGTGCAGGCACGAGCGTGGCGCAGTACCAGTATAAGCAGTGAGTGCTGCGCGGCTTTCATCCATCGACTGTGCTCGCTCGAGCACTCACGCCTACGGCGCGTTCCGTGCGCAGATTCGAATTGATCCCTCAGTGGTACAATTACTTGGATCCGAAGCCAGGCTTTTTGCCAGAAGGACAGACAGCGTACGGTATGAAGATGTTCAACGATGGTGGTGGCGGGGAGGCTGGTGCTCCAAAGGTGAGTACTGGGTGCGAGGGCTGCAAACACAGTAGATGGCTTACACGCATGGGCTTGACTTGCCCGCCCTTGCAGCCCATCATGTGGTTGGTGCGAAGACCACCCAACATGTTGCCAACGCAGCAACTTTACCAGGAGGTGATCATGTAGAACACCTTGGGACAGTACAGTAAATTTGGACATACATTTCTCGCAACGAAGAAGCTCTTCAAACCATCCACTCTCGATTACTGCCAGCTCGCAGGCTCAGGCATTGCTTGGTCCAAGCGCACAGCTTCTCTTCTCCTGCGTCACCACCCCCTTCTAGACTTGCCACTTCCATCAGCAAGAAGCGCTTTGCCTATCTTTCTGCAAGCTCGAGGCTCCGCTCGGCGTTCAAGGGTGATTAGGCCAGGTAAACACAGACGCGACCTCGAGGCGCCGCCGCCGTGTGCATCTGACAACAAGGAAACACGCCTGTCTCCTCCCCTTTCCACATCCACATTCACCCTCACCTCTCGTGCTTCCCTGACACTTTTCCCTCACCTGCCCCGGCCCGCTGCTGGACAATACGATTCGATGACTCGTGTGCTCTTTGCATTTGTGCGAGCGAGCAAGCATATCAGTCACAGGAGCATGCTCAGACTGCTTTTATGAGACGTTGTGGTAGGAGGGACGTCGGCATGAGGAGTGCAAAACGGCATGGAATCCGAGGGCTGTTGAGGTGACCACCAACAAAGACGGTGTGCTCTGCGCCAGCCCCTCGTGCCGCATCATTCATGTCCTCACTGGCACCTCTGGGATGCAGATGACCATGAGCCTTGGGGTACTTGGTGGCGGACTCCTAAGCGCCTGTAGCTTTGATTTGCATGGCCTGTCAAATCGTAATGATGTGCAGTGAGGTACGCGAGTCAGCCAACTACAGGTGGACCGCAGTCGTTGGAGCCTCTCGTCTCGCAGCCCTTCAATTCCCTGCCTCTGCTTTGCGATGACTCACCAGCTGGACCTTTTTCCTGACCAAATCCTTGAATCTCCGCCTATGCCTAAGGCTTCTCAACCTTCTCCTCTTCTTTGACGGTTTCTCGTACCTCATTCCCGCAAACACTTGTTGTCTGACGGAATTCCGATTCAAAATGCCTTTGAGCATGTTCATTGCTACAGAGATGTCCTCTTGACCCGTCACTGTTCGTCCGATGGTCGTGGGTGAAGCTAGACGGGTATTGCCGTACACGCGCTGCGTCATCCAAGCATCCTCTTGCGCTTCCCTCTCGTCCAATTTGGGCGCCGAGCCTAGATAATTACCGCGGATATCTGGACTAAAAGTATCCAGCACTGCATCCCATTGGCCTTTGGATTTGTCTGCTGCAGATTGAGGGGCGGGTGCGGGTGCACCTGATGGAGAGGAAGAGGCGGAGAAGGAGGGAGAGGAAGAGGATGGACCGGAAGAAGGTTGAAATTGGCTGTCGGCGCACTTGGCAGCGCTCGAGGTGATGTGACGCTTCGCGGTGGCCGAGACGCTCGCTCGAGCGGTAAAGGAGCAGCGACTGGAAGCGTTGCCAAGGCTAAGCGCCTGTGTGGCCCGTATCAGCGATCGCATGCTCGAGTTGCGATGGTGATGGTTGTCGCTGACTCCGGTGCGGTGATGATGATTCCGCTTCGCGTGAGTTTGTGTTTGGCGTGCGTGTCCGAAGAGTGGCTTGCAAGCCCGCAATGGGCTCGAGTCAGCGCCAAAGACGAGTTTGGGAGTTATGTATGCGTGCCGCAGAGCCTTTGAAACAACACGCCCAGCTAGTGTGTGCATTTAACAGTCGAGAGTAGCAATTGCGTGGCGGGATCGCAATCACGAACGTCGTTCATCGTCTGGCCTGACTCTTTGACTCTTGACTGCTCACACTTGACTTTGACTCAAACTGTACTCTAACGCGCGGTTCACGACTCGTGACTTCTTGCAGCCCCACGTGGAATCAAGCTCGCTTCCCTCACGAACGACTCGCTCACGACTCACTCACACTCGCCCTCACTCAAAAGACTGGTCAACACACCATGGCCGCGCGCGGGCGAATATTTGAGCGAGGAAGCTCTGTCGTACGAGAGACGCGCACGCCCAACTCGAAGCCTCAATTTTTTGGATTCAAGTTGCAGCACCCCGGACGCTCTACATCAATGACTAGAAATCATGCCTTCGCAGTACATCGACATCACCCACACTTCCGATCTACCCTCTGTACTCCGACGCATACACGAGCGAGCAAGCCAGCGAGCAGCAGCGCTTTCCCCATCCGCTCTGATTGATCAACGTGGGGCTCTGCGCTCCTCCGCCCTGCGATACTGCGGGTCCAACACCCTTCTAAGTCTGCCAAGCTAGAACATCAATCATGGCCGGTCGAACGCAGGCACGCGCGCAGCGGACGCCTTCCAAGTCAGACAAATCAGCACTGCTTGAGAGAAACTCCTCTGCTAATAGAGGCAAAGTCAAGCCCTCTGTAGCTGTGGAGACAGGCACAGACGAGGAGGAGGGAGATGGGAACGAGATTGCTCATGATGAGGAGGAGGAGGAGCAGGAGCAGGAGGAGGAGGACGACGACGACGACGACGACGACGATGACGATGACGATGAGCAGGAAGACGGGGTCAGCGAGGAGGAAGAAAGCGATGAAGATGAAGAAGTCTCGCAAGAAGGATTGGAAGCTCTGATGAAGGCATTGGGGGATGATGGGCTCAGCGCAGAGGATTTGGCTCAACTTCAAGCCCTTAGAGGAGAAGCAATTGAGGATGATGATGCTTACGATGACGACGACGATGAAGAAGATCAGGATGATCAAGAAGAAGAAGACGAGGATGATGAGGATGATGAAGACAAAGGGGAGCTTGAGGGTGACGAGGAAGAAGCGGAAGAGGTAGAGAATCGCGTCGCAACTCCCAAAGCCAAGGGAAGCAAGAGCAAGGCGAGCGACACGCTCGCTGCCAGTCTAGCACGGAGCGGGCTGATACCTGAGCCAGAGTCTGAGAGCGAAGAGGAAGAGGAAGCTGTGTCATACGACGAGGATGAAGCCGAGGAAGACGATGAGGAGGCTGATGAAACCCAAAGCTCATCAAAGGCTGCTGCCAAGAAGGGCAAGGGAGAGTGGCCAGCGATGCGAGAGAAGATTAACAATCAAGATGCCATGCGCAGGATACGGCAGGATTTGTCCATTGATGGAGGCGCACTTGGCCAATCTGCTCCGGGAGCTCTCCCATGGATCGAGCACATGACTGTTGTCTACCCTCAGCGCATCGATGCCGCACTTGCTGGCGTGCCGGATCCCGCCAACGACGACTTGAAGCGGGAGTTGGCTTTGTGAGTGTACCGCGAGTGGAACGGGATCGGCCAGTGGGGCATCCTGCGCACGAAGTTGATGCTGAAAGCACTCACTCTCACTTTGCGGTTCGGGCGCCCTTGCAGCTACAAGCAAGCGCTAGACGCTGCTGTTCGAGGTCGAAGACTGTGCAATCAAGCGGGCATACCCTTCGACAGGCCGGCAGATTTCTATGCCGAACAGGTCAAGACGGACGAGCACATGGAGCGGGTCAGACAGAGGCTGCTGGACGAGAGCGCTGGCATCAAGGCTTCTGAGGAGGCAAAGAGGCAACGAGAATTGAAGAAGTTCGGGAAGAAGGTTCAAGTCGAGAAGCAGCTCGAGAGGCAGAAGAGCAAGAGAGAGTTGAATGAGCGCATCAAGGGTCTCAAAAGGAGTGAGTGAAGTACTTTGCCAGTGCTCTCAAGTCATGTACGAGAGTAGCAAGCTGATCGACATGCACTGATCACCTTGTCGTGGTCCGTCTGCGCCTCTCAGAACACGAGGGCGCTTTGGAAGGCGACGATGATGGATTTGATGTGCGGCTCGAGACTGCCATCGACGGTCAGGAGCGGGGCAGAGGGGCGCCTTCTAGAGGCGGCAGAGGCCAAATCAGACCCAAAGCTAGAATGCCAAGGTCAGCCAGAGATGCCAAGTACGGCTTTGGGGGCAAGAAGAAGCAGTGAGTTCGGCCGAGTCATAGCTTGATACGTTTCAAAGGTGCTGATGCTAGCTCGCATCCATCTTTGCTTGCACGGCGGTGTCTGTTTCAGCGCAAAGGTGAGAATGAAGCGTTGTCGCCCAGGCCTCTTTGGTCGCCTTGAAGCGTTGAAGCTAATCGTGTTCCTTGCATTGATGCCGTCCCTCCAGGAGAACACGCGGGAGTCCACAAACGACTTCGGCGCGATGCGTGGTGGACGAGCCGGACGCGGATCCGCGCGAGGTGGAAGAGGCGGTCGAGGTGGTGGTGCACGAGGAGGAGGCCCTCGGGGAGGATTTCGAGGAGGAGCAGCTGCGAAGCGACCAGGAAAGTCGCGCAGGACTGGTTGAGCAGCACCACAACAAGCCAAATCGTATTTGTCCTGAGCTCTCTTTCCTGCATCGCAATGTCATTGCTGACTGGACGTGCGGGGCTGATTGAAGGGTGTATGTGCCTAGCGCACGGGGATGTGCGCGTGATGCTGAGAGGGATCGCGCGACTTCTCTAAAGAATTCGCAAGATGTTATGACTACTGTGTCGAGAGGCAATCGTCAGGAATGCGAGGATGGTAGCGATGGGAAGCAAGCGTTGCTGTCCAAAGCCGCGAGCGATTCTCAATTAACAGCAAGCAGGCGCGTCGCAGACGGCACCGGGAACAACTGGCATCACGATCGACGACAGCGAGCATTGTCACGACTTTGCGTTTCGCGTACCCAGCAAGGCCACTGTGGGGCGCAAGGTTGGAGCGAAGACTGTCTGCAGTTCAGAGAGATCTGTCGATGTGAGGGTGGATGAGATACAAGTACAGTAGTAGCAGTAGTAGGATCATTTCTAGATACAGCAAGTCTGTGTTGGGCTCGAAAAGTTCATGAAGGAACGTGTGCGCGAGCTTCATCTTGGGGACGTGCTCGTGCACTTCACTCAAGCCCACGCGGTGGGTATGGTGGCCATGCAGGCAGCCCATCGTTGCAAGCGGCCGCTTTCTTCAGGTGCAACGATTGGCAGTAAAGCAGCTCCAGCGCCGCCAGGACGGGGGTCAAGCTCAGAGAGCAACCTACCGGTGCTCGGATCTCTCTGGGCTGCTTCGAAGGAGTGCGAATGGTGGTCGTGGCGGTCACCGTACGCTGCGCCAGTCGACGACTCGGGCACTTCATCATCCTCCTCGTAGCCTTGCGCGAGGGCGTGCAGCCGGGCCGCTCTTTTGCGAGCGCTGCGCGCGGCTGGGCTATCGGTCGCGCTCGACCTGGCAAAGGAGGACACACTTGCCCTAGATGTTCGATCCGCTGCAGATGACCGGCGCGAAGCGGCAGATCGGTGAGATTGCTCCTCTTCGTACGCAAGAACGTCTTCGGCGCTGGCTTCCGCACCCAGCCTTCTTTCTCCAGCCATTCTCGAGATCCTATCTTCCGCGTCGCACCAGAACATGCTCCACGCAGGTTTGTACTGGTCCTCACCCTCAACAGAGGCAGCGACTTTCTTTTCCGCTTCAGAGCGCGTGTCTATTCTCATGAAACCGTTCGAGCGCTCGTAATACCATCTGTTGACCGGATTGTCTGCGCGAGATTTCCAGACGAGATCGCGTCCAGTACCAAAACCACCAGCGCCCCCATTATCGTTGAGCGCATCGAGAAGTCCAAGTCCGTGCACCTCGTCTCTCAGAGCGCCCCAAAGGAAGTCGACAGTTCCGGAACCTTGCAGACTTGGCAAGACCGCAAACTTGTCCAAGTACGCGATGGGCTCGTCCACACCTTCCACGTCGGTTGGTGCCATCTCCCTAGTCACGATCGCAGCTCCTTGATAGTCACCAGTGACGATAACAAAGTCGCAAGATTTAGTCAAGCGCGCGTAATAGGTCTCGGCGTCGAGCTTCCTGCCGAAACTAGCTTCTAGCAAAGCAGTGAGCTTGTGCTGGTCCACCTGAGCAAAGTCGGAAAGCACCCGTACATCAAGTCCTGGTCGAATGATAGTGGGTGTATGTCTGACATCCTTGCGGCTCGCAAGGAGGCGATGCGGCAAGGAAGGCGAGTGAGCTGCTTTGTTGGTGATCAGGTTCGCAATCAGACTTCGTGGTGATCTGTGCGAGACGACGACGCCAGAGGAAGAGTGTGGCATGTAGGAAAGGCAATCCTGCACCATTGCGAGATTGCTGAGTGCCGTGGGATGTGTGCGAGACCAGACGAAATGGTCGCGGATGTGCGCATACTCTGAGGCCAGATTGATGGAGAGATGAGGGTTGCCTCCTCGTGCGTGGGATGGTATGCCTCCCTCTCGATTTCTGGGACAGAAAAATCGCAAAGCCTTAGCGGCTAGGCCAAAATCGCTCCTACGAGCCCTCCACTGCACTCACATGACCATCAAGCGCAGAGGCATCATGTCGACGCCGTCTTCCAGTCCTTGTCCCTGCAGCGCAGCAGTCTCCTCAGCGCGCGCAGCAGCAGACATATCTCTAGCCAGCCCAACAAGCACATCGTCTGCAGACACGCATACAGTCCTCTCTGCTCCATGCTCTTCGGGATCGCTGTACAGAGCAAGAGGCGCCAATACTGGAATCTGGTCGCTGGCCAGCGCGGACCGCAAGGTGGACAGGTCGTCGTCGCTAGCCACTGGCGATCTGTGGACTGCGGACATTAGGTTCCCACCTGCAGCTGTGACCGACGACGAAGATGAAGACGCCGCGGCAAGCGACGCTTTAGCCTCCAGATTCTGTCCTTGCGCTGAAGCTGTCTGGTTTGCCCAGCAATGACCTGCTTTGCCCTCTCTGGCTGAACGCCTCGGTGCTCTTTCCGGGAAGTGAGGAGGTGAGGCGGCATGCCTCGCAGTCACTGCCTCGGCATCCACGCGCATGATAGCCTGAGGGAAAGGCCTGGCTGGAGCGCCCTTTTGGGACAAGAGCTCCGAAAGCTTGTAGACGTCCGCAACGAGCCTCTTTCTGAGAGCCTCTTGAGCCAATCCAAGACGTCTGCCCTTGCTACCCGCCGCTGCCTTAGCGGCTCCTTTCGCCCTTACGGCGGCCTCGCCAAGCCAAGGGGCCATGCTAGCCTCTTCAACCTCGTCCATCTCCGAAGCGTCCAAGCGTCGACCATCGACGGAGGCAAAGTGGGACACTCCACTGCTCCACGTGGCCTCTTCTGAGTCCATCACGATGACGGAGACCAGCCCAAGCTTCTTCAGGTAGACCATTCCCTCTGCTATGCTCTCCAATTGCCTGTCTGTGAAAGGCCCCTGCACTTTGACCAAGGCGGTGTGCTGCTGAGTGATGGGCCCCGGCGAGAGCTCGGGCTGCAGGGCTGCTTCCGTGCCATCCTTTGCGGGGATCAATTCTTGCTGCTCTTGGGAAGTTGAATGCCGCGAAACGAGATGCTCAGGTCGGTTGACGTCGTCGCGATGCTTGTTGGGGTTCGCGGGTCTGGCAATGGGCGGGGGTGGAACTTGAAAGGAGTTTGGCAGCTTCAGACCTGAGCCGGCACTCGACGACGTTTCACCGTTGGGCTGCTTCTGCTGATGCTGCTGTTGCTGCAAGAAGCCAGGCGGAAGCTGTCGTGACGTCCCACCGGAGCTGGGCTGACGAGTTCGAGGGGCAAAGGAGTTGAGGTAGGTCTTTGAATCTCTAAGTGATGGTTGAGCATTGAGGATCTCGAGGATCAGGCTCTGCATTGGGCGTTTGGAGCCCATGGTGAACGAGGCAATCGGCGCGACGTAGACGAGGGATTGGGTGGCGAACAATCACGGATGAGGCGACATCGCGCGTGGTGAAGTGAAGAGGTTGACGGGAAAGGAGTGGAAGCAGAGTTTGCGGAAAGTGCAAGATGAAGAAGAAGAAGAAGAAGATGATGATGATCAGCGCAATGTGTTCGATGACGCAAGGACGAAGATGGAGAAAAGGGTTGTACGCGAAGCGATCGATGAATCGAGCAACTGCTGGCCCCGGTGAGCGACGCCTATACTGATTTTGTGAATGTGCACGAAGAGAAGGGCAAAGCTAGGAAGGTGCCGAGCGGTGCGATCGCCGTGATCGCTATCTGCCCTGCAGGCAACTGCAAGGCCAACTTTGGCCTGCTTGTTGTGGTGTATCTGATGCCGCGAGAAGATGTGAAATCTTTTCGACCGCGGAGAGCGCGCATGTGCGCAGCAAAGCAGACGCAACAGAAGAGGCGGGCACGCGTACCCAGACCAGCATGCAGCTGCTGCCGCCTAGCTAGCTAGCTCTTTCAATCCGTCGCTCCACTTTGACGCAAGACTCACGTGCATGCAGGCTCAGGCAGCTCTCCATCCATCCATCGAGTTGATGTGAGTCAGAAGAGACGGTCTGGCACGACTCAGACTCACCTTCCACATTAAAGAATCTTCCTCGCTGTGCATGGGCGGTCTGACGCTGGACCTGTGCAACAATCGAGCTGCACTCGCGGTGCTCTGCGCCAGAGATGTGATGGGCGTTGTGTAAGAGGCGCACGCCGGAGCTTGCCCCTGCAATTTCGCGCTCCCACGTGATAATCGAGAGGGGCCAGCGCCGGGCCGCCTGCAAACACAAGCCGAGGCTCGGCTGAAGGTGTGGGAGGCTGCTGGCATGATGAGGAGATGCGGCAACGCGGCGGGAGTGGGAGAGGAAGGGGAAGAGGGGCGGGTTGGGGAATGCGCGAGGGGGGGAATGGTGGTGATGTCGGCTCTTTCGCAAAGCGTAGATATATGGGTCAGATGATGGCCTATATATACACAGACACTGGCGCCTGCTCTCCACCACGCAAACTTCGTTGTCTGATCAGCAGCAGCATACTCGGTCATCAATTGGACGTGAACCTTGGGCCCTTTCTTCCCCCCCCTTCAATCACGCATTTTCCACGCAAGTCCGCCACGCAGTCGATGTGACTCGGCAGACTCCGAGTCATAATCAAGCGTGAATGGCGAAGTGTAAATGAATGCACGTTGATCATCAAAGCATTCGCGATTTGTGGTTCGCGAGACGCGCTGTGCTCAGGCCAAGCAAGCAAGCGTTCCAGCCAGCCAGCCCCCTGTTTGGGTTGCGGGCATCCAGCATGCGACAAGGTGGATGTGGATAGACTGGGAAGGGCGAGTATTCGATACATGTGCAATAATCAAGCAGTGTTGCATGGTTCGTGATCGAATGCAAAGATGAAAGGGGCATGACAACGCGGAGCAACGACTCGTTAGGCGATCATCAATTTGGAACATCTGTCCATTCAGACCCGCAACCCTAAGCGCGGCCGGCCCAGCAGCTACAGTCACGAGTACTGTATACCGTTGTGTACCCTACATATCGGTACATAGACAAAGACTTGCGCACAGAGTCAAAGCGGAGAGCGAACCTGCCGAGCGCGTGCCGCCGTTCGGCATGATGACCTCCTCAAAAAGGTTTCTGCCGCCGTCGCACCATCAATCGAAATTTGAATCACATGTGGATAGGTTTTCATGTTCAACTGAAGTCTTGTATATGCGGTCCGTGCATGCTGCTGGTCCTGCAGTCAATCGCAAGACGAATTGCCTCTCGTCTCTGGAATCACAATCACCATTAAGCATTAAGCGTCTCATATGCTTGATTACAAGGTTGAAGTTGTACGGTATTATGGCGGCCATGCAGCTACGCGGGCGAACCAAGATGCTTGCTGGCTGGGACCCTGGGCGCCTGCTCCGTGCGTGCTGTAGTAAAAGTCAGAGAGTCGAGTCGAGCATATATATATGCGCGCGAATCTTTGAAGGATCCCAAAGTAGTGAATCAGAAGGCTCACGAATCATGAATGATAATCTTTGAATAATCACGAATCACGTTCATGCGCAGTTTGCTGGGTGCAATTAAGCACCATCTCCACGCGTAGGGTGTACCCGTTCCACACCAGCACGCCGCACCCGCACACGTGTGAGACACAATCCTCCGACAGGCTGCATCAGCTCGTCTGAATTTGGCCCCCTTCTTCTGCATGCATAGCACAGCCTTTATCGGATCTTGGATGAGCCGCGCTCTGACTTTGATGTTGATCCTGACCTGCTGCTGCTGCTGCTGCTGCTGCTGTACCTTGGCGCGCACCATCGTTCCTCATCTGCCGAGCTTTGCATCTTCCACCTTCGCCCAATTCACAGAGCGCGCGCACGAGCGCAGGCGCATCTCCGTGCAGTAATGTGAATGGCAGACTGCGTTGTCGAACATCACCAACGCGCATGTTGCGTAAGAGGACGTTGTGGACACGCGTACTTTGACCGCAAACCACGCATGGCGGTGAGCCCAACAATTGCGAGTCATGGGTCCGAGAGCTTTCGAACTCGTCAAAAATCCAACCTTTGGTAGGCGCTCAGAATTAGCCGAGGCGCGAGATCACCGTCCATCCGCTGCGTCCTAACACCTAGTATGCATTTGTCTCTCCTCGAGGCTTCATTCTGGCGTCAGTCTGTGGTCGATGTCAGGCCCGGCCACATCTGGGACAAAGACTCAAGGCGCGGGCCCAGTACAATGATTTGCGGACCGGTAAAGGTATCGATTGCATTGCGATGAAAGCGATCAGCCAAGTGGTGGCTTGCCTTTCACGGTTGACGAAGAAGGCGGAGGAGACATGGGACCCGATGTCGTGCTGGAAGATGGGGAGAGCGGGGTCCTGGTGCCGCTGCTGGTGGCGCTAGAGCCGCGGAAAAGGTCGGTAGAGGGCCGCCTCAAAGCTGCTAGGCTGCCTAAATTGAAGGTTGCTGGTGCAGTCGTCGGTGTCTTGGGGCTCGTGGGCTCGCTCGCCTGACCGTTTGCTTCGCGGGTTGGTTTAGCCTTGTCCGCTTCGGACAGCAAGAATTCCAGAAACAGATTGGAGAAAGACTAAGACATCGGCGGTCACAAAAGTGGACGTTTGAGCTGAAATTGAAGAGTTCGCGTGTGGGCAAAGAAAACAGGTAGATCTCACCTCGTCTCCCGTTCCTCCACTGCTCGCTTCCGACCGCGTGTGGCCGCCGATACTGCTACCTCTTCTTACTCCTGGCGGCATACCTTTGTTGTACGCGCTGCCCGAAGCACCAGCAACGCGTTGCAAGCCTGTCGCTTCGCGCTGCTCGTCAGTAAATTGCAATACCGACGCGATCAAGGAGAGCATTTCGAAGCGCTTTGCATCTGCCCTCGGAGTCGTCAAGAACTGCACAAAAAGGTTGGTGACAAGCCGTCTAGATGCGAAGTGCGGGGCTTTAGAATAGATCGTGAGCGATCGCACAGACTCGCGCTCTCACCTGTCCACGTTTGAATCCGACGTGTCCGACCTTAATCTCCTCAAAGCCTCGGTGAGATGCTCATTCAAAATTACGGCTGCGGGGAGACTCAAAAAGTAAACGAATAAGTTGACAGCAGGCGGGATTCTCTTGCGCATGACTCACCCTCGTGCCTCAATTTGCCCACCAAGAGGTTCTTTTCTCTGACCTCTTTCTCTAGTATTGCATTCCGCTCCGCGGCGTCTCGGTAGTCCGCAAGCTTGCTCTGAATTGGGAGGCGATCTCCTCAGCCAGGCCATTTTGGAAGCAGATACTGTCCCATCACTCACTTCCGCTATGGTCGTGCGCTGTTTGTACTCCTCGAGAGAAGCCACGATGGTGTCGTACTTCTCTTGATAGTCTCCTAGAGCGCGTTGCAGCTCACTTTCTTGCGCTGCCAGCGAGCAAGCGCACGTCGAAGCAGTCGTTAAGGTCAGCGCCGCAAGAGATGTTGCCGGTAAGATGCTGCTGCTCACCTGCCTGAAATTCCTCCAAAACCGCCTGAAGTTCCCTCGCTGTGGCGCCTTCTCTCTCAGCTCGTGTAGCTTCCTCCATCTCTTTCCTCTCTGCCTCATCTCTCCTCCGTTCGGCCTCTGCAGCTCGCGACTCTGCCTCCTCTCGAAGCCCACGCTCTTCTGTGTATGCGCTCTCCCAGCCTTCAGCCTCGATTCGAAGCCTTTCCGCACTTTCTGCAAGCTCTCGCGTTCGATCTGGAGGAGCCGCATTCCTTGCTAGATCCAAGGATGTCTGGAGCCGCTCCACGTCTGCATGAGATCCTACGAGCTCGTTCTTGAGCGTCTCGACTAGCTCGGTCTGCGTCGTCAATTGTGCCTGCAAGCTCTCGATATTCGACTCTCGCCGATCGAGCTCTTCCTGCATTCAGCGAGCACGTGTAGTTCAGCATGCGTCAGTGTCGTAGTCGGATCGCGCTTTCAAATTCAGGAGTGCGCTTCGAATATTGGATACTCACAGCATCCTGTCGAAGCCGCTCACCCAGCGTGTTGCGCATGGCTGTCAGCTTGCTGAGCAAGCCTTGGTACTGGGCTTCGAAAGCATTCCTCTCCTGCTTCGCCCTTTTGAGCTCAATCTTGAGCTGTACCGCGCTCTTCTCTTCCTCATCTTCGTCCGCTGGCCAGCCATCTTCTGCTGAGCTCAGAGAGTCCGCTGTCGCCGATGTGCTCGCAATGGACGACCCGTTGGTACCCGAGCCGCTCGCAATGCTAGCGGCCGCAGTGACAGTTTCTACTGGAGCCAGTGCCTCCTCTACGCTCAGAGGCGCCGCCATTTCCAGGTCTCAAATGGCCGAAATTGAGGCTCTGTTGAAGCCTTGCAGCGGATACGATGACCTTGGCGCTCAAATGTGCGCGTGCGAAGGTGCACGGCAATGTGAAGAAGCGGTGAGGTTGGAGCCAGCAGAGTGGGCTGTCACTACTCTAGTACCGTGTGCCTCAGAATACTTGCATATGCCACAGTCAGCAGCAGCGACGACGAATCGTGGGTGGGTGTGGGCTCATCGAGGTGGGTGTGGGTGGCGATGCAAGCATGCTGTGAGCTGCTTCGATCTGAATCCACAACTGGAATCGTGAATCTCTCGATGCAGGGCAGGAGCAGCTGAATGCCGCTGCTGCTGGGTGGGACCTGCCGCCGCCATGCAGGGAAAGCTCTAGAGCAGGCCCGCGCGCGACCGCACACACCCGTCGTGAGTGCATCGTGCCGCGGCGCCCGCCATCTACATATACCGGTACACAGCATGCATCTTCTATACCTAAGGTGAAGGGAGAGCGCACGGGCCGGTCACGCCCTCGAGGGCCGTACAACTGCTCGCCTCAAGCTCTTGCATGCCCACATACATGTGCGCAGGAAGAACTTGGCTTTCGATCAGCTCCGTCATCCATCTTACCTTCCAAAAGCTCCATAGTCCATCACATGCTACCGGCTCAGATCGTCTGACAGCGCGCATGGCTCAGGATGTCGGCACCCTCCACCTCAAAGCGCAGTGTCGCCCAGGCTTTGGACTTTTTGGCGGAGCAGAGGAGGTGAGCCCGCCAGCTGAATGTGTCGTGCCGAGAGGATATCACAGAGCTCAAAAGATACCCGATTCACTTGACTGCTGATCAGACGACCCGATCGACGAAGTCAAGAGGTGGTTGCTTGTGGAGAGTTGATCCTTCTGGGAGGGCACTTGAACGCGCTTGGCCAGGATGAATTGTGGTCGCTGCTGGAGCAAATTGCCATCGCCGCGCTAGACGTTGGCAACTGGGAAGTGGCAGAGGTGAGCAGATGCGACGGGATGCTCTGGCAGCTCCGCAGATCAGCCGCTCATCGACGTGCCTGTCCAAGTGCTGACGGCTGATGGTCGTGGCTGACGTCCCTTCACACTCTTCCTCATCAAGCTCTGCGTCTCACGGCTCAATACGAGATTTCCCGAATCGAGTCGGGTGGCCAGCTTGCAAGGAATGCTGCTCGAAGCGCGAGGCGAAGCATCGAAAGCGCTGGACTTTTATCAGTCGCAGCTTGCAAAAGACCCCACGGACGTGGTGAGTGGATGTAGCTCTCATGGCTGTCCTCTCCACTTCCGACCCATCAATCTCGCACTTTACCTATCTAGACGATGGCAAAGCGGCGCATAGCAGCCATGAAGGCTATCGACCCTAACATGGATCCACGTGGAGGTGTACCAAATGCTATACTTGCCCTGCGCGCCTTCCTCGATCACTACTACGCAGATGCTGAGGGGTGGCAGGAGCTGGCAGGCTTGTATGCGAATGTTGCGCTGTGAGTGTCGTCATGTTGGCGCAACTGAGCCTGCTGACTGCGTTGCTGACCTCAGCTCTATTGACATGAAGGTATCCGCAAGCGATCTTTGCTCTAGAGGAATTGCAACTGCTGCAACCGCAAAACATCTTTGTCGTGCTTCAATTGGCCGAGACCCAGTACACTGCCCAGGAGCTCGAAAAGGCGTACACGAGCTTCTTAAGAGTGGTAGACATGTGTGACCGCGTCGATCCAGGCACCCGAAACACGGGGCCCTGGCTAAGGTCTCTGTGGGGATTGAAGGCCGTGAGTTGTCCGAGTCGCGCACGCCATACAAGAACGCAGTGAGGCTGATGTCTGATGTGCGGTGCCACAGACGACAAGCAAACTACTCCAACGAGGTGAAGGTGCCAGCGTAATTCGCTCGGGCACCAAAGAGGATCAGGCAGCATTCAGCCTGTCCAAGGTCAAAGAAGTAGATGCGCTCATCACCGATCTAATCCTCAATCGAGCGTACATATCAAGCTCCAAAGACGGCCTGGCAGGACCGCGGCTTACCAGAGAAGCAGCGAGAGCGCTGCTCGCCGCAGCGTCGTAGTTTGACTCTCGAGAAAACCAGCATAGAGCCACAAGTATATGATACTCACGACCGCCAAAGAGCAAGGAACGCGAGGAGACGCCCATTCAATGTCACCGATGCGCGGCTCACGACGCCGCGTACATTCTGACTCTGATTGATGCGTGATTCGAGCGCTTGGGAGGATTAACGGTTGACGTGCTCTGATCCTGGCACAAGCGCGAGACGAAGCTGGCCAGCGCCATCGACGTAGACTTCAGCCCCTGTTCGACTCCTTGACTGCCCTGACATCCGGCTGGCCAGCTCGCCGACAGCTATAGCACCACGCGCTTGCTTATGGACATTGCCGAGCAAGTTGTGACAGAAACCATCCCGCAGACAACTTCTCCGTCGAACGGTACCTGGAGCATCGCAGCACGGCGTGCTGTCGATGATGCGCCGCTGGCGCATCCGACTCCTCGCTGTTCGAAGCTTAGCAGCATTGGATCCGATGCAGTCCACACCAGAATCACGAATTTCGCTTTCTGAAGAATGATCTCTGGCTGTCGTTTCACGAATTGTGATGTTGCTACAGATCGCCAACAATCAAGAATAACAGTCGAAAAAGTCCATCATGAAAAAGGTTCAAATCTTGACTGCACGATAAGTCCGGTTCAAGTCTGCTCGCTCACGTCGACCGAAGACTCGCCTTGCTCCTCTCTTGCCTTTGCCAGCCTTTGGCGGTCGCGAAACTGATTGGAAAATTCTTGACTGCAAAGTCGCCGCTCGCGGTAACGGCCCTGCACGAGTCAACGCTCCCCTATACTTTCCAAAACTCGATCTTTGACTAACCTCCAAATGTAATCGTAATTGAGTTCAAGCTGAGCGATAAGCGCCTTGTCTTGATGTCAGGTCTCTGGAGATCTATCTAAAATTCAAACAATCTTGAGTCTTGAATTCAAGAACAGTCCAAACGAAACTTCGCAGGCGCGCGCGGCCAGGCGCTCGAGCAGCATTCAAATGTCCTTACTAAACAGGCCCAGCTGGACCATGCAAGTATTAACGTCCGTAAACGCGCGCAGTGCGGTGCATGAATCAATGAGGCAGAACGCGGGAGCGCGTGCCATGGACGCACGCGAGCGAACCGCGCAGCGCAGCACACAGCATGCACCGTCGCCGCCGCTGCTGCACGCGAGCTCTATAGGTCATGATGATGTTGAGCGAGCTAAGCGCGGATGCGCGCGCGCGCGCGCCTGACTTGGTGGACGCTCATCGCGCTGCAGCCTCCTCCCTCACGCGCGCGCATGACGTCTGTCGCAGCAGCTCGCCCGCTTGCGCGCCTGCCGCCCGCGCGCGCGCATCCCGGGCCTTCGACCGTGGCGCGCCGAACACAAGCGCGCGCGCGCGCGCGTGGTTCCTTGCGCTGCTGTAACTTTTGGCTGGTAGAATCAGGGCAGCAGCGCAAGGCAGGCCTTACGCTGCTGCTGCTGCTGGTGATGATGCGTGCGCGATGCTTGGTGCTCGACGCAAACCAGCGAGCAGCACGCGAAAGCCGGTCTTGCTAGAGCTTTTGACCGATTGATGATCGTCACGACCACTTACCCTGCACTCACGATTCCCTTGACCAACAAGAGGCACTACGCACCTCGCGGCCTCGTCTCGTCCATCGTCCACTCGTGTTAGATACATCCGTGCTCAAACCCTGCGAATTCGTCCAACAGCGCTCTCAAGCGCGCCAGTCTCGTTCGAAAACTCATCTCGCCTTCCTCGGCGCGAGGGTCGAGTTGTCTAGTGGATTCATTCAGAAGCTTATCGAGCATCGACTAGTCAGAAAGCGATTGGATCTTCGAAATAAGCTCGCACACCAAACTTGCTCGCTTCGCTTGCTGCCGCTTTCTCGCATTGCGACGGCCCAGCGGTATCTTCTGCACAGGAGCACCGGCAGAGTTTTGAGAGGACACGCGTCAGACTCGTCGCTTCACCTTTGCGGCGATACACTCGAACTGCCTGCCAGCCACACCTTATCGACCTACATTGCCCTCGTTGGCGCCGACCCGTGCATTTAAGCCGGGCCAGCCGTACATAGGCACCCTTCACAACGCGCGGATAGAGTGAGTGTTAGAAAGTCGATGCGAAAGATTCGGGCATGCATCTTTTTGTTGTTGCGCTTCCGGAATAGAACAGCGATTGGTGGGCGAGTCGCATGAGCCATCACGGAGGAGCAATCCGCGATCCGCATGTGCCGTCGTTTGCTACATCACCTGTTCAGCTAGGGCCTAATACCTGGCAGGCCACAGGCTCAGCTTTGTGCGATCCTCGTGGGCGTCCCGGTCAAGCCTAGATTGTTTTGTGCGCGCGTTCGCCACTTTTGTTGCGGTCACAAGCGATCTACTCCCTGTTCAGGCATTTCAGGAAGCAATTGTCCAAGACTTTCACGAAAAGGTGCACAGCTGATGATTCCAGACACCTCGCATACAGTTCAACATGGGTGACTACGAAGTGCCAAATGTCGATCTCGACAATGTCATCGATAGGCTCTTGGAAGGTACGTCTTGGCGCGTCCAAAAAATGGGCCTCAGCAGGATTCTGGCTGACGAGGTCGATGCAAACCGGGCATGCCCTCCGATTAGTGCGCGGCTCGAGACCTGGCAAGCCAGTGCTGTTGGAAGAGTACGAGATCAAGTATTTGTGCCTGAAAGCCAGGGATATCTTCATTACACAACCGATACTTCTGGAGCTGGAAGCACCGATCAAGATCTGCGGTGAGTCGAGCTGCTCGGAGCCCGGTATCCTCCTCGCGAGGGCTTCGTCGCGGTTGGTCGTTCAATCAGCTCACCGCTATCCTCGTCTTGGACGTCTCCAGGCGATATTCACGGACAATACTACGACCTTTTGCGACTATTCGAGTACGGTGGCTTCCCTCCCGAAGCAAATTATTTGTTCCTGGGCGACTACGTAGACAGGGGAAAGCAGTCTTTGGAAACGATCTGTCTTTTGCTGGCGTACAAGATCAAGTACCCCGAAAACTTCTTCATCCTTCGCGGTAATCACGAGTGCGCGTCCATCAATCGCATTTACGGCTTCTACGATGAGTGTGAGTCAAAATAGGCAGGCAGACGTGCCAATTGGGAGTAGAGGGCGGGGTCTAGTCAACGAGACTCTACGAAAGCTGGCTGGAACATCTCCGGGAGTCTCACAATGCTGAATGTATGCGTTGTCTTTACACAGGCAAACGGCGCTTCAACATCAAGTTGTGGAAGACGTTCACAGATTGCTTCAACTGCTTGCCGATCGCCGCCATAATCGACGAAAAGATCTTCACAATGCATGGAGGGTTGTCGCCGGATCTTCAAAGCATGGAACAAATCAGGAGGGTGATGCGACCCACAGACGTGCCGGACACTGGTCAGTCGATCGTCATTGGAGTTCTGTGTAGACAGAGCGCATGACCGTCGGCATCCGCTGCTCTGATGCTCAAGTCCGTAATTGACGCCTGCGTAACTTTCTGTCATCTTTCTGCAGGCTTGCTCTGCGACTTGTTGTGGTCGGATCCGGACAAGGACATCTCAGGGTGGAGCGAGAACGATCGCGGTGTCTCTTTTACATTCGGGCCAGACGTAGTCTCGCGATTCTTGCAGAAACACGATATGGATCTCATCTGCAGAGCGCATCAGGTCGTCGAGGACGGGTATGAATTCTTCGCGAAGAGGCAGCTGGTCACGCTCTTCTCAGCACCCAATTACTGTGGGGAGTTCGACAATGCGGGAGCAATGATGAGCGTGGACGAGACATTGCTCTGCTCTTTCCAAGTGAGTAGCGACAGCTTCTGGGCTCGGACCGCTTAGTTGCAAGTGACTGACCTGCTTCGGTGTTCGCACACCACACTTCAGATCTTGAAGCCTGCTGAAAAGAAGCAGAAGTACGCATATGGGGGCATCAACATGAACAAACCGGTCACGCCTCCCCGAAAGCAGAAGAAGGGAGGCTCTAAATGAGCTGGCATCGGTCCGACGAGCGTTGGGGTGTGAAGCGCCATCGGAAGCACCTTGGCATGGTGGGGTGAATTGACGGCAGACGTAGGCGAGAATGCGCACAGACTAGGTCCAAATGTTCTCTGGGTGTGGCTGTAGGTTGCACTGGAGCAGCCCCTGCCCCGGAGCCTTTGGGCAGACAAGCTGTTTCATCGGTGGAATTGACACTGCGAGATGGGGCTGTGCATGCGCAAGGAATGGCAAGCTGGGTCGTATCACTTTGGGAGCGAGATGATGCGACCTAAGACCTGCCTGGCCGATTCCTAGCGTCACGAGCACGCTCGACTCCCATCTCTACCCCCAGCGAAACCCAGTCTACCTCCCCGGCGCGAGCCTCCGCTTCTGTCTGTATGCAATCTCTACCTAGTCATATTCACACTCGCGGTGGACCAAGCCTCGCCTCAATCGACAATTCATCGAGCATTACAAAGCTCATATGCAAGAGTCCTTCTTTCTTGAGGTTCATCTCGACGACTCACAACCCTCGCAATCTTCCCCCCCCCCCCGCCCCCCCTTTTTCTTGTTTCTTTTGTTCCCCAACTCGCCACCCCCTCTTCTTACTTCATCCCTTACCATCGCCCACACGCTCATGCTTGTACGAATCCGCGAACCAATGCTTCCCTAAACTCATAAGGCCGTCTCCGTGGAAGTGTGAGCGTGGCCATCGTGAGAAGATGCTGGTCGTCGGCGCGCGAGCTGTCTCTTTGTCTGACCATCGAGGAGGCTGGGTGCAATCGCGAAGCCGCATTGCATGCCCGGCACTCTGCACCGAGACGGACGGTCTTGTCCATTAGGTGCTTGTGCGAGCCTTTCCCAAGTTCCAATCGAGCTGATCTGCCATGCGGTGCGCTACGCATCTTTCAAGACCGCTCAGTCGAGCGCACCTTCGAATCAAGGCGCGCCTCCGATTCGTCCAGCCGCCACATTCGGGCACCCACGCTGACTGGCAGGAGAGCAGGGCCGTCGGAGGGCCACGCACTTCCCTCGCATTGCGGTCTCTAGATTTAGCATAACCTGGTCCTGAGCGCACCGACCTAAAACGGAGCATCAGCGCGTCGGCCAATGCACAAGGTTGAAAGGAACGACATGAAAACAAGATACGCCGTGTCGGACAAATCCGTAGCCTCTCTTCGAGATTCGCAAGCAAGCCTTCAACTTTCGTTTCTATTGAGGAGCCGTCAATTGTGTGTTTTGTGTTGCTTGTAACAAGTGAAGAGCGTGAGGCTCAGAGAATGGGAAACGAATGCAAACACCAGTGACAGTGGATGGGGGACGGTGCGAAGGACGAGTAGAGGCAGGTTTCAGAGAGCCAAGGCGTGCGTGAAGGATTGGTGCCAGATTCGGTGCCAGATTCGCATTTAAGCGCCGAGCTTCTTGGCGACGATGCCCTCAAGGGTCTCTCCATCCTCGGCGAACTTGGCAATGCCCTCGTTGAGCTTGGACACGGCCATAGCGTCTTTCGCGAGCTCGAAAAGGAAAGCGGGCTGATCGTCAATGAAGGAGACCTTGGGAATAGCCTCGGCCTTCTTGGCGTTCTCGACACTCAGAACCTGCTTGACGGGCTCCTTGTCGTTCTTGAGCTCCTCGAGCAGCTTGGGTGCAATGGTCAGGAAGTCGCAACCAGCGAGCTCCTTGATCTCGCCGACGTTGCGGAACGAGGCGCCCATAACGATGGTGTTGTAGCCGTGTTGCTTGTAGTAGTTGTAGATGCGCTGAACGGACACAACTCCTGGGTCCTCCTTGGCTGTGTACTCCTTGCCGGTAGCCTTCTTGTAGTAGTCAAGGATACGTCCAACGAAGGGGGAGATCAGAGTGATGCCACCTTCGGCACAGGCAACAGCTTGACCGAAGCCAAACAGAAGAGTCAAGTTGCAGTGGATGCCGTCATCGCGCTCGAGCTCACGGGCGGCCTGAATACCCTCCCAAGTGGAGGCGATCTTGATCAGAACACGCTGCTTGTCAATGCCCTGCTCCTTGTAGAGAGCGATGAGCTTCTTGGCCTTGGCCTTGGTAGCCTCCTTGTTGAAGGAGAGACGAGCGTCGACTTCGGTTGAGACACGGCCAGGGATAATCTTCAGAATCTCGACACCAAACTCGACCAAGAGACGGTCGACGGCGTTCTCGAGCTGATTGGACTTGTCGCCACTTTGCGATTGAGCGTACTTGGCAGCAACATCCAAGAGACGAGCGTACTTCTCCTCCTTGATGGCAGCGAGGATCAGAGACTGGGGTAGCCAAAGGAGCGAGCAAGCGTGTCAGTCAAGCTTCAGTACGAGGGAATAGGGCATTTCATTGCACTTCGAGTGCCGGGGGAAAGGCGCGCTCCTGGAGAAGGCAAGTGCGTGCATCATGACAAATTCCTTATTGACCACTTTCCGCTGCACAGGCGAGCACTTGATGCACCCGGTGGAGGTGCAGCGAAGGAATGTGGCAGGAAGATCTTCGGTGTGGCACCATTCTGGACCCTGGCATGGGACCCATTCATACTTCGAAGCAGCGCAGAATCTCAACGACCGGCTCCTGTTACTCACAGGGTTAGTAGTGGCATCCTGAGGCTTGTAAGCGTCAATGGACTCGAAGTCACCAGAGTCAGAGACGACTGCAAGCACGGGAAGTGCGAGGAGGAGACGAAAGTCAGAAGAGGTTTTGTGCGCAGAGGGAAGATATTGCGCGCATACAAGCTACTAACCAGCAGTGTACTGCTTGAGAGAGTCGAGTGCGGTAGTCATTTTGAGCGGAGATGTCTTGTGCGATGGAATGATCAAGTGGCGCTTTGTACTAGAGGTACTGCTTGGTATGTGGTGGGAAAGAGGCAACCTGCGAGGCAGCTTTCTTTTGAAGTTATAATTTGCATCCAAACGCGCGTGATGTGCGAGGTTTGTGAACGAGCCACAAGGGATCGAGGGAGATGCGCACCGAAGGCCAACTTTGCCCAAAAACGTCATGCTCGAAAGGGCGCTGCGCGCTGCACGGGTGCCGCGCTGCCATGCGTGCTGGAGCGTGTGCTGGGCCGCCTCCCTGCGTCCTGCGCATGCGCGTGCGCGTGCCTTTCCCCCCTCGCTGCTGCTGCTGCTGGCGGGCGCGGCTGCAGGATGGTCGGTGCGCCGCCGCCGCCGCGCGCTCGCGATCGTCTGCATGTGCTGCACCGGCGCGCGTGGCTGGGACGCAGAAACCGACGGACGCTGCAGCAGCAGAGGTTCCTGCGCAGGTGCGCTCTTGACTGCTCCGCGCTCCTCCAGCGCGGCCGTGACGAGCGAGGGAGGGCGGAACCCTGCAGCATGTGCTGCCCGCCACGCCCAAGCCAACGTATATACATCACGCACACTTCGGGTTAAAGTTGCACTCAGCAACGGCGCGCGCACAATCGTGAACGCGGTCTTGGCCTATGCCTGTGGTCAGACTCGTGTAGTTGTGATTCACGATTGTGATTCACGATTGAACAGTCTTCACGCAATGCCTCGACGGTCCCCAACTCCCTTATCCCTTGAGGGTAATAATGCTCCTCTGTCGCCCGCACTCTGTTGCCCCACGCAACACGTACGGCAAGAGAAGAAGAAAAGTTTTTGTCAAATGTGAATTTTGAATGTCTGAATCACCAATCTGAATCGCGTCGCGAAGGCCGCCGTATCGGCCCATAACATCGAGGCAGCTGCATGGCAGACACCAGACATGCAAGGCCCTGCGCGAGCGTAGATCGCCGGTCGGAACCATCGTGCCCTGCTGCTGTATATATGCTGTACGTGCTGCCCAGCCTGCTGTGTGAGTTGGACAGCTCGAGCGAGAGGCCTCCGACGTGCAGAAGTCATGCGTGTCTGACGATCGGACAACGTCACCAGGCAGACTGGCCCCAGAAATCAGCGATCTTTGCATGTCTGCGCATTCACGCTTCTTGATTCGTGCATGACTTGTGATCCACTTTCACGATTCACAATTCTGATTGGTGATTCAAGATTGACCCATTCAATCTGGATCAAGATTCGCGATTCAACTTCACGATTCAAGCCGTCGTTAGTAGTATATAGTCGTAGTGATTAGCCTGACAAGCCACCAGTCTCACGTGGTAGCGTGCATGAGTCACGTGAGTATCGCCCATCCCGCCACGGCAGGACCTGGCTCATTGCAAGTCGGCATCCAGCCCCGAGCGTCTAGCCGTATGACTTGCTTGCTTTGTCGTGCCCTGCAGATTCAGGCCTGAGCCTTCAGCGTTTTGAGGGAGAGAAGAGAGGGAGAGAAGAGAGGGAGAGAAGAGAGAGAGAGAGAGAGGGGGAGAAGAGAGAAACACGTGACTTCTCACAGCGCACCACGTGGGCGCGGAGAGACCCTGTCCTCCACACGCATTCCTAAACTCAGCGAACGCTGCGCAGTGGCTGTGGGGAAACAACCATACAAGGCGTGGTCTCGAATGTGATCGTTATTCTTCGTTCATTCACGATTGCATGTCATCTCTCATCTCGTCATAATACTTGCTATGGAATGGACGTGGGAGTGCTCAAAGCAAGCCGGAACGCAGGAGCGATCAAGCTAGCAAGCTCGCAGCATTGTTGGAGGAGGAGCGCGCACAGGCTCTCTGCAAGAAACAACAGCAGTGGATAGCTGCTTAGCTCTTAAGCCTTGTCCATTCAAAAAGTCAAGGAGGGGAGCGTTTGCCTGAAGGTGGCCCCAAAAGTTAGCTGTCAGGCGACCATATCGAGCAGATAGAGGCAAGATGCCTGAAGAGCTTCTGAACATGCCGCCAGGTACGTCGAGCCGCATCAGTCTAATGTCACCGAGTCCAGCTGTACTCATGACGTAGCATGCTCCAGCTTATTGCATGGTGGGCGCCTATCGTCTGGCTCACGACCCGCTTTTGTGGAAGCCAATGTGGAGCCGTACATCTCAAGCTGCCAAGCGAGCTGGAGCAGTGGCCGCAGGATGGGTGAGCTCCGCGATGGAAACGTCCATTTCCCGAAATATCACATTTGCTCACTCTGCTCGTGTCGGCGACTCTGACCTGCGCAGGCGGTCGTAACGTGGCCAGTACAAAGGCTTTTTGTCTCCTGGTTCATGAAAGGTTCTGCGAGTGTCACTGGTATGGCTTCGTGAGTTTTCTCAGAAGCAGCTTCTGAAGCCAATTGATGCCGCGAAACTCATCCAATTAATATCACGTACGCGTACTAGCATGTACGAGTCAACCATCAGCACAGCAGATCGTCTGGATGGCTCCAATGACTCGAGCTTGCTTGGTTTTGGGATGCCTTCTTTGACCACCTTTGCTGCGATGATGTTCGTGCTTGGACAGTGCAACACCATCATGGAGTTCTGGCTGAGAAGAAAGCTGCGTGAATGTCGCAATGAAGCGTACGCCGCAACCGTGAGCATTGCGCCTGACTGGCGCAGCCTTTTGAGCTGGACGACGGGCTGATATCCTTCCCATGCAATTGCCTCTCAGGTCCGATCGAGAGGCAAGGGCGATGATTGGTGGACCCCTTATTTCGAAGAGTGGGCTGAGCCTCCACTTGCCAAAGCTGAAAAGAATGCAAAGAAACAAGCAATTTATATGCGGCTTGCCTCTCCCCTGATCCGCATCTTCGTGCTGAAAGGTTCGTGGATGCCCGCTGCTGTCGCTTTGGCGTCGACTAACACATTCGCGTCCCTGCTCGCAGTCGTGCTGCTGCCTTTGGATTTTATCCCCTGTGAGTCTCTTGCCAACAGGCCGTACGCGTCTTACCTAGGAGCTGATGTATTGCTTCAACTGATTCTCCTTTTTTCAGTCATGGGACTCATAGCATCCTCCGTGATCAGGTCCCTGTCGATGGGAAGGCAATTGCATTCGCCTCTTTTTGCTCACAAGCGCATGACTCCTCTACAAGTTGAACTCTGGGTGAGAGACTTCATTCACCACTAAAGATTGCGGCGCCGTCCTGATAAGGCTGTACTGCCCGGTTTTTCAGGTCACGGAGCGACAGTTCGAGTACCGTCTTTTTGGTCTGACCGCGGCCCTGCTGGAGAGCGTGCCTGTCGTCGGACTGGCCTTCAGCATCTCCAACAGGGTTGGTGCAGCAATGTATGCTTTCGATCTCGAAAAGGTGCGCAGAGTGGTTCGACACAGCTCAGGCTCGCAATTTGCTGAGTCGCTCACTGATCAACTCCTTGCAGCGCCAACAAAGCTTCCGTTCGGGCAAGCGCAAGCCTCTGCCAAAAGAAGAGACGTACAGTCTTGCCGATCCACGTAGGCCAGTAAGTGGTCGCCTTCATGCTGACTCGCCCAGACGCAAACTTCGCCTGACGCCTCCCGCGGTCTTGCGCGCAGAGCAGCCCTACCAGCTCTCAGCGAAACAAGCTGCCCGTAGCTCCTCAAGGCGACGACGGTGAGCAACGTGACTGTCCTCCCGCGCAACTACAATGCTTACACCGATCATCTGGTTCGTTTGCAAACGCAGGATTTGCAATGCCCGGCGCAGCATTCAACAAGGCTTCTAGCTCGGTTCAATTCGACGGGCCACCAGCATACACCGAAGCGGACGCTCGCAACTACATCGGAGACACTGCAGCTGGCCCTCAAGGCAATCTTGGTTTAGCGGCAGCGCACGCGCCAGCAGCAGAAACTGGTGTCGGTCTCAACAAGCGCCGCGTGCCGCCTCCACCTAGTAGATGAACAAAACAGGCAGAGACAGAGGGCTTGTATTGTCCGGGCCTCGACACCTCACCGAGACAAGGTGCAGCCCGACTGGTATCTAGAGGCAGCGTGTCTTGAAGGAGCGTTGTACAAGGGTGGACCAGTAGCGAAAGTTGTTCCAAGCCCATGAGCTCTGCTTTGAAATCGAACGCAAAGCGTGTGTTGGACTGATCCTAGCTCAGCGTGGTTGAACAGCTTCCATAAAGACGCTGGCCTGCTTGCCAACAGCCCCTCCGATGTGCGAAAAGAGTTACAGTCGTGAGTGTGAGTGTGAGTTGGATCGAGGCTCAACCGGCTCAAATCGCAACTCGCGAAGGTGCGCGGCACGGGTACCTTTTCGACATCACGCGTGGGACCCTTCGCTCGGCCGAGAGCAAGCGCAAGGCAATTCGCCTGAAAAGCCTGTGAACAGCAGCATCTCGCAGACAGGGAGTGCGCGTGATCGAGTACTTTCTTCCCAGCCCGACTGCTGCTAAGCCACGCGAGCATGCATGTCTAGACTTTTTGCGCAGGGCTTCACACCACCACCCACACCTTCTCGATTCTTACCAAGCCGACGGTCTGATGCCTATCATCCCTCCAAAACACGTCGCCCCTCCCTTTTCATTCACTCAGCACGACCCTGCACCCTCTTCCTCTTCTGCTACACCTCCTCGCTAACTTCTTGAGCGACATGTTGGCCCGAGCAACGCAACGGACGGTTGCTCTCGCCTCGCGTAAGCTGGGCTCTTCTTCTAGCTCCTCGGCCGGCACCTCGACCGGATGTCACGGTGTTCGCCTCATGGTTGGAGCTCAGCAGCAACAGAGAGGAGGGCTGCTGCATACATCCGCGATTGATGCAGATGCGTCATCTTCATCACAGCGAAGCAGTGCTGCAGCGCACGATGAGCTGCGAGAAAAGCGATCGAGGAGAGCGTACAGCACGAGAGATGGTCGGGACGCGGGGGAGACATCTGCTGCTCCGCAAGCTAGTCGAGATGGTGAGTATAACAGCCAAGAAAGACGCAAATTAAACCACTCCTACTGCCCTCTCATCCATACTGACGGGTCAATTTGTCGCCTGCACGACACACAGAATGGCTTGCAGGACCTTCTTCGCGAGCTCTCAATCCAGCACCCACAGCAGAAGCGCTGCAGAGATGGTTTGAGAGGTCCTTCCCTACGCTGCCTTTGCCAGAGGAAGTAGCTGCGCAAGCGGTGACCCATGAGAGCTTCGATCTCACAGGTAGGACTGTCGCGGGGCACAACAGAAGGCTGAGCTTTCTGGGTGAGTAACGATGCAGGGCTGCTTTTGCGCAGCGTTTGCGTACCGTCTCGGCTCAAGAGACTGACATCCAATTGAGCTGTTGCAACAGGCCGAAGAGCAATGCATCTCTACCTCTCGCTGTTCCTCTCTCAGCAGGAGCTTCCCCTCACCCAATCGGTCGACTTGCTGCACACAGCAGCTTTGGGCGAGACGGTTGGAGCAGCGCTGCGCCTTCAAGAGGTCATGCGATGGACTGCCGCTCGAGACGGATCCGAGCTCGAGTCTGGATTGTGGACCATCCGTGGTGTGGCCGTTGAAGCGCTTGTGGGTGCAATTTACCACCAGCACGTGAGTGATACTTTGCGCAAAGCGAACAGAGGTGCTGCTGAGATGCTGACAGCGGTCAAACCCTACTCCGCAACTCTAAAGGGTGCTAGCATCGCTCGCGACTTTTTTCACGCACATGTGCTGCCCCATCTAGCGATTTCACCCTCCGCCAGACCGGCCGTCAAGAGCATACAGGCTGCATCGAGGGAAGCACTAGCATCTTTCACTTCGGTGATGCCGGCAGCGGGCACATCGCCGAACAAGTTGGAGGGACAGGATGGACCTCGGGCCATTCACATGGACGCAGCCGAAGCGCCTGCTGATGTTGCTCTGACAGCAGCTTCGTCAATGAGTCGGGCTTCGGAGCCGACAATCGCGCAGAGCGGCTCAGAGCTGGCTGCCAAGTCTTCTTCAAATCGCCGCGCTCCACAGAGTCGAGAAGGGCAGCCGAAAGGAGTGGATCGCAGCTGGGCGCATGCGCACGCCCACGATGTTGGAGCTGATACCGCAGTGCTGGCAGGATGAATGAGAACCACAAGCGCTGCTCTGGTCCATGACCTTGGCGCATGCGTGGATCGCGCTCAGAATGCAGCTCCCATTCGGATCGTAGGCAGCCCATGTCTGTGCCGCTGGAGGGATGGTGTGCAGAGTAGTGTTTGAACGGTACGGAAATCTTTCGGCTTCACGCAAGCACAATCACAACAATGTTATGATCAAAAGCCGGAGTGCGCGGCCTGTGGAGTAGAGGGACCTGCATCATCGATTCGGAGTGTTGATCAAGCAATCATATCGGCCACTTGTGAATCACGCCGAAGGACAGCAACGCGGGATGAGAAAAGACAAGCAGATCCGATTTCCAAATAGAGTACTGAAGAAAGCCGAAGGTGAGGACTGTCCGGTCTAGGGGTGGGAATGGGTAAAGGGGAGGAAGAGGGAGCAAATGCATCTTGTAAAAGCTGCGGGGTGGCCGACAAGAGAGGGCAAGAAGCGCGATGAGGATTGTATTGAGTTACAGGAGGAGAGGGCAACAAAGTGGGAATCTGGTTCTGGGGATCAGGGCAAAGTAAACATTTAGAGCTCGGCGAATGCGAAGAACATTCATGGATGTCCTTCGCAGCGAAAGGGACGATATGAACAGCTGAGAATAGTGTCGAGCAGTGCAGCGAAGTGAATCGGGCGCAACCTTGGTGAGGCTCGATCGCCAAGCATCTTGTGCGGCAGAGTCGATGGGGGTATAAGCAGCGCAAGTAGGGCTGATGCTGGGTTTGATGACACACAGACAATCATGAATGCACGCAAGCGTCGACCTGCGCACTACGCCAGATCGAAGTGCTGGACGTCGTAGTCGGCTCCTTGAGGCTTGTGCTCGCCGCAGTCGGATGACTGGTGATGCTCTTCGTCGGCGTCGTAGAAAGCAACGTCGTCGCAACCATATGCCGGGTCCTCGTGGCGCAGGCTAGAAAGGGAGTGCGTCGATGCTCTACGGTCGGAGAAGGACGCAGAGAGCGACAGCGGCGAGAATGCTGGAGAGACGCTACCGCCCATGGACGAGGTGGACGAGGAAGCGATGTCCCCGGGTGCTGTGCCTGCATGAACTCGCGCATGCTGATTGAGATTGTCATGGCGAGAGAAGCGTTTGAAACAATTGGGAAAGGGGCACATGTACGGCTTTTCGTCCGTATGGATACTGCGCACATGCCGCTTCAAGTGCTCGCTGCGCTTAAAGCATTTTCCACAGCCAGGCACTTTGCAAGTGTAGATCTTTCCGCTCTTGCCCAGGTTGTTGACTTCTTCGGGCTTGTTCGGAACGCGACGACCTCTGGATCGCTTGGTGATGATACCCGTGTACAAATTCTGGGTGGGCAGACCTTGCAAAGAGCTAGACAAGTGGGCCGCATGCGGAGGCAGCATAGCTTGAGGTGGTCGCGTGAGATGGGGACCGTGATAAGGCGACGACTGCTGAGAGGCGAGGTGGGCAGCGGGTCTCGAAAGCCGCATGGGATGGCCAGGTCCAAGGGGCGATGGCGGACTTGACTCGCAGCCGCGCTGCAGAAACGAGGTGCGATGATTGGGAGCAGAGTGTGAAAACAACATCGGCTGACCAATCTCTGCGTGCGCCATCTCCGACGCAGGAGTCTCGCATGGCGCAGCACTCCAGAGATCCTCTTCATTGCCGCGGAACGGCGAGGTCGGTGTGATCGGCGTACTGCTCGGGTAGTAGACGAGACCACTGTGCTCCAGTGTTACTGGCGAGGTGACTCCACTTGTTCCACTGCTGATACTGGGATAGTAGTGCTGAGCGGAGGGCGAGTTGCCTACACAGATGCCTTGTTGCTGCGCCATATTTGCGGGGCTGATGTGCGCTGGATTGCAGGCTGTCAGTGACTGACCCGAAGCGTTGCCGGCGTTGACGTGGGGATTTGACATGGACCGTTGCATGTCCCCAGCGGTGTTGACACCATCCCGTGATGACAAACCCAGTCCATTGTTCGCGGGCACGTGACCGTGGGGCGTCTGATACAAGTGGTGACCTGCTGGTGCGAGGGAGACGTGGTTGGGCATCATGGGCGAGGACAGCTGCATGCTGGCGGTAGAAGCGGTTGCAAGGTCCAGAGCTGCATTGTGAGACGTGGCCAAAGATGATGAGGAGCTGTTGCTTAGTCTTGTGGGCGAGTAGGGTGATGCAGGGACACGGAGTCTCTCGAGGCCGTCTTCAGAGCAAGCGTCGCTCGCAGACAGGGACGACCAGTCACGGTGCATGCCGGGACGTTGAGGTGTGGTGAAGCTGGAAGCAGTCAAGGATTGAGGGTGAAGTTGTTTGTCGTCAACAATCCTGTGACCAAACGACGATGGGGCAGCGGAAGCTAACGGTGAGGCCGAGTCGTCCTCGCCAGCGGCACCGTCAGAGATAAAATCGGAGAGGTTGAAGGCTGTAAAGACGGATGTCGCAGTCGGACCCTCTCTCATGGTAGAGTTTGAGCGAGAGTGGACTAGGTCAGGCAAGCGACCGGAGCTGCGACCGACGGTCGTGTCGTCGAAATCGACGGTCCTTCGCTCCTTGACCCCGGCCTCGCCTTCGTTATACTCCGACAGGTCCGTCTCTGATGGCGCCGTCGAAGGGACGGAGCTGGCGATTGAGGATGCTAAAGATAGACGCTGCAGAGCTCTCTTACGTTTGGGAAGGCCTAGACTGTCGAATCGGGCGTCTTCGTCGTCTACGTCCAGATCCTCGCCCACGAAAAGAGGTGTGCTTGATGCCAAGGCGTTGCCTGATGTCTCGCCTCGCTGATGCTTAGCGTCGCTTTGAACGTCGAAGATGAATGGAGGGTGACCGTCGCCGTGAAGGACCGATGAGGATGTGCTTTGAAAGGGGAAGTCGTGTTGATCTTGGCCGTAGGAGGACGACGGTGAGAGTCGGAACAGTCCGCTATTTGAAGCCTGAGCAGGTAGTCCTGCGAAATAGCTCTCGTCCATCATGGCGAACGGGTGCAGTGCCTTTAGGGTTCAAAGAATGGGCAAATATGGGGAACGTCGAGATGGCGGTTTATTGAGATTACCTTCCAGCTGCACTGGGGCTCATGCAGAGTCGGGATGAAAGGCGAATAATATGCGCGCAACGTGGGGCTCCTAAGATGTATTGCTTCTCGCTGCGTCGCGTGACCAATAAGTATGCCGAAATGAGGTGGGAAGATGACCTTGGGTTTAGTGCTGTAAGCGGATATTGGGCTCGTGCTTGGCCTTTCAGATGGACATGCGCGATCGGTTGCTGCGCGATCCAAGAGCGAGAGGGAATTGGCAGCAGAGTGGTCGTCTAGGCGGGAGGGCTTCGAAGACGTTAAAGTAGGGGGGCGCTCGAAGAGTCTATCTACGGCAAGCGGCTCGAGCGCTGCAGCAGGATCAGGGGCTTGTGCTGACAGGCTGAAGATTGCGCTCAGGTGTATGTGGCAAGGGTACAGCTGCTCGTTCTTCTTGGCGAGTTGAAAGACTGACGTAGCACGCCGAGTATGTCGTTGCTACCAGTCAGGGATGGGGATCATGGTAAGGGTTCTTGTCAGCCCAACGTCTCAGCGACGTGAATGTCAAGACGCCGCAAGCCACCCAAGGGAGAGCAGGCAAGGCAGGCAAGGCAGGCAAAGGAGCGATGCGCGCTGTGCAAGTTCTCGAAGCATCTTGTTGCGCAGCACCAATGAGCTTAAGTGCTGCACTTGAAGGGGCGCAGTGCACGTGTTGGTGAGGCGACACTGTGAGTGACCCATGGCAGACTCATGAATGTATGGTCCATTCATAGCAGCTTTCGCTTCAATTTCCGACTCTGAGCGGCAACGAGAGATTGGATGCTGAAAGCCAGCTTTAGGTTCCGCATGGAGCATCGCAGCATAGCGCGGACGATGAGCATCCGACCCAGCAACATCCAATAATGTAACCAAATGAGGCGCCCAACAATGAGGCACGTACCCTCCTGTACCTCATGTGAGCCGACCCGATATGATACTAATCGCCTGATAATGATTGCCTTCATCAGAGGAGTTGAGATGATGATTCATGTCCACTCTGTGCGCTGCCCTTTCCCGCTAATATTCACCTTCACCTTGATGGCTAGGCCGGAAAAAGGCTCAGCGAAGGGGAACGTGCCTTCACATGACCTGACAGGAGCTGGCCCCCCGATCGGGAGAGCTCCTGTCGACGTCGATCGAAAGCATGGACACGGAAAGCTGGCTCACCAAACAACCACCGTATGGGCACTTTCCAGCGCAAGGTACAATTGGCGGATCCACAAAGCGCAGCTACTCACATATTTCGTTAATCTAGCAGGCACGACTGTCTGGAGCGCCTGGATTGCCAAAGCGAAGGATTCGTTGGCGTCTTTGGGCGATTGTCAAACGGAAAACTCCAGAGCTGGAATTTGATCGTGTGAGCTAGGTGGTCGTTTGATAGTGGCGTAATTGTCGTGCGGGCAGGAGCAGAGAGATAGTCTAGATCGCAGTTGACTAGCTAGCTAGCTGGGACTGTCCGTTGCGTTTGCAAGAGTTGAAAGTCTCGCTAAGATATTCGTGCTTTGTTTCGTGAGATTGGATCGTTAAGAGTCGTACGTGCAGAAGTAGAGGTATAAAGGATGTTGATGAGCGTCACGTTCGACGTGCGTGCGGTGTTTGCAAGACGCGAAGCGAAGAGAGACAAAGCTTGAGACCGTTGCATCGTCACGCACGGTCACGTACTCGCCTCACCTCACCTCTCACCGTCCTCTTGACTCTGTCATGTGCATGTCGTCGCGCTTGACCGCCACCAACGGCCGAACCCCGCTGCGAAAAAAAAAGCTCATCCGCCTCGAACAAAGCTGGGCATTTGTGGGCTGCTTGCAATCATAAACGTGCGAGGTTGGGCCGGGTGGAAGTGCTGCACTGCAGTCACTGAGTGGTCCTGTACTGTGCTGTACAGTCGTTGTACCAATACATGCATGCCTCTGTCTGCGGGACGGGTGAGATCGCGCCAATGCAGGTGGACCGGCTCGTTACTGTCCATCGAAGGGTCTGTTTCTCGATTGCCTGTGAGCCTGTCTGCTCCGTTCTGCCGGGTCAGTCGCGGTTCGCTGTGATGCACACTGGATCCAGCAAGTCATGCGAGGTTGGTGCGCAAGAACGTAGGCAGCATCAGACACATGTACTGTAGCACAGGAGTGTGATTGTGGGTCTGCGTACTGCCCAGCGTTCCGCGCCATCTGCACAGCCTGCGCACTGGCTGCATGAAACGGTATGCAATCGCTCGTCGCAGCACAACAACACGCTTGACCCGCTGGATAGCACGCACATTGACTGTGACCACATGCACCGCACGGTCAGACAAGCGACGGGAAGCGGGAGCGGAGTACAGTCACAGTCTCGAGTGAATGAGTCAAGTGCGCAGCAATATCCCGACCGATCGATCCACAACGATCCCTGCTCGCCAACGGTTAGGCACGCGCCTAGGTGTCTAGGCCTTCGCTATTCGGCGCGCGTGCCAGTCGTGAGTCAGCTCATCTCGCAAGCGTGGTCCCGTAGCTTGAAATCATGCATTTCATCACAGCGCCGAGAGTCATAGCTATCGAGCGACGAGGCTTCACCGCTCCACAGGATTGTGCTCGATCGGCGCCTCGAAAGCCAAGTCATGTATGCGCATTCAAGTTGGTGATTTGCGTCTCCGATTTGAGACCAACAACAAGTCATCAGTCTGAGTTTGACGAGAGGTGTGATGCGAACAGCTGAACGCTTCTGTTCGCATCTAGCTGCGACCTCGAGCAGCGGAATACTGGACGGACAGTACGGCACAGCCAGCGCAGGTGAAAACGCTCACCCACCGTGGGCCGGCAGGTGGCTACGTACGATACGCAAAAATGCTGCTTCAACGTTGATTGCACGATCGATCACCGCCTCAAAGCGGCGAATCACGAGCCCAGACGAGCAGCATGGACACTGTGTAGCATTCGTGATTCGACGCGTACCATGTCGCTCTGAAGTCCTGTGGCCCGAGCTCCGGCTGGGAGCGTTTCATCATCAAGATGCTAATTCAGCTTATCGAGCAGGCTGTGCAAAGCGCATTACAGTTGCACAGTACGCCAAGCCCCGAGAGGCAGACGCGCCGTCCCTACAAACGACCGAGCAGACAATCTTGAAATCCGTGGTGGAGAATGCAAGTCGGCTAATTCTGTTGCGTTCGATCCGAGGTTTGACACCTACACACACATCCACACACGCCTATATGTCATAGCAGAGACCTGCGCCAAAGCGGCGCATAAAGGCTGTTCCCATGGAAGTCCCTCCATCCGCATTAAGGTGTCGGCGCACCGCTTCGTGAGATAGGATCGGTGCGCTTCTACATTTGGCCTGTGCGCTACCTGAGCAGGGACCGCCGATGGGAATTGGCGCATGCGCAACTCTCCCTTGTCGAGGGAGGACCCCATCGCCGTGGTCCACACCGGAAGCGTAAATTACGAATGTCGCGCCACGTCCCAAGCTGGTTCGCAGGAACGCATCACACGCGCAGCGGCATTGCGGCACAAGCGATCAAAGCGTTGCATGCCCTACGTGCCCCAATTCGTGATTGCCGGTCCGTGGGCGGAACCTGTCCGAGGTTCGAATTGGAGGACCATCCTCAGGCCTTGGGCATCTGCTTCATCGTCGCAGCCAGTCGCCAATATAGGTGGGTCGTGCGGAGTGACCGCATGCTTAGCCCAACGCAACGCAGGGTTTCATATGACTCCAGAAAGCAGCTTGCCCGGCAGTGAACAATCTGATCGCGTCCGACCGAGCGACCGCGCAGCTAGCAAAGAACAGCACTCACAGACAAAGCAATGCAGCTGGACGTCTTAAGCGCATCCACGACCTTATCAACGTTGACCAGCACTTACTGTTCTCTGATTGCCATGGAAGACTCACTCGTCATTGCAAGCGGAAGGAATCGGTTTCTAATCCCACAATTAGCGAACAGGGATTCCGAGACGACGGAGATCGGCGCCATGAGACACGCTAGATTTAGCCGCTTTTTCAAAGAACGTGTGTTATGGTACATACAAGTCTGAGTGCAGAGCGGTGGTCAGAGCACTGCAGTGTTCCGATGTGGCTTGGTTCGAGCATGCTTTGTCCGAATAGGTGATAACAGCACATCAGCGGACACCGGGCATCGAACAATGACACCATTCGTTACCTTTGTCTCGCCTCTTCTTGCGCTCAACAACAAGCATGTGGTCTGGGAGTCGTGCTGAGAGCCATAGCCACGAGTAGTAGTTCTACAACTACTAGTGCAGTGCAAGCGCGTACAAGAACCGTGAATGGATGTATGTACCGTACCGGTACAGCGTGCGGCAAGATCTTGCTTGTGCGTCAAAGTGCAGCACTTTATGCTCACTGCATGTTTCTTACATACAGTACCCGGCGGACGATCTTAGCGCATCGCGATCCAGTCCGAACTTTGGTGTGCAGAAGGACGATCTGGTGCGGCGAGCCATGAAGGAAGCTTTGGAGTTCTGATCCCTCTGCACTTATCAGACGAGCCCTTCTTTGCAGCTGTTGGGTCCCGGAAGGTGTCACAATTACTGGAGACGAGCAAGCTTAGCAAGGTCTTTGTTAGTGATAGCTTGACACGAGGGCTTGCATTGACGTCCGCCATGCCGTTATGTGCTGACCAGCGTATCTCCTTGAAAGCGGCGATTCTTGATGGCTGTTTGCGAGGAGATACACACGATGCGTCTCAGCAACGCTACTCACTGCTGAGAATATTGGAGGGCGAATGCTATGCGGTTTGGCGCGCCAAAGGCAGTGGGACCTCTTGGCACCTTGCCGAGACTGTGGGTCACTGGGTGTCGCTGGATGCGTCAAGACTATGTGCCGCAGACCTTCACAGCACACATAGGCCTCTTCGTACAAGTTTGTGAATGTACAACGCACTACTGCACCTCGAGATGCAGGCTGAAGACTTGTGACTGCATGTCAGCATGTGTGACTGTCCGTGCATGCCGCACTACCGTCACCGTATGCGCACGCCTTGGGTCAAGCGTGCGCTTTATAGTTGACCTATGAACCATCGATGCGCACAGAACGTTGCCATCATGTTCGTGAGAATGGTACCATCCGTACGTGCTCAGACCTGGTCGAACACCTGTACTGCAGAGACGTGGTCCCGGGTGTCGCAGTAAATGTTGTGATCGATGGTGGCAACACCAGCCGGCACGCAGAGCACGTGCAGTCTGAGATCCCATTCTTCGATAGCGCGGAACATTGATCTAAGTACCACTGCAGTCTCTATTGAGCCCCGATGGTTCTTTCTATACAGCACCATCTGGCTTCTCGAAGCGTCAGAGCGTCTTTTGTGCTCGCCATCCACAAACAAATTAGCAAACTAGCGCGCGTAGTACATTGAAATTCCTGTATGAGCATGCCAGCCGTTTGAGACGCTGATCAGATATCGACACTGATGACGATCTGCTCGTAGCCGACGAATGAGGCCATGTTGTGGAAGCTGACGGGTCGTCAGGATGACTTTCCGTGCAGCAGGCGCCCATGATCGAGGCAGACGCGAGCGCCTCGCCCAGTCGGATGGTATAACACGACAGAATCCGCTACGACACAAAGGAAGGGTGTGCTGCGCACTGCAGGTCTGACTCGCGAGACTCTTCGGAAGGAAGAGGGAGCGAGTGCAATGCTGAATGCGAAGCGACTCGCATCTGCAGACAATTCTAGGTGAGGGATTGCGTGTGATTGTGACCGTGTACGCCCGCTGTCCACATCTTTGACCACGGCGTTGATGCAAGGTGCGAAGACACGAGAGGCGGTCTTATTCCTGCATTCGCTTTTTTTTGGCTGGCGTTGCGAATCCTTCGCGGAGAGAGGAAGCGCAATGATTGACTCTACAGATTCCTGCGAATCCCTCACTCAGTCCATGAGCGCTACACTCAGGACTTGACTCCAGACCCGCGGCTGTGACGTCAGCAAGGCGAACGGCGGACCGTCAAGTCACTGGTGACTGGATGAGGTTTCGCAGAGCGTATATCATAGTGGACAACCACACATTCACGAGTCACGAGTCCGCCACAGTCGCGATGACCCTTGACTATCGAGTTGGAGTTTGAGTCTCGAGTCAGAGTCAAGGTGAATTAGGAGGCTCCCCTGGCGGCGGCGCTGAGTTTTTAACAGAAAGCGTAACCCCGAAACGAGGCTGTGCAGAATCTCACGTGATGAAACACGCTCTGTGGCGCCCAACAGCAGGCTAGCTGTTGCCCGCCTGCTCGCGCGCGGATGCGGCCGCGGACAAAGCTTGATGTATAATTGAATAGGTGCGAGGCAAGCGCGAGCGAGGGTCACGCTGCGACGGCGGGTGCGCGGGTCATGATGATGCATGCTGCATGGAGGGAGGCGGCCGCTTTCCTGCCGCGGTCATTCATCATGCAGGCCTCAGGGGCAGCGAGCGCGCTGCTCACGCGCGAGCACAGCATGCAAGTGTGAGTGAGCCTTTGGGCGGCTGGACAAGACAACAAGGTTCATACACTACACATCAGCAGGAGTCATCGTGGATCCTGATCTCCACGCTATGCGCTCTAATCGCTTCGCCACACACTTTTAACACTCACGCATTGCTCTTCAGGCTCAGCGCTTTGAAGCTTATACTTACACTCGAAGAAGGAGGCAAAAGGCACTGCAAGTGCCAGGCTCGCCCAAGCCCCACCTACACTCTCAAGAACCGCCAGCCAAGCAAGGAGCTCTACGCAATCTGCTGGACATCTGGTGTCTGTCAGTCTCCCTCGTTCGCCAGAGGCGCTACTGTTCGAGGGCGTATCGGTCCTATCTTACGGCCCAGGATCTTGTCGGCCAAGCGCGAACTCATTCGCAAATTGGAGCACACCGCTCGAGATCGATCACGTTGCCAGCTCGCAGCGGACCAAGTTCGTACAGACAGTGGCAATAAGCGGAGGCGGTATAGCGCCTTGGGAAGTGATGAACTTCATATTCAAAAGCAAACAAAGGACACCGGGGGAGTTGGTGCGCCACCTGCGAGAATCCATAGGGAGATTAGAGACGGCCAGTGCGGGCAGCAATGTGGAGAGCAAACGAAAGGTGAGTGCTGATAGCGCTGGGCGCATTTGGCCCGGCACTGCTGCGGCTACGGCGAGAAGTGTCGGCGGCCACCTCCCTCATCGGCCTTGGCGCTTCCCGGGTGATGCTAAATACTCTGTCTGGGTGCCAACAGGCTGGCGAGGATGTGTCCAAGAATCTCTTCCACATCAAAGCGATACTTTTCGGCGACGGAGGTGAGTGACATGATGGCAGTGTGCTTTGCGCGTCTGCTGTCCCAACGTTAGCTGACTGCACCGTCGGGGACGTGAAGAGAATGAGCCCCAGCCAGAGCAAGTAGCTCAGCTCGCGCAAGAGGTCTACAACAACGATGTGCTCCAGCTCTTGGTGATCAACATTTGGAGGTTCGAGTTTGAGGTGAGTACATAAGGTCGCTCGCTCCTCAGCTGGCGCTCTGCGCGCGCTCACCCTCAGCCCTGTGCATCGTCGTCTTGCACGCTATAGGCTAAGAAGGACGTCTCGCAAATTTTCAATAATCTTTTGAGGCGTCAGATCGGGAGCAGGTGGCCCACTGTAGAGTACTTGGCTACCAAGCCAGAAGTGATCTTCAGCGCGCTGAAAGGGTGAGCCAGGCTCGTCATCATACAGGCTTCCCGACACTCCGCTCTGACGACGTGCGCGCACTCCCTTGCTGCCAGATATGAGAATCCAGATGTTGCTTTGAATACTGGTATGATTTTGAGGGAGATGCTGAGGCATGAGGTGCTGGCAAAGACTTTGCTGTATTCAGAGAAGTCAGTGCTTGATTCGTGTCTCTACAAGACGCTGCTGCTGACTCTCCGAACCGCGCTGGGCTCTGCCGCTAGGTTCTATACTTTCCCCGATCACATCGAGAAGACCACCTTCGGCGTGTCTTGCGATGCCTTTGCCAATTTCAAAGTTCGTGCGCCTGCCCATGACGTAAGCCAAGTGCACCCACACTGACTTATACTTTCGCCCAAAAAACGCTAGGAAACGCTCACACGACACAAAGCGATGGTTGCAGAGTATCTGGAGAACAATTATGACAAGGTCAGTCTGCAAAGCTTGGAGGGGATGACAGAGTATTCAGCTGATTGCTAGCGCGTACCCTCTGGTCATCACTAGTTCTTTTCAATGTACAAGGGTCTCTTGCATTCGCCAAATTACGTCACAAAGCGGCAGTCTCTGAAGCTCTTGGGCGAGATTTTGCTGGACAGGACAAATTTCAACGTCATGACAAAGTACATTGCATCAGAGGACAACCTGAAGGATATGATGAATCTGCTCAAGGACAAGTCGAAGAACATTCAGTTCGAGGCTTTCCACGTCTTCAAGGTGAGACGAAAGGCAGCCACTCTGCCGAAGCGGGCAAGCGGGATCGATCACTTACTCGCTTGCTACCACTCACAGGTCTTCGTGGCAAATCCAAAGAAGCCGCCCGTCATCGAGAACATCTTGCGTCGCAATAGGGAGCGGCTGGTGCAATATCTGACCAATTTCCACAACGACAAAGACGGTGCGTGCGCCTAGTCAAGCGTTTGGGAACGTAAATTGAGCGTCCGACTCACGTGTCCGGCTCGCCTGTGACAGACGAGCAATTTGTGGACGAGAAGCAATACGTGCTGCAGATCATCGAGTGAGTTACCATTTCCGTGCAGGTGACAGATGTGCTGGTCATTACTCACATTTCTTTCTTGCTGTCATTCCCGTCAAAGATCCACCGGGCAACCCAAGGTGGCGGCAGCATAGCAGCATTACCTACCAGCCAGTCTCGACAATTCAAGCGAGACTCCCTTTGCATCTGCTTCCCACCATCCACCATCGATTCGCGCTCCTAACGACATACGCTCCCCGCACTCTCCTTGTATCAACAGTCCTTCCGCGCCTCGCCCCTCCTCCCCCAATCGACCGCCTTAATCGCTGTGCTCAGAGCTAGGAGCTCGAAATTGTCTCGAGTAGATTGGCACGGAGTCCACGCTTCTTGAGCCTGCGACGATCCGCGTTTGTGCCTGTCGTTGCGAATCCTAGTCCTGTCATGAAACACGATTCGTCGCCCGGCACGTCCTCGATGCTCTGCTTGCGATTGAAAAGTAGCGCAACCTTGGCTGCTCCTCGCACAGCCACACATACAACCATGAAGTTTGGCGCAGCACAGTACTTCGCACTTATGTTGAGCGATCGACCGATGCCGCATGCCGCGTGCTGCGTGCTGCGCAGACGACATGCTGTCAAGCAGACTGGCGGGGCGCGTGGCTGCGCGCAAGACGTCAGAGACATTGCGTATCTCCGCGTGCTCGCGCGCGCAGTCGATCGCAGCGCAGGGCGGTGCGCGGCGTTGCATGGACAAGCCGGCCAAGCCAAATCGTGAATCTATGGCATTCGCGCGAACGCCCACGAATGCCGCGCGGGCGGCATCCAGCTGGGATGGCCCGTGAGCAGAAGGTACAACAGTCAAGAGTTGTGAGGTCACGAGTAAATGCTGTACTCTAACTCAACACTCCATTTAGCGGTGCTACTTGTCACCCCACTCGAGACTCGTTACCACATCTTGCTTGGCTTTGTGATTGCAATTCGTGATTCCTCACCTCCCCATACCTACACGCACCCATCGGCGGCCTCTTCTCGGTGTTCGCCCTCACGATTGCCGAGCAGATCAGATCAGGAGATACCTCGATATTTACGAACGGAAGACTGGGCGCTACGTGTGACACGCCTCTTTCCCCTGCTGCCGCCCCACAATCCTACTCGAAAGCGGCATATCCAAGATGGAGGCAATTAAGCTGCAGCGCAAGTATCCCCAATTGTACGTAGATGGCACGCGGATGGCGGGCAGTACCGACCTGCTTTGTGGCGCTGACCGCTTTGCATGCATTCTTCCACGTTGATGCTCCGTGCACCGCGCAGCTCCCAGGAGGAGATGATGGGTCTCATCTCTCGTTTCAGGGCTATCGACGTCGAGGAGAAGGGTAGCGTTCCGAAGCAGGACGTGATGAAAGCCATCGCAGATGCTGGAGAGGCGAGCTATGATCAAGCGAGAGAAACTCTGAAAGAGGTGGACGTCGATTCGAGCGGTAGGGTCGAGCTGGACGACTACGTCGATGTGAGTGCTGAGCACTTGCAAGCACGGCATTTCAGCTCCTTTCTCGCCTTCGCCGTGTCTACTGACCTTGCTACTGTGCTTCTCGGACAGCTACTTGCCAAGCTGCGTGCTGGAAGGAATGCGGGTGCGGGCGCAGTCACTAAGGGCAAGGTGTTTGTCAAGGGATCCAATGCGAGCGTCCAGCACACCATCAACGAAGATGAGCGAACGGAATTCACGCGGCACATCAATTCGGTGAGTGCTGCGTAGCCCAGGCTCATTAAGCGAAAGAACAGGGGAGGCGAACTTGCTGCGAAGAGAGAGCTTGAGCTTGAGCTTGAGCTTGCAGCGACTTGCGCATGCGCTTGGTGCGAGGAAGTGCGAGAGCGACGCTGACTCGTTTGAGTATGCCTGCCCTAGTCACTCGCCGGAGATGCTGTTGTCGGAAACCGTCTTCCCATCCCCACCGGCACATTTCAACTCTTCGATGATGCCAAAGGTGAGCTTGCTCCGCCTCCGGAGTTTGGGGTTTTCCCATACCAATTCACCTCCTTCGACCTCCGGCCTCTTGACAGATGGTCTGATACTGTGCAAGCTCATCAATGATGCCGTGCCCGAGACGATCGATGAGCGTGTTTTGAACACTGGCAAGGCTGGCAAGGGACCCAACGCTTTCCAAATGACCGAGAACAACAATATAGTCATCACTTCCGCCAAAGCTATTGGCTGCAGCGTGGTAAATGTTGGGGCTCAAGACATCATTGACGGGAGAGAGCATCTGATCATGGGCCTGATCTGGCAAATCATCCGTAGAGGTCTACTGAGTAAGATCGACTTGAAGAATCACCCGGAATTGTACCGTTTGCTTGATGACGGCGAGAGTCTGGAGGACTTCCTTCGGTTGCCGCCAGATCAAATTCTGCTGCGCTGGTTCAACTACCACCTCAAAGCAGCGAATTGGCACAGAAGGCGAGTAGAACTTGCAGCTCAGACTTTACAGCCCCGACACTAATCTGCAATCCCGCGTTGCGAGCAGAGTCGGCAATTTTAGCAAGGACGTCAGCGATGGAGAGAATTACACTGTCCTGTTGTCTCAACTCAAGCCGGATGTCTGTGATCGCGCCCCATTGCAGCAGAAGGACCTATTGCAAAGGGCTGAGCTTGTGAGTACACAGTCAAGCTCATGCATTCTGCATTGATCCCAACAATTTAGCGATCCCGCAAATACAGGTACTGCAACGCGCCGACGCTATTGGCTGCCGGAAGTATCTGACCCCGGGCTCCATGGTAGCGGGCAATCCAAAGCTCAATCTAGCGTTCGTGGCGGTGCTCTTCAACACTTGGCCATGCTTGGAAGCTTTGGAGACCCCTCCGCCTATCGAAATTGAAGACTTTGACGCCGAAGGCGAACGCGAAGCTCGTGTCTTCACCTTGTGGCTCAACAGTCTGGACGTTGACCCGGGCGTCTACAATCTGTTTGAGGATTTGCGCGATGGCAGCGTCATTCTGCAAGCGTTCGATAAAGTGTTGCCCGGGAGCGTGCAGTGGAGGCGCGTATCGAAGCCCAAGGAGGGCCAGGAGCTTAGTCGCTTCAAAGCTGTCGAGAACACAAATTACGCGGTCGACCTCGCCAAAGCAAGCAACATGCACATCGTCGGCATCCAGGGAGCTGACATTGTCGATGGAACGAAGACGTTGACATTGGGACTCGTCTGGCAGCTTATGCGCCTCAACATCACCAAGACGCTCTCGAGCTTGGGCAAGGGAGGACGAGGGGTCAGCGACTCTGACATGGTTGCCTGGGCAAACAACGTCGTCAAGTCCTCTGGCAAGTCGAGCACCATTAGGAGCTTCAAAGACCCCAGTCTCAGGTCGGCACACTTCCTTCTCGACCTGCTCGACGGCTTAAGGAAAGGCATCGTCGATTCGTCTCTCGTGACACCTGGTAGGACGGAAGAAGAGCAGAGGCTCAACGCCAAGCTGGCCATCTCGATTGCACGCAAGCTAGGTGCGCTCATCTTCCTCGTTCCAGAAGATATTGTGGAGCTTCGTCAGCGCCTGATTCTCACGTTTGTCGGCAGCCTGAGTGAGTGATCATGAACCTGCTGCCCAACGACGCGTCATCCATCAGCTCTGACACTGCTCCTCCATCGCAATCCGATTGCAGTGGCCATCCAGGCTTGAGCCTTGCTGGATGCGGCCGATCTGCAGGGTAGGGTGAAGGATCGCGAAAAGGACAGTCTGGGCTCAGCAGACTGTCTTGTGTTTCATCAGCTTGCGCAATCGCTGGCGGCGGTGCCAGTCATGTAGCATGTAAGCTTCTTCGGGCCGCTCCGGAATCCCTCGGCACGAGTCGATGAGTCAATATATGAACTTCATCGATCGGCTCATCTCGGATGCTTGGCTTTGCGCTTCGTGAGCGCAACGCAGCTCTAGAGGACTCGTTGGTGCGTATGTGACCATGTGGTGGAAGAATTTGCTGCTGGCTATTCATGACGATATTGTGATTCAGTCGTGAATGCTGTGCTGTGCGTAGCGGCTGCCGCGCTCTACCGTCACAACAGTGTGAGTCTCGTGAGCGTGAATGCCAAATAGATACCGCGCGGTACAGGCGCGCGATATGTGTCGTGCTTGGCGCGCGGCCTCGATATTCTTGATGAGTGGTCTTGATCGTTTTGCGCTGCGTTGTGTGCATGCTACATGTAGTCCATATATCTACCGAGTCAATTCTTATTAATTGAAGGTTTGATTTGAACCCACCAATCCATGCGCGTACACTCTAGACTGGGTTTGGGCGGGCCGCGAGTCTAATTTGGTTGAGCGATGAGTTGCATGCATGCATATATGCGTCCATGCGTCGTGTGGATCGCCGCCTCGCCTACTTGTCACGCACGAACAAGACGAGAAGAGGAAACAAGACTCACTCGCCTTTGAAGCTTGCTTGCCCGCCGAGTGAATCGGGTCTGGTGTAGCATACATGCAGAGTACACACACTCACAGTCATGAGCCTTGAGTCGTGATGCCTGCCGCCAACTACCTCGACACCCTTTGCAATCGACGGTGACCTTCTCTTGATCTCAGCTAAATCCTCAGCTTCTCTCATGCACACGACGATCGCACTCTGTGACAGCTCCTTCTCGCCCAGCAATTCTTCCGAGTAGGTCTTCACGCGGGCACGGTTGTTGGAAGTCGACCAATCACCCGCGCTTCTTCTCGCCTATCACCTCCCAGTCGCCTTGCTTGCAGAGCGCGCTGAACCGATCGACGAAGTAGCGAGCACGGCTTTGACTGGGCGAGATGGCGCCGCCAAAGGCATCCCACCCCGAAGAACAGGACGATGTTCCCACCTCGCACCTTCAGCGACCAGATCCAGAATCCATCTTGGCAGATGATGCGGACCCAGACACCTTGCTCGGCAAAGAGAGCGACTCTGAAGCTGGCGGCAGTCGCAGAACGTCGACAGCAGAGCCGGCCTTTGCGGACGCTCCGGACACCAGCTCTGTCGAAGCGCCAGCGACGCCCGAGGTGAATGGGACGAGCAAAGCTGTCAATGGCAGTGGCCTGGGCGCTCCCGCGGATATCCGAACGCCAGTCACTGCCACGCCGACCCAATCCGAATTCAAGGCATTGGCACTTGGAAACAAAGCCGCTGGCGAAACCTCGAAGGAGAGCACGACCTCTGCTGGGTCTGCAGAGCTGGAGACGCAAGTATCGGATCTGACGAGCCAGGTGATGAGCTTGAACAGCAAGCTAGTCGCTTCTTACGAGCAGCGATCCGATCTTGAAGACGACTTGTCCGACGCGCATAATCGTATCATGGCACATACTACGCGGATCGCAGAGCTGGAAAAGGAGAGGCAGGAGCATTTAGCAGCGCTGAATACTGGGCTCTTGGTGGAAAAGGCGCACGTGAGCACAGAGATGCAAAAGATGATGGAGCGATTACTGGAAGAGACAGCACAGAGAGGCAAAGCAGTGGATGCAAAGGAGAAGATGCAGGGCGAGCTAGACGATCTTAGCGCAACGCTGTTCGAAGAGGCGAATCGAATGGTCGCTGCTGAGCGTCTACTCCGAGCTCGTGCAGAGGAGAAGAGCAGGAATATGGAGGAGCGCTTAAAGGACACGGAAGGGATCATGCTCGAACAGCAAAAGATTCTAGGCGATCTGCAGAGGCAGGTGGAGAGCGCGCGAAGCGAAGCCGCGGATGGCCAGAGAGGCTCGCTGCCAAGCGAATCTCGTACTGCGGATGCAAACGGGTGGAGCGCGCTTGCAAGTGAAGGGCGCTTGTTAAGAGCCGACGATCTGGTGCGCACTCCTTCCCAGCGGTCTGTCGAAGACGGTGCTGCGCGAAGAGGATCTGTGGCGCCCCTTCTGCACCAGCAGTGGCTCCAGATCGACATTGTGCCATTCAGGGAGCTTTGCGCGTTCCTGCAGCAGCTTCGCAAGCTTCGGATTCAGCTCGCACCTTTCTACACGTATCCACTGCCAGGAGAGGGTCAAAAGACCGTATCTGCAACCAGCGGGCAAGGGGCAGGCAGTGAAGCAAGGCCCGTATCGCCTGCCCCCCTCGGGATGCCCCTCGGGATGCCGGGTATGCCCGTGAGCTTTACGGGGCTGGGAAGCTCTGGCTTCGCAGGAGGCTACTCTGGCCCCACTACAAACTCTCCATTTGTTGCTGCTGGAGTCGGCAGGCATAAGGATTATCCATCTCTGCCTGCCAATGCTGAGAGTCTCGTTCACATTCCCAACCAGCTGTCCCTGCCATTCATTAAACGTTCTCAGGAAGAAGATAGCGATCCTTGCCTGCGATTCGACTTTGCGCCTGGCCTTAATTGGCTCTCGAGAAGGCAGGCAAATGCGGCAGTGCTGGAGGGGACATTGGTCGTGGAGCCTGTCTTTCCTGGCGGAGTTTGTCCGGATGAAGAGGCGGTGCGCAGGGCCAACGCGCACCTTCCACCCGCAGCCTGCACCATGTGCGGCGCCGGTGTGGTGAACGTGCCTCTTCCGGGCGGTGGTCATACGGAGACGACAACCGCTGCTAGTACCGCAGCTAACTGGATCAGTGCTGCTGGCACTGCCGCCCAGTCATTTGGCGGAAGGAGCAGTGCGGAAAGCCCGAGTGCTACCAGCACGCCTACCGCTCCCCGAGCCAAATCTGGCATCTTCAGCACCCTCCGCTCCATGGGAAGTAGCCCTCGGCCCAGCGTCTCTGCCAACAATAGCACCTCTGGACACGCTCACACGTCAAGCGACACGAGCAGCAACCTTCACGGAGACGCGGAGCAGGCGCCAGACTCGCCAAATCCTGCTGTGGTAAGTGGCCCACGCTGGCTGAGAGGTTCTGTCCTTCGGACGCTGACTCGTCCTTCGCTCTTCGCTATTCAAGCAGATGGCTGGTCCCGCTGTACCTTTACCAGTGCCGACGCACATCTTTCGTGTGAACGAAACGTCTACGACAAGGTACCTGATATGCCCTAATCATTGTCTCGCCCGGCTTCGAGCGGCATGCGCTTTCTGGGGCTACCTGAGATCTCTTGAGCGTGCGGTCGTGCTTGAAGGCAAGCTGGCATGGGACGACGCCCCCTCAGCGATGGGGCCCGCCGCAGCGATCGCGCGAGCCGGCTCTCCTGCAGCGCCTATCCGCCCGGACTCAGTCAGACCATCACCACTATCAACAGAAGTTGCGTCCGCCTCTGAACCACACGCCGCCCCTACAACGGGCAAGGCTGCGGTCATTGAGAAGCTAGAACAAGCAGCGGATGCCGAACAAGGTGCAGCAGAGGCCCAGACCGAAGCTGATGCTTCGTTGACACCTTCTTCGGAGGCAGCCGAGGGCTCGACACAAGATGCAAAAGCGCAAAGCGATTCCACGGACGCACATGATGATGATGGAGGGGACACAGATGCGGAAGCAGAATCTTCGTTTGCGGATGCTCAAAGTGAAGCTTCGAGCCCGCAGGTGGAGAGGACCGAGCTCGCCAAAGACGAGCTCGAAGCGATCGATGCTCCGCAAACAGCCTCTACGAAGCTCATTGCTCCGCAGCAAGACGAGGCTCCCCCTACGCCCAAAGCGACCTCGACTTCATCTGCTGCCCTTGACGAGGCCGCTGACAAAGCGCTCACGACGAGCACCTCTTCGTCAGCTGCAGCTTCTCCACGAATTGCTCCCCCTCCCTTGCCCAAACGAGCGACGAATCGGCGTCCGGTGCCAGTACCGCCGGCCACGTCTCGCAGACCTTCGACGGAATCCCAATCGGCTACAAAGGACGACGATTTCCTCGCTGCTCCACCTGCGCTGCCCAGACGCAAATCCTCGGTGGCGACCCCGCCCACGCCGGCTCAACCTATCAGATCCGTCCTGCCAGCAAGCGGCGGGGATGGACTGGCGTGGGAGGAAAGAGTGTGGCAAGAAGTGCAAAGACTGAAGGCGGAGATGGCAAGAGCCAGGTGGGGGCTGGCCGGATGAGTCGACTCGTTTTGAGCAGCAGGATTGAGCAATGCTACATTTTGCAGCACTGTGAACTCCTGACGCAATGCATCCGGATCGGCGGGCGACCTTGACTAGCGTGCGTGTATCATACGCCCTGCAGAGAGGGATAGAGGTGAGATGTATACAATCGTACCGCGTGCGGTCGCTTTCAAGCGCATCGAAGACACACAAAATGAAAGTATTCTGGTAGGCTTGCCGTGGAATCCTGTGCTAAAAACGCGTGGGCTACCTAGGTACGCTGACGAGCATGCACTTGCCTTTGCCTGTCACGAATCGTCCGGTATGCCCGTCGCTCCATGACGACGGCTGCAATTGTCATCCGTCATATCAGAACTTGACAGTCTCTCTAGGCGAGGCGAGTGGTGCGAGGGCATGCGTTGACGAGTGCCAAGAATCACGGAGAGCGACAGGGCTGGAGCTGCGCACCGGCTTCCTCACGAGAGCACAGCGCCGGTCGTTTGGCTCTACTTCTTACTGCCTGCCGCCTTTGAGACTTTTCAGGGCGATGCGCTCGCTGCTGCGTATCACATCCAGCAGTGCCAGCTAGGGCTCAAAGCGGGCCTCCGAGCCAGACGAGTGGTGCCTGATGGGCAACTCGGACATGAGCGAGGTTGCGTGCGTGCCAAGGAGTAGCTTTTTGATGATGTGCGAGTCATGCTCGATCGATATTACCGCGCGCTCTCACCGAACGACTATTCGATGCTAGCTCATCAGGTGGAGGTCAGACTCCGACTTGTTCAGATGCTGCTTAATTGCTGCATGGATTGAGTGCTGGCCGCGGGGTGCATTTGCATGCCCATCCCGCGCATCTCGCACCTCACATCTCCGCTCAAATAATAAAAAGAAGCCCCCGCGCGCTCATCTCTGCCCGCGGGGTTCTAGGACTGTCGTGCGTCTTTTCCGAGCCTTGCGACAGACGTCCAGCTATCAGCTATACTACTGTAGCAGCAGCCCGGCCCCTCCCTCAAATTGCGATCGCAAATGTTGCGTGTTTCAAGTCGCAGTGGCATGTATCACTCGGCTCATTCGGCACAAGCGGACATTGGGTCCGAAAGTAGCTTTGTCGGCAAGCTGAGATACGAAGAGGTCTCGGCAATTCAGACGATTAAGCCACGCACTTGCCCCCCCCCCCCCCCCCCCCCCCCCCCCCCCCCCCCCCCCCCCCCCCCCCCCCTCCTTCTTCCTTCACAATCGCGCTCGCTGCGTCTCTCCAGCGTTGGCTTGGCCGCCGTCCCTTGCGTTTGAACTGTTAGCAGTCCTCAGCATGCAATCAGCGTGTATATTGTTCGGGCCGCTGTATACACGTCCAGAACGAATGGGCAGGAGGAGCTGGACGAAGACAAGCTTGGCCCTTGCTGCATGCGGGATCAAGTCTTTGCTTGACTGCATGCTTCTCCGTATCTGCGTCTCGATCTCTCTCCATCCAACGCTGGTCGGTCAAAGTCACACCACACGTACGAGTCTGCGCTTGGCTTGGCATGGTGTGCGCACAGCTACAGTCCTCAATCAAGCCCTATAGGAGGAGGGTGAATCAAAGTGTGGAGCCTAGAGTGCGTTCAAAACGAGTATAGTGCGCGCGGCACGATGAGAAAGGAGACACGAAAGATGTGGGGTCGGATGAGCTTGCGCAGCGGACAATCCGAGCCCCAGCAGTTGAGTAGTGTATAGTCACGGTAGGGCGGGGCGAGGCGAGGCGAGGCGAGGTCATGGAAAGCCACAAGCAGCAGCAGCAGCAGCAGCATATATGCGTGGAGCCGACGCTCGGGCCATTCGCCATCATATCCGCGCTGCAGTATAGAGTAGTAGTCACGAGTCTGAGTCAATTGTCATTTGACGCATGCTGCAGCTGGCTCCACTTTTGCACGGTCTGATGCGGTGCGGTGCGGTGCGGTGCAGTAGGCGAGAGGGTGTCCTTTATTGCGCGTGTGAGCATTGTGTGGGACATTTGTCTTCGCTAGCAGCACGTCACCGTCAGTCACCACGGCAGTCTGAGTCGTGAGTCTGCTGCACTCGTGACCATGCATTCAGCAGCTACTGTACCGGTACAGGTAGCAGACCCGTGCACGCACGAGCTTTCTTCTTAGCCGCGCTGCAACTGCTGCTCAAGCTGCGTGCATGGGCACGCTCAACTCCACTTTTTTTGAATGAATGAATGCATGCTGCCACGCTGCGTTTGATGAAGGGGCAAAGGGGGGTCGGCAGGAGCCATGGAGTGGGCCTCGAGGCTGGGCAGCACCATGCACCGATCCGCACGAAGGGGAGGAAACACAAGCGCCAAGTCCCGAAGCGTTGGGACAGACAGCTACAACAGTACATGGCATGGAGCTGATGAGACTCGGACGCACGCACGCACGCACGCACGCATGCACTCGATCACAACGAGGCTGCATGCTCTCCAACCTGCGGCGACAGTCAGGTGTCCTGACGTGATCGATCGGCCAAAGCGGGTCAAATAGCGGCGAGCGCTGGCCGCGACTTGGCGAAAGGGTGTGAGTTGTGCGGTGTGGAGCACGCAAGTGGAGCTCATAAAGGCAAAAAGTCGTCGGGCATGTCCAGCTGCCTCACCAAAATCGTGACTCTCCCTCATTCCTGCTCAGCACTACCATCACAGACTTTTGAGACGCTTCATCGCTAAATCAGAGAGCAGGATAAGCGCATACGCACCCTACATCCTCCAATCAGAACAAGGCACGAAACAGACACCAAGCGCTGACGGACACGATGGCAGAGTACGCCAACAGCCCAGTGCACGATGTGCCGGTGCGATTGGCTGGCAAGAACTTTCCAACGCCTCACATTGACCTCAAGACGTACGAAAAGGATCACGCAGCTTCCGTTCAAAATCCAGACGCTTTCTGGAGCAAGGTGAGTTGCCGCAGCGATACATTCTTGATTGGCACGGCACACTAAAGCGACATCAAGTTGCAGTGCTGGGCTGGGCTGGGCTGGGCTGGCTCGATTGCGCTGGGCTCGAATGCCGGCAGCTGCGGCGTGGTTCTGCCTTCTGAGTGCGGGCTTGAGGCAGGGCCAAGCGCGCTGACAGACAGAGTGGTGATCTGGCCATAGTGCTCAAACAAGGGCCCAATACCATCCACGATTGACTGCTGCCTCCTTGCTGCGCGAGCTGGCATAGCCTGCGTTGATCTCTGCCGAGCACGCGGCCAGCTGAGACTGCGTCATGATGCCAAGCCGCCTATAGGCTATCTTCCCTAGCACCTCGCGGCGAAGCATTTGCACACAACTCTCTTCCTGACACGACTCAGCTGGAACGCGCCTTGCCTGACACTCTTTCCTCTCTCCCACTTGCTCGCAGCTGGCTAACGAGACGATCAGCTGGGATGAGCCCTTCAAGACGGTCCGCGCCGGCGGTTTTGAGAATGGAGATATGGCGTGGTTCCCAGAAGGCAAATTGAACGCCTCCTACAATTGCGTTGATCGCTGGGCTTTCAGCAATCCAGACAAGGTGAGCCCTTTCTGCATCGCGGACTATTCTCAGATACCGGCAGCGCCACTGTGCTGATTACCCTGCACACGAACCTCTCCGCTACACTCAGGCGGCCATCATCTACGAAGCCGATGAGCCAGGTCAGGCAAGAATCATCACTTACAAAGAGCTCTTGGCTCAAGTCAGCCAGCTGGCCAATGCACTCAAGAAGCGCGGAGTAAAAAAGGGAGACACTGTCATCGTCTACCTGCCCATGATCCCCGAAGCTGTCGTTGCACTGCTCGCTACGGCCCGTCTAGGCGCTGTGCACTCTGTAGTGTTTGCCGGTTTCTCTGCCGACTCTCTCAGAGATCGCACTGTAGACTGCGAAGCTCGAGTGGTGATCACAACCGACGAAGGCAAGCGCGGAGGTCGCACCATCGCAACAAAGAGCATCGTGGACGCTGCTCTCAAGGAGTGCCCCAAAGTGGAGCACTGCATCGTTGTGCAACGTACCGGAAACAAGGATGTGGGCATGACCGAGGGTAGAGATGAGTGGTACCACGACATCACCAAGCGCGAGAGACCTTACTGCCCACCTACGAGCGTCTCTTCCGAAGACCCACTGTTCATCCTCTACACCTCGGGATCCACCGGCAAGCCGAAGGGTGTTGTTCACACCACTGCCGGCTACTTGCTCGGCACAGCCCTTACAGTCAAGCATGTCTTCGACGTGCATGAAAACGATCGTTTCGCATGCATGGCCGACGTGGGATGGATCACTGGCCACAGCTACATCGTTTACGGCCCGCTCATGAACGGCGTGACTACGCTGGTCTTCGAGTCTACACCAGTCTATCCGACCGCGAGCCGATACTGGGAGGTCGTGGCTCAGCACAAGCTGACTCAATTCTACACGGCGCCCACCTCTATTCGCCTGCTGCGAAGAATGGGCGAAGAGTTCGTAAAGGGACACGATCTCTCCACCCTGCGCACCCTGGGATCAGTAGGAGAGCCGATCAACCCAGAAGCTTGGAATTGGTACAATGAGAATGTCGGAAAGGGAGAGTGTGCCATTGTGGACACTTATTGGCAGACCGAGACTGGTAGCATCATGATCACCCCGCTACCGGGTGCCATCAAGACCAAGCCGGGAAGCGCCACGAGACCGTTCTGGGGGGTCGAACCGGTGCTGCTGGATCCTACGAGTGGAGAGGAGCTAAAGGGCAACGAGGTGGAGGGTGTTCTCGCCTTCCGCCAGCCTTGGCCCGCTCAAGCTCGTACCATCTTCAACGACCACGATCGCTTCCTGGACACTTATCTCCGACCTTACAAGGGCTTCTACTTTACCGGTGATGGCGCTGCGAGGGACAAGGATGGATACATTTGGATCAAGGGACGTGTGGACGACGTCATCAATGTGTCGGGTCACAGACTGAGCACAGCCGAGATCGAGAGCGCCTTGATCCAACATCCAGGAGTCGCAGAGACTGCAGTCGTGGGCATTCCGGACGAGATGACGGGTCAAACCATCTGCGCATACGTCACGTTGAAGCCCAATTTCTCCTTTGACAATGAAGAGGCTCTATCCAAGGAGCTCGTCGTTCAAGTCAGGCGCAACATTGGTCCCTTTGCGGCACCAAAAAAGATCGTCATCCTCACCGAAGGCGTCGACCTGCCCAAAACGCGCTCAGGCAAGATCATGCGCCGCATCCTTAGGAAAATCGCTTCGGGAGAAGGCGACCAACTGGGCGACCTCAGCAGTCTCAACGACCCATCGGTACCCGAGAAGATTAAGGCTAAATTTGCTCAGAAGTAGAGCCGATACGATGGTCGGCTCTCCTTCATGAGGCAATCCAGAAGCGCTCGTATCTTACTTCCTCTCGCTCGCTCGTCAATCTTGTCCGTCTGTGCCTGTAGCGCTCGTCTCATCCTCTGCTCGCGCCTCCTGTTCCAAATGCGCAAACCTTTGAGCTTCAAGGATCAGAGATCGCAACTGAATCATCAATGGATTTATCGGCTCGCTGAAGTGCAATTCTGGAGTAGGGCACGTTGTGAAATCTGACCGGGGACCAGCTAATTATAGCTGGAGAGCAAGAGAGATCGCAGTAAGAAAGAGGCGCGTGAGCAAGGTATGTAGTCGGCGTATCGATCGCCAGGCGAAACGTACCAAATCCTCGACTCGCACAGCTACGAGCAGGTGGGGACGACATACGCAAATGTCAGCATGAGGGAAAGCGGTGCAACGACACTCTGCCAATCCTAAGGGCTGCCCAACTCACGCATCTCATCTATGACCGTCGCGTAGTACTGTGGACGGTGGAGGTAAGACGAAGCGAGCACTTTAGCTCGTCTGCCCCATCGCTCGCAGAGCAGCACAGTGACTGACCTGTTCGATATCTCGCAGAATCCTAACGTCTTCCACTGTGACGAACTGCGGACCAAAAGGTGGTGAACGAGATTCGTGAGCTTCGGCGCGCCCTTTGCAGCCTCTTTGCGAGCTCGACATCACTCACATTGATCGCGACACCCTTGCGCCCGAAACGACCTGATCGACCGATGCGGTGGATGTAGTTCTCGCGGTTGCTGAAGCGCGGGCACCAGTTCCGTGAGCTACCTGAATTCGACGCAAGTTCAATTCGCCCAGCACTCACGAAGGCAAATCGTAATTGATGACCAGCGACACGTTCTGAACGTCTATGCCTCGCGCCCACACATCGGTGGTGATGAGCACCCTGCTAGCACCCTGCCTAAACTCGGCCATGATGGCATCCCTCTCCTTTTGCTGCATCTCGCCGTGCATGCTGCTGACTTGAAAATTATTCTCCCGCATCTTTTCCGTCAACCAATCCACTTTTCTCCTCGTGTTGCAAAAGATGACCGCCTGAGTGATGGTGAGCGTGTCGTACAGATCGCAGAGTGTGTCGAACTTCCAGTCCTCCTTTTCCACCGCTACAAAGAACTGCTTGATGCCTTCCAACGTTAGCTCGTCACGCTTGACTAGGATACGGATTCTGATGGCATAGAGAGTTTGCCGTCAATTACATGCTCGCACTGCAAATGAAGCGATGACGCGGAGGCTACTTACGGATCTGTCATGAACTTGGTAGTCATCTCGAGCACGTCTTGGGGCAGCGTAGCCGAGAGCAGCACTACCTGAGTAGCTGGGGGCAGGTATCTGTACACGTCGTAGATCTGATCTTTGAAGCCCAAATTGAGAAGTTCGTCGCTCTCATCCAGAATGAGCATCTTGATGTTCTTTGTACGAAGATGCCTCCTGCGGATCATGTCGAATACCCTGCCGGGTGTCCCAGAGACCACGTGCTGCCCGTACTCCAACTTGCGAATGTCTTCGCCCACAGAGGTTCCTCCTAGAATCGGAGCAATTCAAAGCGCAGGCAAGTATCAGCAACAGAGAGACTAGAGTATCCCGCTCCACGAACCAAAGAGCATGTAGCCTGTCCTGGCAGACAGAGGACCGTTGCACTCCCTTTTCCAGCAGCATTTCTCCTGTGAAGAAGGAGCACACTCACCGATGCAAGCATGACATTGCACGTTCATGTAGTCCCCCAAGGCCAGCACGACACTCTGAATCTGCGTTGCCAACTCCCTTGTGGGGCTAAGTACCAGCGCCTGCGTTTCCCTCAAGCTAGTATCGATGCTCTGCAACAGGGCGATGCTAAAAGTTGCCGTTTTTCCCGTTCCGCTTTGAGCTTGAGCGATGACATCCCTTCCCCTCACGATGGGCAAAATAGCCCTCTGTTGGATCGCTGAGGGGCGCTCGAAGTTGTATGCGTAGATACCTCGCAGCAGATCCTCCTTGAGCCCCAAAGCGTCAAAGGTCGGCGCAACTTTGACCTCCTCGGAAGACTCGAAGACGAGCTTCGAATCGCCAGCGTTGATGCCTCCACGCTGACAGCGCGAACATGGTCAGTATCAAGGCGTGCTGATTGATGTGAGCGGCATGAACATCTTGCTGGGCTTGATAGCTTGGACGCACATACTCACAGACATATTGGGCAAGACTACGTCTTGGGGTCGAAGCGCTGCTTTCTGGCCTGGCGATCGAAGACGGTTCTGGACTCGGTGCGACTAAGGAAGCACAGTGCAGCGATGCAGATAATGCCCGACACTTGGAGGGCCTCGTCGATGGGCGAAGATCACACCGAGTTGCCGATTTGTGGAGGGCGGTGTGCTGAGCTGATTGGTGCTGAAGCAAACACAAGCTCGAACTTTATGGAGTTTGTAGATCGAGTCAAGTCTGGGAACTTTTGGATGAGATCGCACCCACGTGGAAAAGAGTCACGTGACAAGCCAGCGCGCTCAAGACCTCAACATGGCCGGGCTACACCTGCATGGAATCAAGAATGCAGCTGATCAATCGTGGATGTGGAGCTAGCTGTTCTTTCCTCAAGACTCATCATCATCAGAGTATCAAGACATCCGATCGAGCGTCACGCCTGCTGGTGAGCAGAGTAATACACATTCGAGGAAGCGGCCCCCGTGGGTGAGGCATGGGACGCCACGATGATCCATGGTCTTGGCATCGGTGAGAGTGAGAGAGTCAGTGGGTCGTCGCACCTTACCTCTACCCCGCATTCATTCAGTCAGGCTACCGCCATGATCGTGCGATATGACCAGCAGCAGCCAGCTGTTTGCTCGGCTTCATCAGTGAAGCGAGATCCCTTCTTGTAGCACAGCCACACTGTATGCTGGGCGAAGAAAAGATCGAGCTGCCAAGCCGTCGCGTCGTCGGCCTTTTGTTCGGAGTTACGGTTGCTCGTATATGATCAATAATCGCACAGCTTTGCAGCTTCACCCCATCGGTCATCTTAGATCAAGGAATGTCTTGCTCATGGACCGTCAATTTGAAGCTTGTACGGACGGATGGATCAAAACAATCGTGAATCTTGTGGGGCGCCTGCACTAGCGCGGTGGCCCCGGGCATCTCTTGATTTGTGCTTGCTGCCCGTGAGGAGATTCATGATTGCTGCGTGGCTGCCCCAAAAGCCCGAGGCCCATGGCAGGAACCCTGCTGTGGTGGTGGCTTTGACAGCACCTTGCACCCACGACTCGCCACTCACGATCTCGCACACTCACAATCCTCGACTTTCGACTCAAGACGGCACGGCGCGTTGGGCAGAGAGACTTTTGATTGTGTCTGCACACGCCTCCACGACAGCGCAAGCAGGGGTCCGGGCAGGCGATCGAGGAAGCAGGCAGGTGCGTTAGCTGTGCAGCTCGCTACGGTAAAGGTGTGGTGCTGTACATACCCATCGTCTTGCGTAGGTATAGATACAGTCACGCGTACATGCATGTATAAAGGCAGACAGGCGGGCAGGGATGCGCTCGAGCCGAAATTACCGAGCGCAGTCCAGCAGCATCAGGCACGCACGCGCAGCCACATACATTCACCATTTTGATTGCAGCTGTTACAGGAGACGAGGAGAGTGAGCGCGCGCGTTCGACATCATATCAGCAGAGCTGTTGTTATTATCATATTTGTACATAGAATCTATCATGTTGGCTTTGAAATGCGCGACCCAATCGAATTTGAACGCAATTGTGAATTGAGCAGATACAGCTATGCTAGAGAGGTCATCGAGCTGGACGCACAGCACTCACGACCCTTGACTCTTCACTCGCATCTCCACAAGAGCTCCACTCACACTCTCACAATCACAATCACGAGCTAAAGCTCCACTGCGCTCTTGCTAGCACACTGCACCACGCATCTGCACCTCGACATTCCTAGGGCGTACACACACCGCCTAGGCTACGAGTCTTGCACGCCGCTGGCTTGCGTTGAGCATTCGAGCCGATCGCACCTCACTCCGGGCCTCACGACTCCTCAATACACCCCCAAGTCTGTCGAGCGATTAGATCGCACATCACCCGCTTCTGAGCTGACCTAGAAGGCGGAGCTGCTCGACCGTGACCGAGCGTCCAAGATCGCGCCAACCGCTGCGCAATACCACACTTCTGCGGTTCACTTTGTTGATTCACCTAGCATCCATCCCACTTCTGACCAGGACCAGCAAGGATGCCACGCGTCATCATCGCACCTTCGGTGCTTGCTGCCGATATGGGCAACTTGAATGCGGAATGCAAAAGGATGATGGATGCGGGTGCGGATTGGCTTCACATGGGTGAGTGATGGCACAAGCTTCGAGTCGGTGGGGATGTAAACATGGCATTGATTACACAACAAGGGCAGGCGAGACCATGCAAAATGTGCCCGCTGATGGGGAAGCAGGGGTGCTAGTACAAGTCTGCTCCAGCAGGTCTTGAGCACTGCGAAGAGCACGGCACTGACTTTCTGTGCCTCTCGGCGTCACTCACAGATGTCATGGATGGGCACTTTGTGCCAAACATTGTCCTCGGAGCGCCCATCATCTCTTCAGTGTCCAAAGCCGTGCCCAACATCTTCATGGATGTGAGTCTGCGAGCGCTTGGAGGTGCTTGCGTACTCATCTGACACAGTCGCGTACAACACCGACCACAGTGTCATATGATGGTTACAGAGCCTGGTCGTGTGAGTGCTTCATAGAGCCCAAGATCGGCGAGAAGCGGGAACTGAATGCGCGCATAGACACTCTCACTCGCAACAGTGGGTCAAAGATATCGCAGAAGCGGGCGGAAAGTCATACACGTTTCATATCGAAGCTGCAGGTGCGCAGCCTCGACTGTTTTATGGTTTCACAGCATCTCACTGATGCCTCACGTCTCCGCCTTTGCAATACTACAGACGATCCTATGGATGTGGTCAGACAGATTAAAGCGACAGGCATGAGAGCAGCAGTCGCTATCAACCCGGGCACTCCTAGCTCAGAGATCTCGAACGAGCTCGGAGAAGCTGTGGATATGATCTTGGTGATGACGGTGTGGCCGGGTGAGTTAATTTAGGAAGGGTCACAACAATAGTACCGATGGACTGATGGATGCGCCCGCTGCATTTTGTTTCGGCTGTCACATAGGCGCTGGAGGACAAAAGTTCATGAAGGAGTGCATGCCAAAAGTAGCCGAGCTTCGCGCCAGGTTTCCAGATTTGGACGTGGAGGTTGATGGAGGCGTTGGTCCAAAGACGATTGACAAGTGTGCAAATGCGGGTGAGCCATTGCGACTATCACCAGGACGATGTGCATGCGCCCCCGCCGCTTCCTTGCTCACTCATACGTATCCTCTGTACTGCGGAACAGGTGCAAACATCATCGTGGCGGGCACCGCAATCTTCAACGCGGAATCGCCAAAGGATGTGGTCAACTATCTGCGCACGCGATGTGAAGCAGCGCAAGAGAAGATTGCGAGGGAGCGCGAACAGATCTTGTTCGATCCTAATGATGAGAGCGCCTTGTCTGATGGTGATGACGACCGCGGGACAGCAAGCAGACCTTCTTCCAGGCGTAATACGCCTCTCTCACAACCCAGGACCTACTTGCGGCATCTGGTCGCTAGAAGATCCAGTGGGAAATTGCCGCCCATGCAGCGAGGCATCACGGTGAGTTGGGCTGGGAAGGGCAAACGCCTGCCTCCGGGATTCGTAAGTCTTTGCTACTGCTTCTGAGCTGACGCTGCGGTCAATCTGAACCCCTTCGCCAGGGTCCTGGTGGCATTGCAAGCTTGACCAACTCGATCGGTCTCACATCCATCAACTAAGCCATGGTCTCTTCACTGTCATTCCGCCCGCTTTGAAATGTTACATCATTCGCACTGATGCACGTGCCTATAGTGCCTTCTGCCAAGGGTTGAATCGCGTTAAATGCGACAAGGCTTTGAAGTTTGGCTGCCCTCCATTTGAGCATTGCCAGGGATTCCTCAGCACCTGATGATCAGGCGTGCCCGCGTCAAGCTTCCAAAGTTGCAGCACGAGCGCTTACCGCCCTCAGATTCTTTATTGATATTTGATTTTGGTGTAGAGTACAATGACTTGACAACAGTCACGGGAGGAAGCGGATGGGCGGGTGTACGAGCACGCGCGCTCGACATCGGTCATGGTGTGTTCAACCTCTTTGCACATTAGAAGCCTCTTCCGCGCCCTCTTCCTCTCCCGCGAGGTCCTCCTCTACCTCTACCCCTATCCGCAGCTCCCCGTCCAGCGCCGGGCTTTCTGCCACCTTTAGGCTTGGGGGCATCGTCGACCAAGAGCACATCCAAGGGCAGAGAGTCGGGCAAGATCCAGTAGCGGGTGTTGTTACCGCGGATAGAAAGCGTGTCGAGAGAAATGGCATCGCGACCTTTGACTGTCATCTTGACCGTCTTGAGGTGCGTGTTCATCTGGGGATCGACACCTGATAAGAGTGCAGCAATGAGCCCAGTGAGCTTGTGAGACTTGCGAATGGCACCGCGGCGACGCCCGACACACTAACCTGTGACTGTGCCGTGAACTACCGTGCCGTTCTTGAGCTCAATCGTGACACTCTCATTGTTGAGCTTCATCAAGAAGCTGTAAAGATGTTGGAGTGACCGGCGGCGAGTTTGTCAGCTGGAAGATTTCGAGCTGCTCCGACGCCAACATCACAGAACGTCCCACATTTATCGCAACTTTGCGTCTAACCAAATGGCAAGCCCGCTCAGTACGCTCTGCCAGGGAACCCGTGCGTGAAGCGACTTCTTCGCCATTGCTGAATCTACTGTCCATTCGGTTCATCCAGACTGGATACTCACCGAACGAGATGCATCTTGTATGTCAGGCTGCGCCGGATAGGCACGGTCTAGGGATGTCGCTTTCGAGGAACGTGGTTCACTGGCCGAGTGAAGGTATGCTAACCCAGGCCAGAAGAAGGCAAGCCGTGACCCAGTCTGCTTGGAATCGTCAAGCCAGCTGAGCTGCGAGGACTTCGCTTGCTAAGCCAGGATGAGAACTCTTGCGCGTGGATTGGGAGTCGGGCAAGCGAGTGTTGTGTGGAGTAGATGGTGAGGGTGAAGGGCGAGAGACGGAGCGATCGTGCGAGTCGCATACAGGGCAGCGCGAGTCGTGAGTCTTTTGGCGGCAGCATATGGCGATCAATCCTTCTTGCTGCGCGCGCGTTCGACCTGCGCGAGCGCGTGACACAACGCCGCCCGCTGGCACGTGATCGCCAGATCCTCTGTGCATGATGATCCTTGAAAAAAGTTGCGCGAGGAGCGCGTCCGCCGTGCGCCCATGCATGCCCAACCGAGGACAAAGAAGTGTAAAGACGCCATCACGCTAAGGTCATCAGCACCTCCTTCATCCCTCTCCTCATGGAGACAACACTGGACCCAACGCGCTGATCCTACCTCAAAGCGCTGCACCATCTCTGCTCAGGATGCGTGCGACTTCGTTTGCACTGACCAATGTGCTGGGCAGCGTCTACGAGCGGGGACCTATCTGCTTCACTCCTGATGGCAGCACCTTGCTGAGCCCAACAGGCAATCGTCTTACGCTGGTGAACCTGCAGACGCAAGCTTCGCGCACTTTGCCCGTCGAGCTGCGTCGCACCGTTGCCAATATCGCTCTCAATCCGGCCAGGCCTTACATTGCCATCCTGATCGACGTTGATGGTCGCGCCGTCCTGGTCAACTTGTACGCAGGAGCGGGAGGAGGCGGCGTGGCCTTGGCCCACATCAACTTTGGCGCGCCGGTCAGGGCAGTCAGATTCACTCCCGATGGCAAACATTTGGCCGTGGCGCATGGAAGTCAGATCAAGGTGTGGCAGACTCCAAGCACGCTGACTCGCGAGTTCAGCCCCTTCGTGCTGCATCGCACCTACACCGGGCACGATGACGACGTGCTTAGCATACAGTGGAGTCCTTCAGGCCAGTGAGTAGAGCTTCGGAATGCATGCTCTGTGCGACTACGCCGAGGGACGCGCACCATGGTCCAAGGTTTGGTGCGATGATGCTTCCAAAAACTGATTTAATGAGTCTGCCGATTGGCAGAGAGCATACCCGCTCAATGCTCTGAGTCACCAATCCCTGGTCATTGTGCACTTCCGAGGCGTGTTCCCGAACAGACGAAACACGTCCACGCATGTTCTGCTTGCGAAGAGGGCTCGCTGCTGACACAGTGTTGTGCTGCTTCCTGCTGCAGGTTCTTCCTCACCACTTCCAAGGATCTCAGCGCTCGACTCTACTCTCTTGATCCCATTCCCTTCCCATCTTTACCCGGCACCTCCACGAATGGCAAGAGGCAGCCGACCAAATTCAGACCCAAGACGTTTAGCGGGCATCGCGCATCTGTTCTCTCGGCGCACTGGAGCGCAGACGAGCGCACAATCTACACCATTGGCAAGGATGGTTCGTGCTTCGTGTGGCGGATCAAGCCCGAAGAAGAATCAGAAGGCGAAGATGAGGAAGAAGATGCAGACAGTGATGCCGACGGGAAGAAAAATCGAGCTGGGCCATCTACGGTCAGTCGGTCACACGACAGTCGCCTCGAATTAGCCAGAGCACGATGGGGCATTGCGGAGCGACACTACTTCAACGCTCAGAGCGTCGGCGTCAATTGTGCCGACTACCATCCCGAGTCTTCTTTGCTCGTCGTGGGTTTTGTGACAGGCGTCTTTGGCTTGTACACCCTCGCCGATGAAGGTGCATGCACACCACTGCATACCCTCAGCATCAGCTCAGAAAAGGTCGCCGCTGTCACCTTCTCGCCCGATGGAGCCTGGCTGGCGTTCGGATGTGCAGGCCTTGGACAATTGCTCGTGTGGGAATGGGCCAGTGAAAGCTACATTCTGAAACAGCAAGGTCACTATGCGGATGTCCGCTGCATCGCCTACTCCAATGACGGTCAAATTGCCGCTACGGGCGGCGACGACGGCAAAGTGAAGCTCTGGAACACCACGAGTGGCTTCTGCACCGCGACGTTCACTGAGCATTCTGCCACTGTTGCAGCTTTGGAATTTGCGTCCAAAGGTCAAGTGCTCTTCAGTGCTAGCTTGGACGGCACCGTCAGAGCTTGGGACCTGCTGCGGTACCGAAACTTTCGCACCTTCACTAGTCCAGAGCCCGTCCAATTCGGCTGCTTGGCCGTCGAGCCCAGCGGAGAGGTGGTTGCGGCAGGAGGCGGTGGAGCGGCTGCGGACAGTTTCGACATTTTCACATGGAACGTGCAGAGCGGCAAGATTCTCGACGTCATGGGTGGGCATGACGGCCCAGTCGCTAGCTTGACCTTCTCACCTAGTGGCAGCGGTCAACTCATCAGCGCTAGCTGGGACAAGACGCTCAAGGTATGGGAGGCGTTCCGAGACGCCAGCGCAGACACTGTCGGTCTCACTGCCGAGGCGACATGCGTCGCCTTCCGGCCAGATGGAGGCGAGATCTGCGTTGCTACATTGGATGGTCAGATCAACTTTTTTGATCCGAGAGACGGGGCAAAACAGCTTGGAATACTTGAATGCAGAAAAGACATTGCGGCTGGAAGACGCCTCGATGACAAAGTCACACGACAAGGCAATGAAGGTGCCGCATGCTTCACAAGCCTACACTACAGCGCCGACGGTCGGTGCGTCCTGGCCGGTGGAAACAGCAACTGGATATGTCTTTACGATGTTCGAGAAAGAGTGTTGCTGAAGCGATGGACAGTCTCCAAGGATGTCGGTCTGGACAACACCCAAGACAGACTAGATAGCCGACGACTCACCGCTGCTGGTCCACGAGAGCTCATTGACGACATTTCAGACGAGGATGAACTGACTACATTTGAGCGATTAGACAAGTCGCTGCCTGGTGCTCAAAGAGGGGACATGTCCAAGCGTACCACACGCAAAGCAGCGCGGATCACGAGCGTCCGCTTCTCGCCCACTGGTAGAGCGTGGGCTGCTGCGAGCACTGTCGGAGTGCTCGTCTATTCGCTTGACCCTCCAACCGCTGCTATCGGTGTGGGAGCACATGGTGGCGCAGCAGCAGCATTCGATCCCTTGGATCTGGATATGGAGCTTACGCCCGCATCCATCATTGCTGCTTGTGCAAGAGGTGAATCTTTGGGTGCTCTGGTTGGCGCTCTCAGACTGGGCGAAGCGCCGCTGCTAGCCGAAGTGTACGAGAAAGTGCCCGTCAAAGAGGTTCCTCTAGTCGCTTCGCAACTACCTCAAGTGCACGTAGGAGCGGTGCTCAAGCTCGTAGCTCAGCAACTTCATCCTCAATCCAACTCTCCGCACGTAGAGTTTCATCTGCGCTGGCTCGCTGCTCTCTTGACCACCCATGGCGCATTTGTTCGCAAGCGAGCCAAGGCGGATCTGGCCCCTTCGCTGCGCCTTGTGGCTGCTTGCCTATACGAGCTGCGCGCCAATGTCAAACGCACTGCGGACGAGAACCTGTATGCGCTGCTGCATGTTTGGGATGGTATGCAGAGGAAGGGAGCCGATCAGGCCTGATGGCCGACCTTCTAGGAAATTGAGCCGCTTTTCGTTCACTCAGTCGAAACGCCAGCGTGGATACGAACCTTTGCCTTCGTGTCCTGCTAGCCGGCCTCACAAGCCAATGTGTATTCTATAAATGCGTTTACCAGCACTGTAATACAATATACACAGCACATTATGCTGCCATTTAGGTGGAAGGGTCACTCTACGAGATCATGAGTATCGAGGGTGTGCCCGGACAACCGGCTCACCCGGTAGCGGACTCATCTAGGTGTCTAACCACTAGCTTCGCTCGGGCCGCGCTGATCATTGCCGCGGCATGCCGGAAGCGCGCACAAGCGGCGCACTGCTGTGTACCGGTACAGCGCAGCTGCTGCTATGATGCGGAACATCTCAGTCATGAGCATGCGTTGCTCACGCTAAATGACCGTCAATTTCACGCTGCGCGCACGCATGACGTTTGCCCCCGCATGCTTCCCCGCGTATATAGTGTCAGACTCGTGACTGCTTAGGTGCCTTGTAACTTCGTCGCTACAGCCGCGATGAAGCTCTTCCGCCCGCGTGAATGTGAATGCGCCGGCTTCGAAACGAGCGTGGAGAAGAACGTGGGTGCTAGTCACGAGTCACGACTTTCGAGTGCTGCTGTGCACTGTGCATCTGATCGCCTTTGAACGACCAATCTTGGGATCGCAACTCTTCACGAGTCCCGACCCTGCCATCACTATTCAGGATCATTCGACTCAACGGATTGATCTTGTCCTAGTGACATTGCTCGCTGCATCAACGCAGCTGGCTTGACCGCCTCCTCCATCATCTTGAACGATTTTGAAGCCACGCTCTTGCAAACATGGACAGGTGAGCCGGCAAGCGCGGCTGACCAGGAAGCCTCGTCGACGACCGTGAAGGAAGGCTGACCCTTGGCTGCCAACTCTTGGTCCTGTAGCCTCGATCTGCCCACTCACCAGCTCATCCTGGATGAGCTGGCCCTCAATCTCGCTGACCATGTGTCGGCTGGAAAGCTCGACCCATCCGAGCCTGCCACCGTCTTCTTTGCGAATGCGAGCAGCTCCAAGAGCAAGACCAGCTCGGGCATTCATCTGGTAAGTTCAAAGAGGGACTGGAAGAAGCTACACTTGTCAACCCACTTCTCACCCCCTCGTGCGACGTTTGCTCTGTTTCGCGGTCTTTAGAGCGCCTCCGCTGCTCGCACTCAGATCAGTCTGGCCCTATTCGCTTCATCGATCTCCTCGGCATCGCTCTCCACTACGCATACGGTGGATGAGGCGACGGATGAGCACCTGTCTCCAGTTCTCGAAGAGCTGGTCAAGCACGCCAAGGCGCTGTCATCGGTCAACATTGAGGAAGGCATGAACCTCATCGACTGGCCTTTGCCCGATCAGCTCGCATTCGCCCTCACCTCTGCCCTGCTTAATATTGCGCGCAACGCGCCCCAGCATCGCCAGTCAGCCCTGGACGCTGTGCTTGTCCTTGCTGAGAATCTGGCAGTGGGCTTGAGCGCATCGTCTGGCTCGACCCACGCGGTCGCTACACGTCTCGTACCCGCGTTCCATGGGTTCTATAGAGCGCTCGCCAGCGTGCCCTTCTCGTGGAGCATCGCCGAGTTCGCTCGACTTGCAGTCGCTTTGACGCCCATCACCACCGCAACTGGCAGCACTAAGCGCCTCAACGATGCCCTTCTGACCCTTCCAGAGCAAAGCGCAGCTCGCGCTCAGGCTGATCGTGCTACGCGACGCAAGCCCAAGAAGCCAACAGTCCGTCCTCGCGAGGATGATGATGACGACGCACGCAGCGTCGGTTCGGTCGACACGTTCTTTTCCGGTGACGAAAGTCTCGATGCGGACAACGAGCCAGTGACTGGTGGCTTCAGCCTCGAGAGCGATGATGGCGAGCACATCGACTATCGCAACTCGTTGCTCGCCCACTATCGCCGTCTGGGCCGTCCCCTCTCTGGACACTTGGTACTGTGCGGCGCCATCGAAGCGCTGAGCTGTGTCTTGGCACAATGTCTGGCCACGCATGCAAGTCCGCCCATCTCAAGCTTCGCAGACTATCAGAAGCAAGGCCTGGATCAACAGAGCATCGACCCTGCTCGTGCGGTAAGAGCGGACCGCTTCGATCTCGTCGGCGACCAGCCAAGCGCTGCCCGTCATGCCGGCGAACATGTTGGAGATGCCACAGCTAAAGCCTGGGCCGCTTTGATGCGCTTCCCGGTCAAAGACCCCCGCAAGGAGCCGCAGCAACCCCAGGCTGCCAATGGCCAGTCTCAGCAGAACGGTGCGGGCTCCGGCTTCCTGTCCTCGCTGCCACTCGTGGGCAGCAACAGCAATACGGCCGCCTTTGGCAACGGCGATGCAGCTGGCCCCACCACAGCTAGCGTCTCGCAAGGCGTACTGGCTGCTTTGCGATTCGGCAGTCGCGTGTACCATGACCTGCAGCGCTTCATTGAGTCGGAGGGAGCTAAGCGCGGTGAGCTTTTCATCGACGTCTATGCACTCGAAATCCTTTCCGAGGCTCTCAAGCTCGGCGCACTGGCTTCCATCGCCCAGACACGTATCTCTCACGCAAGCGTTGACTCGCACACGCTGGTGCGCGTGCGCACCCTGTTGAGCGAGGGTGCCGTAGTCTACGAGCCCGTCGTGCAGAGCGCCGCGCTGCAATCAGTAGCAGCTCTTGTTCGCAACTACCCCAACCTCGGACTGGCCATGACCACGCAGCTGCGCCGTTTCGTGACCAGCCCTTTAGCTATGTTCGAATTGGACGAAGCGAGCGTCGCGGCGGGCAACGCTTCCATCGTCTCTCCTCATATCGACACCTCCTCCCCCTCTCTCGGCGTTGTCACCAATCCGGTGCTGGCAAGCGCTGCGAAGTGCTTGGCCATCTGTGTCACCTCTTCGCAGAACGACGATCTGCTCATCAGTACCATGTACACCTTGCTCAACTATCTCGGCAAAGATAGCGCGACTGGCGGTTTCGCTGCAGGCGGTGCCGCAGGCAGCGCTGTCTCAGTCCGAAGCGGAATCAGCAGAGCCGTCACCGGACGCGACTTTGGAAGCACCATTGGTGGCCAAGCGGGGCAAGCCGGCGCTCGCACCACTGCTCAGAAGCGTCTCATCAACAGTTCGACGATCGCTATTGTCAGTCGCCTGGCCCTCGAGGTCAACAAGCCGGACGTCACTGCTCTGACGATCAGCATGCTGCTTCAAAGGTTACGCACTGCCGATGAGGTCGCCGAGGGCGCCATCTTGGCTCAACTCGTTCCGCTTGCGTTGGCAGGACCCAAGTCTAGCTATCTCGACGTCGTGCGCGCTTTCAGTCATGCTAGTCGCAGCGCCGTGACGGGTGGCGCGGACCGCCGTGCAAGCTCCGACATCCTTGCTGCTCAACTTCGCTTGGCTCGTGCTCTCGATCGTCTGCAAGAAGACGCGGAGACGCCCAGCGAAGGCACGAAGCCAGATGCGGACGAAGATTCGGACGCGGAGCGCACGGCTGGCCGCAAAGAGCTTTACCTTGTCGAGCTACTTCAATTGTACGCAGAAAAGGGCATGCAGCTGCAAACTAGCGTGGGAAGTGGCAAAGCCAGCAAAGAGGAGACGTCTGAGCTCACAGCGGACTTGGCCGCGCTCCTTCCTGTCATTGCTGCTGTTCTGGAGCACGATGACCTGCGCCCTCACGAGCACCCAACGCCGGAGCTCGTCTCTCACTTCCGCAACCTCTGGTTCTTGAGCGTCATCTTCGGAGTGGCCACTCCTGGCGAGCAGCCTGCACTGACAGGGGCTTCGCGCTCTTCTCGAACGCTTCGTACAGGAGTACTTGCCCATGCGCTAGGAGATCCGAGCCCTGTCGCTGAAGCTTTGGGAACCATCAGTCTCAAAACCCCAGCTCTTGTCCCCGAGACTTCGCACAACTATGTCGAGTCGGACTTGGAGTTTAACAGCGTTCTCAAGCGTGACTTCAGTTCTGCTGCCCTCGACAAGCAGCGCAAGAATCTGTCGGCGCTGATACCAAGTCATGCTAGCGAAGTGAGCAAGCTTGCCTTCCCTCAGGTGACCTTCCTTAACACCATCTACAGCTTGGAGTGCACCAGAAGCGCTATGGGCCATCCGACCATGATCTTGTGGTATTTCATCAACGCTGGATTGAACGCGAGCAGTTTGGCTAAGCCGATGGAGGGTATCGCCGATCAAGTCATCAACTCTTTCATCAAGGACCTCTCGCAGCAGGTCAGCGAGCACAAGGTTCAGCCTCGTGTTTCGGAAGAAGTGAAGCGCCTTTTCGTGGCAAGCTGCCATCGCGTGGAGAAGGTTCGCAGCGTCTCGCGCCGCTTCCTGGACCGCCTCGTCCCGAGCTACCCTAGCTTGCTGTGCGACCAAGACGTCGTCGTGGCGATGCTCGAGATCCTTACCCTGCTGCGCCAAGGCTGCGAAGGACAGTGGCGAGACGAATACGCACCTATCTATCACTTCCGCTCGGAGCGGGCGGGTCTTAGCTTTGACCTCACAGACTCCTATCCTCAGCGAGAAGAGATACTCTCCTCTTTCTTGCAGCGCACACGCTCCTATCTTCAATTGCTCCTGGCTCGCGCACCTGTTGAGCTGCAAAGCATCCTCAATCGTTACCTGAGCACATTTGACGACAACGAATTGCCAGGCTATTCTGAAATGGGGAAAAGCATCGCGCTCGACTTCTCTCGTGCCATGCCCACATCTGGCCCACAAGACGCCTTCTTGCCGACGCTGGGTGGCTGGCGCGCAGACGCCTCCAGCAGCTTCGTCGGCGAGCTCAGTGCCAAGTCTACTTACCTGGGCGAGATGACTGGAGTGCACCTTGCGCTCACAAAGGGCTTAGTCGAGCTGCAGAAAGACCCCAGCAGCAATTTCTCGCAAGATAGCTTGGCTGAGGTCAAGCGCCAGCTCACTACTCTTCAAGCAAGCTTGGTGGAAGGCGCCCCGCCTCCTCCTTTTGCCGAGATCCGTCGACTTCTGTACCGCTCGGCTGCTCTCGCGGTCGCTCTGCCCCACGTGAGCAACTGTAGTAGAGATGGTCGCACCGCATTTGAACCTCACATTGACGTTTCTCTGGCTTTTTCACCACGCAGGCGGACTTTGACATTCTGCACTTCATCGTTGCTATTCCCCTGCGCGTCTTCACGCCGGCGGCGGTCACCACTGCCAGCCATGTGTGGACCTGGATCATCGGCGAGCGTCCCGAGCTGGAGACAAAGGTGATGGTCGAAGCTTCGATTGGATGGGCTGCCACAATCAAGTCCCGTCGAGGTTTATTCTCCAACGCGCTCGACGCCGAGCACCCGCTGCTCAAGAAGACGGAAATGAGCGCATTCGATCGCAAGGAGGTGCAGCGCGAGCGGGAGCGCGCCACGAAGCTCTTCGCGCCACATCTGACGCTGATCAGACTGATGTCTAGCCGCTTCCAGGCCTTCCGATACCGCGATGCCGCAATGGTCTTGACGCTTGTCCGCCTGTTGCAGCGTTCCGCTCAAGCGGCGGACCATATGAGCACCCACGCTCTGTCTCGCGAAGTCAGATTCGCTCTCCTGGTCTTCGGCTTCCGCGTCATTCAGGAAAGTCGCTTGGATGGCTTGGTGGAATACCAGCTCCGCGATGCCTTGTACCGCATCGCTTTCAGCTGGTTCGCCCTGTCTCCTCAGTGGATCTTTGGCAGCAGCCGCATGCAGGTAGCAGCCGAGATCGCCTTGATGCGCGAGCTGCTTCAAATATTGGCGGCGGACAAGCAGCGCTCCACCTTCGTAGTGACCTCTTTCCCGCCCGCTATGGAGGGGGTTCGTCTGCCGGGCAATTTGACGGCAAGCGATGCGAAGCGCGCTATGGACGACAAGCGGGTCCTTCTGCAGCTCTTGGTCGAGGATGAGCTCGGTCGTGCTGTAGTCTGGAACAACCCCCTCAAGGAGTCGAGTCGAGACCCAGACTTTGCTGGAGAGCTTGGAGCAAGCATGACCGATTCGAAGTGGGCCTCGATGGTACGCCTCGCATGGCGCATCAACCCGCACGTCGCCGTGCAGATGGCCATCCGCATCCACTCGCCTTCTGTCGAGAAGGAGGCTGGACGTCTCGTTCGCGCACAGCCTCACAAGGTCGTTCGCTCCCGCGAAGCATTAAACCTGCTCATCGAGGATCACCTTCAATTGGCACAGTCAGAATCAGCAGACCTCAAGTGGCTGCTGTACTGGGCGCCGGTCACTCCCGTCGAGCTTGTCAACCTGTTCCAGCCTGTCTATGGCAACAATGGCTTGCTGCTGCAGTACGCTATGCGAGCACTCGAACAACATCCCGTCTCGCTCACCTTCTTCTATGTGCCACAGATCGTGCAAGCATTGCGTGACGATGCGTACGGATATGTCGAGCACTTCATCTTCCAGACCTCCAAGATTTCTCAATTGTTCTGTCACCAGATCATCTGGAACATGAAGGCAAACTCGTACAAGGACGACAATGGTGAGGTACCCGACCCGATGAAGCCTACTTTGGACCGTATGGTGGATTTGATTGTTGCGGCGCTTTCCGGCGAAGCACGCTCGTTCTACAATCGCGAATTTGGCTTTTTCAACGAGGTTACCGGCATCTCGGGCAAGCTCAAGCCTTATATCAAGAAGAGCAAAGCCGAGAAGAAAGGAAAGATTGACGAAGAGGTCGCTAAAATTGAAGTTGATCCGGGTGTCTACTTGCCCTCAAACCCCGACGGTGTTGTGGTCGACATTGCTCGCAAGTCCGGCCGTCCTCTTCAATCACATGCGAAGGCGCCGTTCATGCTCACCTTCAAGGTTCATCGAGACGTGACAGAGTCTCAACAGGACGAAGAGGTCGCACCTGGTGCTGCATCTGCTGCCAACGTGACCGGAGGCAAGACGACTGGCGTAGATGTCTGGCAGATGGCCATCTTCAAGGTCGGAGACGATTGTCGTCAGGACGTGCTCGCACTACAGTGTGTTGCCCAGTTGAAGAACATCTTTGCAAGCGCTGGCCTTGGTGAGCGGACCGGCGGGCGCTTATCTGCTGCAAGCCGTTGCTAACGATAACTGCCGCATCTACATCCCTCAGATTTGTACCTCAACCCTTATCGCGTCACTGCCACGGGGCCAGGTATGGGTGTGATCGACGTCGTGCCCAACGCTACCAGTCGTGATGAGATGGGTCGAGCTCAAGTCAATGAACTCAGCGCTTTCTTCATTCAGCGATACGGTAACCGCGACTCGATCGCCTTCCAGCAAGCTCGTCAGAATTTCGTGTCTTCGATGGCGGCGTACAGTCTAATGTGTCACATTCTCAACGTCAAGGATCGTCACAATGGAAACATCATGGTCGACGGTGACGGTCACATTGTTCACATCGACTACGGCTTTTTGCTCGACTCGGGACCAGGTGGCATGCAATTCGAGCCGCAATTCAAGCTAACGAACGAATTCGTCAACCTGATGGGCGAAGAAGGCCTCAAGACATTCAGCTCCATGTTTGTCCGCGGCTTCTTGGCGCTCAGGTCATACGCCGAGCCCCTCATCGACATGTGCACGCTGATGGCTGGTGCCGATCTAGGATGCTACAAAGGAAACCCTACTCAGGCTCTCGCGCGCCTTCGCCAGCGTTTCGCTCTGCACCTCAATGAGCGTGCGGCTGCCGAGTACGCTATCGAGCTGATCAACGAGGTGAGTAGCAAGCCTAGTCAGAGCGATGCAGTGACCTCTTGACTCACTCGCTGTTATCCGCTACGGACGCAGGTCAAGGGTTCCATCCGTAGCAGAGCCTACGACGAGTTGCAGCGCGTCACGAACCAAATGTGAGTCATCGGCCGAGTCAAGGCCGCTGTGATCTCTATTGCGTACAAAGCGGCTCACAGCAACACTTTCTTGTTCCTCGACGCAGTCCGTACGCCAAGTAAGATTCCTTTGGGATGCTGCATCTGCTTTGCCCATCGCCAGCAACTTTCCACACTCTTTTCGCTGGGCTGTCTCGTCGCAGTCTGTCATGCTGCTGGGTATCTTTCCGCCACTCCGCTCCCTGCCCACTTTATTGCTCGATCGCTGTTGCCACTCTGCCTGCCCGCTGGCTTCTCAACCTGCCGCCGACGAATGGAACGTGATGTCTCCTCTTTGCGTCCATGCTTCCGCACAAAGTGTGCGACATTTGGCGGTGCCGGCGACATCATCGCTCTGCGGGGATAGTCAAAGAGTGCGTTGCGGTTGTGCCGCTTAACACCGAATGTGGCGGCCTGGTCTCGGCGATGATGCCTTGCATGAGAGAAAGGATCGGTGCTTGCCAACGAGCGATCCGCTGCTTCGGCATATGTTAAAATGACACGCAAGCCATGCGTGGATGTCGAGAGGGCCCAAGAAGAGGATGGAAAAAGCTCACTTTTGAGGGAGAGATTCACAATTGGTGATAGCAAATGGGCGAGCTGTCATTGGTGCACGGCAGGCTACTTGACTATCATCTCCGCTGCACCCACCGAGTAGTAGCAGCAGCGCGGAGCGAGTTCGCGTTTGCTCGGCGGTCAGCCCCGCCGCATGCATGCAGCACATATGCGGGGAACCTAGCACCTACACACCTCGTAAAGCATCCCAGGCTTATCTCCGGAGGGAGGCCCACAGGAATGCTCGGAGGTTGGTCTTCTGTTCCTAAGCTCGGGATGAACGATTCTCTCTCTCCTCTCTCTCTCACACCACATGGCCTCTCCTATTCGACAGCTACCAACATCTTGATGAGGTTGGTCTTGCGGTATAAAAATCTGCGCACAGCTGCTCCTCATTCACTCCAAGCACCATTCTCCAATCGCATTCATCCCATCACCAGCACCATCAGCACCAGCAGCACCACCACCGCGACGCACGATCGACGCTTTTCAAGACAGGTCACAATCATGCCTTATAATTACAACAGGTTGTACGAAGGCATGGTCCCCTTTCACAATGGGTTCAGACAAAAATTGAGGATGCTGGAGATGGCCACGCCCGGATCGCAAGGTGCGGCCAAGTCCAACGTGTTGAACCTGATCCGATTGGCTCTGAGCTTGTGCGAACATTTGGAGATGCGTGAGTGTAAGAGCGCAGCTTGCGCGAGGCATCAAGCTGAAGGAATTAAGACCCGAGCAGAGCTGACATGCATCGTGCATCCGCTTCGGTGTTGCGGGGTGGGGTGGGGTGGGGAAATGCGGATGTGAAACGTGGCAGATCATATGATCGAAGAGAGGCACATCTTTGGACATTTGGCAAGGAGATTGCCTCAGTTTGAGAGTGGCAAGACGCACGAGGCTGAGCATGCGCAGATGCACGCCGCTCTCGAAGAGATGGAAAAGTATCTGCGAGCCAGCTCCAAGAAGCTATCCAGCAGCAAAGGCGCATTGCCACCTCCTGCGCCCATGCCCATTGCGGCATCTGATGGCGAAGCGGCTGGAGACGGAGGGAAGAGGGGAGCGGATGTGGAACGAGCTTGGCCAGAGGATACGTGGAGCGAAAAGAGATTCGCGGAGATGCTGCACAGGTTGAAGACTGTCCTCTTGCCGCACTTGGAGGCGGAGGAGACGAGCTTGAAGGAGGCCAGCATACGCGGCGCTGGATTTACAGAGGATGAATTGCGCAGGATACCCTTGTGAATAAAGTCAACTCATTTCAGGTCAGGTCAGGGCAGGTCAGAGCAGGGCCACGCAGTCAGGCGCTAGTCGGGCAGTCAAGAGCAGCGTGGAGTGAAGTTATTCCATTTCTGCGCGCACACATCCACTCTCGCACCTCTGTTCACGTGTACCGCGACATCATTGCTGTTCGTGATGCTCCAACGTTCCTCCACCTGGGCGAAGCATAAGCACGTCAGTGCAATCCCGTGTCCTGCTGCTGACGTGTTGGAGTCCCTCTCCGTCGCACTACAGTGCACCGCATAACCAGCATTTGCCTCCATTCGAAATCATGTACAATGTCCCGCGGCTTCATGGCACCATTCCTTCGTAGAAGCGTACTTGGAAGGGACAGTTTCCTATAGCACCGCAAAGATATCACATCCATCTCCTCCACCGCAGCTCGTCCTTCTTTGTTGTTATGAAAGACGAACCTTGGCACACTCGTCCCCTGGGGACGGAACGGGCGTGTGGCTGGTGGCTGCGCGTGACGGAGCAAAGCATGAGACGTGATCCGTGTCAGCTGGCTTGTATGCATGCGCAGAGAAGCCTGTGCATGTCCAATGGTGATCCACTTTCCACTGCCGTACTCACAGTTGCTTTTTGATGGAGGAGCAAAAGGGAGAAGTGCGAGTCAGCAGAATGCTCTCCCCATTCGAAGCCCGCACCTGGCAAGCAGCCCGCCTCGCGCGCGCAAGGCTGCGAAAATTTCTGCCCGCAAGTCGAGTGCATCGAGACGCGCACGTGACTGCACAACCACGCGTGGTGACATTTTGATTCGTGATTTGCATGTGACAGCGCGCGCAAGAGGCGGTGCTCGTGCTCAGTCTGATCCAACATGCGGGCGCGGATCCATGCGCACAGACAAGTCCCCCCTTCGGCTCCTTCTTGATCCCCTACAGCAAAGCGCGCGTCATATGGGCTAATCAGGCGACCTGGCTAGATAGACTGGCAAGACTCGCATGGCAGCTTTACCATCTAAAGACCAACTGCCCACCGTAAACAGCTTTGAAGACGCAGCAAGCGGTTCCCACCCTGCACAGCCAACATGGCACCTCCCATCCCTTCCAGCTTTCGTCCGCGCGAAGCGGGAGCGGAGCCTTTGGATGGTGTGCGACCTCGATCCATTGCGCAACTGGCGCAAGTCGCAGCCTCGCCGCCTCACACTGTTCATATCAGCAACGATGTGCCATTGAAGCGGTATGTAGGCGGAGCGGCCAGTCTGGCCAAGCAAGCATCCATCGACGAATCAGAAGGAAGAGTGGAGAGGAGCTTCGTCAACCTGATCAAGTGCGCAAAGTTGCTGTTGGAGCTGATACCTAAACATGCAGAGTATCGAAGTATTGATGCACGTATGCGCAAGAGCATCAGTGAGGATGCTCAGCGAACGTTGGATGACATTTCTAGAGTCAAAATGGCTCTCGCTGGTAGGGAGGAGCAGTGGATGGCAGATCCGGAAGCTTTCGAAGCGCGTGCTAGGAAGGTCAGAAGCGCTGCTTCGCAAGCGCCCAGCAGCTCGGCATTGCAAACACATCAGCAAGAAGTAGCGCACGCGGATAGGACAGCACAAGCCCAGGGAGAGCGCACATCGCAGGCCGCCTCTAAGCCAGACACCCAGGCTCGCGGTGCCTCTGATGGAGGAATTGAATTCCACAAGCCGGAACGAGGCGGATTCGACGTGAGGGATATACTGGGATGGGTAAAGGCGGATCAAACGACCGATTCTAGCCAGGATGCGTACGCGCAGCTGGCCAGACACGTCGATACCAGGCCGCGCACGAGAGAGTGAGTGATCGATGGAAGGACGTGCACTGAGCAGCATCGCCGAGCAGCGGCAATGGAAGAGCTAGCGCATTCGAGCCTTGCAACTGCGGGTGGCTGTGCGCTGATGTCTGCTACCTGTTGGACTTTGCTGTGCGGCAGGCCGGAAGCCCATCGAGCGCAATTGGCATACCCGACGCTACGCCCTTCGCACTCTATTCGGATGGCCAAACATCAGACGAACCAAGGCTTTGCGCCTTCCTCTGACCGAGCCGCCACGTACTTTCAGACTACGCATTCAACAGCAGGCGCTAGCGTCGGTGGTGTGCAGATGCCCTTACCTCGTCCCACGGACGATGCCGATCTAGCTGCGTCGGCGCTCAGAGCAATCGGACTCGGGGGCTCGAGCTCCTCTTCGGCACAGACTGCCATGAGCTACCCAAGCGTTGCAGCTTCAAATCATTCGGCGACTCGGAGATTGCGAGGCGACGAGGTGGAACGTCAGGCCCTCGCACTGGCTTCTAGGCGTGCGCGCGCGCCCAAAACGCACACCGAAGGAGGTGAAGAATTGCGTTCCATCTTTGTGCCTTCCTCTCTGATCAGCCGCTTCGTCTCATTGGCTGAGAGCAACACGACGCGCAACATCGAGACGTGCGGGCTGCTCATGGGCAGATTGTACAACGACGCGTTTACGGTCAGCCATTTAACAATCCCCAAGCAACGAGGAACGACGGATAGCTGCGACACGGAGGATGAAGAGGGAATCTGGGAGTTTCAGATGAAGGAGGATCTGATCAGTATGGGCTGGATCCACACGCATCCTTCTTTTTCGTGCTTCTTATCCAGCAGGGATCTGCACACGCACAGCACCTTCCAAGCGCTCATGCCAGAAGCTGTAGCCATCGTCTGCGCACCCAATGCCGAGCCCAATGTGGGCATCTTTAGGTTGACCGATCCGCCCGGCTTGAAAACCATCATCGCTTGCAGAGCTCCAGCAGAATTTCATCCACACGTATCGAGCGATGGAACGGCCCTCGCCTTGTACACCGACGTCTCGCACGTCATCCTTGAAGAAGGCACTGCTCTCACCGTCACTGATCTCAGACGATGAGAGCGTTCGGCAGCTCTTTGTCACACAGGTGCAAATGGCATCGCAAAGGCTAGCACGAATCGGAACGCTCGCACAGATTATGCATTGCGCTATGCGATGGATCCAGCACCGTTGGCGGCGATGCACGCTAATTGACGCTCTCATCCCCGCGCGCGCACCGTCCTCCGCGGAGGGCAGGCGTGTTTTCGCGCTCGACAGCACGCAAATATGTATCCCCTCGCTCGCTGCGGTCTTCCTTGAAAGTCAAAATGCTCCCATGGTAGTATATCACAAGCATCAAGAAGACTGAAAACCACTTCGTCGGCTAGGGATGCCGAAGATCATGGCAAATTGGAACACAATTACACCGACCCATCACTCGCGCCATCGACCGAGAGCGCGTATATTGTATCTTGGGCTGCGCGCGCCACAACAAAGTCTGGCAATTGTCTTCGCGAAGTGCTTGGTGGTCGGAAGCATCTCGGTATGCCGTATCCAAAACTCACCACTGTTTGGCACTGTATGCTTTCGCTCGATTCTTGTGCCCTCAATTCGCAAGACTTGCCCGAGCGATGCGGCATTGCTACAGAGCCACATCCACGAGAATACGGTCAGGGCGCAGCGATTCAATCGTGTGTGCTGGCAACGCGCGGCAGCCTCGCGGTTGGAGTCAGACTCGAGACTTCTTGGGCGCGGAGCGTGGTCATCGTTCTCTTCTCTCGATCCTTGGCAGCTACAGCGATCAAGCTTCAAAATGCGGTGAGCCATGAGTATCCGCGGTGCAATAAGGTCCACACGCAGCCCCGGAATGCCACGTACACATATAGCTTTTCCAAAGCGCCACCTCGCCAAGACGTTCCTGTTTCAGGTTGCATGAGGACTCGTCAATGCGACTCACAAGTGTATAAGGTACCTATCTCAAACGGCCAGGTGCAACATAGAGCTCTTACGTTGAGCACCCTCACCCTGGATACATGCGCGTAGCTGCTACCATTCACAGGATGTTCCCTGAATTGCATGTTGAGACATCTAAGTCGGGATCGGCTGCCAACGGTTGCTCGATCTCAGGGACAGACGCAACTCCTACGAACAAGACGGCAACGAGAATAGCCGCTTCGTCGCGCGGTGGATCCTCGCCTTCAGAGCGGGGCAACAAAGGTTCATCAAGCGGCCTGCAACCTCTCTTTGCTTCGCCAACCTCCCCGCTAGCAAGCAACTCCTACCCCTCCCCTCGTCCACAATCCTCCACATCCCGCTCTGGATCTGCCCATCCCAAGTCTAGACCGTTGGTGGTCACTTACAGCGCTCTGCGCAATTTTGATCGCGCCCAGTCTGGCGAAATTGGACGCGAGAGCGCTCCTTCTCCTCTCCCATCTGGCCATCGTATCGTCATGGATGGAGGCTCTCTTCCGAGCCAGGCTAACGTTGCCAATAGGAGCGGCCCGAAAATGAGGTACAATGTCGTTGCACGCATCGTCGCGGCCATGGCCATGGTGGTGGGAGCCGTTTGCAATGTCGTTCTTTTCGGTGAGTGGCAGCATCCAAGCACATGGCCAAACAAGAGCAGCGTAGGTGTCACCGAGCCGCATGGAGCTGAAGCTTCCTACGATGGCGCCCGCAGGTCCACATCTGCGACCACTCGTCATCGCAGCTGTGCTCCTTGCGGTGAGCTGTTGTACCTTTGTGATGGAGGTGTTGCCGCGTCGAACTTCCAAGCGAATCATCCAGGCACATTGCTCTACACTCAATTCGCCCATTGGCACCGCAATTGTCTATGCCGCCTTGACGCTACTTATGTGCGACATTCCGCAGCCCAGGCAGCAGGGCGCAGGCCCCGGTGGCCCTCCAGAGTATGTTCCTTATGTTTTGTACTCGGCCACAGCGATCGTCGGTCTCGTCTCTGTGTCTTTTGGGCTGAGTGGGGCATGGAAGGCATGCAAACCTCAACCGCGTCTGTGTCGAGGGATTGGGTCACACCAACAATGCCTTCCATCGACGTTGGAGCAGTGCGACGATTACGACGACGATCCTTCGCTCGTGCACGACCCCCATTATCGACCCGACTTTCTACCGGCTTCTGCTCCCTCCTTTGTCTCGAGACACGGACCGTCCGCCTCTTTTGCTCGTTCCAAAACCTCGGCAAGACCGACGGGTCGGTCGCTGGGAGCGTATGACTCGGAGAAGACGTCGGCTGCAGTGAAAAGCGCCTCGGTGGTCGAGCTGACGCGTGCTCATCGTGGACCGAGCCGACCGCAGACTGCCGAAAGTGGCCGCACGCTCTCAGATTGCTCAAGACACATGGATCCACGCTGGGATGTCGTCGATGCGGGCGCATCAAAGCAGTGTGCAGACCAACGAAATCACCTAGGATCCAACGATTTGAAGTCCGCTCCGGCTGATATTCGCAGCTATGAAGCTTACCCCGACGGTGCAAAACGGCACACGCTTGCTCGTCCCCGCACCGCACCCTCCAAACCGCAGAGCGAAATCATGAGCGGTATGGATGCTGGGCATCAAGTCCTCAAGAGGCGCAGTCAGGAAATCATGGCCAGGACTTCCGTGAGCGATGGCGGCGATGGCAGGTCTCTGCGTTCCGTGACCACGACGCATTCTGCCCACTTTCGAGCGTTGAGCGTAGACAAGGCGCAGCAGGATCATGGCGCTAGCCACGCAGGCACGGAAGAGAATCAAGAGGTCATGCGCAACAGCATCTGTTCGCGACCTGAAGTGGACGCTCGAGATTCAAGAAGCTCCTTTTCTGGCATTGTGCATTCCAGAAACTCGAGCTTCTCGTCGGCCAAGGAAAGTCTTGGTGACAGTCTGCCAAGACTTGCGCAAAACAATGAATCGAAATCGACGTTGGCTTCCATATTCAAGAGGACGAAGCGCGGTTGCGCCGAATCTTGCCAACCACAAGCAGAGACGGAATCAGTCGTCGAGCAGCTCGAAGAGCAAATGCCGTCTAAGACCTCGCCAAATAATGGCGCTTCATCCACCCATACTCACCCTGCCGTCTTGGACTACTTCAAGAGATCTTCAGCGGAGGCGCGACGGAGTCTTCATCAAGCAACACAGGAGACGTCTCTTGATCATAATCTCGAGAAGAGGTCGCAAAGTAGTGTTCGACGAACGGGAAGCCGGCGTAGGGTCGTCGACGTGCCAGGAATCGGCACCATTGAGCTGTCCTCCGACTCCGAATCCGAGCTATCTTCGTACTCTGCCGACAAGGACGATACACTCTTGGCCGTCTCGCGCCGACTGCACAGCGCAGCTCAAGATGCCGAAGGCAATTCCATCGAAGAGATCGAGAACGACGCTTCGACGCTACCTGATTTAGATGAAAGCACAGAGTGTTCCATCAGCGATACAACCAAAAGTCCCACTGGCGCCGAGGTTTCGCAGCAGGGCAAAGGAGGGCAGCCGGCAGAAGGAGATGATCATGCGAGCAACGAGTCTACTCAAGGCCACAAGGCAACACCGTTCAAGCTGTCCATACCCGTTGCAGGGACTGCGGAGGCCGAGGTGCTCATGAGCACCATTTCGCAAGAGATCCAAACAGGTGAAACGTTTGTTCCTTCTCAATCGTCCATTGCATCGATGAGCGTCTCGGGAGAAATCCTGCAACGCCAACGATCCATCTCGAGCGCAAAATACAAATGGCAGTCCAAGACGACTGGCCTTGATGATGAATCTGCCGCTGCCGTGGCCGCAATGAAGAGGCGCAAAGAACTCAAAATTCAAAGAGGCGTAGTCAGAGCTCTGAGCGGCAGACAAAAAGAGCTCGCTCACACCGACGATGAGGATGCGCCGTGATCTTTCTTCGTGCTGCCTCGGCGCTCCTACACTCTTGTTCCAACTGCAAAACGAACACTCTTTGCCCGTCCCGAGCTTTTCGTCGTTCCTCTTGTTTTATATAGATCAAATCAGTAGCGCCAGTGGAAATCTGGGCCAATGAAAAGACGCTCATTTGCTTTGCACATGATCGAAGTCGGTGACACCAAGCAACGCAAACCCATGAAAGATGAAGCATGTCTATCGACTCCACTGGCCGGCCTTCTTCCCACCGTTGCCAAATCGCTGCCTTTTGCTAGTGGACGAAGCCTTCTTGTAGCTCCTCCTATCGCTCTGCTTCTCCCTCGCTCTGCTACCTTGCATCTGCACGTCCTCCTCTTCCGGCGCCAGCGCCCCTTTCGCATCTTGCCCCTCCTCTTCTTGCTCCTCCAACTCCTGATCCTCATCCACATCGATCTCATCTCCCGCTCTCCTCTTCTTGCCTCCAGCACCGCTGGGGGCACCTTTGAGCCCAGCTCCAATGGCCAGATTCACCTTGGGAGGGACGGAAAACCCGAATGCGCGAGCCACTTTGGCAAGGTCCAGCTCGTGAATGTTGAAGATTCTCTTGAGCGAGTATGAGCCGTACGCTTGCAAGTATGACCGGTAGCCGTCACGCGCGGATTGGTTCAGATAGTAATTTTTGGAGATGAGCTTTTCCAACTAAAAGATAGGAGCAAAAAGGCCAGTCTTAAGTTTGTCAGTATGCGCGACCGCATGTTTTCGAGAAGCGCGTGGCATTGACTCACTTGACCCTGAACATTTGCGATCTTGCTAGGGGGGAAGGAATACTCGTTCAGGGGCACCTTTGCCACTTTCAGAAATCGCAAGAAGCCCAGCTCCGACGGCAAGAGGAAGAGCAGACTTTTGCCATCCTTTCCAGCTCTCGCTGTTCGACCGACTCGATGGATGTAGTCCCTCGGATCATCGGGTGGATCGAACTGAATGATCCAGTCCACTTTGGGTATGTCCAGCCCTCTAGCAGCTACATCCGTGCACAGCAGCACTCCTCTGGGAGCATTGCAGAATTCGAAAAAGGTGGACGTTCGCTTTTGCTGCTTCTGCTTGCCATGAAGATCCAGTACAGCGATGTCGATGTAGTTGAGCAGCTCGGCATGGTACTTGACGCTGTTGCAACTGCTCATGAACACGATGATCTTTTTGTCCCGGTGGCGCTTCAGAAAAGTGAAGAGCAGCAGGAAGCGCATGTGAGAGTCGCAGACCACGTAGCCTTGCTCTAACCTCTCCACTGTGGAAGCCCTCAGATCTGCGTGTACATTGATGTAGAGCGGTCCAGGCCTGAGCGATATGCGCGCTAGATCTTGAACTTTGGTCGTCTGCGTCGCAGAAAATAGCATCGTTTGGCGATTTTCTGATTGTGGTATACACAGAAAGCGTGTCAGCGAAGCGGACCTGATGTATGCGCTTTTGCAATGCACCTCTGAGGGCGTGCTTGTCGCTGAGAACCTTTGCGGGTCGTGATGCTCTCATGGCCAGCTCCACTGAATCGAAACGCCTCACCGACACTCACCATTGGGCAACAGCTTGATGATTTGCCTCATTTCATCCTCGAAACCAATCTCCAAAATCCTGTCCGCCTCGTCGATACAAAGCGCCTTGAGGTTCGAGAAGACGAAGCCTTTGGTGTTTTGCAAATGGTCCAGCAATCGCCCAGGGGTAGCGATAATGAGATTGACGCCCTTCATCAGCTTGTCCGCCTCCGCTTTCCTATTTGCCCCACCCATGATGATGCCTATCGTTTGAGAGTATCCGGCAATGCTCATCAACTCCTTTGCTACGCCGAATATCTGCAGAGCCAGCTCCCTGGTGGGGGAAATGACCACTGCGCCCGTGCCATTGCGAGGCTTGAATCGCAGACGAGCGAGCATCTCGATGGAGGGAATGAGAAAAGCCAAAGTCTTGCCGGAGCCTGTCTGAGCTGCACCGAGCACATCTTTGGCTGCCAAGAGTGGAGGAATGCAGCGCGCTTGGACTTCGGTAGGTTTGCTGAGACCCATGGCTGTGAGAGCTTTGAGCGTTTGAGGAGAGAGATCCAAAGAGTCGAAGGATTGTGCGAGGGAGGATGCGGGTGCGGACGCGGACGCGGATGCGGTGCCGATGACTGCGTCATCTACGCCTACAGATTGCCCTTGCGCTTTGGCTTCTGCGAGGGATACGTCGCTGGCCAGCGTCCTTGCCAGCGTTGCCTCTGCACTGTCCAGTGGCGGTGAAGAAGAACCAATGGCGACATTGCGCGAGGTGCTCGCCTGAGACGAAGCCATTGTTGTGTCGAGTGAGCCCGGAGGATGACAACTTCAGCTTTGACTGCAGTGAGCTTGAATGGACGCAGCTGGCCCTCGGCGGTGGGTGTGAAGCCTTTGTAGTGGTTGGATGTTTTGAGGAGGTTTGGTGGATGAAGATGCGCGCACTGGATGAGGCTCGAATGCCTGATGCGTGTAGTCGTGAGTCGCAGTCCTGCTTGCTTGCTTCCTGATGTCTGCAGCATCGCGCATTTTGATTCACATTTCTGTTTGCATGCAATCGAAAAAAATCCCCAGCAAGCTACCTGCACGTGACGCGCCCACCGCCATGCTTGGTCCAAATATTCTCGAGGATTCTTGGTCGTCTCGGCGCGGCGCGGGGTTTGGTGCGTAGAGGAGGCTGTGCAGCAGATGCTCGACCATGCGACCTCGAGGTCACAAGACGCACGTACCGGTACAGTACGTCACGCATGAACGCTCGCTCGCTCGCTCGCTCGCTCGCTCGCTCGCTCGCTCGATCCCTCCCATGGCAGCGCCTGCATGGAGAGCCACCAACCATGCATGGCCTCTTCAGCATGGCTTGCTGCGATGTGGGCTTCAGAGTCGATCAGCCCAAGCGAGAGAGGCGCAGGGTGGCCGTGCTCCAAGGCATGGTGAAGGTGATATGGTGCTCAAAGCTTTCCCGGCCGGCCAGCAGCGCGCCAAGAGCCGCCTAGTTAGCCAGCTCGGCATCGCGACCACGAGGTATGACGAATGCGCTTCTGTGGGGCAGAGCAAAGCAAAGGCGAACCTAGCAACAAATTCATGCCGATCGTACGGCAAAGAGCATCGGGATGCTGCCTGAAGATTACACACGACAAATCTTACGAGCCCTGAAGGCAGGCAAGCAAGCAGCCGCTATCGTCATGCGCATACAATCTGTCACGAGTGAATCAAGTCGCCGGCTGTATCACGACTGACTGTTTGTGATGGATCGCGGAGAGCGCTGCATGCTCATGGCGTTGGATCGTTGCTTCACACCAAAGGAACACTCGTGACCCACTCACGACTGACTCTCACTCAAAGTCTTCGTTCACAGTCGAGTCTCTCATTCGCGACTGCTGCTGTAGATGTCCCAACGCCAAGTCGTGAGTCTCATCATGATGTACAGTCACAAGTATACGCGGCAGCATCGGCGTACCGGCGGTGGCTCGTATGCAACGCGGCGCACCATCTCACATGCACGCACTTGATGGATCAGCAGCTGCATGGGCGCTGCCTCTGCGCGCCGAGATGACGCGTATGCAGCTGCATGATAGCAGACATCCATACTCACGCCTGCATGGCATCACGGCGAGGCCGGCTGAGCGGAGCCATTCACGACTGTACTCCTACCCACGACTGCGTGCGCGACATTTACAGCACCATTCGCAGGCTCTTATGATCTTACCTTTCCACCACCTCCTCCATCACCAGCGTCCCATCTGGAGACGTACGCCTATCGAGCTATTCAATCGCAATCTGAACTCGACATCAGCCACGCATCGCTGGCTATGATCGAGTGCACCAAGATGAAGGGTGCTCTGGACGCTGCCATCGATGGCATCTCCAGGGTAAGTGACAGTCGATCAGGCATTCGATCGACAAATCTGACCCGCGTATATGCTTTGTCTCCCTCAGGCCACTCCTCTACTCATGGCTGCGTTCGTGCTGCTAGCCATTCCACAATCAGCCCGCTACATGGTCAACCTCAAGAGGGCTTTGCACGCTTACGATGACCAGGTCCCAGCTAAATCCGGTTGGACCTTCAAGAAGCTTCAACCCCACATTTTGATCCGCATGCTCGCGGCTTTCTTGGCTCTCGCACCCTTGGCTATGGAGGCTTTCCTCTTTATTACGCCTACACTCGACGCCAAGGCTCATCCAATCGTTCAGCAAGCCCGACTCACGATTCCACCCTTGTTCCTCGCCCTATCCTTTTGGCTCACCATGTTCTCGGTGAGTGCGATCGGTGCTTTCCATTTGACATTGCTCCGTGCTCGCTTGCTGAACGCAAAGTCACTCTTTGGCAACATCCTCGACAGGCTTGCTATAGAGTTGCGGTGCGCAAGGGGTATCTGCGTCGAGCCGTCGGTCGATCTTTGCACACCGATGAGCGTCAAGCAGGTGGTGCTTGCACCGCCGACCTGCTCACTCGCGAACCCAAGTGGCATGCGCGTCGCTTCCTTCTCTGGGCTATCGTCGCTCTCGCGTACGCTTGGATCTACACTCGAATGGTCTATCATGAAATTCTCGATGGACGTCTTACCATGCTTCTCGTCGGCTTGAACGCTTCGACGGTGGCTCTCAACGGGCTCCGTGGACCTCTGGTCTTGCGCCAGCACTCGTCCTTCAGGGGCATGATCATTGTCACGTGGGGCTATTTGGCTGTTTGCTTCTTGCCTGGAATCATTGCTGCCGTGGTGGATTCCTTCAGCGAGGCAAAGACCAAGGCGCCCAAAGCCGAGCCTGCCAGCAGCTCTGGGCAGGATGGATGGATGAAGCCCATCGTAAGCGCTCTCACTACTTGGTCCGATGCTTTCGACAAAGACCTGGTGAGTCAAGTGCTGCGCTCTCTCCGCGTCGCGGATGAGTCATCGTCGCCGTAAAACCGCTGACGCATTGCCATCGGCCTTCCATGGACTCCTTTCACAGCCCATCGCTCAGTTCATGTGCATCATCGCTCCCTTTATCTGGGCCTTTTGTTTGATCATTCCTGCCCAAATGATCCTGCTCGGCGCACGCTTCGACCTGGGAGAACTTACCGTCCCAGATGCAGATGAGGCCGACGCGGCCCTCGTACAATCGACCGTCGTTCGCCGAGAGCGCTTCGAGGCTCAGGCAGCTCTGCGAGCTGAGCGCAACGGTACGCAAAGCGAGACCACGGAGCGCACGGCCTTGCTGGACGAGAAGCTGCCGTTGATGCCCGAGAACAAGATTACGGTGGAGGACCGTCTAGGTCGTATCCCCATCCTGATGGAGAGCATCGCCCTTCCCAACTCCGCCTTTGCTCTTCGCACACTTCCGACTTTCAGATCTGGCTTCCTGGCTCTGCTTATCTGCTGGCTTAGCGGTCTGATCGCTGTGCTCAGCGTCGACGAACTTCCGGCAGCCACTTTTCCATTGTCTTCGACCGGCATGCACAAGGCACTGGAGAGATGGGCCGAAAGCGTGGGTTTCGTAGCAGTCATTTCTATCCTCTCCATCATCGTCGTTCCTGTAGCCATGCTCATCGCTGCCTGGCAGCATGGTCAGGCGAGAGGTGGAGCGAAAGGCCTGTGGAAGTACAGCGAAAAGTGGGAGAAACCGGGATACGTAAGAGCTGACCTGGCCGATGCCCAGGTTGAAGAAGCCTAGACCGCCGGGGAGATGCTCCGAAGGCTTGAGCGCTCGTCAGGATCTCGAACCTGCACGACTTCGCTTCCTTACTTCTCTCATTCGTCCCTCGTCTTCGCCGGCGTGTTTTGTTCATTGTACTACGAAATTTGATTCTACGATTACTCTCCGCCCTCTCCCTCTGTCTTTCTCTTTCACTCTCTCACTCTCTCTCTCACTCTCGCTCTCTCTCGCGTGTACCCATGTACAGCCGCTTGCTCACGACGTAGGTCTCAATATCAAGATACAATCTCTGACCAGTTGCTCTGAGCGGCGTCCAGCGTAAGCTGACCTATAGATGGTGTGGAGGTTGCAAACCTGGCAAACGCTCTTACTTCTGCGGTCCGAGAGCAAAGAGGGATGGAAGGACTTCCTCAATTGGGGCAAAAAGGGATGCTCTTGTGGTTCTTCATCGGTACCCTACAAGCTGCTTATTTGGGCCTTTAAGAACTTCTTCAATTGGAGCAAAAAGGGATGATCTTATGATCTTATGGTTCTTCATCGGTACCCGACAAGCTGTTTATTTAGGCCTTTTATCGAGACTCATGGCTGTGGTTGTGAGGATGGCCTTAGGCCCTTCCCGCTAGTTTATCCCCTCCGGGCGAGTTGTTCTTGGAGAGCCCCTCCAGGCTCGGCTCGGTGGCCATCTGACTCTCGATCCGCCCCCGGCTTATGCCGGCGGCTTCTCTCAACTCTCGACTATCTCGAGCCTCGATCACGGCCCCCGGCTTATGCCGACGGCTCCTCTCGACTCTCGACTACCTGCGGACGCCTCATTCGCAAGACTTATAGGTTTTTAGGCGATGAGGCGGCGCGTCGAACGGCAGACATCCGTGTTCCCGGCGCGCACGCATAATCCTTGTTAAATACGAGACCGAGCTACATATTCACGGAAAATGGGACACGCGCATGTCAGATACCATTCGCGCTGTTGTACATAAATTCTTGATTTTTTGAGCATTTTTCTTGCATTTTTATCGCACTCACGTGATTGCATGCAGGTCAGACGTGCGGTTGACCCTAGGAAGCTGGTCCTCTTGAGCGACGAGATTCGTAAGTGGGAGAGCGGGACTTTTGACCGAGCACTGGTATAGAGGTAATCGTGAGTCTGTGAGCAGTCGTGGATAAATCCTTGCGCCGCTACTTCGATTGTAAAGTCAAGAAGTCATGAGTGAAGTTGAGGTCACGCGAGTCTCATCAAGTCTTGATGAATTTTGAATTCTTGATCATATGAGTTTTGAGTATAGGCTACCTGCGTCACGTGAGAGCGCAAATCTTGATTCACTCATCACTGATTTGGGGCAAAGCGCGCCTCAACATTGCGCGCCTCGCTCTTCCTTCAGCAACCTCAGCATCTCATCTTTCAAAAGCTCTCATTGACAACTCTTCAAGGGAGAGGGAGAAAGAGAGAGAGAGAGAGGGGGGGAGAGAGAGAGAGAGAGAGAGAGAGAGGGAGAGAGAGAGAGAGAGAGAGAGAGAGAGAGAGAGAGAGAGAGAGAGAGAGAGAGA